TACTCAATGAGACCAACGTTTATTGTTGATCTCAGTTACGCCGCGACATGCCTAGTCAAATACCTCTCATGCTTCTGCGGCAAAGTTTTTGCACAGTTCTAAATCTATAACGTCTTTACTTGGGGGGCAACCTGGAAAGCATGAGATTCTGTGTGGCTAGGTTTTTTCTGCGATATAATTAAGTTGAAATGAAAACCTCAGATTTTTTGTTCTTCCGGTCCTTTCGTACCAAGTTGCATTAGTTTAATGCGAAATAAGAAATTGAATTGCGACACAATAACCGTTCTATTGGACTCTTTGAAAGGGTCCTGTCTTACAGTAAAAGCGAGATCAAACTTGCAATTCCAATTTCGCAGGAGTTGAATAAGGAAGCTGGACTATAGTACGATTCATTCGGGTCCCTCTCTGGATTCAAGAAGAAAGGCAGGGAAGAGAACTCGGAAGTTTTGTTTTTCTTTTTTAATTACAATCAACATTTTACTCCTTAGGTAGTTTGTCATACTACATAAGTTACAATACTGCATAGTGTTTACAGTTCCGCATATTTGAATGATCAACAGTTGTTGCTACGGTGAATGAAGGCAAGAGAAAGTGGGTCCTCAGTGGCACACTTCAACAATTAACGCCGTGCATCGCAGTAGGTTAGAGCTCTTTTTTGCACATCACCTGACTAAATTCCTATAATCGGGAACTTCAACAGTTTGCACACGAATACACCGGGCGGAAACTCCGTGAGGCTAGACAACAAGTAAGCTCATTCAACAGGTTAGCTCAACAGGTTAGCTCAACAGGTTAGCCCATTCAACAGGTAAGCTCATTCAACTGGTTAGCTCATTCAACAAGTGCGGCAGGACCTTCTTGTTGCTGGCTGGTTACTTTTTAGCATCACAAATAGTTTCGGAAGGCAATTCAACACTAACTTGAACGGTTTCAAGTTGATTAATAACCCTTGTAGAGCCTTAAATGCCGTGCCCTGTCGGTTATATCCTTAATAAGCATCCGGTATAAAGGTCACTGCCTGGGGTCCGGGAGCCAAAAGTCCATATCCCACATACTTTTTGGTAATGATAGCAATGGAGCCTGAACTCGAACAAAACTTCCGCCATAATTCATTAATTGGAGAAGAGAACCGATTACTTACCTGGGAATCCGACACTCACTCCAATCCGTCCGTTGGGTCTTCAATGATCCCATCAGAAACAAGTGAAGATCGCGACTTTGTCGTGTCTGATACAGATAAATTGTCATACGTTTCTCACAATTCCTCGGAACCTTTCGATTCATATTACTTTTGTCAGGAAGGATGTGATGAAACTAAGGTCGATGAGGTAAGCGATTGTCTTTCCTTTACTATGCGATTGCTGACGGAGAGATCCATGATAGCCGTCAGAGAAAATTCCAATCAAAACCATCATTCAACGATCGGTGAATCGAGACGGGCGTCAGATGGTCCAGTATCTTGTTTTGTGGTATTCTTGGGAGGAGAACCCATTTTGAATGTAAATAGCTTGAAATCTCACAGAGGCAAAATTTCCCGCAAACTTGGCAACTATTCACTTTACAGTTGGCTTAACCGAAGAAAGGCAATGATGGTTACAAGCAATTCCTGTTTTACTTTGCCATTCTTTTCCCAGCACGAGCTTGTCGAGTTTGTCTTCCTCTCAATTCAAGGCGATGTCACCATATGAACTGAGTCAGTTTTGAAAGAAAAGAAAAAGAAATGAATGCTCCTTCTTTAGCTGCGGCTTCAATGATGCCTTGCAAATCACAACTAGATTATTCCTGGGAAACTACACATAGCTTCTTCATTTTTGATGTATCCTGGTCGTAATTATTTACACGCTAAATTTAAAAGGGAATAGTAGAGAAAGTTGGGGGGGGGGGAGAGGGGTTGGGGGGGGGGGTGTTTAGTACTGAGGGGGATTGTTTTTAACACATCCCTAGAATTAATAGGCCGTAGAGAGGTTCGTGGAACCATGGTTGGGGTTTAGAGAAGTTAAGTCATTTCACGCGTCGCGTTGGGATTCACTTTCACATGGAGACTTGTTTCTTGGCACTGTATGAAGAGCGCAAGGATCTTTAACAGGGAAAGGGACCAGAGGGAGTTATCCTACCGCACCCCGATAAAGTCGATGCGGCAATGGGTGCTGCAATCAAAGACCGAGTGGCATACTTGGGACAGGGCGTAAACCTCCGGACAACAAGGATAGGCGGGAAGACTATCCAGTCAATGTTTGGGATGTAAATGGTGGTGGTTCAATGCGCGTGTTGTTCATGAGGTGATTTATCTTAAAAGGGCGGAATAGTGATTGTACCTCCTAGATTGTCGAACGTCGCTGGTTAGTCGACTTCGTCTCTCGTATTCTGCAAATGCCTTTTCTGGAGGAGTGCAAACTGATAGTTAGCGATTTGGCAACTTGATGACTTTTCAATGTTCGATGGATGGCACGAAGAAGAATAAAAAGGGAAGATTCAAAATCAGCAGTGTCAATCCGTTGGCGTGATACAAAAGTGTTCAGACGATTACCGGTCTCTGGTTACAGTCGCGACCGTTATTGCCTTCCATGTCGGAAACACAGAGATGCTCTTTCAAACCCTAATCACATGATGCGCTAAACCTAATATGACCTGCCTGTAAATAACATGTTTTGTTAATATTGGTCAGTCGATACCAGAACTTTGATTTGACCGGTATGGGCATTACGGGCGCCTAGATCTAGATGGCGTTGGTGGCTGCTTTGATGGCCATCTTCGTACGCCTCAAGACTGATGCTCGGCCATTCAAGAGATTGTAGATACATATCTTTAAATAATACATTCATTCTCTCTCATTCTCTCTCATTTTCTTCATCATTACCAGGCGTCATCAGGAATCTCGCACCCCCACGCCAATTGAAAAGGCGCATTTTCAAAAAGCTTCTTCGAGTCATGATTCTCCGGCCAAGACACCTCCACCCGGAAATTCGGGATCCAGTCTATCTTCATCAGTGGCTGCAAGGCAGATTCCTCTGTGGTAAACCAGGAGAAGCGTCTATCCGGCTGTGCAGCGGGACCCCCAACCTCAACGCCACCAAACCGCACAAGGAGTCTGCGCAGGCCCTTCATGGTAGCGATGACATCCCACACAGTGTCCGGAAGCGGGCCTCTATAGCCGTCAGAGTTTTGCAACTCCCATTTCCTATTATAGAGCTGCCAGTCTCTAAAATGCCAGAACCTGACTCTGACGTCCAGAGATCTTATAGCATCAAACCGCTGAGGCACGAATACACTTCTGAGCTCGGCGGGTAGCTCGAAGGCTGGGAGTACTCCGTCGTCGAGTTGAAGGGTGTTACCAGAGTATAGGATATTGATAGCCTCGGAATAGCTAGGTTTCTCGATTATCAGCAGCATTCACACAGGTCGAGTATGTTCGATACGCACATCTCCCGACATGTCAAGAGCAGAGAAATTCTGCGAAACTTCGTCCCAGATGCCTCGTCTATTGTTGGATCACCCTCCCCATCTTCGGTTGGAAGCCATTTAGTGTGCAGTCTAGAAGTCCCTCGCCCGATAAGAATGGTTTTACCCCCAAGGACATGGTGGTAGATTTGTTCCCGGAGCTCGGGGGGTAACTTTCTCAGGAGCAGGCACTGATCCTGCCGTCTGGTTTGACGTCTCCGCCATAGTTTCCAGGTACGCTCTTCTGGTAATGGAAGGGTGAGAGCCCATTTGCGTGGTAGAGGAGATTGGAGCTCGCGGGCAAGGGTCCTTTTGTTGTTAAACCCACACTTGGCCGCCATGGAGACGGCTAGGGGAAAGCAAGGATGAAAGATAACGTAAAGACAACCAGCAAGGATGCTATTACGGATCTATTTTGAACGACTTTTAGAACACCTCCTGCCCTCGCGAAGTATGACGGAATCCTTTGGGGTCCATCATTTTGGCCCCCACACGACGACCTTGCGCTGAACCCTGACGGATAGTCATCAACGTACATAAGGTCAATTTTGAGGCAAAGTATACCTCTATAGCGTGGGATAATTTCGACCAAGTAGCACATTATATTATTAGGAAACCAGTAGCTCTATGTCGGAGACGTGGGAAGGCGCTCCTACAGGGATTCACTATCGGCCCTAATTGGATCCACCTCAGGATTTTTCTAAATTAGTGTGGTATCTGTAGCGGTTGTGGTTGTTTGTGCGGTCCGATTTAGGGGCGGATATTTCTAGTCTGAGTATATGCAGCGCAAAAATGTTAGTTGCGCTGTTTTGGGCCCAATTGTAGTCGTCTAACATCACGATTTGGTCAAATCCGCACGGGCCTTCCGACCAACCAAACTGCATTTTCAAAGAAGTGCGAACGCGATCAACCTGAGGTTTGAGCATTTTCAAGAGCGAGGATAGCCAATTATCAATAAATAATACCAGAAGCCTTCCTGTATAAGCTCCGTAGAATATAATTGTTGCTTATTCTTATATCGATGCACAAAGGATCACTGTATCATGCCAACTGTGCAACACGCTAAGGAGTCTATTCTCCACCCACGGCTCCCTGGGCGCCATGATAAATAATCCGAATGCCAAGAAACCACACATAAATAGGGGTAATTTAGATAGCTTCAGAAAGACATTTCGTGACCTCCAATTGGGAATCATTACGTACATTCGTTACTAGTGTATACCAGAATTCCCGCTTCCGACACCAATGATTCAATGCCACAGGAGCGCTAAAAATCACGCTAAAATATACGAGTGCTGCAAGGCTGTGCCATTTCGCCCCATTTGACGAAGGCTAACGTAGGTAACATCAATTTACAACTAAAGAAGAATTCCGCTAATTCCCGCTAAATTATACGAGTATGCTGCGGGAGCATGTAGTGAATACACGGGTGGAGTTTGGAAGCTTGGGGTAGGTATGATTAGACGAATTTAGAAACAGACGAGTGCACTCGGAAAAGTATAAAGACTTGGCTTCGCAAAGTGAATAACCACCACAATCAAAAATCATTATCTTAAATCACAATGGGGCTTCCTCATTATCTCCTCTTCGGCACTGCTGGCCTGCTGGCCAGTGTCAATGCCACCGGCATTCCACACTCAAATCAACACTCGTCCGGCTCAACATCATCGTTGATTGCCACTCAATATGGTACAGTATTCGACACATCCATGGTCATTGGAAATCAGACATTCCAAATGTTAGTCGATACTGGTAGCAGCGACACTTATGTTGTGCGGGATGGTTTCACTTGCATCAATAAAACGAGTAACCTGGTCATCTCTGAGGCAGGGTGTCACTACAAAAACAAAACCTACCACAATTCTCGAACCTATCGTCACGTTCCCGATCAGATGTTCGGCATCCAGTATGGAAATGGTCTTGCAAGTGGAGAAATGGCATACGAGGATGTGACTCTTGGCGGCATCACCGTCAAGGGCCAGAAAATCGGCATTGCCAACATTTCCACCCCAATGGGTGACGAAGTGAACAGTGGTCTGCTTGGTCTGGCATATCCCTTAATTACTTCTGCGCACCCGGCAAACCACTCCTCCAATAAGACCTACTGGTATGACAGGCTGCCATACAATCCGCTTTTGTTCACAATGCATGAAAAGGGCTTCATCGATTCCTATTTCAGCATCGCACTGGCGCATACTCCCCAGAATGCTTCTACTGCCTTCGGCGGATACTTCACCATTGGCGGTCTCCCACCTGTAAACCACAGCTCCGAGTTTACTACCGTCCCTGTGGAAATCATGAAGAATATCCCCAAGAGCTTTACATCTGGGAAACGCGCTAGATCCTACTGGGCAACTACAATCAGTGAAGTCAAATACGGCTCTTCATCCGCAGACCTGACAACAAACTCAACTTCTTTCCAAGTATTCATCGACTCCGGCAACAACATGCAGTATCTACCGCCCGCAGTGGTGGAGCCCATCAATGCTCTATTTGATCCGCCCGCGAAGTACAACTCAGATTACGAGGCCTATGTCGTCGATTGCTCTGCAAGAGCCCCGGAGTTTGGCCTGACACTGGGAAGTCAGACATTCTTCCATAATGGCGAAGATCTCATCTATCAGACCGGCAAGGGAGTTTGCATCACAAGTCTCGCCCCGTCGCAGACCCTTCCGCTTGCGGGTGGGATAACGCTGAATGTCCTGGGGGTACCCTTCCTCAAGAACGTGGTTGCTGTGCATGACTTCGGAAAGAATGAAATGAGATTTGCGAAATTGTTGGGTCCTACTAGTAACTCTACCACTTCGGGGAGTGCTCCGGCTGCGACCGAAACACCTTCCTTCTCTCTGGGCTCGAAAATTCTCAGCGGTATTTCTTGGGTGCAAATTGCAATGACTTTGGTTGCAGGTCTATTTGTTATTTTTTGATTGATTGTGATTATGTTTGGGAGGTTCTTTGCGGAATAATGGACGCGATAGATTATTTTACAGACTTTTGTTTTGATGGATCAGTTTGTAGCCTCATTTTATTCTCAATTTACTTCATCCCCAATGCGCAAAGCACAGAAAACCTCATCTATTCCACAGCTGGTATCCATAACTTCAGAGCCAACGTCTTCTAATCGCACGTCCTCAACCTCGCCGTTGAGGGAGTCCTTTTCAAGAGATTGAACTACCAAAAACGCTTTTCTTGAGTCCCAGAGCCCGTCTCGAGCGGAATAGAGGCGACTATTCATCATGGAGAGGGACTTCTTTAAGAGGTTCCTGTCTCTTGTTTTCAAGCAAACAAAGTAAAGCATAGCTACTACATTAGTTGAGACAGTGAATTCTCGATGGTCAGACTTGGACATATCTGATGATTCGAAGTCTGAAATAAGAACCCCGATTTGCTCCAAAGCAAACTCAAATTTGCAATAGGCTTCCATGGGTGTCTTCGTATCTTCGTCGGTTAGGATTATATTCTCGAGCAGGACACCATGAAAAATGATTTCTTGGCAGTGCAATAACATGATTCGTTGGCGATCCGGGCTATTCATCGTTTGCCCATCATTCTTGAGCCAGAATTGCTCAATTGCAGCTTCAAAATTTTGGAATTGTCTTTCGAGTTGAAGCCTCTCTTGAGCGATCTCAGTTGGTAGCTCTTGCAGATGAGCTCCTTTGTGAGCTACCGTCGACATGAGATGATTTGTTTTCCAGTTTTGCAGTATAACAAGTGCCTGTTCTATATCCAGGATACCGGAGAACTGCTCTGGAACCACATCGAAAAATCCAGAAATATGGCCCTGTGAGGCAAGTTTGAGGACAGGCATTCGTTCCCATGAGAAAATGCTGGCATGGACATCGAGATGACAAAATATGATCTTGAGCTGAGGATAGATGGGATCCATCTTATCAAGTAGCTCTGGATCATCCACCCAAAAAGCTTTTCAGGAGCTCCAAACCGCGATCCAGATGCCATATCGCCTGTTTGGTGTGACCGACAAGACATTCGAACACGTAAAAGATCAAACTGCAGACAAGCGCAGCCTCGGGTGGAGCACCCGGCGTAAGAAGATAGGTCAAAAGTTGCTTATGTGATTTGGCCATAAGCTGAATGCTTTTCGGAGAACTTCCCAGCTGATACGATCCGACTTTCAGATATTCGCGATATAGCGAACTTAGCGCGACTAGCGAATTTCGAATCACAGGCTGATGCTGACTTCGCTGTAGAATAAGCTGGGTCCAAAGCGTTGAATCGGAGAAGCGCGATAAGCATTGAGCTGCTTCACTGCAATAGAAATGGAGGAGCTCGCGATCCGTCCGACTGCCTGGGATCTTGAAGGGAATGTTGTATATTTGGATGGTGCTTTCAGGTTTCGGACGAACTTTCGCGGCATATCCTGTACACTGCCAGCCCGCCGAGATACAGCGCTTACATTCCGGTCGCTGCTCGTCGCATTTGACTCGGCGCATCCTAGACTAGTCAGATGACTGATCGCTTCCACCATCCATTTCATCGGGCCAAGCACTCACTTGCAGACGCTACATCCCGTCCGGACCTTGGGGGTGCTTCGGCGTGGCTTTGTAACTTGACCCTGCATTTTTCGTTCAGTCTGTGAGCATTAAGTCTCTTTCACCGGGAGGATGCGAAGGAGTTTTCTTCCTCGGCCAAGATAAATGGGAAAGGAGCCGCAAGGCTGCCCGCTTATCATGCAGGTGGGGGCTGAAGCTGAGCCATCATGTACACGACGCGATTGAGGCCAGGGAACGCGAATCGCGCCCCAACGCATCGACTTCCTCATTTCAACTATCCACCATGCCCCCTATTCGCAATCAAAATTTCCAAAATTCTGTCAATCAAGAGGGTAAAATCTAGCTTGCAATCAAACCCTTCCAGAATCGCGAAATTCTAACTATTCGCGAAGCTGCACGCCTATGTGAAATAACGCGCTCTACCCCACAACGTCGTATCGATGGCCAACAATTTCGCTCTGAAACTCGCGCTAATAATCATAGATTGACTACCCAAGAAGAGCAATCGCTCTTACAGGCAATTCGAGCTCAGAATTTGTCTTCCCATTCTCCACTCGGATGTTGTCAACCTTTCAAAGCTTGACCTGTTTGAATCAGGACTGCTCCACTTCCTAACCGCTTGATTCATATCAACTTTCTCCTTTTTGAAGATGGGTTTCTTAGTTGAGTTAGTCACATTACCCAGTGGTCCCTGGCGTACATTACTATCTGGTCTGAATGCGATCACCCTGGCAAACATCCCGCGGGGCATGAAGACATTGCGGTTCACCATTTCAAGAAAGATATGCGCGCGAGTACGCTTTTGTAATTTGCGAGCCGTCCCAACAATTACCGAGACAACCATGCCAACATCCATGGCTGCTGGGAATGGGATAGAGGATGTGATCTGAGCGGCGATGAAGACCACTTCAATCCAGGCGGAGGCCTACATAAAGTGTCAATAGGTATGGAAATCAAGGGATGTGTAATTTGCGCGAACATGGTTGACTATATCCAGATATACTAAGAATTGCGAAAAGGGTTCTTGATTGGCCCCTATAGTCATTGAGGATGGGTGCACATGCACGGACGAACCCCCGATCCTTGTTTCTAGGCCGGCGTTGAGGAATTATGACGGGGCAAGGAAGTCGTTCTAGTTTTTCAGGAGGGCCCCCCGCTATAGCAACGAGTTCAAGAGTCAACGCTCCCCTCTGTTTTGTTTTCTTTTGCGTATCTTCCTCTATCTTGGTGGTTGGCTCAGTCGAATTATCTTCACTTAGCCGTCTTAACCGTTCGGCCATATCATCAAGCTGCCTGATGCCGCCGTTATCATTGCTCCCTGACGTGGCCATATTGCCAGCAGAAGACTAGTCGCAGATTCCCGAAAGACAATACTCTGTTACTTCACTCTTCTATAGATTTCCTAATGATATATATTCTTTCATGGCAATGCATGTCAAAATGAACAGAAAATCGTTTCCTGTAGCCTTAAAAGTGGCGAATTTTGAACCACCCTGGTCATTGCTGAGGTAATCAAATGGTCTGGCTGAGGTGGTGAATGGTACGCCGTGGTGTATTTAATTTGTTTCACTTGGTTCTTGGAGTTGGCGAAGTAACTTGATCACCGCAGCTGCAGTTGGATCCGCTCTTTGACCAACGTGGCCACTGGCCTAGATAGTGGGCTAGGCGCTAAGAATGCACTGGCCGTGTGCCACTCACTCTCGGTCGCTGAGAGCGGTCTGCCTCATGGGAGTAGTTGGGAGACGGGGTTGCCAACATGCACACTGTCGGGCTCAGTCAATGAAGAGTGCAAAGATTGAATAAAGAGAACTTCACAAGCGCTCAAGCCACCAGAGGGAAAAGAAAGAGCGTCTTACTTGTCGGCAAGGCAGGCCCGTGTTGCGTCCAGACTGGCATGCAAAGCTGCAAGCTGCTGGCCACGTCAGTAGGACACCAGCCGTCCACCTCGGGCGCTGTCGGTCGAATGAGATGGCCCTCTTGCGCTTAAGGTGCAGCTCCTTTTTCTGATGTGAGAACAGTGACACAGCCTCGCGCTAATGCGCGGGATTTTACATCAGTTCTGTGCCATAGTCCAATGACAAACGACAGCTTTGACCCTTGTCATGCTGGTGACAAGTTTCTCTGCATACATCCACTGGTATAGATATTGCCGATGAAAGGAATCATCCACTATCCGAGAACCCGAGCCAATAGTCTTCCGAATTTCAGCATGACGGGGAAGCTGCAGGTGGCGTAGCCGCCAGCACAAACAAGTATAAAGTAGGTCAAGCGTATATGGCACACTCTGCAGTACAACATCGTATAGCTCGTATTGAGACCTCGCCAAAACCCGCCGAAAACCAGTTTTTGGCATAAGGGTTTTAGATAGTTGTAAAACTTGATTACTAAATCTGGATTTCCTGAGGCACATAACTCTAAATATCTTAATTGTTCGCATGGTCAATTTTTGAAAGCCCGTGGGTTACCCGCTAAGAACCCACGGGCCTTTACTCTTAAACCCAATATGTAGGTAGCCCAGCATAGGAAGCCCAGAGTTCTCCGAGGTCCAGTTCGTATGTGCCACATTTCTACGATGCAACATCGTATAGCTCATGCGGGTTCAAAGATAAAGAATAAGAATTTGCAGGCGAGAAAGTGAACACGAGCATTTTCCACCATTAATCGTCCTTTTTTCGTTCCAAATTGACCAGGACCATCATTGATCACAGGTGGATGGACCTCTTTTCGTATCCAAGATTCCTCGAATCAAGCATCATCACTTTTTGAGGAGAAATATACTCCTAGTTATATAATGTATCTTTGGTTCGCCGTATAAACGAGTCAGTAGTCTCAGAATCAAATGAATAAACCCTCGTTCAACTGCGCAGACAGATCCGGATATCTCTTATATCATTCACAGTTCGATCACAATCTCAATTCAACACACAAGACTTTATTCTTCTTAGACACAGTCTACTCATCAAAATGCGTTATTCTATCCTTAGTCTTCTGACAATAACTTTCCTCAGTCTCACTGGAGTTGGAGCCACGTGCTACTGCACCAGCACAGCTCAAGGCCAATACTGCGGTTATTGTGCCGAAGTCGCTATTGGATGGGTCTGGGACCATGTCTATGGGTGCAACCCCGATGGGGGCTGCTATGACTATGGTGTTAGGGACAGCTGCAAGACGTCTTCAAACCAGTGTCCTATATAAAAGCTTTGCCCTTTTCTAACCTGTCAGTGGACCAAGGTTCTCCTGTAGGTACGAATACACTATACAAGAATTACTGTCATGATTCATTGCTAACTTGAAACAGAACTCGCTTGGAGAGCGGGTTGGGTGTGATTGATTAGCCTCGGTCTGGGAAACTCAACGACAAAGCTCGTACGGAGTTCGGGCTTGGAAAAATTTTGATTATTATCGGATTATTTCCTCCAGAAGAACAAAATTTTTAAAACCAGCCGAACTTGTCCTCCTCATTAGCTCGGATTCCATTTTTTACCTGAGCCAGGTCTTGTTCCTGGGAGCTGATAAAACAGCTGGTTGAGATGTGGTTAAAATGTGGTCAAAACTTCATCATTGGAGTAGTGTTAACGGGCCTCTAGTCAGTAAGGATCAAACGCCATCTGGCATCCCCTGAGGAGTGACTGCGTTGATCAACAGAGTAATTCCACCACCGACACAATGCTCAGGACGATTGTATTTGGTTACATTTTGAGCACGTCTCAACTCGCTATTTTGTTGTAGCAGGATGATTAGGATGGTTAAATTGACCATTCCTTACAGTACGGCTGTCTTTGTTCATTGTAACATGGGATTATGAGTTGGAGATACGTGTCAACCGAGAAGCTCTACGAGGACCTCGTTTCTCAAGCGCGTATCGCGCTTGTCAAGAAGATCTCATGCTAGTCGAAAGATATCACTCTATAAAGATTATATAGTATGGAACAAAGACTTGTATTTGGAAGTACAGTGCAAGTGTCACGGTTGTGAATTGAAGGATTTTGCCTGAATCTCCCGCCTCGATGACCTTGGCCGAATTCATATCATATGGAGTATGGAGGTACCTAATGTTGCCGCACGATGGCTCACGCGAGGGACTGTAAGAATGATGCCCAGATGACGATAATGATTAGCTGAATCTAGTTGGTGTCAGCGTTGTTGGTAGGATACCTAGAGTATAAATGAAAATACCTCAAGTGCAATGATCCATGATTTCCAAAGAGTGCCGAAGATCGCAATGACCAGCAATAAAAGTGCCATGACGGAAACATAGCATGAGATATACCGCAGTTTTGCTCGGCCTACGGTTGTTTGTCCAAACAACCACCAATACCACATCGCCACCCCGAGATAATCCACGAAGAGAACGAAGAGCCCGCCTAGATGAACGGAGCTTAGGAGAAAAGCCCCAACGAACGCGATTGCTATCTTAGACAGACTGGAAAGCACGGCAAAAGAGGGGCACAAGATTCGTAATATTCGCGGCGTGGTTGGATTTTCGCGTTGTTGATAATTTATCCGGAGGAACTGTGGCATGGTAAGTTCAAAGTGGAGGCCCAGCGTACCGTAGTTTGACCTACTACTTGTAGCGATGCGAATATTGGAGTAATCCACATGAGGACCTGACTCCACGCTGGAAACTTCTTGCTCCACAGCAAGCCTGAAAGTGTAGCAAATGAAATGCAGGAAGAGGCGCACAAAGCTAAGTCGATCTTGTATGCCGTCCAATAAGATTGAAAGCGACACAAGAGGAATAGCCTGACAAGGTTCATAAGCAGAAGCAAAGTCATTAAGAATGACTGCACCACATGTTCGGATATCATGGCCATAGTCGATCGGAACCGATGCGTGCTCTCTCTATAGAAGGGACTGGAGAGGTTTATGTACGTGAACAAGATGCTGATAGGCTATACATTCTTGATGGACTCAGAATAGTTCCAAACTGATTCCAGGAGCTTTTCATCCGTCCAGGATCATGCAGAAGAGTGAGGGACCCGAATATACTCAAATTTCTATCAACCCCAAAAACGCTGCCCTCAATTGTATGTAGGACAGGGCACTTGAGGGCCATCAATTTCGGGCTCGAGGCAACACTTCACACTATTGAGTTCCCCGTCATGAGGACTCGAAAATTGACCCTGGAGTGAAAGATTAAGAGGGTATCTTAATGCATGAGGGATTTGATGGAGCAGAGTCTCATATTCTGGATGGGATTGCCAAATTCCCAAACCGGAATGAATACAGCGCAGAGAGGAGGCCTTCTATATAAATACAGCTGAGCTCTTCATGTCTGTGCGAGCAATCCATAGATATGCTTGATATTCTGCCAAAACTGTCATCACTTTCCATTCCCACACTATATGGACTCATAAATACTCTTATTATTCTGTGTTGGTTGCTTTACATCTCAGGAAGACATGTCTTGTTTTGCGCCTGGGATAGACGACATGTCGTCTCCTGGCATTCACTTGGTTCTCGATTATCTCATCCCTGGCGGCACTGGGTGTGCGTCTCCCTGCCTAAAGGGCTTCAGTGGATTGATATATCCACATACCGCCAAGCCCTGACCGTGGGGATGCTATTTGCGGCCAACATTGTCGCTTTGAGACTTGGTACAAACTCTTGGCACACGGCAAGGATCAGAGCTGGGTCGCTAGCGATTATTCACATGACTCCACTGTGCCTCGGAATCAACTTCGGCTTCCCGGCCGACGTTCTGCATATTGATCGCCAGACGCTGGCTTGGTTTCACCGATGGACCGGACACATTTGTGTGTTACATTCTCTTCTCCACGGATCGTTTGTGGTATCGAACGTGAGGAAATCAATGCCTCCAAACCCAAATTATATCATTACAATCCTAGTACGTCGATACTCTGGCAGCAAATGCTCTTCAAAGGACCACGGGTTGCCACTAACTCCCAATAGGCCGGATGTGCACTGATTCTCGTTGGGCCAGTGACCTGTGTGGCGATTCGACAACGTCACAGGCAGCTTGCGCTCAAGTGTCATTATGTCTTGGCGGCTGTCGCTATCGCCGCCATTGAATACCATCTCTTTCAACAAGAATCACCTTATTGTTGGGTTTTGCTGGGAGCTGTCTGCTTATGGTTTCTATGCAGTTCGGTAGTCTGTATGAGGACCATACTGACCCATAAGCCATGGCAAGGCTCACCCTGCAAGGCGGACATCTGGGTTTCTCAGGGAGTCCTCTGGATTGAGATCAACTTGCCTATCGGTCGAGCTATCCGGCCGGGCGAGTATATACACATGTGGGCGCCATGTGCCGGCTATCGAGCCTTCACACAACTTGTGCTACTCTACGTGGTAGTCGCGGAGTTGGAAAATGTAGACAGTGGATGCACCATCCGTATGGTTGCGCGGCCTCAACGTGGGGTCCTCTATCACTCTTCTTTTGCGCGACGTCAGCCAGTCGCCATTCTGGGGCCGTACGGGCGACCGTACGATTTTTCTCGATACGGTACGATTGTATTCGCTCTAGAGGATATTGGGCTTTTCCGTGCGCTATCATATATTGAAATGCTGGTGGAAGCTAGTCACAAGCGAGAAGCAATGGTGCGGAAAGTCGAAGTCCTGTGGCAGCGCGAGAAGGCATTTGGTAGGTCTGGGTGGTTCAATTCATCCTTTCCAACATATATATATGGCTGACTATTCTTCCAGAGAATCCAGAGTGGTTCAAATTATGGAGACAGAAAATTCTCAATTTTGACCGGGAAAATTTTGATGTGAGTAAGCCGACGCAAACACACAGTGCTGTATCAGTGATTTACCTCGTCCTAGATTCTTCACTTCCGAATTTTCTGTCATGAGCCGACGGAGCCAGCGAAGGGACCAAGATCCTCTCGAAGATTAGGCGAGCGGCTCTGGCTCTACAATGGACCGATTGACTTTGAAGAGGAGATCTCGCGATATCTCGACGAGCAGTGTGGTGACATGGCCTTGGCAGGTGTGTTCTATCTTCATTTTTTCCACGCACGGAGGAAACTCGGTCCATTGCCCTGACACTAATTTGGACAGTATGTGCGGGTCCGCGGACTCGCGAAGCTGTGAGGAAATCAGTTCAACTCCATCTCCACAAAAGCCCCCAAATCGTCGAGCTCGATCTGGGACCATACCATACCTGGCCGGATGATCGGATTTCGTCCGAAAACCGGTATCAAGGCCAAAATTCCCAAAAAGCTGGGAGTGCATGATTTTGCAAGTTTGGAGATTAATGCAAGCAGCTTTGACTGCGTATCGGTGGCCATGTACAGCCTTGCGGTAGTCCAGCTGCAGGAGATTTTGGCAAGAGTAGCTGACCACAATATACGGTGTTGCCGTGAGCGGTGAGGTGGTGGTACACTGGAACAGTCATTCCATCGTACTCGGAAATTGTTTACCATGATTTAGTGTAGCAGATCGAGAATATCGTTGAAACGCAAGTAAGCCGCCAGCGCCAGAGTTCCGAGACCCAATTTCTTAGCCCTGTAGTCCTTCAACATAGATTCCAAGTAGGCAGTGGAGAATGCTAGGCAAGCGAGAAAATAAGTACCAGAAGAGGAGATCGTAAAGAAACGAGGTGAACAGTACACCCGGTAGGTCGAAGCCAAACGAGAATTTCACAAAAAGAAATTCAAATAAAGGCTCCATAGTTGACACAGTCGAACCCATCCTGATCAAAAAGAGTTGGGATAATCTAGGTTTTGTCGGATATTCGCTCCCTTAGCAGGGAGCTTGCGGCTGGGACTGCCGCTTGGCCCTCTTCCAGATCGAACAAGAATCATTTCCGACCTTCTGGCTTCCATCCTCAATTGTTGTGAGAGGAAAAATTTAAACTGATACGTATGCTGTCGTTGATTTCTTGATCGTTTATTTTCCAGGAAGCCAGGAATTTGAAAACTTTTCTCTAAGAACAGTGGAATACAGTCGTTCTCGAAATCGCCTTGACCAATATACACAGAGAAACTCTTTCCTGGCCCCACTGCCAAGGCGTTAGCGCGGATCATTTATTGAACTGGCCCGTGTTAAATTGAGGGCGCAATAAAATGCGCTGTGTACTGTATGTTACAATACGCCGACGGAAAATTTACTCATTTCACTTTCTGTTGAAGTGCGGAATTTGCGTATTCACTAGTATTCCTACCAGGGAGTCTGATTTGACAATGATGAGAACGATGATATTTAGTCTATCTATCCTGTCTATTATTTATAGGGGCAGAAAGCGGAAAAAAACTGCCGTAATGTGGAAATTGCCCTGGACGCCTAGTTTCCATGATAGATCAGGTGATCAGTATGTGGCAGATGGTCCACAGTAAATTACTAGTGGGAGATTTACCCTGACACAATTGCTTGAGCTCGGAGAAGAACTCTTCAATAGGGTTCAAATCCGGTGAATATAGGGGAAGATATATCAGCTTCAAGCCGGAATCTAAGCACATCCGCTGGATCTTCTCCGTACGATGAAAAGAAGCATTATCTATGACGAGCACGGACTTTGGTTCTGGCCATCTGTTGTAGTGATGAAGAAGCTGTTCGATGAAATCCTCGAAAACATCGGCATCGGTAGCGCCCTGAAATACACGGAATAGGACAATCCCATCCTGAGCATACGCAGGGAGTATTTGATAGCGTCTGTCGCGATGGAACTTGGAAACTTGAACTAGTGTTACACTGAGAGGGGACCAACCCGTCCGTCGAAACCCAGCCCTTTTGTCACAACCTGACTCATCCACGAAGATCAAATGGTACGGCTTGAAAGCAGATAGGTTGTGGAGATAGTAGTCCCGTAAATCTGCATTCCGTTCCTTCGCAATCTGTCGAGCTGCTTTCTTCGACCACCCGACCGAAGCAAGTGTTCTGCTGATGCTTTGAATCGTCACACGCTTCCCAAATTCGTCCCACAGGAAGATGGCCATCTCATCTTGATATAAAGTCGGCTTCTCCATCGGATGTTCACAAAGAGCTTCGAGCATGGGCGGTGTGATACTCCTCGGGCGACCAGCTCCATTTCGGGGGGCTCTCACGTTCCCAAACACTTGCAATTTAGCGCGAATGTGTAGAATAGATTGTTTGCTACAATTTGCGACACGGGCCATCTGAGACGTCGTTAGCGAGTTACTTTGGATCATATGGTGGATAAGCTCGAGTTGCGGCGGTTTCAACTTCGGGGCCATCTTGCTTGATGTAATGTGAGGCGATCGTCCCCTGGTGCTCCATGGACTCAGGTACGAGACCCGCAGATTCATTGCGGACCGACAATAAACCCGAGCGCCAGCAACCAACCTATCTCTACACGATTCTATAGCATTCCGTATCATGTGATCAATGCCCCAACGCCCCCTCATTGCAGCCCAAAATAACCAGGGTTAAAATCTCAACTAGGAACATCGCGGATCTACAGTACAGTAAACCCTTTCTCTCATTTCATTTGTTTCAGGGCAACATTGCCAGGGAAAGTGTACATTACCTCTATCGGATTCATAATGCTACCCCAGGCTGGTTCCTGCCATATCGATGTTGCCATAATTCTGCCGCGTGTTACCGACTCCAAGGTGATTGGTGTTTGCAGGGTTCGTGAAAGAGTAACTAGAGGAAAATACGCGCGCGCTATCAAAGATGCGTAATGGACCTTTTATATGTTGAGGCTTGACTCCCCTTCTTCTTTCCCCCTAGTAGCTACTCTCGCGCTGTGCGTTACATCAGATTCTTTGAGATCTCTACTCAACCACATACAACCATATTACCTCAAGATGTCGGGCCTAGAAGTGATCGGCGGCATCTCTGCTATCGTTGCCCTCCTCGATACCTCGATTCAGGTCTACGACAGTGCCAGGAATGATATCAAGTTATCTAAGACTTTCGAATCTGTTCGACGCCGACTGCCCGTTATCCTTCACATCCTTCAGGCGTGCGAGAATGACCTAAAACCGGGCAGTGACTCTATGCCCTCCGATATCTATGACGCTTTGGAGAAGGTACTTGATTCTTGTAACGAAAAGGCTCGAAAATTGAGAGAAATATTCGAGATGGTCATACCTGGCGAGAAGGATACGTGGGAGAAACGATACGCAAAAGTCATTCGAAGACTTGGAAAAGGAAGCAAAGTCGAGGAGCTAATGGCTATGCTCACTCAAGACGTCCAACTCCTCGTCAACAACCATGCAGTGAATTCTGCTACCGCAGAGGACAATGCTAAGCTCAAAAATATCCTCAAAGAGATGGAATCTGTCACTAGCTCGACCACTGAGGAGGAGCATTCAGCTTTGACGTTCCACAGCGGTGGAGGGGCCCAGACAAACAATGTCAACAGTGGCAGTGGCCAGCAAATCAACAACAATGCTCATGTCGGAACTCAGCATTTCCAGTCCGGTAAGGAGCAGCCGTCAAGATAGCACATTTTGTCGACCGCACCATACCCGAAGCCGGGTTTACGTGACACAATTTAGGAGCCGTCAACGGCATCCCTGCCTTGATGATTTCTTATGTTTCACCGAAACATTCCACATTACTAGTTCTTATTTCCAATACAACCATGTCTATCTCTGTCAAAAACCTCGGTTTCTTTTTTCTAAGCCAAAATTGCCACACAAAACTACTACAGAAGCGCGGCTAACCGTTATTGATAGTCACCCTCAAGCAGAAGGAAGATTTCAGTTTTCGCGGACCCGTTGGCATCTATCTTGGTCAAACGCCTTACATCGCCTCTGAACTCTTCGTCGGTCGCATCTACGAGCTTAATGAGATCGCAAGTCTTCTACACTCTGATCACAAGTCTCAAAAGCAAAGGCGCCTAGTCCTCGGCGGTATAGGTGGTATTGGCAAGACTCAGCTTGCGATCGCCTACGCAGAGTCCGGCCGTGGTTCTTATAGCTCGGTATTCTGGCTTAACGCAGTATCTGAGGCCGCATTGAAAGACAGTTTCCGATCAATAGCCAGCCTTATCTTCGATGTTGAGGAACCTGGAGGGTTAGAGGACAAAGAGATCGTCAGACGTGTACACCAGTGGCTATGTAACCCCAAAAATACCGGATGGTTATTGATTTTTGATAACTACGATGACCCTACCCAGTTTCGGATTGACCACTATTACCCTCCTGCTTGTCATGGGGCTATTGTGGTCACCTCTCGACGACCAGATCACGTTTCCGGGACCTCTCTTCACATAAAGCCTTTTCAAAATGTTGAAGATAGCCTCGCAATCCTACAAACCCGATCAAAACGAGAGAATGTTCAATCAGGTATGGTACATCCAATCACATTTAGAAACCACTAACCATTACCATTAGATCCTTATGCTATGCGCCTTGCAGAGCGACTTGCGGGTCTACCTCTTGCTTTGGCCACCGCCGGGACATATCTTCGGCGTAGTACCTTCACTTTCGAACGCTACCTTCAAGAGTACGAGAAACGTTGGAACATTAGCCCTCGCCGACCCCTACAGCTCCAGGAGTATCAGGACAGTACACTCTACACAACCTGGGATCTATCATACTCTCGCTTAGAAAAGGAAGATCCGGACGCGGCGAAAACACTGAAATTACTCGCCTACTTTGATAACCAGATACTTTGGTATGGGCTTTTTTATGCTGGACTCACGGATAGTTCTCCGGAGTGGCTTCGTGAAGTAATCACAGATGACGTGAATTTCAATGAAGTGATGGGAGCCCTGGCCGAATACTTTTTCCTAGACAGTCACCAGACGTCAGGCTCATGGAGCATGCATAACTGTGTGCACGACTGGACTTTAGCAGCACTCAACAAGGACATCGACGCAAACCATTACTGGTATGCTTTTGACTGCATTTCTGCGTCTATAAAAGATGACAGGGCAGATGACTTTGCAAATTTGTCTTACTCTGCCTTGGCTGCTCATGCCACGAGGCTAATACAAGAGCGCTTGTGCACGAACGACGTCATATATAATATTGCGCCTCATCGACTCGACCAAGCTTCACTAATTGCAAACCTACTTCGAGACCAAGTACTACTTCTTGCTGCCGAGAAGATGTACCAGTGTGCGCTAGCTGGGAAGGAGAAAGAACTCGGAGCGGATCACGCATCGACCCTTGAGACTGTTAACAATCTCGGGATTCTATATCGGAACCAAGGCAGGCTAGAACAGGCGGAGCAGATGTACCAGCGGGCGCTAGCCGGGCGCGAGAAAGCGCTCGGAGCGGACCACATGTCAACCCTTCGCACAGTCAAAAATATCGGGATTCTATATCGTCTCCAAGGCAGGCTAGATCAGGCAGAGCAGAAACTCCACCAGGCACTAACTGGATGCGAGAAAGCACTCGGAGCAGATCATATTTTAACTCTTGACACAGTCAACAATCTCGGAATTATATATTGCGTCCAAGGCAAGCTGGACCAGGCGGAGCATATGTACCAGCGGGCGCTAGCCGGGCGCGAGAAAGCGTTTGGAGCAGACCACACGTTAACCCTTCGCACCGTCAACAATCTTGGGATTCTATATCGTGTTCAAGGCAACCTAGTCCAGGCGGAGCAAATGCTCCAATGGGCGCTAGCTGGAAAGGAGAAAGCGCTTGGAGCGGACCACACGTCGACCCTTGAGACTGTCAATAATCTCGGGATCCTATATCACGTCCAAGGAAATTTAGACCAGGCAGAGCATATGCTCCAGCGGGCGCTAGCTGGGCGCGTAAAAGCGCTCGGAGCGGATCATATTTCGACCCTTCGCACTGTTAACAATCTCGGGATGCTATATTGTGCCCAAGGCAGACTAAATCAGGCGGAGCAGATATACCAGCAGGCACTAGCTGGGCGTGAGAAAGCGCTTGGAGGGGATCACACATCAACCCTTAATACTGTCAATAATCTCGGGATCCTATATCGTGTTCAAGGCAAGCTAGACCAGGCGGAGCAGATGCTCCAGCGGGCGCTAGACGGGCGCTTTCTCGCGCTCGGAGTGGACCACACGTCGACCCTTGACACTATCAGTAATCTTGAGATTCTATATCGTGCCCAAGGCAGGCTGGACCAGGTGGAGCAGATGTACATGCGCGTTGGGCTTGGGTTGGAGAAGAGGATTACTGCGACAGTATCTGACTTTGTAACGACGATCTTATAGTAATTCAACCTCTCTCATTAACGGGTGATAAAGTACAACGGGTTTCTCCTAAGCTAGTCTTAGTTAGCTATTTAACGGTTCAAGGGAAGGAAACCGCCCAGCGATCGCTAGGAGCTACAACATCTTCTTCTCTGGTCGCAATTGTGTGGCCAGCAAAGGTGCATCTATCGTGCGGCTAAAACGGAGAGCATATTCACGAGGGAAATCTGCAAGCAAGGTACGAGATTCCATTCTACGGGGTTCCATGGAATTCCACGTGGTTTTCGTACGTTCGGCGTAATATCACATCACTTGGTACTGTAAGTTACCAAGCCAATTTTACAGCTCCCCTCAATTAAGGCGGCCCGCTCAATAATTGATCTGCGCTAAGGACTTGGCGGTGGGGCCGGGAAAGAGTCTCTCAGTGTATATTGGTCAAGGCGATTTCGAGAATGACTGTAAATTGAATACAGAATAACACTCATCACCTTTGACATGGACAGCTAATGTAGTACTGTAGGTACGCGTAAGTCCAGAAGACAGAAATTGCTCGTCCAGTCAAGTGCACGAACATTTTCTCCCCAAAATCGACGACGATTATGCAGCGTCTCTTACACGAGCTCTTCGATGTTGAAAAACTCGGTCCAGTGGATATTGGAAATTCTGCTCACATATCGACATCAAAACATGTGAGTGACTGCCGCTTGGAGGACCGCTTTGGAATAAGCCACGAGGCTATATGTTAAGACCAAATGCATCCCGTGGAGGCTAGGTTGCCAGCTCCCGGCCATTCCAACCCGCTCCAGAGGTCGAAGAAGATAGAAAACACCCCCTAAGAGAATGCTTATCACCATTTGACCAAAAGCAGTCGCCAATGGCGAAGGTGTATGAACAGGTTCTGCCACTGCGTGGATGGTCGGCATCAAGGACAACAGGACAACAGACAAGAAATGAAGAGAAAACCTCCCGGAAGATGTCTCTATGTGCAGATCGCTGAAGAGACTGCCAGGAAGATTTCCAATAGCGATTATTGTAAAAGCCGATGTGTATCCAAGCTGTAGTAAGGGTTGGGCTGGAAATAGAAAAACAATCGTGGGAAGGGCTGCGATCCAAATCACGAATAGGCCCCCAAACCACATGGCATTCTGGTTACCTGTCGTGTGTTCGTCGTTGAATGCACTGAACACATGGTGAAAGACGACACACAAATACCACAGAGCGATGCCCGCACTGAATGCGATCACTGCTAGAGCATTTGGAATTGACTCTTGAGATGAAGGAAATTGGAAAATCAGAAATTGGAGTAGGAAGATGAAGAAGTAAGAAAAGCCAAAGATGCTTATAACGGCGCCCGTGGCGCAATCACGCAGGTTTCAGGAACTGGGTGCGTCCATTTCGAAAAGTTTTTAAGTGCTTGATTTGCTATGCGGCATTCTTGGGGCGTTCTTGTGATATTATAGGCAAGGGTGGACCCTAAAATCATTCTACGGCTATACAAGTGAGGGCCACCAGAAAGAAGCGGCCGAATCGATGTTTTCTGCGGCGTTGATCGCCAAAACGGTGTGGTAAATGAGCCGGGCTTCTTAATAACACAGCAAGAAGGCTTGACGCCAAAGGTCTGGCGGATAGAAAAACCCTCAACCAACCACGATGGTATATGATAGGTATCATAAGCGATGTTTAGTATAAGGCCTGAAGGTTGAAGATATTTATAGAGCTGATGGATCCCACCTGTACTAGAGCAAAGCAATCTTTCCCTTTAACGGGAGTGACATTTAACTGGTATTGAAGAGGCTTATACAGTAGATAGATTCTAAACTCATAATTCTCTTCTGTTTGCCTAATCCGATGCGAAGCTAGAGTTCTCTAACCGTGACAACATCAAACCGACCACAATTGCCCACTGAGATTTTCGCAACTCATTACGAAGCCACTGTCGAGCTGTTGAGGCAGACTCAAGAACTTCCCGCGCTTCTCGGAATTCTTTTTCAGGGAGCTCCAAGCTTTCCTCAACGAGATGCACCGCTTCTTTTGGGAGTCGACCAGCTTTGTATGACGGTTGGTCAGTCATCAATCTCTGTAGTATTTTATTTTATCTTACATTCACAATCCCTCAAAATCCTCACGGTTCGATATTCAGGGTCCGGCGTTCCAAGGCTTTCAATAGATGATGCTAAAAAACTCAGATCAGCAACCATCTCTTCTTCTGATCGAAGCCTTTGAAATGCGAGGAGGGCAGGTATTGCGAGCAGGCGTGCGGCTTGTAACGATTGTTGAAGCTCAGAGCTTAGGTCTTTCAATTGATTTAGTTTTGCGCTCATTCTGTCTTCTCAAATTCTGGGAGAACATCATATGAGTAATCAGACGAGAGCTTATCCGATGATTGCCCACCCACTCGTTGGTAGTATTTCACCCTGGTCAGATTTTGCGTTGTAGGCAATTGTCAAGAAGTTCGTTCTTTCTCCTTCAGAGGAAGCGATGATTAGAAGTTGTATCTGGGTGATTAGTCCTACTTGAATTCTTACGGGGGCCAGATGACCAATAAGAACTTGACATGCATGTTGGTCACATACCGTCACTCTTAGCTTCGTGCTATGCGTGCTCATTAGTCCACGGAAGACGTCTTGAACATCGCTGAATAAGGTGGTATAACGGCCCAAGCCTGGGCAGCCAGCGACTTTGGCCAACGCGTTCGAATCCTCTTTTGTGGAGTTATCGTTCCAAATATGGCTCTAAGTGAATAGTCAGCAGATGGCCCAAATGCTATCCTCAAATGTACAACATGGTAATTGAGAGCCGAGCAAATCTGCTTCCTGCAACCTCAAGCACCAACGGCGGCAAAAGGTTGGCATTCATTGGACCCCATGGAAAATACACTCGCGTCTTGTCAGGCGTAAATACTTCAAAATTGAGACAAATAAACACCCTAACACCCTAAACACGTAGCAAAGCGAATATCTGGTTTTTCTCGTGAGTGCTCTGACTGGGTAATATTACTCTGGAACGGCCAGCTGTTCTCTCGAACACGGCAGATGGTTTTCTCCTGATCTCCGCAATTGTCGAGGGCGTAGTCTTTGGCTGTCATTCTGCCATCAGCCATCTTCTTGATCTTGCTGCGACAAGTAAATGACCAAACTATAGCCCCTGTGGTTCCCCTTCAATCTTCCTGAAGTCTCACATCCGTGTAACTAATTCTCTGCAGTGCAGAAGTAGGATCTTCGCATTTAGCTTTTTGTTGATTATATTGGCGAGAGTAACGACTTCTATACTATGAATAGCTCTCAATAGAGTTGTATGCCAAATCAACCTACACCCCCCGCCTTATTCCCGTCCACGGATAAGAAATGGGAGTCCCATGGGATGGGCGGCCAAAAACGGGGCCAATTACGGCCTTTTTTGGCCGTCTTCTGCCGTCACCTTGTTCAATCTGCAGTATTTTAAGAGCCCTTGCCCTTAAATGATTGGCCTGAAAAGTATACGTGGCATTGTGCTATGGAGAACGGCATACCGATTTGCGAAAAGGTATATACGAAGTATATCACATGCCCTTTCGTATCATCTAGCAAAGTGGAAGAATGAAGGCGACAATCGTATTATAGACGGGGAAATCGTTGGATTCTGTGTAGTACTAGGCAAACTAAAAATGAGGTTTGAATTTAGATCAAAGATGAGGGGAAACCTTTGAATCTGCTGGAAAGAGCCCACATCAAGGTTCAAAAACAAGAGATATTTCAATATTAATGTGCCCCAAAACCATGGGAGCCAGCATGCATTCAACAAACAATTGAATGGGCAAACAGCGGTGGCGACTGTCGAATACTAATGTTAGCCTCACAGTCCAACTACTCATTTATCAGTTCTTACCTCAAGGTCACATCTTCATTCCGTCAGATTCCCGAATTTCTCCTCAATCAAGTCTCGAATGTTCTCAATTTGCTCCATTGTCCACAATTCCTCCTTTGCAGCTGTTTCGAGTATATCGATCAATTCTTGGAACACGGGGATATCCTCTGGTTGTCTTTCTTCATTCTCCTTTGTCTCCAGCTTTGCGACCTATTCATCTCATTTATCAGCACCCGCGCTTCTAGTCATCTTCTCGAACCCAAGAATGTAACACCTTCTCCTCGAGCTCTTTAAGGCGCTTGGCAAACTCATTATCTTCAGCATCCATGGGCTGGCGGTTCGTGTATCACAAATTACCACACAAGAGAGGGGACAATAAGAAAAGTGTTTGTGAAAGGTCGCTCGGGAATTTGTCTTGTGGACAAGCCTTGCTAGCACACGGAGGTCTTAGGGGCCGAGTCGAACCGAATAACCTTCCTGGTTACTCGTGAGGGGACGGTGCAATGTTTTGGGGGTTTTCTGACTCGGATGCTAAGGGCAGCGGAAGGCTTAGTTTCCGCTAGCTCTGCGGCACCGGCGAACAGACTCTAGCGATCATGTCACAACCGCGCGCCCTAGCTTGACACAACGATGACGACTCTCATTCCGCTGAGAGAAGCGTAATCTTTAGCGTAACTTTCCCTGTCTTTATGCCGTGATTGCGGTCGCTCATGCGCTGGCAGACAAGGCGAGATGTTCGTCACTCTGACCGGTCGCTCTAACAGGAGACTCATGATCCTTGCCGATTAGTGGCAGGTCGTAGCGACGCATTCTTTCAGATTTTTGCGGTTGCGTGCTTTCGCACCTTTACTGTGGGAGTTCCTTGAGCTACGAGGTCACCGTAATTTAATCGACCCACTGCCCTTCGACGACCGCCTTGGTACGTACTTTGGTTGACTCTTCGGACCCTCATTCTCAGGGAGCAAATGTGGATGCTTGGTATCACCTGCATAAATGAGTCCAACTTTGTCCAATGATTCCAGCTGTGGAAGCGCCGTTGGTGATTCACGCCACCGGGGACCACGGAATGTGGACCGTTCTTGTGGGCCGCGTGCATTTCAAGAGCTACCATAAAGAGGAAGCGTACCTGCTGCCGGAAGTAACGGCTACTCAGGCTTGTTGCACAAGGAAAAATAGAGAAATATATATTCTTCATCTATCAGGAAGCAATGAATAAGCTCTGGGAAAAGACTGTTCATAGTCGCGTTTTGATTTTCTTAGAACTGTTCACCTAGCAGCAAATACGCTATCCGTTCATTGGTGATCAGATATAAGGGGAAATCCGAGGCATAATGCGCTCAGTCCGCTCCCAATGGCTACCCATCCGTAATACTTGCATTGTCTCGTTTTATCCTGGCATGTGTCGCGCGATGCGCAATAGTTTCTATTCGGCCACTGTTGACACCCAAGAGGCAAGCCGTCCATTGGAGGAAACTCTCTTTTTTTGACCGCAGCTTCGAACTTCATTGGTCTGGCCAAACCTGCGGCACAGTCTATCCTCACTTTACCCACGTTGCCGCTGAAAGTAAGATTACGGTGCAGCGCAAAACGAATATCCCTGAGCCAGCCCTTACCTGGGAAATACCTACGGGGCTTTACCTACTTATGAGAGGAATATCCCTCTTCAATCCTGGGGAAAGTGGTCTCCCTGGGAGCACATAGAGGTCAGGAGCCTATGTAAGTGTGAGTGTTTGGCGTCTGTTCTTGTTGAGATCGAAGTGGGCATTCGGACCGGCGGTTGGTGGGGCCGAAAACCCCGCTCAGGTACAACCGAGACCCGATGTTCCCCTCGCTTCTAACCCTGTCAATGTTACATGTTGAGGCACATGTAAAGCAACAAGCTGCAGACAAAATACGCTAATGAGGATGCCCTTATAACGCGGTCCTGTGGAAATCACAGTGCGGATTTCTGTTGAACCAGTTGCACTTTAGTATGGCACGTGATGGCTGCGCCAGTGGTGCTGTCTACCGCACCACTTCTACCAGGTTGCGTGAGTGATCAAATCCCTCGTATTCTACTTCTCTTTTTGTCTTGCTGTCATCCCAAAGCCACCGAGTTTGGGTCGGAAGCCCACACTGAACGAAAGCAGCAGGGACCCTCACCATTGTAAACGAATAACTCGGCTGAACGAAATGATAGAATAGAAGTGGGTACTCGGGACCAACGAACAGAGGGGGAGGAATGGGTCAAAAGATTTGAGGGGCAAGTATGCAAATTTGACATCAGCTAGCTTTGACGAGCTTCCTAGAGAACAAGGCACTAGAACAGAAAGAGTCTTAAATGAACTGCAAAAGTAAGCTAAGCAGAGTCTGTAGCGCCGAGACATTAGGGGTGCCACTGTGCCTGATAGGATTTCGCTGGTCCCACTCTGGGACGGAGCTTGCCCTGTGGTTACATAGAAGAGCCGCTGGCTGTGGACAAACGCGTCAGGGGGCTACTTCGCTCTCGCCATCACCTACTTCACTCGAGACGTTGCTAACGGTGAATTTCTTCCATAGTGAAAGTATACAATGAAGGTATATCAAGTTTTAAACTATATTTTCATATAATAGAAAAGAAGGGCTCTTTCCCGGTATAGTAGGATGCGACAGTGGTCCTGGTCCGTTCCTCTTGATCTGTCTTTCCCTCTGTCCAATCACACAGACTCCGGTCGTTGGATTTCTTTGGCCCGACGTTGAGAAACTGAAGCTTGACAGGCAGCCTGCCTATGAGGGCTGATGGGATCTCGCTTCATCCGCTCTCATCTGTATCACTCTCCGTATCTTTAGCTCTTAGGGATTGAAAATATGAAGGATTTCATGAGTTTGCTCTTGTATTAAATCTTAGTGGTGTATAGCCGTTACGCACGGGCCCTGTAAGCGGCAACGCGTAAATCTTGACTGGCTGAGTTTGTGATTCCATGATTTCTGAAGCGCGAACACTTTACCAGAACGTCATTCAGATTAGCCAAAGAGTTACTGGAGTAGCCCGCATGTCGCCAAATAAGTTCATTTCTCTACTAGACTAAAATACGAATCCGTGCCCAGCCTAGTGGATCGTGGTTAAGAGTCCAACTAAATATTACGCTAAAGCTAAAGGTTTCACGCATATACGCTATAAACCGGAGTGTATCCCATTTTGTTTACAGAATATTTGGCCCTTTTGTTCATTCTCCTGGCCATGTCTTGGTCCCCGCCCGAAATTCTCTTTCCCGTCACCACAAATTTGGACCACATTGACCAAGCGGCTCTCAGTCAGACAAACAGAAGTAATTTCAATTTACTCAATCCATCTCTTGCTGGAAACAAACTCTTTAAAGCTTTGCTCCACAGGGATGACGATCTGGCTCTTTACTTAATACAACAACCATTTATCAATCTTTCTGTCCGGAACAGGGGCCTGTCGATCTTACATGTTGCAGTTTCTATGGGCAATCAGAGTATCGTCGAATGCCTCGTCTTTAATTCCCGCGAATTACTTGAAGCTCGTAACGATCATGGGGTGACTGCTCTAATGGCAGCCGTCTACTGGGAAGAAACGACTATTATGGGAATTTTGCTCAAAATGGGAGCCTGCGTCGATGTGCAGGACGAGTATGGCAGGACAGCACTTCATCTGGCAGTCGAAGATGGCAATGACACCGCGGTTCGGCTTCTTTGTGAGAAAGGGGCCAATTTTTCCCTAGCTGACAATGATGGATGTACTGTCCTTCTTCTCGCTGTCCAGGAAGACCATACTTTTGTTGCGTTATGGTTGATACAAATCGGCGCGGACGTCCAAACAGCAAATAAATCAGGGGAAAGTGCGTTGCATTGGGCAGTGGTAAACGGCAATTTGGACATGGTACAACTGCTCATTGATAATGGAGCTGACCCTAAGGCAGTTTATGCTGACAGGGATGGCAATACACCTCTTCACTGGGCTGTCTGGCGAAGAAACTGCGAGATTATACAGGATGGATCGAAATCAGTTTCACCACTTACTCACAGAGATTCTTTCTCTAACCCTCTTTTGAAACACACTATACCTATCACAGTTACTCTGCCCCTGACCCCTTTTCTTGGCAGTATTCTAGTACGTCTGTAAAGAACATCACAAAAATAGCCTCCGTATTAAGCTAGTACTGCCTCAAGGGCTTCTAGAACATCGACCATGCAAACAAGGCAAACAAGAGGGGATCTGCCTGGCCAGGCAGCCAGAATGGCCAGAACTCGAATTTTCTCCCTCTGGGGAATGGGGAGCGAACTCACCTGCACACTCCTGCTTACCCCTCCGCTCAGTGAGCAGGTGAAATAATTTTGGGCGAAGGGTCTGGGGGGGCTAGGTATTAGGAATTGCACGTGACTTGACAGTCTCGAAGTTCCTAGGATCTGGTGGCCCATCTCAAATTTGCGGACCTCAAAGATTGGCGGTTGCAAGTCCTGAAACATCTTGTGCGAGCTCGACATGAGCAAAGACCAAGAAGCGACGCTGAACCGCTGATATTATACATCTAAAACTAGCCGCAGAGTCTCTAAATGCGGTTACAATGTCATCGTGCTCTTATCGGACGGGAAGAGCGGGTGGGACCTGTCCGGTTATCGCGTGTTACGCTTGATCTGGGTTTTCTGGCTCGGGCCGATCCGATTCCTTGTTAATACCACCTAGCATTGCCAACAGAAAGCTCATTTCGGGTTGCCCGCTATTTGGATCACCTGTCTTAGCGCTGTGCAGTCACCTGACGAAGCCAAGGACGTGCCCCTCCTTCCGCTGAGAGTCAGACAACCTTCGTATAAAATACAACCCACGTGCGATTCTTCGATCATGACGTCGATATCATTCGGCCGCAAAAATCAGGGGCTCCAGGTCGGAGAAAACCGTGGCTCGATCAATGCAGAATTCCACCTGCCTCAGGGTAAGTCAGAACAACCAGACAAGCAAGTCCGACTGACTAATAGACGCTTTCCACTCTAGAGCGACCGGAAACTCCTCCTAGCCCTTTATCGACTGTCCCATTCACGCGCGATCCAGACTTTGTTTGCCGTACTAGACTACTTGATTATATTCACGAGAAAAGCTCAGTACCAGGGTCGAGAATAGCGCTGGTCGGCCTCGGCGGTGTCGGGTGAGTGTAAAGCGGCCATTGCGCGATTTGTTACTCACAATCCGAAGGAAATCGCAACTTGCCATCGAATATTCCTATCAGATCCGATCAAAATCGCCGGCAACATGGGTTTTCTGGGTTCATGCGAGTAACGAAGCCCGGTTCGAGCAAAGTTTCCGGGATATCGCGGACCAGGTAAAAATCCCGGGTCGTCAGGACCCTCAGGTTAATATATTCAAACTGGTTGAGAACTGGCTCCAGGATGAGAAGATAGGGAAATGGGTTTGCATCCTTGATAATGTCGATGACGATAAGTTCCTTTGCTCGCTTCCGACGGCAGGTAGAGGAGATCTAGCGAAAGGCCCGACGAACGCCTCTACAAAGCCTCTACTTGAATACGTCCCTAGAAGCCACAATGGATCTATCATTATCACGAGTCGGACCAGAGAAATTGCATTGAAACTGGTCGATCACAAGGGCCTTATTGAAGTTAAGCCGATGGAACAGTCCGAGGCGCTAGAACTCCTTCAAAGAAAGCTTGAACAACCAGGGGAGAGCCAAGAGAGTCGACAGTTAGTGAACGCGTTAGAGTTTATGCCGCTAGCGATCACACAAGCCGCTAGCTATATTCGAAATCGGGCGCCTCGCTATTCGGTATCAGAATATCTGGGAGACTTCCTAAGGAGCGACCGTGAAGCGATAAAGCTTCTGAAAAAAGAGGCAGGCCATCTCTACCGGGATTGGGAAGCAAAGAATTCGATTTTGGTGACTTGGCAAATATCTTTCGATTATATACGCCACACAAAGCCATCTGCAGCCGAGTTACTTTCTCTCATGAGCTTTTTCGATCGGCAAGGAATACCAGAGAGCCTTATACGCCTCCAACCGAAGGCCAATTACACATCAAATTCAGAGCCTTTAAACGACTCTAGTGAAGGGGAGACCTCTGATTCCGATGTAGGCCCTGATTTCGAAGATGATATTATGACGCTGAGGAATTATTCATTTATATCTATCAGTGAGAACAGCACTTTCTTTACTATGCACCGGCTAGTGCAACTGACTACGCATGCGTGGTTAAGATCTCATGGACAAATCGTCCAATGGCGGGAGAAATTCATTAGCAACCTATTTGGAAAGTTTCCTACCGGCGACTACAAAAACTGGGAGAGATGTAGGTCACTGTTTCCCCATGTCAAATCTGCAATGTCACAACGGCCAGCATCACATGAGTGTCTACAACGATGGGCTACATTGCTCTATAGAGGTGCATGGTACGCGTCCGAGTGTGGTAACATCGCAGACGTAAGAGAAATGGCATCAAAATCAAGAGAGCAAAGGATAAAAATATTAGGCGAAGAACATCAAGAAGCCCTTGATAGCACTGCGATGTTGGCGAAAGGATATTGGCTCGAAGGACGGTGGGAAGAGGCCGAGCAGCTCGAGGTGCAGGTGATGGAGGCGAGCAAGACGAAGCTCGGCGAGGACCATCCCTCTACGCTCACGAGTATGGCCAACCTGGCTTCAACGTACCGGAACCAGGGTCGGTGGGAAGAGGCCGAGCAGCTCGAGGTGCAGGTGATGGAGACGAGCAAGACGAAGTTTGGAGAGGACCATCCTCACACGGTGATTTATATGGCGAACTTGGCATCAACGTACTGCAACCAAGGCCGGTGGGCAGAGGCTGAGCAACTTCAGGTAGAGGTGTTGGAGACTCACAAGACGAAGCTCGGCGAGGGCCATCCCCACACGCTGATTAGCATGGCCCACCTAGCATTGACGTACCGGAACCAGGGCCGGTGGGAAGAGGCCGAGCAGCTTTTGGTGCAAGTAATAGATAATCGCAAGGCAAAGCTCGGCGAGGGCCATCCCCACACGCTGATTGCTATGGTCAACTTAGCATCGACGTACAGCGACCAGGGCAGGTGGAAAGAGGCCGAGCAACTTCAGCTGCAAGCAATGGAGTTGAGCAAGATGAAGCTCGGCGAGGCCCATCCCGACACGCTGTTGAGTATAGCCAACCTAGCATGGACGTACCGCGACCAGGGCCGGTGGGAAGAGTCTGAGGAACTTCATGTGCAAGTAGTGGAGAATCTCAAAGCGAAGCTCGGCGAGGACCATCCCGGCACGCTGTCGAGTATAGCCAACCTAGCATCGACGTACCGCGACCAGGGCCGGTGGGAAGAGTCCGAGCAACTTCAGGTGCAAGTAATGGAGATGAGCAAGACGAAGCTTGGAGAAGACCATCCTCAAACGGTGATTAGTATGGCGAATTTGGCCTTAACGTACGGCAACCAGGGCCGGTGGAAAGAGGCCGAACATCTCCTGGTAGAGGTGTTGGAGACTCACAAGACGCAGCTTGGCGAGGGCCATCCCCACATGCTGACTAGTATGGCCAACCTGGCATCGACGTACTACGACCAAGGCCGGTGGGCAGAGTCTGAGCAACTTCAGGTGCAAGTTGTGGAGAAACGCAAGACTATGTTTGGCGAGGACCATCCAGCTACGCTGACTAGTATGCACAACCTGGCATCGACGTACCGGAACCAGGGCCGGTGGGAAGAGGCCGAGCAGCTTCAGGTGCAAGTAATGGAGAATTGCAAGGCGAGGCTCGGCGAGGGCCATCCTCACACGGTGGATTTCATGGCGAACTTGGCTTTAACGTACCACCTCCAAGGCCGGTGGAAAGAGGCTGAGCAGCTTCAGGTGCAAGTAATGGAGACTCGCAAGACGCAGCTCGGCGAGGACCATCCCGACACGCTGATTGATATGGACAACCTGGCATCGACATACCGGATCCAGGGTCGGTGGGAAGAGGCTGAGCAACTTCAGGTGCAAGTAATGGAGATGAGCAAGATGCAGCTTGGAGAGGACCATCCCCACACGCTGATTAGTATGGCGAACTTGGCGTTAACGTACGGAAACCAGGGCCGGTTAGAAGAGGCCGAGCAGCTCGAGGTGCAGGTGATGGAGGCGAGCAAGACGAAGCTCGGCGAGGACCATCCCTCTACGCTCACGAGTATGGCCAACCTGGCTTCAACGTACCGGAAACAGGGCCGGTGGAAAGAGGCCGAGCAGCTCGAGGTGCAGGTGATGGAGACTCGCAAGACGAAGCTCGGCGAGAACCATCCTTCTACGCTGACGAGTATGGCCAACCTGGCATCGACGTACGGGGAGCAGGGCCGGTGGGACGAGGCTGAGCAGCTCGAGGTTCAGGTCATGGAGACTCGCAAGAAGAAGCTTGGCGAGGACCATCCTGACACGCTATCGAGTATAGCCGACGTGGCGTGGACGTACGGGAAGCTAGGACGGTGGGACGAGGCTGAGCAGCTCCAGGTGCAGGTGATGGAGACGAGCAAGACGAAGCTCGGCGAGGACCATCCCGATACGCTGACGATTATGGCCAACCTGGCTTCAACGTACCGGAACCAGGGCCGGTGGGAAGAGGCCGAGCAGCTCGACGTGGAAGTGTTGGAGACTCGCAAGAACGAAGCTCGGTGAGGACCATCCCAACACGCTAACGAGTATGGCCAACCTGGTATCGACGTACAGGAAGCTAGGCAGGTGGGAAAAGGCGGAGCAGCTAGAGGTGCTGGTCAGGGAGACCTGCAAGACGAAGCTCGATGTTGGACCATCTCGATACGCTGACGAGCATGGCTAATCTCGCTTTCACCTGGAAGTCTTTAGGGCGTCATGCCGATGCCATTAGTTTGCTGAGAATTTGCGTAGCCAAGCATAATAAAATATTAGAGCTGAACCATTCGAGTTATGAGTACTTCTCGAACATTTTCGAATGGGAAACGGACGAGCTAGGATGAATGCGCAGATAGAATAAAAAGTTGAATATCTCATATTCTCATTCATTCGCTAAGATCTCAGAACGATCTTGCCATTGTAAGTTGTGTAGATTCCTGTTAAGCGAAAGAGCTTGACCTCATCACTTTGGCGAACGTCGTTTCCAAGAGTGAGGAGGTGGAAGAGGTTACAGAGCAAGCTATGAAGGGCGACAAGATAGAACTATTAATGGTACTAGTATTTCACGTTATTTACCAAACCCAAACTCACGAGATAATAGTTTTCGACACGATACGATCTACGAAACAAAGCTAAGCCAGATACAAAATAGCGTGTTTCGAGCTAGGGTTCGAGAAAGAATTAGAGAGTATATATTGGTGAAACTGATTTCGATCTATCCTGTACGACTTCTGGTCGAGAGGGGAGCAAATCTCGCGGTCGAGAATTCCGCGGGAGAGACTCCTCTGCAGCTAATATCTCATGACAGTCAAAGTGATAGGGTGTATCTGTTAGATTAAAGCTTGCGAATGATCATAATCGCTACAGCGAATCTGCAAAATTGCCATGAGAATAGGTTAAAAGGGCATCTATATATTGACTTTTTTACTATCGTATACACGTCCAGATTGTTGGCTCAACCGTTGGAGTCGGGGGAATTCCGGGGATCTTCGCAAAATATATGCTGCAAATCAGGTGAAGAAGCCCCCTCTCTTCGGATACTTTGTTCGCTTTCATGTGGCGCTTTATCTCAAGGTAATTCAGTGTTTGATTGTTTGCATCTGTCAACGACAAGTATACACCCTCAGCATGTTCAGAAGGGCGCACGAGCTGAAATATGTAGAGATGCGGCAGTCCCTGCTAACGGCCCACACCGCCCTTGATCTTTGGTTTGACATTACTCCTAGGACGAATAATTGGTCAAAAGTATAATAATGTGAAATCGCTCGGCCAAGTCGGTGTAGCGTAATGGAAACTTGATCCCTAATCATTTCGCGCTGAGGAACACTCTCATTTACGTTGATGCACCTACACACCAAGGCGACCAAGAAATAGGACGCAAAACAGCCAATCACTTGGCATCGCTCAACGAACACCAGCGACTGATCTACGCATTCAATTTCGAGTAGACCCATGGACAGTCCAGAAATAGGACCCATCGCTGTGCGAATCAATTTGAGCATTTCCCATCCATATCGACGCCTGGTTTCCGGGAAGGAACTCGTGCTCTTGATAGGTATCCTCAGAAATGTGGGTCTGAGTCACCTGGAGAAGGGTATTTGCATCTATATTCAATCAGTACATTGACTTCCACGCCATGACACATATTGGCAGACCGATATGTCCGTCCAGGAACCGCTCTTCCATCTGTCGCACGAAATGAATCTCATCCAAAATTTGTAGCCGGCTTGTTGGCGTAACTTGCTGGCGTACGTCCTGACTAGCCTTGTGAAGCTTGGCAGAGGTAACTCCATAGGTATCTTTAAGTTCACATAGCAGATGGACAAGAAGTCGAAGTCGGTCTTAATTATATTGCCGCCAATGAGCTTTCATCCGAAAGATGGCAAACTTTACTTACCACGCTTGAGCAGGTGGTCTGGTTCCCGGTGTATCACTTCGACGGGCCACCATCCGGGCTTGGTGAACTCAGGGTCGATGCATTGCGAAACACCGGAGATGACTTTCCTCCCATTATAAGGGTAATGCACCTGTTTTTGCGGCTCGATAAGCCTGATATATGATTTGGCGATAACTCGGCAGTTCAACTGTTGAAAATCTTCAAAGGCCCTTTCATAGTATCGACGCAGCAGGTCCCTGTTACCGACTCGAAGGATCGTTCGCCCTAATGGAGGAGTGAGTGACCGTGACGCAGACTTCGATCGACATCTTATTATATCGGCCCGCTCCCGGTAGTGTTGCTGTTGTTGACTAGAAGGGTTCTGCCACTCGCAATATACTAGTTCAGCAGATCTGGTCTCATGAGTATGCATCCACCCAACATCGTGTTTGCCCACTGAGGAAGGGAAAGTCCGGTGTTGACCTGCCAACATGTTAATCTATCGCCAAGTCAATCGTGTCCAAGTTACTTGCTCACAGGAAATGAACGGCATGCTTGCTTGAGTATTAGTGAACGCCATTTCTATAAAGCGGCCAGCCACGTGCGGAGTGAAAATGGCACCGCCACAACCGGCCATTGAGGGCGACACCTCCACCTGAAGCTTGTCGTCGTGATCAAGGTAGATCGCTGCAAAATGCGGGGGTAGTGAATCGAAGCTTGGGAACTGTGTGGGAGATAGACCAGTCAATAATCTGCGTGGGTAGTTCTTTCGCTGCTACTGAGAAAGCATGAATAAGAAAGGACATATACCATATTATATTGTTGTGGCACATAGCCATCAACACGCCTCCCATCTGTTTCTCCCTTTTGCCCAACCTGTCCAAGGTTCATATTGGAAATCCCTGCCGGTCCTCGGTGGTGCCACAAGGCATATCGGGCTTCAGAGAATTAGAATATATAAATCTCGTCTGAATACACAAAGGGAACATACATTCCAATACCTATGTTAAGGCAGATGTCAAGAATTGGAATTCCTACAGATCACATACAGGGATTTTACCCCTCACCAATATTTCCTATTATGTATTAGTCATTTACTAGTTAGTGAGCCCTCTAATTGTCGGGTATTCCCAGATTTATCTGAATCAGCGATTTATTTCTTCGTGAATTACACGTCCATGTGGGACTGTCGTACGCCTAGATTTTGACAGCAGATGATCGAAGACGACCCGACGATGAATGTTGGTTAAGGAGAGTCAGAGTGGTTGCTGCTACGTGTCTTAGCATAACAGGCCAATGAATGAGCTCGCTTGTCGGGCTTGCAGTTCAGGGAGGTGTGTGTGGGAACGCGGTGTATGCTTGTGATACGCGACTAACTTTGAGGCTTTGCCGGGCAGGGCACGGTAGGGCATGCTTACATATGGGGCCACTGTGCCTCGTTTATGATAAGCTACCCCGCACGAGATGTCAGCCCCCTTTCCGTGTTGTGAGGCGCGTAATTTAGCTAGAATTTTACGAAAGCCTGGCGGGCTTCTAAAAGCCTTCGCGGACACCATCATAAGCAAGAAGAGATTCTAAACCATATTGTTCAACCTCTGTGGAAAGGCCGAAAATAGCTTACGGCCCACTCGCCCGCAGCTCAATAGAACCGAGCACTATGGGACCATAGTCAGTGGTCGATGAGGCTCCGAAGGCGCTAATGAATGCAACTGCGCCACGCTAGTCCGGTTCGGCGCGACCTTCAGTCAAAGACTGTGCCTCCTAGTCTGACACTAGTGATTTCCAGTGAGTACAGAGGGCTTGAGCGCGAATCGCAGGGCCTTACTCCCGTTACGTGTCAAACTATTAAGCCCTAGTAACATGACTTCGCTCTCCTCGCATTAGTGCGCCCTCGCTACCATAGAACCTCTAACCGGCCCCTTTCATAAATTACAATTTATTACGGACCCTCGGATTGACTGAGTGCACTACGGGGCTAAGAGACTGGTCACCAATCGATTATCCAGTGTTATGAACTTCAATCCTGAGAGTCCGGAATTCCGATCAGTATTTGATATGGGTTCTCCCGCCTTGCACTCTGATTTCAGACTCGCGCATTCTCCACTCTATCGTAACTGAAATTGGCGCAGAAGATGTTGCGGATCTCGACCACAATGGTGACTCACTTTTAGCATGGACCGCGAAACGCGGTGAGCTGCTTTTGACAAAGCTCCTTCTCGCCTGATCAGGGTCGGAGATCAACTGCTCGAAATTCCACGGAGTGACTCCCCTGGCTCTGACAGCGAACTAGGCCACACGGCTACTTTCCATTTAGTTCTGTTAAAACATACCGGCGACATGAACGTAAAGGACAACACAACATCGAAGACACCGCCGAAGAAGGCAACGAGATCGCAGTTAAAGAGTTTACATCAGCGAGACGATATTTAAGCCATTCACGAAACAAGTTCGAAGTGACGCCCCTGACGTTAGCGGCTGAGCGAGGACAGGTTCAATGTGATCGAACTACTGCTGAGGCATCTGGATGTTGAGGTCGACTCAATTGACTGTGATGTGGGCAAACCTTTTGCGAGCCGGGGTGATGGGGCATGGGGATATCGTCGGTATTCTCGCAAATTGCGCCGAGGTAAATGGGAACTCACAAGACCACGACGGCAGTGTATCGCTGGTGTGCGCTGCAAGACGAGGTAACTGCCCAGTCATCGAAGAGCTGATGGGGCATAGTGAGATCGACACGGAGTCGTCAGAGAAGTATGGGTGGACGTCTGTCATGCTAGTACGAGAAGAGTGCATAGGGTCATTGCCAGAGCCATTTGCAAGTCGCGAAGGCCTTTAAATTAGACAATGCCAGAGCGATAATGAAAATGTGTTCTTACAGCTGGAATTCGTCCAACTTGCACGCAGATCCATTGAGTTACTTAGCTATAATATCATATGGAGACGTCAAAAGCCACCCTCTCTCTACCAGCCCCTATTCATCTCAGCAGTCCTTCCTCGAGAGCCAGCCTCGGCCCTGCATTCCATGCTCATGGTCAACCCAACCATTCATAATGCAGCCCTTTCGAGTAATATCATCTTTCCAAGGTGATTCTCTTCTTTCCAAACAGACAAGGAAGTCTAATCACCCATCTTCTTGGTTCTTGACTTTGTGGTCGTCGTTCGATGATTTTCACTTGAGCATGGGAGCGTGGGCTTGAGAAACCGTGCATTGTTGCGCATGGAGGATGAAGACACATGCCATCTTCAACAGCAGCCAGGAGCCAATGGACTGTGTCAAATTCTCTTGGAAGATTGACCTCGCGGTTTTTGCCGTGGCAGTGGTTGCGCATGGCAAAGATGCGGCCATTGTCTCTGCATAAGTAACTGGTCAAGTCACGCGCCAGACAACGGCCCTGCTCGCACAACCGATTTCGAAAAGGATTCACGCATTGTGAACAATCTTCTGCATGGTCTTGATAGGCACTTGCCACATAATACTCATCCCCGTAAAGACGGCGAGACCTCTTGAGGGGACTTGAAGGGTGTGGAGCTTCACTCAAAATCGACATAGTGACGATGCAGATAAAAAAGGAGAAAGGAGACTTATGCGTGAGACTCAAGTGAGCCCCCACGGGTTTTGGCAGACGTTTCAATTTATCTACAGACCTTTGAAAGCAATCAGCCATGAGGCTGTACCAGCGTACCGTGATATTGCACCACAACGTATCGTGATGAGCCTTGAGCCTCACGTCGTTTCAGAAAGGACATGCGTTGGTGGGCTGGTACTGGGTGTCAGTAATCGGGACCATGCAAAGCTGGCGCTAGACGCTGCAGGTCATGGAATGCGTGTTTTGAAATAGGGTAAAAGGCGAATGGAAGCGGGGACGCATCGTTGGCACCATAGAGGGACTGCGAAAGCGCGCGTCATTGTTCCTGATGCTTGTTCTTGCAAAGATAACGAGATGTGCCTTGGCCCAAATCCTGGTCTGGATGCCCGTTGTACCGTTATTGTAAGCTTACGGGTAGCGCATCGGCATTTAAAAGGGGTCATAGAATTAGCAAGAAACGTTCCAAGGTTGTTTGGATCCTACTTCTGTCTTCGTTCAGGTCTGGGATTTCAAAAGGGAGAAGCCTTATAGGAATGGGCAAGAAGACGATGGCTAGGCTACCGAGTACTATCCTTGTGATCCTCCAGCAGTTTGCAAGGTCAAAACGAGAGGTTAAGCCACTCAGAAGCCGGCGTTTTAGCTTGAGTTCGGCAGCGGGTATTTTTGAGGTGGCGTTGATGAACATAAGCGCCGTCCCATACCCAGAGCCACTGCCCCTCAACTTTCACTCACTTCAGATGCTTCCCAGAGTGAATTTCCCATCGTACAGAAAGGTGAATCTGCGGTCACAAAGAGTGCTTAGTGAACGAACAGACTTTAGCACAAAATTAGAGTACCCTCGCCGATATCTAATTCCCTCAAATGTGTGTTAAATTATTGATTTGGGTATTAGATTCATTCCTGGAGTGCGTGTCTGCACCGCAAACGGCTCGCATGGGAAAATTCTTCACATGATATGAAGGCTTCTAGTATATTGAAGACACCACGCACACTAACGCTCGAATGATTAGTTCAGCCAGGTACTGGACTGAGGTATCAAAAAACAATTTGACAGATGTCAAGATGGCCGTCATAAGTTGATCAATTGATCAAGGAATTTGGTTCACTGGTCGGGCTTATGCGCCATGCTCCGTAGGATCGTCAAACCCTTTCTTTGAACAAAACGCTTGAGTGCAACCTAGGTTTGCCATTACACATATTAATCAGATGATTAGAAAACAATGTAGTTCGAAATGACATACCTTGTAGTAAGCAAGCATGCAGTCAAGTGCCTCCTCGGACGCAAAACGTGTCATATCTGGTATCGTAGTCTTAAGAAGAGGTTGAAAAGCCTTTAAAGATCGACAGCTTGCAGCACAGGCTGGGAAGTTCAAAGACTATCAACACCAAAAAATGATTGAAGAGCTTTGCGGAATGATTCTTTTTGGCGATCAGCACGTATTTTTTGAAATATTACAGTGAAGTAGTGATTGTAGATGATGGGATGGCCTTGTCGATGCGGCATAAGGAGCTCTTCGCTTCCCTTCTCCAATGCATGCCGTAAATGTCCCAAAGCTGGCAAAATCACCTTTTCGAACAGAGTTTCTGAGGTAGCTTCATCTTCTACATAGAGCACTGCAACACTGCATGTTGAAGAAACTCTCTTGGAGCCATCCATGCCGCAGTAATATGGCTGTGTGTTATGTTTTCCCACGGGCCGCATGGTTCTCGAAATAGATCCTTAATGATAAGAGGATTAAAAGTACCAGGTAACTCTCGACCCCTTGTCCTTTCGAGAAGCGTTCCGATTTGCCGAACGTATTCTTTTCTTGTTAGAAGCACTTGGGTTTTGGAGACCGATCTTTGGTCTTCACTTTCAAGGACATGGCAAAAATGGCTGCGGTGGGAGATTTTTTCCGTAGATTCCTGATTCAAATTTTGAATGACTGCACGGATACGCTTTTGGTACCCATCGCTTGTCTTCGCATCTCCGAAGAATAGTGGCTGATGTCTTGCGATCGGAGCGTATCGATGGAATCCAAGAGGTCCAGCTGCTCTTAAGTACACAAGCCCTCAAGCGCCTCTGTTGTGAAGCTTACTAAAGTCATGACACTTTAAATTTGAAGATGAGTTAAAATAATCGATTGGATGCTTCAATAGTTATGGGACATGGCCCACGGTGCGAAAAACCCGCATATATATGATCCGAAGAACCTCTAGGTCAGAACAATTGGCCCTTGCATCGCCAGCTTTGTCGTTCCGCGGAAATTTTTGTACTGCGGTTACAGTGACCATTTAAGCGGCCACACACCATACCTGTGCGCCACTACATTTCAATACGCATATTCCTTACTCTGTGTTCCAATATCCTCTCTCCAATAGACCCATCTTTATCACATTCTCAAAGCAAAGCCCCATTATTTGGCGTGCTTCATTCAAGGTCAAGTCCATGAACCAGAGTATAGTAGACTATGGGTCCGGCGTTGCTTCGCGTATCAATGCTTGTAGATCTCCTGAGAATGATGAGACACGGTGTGCCGTTGGGCTCGTCACAGAATATTCCGGAGAGAGACTCGTTGATGAGGAACAGGAGAGCATGGGCAGAATTATGAAACACTTAAAAGAAGATGACGTTGATGTTTCTGCATAAAGACCTTGGTAGAGGGTTTTTAGCGAATCTGATGACCGTCCGTTCATACTGACTTTATTCTATGTATGCTGCCGATACACTCTCACCACTTTTGCGAGTCGCACAAACCAGTTATGGCGTGTCACCTACATAATTCCTGGAGGATGTGGTGAAATGGCTTGTTAGGATGTTCTAAAGGGTGATAGAAATTTCAAATGCCAACATAAATATCGTGACTACAAAATGTGTGTATCGGTGAGGTCATATATATCTTCATCCTAAAACGATATTTCCTTTTCTTTTGGGGTCTTTTAGAGTGTCTTCTGGATAATTTCGAAAGTATTGGTCTCCTCTCCCCAAGCCTCAAGTTGTCGGGCGAAGCGTGGGTCAGGACCTGGCTACTTTTGAGAAACTGTGGCTTACGGGACCTCATGGCGCAGCGCTCGGTGAAACGTATACCCGACCGGAAAAAGCTAGGGGTTGGCTGCACGTTTCATATGACAACATTGGCTGCTAAACATTTTTTTCCCTCGCGACATTGCATTGGTCTGACAACAATCTTGATGATTCGCGAACTTAGGTTTGTGCAGAAATGCCAGATCTGCCGCAAGACCTACAGGTATAAACACTCTTGTGGTGGAAGGTCTCATAGACGATCCAAATTACTTTCAACGGCACCGTCGACAAGAGCCCACCACGAAGCCCGCAATCCAGAAAAGCCCTCAGGCGGGTATTATAGCGAAATACAGATCAATCCCATACGTCACTCTCCGTCTCAAACGTTTGAACTCATAGGAATATCCAACTCCCTAGGAGACAAGTTTACCAGGGACTTGCAGATGTTGTATGTTTCGACTGGATGGCCCGATGGACGAGAGACCTGGCTAATGGCGATTTGGAAGCATGCTGAATTACTTCTCAATACGAAGACTTTCAAGTCCCTCGCAGGAAGACATCGTCAGATCTTTACTGGCGGCGTCCAAGACCCACTGCTGGGAAATGAGGGTTCGTGAAACAGTCGTTGGCCTAGCTCAAAGGCTTGCCAGAAACTGCGGATCGCTTCAGTTAAGAGCCGACACAACACATAGACAAAGCGTCCTGATGCGCCTAAATGGTGACATCGAAGGCTCTAAGCGTGCCATTGCAACGTTTCTATCAAATTTGAATAGTGCCTCAAACGATATTCCATATGCAGACCTTGCATCGCTCTTTCTTTCACAGGCGACCAACTACGCCTATGACTTCGCCTTTGCGGCAGCCCATCAACAAATTCAGAATTGGATGCCTGTTCAAGACGTTCATGGCAAGCAGGAACAGCTCCTATGGGACCAAATATATTGTGTCGGCCGAACAATGCGAGGAGAGGGCCGGTTTTTGGAAGCTAAGACTTGCTTTGAGACTTGCTTGGGATACTCAGGACTAAGTTTTACAAAGTCATTCCTCGTCAATTCAAGCCTTGCTGATCTTTACTGTGAACTGGATTATTCTGATGTCTCGGGAAGGTGTTACCTCCATCATGCAAAGTTGATGGTGGAGACGAATATTCAACGATTAAGGATGTCATCCCGCCAACACCTCAAAGGATACCGGCGGCTACTTCTATCCGCTGCGGAAGTCTATATCAGACAACACCATTATCATGACGCTGAAACTGCAGTCAAGGAATTGCTGGACATTTATTATAACCTGCGCGAGATGGACATAGTGGATCGCTTAGGACATGTCAGAAGCCTTATTGCTTTTGCCCGTCTGTCTCCGACTTCAAAGGATGCCTTGCAGAGATGGAGAGATGTCTTAGCGTGGAACAAATTCTATAATCCTCTGGAGGAAGAAGTGTTCACCTGTTGCTTGGTATACTATGCTCTGTCGAACACCCTTTATACGCTCGGGGATTTGAATGGAAGTGTGGAAAATTACTGCAAGGCAAAGCGGGTGTCCCAAAGGAAATGTCGTCAATTTCTTATTCCCGGAGTGGGCACATACATTTATGATGCTGTATGTGCTCCAGTACGATCTACATTTGAGGCACTTTGAGGGAGGCAGGTGGTCATTTGAGCAGAGTTAATCTGTCCATCCTAAGAAAAATGCAGCGTGAATGTGATGCAATTCACATGCAGCAAAGTTTGAGTGAATAGTGCTTGGTGGTAATAATTGATTCACAAATGGTTTCGTGTCACCGCAAAAGGATACACAGGGTAGGCCATCCTTATTGGCGACCAACATCGGCCGATTTCGAACGTGATCGACGCTGTTTGGCCGGCATTATAAGAAGATATTCATATCCGTCGGGCAGGTCCCCCAATGGCCATTGCCAGAGTTTTTGAACTAATTCCAATGCGTCCAATGGCTCTTTGTGGTCGACAAAGAAGTTAGTGTTAACACCTGAAACAATTCCATTTGCATCATCTGAATTGAATAAAGTTCCACATAGCTCGGCATCCCGAATATAAGGGATTGGAGAAGTCGACATGATAGAATCGGCGTTCTCGCGAATGAAATCAAGGGAGATTTTTTCGATAGTCACTATCCAACATGAGGATCAAAATTTGCATCTGGGCGTCGCACTTACTTGCGAAAGATCTGGCGGCCGCTAGGCAAGCAGCAGGATGAGAGCTCATGACACCGTATATATCATCGAAATCCTCCCTGAGTGTTCTCAACAAGCCACTTGCAAGTCCCTTGTCACGGTGATCCTTATCTACCACCAATTGGGTAATCCAGCAAACCGTGCTCCCCTTACATTTCCAGCGACAGGCGAACGCGTTTCCGACGAGATTTCCATTAATAGTCACCCTAATGTAGAAACTTCTAGCTTCGTCGGTGGTCGGAGGTAGATATTGCTGACGCAGTCGTCGAACACTCAACTTGACCGGTTTCCCTAGCAAGACGTTAAGAGGTGTGTCGTGTGAGAGATTCTATAGCTACTCACCAGCCTTGTTTGAACACTTTCCCCAGACCCCGTAATTTTCGTTGAAAAGCTCCGCAGCTTTGACCAGCATATCGTCCGTAACCTGCTCTCCGGAGAAGGTCTCGTACAACTGGGCTGCCATATCGAATAGCTTGCGCGGTTTGGTATTCTCAATGAGTGAAACTTCAGGGACAGGGTTGAATGTGACTCTTCGGGACTGTTCAAGGGCAAGCGTTGGTGACGACAGATTGGGAAATTTCATGATACTCGAGAGGCAACGTAGGGGAGGAGATCGACGAAACGGTGAATTGGCTTACATAATAAACAACCACGTGATTATATCAAGCTCTCACATGTAAGAGAATTGACGAAACTCTACTCACAGGGAGGTGGCGCGCAGTGAGGTGGGGCGGGCCGCTTTTGCGACAAAATTCTTTCCTATACTGGTTAGACGGGCAACAACTGCAGTCTTAAGGGGGTTTGATGCGTCCAGGTTCGGGGGAAAGATTGCCACTCTTCTAAACTACGACTTTCAGTACAACATTGGGGATGTTCAAAGTAGGGAACTCGCAGATTATACATCTCGATCTCTTCCATAGTCCAGAGGTGTCTAATTAGCTCTTCTCCATATAAAGCGGGATGTTGACATAGGAATTGCCAAGATTGAGAAGTCCGCGCCTCTTCGCTTCTTTTGCAGAGACGAATAGCACTATATTGCGAGCGGAATTGCAATGGCCTCTATTATTTGCCTCCCAGTCAAGTCTTGACCATTCATAAGTCGAACGACTACTGAACGAATAATCCTGACCTGCGGCTGACCTACCACGATGCGATGGAGGACTGTATTCAATGGCAATTCCATGAAGCTTAGTCATGAGATGGTAAGTTAACGTAATTTACATGCGCGCTGGACACTTGATCAACTACCAACATTTTAAATCGATTTATTTAACCACCACCGAAATGAATTTCAAAATCCTACCCGATACACCTATTTGGACAGCTCCTTCTTTTCCATCTAGAGAAGCTGTTAAGGTCAACAGCTGGAGAATTTTGAGGCAGATTGGCTTCCATGCGGGTAAACCTCGGTTCTCAGTACTGGATCTTGTGAGGCGCCTATCGTTGTGCCAGAAAGTCGAGCCTCAATCTCGGAAACGAGATTTGGAATATACTGGAGGAAACAAGCCGGAATCTTTTCAGGGAGCTCATCGAGACTGGGTATTCCAATTCTTATCGAAAACGCCCTATATCCTTTAAGAGCTGTAGACGAACCACCTGTTGACGAAAGTTACTCACAAATAACGACGGGTAAATTTTGGTTCCATTCCCGACCAGTGCAAACTAAGGCGCATAAATATTAGTAAAATAAAATCAACTTCAGACGATCAGCATGCCTTTCTTCAACAATCACTCTTGGCCACCCGATGGATGCGTTATTCCGGATACTTTCGAGCACACATGGAGCGTGCATCAACTCGTGGATAGCCCCCTGTCCAGGTACCGAGACTAGATAGTTCTCATATACCCTCGTTCCAAAAACTATCTCTGTATGTCTTTTGACTATTAGCTTGTCTCAATATTTATAAGTAGAATTTCTCACAGTGGGTGGCCCTTCGGAGAATATTCTTGGCACTCAATAAAAATGTAATGTTCCAAGTCGGCTTTTTTGTGTGCTCTGCTGTGTGGGTTCACGTCAATTATAAAACATTTCCTGTTTTCGTGCCCCTGACTTCCATTGGCTAAGTATGGCCTTGCTTTGGTATGGTATGCACTCTCAGGTATGGTAGACATGCGGTGCATGCCTTCTTCCCGTGGACTGGTAGATGGGAAATATATCAACAATAAGTCTAGAGGCTTTAAGTGGTTTGCTTGCTCACCTGCTAGTTGTCACTTTGCTTTGTTCTTCTTCGGACTTTAACACCCTCCCATATTGTGGCATGCCGTAGTCCAGTCTCGTTTGCCTCGGACAGACTTCGGTCTCAGGTTGAATTATTTCTTGGCTTGGCAATGCTTCAAGGAAATTAGCTTCAAATGGTTTAAATTTGTGCAGAGGATTTTCTGTACACTGCGACACTTCATGCGAAGGAGCTTCGTTAATGAAAATGGAGTCTTGGCAACAAACAGGTCAGTTGCCATTTCAAAAGGGTCGACTTAAATATGTCGAGAACAGAACCGAAGAAGAAGCGGCGGTACAGCTAATACATACCTTTGTGAGGTGCCGGGCGAAGTTCTGGCCAAGGCGTTGGGTGCGACTGCGTGCCTTGCATCATGAGTAGGAAGAAACACCAAATTTACTAGTTATAAAATTGAGAACCCAATGCTCGGCAGTGGAAGAGAAAAGGACAAGGGGAAGCAAGCATTTATGCATATTTCTAGAAAAATGCGGGGATCTGCCACTTTAGTGTGATCCAACCTACCCTGGATTCTATTGAAGGCATTTTCCCATATGCGAGAATATCCTCCGTGCAGTTATCGAATATTCAAGCCCTGTAACTGTGAGAAGTGGGCTGGGCCTGTGACATACATGAACTCGCATTTCCTTATCCAGTCTAGACCTACCATCGAATTCTCGAACGCCGAGTTTAGCGTTGGGAATATTTGCTTGGTACCGAATACTTGAATGAGAACGGGCACCTGGTTGGACAAATAACCGATGCATCTCCCTAAACAGGAAGGAATCTTGCCGCAGATTGCGAGATAAGCTGTAATAGAATTGCTGCAAGGAACCCTGGTCCCTTTTCTCGTGAGAGAAGGCATGAAACAGCATATGTACCCAATGGGAATAAGAGTGGAGAGCTTCCGCGAAGGGGCCTTCACCGAAGCATTGATAGCAAACTTCCTGCTCCCCATAATAGACGGTTGTAGAGTTCGTTACCGCGAAATCGAGCCCATTCACCTGCTGGAACTTAATTACCTCAGAACCTGCTGAAGAACAGGAGTGCGATCTGTCGATCAAGTGCTTGTGTGATCTCATAAACCTACCGACGCAGAATATCAGGGATGGGGGGAAATATCTAAGCCCCGCAAACCCCCAATGAATAATACTGTGGGGGGCGATCCTCGAACCATGCCCATATAGGAAAGAATTTTGCCGCAAAAGCGACCCGCCCCACTTTTCTACGTGAAGGGTTAGTTCATTCCTCGTAATTACGAGTATTGAAAAGTGACAGGATCCCAAACTCCTGGTTTACGCTGGTAAATTGGGGACTCCTGGTTGTTGACGATATAGGACATAGGTAAGGGCAAATAACTTGGAATACTCTATTATGGAAAACGTGCAAAAAATATGCTAGTAGAGGGATCCCGCAATCAGTCCATCCTATCACGGATAATTCCTGCAAGCATTTGGTAGTATTTACGTCCGGTTTTGTTCCTCAGCCACCAGATCGTGCTTTGTGCAGAACGGCAGATTTCAAGGGGCCACCATTGCCTACATAGAGGTACAAGCCAATAAAGAGACTTCACTATGCAATGTCTAACTGCTTCGTAGGAATGATTTCAATTGGATCCCGAAATTCGGCATCTCGCAGCGTGAAAACGGACCTTGCGCGGTTCTGAAAGGACCATTGATATCCACCTTTGGGGGTCCTTTCAGAACTGCGCAAGCCTTTTTTTGGCATGTGCAGACAATGTCAAATTTCCTATGGTTGAGACGTCAATACTTTCTCAGTTGTCTCAACTATTGGTCGACATGGCGGAGAAATTCACAAGTTCCCTCCCCTTTTCAAGGATGCTGTGAGAATAATGTCCGTAAGCCAGGGCCATTTCCCCTCCACAACCCTGACTTCAATCACATCAATATCATTGAAGATGGTACATATGACATCCTCTCTGGTACTGACTGGGAGGGCGCTTCAACGATTCCGTGGGAGATATTGGAATCCCCGATGTTCAAAATAACATTCCTCGCAACAACTACAGGATCTCGGTCATTGACTGTCATATGTATGCTCTGCTCAAATTGGATGGAAGGTCCGTGATGGTTTTCACGACCTTGCCCAAAGCTCCAGAGGCTGAAGCTGGCAAATCAGTCACAATCTCAAGACCCCGCAGATCACGAGTACCTTGACCATCACTGCGATCCTCGCTGGTATCATCTTGGCCTTCTCCGAGTTATTGAAGATTTTGGGGCGCGTCGGTGTCGCAAATTCATCACGTGACACAACTGGCAAGGCTTGGATTCTGCTGAAAATAAGTCGAATTCAAAAATCAAAAAAATCAACACGCAGTTTTTTGCAGGACTGAGAAATACGGGAGTTTCTGCATTGAATGATATGGTTACCACATGGGAGAACGTTGTGGGAGGGTGTGGAGAGCCATGAGAAAGAGGTGATTAAGGAATAGGGGCCGATCTTCTAGAGGAAACAAAACTCAGACCAGACCCGAACAGGGTACAGCGCCTTTCACGGCAAGCACCTCGGCATTCCGTGCATCAATGACCGGCTCAGCTTCAAGAACTTTCGGACTTTACATAGCAGACCAGACTCCTCCATTAGTCCTCTTCCATTTATCTGTGACGAATGGCCCTTCATATGGATAACGAACGCTGACTTTCTTCCTCGAAGTAGATTATATACAACTTTATGTCTCGCATCGCGTCATGCTGCAGCCTTGTGGGCCCGTCTAAAGCCTGGCGCCTCTACAAGACGCTTGAATTGACCCCTCTGGGGGGGGGCACATGGATGGTAGGTCCAGCAGATTAAACCTATTACCGTTCTACAAAACCGCAAAAAGCCTGAAGATATGGACCATGGCATTGCCTTCACGTCAAGGCTGCGTGAGTAGCTCGCGACCTGAATCTTAGGTTCTCTGAAATGGGGTCGCGGAACGCGTGCCATGGACAATGCAAGCGATGACTACAAACATTCCGACATGTACGGAGACTGGAGAATTTTGTGCGATCGTTTGAATGCCCAGAATTCCACGGTTTCCTCCGCAAGATGCTGTATCAGAAATTGAGTTGGGTGTTCGGAAAGTTCTTCCGTCGTTCCCATTCCATTTTGCACTGCGCATACCAGATTGACCAAAGACATCAAAGGTCGCGTTCTGACGGATCTTAAGGCCGCCGTATCTACATTGATTTCGTTACATCTACCGCACATCACACAAGTCAGGATTCAGATGAGATGCAACATGTGTTGCCGCAGACAGCCAACCCTCGGTCTTCGACCAAAGCTACGCTTGGAATACTCACCACCTCTTGCGTCCACAGCGTGCAAGTTCGGAAGTGGGGCTTGATTGAAACAACTTGAGTATCCGCAGCTTTACGTGTTTAATTTGAAATACTCGAGCAATGACATCGGAAGACAAGCTCAACCTCATGGAGCGAAAAACCACCCACACAAGGCCCGTTCCATCACAATTCCCCTCACCTCACAACCGCTGTCTTTTCTGCCCCACAGCAGGCTCTACAAAATGAACCTGCCTTTTCATTCCACGAGAGCAGAAGCAAGATCTGTTCTGGGGCCATGCTGGAATTTGATGATCTGCACGGCCGAAATGAGCGTCGACCTGTTGCTCGTCTAGAAACTCCTGCGCAGACTTCGGGAAGCCACCTATCTTTTCAAAAAAGAAATTATTGGCGATCCCAATAGTCAGTATCTCTTCAAGGCTCGTAACCCAGAAATTGATGGATTTTCGGAAGTAACCACAGGACTGGCAGTAGTCATCTAGGTCCACACTCCCCAAATAATGGCCCTGGCCGGTCTGGAATCTCGCACCGGGAAACTCCAGGAGGACACGCTGTAGGATCTCTGCGGCCTTTGGCCGTGCACAAAGGATTGATCCACGGCAATGGAATGCAGCATGGCCCTGGACGGGCGTTTCATCTAGTTCGAAGAAGAACATTGCTGACGCGAGAATGGTCCTCACAAGATCATCCGGCACCACAAAATTCATTCTTGACAATTCTTCCAGCGAACTAATATCGTCTAATGCAGGGAGTGGGCCGTTAATTGCTTGGTCGAGTCGGAATACATCCGTTTTCGAGCGATGTGGTAGATAGTTAAGAGCTTCAAAAAACCCTTGTTCACCATCCATGGAAGGGGAGGACAGTACGGCCCGAATCAGACGGGGGAGAGCACCCTCTCGAATTTTGTCCAGCAACCCCACCGAATGACTGGGAGCAAGCGCGGAGAACCCTGTGCCGACAGACAGGAGGAGATCATGTCTCTTCGCCTTGGGCCAGATAATGCCAGCCTCTCTCAAAGCAATGGCAAGCGGATTGTTTACACGGACCCCACCGTCCTGCAGGGGCCCAAAGCCTGGCAAGCTTTTTGTTTGGAAGTAGCTTAGAAATGTCAGCCGCGGGACTTCAGAACATTTCAACAATACTGGACTTACAACGGCGCTGCGACACTGCATATCGCTCTGCAGAAGGATAAATACTGTTAGCAGCATTTATGAAGCATGTGGGGCATGACTTACGCATCACACAAGAATGGATTTTCTTGATCGTTGTGAGGGGCCAGAAATTCATAGGCAGCGTTCCCGGTGCGTGGGCCCGTGCCCCGGTAATTTGCCAACACGCACGCCTTCCCATCCGAGGTACGACTTGCCACAATGGCAACACGGCAGCCTGTCGGGTTGGCGGTGGCCGCATCGAATATGCGACGGCAAGGACTCACTACCTCTTTGAACGTCTGTGCTAAGCTCTGAGAATCGTATAGACCGTGTTTGGCCAAGTTGAACGCCGAGGCAAACCACTGAATCCAGCGAAAAACGGGAGTCTTTGAAGAACAACGAAAGATTTTCCGTGCAAGAGGCGGGAATGCGTTGAAAGATTGCTCTACAGAAGAGTTGTTGAGGAAGATATCAATCGCCGACAATGCGCCTGGCCGGTGGAGACTGTTAGCGTGTTGATAGGAATGAAATCTGCACTCTGCTTAGCAGTCGAACTTACCTACGCTGGTGCCCGTGCACAAGTCGGGAAGGTCTGCCATAGACATACCAAAGCGCTTCTCCAGCGCTTGCAGAAGCCCCAACTGGACTAGACCGCGGACTCCTCCGCCATCTAGACTGAGAATGACCGGGTGCTTGGTTGGGGGTAATTGACGAATAGTGATGTTGAACCTCTCCTCGCAAATAGGACATTGGGTGAGGTCGACATGATACTTCCCGGTGGCACTCAGCGTTCCGAAGATCATGACACATGTATCACAGAGGGCGTGCTTGCATGGCATCATGTGCTCTGGTGGGTGGCATAGACAAACAAAGCAAGTAGTGGTGGAGCGAAGGCCGCCCCATCGACGATAAAATCGAATCAATATGTCTCTTCGAATAGCAGATGATGTTCTCCGAGAGCTTAACTGTGCGAATTGCTGCTCAAATCGAGATGAAATCCTCTCGGAGTGCTCTTTGGGGCAATCACTATGCCAGATCTCGAGACAGTACTTTTCATAAATTGCAGCATATACCATGGCCGGTGGGAATCCTAGTACAATCAGCAATGGAATTGAATCAAGGCTGGTGTTCTTACCATGCATTTCAGGCGGGTAAGCGTCCATCAAGAAGGCCGAGGCTACAAAGCCCTCCATGTCCTCTTCTGAGTAGCCAGAGGATGCCACGTTCTGTAAGAACTGAAGAAGACAGTCGCCCATTGATTCATTCTTGGGATAACTCGTTCTGGCTTGAGCCAAAAGATCAAACCGCGAGGCACTTAAGCGCTGTCCGTGGACCTGGACATTGCATTTCCAGAACGCATTGAGATGAGAAGCTGAGAATAGGCGACAAGTTGACTCTTGCTCGGCATGGATTTTATGAAGTAGTTCAACAAGTAGGGCTCGCAGCGGGTCAAAAGTGACCGTGTCAGAGAGATTGCACCTTGGACGCAGATCGAGAAAGGTGAATCTCTCGTTGTTGGCAATAGTATGAAACTCGGGACAGTGTTCCACGATAGCTTCATCTCCACGTGGGTATTTAGTCAAGATCATGACTACACGCATGGAAGCGGGAATAGCTTGACTGCCGATTGTCAGCTGCCGATTGGGCTGTTGGAGCAGATTTTGTGCAGCTTTGATGTCGGACATTGAATCCAGAAATAGGCACAGAATATGGGTCCACGGAAGAATCAGTTGCCTTTTCACTTCTTGTTGAAGTGTTGCCGGAGAGGATGATCTCTCTGCATCTCGAATAGTGTATCTCCGGTGCTTCTTCGTTGAGTCCTTGAGCCATTTTGAATCACCCAGACTTTGTTCGGGACAGAGATTACTCTCGGCGAATATGATGGGATTTTCGGTATGGGCGGTTTTAGAGCTGAGGTGGAGACGAACGAGTCCCGCGGGCCCTTTGCGCGTGACATTGTTTTGAGGGAAAAGTGCTTGCAGGGCTTTCATTCGGTTTGAATTCCCAGCGAAGTAAATCAGGCATGGATACTGGGATTTGGGATAAGGCATCCCCTGCACCAGTTCTTCAAGGCGGCTGGTATCCACCAAGGACCAGGCACCTTCTTCATTGACGAGGTCAAGCCATGCCGCCATCGGAAGATTTGTGAAATTAGGAACGCAGAGTGAGGTTAGGTCGGCTTTTATATCCAAGTACCAATCTAAGAGTCGTAGGAAACGGACCTCAGTTATGTTGCAAGCCTCAAATAGGTGGTGTAGACTCTTCCCAGTCTTAGAAGTTGATGTCACCTATGCTCTATTAACGACGGTCGTTTAACCATACATTTAGCATTTGAGATGCTCTATCAAAGGTCATTCGGTTTTTGTAGCCTTCTGGACTTACTTTCATTACTTTGATTTACCAAGTTGCGGAGCCCATCAAAATAGATGCTCGGAGGTGGGTCAGACGAAATTTGAGTTTGCATTTAGGAAGTATAAATCATTGTACCGCCAGGTAATCCTCGTCTGGTTGAGTCTTCTTCCCATTCGCAATACCGTCGAAACCACCTTGGGTCACTATCTCTATGGTAGTCACACAGCACCAATCAAGAATACCCAAAATGACCAAATCGCGTAACATTCCTCTTACACGAAAGAATCCTGTGCATGTTCGAACCTACCCAAATGAGGATGTGGTCCCCTCTATGCCGAGTAGACATAGCCACATCAACGAGACGGCCTACGTGAGAATGCTAAAAGAGGAGGAACAGATGGACATGATTTTCAATATCACTGTCAGCGCCGCAAATTGGGCTCTGCTTGCCGGCTATTTGGTGGTTCCCGGCACATTCACCTCGCTGCAAAATTCGAATGAGGTGGAAAAGGTTTTGCAAACAAACAAAGCCGGTCGGACTGCTTTACACACGATCCAGAACCCCCCATTACTCGCTATTGCATGTTTACTCCTCGTCAGTGGCATTGCAGCTTTTGTATGGTTGCTACGATTTCCGAAACTCAGAGGGAATTACCTATGGCTGATCAATAAGATGTTTGCGTAAGTGAACTAACAATAACCTGAAAGGTTCCAAAAATGAACGCCCCAGACTGATATTGAAGTAGTCCTGTGACTTTAAATGCCGCTGCCGGGCTGCTGACTACAATAATTAATGTCTGCACATCTCAAGGGGGGGACTGGTCGGTAATGGCCATTGCAACAACTGTTGTCACTGGGGCAACTCTTGTCTCTTTCCTGACTCTTCTAGTGGTTTATAAGTTTTACAAGCTAGAGAGAGTGAGGCAGGAGGATGAGCTAGTTACTCATGCCAACCCATCACCGAAGCCCAATATCGAAATTACCGTTCGTCATTGAATTCCAGGCCCCTTTCTCCTTGGCTCCGTTCAGAAATCCTGCGGAAAGTAAGGAATGCAGTCTGCTATTAATTCTCGTCTCCTGTTCTCGCTCTGTTGAAATTCGCCGACAATTCTCCATTTTTGGTCTCTGAGAAGGTCGCGGCTGTCATATTCTTGATTTGTTTTATCTAAGATCAAAAATGATCCGGAACATGAAAAAAAAAGAAAAAAGAAGGGACACAAAAAGATGAGGCAGTACATAGTGACAAACCTATGGCATCATTTAGCATTTTCATTGAAAGTTAATGTGCCAAAAGAAATAATGCAAATTTCAACTTCGGATGAGTCACGGCGAATCATCGTACCTTACGTGCTCAATCCAGTATCCAGTGAAGCGGGAATGGATAGCATCCAATAAAACAATTGAAACAGTTTTGCATGTAAATTTCTTGACCAATTAGGCTATCCCGTTGTCTATGTCTTGATATTTCGGTAGCTCACTCACGTTCGCTTTGAACAGGACGGTCACCATGGTACCAAAAAGAGAGTCTCCTACAGGACCAAATTACTTTTATTCAAAATGCCTAGTACAGTACCGTAGCAGCTGCTTCTATTCCCTAGAGTATCGACAATTTAAACTGTTCTGGCATGTAGCGTCGACCACATGTCGCATCAGTCAAAGTTTGACGTTCAACGATGTCATGGCTGTTGAACTCGGAAAGGTTTAATCCAGCCATTATGAAAGACAGATTTAGGCAAGCACCACAGATTTGTGAGGAGCCATCAGAAATATCACGATTCTTTCCTTGCAGTCAATGTTGCAGGGCATGGAAAGCTTGTCCATCTTGCCTTCTTTTATAGATGAGCGGTTACATACATGAGGTTGAGGTCTTTTGTAACCTTGCACAATTTCAGTATGTTGACGGGCAAGAAATCGATTTCAGTATACTGTCTCTGTCTTGACAAGTCATTCTTGAGGCCTTGGACGTCCCATGGGAGGTTTGCCTAAAAAAGTATAAAATAGGCTCGACCGTCCACCTCCAGCTCTCATCAAACCTCCCAATCTCAGAGTTCCTGTCTTATCAATTCTTCAAAAAAAAGCAAAGAAGACAAAACACGGGATTATAACCGGTCGGAATTAATATCGACAGGATCTCGGCAATTAGACAAAATGGCCAACGATGAAATATCTTCTCAGAAGAAGAGAAAGCTTAGCAGTGCCAAAGACCAAGACGAAAAACCTCCAAACGCGGATAACCTCGCTCAAGTCCAATCCAACCTCTACGATAATCAGGAGAGATCTTCATCATCGCAAGGCCAGCCCCTGGTGAAGTCTATCGAGCCAAATGATACTGAACCAAAACACTTCACTTTTAATCCCGACATTGAAGCCAAATCGGGATCCACTGGACAGGAATTGCCGAGCGAGACAGGCCATCCACAGCGCCGTGATGACTTGTCCTCGAAAACGAGCAGTGATAATGGTTTAGACGATCCTGAGTGTCTAGCCAAGATCGGCTCCCAGTTTGACGACGTTGATGGCGATCATATTGTGGATGGATGGGGAACTCTGCGAAGATCAGCCTTCGTTATTCTCCAGTATGGACCGCGCCACGGGGCCAAATATAAGGCCAAATATAAAAGCGGATACAATACCAGCGGGATGAACAACATTTCAGATCGTGCTGAACGAATCTCTCTGCTCAAAGACGATGATGGTCGAGGGAGAAAAACTTGGCGATACTCAAAATACAATGTTGCCGGAATTTACGGTGTTGCTTTCGAAGAAAGAAAGAACCCAACTAAATCATATAAGTCTGACCCGTGTGTTTGGGTCAAGATCAAGTGGAAAAATCTGAGGCAAGAAGACGACGAGAAACTCTCAAGAAGCTGTTCTTGGATTCCAAAATCGGATTTCTCTCGCCTCTGTGGCGACAAGGATGCAACAGAGAGCAAGATTACAGAGGTGTGGGATAAGCAGGAACAACGCTATCTCCGCTGGCTCCGAAACGAACCTGGAAGGGGCAATGACGACCGTTCACCCACTCCTTGCCCACTGAACGCATACACGAAAGAACCCCGCGAACGACGATCCACTTCACGCTTAGATACGCCTGAGATGAGGGTTTCCTCTGCGAGGCGGAATGAGAGTGCCAATCCGTCGCCAACTGGGTTGACTGGCCGAGAGGGCTCAAAATCCAACCCTGTCAACCTTGACCAGGTCGAAAATCCCGACCTTCCTGCTTTCTCACGCTCAACGCCTGCTATTTCTGATTCAAATGGCAATATTCAGACTGGAACAAAGCGCGTTCAATTCAGCAAAAAGAGTTCTTGGAAAATAGAGCAAAAGAAGAGAACTGGAATGGCTTGGATGAAATCGAAAGAGGAAAAAAGCAAGTTATAGCTGATGCTCTCTATCTTTTCCACAAGAAAACGATGCTGGAAAATGGGGCGGAAGAGATTCCAGACACCCTGCAGGATTCAGCTGGTCACCCAGGGACAACACCTGCAATTGCTGCATATTAAAGGATCTGAGCTCTGCCTTGCTTTTCATGTCCGAAACTTGTGAAATTTGTTTAAAATGCGAGTCGATAGATAGATAGATAGATAGATAGATAGATAGCTTGCTTTATCACAAAATAAATGCAGTTTGCTTTCTTCCGCGCAATACCTTTAGTCTCTCAGTCCTCTCATCCACGGCTACTCGGGAAAACTTGTGGGGACAGAGTCATTCAATTCCGAAGCCGTATTCAGTGAATGGCCACATTGAAACATTGCAATGCATGGGTGCCTGTTGAAACAAGTAGCAATTATTTCAAACCAATTCCACATACGTCGACCACCCTGAAGACATATTGTTCTAAATTAAGGAACAGCAGCTAGAAGATGAAAGATTCGATCTCATACAAGAGCTCCAGATACTTCGCAATTAATCTTGGGACTTGGACCACGGTTAGAATAAGGTAGTATTTCATCTTAAGAATGCAGGAAAGTGCGGCATGGATGTTGAGAGTGGTGAGAGTGGTGAGAGTGGTGAGAGTGGTGAGAGTGGTGAGAGTGGTGAGAGTGGTGAGAGTGGTGAGAGTATCTAGAGAGATAGAAATCCGAAAAATAATCTGATTCACAAATAAAAAAAACCTGCATGCCTTGGAAATAGCCTTTCCGTATTAGAAATCCCCCTCGAAGCACGTAGATGAGCTGTTTACGGATTAATACATTCAATTTTGCTACATCGAGTTCAGGCTCGCCATTTCAACAGCAACAGCTCCTACTAGTCGGATCTGCATATTTATGGCTTTCTGTCTTCTTTAATTGTTGAAAATGACCTTCTCTGTTAGGAATAGGCTATTTGACGCAAACATCTGGTGAGCGCACAGGTGGTTAAACTAAGAAGAAAAATGAGTCAGGATTGTTCCATCACCTAATGCTTTGCCAGCTTGGTTACAGTAAGGTAGCCCTGCTTGTAAACCGAAATCATCGCGGTTTAAACAGCCTGGAAAGATATAAAGCGAAGGCAAGCCTCCTGAATCATTGCCGAATTGGAGTGAATTCATCGCCACCAAAATGCCCAGTACATCTGCAACAATCATTACCCCCTCACATTTCGCAGTACAGAATTAGTAAGTACAGTACTTTGAACAAAGTGTACTGCCCTTCGATGTCCACAGATTAACGGTCTTAAGTACCGAGATTTATCCATCCAATGGCGTGAAAAGCAAGCACACTCCTATTCCACGTGCTGGTGACGAAATCGCGACTGTTCAGAATACCAACGCTACTGGAGAGTTGGGTTGGAACAATGCTTTGCCTTTGTCATTGATCATTCCAAAATTTCCACTTCCATCTCCTATTGCATCCAATACACCTTCATTCACACAACCTGCACCAAATATGACCCTGGCAGGATCGGCAAGTGTGGCATCACCGCGGGCCACTCGATCTTGGACTCTCTGCTTTATCCTTTGTCTGGCATTCAACATAATTTTTGATCAAGAGTGACGTCGTGGGCGGGAATTTGTAGCAAATCATATTATGTCCACACATGTGCGCTACAACTCAAAATTTTGTAGCAAAGATTGGCCGAGGAGAACAGAACGGAATTGGCAACAGATAGGATACGGTACATAACCGACGCGAAAAGAACAAATATCCTTTCAATTTCGAAGCATATTTTCAATTAAATTGTTTCTGAGAAAGCATACTCGTAGCGCACTGTCGAAGCCGCTGGTCAATGTTCATCTCGAATAGCTGATATCGATATGGATGTCTGGCATATGTCTTCTCTTTTTATTGCGATATTGTGCGGCCATACTGTATTGAGTTGCTAGGAGGCTCAAAAGAAGGTGAGAAAGGTTAACCAGATATCGTCTCACGGGCTAGGAGGGTTAAGGCCGTGCTAGACTTCGCTGAAGCGTCACAACGGTTTCAAAGTCGCGCGCCACGAGGGCAGCCTAACAATGGGAACGGCAACTAGGCCACAGCAGGCCTTGACGAGGCTCTAAGTTCGTTTTCAGGAAGTGGTACACTCAACTTGTACGTAAAAGGATATATATAGTTGTTGTAGCCTGCATATCGTTCGCGAGGGTCAGGGTAAATGAAATAATCCATCCATCCATCCACTGTATTGAGTTGGCGAAGTGACATCTTAAGCAAGTCGCCTAGATGCCAGCTTCACAATATTCCTGGAAAGCATTCAACTTGATTGGCTATGTCTCATGGATACTTAGATACCACAGTACTGTTGAACAATGATCGGCTGAATGTCGTCGTAGCGAATGTATTCGGAGAGACAGGACTGTAGTTGGCAGCTCGCGATGGACATGAGCACGTGAGATATCAGTATCTTAAGAACGGAGCGAGTTTTTACGACCTACAGAGCACTAACATCAGAATCCTGGTTTACTTCAAGGGCACTCGACCGAATAGGATGATTCAGTTTTGAACTTTGAGTTCATCCAAGCTTGAGTTGAGCTGAGAAGGGAGGGAAACAGCGGTTGTGGGTTGAAAGAAAATAAATACCGTACCGTAGCACTCTCGTTTTGTATGGTTTATTTCCAGCTACAGAAATATTCGAAATCAGATATACCAATATCCTCACACGAATTAGCTCCTGAACCCTAACTTGACACGCGCTAGTCTAATTTTAGTTTTTCTCTCAATGATCCCTGCTGAAATGTGTCGTATTGGGTAACAGTGATCGATGAAGTCATTGTTATAATACTGTATCGATCCATGGAATGGCGTAGAATCTTGATTGCCAAAGTCCAAACTGAGTGATAGTTCTGGGGGTCTACTGTAGCACAATTCCCCTTCTTCTGTTCCTACTCATCGCAAGCAGCCTTCGCCCACGCTCTTTTTATACGCTCTTTTTACCTACAATAGAAGGTAGCGCTAGTAGATGGTCATTCTCAAACCGCTGGACGGAAAGGTGAGAAGAGAGGTAAATTTTCTGTCTCAAAGAGAATGCTTGATGAGCGAGACGCACAACTCGATGCTGAAGAAAACGCCTCTGGCCAGAAACCAGTTTGACGTGGCGTCTACAATTTGATGCGGTGTCCTTCCTCGACGTGCCATCAAGGCCCCTATTGTTGGCTGGATCCAATGGGGAAGAAACACTATCAACTCAAAACACACCATCTAAGGCGTCTAGTTACCCATGTTGAAAAAGGCGGCGTTCTAGAGTCGCACAAGGACGTGCCTGAAGCAATTCGCGAAGATTTATACATGGAGGAGCAACAGGAACTGGAAAAGGATAAGCGCAAAGGTGGCTATTCCCTTGGGACTGGAGCACCATATCCTCCTATCAATATCAACGTCCTGCCCTCCCAGGCTTCCGCCCTCGGCTTGGACATTCCAGCGACCAAGGCGGCTGCTGACTCAATGGCTATGAGCCATCTCGAGATTCCTGGACCAAGAGACGAAGCCGTCAAGGAGTACGGTGAGTGGCAGGCATCAAATGTCACTGATGACACTCCCAAGGCTGCATTCCGACATGTGTGTGACGTGATGCTCGACCATGGCCTTGACCTAGAGAAGGTCTACAAGGATCAAGACCCAGAATTTTTCATTGACAAGGGAATAAAAATGGGAATCGCTCGACGTTTCGTAGATGATACTCGCCGTTGGGTGGAGGATGTGAAGAAAACGATGCCTATTTATGAAATAATATAGAAAGACTCCGCTTAGCATTTGGCACCTGTGGGCGTTGGGGCGTTTCTTGAGTTTTGTTGGAAACATTAGATAATACTTCTCACCTTGGTTGCAATGAAGATTCAGCGTTCAACAATAGTTGGTGTCTGGTGTTGCAATTACATTGCCATGTTGCTATTCATTGGCCCAGTGCCACTACCGCTATATTTTCTAGAAAATAACCAATATGTTCAAGATCTCACTCTTGACTCTCTACTCTTCACATCATCAACAAAAGTGCAACCAACCCGATCTACTAACTTGGATGTCATCCTGCCACTATGACTCATCTTAAGTGGTGGTGCTCACCAGTCCTTTGAGGGCGATGAGATCCAGGTGATCTAGCTGTCAAATAAATTTCAGCCACGTAGTCCCCTCACACGGGCTGTGCATGGGCTAGACCCTGTAACAGAGAACAGCAAGACAGTAGGTGGGCTGGCTACACAAACATGAGCTGCATATAGTGCTTACCCTATCTGGTTTAGAATCACTACCCCGCTCCCACGTCTGTTACTATGTATAAGCGGAAGGCTCGCTCTTCAGCTACAAATAGCTCTTTAAAACAGCGTGATCCTTTCACGTCTTACATACTGCCACCTTGTTTAACGAGCCGCAAGAGCACTCAAGGTACTACGCCTTCAGATAGAGCACATTTTCGGTAATAATTAATTTTGAGTTTCCAGCATGTGCGAAATACTTCTGTCCAAGAAACATTACCGTGGTTGTCCGTCAACATGCGACACAACCTCAAGAACCCTGAACAGATGCGGCCCAGCAAGGCAGAGGGGGGTAGACTGTCCCAATCCTAAGGAGAGACCACTTGGTCAATCAACCCATTCCGATCAATGTCCAAACCATCGAGATGAAGGGTACAGTCGGCGTTGACCATGCGATAGTTGATATCTCCGATAACAGTCTGCACATGTGCCGCCGAGTCGATTTGAGATAGCCAGCATTGTTTGATGATCTGTCCACATGGAATACCAGAGACATCAGGGAATTCTTTCTGTGTAAAAAGTCTTTCTACCTCATCACTAGGAACATCCTCGTAGGGACTAGTACCTTGAAAAATCTCGTAAAGGGTTGATCCAAGTGCGAATATATCTGTGGTCACTGTAGGCTTATCTTTCCAGTGCCGCGGGAGGAAAAATCGGGTGTTTTCACCAGATGCTGACTTCGACCCATCCAGCGAAGAGCCAGAGAAATCAATAATTTTGATGTCAAAAGCCTTGTCCAACAGAAAGTTTCGCGGTTTTATGTCGCAATGAATTATGCCATTCCTATGTAGGAGGTCGACAGCTTCTGCGACTTGGTACGCCCACTTCGACCTTAGACTCATCGATATTGAATGATGACTCTGGAGATATGTCTTGAGATCACCATTTTCCATATATTCGAGCACGAGACCATCCCTTGAATGACCCACTAGCCGGACAAGCCTTTTATGGGGTCCAATGCGACGATAGATGCTAGCTTCTTTAGCGATGTCTAGGACGTGGCTTTCGATCTCAGAATCAGGAAATGGTGACTTGAGTGCAGTCCCATCATTAAGGAGCTCCACAATCCCAGTGATCCCTCCAGAGATAAATTGGCCCTGAGCATCCCTCGTATTGGAATAGTCTTTGTGGTGTTCAGTGTCATTTGAATTTTCCTCGCTCGCATTTACTGCTCCCTATTGTTCAATGGTTAGACAAGCCTTCAGCACAAAAGACATGGGGGTATACCGTACTGTTTCAACATCTGTAACAGGGGGCCGACCGATCAGGCGTGACAATGAAGGCATCCAGGATCGTATCCAATTTTTGAAAGTAGACCATGTCTTCACGAACCAACTCAGTTGTCCTATCCAAGGACCAAGTGCCATCCTGAACTTGGCACTTGTCGATGGCGGAGCATGCGGTTGGCAAAGATGACATCGTGCGACCAAGGGGCAAGAGAACCAATCGCATCACGTGATAACCATAATTCTGTCGGAGGTTTCGGGTGCAGGGAGTCTCAGTTACTTGGCAAGCTAAGTTAACTAACGTTAACCTATAAAATAGCCAATATGCTGACTAACACAGTGAAGAGTGGGACCTGAAGCAGAGGGTTATAGTGGTTGGTTGGTTGGTTTGTTCTGCGTACGGACAGAGTAGATCCAAATTAGTTTCATCACTCTTTTCACATAACTTAACCCGCTTAGGGAAGAAACATTTGGAGTAGTCTCCACCTGGGGAATGAGAACTTGGGGTAGAATATAATAGAATTCTCGGAGTATGTCCAACTGTCGTCGCTTTAACATACCTTTACTAGTTAGTACCAAGGGTTCCATATATTAGCATAAATAGTCAGACCTGCCCCAGGTTTTTAAACTTACACAACTTTCTTTAAAACACTTGTTCCGTTGACCACTGAGATAGACAATATGCCTATTATTCCTGCTCGTCGGTTCGCGATAGAGCGACTGCGCTCCGGCCAGTTGATCAAGATCATAGACTCCTCCGGAGGCCAAGTGATCGACACCTGGGCCTTTTCCATTCCACCAACACCCGCCTTTCCAAGATATATGTCAATGACTCACACTCGGTCGACCTTGCACAAACTTCTTCCATCTATTAACGATTCTTTTCTCGACAACAAACGAAATCCTATTATGACGATCGTCGAAGACACATCTCCTGGCATACACGACGTTCTCTTCGCCGCGTGTTCTCCGGAACGCTATCTTCAACTAGGTGCTGACAAAGAGCATGATAACTGCGCCAAAAATCTCCACGACGCCATTGAGCAATGCACAGAACCATCATTCAACCACATTGTGAAGTTTCTGGAGAGTGGCTGGATGCCTGATCCACTGAATTTATTCATGAAGGTGGATATCTATGGCAATATCTTGCAATGTTTAAACCCGGAAAGCAAGGCGGGGGGGTTACATTGTGTTAAGGGCGGAGCAAGAATGCGTCATAATAATGAGTGCTTGCCCGATGGATTTGAGCGCTTGCAATGGGGGCGAGCCTAGCAGCGCGAAATTCGAAGTTATTTGAGCTGGGAAAGTACTGTAGTTAGGTTTATACAGAATGCACCTTAAAACGCGGACGCGACCCAAGTCTGGCCCGCGACTCCCCTGACCGAGCGGTTCCATGCATTGAGCATTTGACAGGTAGTAATAACTTCGCGACCTATAAACCTCATATGACCTCCTATCTTCAAGCGAGACAGGCCTAGGATGTCCTGTCGGGCGACCTAGAGCGTCCCGACTATCTGTTCAAGTACGTCATACTATTACGGCAGACATCCAACCCTTAGTGAAGCCCCCACCTTAGCGGGGCAGTACCCATGTTGGCTTGGGAGACGGACAGCAGCAGCGGATGGCACTAGGCAGCAGTGTATAACACTTTCTTAAAAATTACACCATTCAAAGGTTTCACTAACGTTATGTAAAATACAACGTCTATTCTGGGAAGCGGAGGATCTACGACTGCACCATATTTGGATTAGCGTGTTTCAAGTTAGGGTTCAAGAACTAATCCGTGTGAGGATCTTGGTATAGCTGATTTCGAAGTATTTTGGCCATGTGTAATGTGGAGTCTTTTTTAATTATGTGTCAATGAGCAATGACTTCACACTGCCAGGATTCAATATTTCGAGCCATGTCGTGATGAGTCAGGCGAAGGGGTTTGAAGCGACATTTTGCCTAGCAGAGTTTGTTTTCGAAGGTGTAACAATACAATTTCATACGGCTTACTCAGTCATAAGTTGTTACAAATGTTTCAAAGCGCCGTGTGGAACTAGGGCTTCCACATACACATAGTTTTGAGTCAGCGAATTTTCTATGCCAGCCTCAGATTCTCGTCTACTGTACTGCTACCTGCTACTCTGTTCTTTCATTGAAAACAGACTCTGAAAATATGCTTTTACGGGCGGCAGTCCATAGATGGAACGGTAAATAACGACAATATCATGGCAAACGGAAGCATGCGAAAACAATCAGTTCTTCTCAACCCACACATATTTTTGGTGAGTGAATAGTTCTTGAATAAACATTGGGCTGTATGAGATGGTCATACCCTGAAACGTGAGTATTTCATTGATGGTTGATTTTTCATTGATGGTTGAATAGTTCTAAATGCACCACAAGTCCTCGAATTAGTAGACGGCGGAGTATTTGATCGTGAATCAACGTTCCTTGAACGATACCATCTCCATAAGGCCGCCCAGCATCACTATTTTAACAGGACCCTGGTGAGTGTTTCTGGCTGGCCATCTAAAATTGGTATTAAAAAGGTTCTTCAAATAATGGAGGTGAAATGAAAACATGGCTTTCAACGGCCCTCAGTTAGAGTTGGCATCCAGAAGTATCCTTCAACGTTTGCCACCAACCAAGGCACGCGAGTGACAAGACCAGCTGAGAGGTCTATAAATACCTCTAACCCCCAGTCAGCTGCTCTACAAGATAATTTCATGACTACTTTACACCCGAGTACGTCTTGTGTTTAAGAGTCCATGATAAGTTCCTCCCTCTTGACCCAGTACTGTGATTTCCACTGTACCGACATTTGTAGAATACATCGTGGAACGTGCAAGTCTCACACTGCCTGTGAGATAGGATCCCCATCCTATACTGTACCACTATTCCACCCATGCCAGCCGATCAAAATGACAAGACTTGGCCTGGCCGGTCCAAGTTTCTATGCGAACATCTCTCTCCGCCATAGCAACCCAACTGAGCTGATCCACTGTCGTTTCCGCCTCCAGATGGATCCCCAAGGCAAAAGCGCAAATATTCATGTCGCAGGTATGTGAGTCTCAGCCTGACTTGTCTGAAATTGTACTGACATTGAAGACGATGCGATTTTACTAGATCCATGCGCATTCGACCACTATGCACGAACGCAAGGACCACGGAGCTCTTTCCCGTCTCTTGGCCGGCATCAATTGCTTGCCGGTGGTCTTGAGCACTAAAACATGTGAGCCATGAAAGGTGTCGCCGATCTACTGGCTAATAATAGACAGTAAACCGTTGACAGCGCACCAGAGTGGAACTTGATTTAAGAATCCAACACGATTGTCAGTACTCGTCGGGCAAAGGCATGAACTACACCCCATTTCTGGTTCGTCGCTTCGAACCATGCAGCATGCCCAGTTGGATTACTGTGAATTATAGCAGCAGGCCAACAACAGGGGCTCCGCTTTTTGGAAAAATTGTTGTGCTTGAGACGGCCGTTCTTCATGGTAAGGCGTGATTTCTCGCGCCTTCTGCTGCGCCGGATCCGAACATTTGTGCTAAGATTTGTGCCCTAAAACACAAACGCTATTGCTAATATTTCTCCAGTATTGCAGGAACAGCCCATCGTCACACATGAACACTAGTGCGGCGAGTAACCTTTTTGCGCCGGATCAGACAGTCAAAAGGCCAAGGTTGCCACTACGACGCGTGCTCCGCGTCCTTACGCTTTCATCCTCACCGCCTTCACACTGTCAACAGCGGAGTCTGGCCGTACAACAGGAGGAACTCGCAGGAATCACGCTCTTTCCGCCGCCGCCGAAAATGCCCGGCGCAGCGCTACTTGAAGCGACAGCGCCGAAGAATGCGACGAATTTGAATACAACGTACTTGGCAATTTCCGGCCGGATGAGGGATGACTGTATAGCTGAAGAGAGTTGTAAGTAAAATCTAGTTGGTGATCACAAGGCTAATTGATCGCCCCGTCTCAAGCGTACACAAATACTTCCGCATGCTCGCAACTTTCCATTATTGGGAAATGAAGAGGCGAGGTTGCTCCATCAAATGCGGAGAATGTCCTCATCATTGAGGTATGGGAGAAATTAGATACAGTGTACACTCTTGGGACTCTTGACGAACAGGTGAGCTACAATCGAAACTCGTCCAACTGGAACAAGCCTTGCTGACTCGGATCGTATACTAGGAGAAACCCTCAAATTCATGTCGCTTGAGTCAAATATGAAGCAAGCAAATGTCTTGTCTGCTCGAGCCTCCCTATACCAATACGATCACATGCTGCCTGTCGACCAGGCCCATGTCGGTGGCCCATTCAAACCTTCCACTATGGCTACTGGTGGCATCGACGATGAGTCACCGGAGGGTGCATATCGTCCACCTCGGCCCTTTACCCCCGGTCGATCCTGCGCATCCGATCATGATTTGATATGTCTACCTGATACAAGACCCAAACTCCAATGAGCGCATACCTCTATGCGACTCATACCTGTCTTTCGGCATGTGATCACCCTCAAAGAGTAACCTCGTGGCTTGGATTCCCGGGCATCCATTTGGTGATCTTTCTTTCCCTCGGATGGCATCTGGCGTCTTTCCAAGACTGGAAATCCCGAAAGACACCGAACACAGTGTCACTATGAAGGTGGCTTCGATGTCCGAAAAAAAAATCGTCAAAACCCGTCCTGCTGTTGGGCCTCATGAACTAGTTCCTACATCCTGTACCCAAGTCCCCACCGCTAACCAGCGCTTATGTCATATTTGCTTTCGGAAAAGAAGCCAAGGGCGGATGCCTACTACGACTGCAAGCGAACCAGAGCACCACTTGCGAAGATCTCACCCAATGAAACTTCTTTCTAACGATGGTGGCGGGGATCTGTTTATCGGGAGTGGATTCAGCTGGCGCTTGGTAGCTAACTCCTCGTCTGCCTTTAAATGTGTTCTTTTAGCAGCGGAGTATGGTTGATCACATGAATTCGGATACACTGCCTCACGGAAAGCAATGGCCGCCAACCGCAGTAGCAGATGTCGATTTATAGGAGATTGGTTGGAATTATACCGTGTGTCACCAGCGGGAGATTGCCCACAAAGATGTGACGACTGACATATAGAAGGAGCCGATTGGGATTTCTTGATTGCATGCTTGTCCAAAACTCTCAATAACTTGGTTGACTTTCTGGTAAAGTTACTTTAATTCTCGCGAGTCGGTCCAGGATGTTGGCATTCTAATGTGTTCAATCTTGTTAAATGATTGACAACCACCGCCTGAATCGATGACCTTGACTAGGCAAGGAACAAAGTCTACGACGTCACTCAGTTTACTTGAGCCAACGATTTGTATGTTCGAGCGGCACCTCATCACATGCTTCTACGACTGGTGAGTCTGATCTTGACCAAATATTGCCTGACCATAGTGGAACCAGTGGAGGGGAATCCGATGTTTGGGTTCGACCATCTTAATCGAATTGGAGACTGTGTGCTAACTTCACTGAGTCAAATATACATACACTCAAGGTGTCTATGATGACCAAATTTCTAGAGAACTTCTCGTTCACTTCGGCGACCACCTCTAAATATCTATAGCTGATTTGAGGTCCATCGTTACTAGCTAACAGATACGAGACGGATACGAGGTTCTTGATTTAATCTTGGTTAGTAGATAACGAGTTAGTCATGGGAGAACTACGACATACAAGTGAGTCAGCGTCAAGATGTGGCAGTTGGATAAATTACCTGGAGGCCATTATACTGACAAATTATACTTGCGTGATCTTGGACTCCCATTTTGAGGCTCGCAAGAGCTGGTGTCGACATGGTTCACTATATCAACCAAGGCCCTTGATTTCGTTGACTTATACTCAAAGCTGCCAGTCACTGCATTTACATGCCCTTTTCTGTAAGCATTACGATTTGCCTATTTCCCATGACTGACACATGGATCTTATTTACCACATGGCACAAAGAATCATCCATATCACTAGCGCAAATACAGCACCCAGCAGATTTCACACACCCGTGATGGGTGGGTGTCTGTGGTGTCAGCGCCTACCGCCGTAGATAGATAGGATTTCCCTTCTGGGAGATCATGATCAATACAACTTCACTACTCGCTCGTTTCCTTTCCCATGATCTCTCTTCAGGTCTCTGCTGTGAGGCCCGACGACCTCCCCTGAGTCGACCGGCCATCATGAGCGTATGAGAGAGAGACGTGCTGCAAAGTAACTATATCCAGCGCTTATATTCGTCCATAATACTGTACTAACAATCGCGTGTTAAATATTCTAGGGTGAGCGACTTGTGGTTATTGTCGCACCTTGTCGTAGGGGCCTAGTCGTCGGAAATGTATATATCTCGCTGACAGTGTTATTCGTTGGAAACAGGGGTTTAGCAGTGTCCCTATTTCTACTCGCATGTCAGAGCGAGCAATTCTGAGAAGAAAAAGCAAGCTCGTCGACAAAACCACGGATATTTGTTAGTGCAATGCCATATTTAGGACTTCGGTATAATATCGAAAGCAAATAATTATTTCCAATTGGCTCAAAGGGAAATTCCAAGTGCTTCCTATCTGAAAGCTTTGTCGAGGCATGTATTGGCAATCCCTGGGGCATTTGCCGAAAGCAGTCAGGCAAATTTAATTGATATCGACACCTTTCTTAAAGGATCCTCTGTCAGTATAGATGACCAGAATTTCAAGATTGTCGAGGACTTCGTGGCCAGGTTTCCGGGAGATTCTCCCGAACACATCAGGTTAGAAGGCAACCACCACGAAATAAATCGATTTGACAGTGAGAATAAGGACTTCAAGAACGTGTCCCGATTTCTTGTGCAATGGGCAAATGGTATAGTGAACAATGTCTCCTTTTCTGGAAATAACCACGGACTTTATTTTGAACAAAATAAAATCCAAATCGACATGCAGTAAAAAGTATCCTCATATCATCTGCATACATCCTTTGGCCCTAAATATCCTTGTTCCTCGTGCCAAGTGATAGTTATAACACATAGTACGTAGCAGAAGCCATAAGGATGAAAACCATATTTGTCCACCAAGGTTAGTACTCCATACCAGATGCAGCCTTCTATTGAATGTCAAAGGAGTGTAGGCGTATGTAGTACACTGCAAGATGTCATTTTCTTATATTTTACTACAATAGCAACGATCGGGGTGACCAAAATTATACGAACTTCTAGCAAAGCTCCAACCACCATTTGACCCCAAAGACAATAGCCAGGATGATTAAATTTGACCACTTAGTAGAACTTCTCAACAAGCCATTTCACCACCTCCAGGAATGGTCTAGGTGATTCATTATTTGTACACCAGACAAGGTCGGATACAGTGAATCTGACCACCCGTTAACAGGGGGAACAAAAGAAATCGACATTAAATGAGGGCCTAGCCGTACAGGAAAACCTTCACTATGTCGCAAAAAGCATGAGACATCCTTGCATATACCCGGTCCACGATCCCTAGGGCGGTTCTAAGCGTCGCAAGGCTTCCCAAGTAAGACACTCATTGTATTTTCGCCCTCATTTGTAGCCACGATATCGAGATGGCCATCACCGTTGAAGTCGCCCACTGCAACACCAGCCGGCCCGGACCCCACGGGGAATGCGGTCTGCGCCTGGAAACTTCCTGATCCAGTCCCGAGCAAGACGCTCACTGAACTGTCGCCATTCGTAGCCACAATATCGAGATGGCCATCTCCGTTGAAGTCGCCTACTGCAACAGCAATCGGCCCGCTTCCCACAACGAATGTAGCCTGCGGCTGGAAGCCCCCTAATCCATCACCGAGTAAGACGCTCACAGTATTGCCAGCGTTATTCGTAGCCACGATGTCGAGATAGCCATCTCCGTTGAAGTCGCCTACTGCAACACCTTGCGGATTGGACCCCACGGGGAATGTGGCCGGCGCCTGGAAGGTCCCCGATCCAGTCCCGAGCAAGACACTCACTGCGTTAGCGATGCCATTCGTAGCCACGATATCAAGATAGCCATCTCCGTTGAAGTCGCCCACCGCAACACTTGTCAGCCCGGACCCCACTGGTAACGTAGCCGACGCCTGGAAGCTCCCGGATCCGGTCCCGAGCAAGACGCTCACTGCATTAATGCCGGGATTCGTAGCCACGATATCGAGATGGCCATCTCCGTTGAAGTCGCCCACTGCAACGTCGGACGGCCCAGACCCTGTGGGGAATGAGGTAGACGGCTGGAAGCTCCCGGATCCTGTCCCAAGCAAGACGCTTACTGTATTGCCGTTGGTATTCGTAGCCACGATATCGAGGTAGCCATCTCCATTGAAGTCGCCCACCGCAACACCTTGCGGGAAGCTCCCCACGGGGAATGTGGTCTGCGTCTGGAAACTTCCCGATCCAGTCCCGAGCAAGACGCTCACTGAATTGTCGCCGAGATTAGTAGCCACGATATCGAGATAGCCATCTCCGTTGAAGTCGCCCACTGCAACGCCATCCGGAAGGGACCCCACGTCGAATGTGGTCTGTGTCTGAAAACCCTGGAAACTTGTACATATGCAGCCGCCTACTGAGCAAGTGGAGCCAGTAGGGCACTATCGAAGCGTGAGAATTGATCACGTTAGCAATAAGAACCTTGGCACAATAGCAACCCTCCTAGAAGTACGGGTAGGCCCAACTCACGGTATTCCCACAATTGCCACAGTTATTTGGATTGTTCTGGAGGTCGGTGCAAGCGCCACCACAGCAGGACTCCCCTGTCGCGCACTGCAACGTAAAGGGTTAGTGGTTTCGTTTCGTGATTTCGCCTCCATTGGCAACGGAAGATCACACACAGTGTTCCCACAAGTACCACAGTTACTGGGAGTGTTCTGGAGGCTGGTGCAAGCCCCATTGCAGCAGCTCAGTCCGGACGCGCACTATCAAACACCACTTAGCCGTCGTCACAATATGCGGTCTGCGGCCATCTTACAGAAGGATCACAACCTGCGGTTGGTATACAAATGCAGCTTCTATTTCATATCAGCTTTCAGATGGCTGTGCAATCCCACAACGATCGAGAAAGAGACTAACGACGTAGTTTGTCCAACGAGAAGTCCAAGTAAACTGGGAGATCCACTACCGTTGTCGCAGTAACCTGATTGGTCACCTAATCCTCGACACTAAATCAGTATGTCAGTATTGATAACCTCTTCGGATATCCATGGATATATCCTACCTTGGCGTCACAAGCGACCGGGTCGCAACCACCACCAGCACCACCACCACCACTACCCCCAATCACAGCCCCAATATTAATCCCACCCACATCTCCATTCCCAATCCCACTTGGACCACCCAGATAGCCGTAGCCGTGGCCCGGGTGACCCCCACCCCACTTTTCAGGAGCATCTTCTCCGGGGAGTGCAGTGACCAAAGCACAGCACAAAACGGTAAGAAGAGCGAAACGCATTTTCGCAAACTCGTTTGCTTGCACGATTAAAAATTGGTATCAAAAAAATATCTGTTTGAACTGGGCGTATTGCTCGTTGTAATTGAAAAAAAAAACAATTTGTCCTACTCTCTTAGCGGAGGGGGTTTTAGATGTATGCCCACGGTCACCAATTAATATCTAGGTTTTGTGGTTATAAACGGAATGCTTGGACATGGTTCCTAGAATGCATAACTCGCATTTTCTCTTTACGAACGAAAATGTCGAAATCAAGGAGGTACTACCGGCTTTATGGTATGCGCAAAATACGTTGGCGTTAAATCAAATTCCGGCAAAATATCCCGGTGATCGGAATAGCGTCCTGTGGGATCTGATTGGCCGCCCGTGCGTGCTCCCTACAGCCGTCGTATTCGTGTCCCACGGAACACCCTCTTAAATCCTCTTTGAGGTTTTACGCCCAGATTCCTAATTCCTTATCAAATTACTATCCAGTGTGAGAGACCAATTGCAAATTATGAAGAAGTAGCGGAGCTTTATACTATCGAGAACATCATAATATATTTCTAGTTGCAAAACAAATGAGTGGCTCTATAATGCCTTAATATTCGGTATCAACAGTATCATTCAAGATAATTTGATATAAAAGGTATAGCGTAACGTCTCTGTGCCAATGCGACTTGGATTTGCTTCGTACAATGTAGGAGAATGTACATTGCGCGGCCGCCTGTACTAGGACAGGGGGTTCTTACTACTTCTTAGCATTCCTATCAAAAATGTGAATCCAAGATTTCAACCCAAGAGAACTCGATGTTAGGACGCAATTCCCTGGTAGTGTAGAACACGAGTGAAGTACATCCTAGACATTAAATCTGACGATATTCAGAGGATAGTCTGGTACTGCTTTTGTCGACTAAACGATAAAATACCTCTAAGGATACTTATCTACCTCGACCTACTATTATGTTCCAAGGGCTTCGTGTCTTCTAAGCCTCTACTAACGTATCACTAAGCATAGAGCGCACCCTTAGCGGTGTAGTGTCGCTTCTCTGTCTTTGGGTGATTAAATATAAGGGGTTAGGACTTAACCAAACCGCCTTCGATATCGTGGAATATAAACGCCCTTAAAGATAGATAACAAGTCAAAATTAGAAGCGGATCCAACCGCCCGTTGCTATATACCTTGGGTCTAAGTTGCCTAAAACGGTAGGACGCCAAGACACCGCCATCCTTGCGTCTAGCCCTCTCCTTTATAGGGCTTTCAGGAATGACAATATATCTGACCCCTGTAGTAATAATATCTGATTCGCCCGGACGGAGCCTAGCGCCCCCTACGTACCTACGATCCTAGACATCGTTAATGACACATATAAGTTTGAGTGTAAGGCGTCTATTTCTTAAAGTATCCTATAGGCTGCTCCTTCTAGACTGGTTGAGCGAAAGTAGATATTCTATCCTTCGTATAGAGAAAAATTGAGTTGTACATTCTTGGAAATACGTCCAAGCATTCCGTCTATGCCTACAAAACCTAGATAGTTAATTAATGACCGTGGGCATACATATATATTTCCCTCCGTTAAGAGAGTAGGACAAATTGTTCTTCATTATAACGAACAGTACGCCCAGGTTAAACTGATATTCTTTCCCTACCAATCTTCCCTTGTCCAAACGAACGGCCTTGCAAAAATGCGTGAAATCGCGAACTGAGATACGCTTGAAGAAAAGTCAAATTCAACCACCGCGATAATTGTTCAGGTGGTGAAATGGCGCGTTGTGTCTTTCTGGCGCATAGTGAAATTTAAGGATCCCAACTATTTCTTGAGGTGAGATGGTCTGTTGTGATGTGCTTGATGGATGATCAAATTGAATCACACCGACCATTGCTCAGGTCATAAATTCAGGTGAAATGGAAGGTTGTGATGGTTTTATTGGGTGGCTAATTTTGATCACTTGATCTATTCTGGAAGTGGTAAAATGGTGGCTTGAGATATGGTTAGAAGGTGGTTAATTAAATCGTCCGATCAATTTTGGAGCTGGCGAAATGGCCTGCTCCGATGTAATTAGTGGGGTAGCGCTTATAGAGCGGGACGTATAAAGCAGGAAAATATTGATAGAGGTATCAAACTAACCAGTGGAACTGGACTGATAAAGATAATTAACTGATGGATACTCACAAGCCTTCTCTGGTGTAGTTTTCTCCCTTGCCTTCATCATTGTGGTTATCCCACCCTGGGCATTCATCGTGTATTCGCCACCCTCATTTCACTATCCTATATATTCTATCCTGATTATGCTATCCTGGTCATACTACCACCATCTGCATTGCACCAGTGGTCTATTCCAACCGGATTTTTCTGCTCAGCTGTGTCCATCTGTCTGTTCCACTCCCTATTTTCTGCTCAGAAGCATAGGGAACTGCGAGATTACTTGTTACAGCCTGAGACGCAGTACGTTAGTACGTTGCTGATGTCATAAATCTGATGAGGTGGCTGGGCTCATCGACATGCCCAGCCAGCAGCTTAGATACCCATTCGCTCCCACTGGTTTAATTCGACGTACTAGATCTATTGAATGTGTGGATAAGATTCCTCCATTTGTACGTCTTGTAGGCTGGACCATCGCGGATCTACGGGGAAGAGTGAAAGGCCAGACGCGACTTCTTGATCATCTCCTCTTCGCAGGATTTTGCCGAGTTTGCCGGTCGGATATCGGGGGTACTTCCGCGGGCTTTGGCGATCAGTCGGTACCGTGGTGGTATCCGGACAGTATTATCAGGGGAATGGATACATTGCCGCGTTAAGTCCGAGCCACCAGGCTTAGAAACAATCGATCGAACGGTGAAGCCTGTTGAACAAATGTTCATGGCAATATGTCAAGGCGTAAGCAAAAGTCCATAGTGCTAAGCTACGCAAACGACGGTGATTGGAGCTCCACGATTACAAGACGATCATTCCATCTTTGATTAACTCAACTTGCTCACATTACAACCTCCTTTACCCCTCCCTCCCCCCTTTTAAGTCCTAGGTATCCCTTCATTTGACTTATGTTCCACGTATCTTGATTTGTCTTATATTATCAGTTTCCCCACAAGTGTTTTTCTTTAAGAGCATGTGCCGCACAGGCAAGTGACAGCAAACACTTTGTGCCCTACTGTTTCATTGCGGTCGATCACTTTATCGTTCCAAACCGCAGCTATTCGATACTCCTGGAAAAGTGTGAAAATTACAATGTATTCCGAAGCCCTCTAGGTCTCGAGTGTGTCTTAGAATCACAGGCTTGTCAAGTTTTGCCTGATACTACGATAAGATACAAGCGGAATGAACACAGATCCTAGCCGTTGGAATGGGTTTCTTGTCTGTCTCTTAAAACAAGAAAGGATTGGGAACGTTAGTTAACCATTTTAATCTAGGAGAAATTCCCTCGACCCTGTCTCTCACACTTCGCTTTAGTTTTCCCGAATCGGAATGGCAATATATGGTACGAATCGTCGCCCTCTCTCGCAAATAGCCATGGAGAACATTTTGACTTTCAAATCAAGAAAGTTTTTAAGAATGCTATCGATATGTCAATCAATATTGACTTGAACTGACTGAGCGGTAATTTTATAACAAAGAAATACCTGATTGCCACTGTCTCCATAACTAATATGAGTAGATACGATTGAGCCCGGTCAAGGCTTTAAAGTCGGTGGAATCAACCCGATCGCAATGAACACAAATGCGACTTATTGTTCCGCGGGTGAATCTGAAGATCCAAGTCAAGCGAATGGACCAGCGATACCGGTTTCTGACAACGAACTCCTTCATCACAAAAGGGTTGCCGGGGATGATAGACACTTCCTGGATGATATGAAAGGAAAGAGTGAACTACTGGTAATTAAGATACATGCAAATTGAGAAAGTACTACGAAAAGAGGCTGCAGGACCCACTGCAAGTCAATTGTCGAATTATTGCGAAAGCATACATAAAGTTCATCGAACCACAAAAGCAGGTGAAATTTCCCTACAACGGTCGAAGAGCTGGGTTGATAAATCCCGAAAAACCTAATCTGGAGGAAACAAAGCCTCACTGGTGGCCGATCAATATCCAGCATCGTGAGCCAGATCATCTTCTCAAATATGGTAAATTAATCACTGGCGATTCGCAGTGTTGGAGAGCGCTGACAGATCGAACATAGAGAGAATCCGGCTACTGATCCATATACTTTGTGATATGCGAGACTGACATTCGGTCACAGTTCGGAAATTCAGACAAGCCGACCAATCTTCTCGCCGCCTGATACCTCGCGGGCGACTGGATGTTTTGGATACGATCTACTACGTTCGAGATCAAGACGAAAGAATGCTCCAAGGGGAAATTGGTACTCTCTATATTCTACGTTTTTTATGAAGCCATCACTGAACTGATTTGAACTAGATAGACAGAGTCTGGTCTGTGTCCCTCAGCGGCATCTTCGCATTGCCTGCAGGATTCGAAAAGAGTAAGAGGATATTCCATGAATCCAGCCGCAAAGGAATGCTGACGCGACAATTCGAAGCCCCGCAGGACCAACCCTCGTCCCCCCCCCCTTTCTTCGGACATAGACCTGAGTAAGCAACCGGTTTTCAACCCAAATTTCTGCGCAGGAGTTCCCACTTTGCTGTCTTCCTCAACTTCGCCCCAAGTGATACCCCGGACTGAAAACCTGGTTGATGGCCCCGGAACCGACTCCGATGCATCAATGATCTTCTGCGACTTGCCTGGTTTCCACCCAGGTTTTAGCGAAACTGGATGGCAGTATCCCCAATATAACCTCATAAGGATTTTGCCACGGTAGCATAAATGGGTACTTGGAACCTGGAACCTACGCTCATTCACATGCCTCAGCTTTCTTTGTCTTTTTGTAGCTTCTCCAAGCGTAATCTACCCCTTAGTTCCAGTCAAGAGCAGGACGAGGATGTCGTTTAGCTTTGCTAGAGCAATCTTTTGGGGCTTTTGAGACATCACGAGATATGCTGGGAGGTGGGGTGGCAGTGGCTGAGATGGAGCTTAGATAGCGACAAATATCGGAAATATCAGTCATTTTTTTCAATGTGTTCCCAGATGTATTCAAAATTGAGATTTCTTTATTCGTGAATTGCAATTCCACGATGAGGCATCGTACGAGACAAATTCACCGTCCATCCTCCGTAATTTGCGTATAATGACATCGATATAGTCTCTATCGATGCCATAAGCTGACCGGTGGAATGATGGTCCCATTAAAGAGCTCTAGGAGAAAACAAAAGTTAGCCTCTATCCTCACATTGGGAGAAAGCTCACGTGGAACCAGTCGTAGGTAAGAAACACTGCCGACAGCATACAGATCCGGATCCTAAGACCACAGTTAGACCAGGAATCCACAGTTAGATCAAGAATACTAGGTCAAAAGGGTCAGCATTACATACTACAACAATTGATTGGCCTACCATAGTGAGAAGCTGATCGAATTATTGATGGTGTATGTAATTTTCGAGAGTATAACAAAAGGCCCAAGACAGAAATAGCCGTAGCGGGCCGGATAGCTTCGATTCCACTTCCCAGATGGCGACTATGAACTATCTTGTATGTCATGTTCGTAGGTAAAACAAAGGTTTCCCCTAGGTTAGTCCATCAATGTAGAGCTAGTTGTATACTGTCTCATGTAGTTTGTTCTTTTTGCGTAGGGATAAAAGAAGGAACAAATCCTTGAGAGTCAGCCAACGAGTCACGGCATGTGTTTAAGCTGAACACGAGCGCTTACAACGCACAGAGTCCTGATCTATGCAGCCGGGCCGTGCACGCACTCAGAGTCATTTGCCCCTAAAGCTCAGCGAGGGTTCACTAAGGTGCGCCACTGGCTAGCGTAATAAGTTTGACAGACGAACAGGTTCGTCCATTAAAAAGAGAACATTTACCAATAAAACACCACGAGGCGTTAGGAGAATCTAAACATTATTAGTGTGAGCCCTGCCTGGGCCAAGGTGAGATTGCCCCCTTAGCCAGAAAGTGCGCACAAAATCCAAAATTTACACTGGTGCGACCGTGGTCGGCGCTATGGCAGTTCGAAATTTGAGAACCTGCTTACCACGGTAGGCGGAGCCAGTTTGTCGGAATACGAAATCATTGAAACCCTGCAACCAGGTAGAGCTAAGTTATTAGGCAAATTCCTTCTACCAAGCGGGGAAACCCCCGTGCTCATACGCAGATGGGCCGAGCCTTGGTTTCTCTTGCTTCCCCCGCCGGTCTACAGTAAGCAAGGAGCAGGCACGCATATTATCCTAGTAGGACTTGACATGTACCGGCACATTTCATACGTATGCAAGACGGGCGTTCATACCACGAGCTGCGAAAATCTTTTAACGGATATTGAACGACTCTCCTCGATCCGCCTCTCATGTCTCTACTAACCTCCCTCAAAAGATGAAAAGGAATTTGTGGATAGCAGCCTCTGCCAAGACCTGTGCTACGGTATACGTTGCAGCTTATCCGCACTCCCCAATCAAACTCCAAAACCGAAGGGGTCTTAGTGCCCCGCTCTTAGGCTTGAAGAGTTCAGGCCACACCCCACTCTCTCCAAAATGGTACTTTTGTCACCGGGCCGTCTCATCCGTCCGAGTCTAGCTTGTTTAGCTGGACGCTGTCCTTCGCCGATCAGTGATTCTTTAAAATTAAGAAAAATAAGAGTATCATCACTAGTTATGCATTTCTAGTAGCCAGCTACTTCTCACGGAAAAAGAGCATCGGTCGGAATTAACTCCATAGGCGGATTGTGCCCTGTCAGTAAGTGGACCTCTCTATGCTGTTAATAGGATTGGCAACGCAAGTGAGCGCGCAAGGAATGGCGATGCACGACTCTTGCGACGAATTTAACATCCTTTGGATTTTCAAGGAACCCTGGCTAACCATACAGGATACAGCAGTCAGTCCTACGACTCCGGTTCCCAATCCCGATTTTGCACATATCAACCCTCTTATGGAAACTCCAGTTGGCACTCTAGGGAAAGCTTTCGAATCATACAAGAATAACAATCACAAAAGAAGCATGCGGCAGGGCAGTGGCAATGAGCGATTTTCGAAATTTGACCATACAAGCCATTACGATCTGACATGATACTGTCGGGTAATTCCTCTACAGGTTTGTGATATCGCTTGCATTTCGTAATTGGGAAAGGTGGGCGACAGCAGGCCAAGATCGACTGCCTAATTTCTGATATTATCCACAGTTCGCCTCAATAATCCCCATGATAAGTGATCGACGGTACTAACGCGAGTTGTCTCACACGATCGATGATGCACGGACACGGCTAGTACAGCCAAGGCGGGCTATCGGATCCCATGGCGCCAAGGCGCCAAGGTGGCGATGCTCGATTCTCGATTCGGCTATGTCCAAACCGTTACAGACGATTAGCAAGGGACAACCTTGTGTTGTACTTGTACTTCTATCTAACCTTAAGGTGAAAACCTCTTGCTGTTCTTGCCTTGGACAGCAACCAAAAATGGATGACATTTATTTTCCCTCGCCCTTTCAAGATGATGTTTTCGAGTTCTCCGCCGTCGAGTCCACTTCAACTGGTTCTAGCCAGCCAGCCACAAGGAACCGAGGGCTTCCAGTTAACTTTCCTGCCTATGAAGATTCGAGTGCTTCTCGCGGTGACATAGGCAGCGTCAACTCCAATAGACCGTCGAATAGGAAACTTCCTATCCCCCGAGTTTCATCGCCTTACCACTTTACTAGCGGTGGACGGGTCAGCCGAGCGTGTGGAAACTGTCGCGAGCAGAAAGCCAAATGTAGCGGACACGAACCAGCTTGCCATCGATGCCAGGATGATGGCCTGCAGTGCTCCTACAGCGAACGAAAGCGCGAGAGAGTAAACAAGTATGTTTCGTGTCATGGTACTGTGGCCTTTCTCACACCACACAGGCAAATAGCCGATCTGACCTCCCGAGTTCAAATATATGAGACTCTCCTACACACCCTCTATCCTCGACTAGACCCTCCATCTGCACAGCATGTCGATCAAACTTTACACACTGTAATGATCTGACTCCAAATATCTCATCCTTCCATATTCTGAAAATATCCAGCTTTCTAGTCAAGAGACGCCCTGTGGCCCTCAGGCCGCAGCCAGACCCGTCCCTTTGCTCGGTAATTTGGCTTTCGGCGAAGAAGAATTAAGCCACAGTAATATTGTGCAGTCGATTGGGATCATAGGCCAGCTATCAGGGATGGCCTGGCTGTACCGACTCAAATGTCATATCCACCAGAACAGTTCAAAGATTGCAGGGGATCATCCGGACTGGCCTTCCATCTCCTCTGTGAACTATTTCCTAGATGATACTGAATTTCTGATGTCAGCTGAAGTGGATCTCTCCTGGTGGCCCCCACAGACAACTGCTGCTCAGCTTGTCCATCTCTATTTCCAAACCGTGCATCCCGCTTTTCCTGTTCTTGGCAAGCCAGTTTTTCTGGACCAATACCAAAGATTCTATTCGAGCCCAAATGCGCAACCTGGAAAACGATGGCTGGCTTTGCTGAACCTCATTTTTGCACTCGCTGCAAGACACTCAACAATAGTGAACTGTCAGACCTCTTGCGACAACAATGACTGTTCGACGTATTTCTCTAGGGCATGGCGACTTAGTACAGGTAGTTCTGCGCCGATAGACCATCCAGACTTGCAGCAGGTACAAATTGAAGGCCTAACAGCCATGTACCTTCTCTCTGTGGGCCATGTGAACCGGTGGGTTGCCCTTGTACTTCTTTATGGATGTTTTACCTAACCAGAACGTGGATTTATTCTAGGTCATGGCGAGCTATCGGTAATGCTATTCGATCGGCTATCACGATGGGTCTTAATCTCCGTATTAGCACCTCCCGTATTAGTCAACAATCAAAAGAGACCAGGTACCGACTATGGTGGGCTCTCTTCGTGCTAGAGACAGATCTATGCGTGATGACTGGACGTCCACCTAGCACGAATAGGACCGACTGTGCAACGCCACTTCCAGCCTCCTTTCAACAAGATAACTGGGATACTAGTAGTGTTCCAAAACGTTCGGTGGATCCAGAAGCTCGGAACACTATTATAAATCCTATTCCGTCAAATGGTTGGAGGGCTTCCCTAGGGGGGGACATGGTGATCGCTATGAAGCAGTCAAAACTAAGCGAAAAAACGCAATTCAAAGCGCTCGAGCAGGAGCTAGCTGAGATTCCTACGCCTAACACCTCGCTCTACTTCTCTTTCTTGGTGGACTTGACGTTCATTATGCGAGAGGCTATTGCCATCTTGTATGCCCCAGCCGCAGCTCAACGATCATGGCACAATATTGAAACAGCCGCCGCTGCCCTCTCTGAGAATGCCGACCGTTTTCTTTCCCGTCTGCCATGGGATTTACAATTCACGAATTATTGTCTAAACCAACCTTTCATTCGTCAACGCGTCAGCCTGGCTTTCTACTTCTACTCCACGAAACTCATCATTTCTCTTCCTTGCTTCTGCCACATGGCCTACTCGCCGCGAAACACGGAATCACTCGGTCCTGTATGCGGTACCCTAGCCACCCAATGCGTTGATGTGGCGGGCCAAATGCTCAACGTTCTCCCTGACTCGTTGGACATGACTCAGCTATATGGCTTCCCCCCGTGGTGGGGTGTTTTCCATCATGTGATGCAGTCTAAGGTCGTTCTTCTGGTTTACTTATGTACTCAGAACCATTTAAACAGTGAAGAGATCAACAAAATTTCGGAGACAGTCAAGAAGGCTGCGCAGTGGCTGAAGAAAATGTCTTCACATGATCCATCATCGAGCCGGGCTTTACGTATCTGTCAAGACCTGATCTCCCGGCATGTTCCGGAACTTGGGCTGATACTTAGTCTCGAGGGCTGACTATCGATCAATTGTGGCTTGAAAGGATGCACTTTGCCTGGATGCTATATGGCCAATTGTCGAGTGCCTCTGATTTCTCGGAAATGGAGGCATCATTCACGGCATTGACGATCCGGGCACTGGCTCGCTGATTTGGCTTAGTGATAGATTATCATGATATGAGAAGTAAAGGCCTCCAGTTATATTGAAAACCAAGGCGACAAAAGGACAGGCATGTTGGGAAACGATCATGACAGATTTAATATTTGATACAGTAAATGTTCTCTTATCGCAATAATTCCGGAGCCTACTGTATTCGTTCACTGTGTTCTGTCTTATAGTAACCAAATATCCCATGTGTAATTCGGGAAGAGGAACGTCTAGTTTCTGGGCAAGAAGTCGTACTGTAGTGATACATCGTACTTCACCGTGTTCCAATTCAGAAGAAGATTTCTTGTAATCTGAGACAAGAACCTGAGGGTTTATGTACAGTGTCCAGCTTCCAAATTTATTTCCAATCAATCATGGTTACTTCGTAGAGAAGAAGAATAGAGTCCGGTGCATAATATGATGTTCAGAGGGCAGGATAAACCACTGGCTATGTTGTCAAGACGGTCCGCATGGTGAAGCAAGGGCATAGATTTGTGATAATCCAGTAAGAAAAGAGATACCGCAGGCTTATTGCAACAACGCTTTGATTTTTCCTCATCAAAAAGAGAAAGTGATTTGTCTAAAGTACTTAAATTTGCTGATCTACCGCGCAATATCTTTATTTTCCGTCTCACCTTCCTCAGGACCCATGAATATTCAAAAATGCCCTACCTTATCCTATTGTGACTTGCGAGCGTTTATAGACGCGTTTCCTTGGGTGATGCTCTGGAAGTCATCGACTATAATGGCCAGTGTCTAATATATTCTGATGATAACTATGGGAGCACGGGATACTCCGCACCTTTCAGTCTACTCGACGGAGATGACTCCTCAAGTACGTAAGCGTTTAATTTTGATTTTCTAGAATAGTGTTAACGGCCATTTAGAATTAAGCGAAGTCATAAAGGGCACTTACCGAGACGAATCTGTACATAAGGTAGATTGCTGTGGCACGGAACACGGTCAGCCAACTGTATTGATTGTGGTGAATACCAATGGCCGAGTCATATTCTCTATTTAAAATGGAGATAAATCTGTATGTACGCTGGACAATGAACTAAAGGTTGGAAGCCAGTGCAGTGCCTTTGGCCCAGGCTTTACAACCTCCTCCTCCTCATCCTCAAGTTTATTATCTTCTGGCCAAGGATCTATATCCTCCATTTTGGAATCACTGGCACCTTCACTGACATCCTCACCTCACCAACGCCCCGTGGTACAGAGATGAAAATGATCATAAGGGGTATTGCTAATAGGATGCTTTAAGAGTAAATGTACGTCCGAGCACCACTAGTGCCTCCAGGGTTCATAACAGTTACAGAAACCGCACTAGTGCCAGAAGGTGCAACTGCACTAATCAAGGTGTCGCTGAGGACACTGAATGCAGCTGGGTTAGTCCCAAAAACGACATTAGTGGCTGTCGTGAAACTCCTTCCAGTAAGAGTCACATAATTGCCACCGGCAATGGCGCCACCAGTAGGAGACACGCTAGTAAATGTCGGCCTATCGACATATAGAAACATGGCGCCGTTGCTAGTGGCAGAAGCAGTATTAACTGTTACAGCCCTAACCCCTGCTGCTCCGGCGGGGGACGTTGCGGTTACCGTGTTATCCGAGCTAATAGCAAAGGCCATTGCTGGAGTTGTCCCAAAGTAGACGTCATTGGTATTGATCAAGCCTGCCCCAGTAATGGCCACCATAGCGCCTCCCGCAATTGGACCAGAAGTTGGAGTGATGGAACTAATTGCCGGTGGCGGCTGGAATTGGAAGCTAAGGGAGTTATCTGTGCCGCCCAGTGTGGCAATATTGATTGGGATCGTGCCAGGAAGGTGCATTGGTGTGATAGCATCGATTTCCGTATCACTGACGACCGTAAAGCTAGCTGCGGGGGTGGTTCCGAAATTCACACTGGTGGTATCCAAGAGATTAGTACCGGTGATGGTGACAATTTCGCCGCCAGCTATGACACCCGTAGTAGGAAACACTGCCATCGGTGCAGGTGGTGCAATATAAGTATACTCGAATCCCGCACTAGTACCAGCAGACGTTATGACCACTACAGGGGCAGTCCCAACTGTGCCTGGTGGAGCCAGAGCATTCACTTGAGTGGGTGATGATATTGTGAAAGTACTGGCTGGGGTACCAGCAAACGTAACCTCGGTGGCGCCATTGAGGTTCGAGCCTATGATAGTGACAGTATTCCCTCCGGATACCGGCCCGGCCGAGGGGGTAAGCCCTGTGATGGTAGGAGTTGGAGTGGCAGTATAAGTGTAGGTAGTGCCGGCGGCACTGGTACCACCTGGTCCAGTGATGAGGACGGAGACGTTGCCGCCAGCGCCAGGACCTGGTGGAACCACGGCGGTTATCACTGTGCTGGAGACCACGGTGAGCGAGGTGGCAGCAGTTGAGCCGAATCTCACTGACGTGGCGTTCGCGAACCCAGAGCCGCTGATGGTTACGGTGTTTCCGCCAGCAGCAGGGCCGCTAGTGGGGCTCACACTGCTCACGACAGGAGCCACTATATAGGTGTAAGTGGTGCCAGCGGCACTGGTACCACCTGGTCCAGTGACGAGGACAGAGACGTTGCCGCCAGCGCCAGGACCTGGTGGAACCACGGCGGTTATCACTGTGCTGGAGACCACGGTGAGCGAGGTGGCAGCAGTTGAGCCGAATCTCACTGACGTGGCGTTCGCGAATCCAGAGCCGCTGATGGTTACGGTGTTTCCGCCAGCAGCAGGGCCGCTAGTGGGGCTCACATTGCTCACGACAGGAACCACTATATAGGTGTAAGTGGTGCCGGCGGCACTGGTACCACCTGGTCCAGTGACGAGGATGGAGACGTTGCCGCCAGCGCCAGGACCTGGTGGAACCACGGCGGTTATCACTGTGCTAGAGATCACGGTGAACGAGGTGGCAGCCGTTGAGCCGAATCTCACTGACGTGGCGAATATGAACCCGGAGCCGCTGACGACTGCTGTATTCCCACCAGTAACGGGGCCGGATGTTGGATTGATTTTAGTGACAATAGGTGCGGACATCTTGATCCAAGAAAATAGGGAGTTGATTTCAAAGAATTGCAGTTGCGGAAGTAATAAAAAGTTCACTGCTGGCTTTCTATGGTGAGAAGGTCTGAACTCCAAGAAATCCAATCACCGTCCGCGTCAGCTGGCACTTGCTGTTATAGGATAATAAACGGCACACAGCAGCTAAACCTGGGCTGACTGGATCTGTAGGACCGAATGTGAGGTTTATTTCTTATTACTCGTACCTCTGATTAATTTCATACGAACACTTTATAGTGGACAGTCATCCGAAACTGCCAACTTACTTTCGAGATGGCCGCCGATTTATTTTACAGCATAAGTAAGCGACGGATTCCCGAATGCCTATCTTCAAGAATGTTTTCTTCAAATTTCTATTCCAGTACGAGAAATTAGTTTGGTGAGATTGATCCAGAAGGGACTATCAGAACAACCCCTTACAGGAGGTTGCAGGAATGCATAATCCAAAACCTTGGGCGCTAGGACATTATTTCTGGGCATCAGATGATGGCACAGTTATGGTATTGGATTCGGCGAGGTGCATATTGAACATACGAAAGCCACAGTCATCGGGTCAGCACACCCTTCCCCCGGCGTCAGGCGATAGAATAGCCTTGCTATTGGATTCGGCGAGGTGCATATCGAACATACGAAGGCCACACTCATCGGGTCAGCACACCCTTCCCCCGGTGTCAGGCGAGGGCATAGCCTTGCTGTTGGATTCGGCGAGGTGCATATCGAACTTAAGAGGGCCACACTCATCGGGTCAGCACACCCCTCCCCCAGCGTCAGGCGATGGCTCGGCCACTACTGGGATTCGGCGAGAGGTCAATTTTGTCAAACCTACTCATACATATCGTGTGATCATCAATTCTCGCACCCCTGTCGGATTATCGTTATTTCTATGCTCCCGTGTTTAAGATGCTATTTATTTAGAGGGAGAAATTCCCCTTCAGTTCAGGCCTGTCCAACTTAAGAAAGGAGCTGTGACCATTTTTAACTTCCGCAACTTCAATTCATCGAGACTCAACTCTCCATTTTCCTGAATCAAGATGTCCGCACCTACTATCACTAGAATCAGTCCTACTTCCGGCCCTACTACGGGTGGCACGACGGTAATTATTTTTGGCACAAACCTTGCTAGTCCCTCAGCAGTTACGTTTGGTGGCACTCCTGCCACCATTAACTCGAGCAGCGCGACATCGATCTCTGTCACAAACCCAGCAAATTCTGCTGGTGCAGCACGGGTTCTTGTAACCACGTCAGGTGGTACCACTACTCAACCAGTGAACTTCACTTATAGCGCTATCACCGCCCCTGTTATTGCTTCTATTTCTCCAGCAAGCGGGCCAGCATCTGGTGGGAACACGGTTACAATCAGCGGCACAAATCTCCTCTATACTACTAATGTCACCTTCGATTCTACTCCTGCCAGCAGCTTCGCTGTCCTTTCCGCTACTCAAGTTGCTGCGGTCACACCAGCAGGTACGGCAGGAGCTACAACGGTCAGTGTGACCAATGCAGCTGGTACTAGTGGCACTCTAGCATACACCTACAATGGGATAGCCGCTCCTATCATCACCAGCGTGAGCCCTGATAACGGCCCTGCTGCTGGCGGAAATACTGCTGTCATCAGCGGCACTGGTTTCATAAACGTCACAGCCGTGGCGTTTGGCTCAACTGCGGCCAGCTCATTCACCGTGGTCTCTAGTACGGTGATAAATGCGGTTGTTCCCCCAGGTAGCGGTGCAGTCTCTGTTAATGTCACCGGACCCGGCGGTACCAGTACCGGTGGTCCTACATATACTTATACAGCCGCTCCAACTCCTACTATCACCGGGCTTACCCCAGCAGCGTCTGGCCCGGTATCGGGTGGGAATACTGTCACCATCAGGGGCTCGAATCTCAATGGTGCTACAGCAGTTACGTTCGCTGGTAATGCAGCCAGTTCTTTCAGTATTCTATCGCCCACTACAATAAACGCCATTACTCCCCCAGGTACTGCTGGGACCGCCTCGGTAGTGGTTACAACGCCTGCTGGTGCTAGCCCGGGATTCAATTATACTTATATCGGCGCACCCGCGCCTACAGCAGTGTTTCCTACTACAGGAGTTATGGCTGGGGGCGATAGCGTCACCATCACCGGTACTGATCTCACAGGTACTACGAGTGTGAATTTCGGAACTACTCCCGCGACTAGCTTTTCAGTTGTTGATGATGGTGATGTAACTGCTGTCTTACCCGCACACGTTGCTGGCACGGTCCCAATCAACCTTACCACGCCAGGCGGCACGGATAGCTCGCTTACCTTCAGCTTCCAGCCTGCACCGGTTATTGGTTCCATCACTCCAACTTCTGGGCCGACTACGGGTGGCACCGCGGTTACCATCACTGGGGCAGGATTGATTGATACCCTTGACGTGTACTTTGGGGCAACTGCAGCAACATCCTTTACAGTCAACTCTGATAACGCGGTAACCGCAACCTCTCCAACTGGAGCAGGGGCTAGCGCTGTGACAGTTGACACTACTGCTGCTACCAGCAACGGCGCCACGTTCATATATACTGTTGCACCGACACTTATTGGCTTATCTCCTACTGGGGGACCGATTGCTGGCGGCAATAATGTGACTCTTTCTGGAGCAGGTTTCATAACAGCCACTGATGTTTTTTTTGGAGCTAACCCAGCTGTGTTCAGTATTATCGATGACACGTTGATTAGTGCAGTTGCACCTTCTGGCACTGGAGCTGTTTCAGTAACTGTTGTGAACCGTGGAGGCACTAGTGCCGCTCAGACTTACACTTACTCTTAAAGCATCCTGTTAACGAAACAATGTCTAGCTAGTCACGTAGGCAATATTGAGCTTTTGTTTGATTGCCTTTGGTGTTTTCTTCTGTGGCGGTTTTGCTGTCATGATCCTAAGAATGAAAAGAAGACCGATGAAGGCATGACTATTGCTGACTGAATATCTGTGTTAAATTGATCTTATACTCTTAAGAAGCATTGAAGTTCTTTCTATACTTTAATCAGTCGTCTTTAAGTGACTAACATTATCTTCTTAGTTTATCATTAGGGTTCATGTCTACAACCGTGCTGTAACAGCATCATTAACTTGTCCCCTGTATGCTTTTTACCTGTGATGCAACCCCAGTATCTATGGTCTAACGAGTGCTTATGCCTTAATTGCCGTATACACGTCACTAAGGCGTACCTTCTCTCTCAAGGCGTTGATTAGCCACTAGTATCGCTCGCTTGGGTGACCCACTCACCCAGTAAATACGTTATCTAAGTTGTGGTATCTCTGCAAAATCTATGGTGGTCATAATTTATCAATACCCCTGGTCCGTGCAGTTAGCGTCTTGGCGATACAGAGATTGAGTTTGAGATTGAGAGTTTGATACATCCGGCTAAATCGTCCGTCCAATAAAAGGGATTGAGTTTGAGAGCGAGAGTTTGATACATGGCCGGCTAAATCATCCGTCCAATAAATTAGAGCGGACCATTCATGCCACAGACTGAATTTAAACCATCCAATTAGCTCAAGGGATCCGTGCTAACTCGACCCCACGTAGCCGACGTGTGACGCGCCACGATTCAACGTTGCTCACGTCACTTTTCTGCATTCCCTACCGAAACAAATGGAATTATTAACCCGTCCTAAACTATGTCAATAAAAACCAAACCTGATGCGCATCTTAAGTGGCTCTACTTTTTGTAATGCCGAAGGTGGAGTGCTGATTCAGACAAACATGGGCTGCAGCCTTCCTTGTCGTTCGCGGAGATAATCAATGATGGTACCGCTCAGCCTGCTCCTCCCCCATATGTTCTCCGGCGGCCAGAGCCAGCTGAATATGAAAACATATATACATGATCGGCACGCCCTAGGTTAACCTATCCATGAACGCATGTCCTATAATCAAGAACCGCTGGTGATTAGGATCAGGTTTATCGTGCAGACTTGGTAAAAGCTAGCAAGATGAATGGGAATGCCGAGATTCCCAGAAAAGAAAGTTGCCTGTGCTGCATAATCTCCTCAAAGTATATATCGATCACGGTTTGCTGATTAGTAGCGGTGTGCCACTCATATACATACCAGTTCTGACGCAGCTGAATATTAGGTGCTGCGGGTTTCCCATAGTCGTCAAGTGGGTGGGCCATCGGTGAACACATGCTTAACCAGATGAACAATTTAGATCTATATCGCTGAAGAGAATCAGGACGTTAAGAGACGACTGGAGAGGAGTCTGTGTATGAGATTTTTACAGAAATTTGCCGGAATTGATTCTGGATAGGACTTGAATCTATACCTAATCAACAATCGCCGTCGTTTATCACAACCCCAGAAAATGGGAGGTAAAAGAGTGCGAAGCAAAAGCATGAAAGATAACGCGGCAGTCAATCTGGGAAGGAAAAGGATGAAGACAAACGAGGGAGGACAGGACGAGGACCAAGTGAGTGGTTTTCAGTCATGAGGTAGACATTCTAATTGATGCGGGAATAGCACCCAAGAAAGCTGGGCGACTTTCAACCAGCTCCGCGCGGAGCTAGCTGGACAGCGGAGACACTGAAAAAAAAAAGCCGCGGCTCCACTATGGCCCATAATTCAGATGGCGAGCTGAAACACCACTGACGGGATTTCTGCTGATCTATTCGCCCGGAAAAACGTCTACTGATATGTATGTATATTACCTGGTGGGTGACCGCAGTGATCGCCCACCAGATAATCTTTCGAGCTTGATCCCGACCCTGTGATCCGCTGGCAGATCCTCGACGATCTACACTCATACAAAGACGATCACTTCCAATAATACCTTATTCTCAGATCGACAGTTTGAAAATCTCTTTTTGCCTGCTCGAACAGGAGGCGCTCGAGTATCGCCGAATTGCCGAGCATTATTGCGGATTGTGGAGACGGAACGCGGGCTGCAACCAGCGGCATCAGCAATCGGGGCCGTGGTTAGTGTTTCACTCAAGATTATGTCTCATGAACTCTCGAGTGGAAGCCGGCAGGGTTGAGGCCATTATCACCAGTGCTCCACGCTGTATCATTGTGGAGACGGTGTGGAGCAGCGTGGCCACGATCAAAAGCTAGAACTCGCCGTGAAATAATGTTGCCCAAATTTCTCGTCTCCTTTTTTTCACCTCTGTATTTCGTAAGATCTGGCCTTGCATTCTTTAGGCAATCTCACTTCTCAGCGAACAGCGAATGTGCTGCATGATGAGGAGATGCACCCGGAAATTGGCACAGAGTGCCTCCTACAAAACAATTTACAACACAATGTTACTGATTCGTCGAATTCATGACTTGGTCTACTTAAGGTTGGGAGTGTGGAATTGTACAGTAATAGGGAAGAAGAAGAAGGAAAGTTGCAAGCAAATCCATCGTCAACACACCTTTGCAAAATAGGGTCCGGCAGACTTTGAACCCGACTCAAGAATTTAACATTGTGTAGAAGTGATTCCGTGTTGGTACTGTATTTATTAAGAGAGTGCTGGAGGGATGGAAGTCTTCATGTCGTGGAGTTGGAGAGGCAGCTTTAGCCGGCCCCGTCAAAAATGAAGGTCGGCTAGTTATTGGCTTCAGTTTTTCAAATTTCCCGGGGTTTCATTTTCATTTTCACTTCATTCCATTTTATTTATTTATCCACCCGGCCCCCCCCTTGAGAACCGACTTTGGGCCTAGTGCGGCAAACTTCCCTCTTTGCTTTTTGGCTGCTGGTGGGCCCTCAATTTCTTGCACCGGGCTATTCCCACATGATAAGACCAAAGCTCGCTAGATCACGACTTGCCGGAGAGTGTGCAAGGATGTGGTCGTGTCTAGCAAATCAAATTCAATACTCGTTCCAGGTCACAATTCAGAGGACAGTGATTAAATAGAAGACTCGCGCTCTGGCTTTGTCCCTCTGTAAGGGAGACAACAGTTACTTGTTCATCGACAGCCGTTTGCCCTACCTATAGAACCTGATTCATCGCTACCGACCATCGAGTTTACGCGTCCTCACTACCCACACCGAGGAAGATGACCCATGTTTAATCTGAAAATTATTGCCATTTACCCATTGTTTTTCCTGTCCTTGGGATTTAAGAGTTACTTTTGTACTGGCGTCCAAATTCTCCCTTCCCCCCTCCTCTCCTTCCTACTGGTGCTGTTAATCTGAATCACCCCAGTTGCTTCTTCGCTGTCCACCACGTTCGTCCCTCCCTTTGGCTGGAATTTATTTTTTTTGTTTCATTTTTGAGTCCTTCAGCACATTCGGACAGTCACATAACTTCAGAGGAATGCTTTCGTTGGAAGAAATGGCGCATTCCGATAAAAATCAGGGCGAGAAATGCAATTGAAACCCCTTCCCCACCCCCCGACCCCGGACTAGAGACCAGTATCAACGACTCGTTTCCTCCTACTCAAAAAGGTGAGCTGAGATTAAATCACCGCGATTTTGATTTCGAAGCGTACCCACGCAATACAGTATAGGACTTGCACAACCGGTCGGCCTCGCATTTCGTCTTCTTCCATAGAACATCACTGTCAATTTGCAAGTCTCAAAAGCACACAAGAGGGAGAATTTTTGAGAATGGGTAAACAGAGGTGTGGGTTGGACTATCGTCGAAATATTGTCGCTTGTGGTCAGTGATCTCCCCCTCATATAGTCTACCCAGGTAAAGTTGAAAAGCTCAGGAAACGCGAGCATTTTTTTGTCCTGTTTTCTGTTCTTTTATTTCAGCTCGAGGGTTTCAGCTATTTGCGACTAATGATTGCCTATAGAGCATTGCCGCAAGCGAAAAACCCGGTGCTTAGTTCTGAAAGATGATGAACAAAAGCGCTGCCAAAATTGCGTTCGCTTGGGAAATAATTGTGTCTTCTCACGAATTTCTCGAAACCCCAGCTTGAAACAGAAACCACAGTCCGTTCTAAGAAAGAGAACAGCGGGTCTTTACCGCTCTGATGTGACACTATCTATGCACAGCGATTCTTTCGTTCAGACATTATCTCCAAAAGATCACCTCAATTTCATTGAGGGATTCTACTCAGAGTCCTTGAATTCAAAGTCAATATTGAGTAAGATTGTTTCTCGCTAGCTTTCCGCTAAAGGCAGAGCTGATCGGTCAAACGACCCCTTCGGTGGGGTTTCTTCGCATCTTGCAGTATTAAGGGAAAAGCTCGAAGAAACGTTTTCGATCCAAGATCTAACATCGCCAATGCCGAAACCAGATCCCTGGTACACTTCGTTCCTACCATCAAGCTTATCCGCATTCCCAGCGCAAGTTTCAGAAGACTCAGCGTCAATGGGTGATCTGGCAAGTTCGATCTCGCGTGGAAACGTCTATTTACGGCATGGCCAACCGCCAAAACACCTGATTCCGACGCTTTCCGCGTATGGTAACAGTAGCGGCTCTATTGATTTCGCCCAATGGCCCTTTCGTTCGCAAAATGCAGGAGTCGAGTCAATTTCAAACAACGATGCAAATTTTCTTTTGTGCCAACTTGGAATGTGTGACGGACAATTTTAGCATCCTGAGTGGTGACAGTAGAGGAACGGAAAAAAAAAAAAAAAAACAGCCAATTTTCCTTTTTTTCCTCCCCTGCTGTCAGTTAAACAAACTTTATATGTGGTGTCTGTTCTGATGTATATAAATATATCTATCCTCGTGAAAAACACGGAAGCCTTAAACCTTCACATGATTGCTTTAATTTCATCAAGTTGTGCCTAACCGGGCCTTAACATTTATTAAATAAAATCTCAGGCCCTGGTAACTTCCGTTAACACCCTCGAGCTCTTGACCCCAAACTTTGTCGATCCCACAATCCTGAACCGTGGGAGTTGATCCTTGGGTTGAGACCCTTGACCAGCCTGTGAGTTATCCCGAAGTAAGTGGCGTCTACGCCCGTCAACTAAAATGTGGTGAAAATCCTACGTGGCCCTCCTCGGTCATTCCACACCCAAGGCCTATGCTCAAAGTTTCGAGATCGACGAAGCTGGGGAGAGAAGTTATCCTAATAATGATGTCACAAGAAATGCACCTTCGGATACTCGGCTGCCACAAGGTACTGGACGACATGGAATATCCCTGGCAACTGAACATGAAAGCCAAACGTTCTCCTCATGGACGCTGGGAGATATCCCTACCAGCCAAAAGACCATTACACAGGGAATGAGTTCTTTATCCCCCACTAAGACCTCAGGTCCAGAATGGCATGACACAGCAATCAAAATTGGCAGTCTATCGAAGCGTCTTTCCAAACAAGGCGTGGAGTTGATACTTAGTAGTGTACTTGGAGGCAGTCTTGCTTTCATTGGCATTATTTTTTTCCATCGCCTTGTTCTTCGTTCTCTTCACAAGCATAATGAGCGATCAGAATTGGGTCTTCGCCCGATGGTGGTGGATGATCCCTGGAGCAAAAAGCCCGGATTACGACGACGTTGAGTAGCTGAAGTTTCGCACTTTTCGATCGGTTCCTAAGTCAAGTGTTGACGGATTGATATGCGCAAATATCCGGGCCCCAGGCCTTCTTTGTCTCATCATCTCATCACTTTTGGGAGACATTCTGTAACGTCGACAAACATCTTCGCCCTCCTTTATTTATGCGTTCCCTTATGGGCATTGGTGTCTCCTCGTTTGCTCTCTGAGCTTCCCTTGCGCCATGACCAAATGCTTCTGGTGAAAATTAGAATTCAATTTAGCGAACCGAATTGAGCAGAATCAATGGAAACGACTTTGATCCATAAAAAAGTGGGAATGCTATTTTCTAAATTCGTCTGATTTCTGCAAATTGACTTTGGCGAACATGATGAAGTTTCATGACGCCAATGAATATACAATATAAAATTTCTGACTGCAGTTGTCCAGGAGCGTTAGGCAGCGCGCCATGTCTTTGGAGACACTGTAGCTCCGCCTCCGTAGCTTCTTTTCTTTTCCACTCAATCTTGTCATTACTGTAACTTTGCTTGGGCCAAGGGTGCTTTTCGATTCAGTCTGTTCGTATTATAAGGACAATCATTCAAATGGAATGTGGACATCGCCTGGTTCAACAACGGCGCTTAAATGAAGTTTTACTTGATGTAGGTCTGAATTTGTTTGTCATGAGAAACGTCATCAAAGCGGTAGGTGATTGCGGAAGTGGTAGTGTAGGAGTGACGGTGAAGGAACGGTGAGAGTGGTGAGAGTGGTGAGAGTGGTGAGAGTGGTGAGAGTGGTGAGAGTGGTGAGAGTGGTGAGAGTGGTGAGAGTGGTGAGAGTGGTGAGAGTGGTGAGAGTGGTGAGAGTGGTGAGAGTGGTGAGAGTGGTGAGAGTGGTGAGAGTGGTGAGAGTGGTGAGAGTGGTGAGAGTGGTGAAGGTAGTGAAGGTAGTGAAGGTGGTGAGAGTAACACCATTTAGAGTGGTAGAAATCTAGAAATTATTGTGATACGCAAGTCATCAACACCTAGGTGCCTTGAAGATAGCCTTCTGTCTAAGAGACACTCCACGAAACACTTAAATGGACTTTTTGAAGGATTTTTCATTTAGCTTTTGCAGGTCAATCTAGACTCACCATTTCCACAGCTCCTACTAGCCTAATCTGCATATTTCGGTGAGTGTTTATTTTTTCCGCCAGAAATAGGCTATTTGAGGAAGACATCTGGTGAGCGCACAAGTGGTTAAGCTAAAGAAGAAAAATGCGTCAGGATCGTTCTATCACCTGATGCTTGCCAGCTTGGTTAGTAGGACGACCCTGCGTGCATCACCAAACCATCAAAGTCTAAATAGCCTGGAATCATATAAAGCGGAGGCAAGCCTGCTGGATCATTGCCGCTTTAGAGTGAATTCATCGCCACCAAAATGCCCGGTAAATCTGCAACAATCAATACCCCTGCACATTTCGCAGTACAAAATTGGTAAGTGCAATCGTTTGATCAAATTATACTGCATCTGGATGTCCACAGCTTAACGGTTTCAAGTTCCGAGATGTCTCGATGCAATGCCGTGGAGAGGAAACACACTCCGTTTGCACGTGCTGGAGACGAAATCGCGACTGTTCAGAATACCAGCGCTACTGGAGAGTTGGGTTGGAACAATGCTTTGCCTCTGTCATTGATCATCCCGAAATTTCCACTTCCATCTCCTATTGCATCCAATACAGCTTCATCCACACAACCTGCACCAAATATGACACTGGCAGGATCGGCAGGTGTGGCATCACCGAGGGCCACTCGATCGTGGACTCTCTGCTTTATTCTCTGTCTGGCATTCAACATCATTTTTTACCAACAGTGACGTCGTGGGCGAGAAATTGTAGCAAATGCAATATTATGCGCACGCATTTTCGGAGCGACTTGAGATCATACAATGCACAACTCGAAATTTCGTCACAAGAATTAACCTGCAAGAAAGCAATTCCGACTCCACTCTCAAAAGCCGATGGTAATGAGAATCAGGAGTCAAGTCAATCCGCTCAATTCTGCACACATCGCTTCGGCGCCCTACTTTCGGTCACAGGGGTTGGTTGAACTGAGAGATAGCGGAAAATGAATTTAACAGACTTGATGGGGTCTTTAGTTAGATCGTGTGAATAACACCGTTTCCGACTAGCCTGTATAGCAGTTCGGCAAAACCTATTTTTGCCGGTTAAAAGACCGATGTAGACGAGCAGAGCGTAAAAGCACAGCACTAGTAGGTTTCTTTACAGATGCGGAATCAGCTCCACATAATTTTAGACACCTGCTTGAGGCTAAAAATTTGCTGGACTTTAGTTTGCGAAGGTGTAATGACTGTGGATTCGGTTGGAACTCCCGTTCGTCTTCTTCTCTCTTACTGTAGAATTCCACACTCCCAATGTTAAATAGACGAAGTCCTCAATTCGAGTAATCAGTAGCTTTGTATTGTAAATTGTTTTGTAGGGGGCACGCTGCACCAATTTTCGAGTGCATCTCCTGTAGAACAAACGCTTGGGCAGGATGGTGAGGAATATATTTCAGATGCTCGTGCATGGCTTCCGACAAGAGAGGCATGTTCTGGTGAATTTTGGAGGAAACCATGCCAACAGTGTACGCGTTAAACTCTGTGCTTGGCCTATAAAGTTCACCCGAATCGCTGGTGCCTGGTGATCGCGGCAGAGTTTGGTGGGATTGTATTGCCAAAGGGTCGCCCTCATCGAGTAGCAAACTACGATCATCGCCGGGGCCACTCCCATAGTAGTCGGCGCGCAGTGCTATAGTAGGAGCAACACGAACATGAGAGGAGAGCTCGGGATCTTGATAGATGGCCTCAGAAAGGCGGGCCTGTGTTACCTGGAGCAGGGTGTTTGCATCTATCTCCAATCAGTATATTGACCCCAATGCCATCGCGCATATTGACCGACCTATCTTTCCATCTAGGAATCTCTCTTCCATCTGTCGCACGAAATGAATTTCGTCCAAAACTTCTAGCCGGCTCGCTGGCGTAATTTGCCGGCGCACATCCTGACTAGCTTTGTGAAGCTTGGCAGAGGTGACTCCATGGGTGTCTTTAAGTTCACATAGTATATGGACAAGAAGTCGAAGTCGGTCTAAATCATATTACCGCCAGTGAGCATTCATTCAAAAATTGGCATATCTTTACGTACCACGTTTGAGCAGGTGGTCTGGTTCTCGGTGTATCACCTCGACGGGCCACCATCCGGGCTTGGTGAATTCAGGGTCGATGCATTGCGAAACGCCGGAGATGACTTTCCTCCCATTATAAGGGTAATGCACCTGTTTTCGAGGCTCGATAAGTTTGATATATGACTTGGCGATGATTCGGCAATTTAACTGTTGAAATTTTTCAAAGGCCCTTTCATAGTATCGACGCAGTAGGTCCCTGTTGCTGACTCGAAGGATCGTTCTCCCCAGTGGACGAGTGGGCGGCTGTGACGCGGATTTCGATCGAGAGCTTATTATATCGGCCCGCTCTCGGTCGTGTCGCTGTCGTCGACTTGAAGGGGTCTGCCACTCGCAAGATATTAGTTCTGCAGATCTGGTTTCATGAGTATGCACCCATCCAGGATCATGTTGCATGCCGACTGAGGAAGGCGGAATACGGTGCTGGCCTGCTAACATGATAATCCATCCTCAAGTCAAATTTGTCCAAATTGTTTGCTCACAGGGAGTAAACGGCATGCTTGCTTGAGTATTGGTGAACGCCATTTCCATAAAACGGCCACTCACGTCCGGAGTGAAAAGGGTTCCGCCATAACCGGCCATTGAGGGCGACACCTCCACGCGAAGCTGGTCGTCGTGATAAAGGTAGATCGCTGCAAAATGCGGGGGTGGAGAACGAAGCTTGGGGACTGTTTGGGAGATCGACTGGTCAATAGTCTGTGTGAATAATTCTTTGCCTCCTCTGAGAAAGCATGGATAAGACAGGATACCACATTATATTGTTGTCGCACATAGCCATCAGTATGCCTCCCATCGATTTCTCCTTCGCGCCCAAAATGTGACAGCTTCATATTTGAAATCTCGGCTGACCTTCGGTGGTGCTGTATGGCATCTCGGGCTTCAGAGAATTAGGGTATATGAATCCCGTCTGAATTCACAATTGAAACACATACATTTCAATACGTATGTGAGTGCAGATGATCGAAGATGACCCAACTACAAATCGTGGGTAAGCGGAATCGGAATGGTTGCTGAGATTTACGGTGGGTGGGCGAAGGGGGAAAAGGGGGCGGGGCAAGGAGCTGCAAGTGCAGTAACACAGTATTCGAAATCAGCTTTACAGTACCGCCAATGTCTCTTATGCTCTTTCCCAGCGCGCAGCCAAAGCCCGCCTATGCCAAATTCGGCTAATATACGATCCACTTGCGTTCTACTTAACTAGTTACGTAACGAACGTATCTTCCATGAATCGTACTAAATTACCACAGCTTTTCCCTGTTGACAGTCAAATCAGTCCCGATCCCAACGGTTTAAAAGTAGAAGCAACAAGTCGTGACACCAGCAAAAGCGGACAGAAACGAGGGAAAGCATGGAGATTGGCGCTTGCCCTACTATCAGTACTCATTGTAGGGTAATTATTTTGGGCTAAAGATTATAGCCAAATAGGTGGTGGCAACATACACTTTAATAATGTATCCACGTTGAATAACCACAACATGTTGACTATTCAACGGTCAAAAATAAATGTCCATCAATGCTGATTGACGAACATAAGTGGTAACTTTAGCCCGTTCAACAGTTTTTTAATTGGATATCGGAATAGTGAGGCGGCTAACCCTCGGCCGTACAGAAAGTGCAAAATCTTGTCAGCGCGTTCTCTTTATATGAGGTCCCCTTACGTCCACGAATGGTAAGCTTCGCCAGAGAGCTATAAGAAGTCGCTGCCTGATGGGAGGTCGCTACCGCATCTCCTGCACATTGCAAAGTTCACACACCATGACGAAAAGCAACCCGTTCAAGCACAAAAGACCTCCGACAATATGGGTTGACGAATCTACCTTCTGCGATGAGCAGCTGAGTACACATCCTGCATCCACGCCAAATCCAACCATGACAACTGCTTCCATCCTGTCCAATGTGGTGAAGCTTAAGCACGAGCGACCAGAGTCCGGAATTCGACAGCTGTCTCAGGACCCCTGGCATACCTTTGAGGCAATTGGCGAAATTTTTCAAGATCGGCCACTCCTCCTTGCACGACACAAAAGTGAAAGAGAACGCCTAGTACATATTGAAAAGCTTGAGCAAGGGTCGTTTTCCGCCCCAGCTCTGCTAGAGCTCATGAACAAAATCTCGCATTCTAGCTTTCTGGCACTACAAGAGTGTTATCTCCACGCTGGGATGGCTTTCTTAATCTGGGAGCCAGTGGAAGTCTCTGTCGGTCAGATATTGGCATCAAAATGCATGATCGCTGCGAGTGAAGTTATTGAAATCGTCCGGTCGGTAAGTGGCGGTTCTATAATATATTTCAATCCGTTGCTAAATTGATGGCAGGTGCTGGAAGGAATTCAGTATTTGTCGGATTGTGGGCGAGTCCTCGCCACCCTGAGTGTAGAAACCGTTTTTCTCACATATTCTGGCAAGGTCAAGATAGGTACGAAAGACAATTAGATCAGGTAGCCCTTACGAAAAAGAGAATTTACCAATATCTTCGGCAGTGGGCGTCGAGAAAAGCTGCCAAATCAAAGCTTCGGAAATGAATCCTGCAACTTTGAAATTATATGCTTTAGCAGATATCGTCGTCAAACTGATGGGTAAAAATAGATCGGCTTATGAATGGGGCGACGAAATCCTGGAACTACCGCGTCAACTGGAAAGCCTCTCTTTGGAGGAGCTCTTACAGGTATATCCTCTCTCTCTACCCCCATATCCAATCTAATGAAATAGCATAAAACCTTGAACCAGGCGCCATGTCCAGGAGAATTGAAATTGCTTGTCAATCTAACCAATAAAACCGCCTACCACCGAGTCGACGCTTACTCTTTTCGTTTGTGAAGAATTGGACACTTTGAGTTCCTATTTGCTCATTGGATAAAACGAGGGGAAGAGGTAAGAACAACGGCTGGTGAAGAAAAGATTGCGGCGTTTCGATTAGGTTGATGTAACTCGGTTGAAAGGGAAACAGTAACGGCTATTTCGGCGGCCACCGACACGTTGGACTTGACGAGGCAACTCTTCCTGCAATTATGATCAAAACGCGTCTCCATATGTACTTTGAATCAAGGAATCTCCCAAAAATCTTTGATAGTGCTTTGTAAGATTGTCTACGCAAATCTCCGCAAGATATTTCACAATTTTTTTTCCACCGCCCGTGAAATCAAGACATATTTAAGTATGGATAGAACAAATCCAAGTGGTAGACTTAAAGCACATAGGTTCAAGTGAATTTCTCAATAATGCCATGGGATTTGTACATACTCGACATGGCTCTGTCCTGCCATTCGTGCCTTTTGTGCGTAGGGCAAGCAACACTAATCAAAATCATAAGCATGCTACGGAGCTATCGTAAATATCAAATCATGGTACTGTAGAAGCTTCACACTTTTTGTAACTTACATCTTCTGTCGGGCTTTCTCAACTTTATCTTCCATTAATATATTGCTTTAGATAGAGCCATAAGCGTATTGGTTTTCTTAGGCTGCACTAATGGAAAAGAAGGTGGGATATCTGTTTCAGTGTGTCTACTCCTCAAAATCTAACATATTGATTTGCTCGCGAGGGGAAGGCCGAGAACGAAGAGGAGAAAAGCGGTTGACACAGTAATCACTAGTTGACGCCACATAATCTAGGTAAGAAAGCAGGTATCGCTGGTGACCCATATTTCACTTGACAATTTGTCCTAGATATTATAACCAATCAAATCCTTCGGATTTTATTACACTGGCACTGTATTGTATCAGAGGGTATGGCAACAACACCAAGAAGTTCGAGCGGTGGTGAAAGCTGATGATGTGGGAGCTGAGGGATTCTTTTCGAGAGCATCGCTCGTGGCGAGAGGAACGGTCGTCTTTGTGACCCCAAAACTACCAAATGTTGGTATTCCTGTGCATGCAGGATCATTCTTCCCCATAAGATCCTTTAATTGTCCCTTAGTTTCAACAAAACTTCCGGGCTGAGGAAAGCGAACGTCCACCCCCTCTCTGGTTTTGCAACCATTGATGTTGGCGATGAACATGGGTGGGAAAATATTCGAATAATTCTCTGCATCTCTGAAGGATTGGACCGACGAGTCGCTAGTCACCGTAATGGGAGCACAGTTCATATACATTTCGCGATTGCCAATACGATTAAACCAAGTCCAGGCCAAAGTGTATTTTCCGGGGCCAATGTTTTCGGGAATCGTGAAGAGGAGTTGGAGAGAGTTATCGGAAGCGGGACCACCGGCCAGGGTGCCTGCTACATCTGCAGGGCAGCCTCCTTCATAAGACTGTATGACCATCCATTCCGAATTTTTGGTCGGTTCACGGTCACTGGTCAGACTCACCTGGCAGGATCCGCCACCGTGGGTCGCACTGCCTTGGAATGTCATTGTATGATTATCGCCGGCGCGATAAACGGCTTCTTCGGAAGGGACTCGAAAAGCGTTATCGCGTAACTTGCAGGGGAAATCACTGCCGTCTGCAGCAAGTGGCGAATTATTGAGAGTGTCAATGCTGTAGGGCTCCGGCGAAGTCATAACAAGATGCGCATTTACCGGCCAAAGCGCAATTCCCTCCAGCAGCAGACACCATTTAATGAGTACCATAGCGGTGGAGACCGGAAAGAGGCCGTATCTTCGATTAAATCCTAATCAGACGCCACTGAACGAATTTGATTCCAGTGTCAGAACCGCTGGACTACAAAACGAGATCGATGATTCATTTATATATTAAGCCAGCGCGAGCCAAATATGCCAGCCTATTTTATGTGGTTGTTATGGCTCAAGTTAAAGCGCCCCTGAAATTCAAACTGTAATACCCATGCCTACAGAAGGCGCACATAGCTGGAATTTATGAGGCGAATATGACCAAGTAGTTTGATTTGGAGATTGTGGTGAAGAAACAGTAGTGAAGAAACAGTAGTGAAGAAACAGTAGTTAAGAAACAGTAGTGAAGAATGAATCAATGTTATTGGTGAGCCAACACTTGATCAACAAAGAGTATCATACATCCATTTACCATCAACAAGGCCCATGTTAAGAGGCGGCCACGTTTTACAGTAAACGTTTGCCTGTAACAGGAAAATGAGGGCTTTGGTACTTTGGTGAGTGGCGTAGATTCGTTCACAATGAGCCTTTATCACTGGGCCAACTACTGCGATGGAACACTGTTGAACATAGTATATCCATCCACCTGTTAGAATTTATTCCTTATATTATATGCTATCTCAATTCAGATCCTCTTTACAGTTTATCAAGTTCTTTGTTAGGATAAGCTTCTGACCCGGTTTCCTATCTCTTGCATTAGTGTCAAACCAATGTCCTCAAAATGTGCGTTCAGCCAGACTCGCGCACCAACCTGACAGATGCAGTCAACCAAAAAGCACGGAGGAGAAGAGAAACGCTCTTTAAAAAGGCCTCTGAATACTGCTCAGAATGTGAAGCAGATATATATCTCATTCTTCGGATGAAGAAAACTGGCCGGATTTACACTCTAGCCTCAGAATCAAAGGGTTGGCCTCTTTCCCAAAAACAACTGGTGAGTTTTGCCTCTGTCACGAATTCGCCTTTGCAAAAGTACTAATTATCTTACGTCAAGAGGTTCTATCATCCTATTCCAATCCGGAGGTGTTTGAAGGGTTCAGAGTCAAAGGTGGTGGACGAATACGTTGTCCACAATCAGGAAGCTAGAGTTTTGATACCGAGTGAATAACCCATGTGTCACATTCAGGGCTTTCTATACAATATCAAGTGCCTGCTATGTGAACGCTGGATTGAAAGTTGGAATATATGCCATGCTTTCGTGGATTATACTGCCAATACATCACCATAAATTCACAACGCAACTCTACCTGTTATTTTTCTTTTCTTTTCTTTCTTTTCCTTTTTTAAAGGCTGGTTCATAGTCGCCCTGTCTTTCACATAAATTGATTTATTTAAAAGACTAGAAAGCCTGTGTGCTGCAAGTAATGCGAAGTTGGGTATGGCACGCGTGAGGTTATATATCAATTCCATTTCTGAGTCGCCTGTCATAGTACAAGAAAGCGCAAGAGAAGATCGACATCTCAACTTAACTTTCTATCGTGTATATCGTTCTGCCTGATATGAGCGCCGACCAAGATTCGACCGACCATTTGAATAAAATCAGACCTTGTGATCCAGCTACAACAATTGGGGCACAAGAATCTTTCCGAAAAATGCGCAAGTTCCATATGGCTTCAACACTGCCACTTGCTCAGCACACCGGCAGAGAACATGAATTTTGAGCCACTGATGCATTCGGTGATGTGGATTATATTGTCCTGGTGGGCTGGCGAGCAGACTTGTGTGCTTGCTAGCGAGTGAGCGGGTGGACTATAGTACGGAAGGCGACAGTTATCTCTCCTTCTTGTGTTTCCTCTGTTACTATTTTTGTTCTTGGTACCTCTGGTTTAACAGCCACTATATACAATAGAGCGAGCTACGTCGGGCGAATGAATTTATGATCATCATTAGTCCGACCAGACAATCCATGGAAATTGAAATCTCCGAGGAAGGTTGGCTTCAGGGCTATCTGTGTAAGAGATCGATACCGGATCCCAGTTGTTCAGGGGAAAGAGAGCTTAGCTCATTTCGCAGCCAGTTTTTCGGAAAGCGTCCCAGCCGAGTCAGTAAGCTCTCAAGGGTGTGCTCAGGGTACGCTCAGGAGGTGCTCAGGGTACGCTCAGGGGGTGCTCAGGGTACGCTCAGGGTTGGCTCAGGGTACGCTCAGGGTTGGCTCAGGGTACGCTCAGGGTTGGCTCAGGGTACGCTCAGGGGGTGCTCAGGGTTGGCTCAGGGTTGGCTCAGGGTACGCTCAGGGTTGGCTCAGGGTACGCTCAGGGTACGCTCAGGGGGTGCTCAGGGGGTGCTCAGGGGGTGCTCAGGGTACGCTCAGGGGGTGCTCAGGGTAAGCTCAGGGGGTGCTCAGGGGGTGCTCAGGGGGTGCTCAGGGGGTGCTCAGGGGGGTGCTCAGGGGGTGCTCAGGGTATGTTCAGGGTAAGCTCAGGGTACGCCCATGGTTGTACGGGGGATTGACGATAATCTCGTTCTGTCAGGATGCTTAATTTGACGCCATAATGAGGTGTATCTCGAGTTACATGCAGGTTTGTATGGTAAACTGTATCATCTGGACAACAATGGCTGTAAGAAAATCAATCCACTGAGGTGCCTGCCATAGTATGAAAATGTAATGTTTTAGAACGTTACAATACAAGCAGATGCGCGAAAATATGAGCCCTGTAGTATACCGGCGGCGACGATAAATGGGGAGCGTGGTGAACGCGAAACAACTTTAATTAGAAGCTCAAACAGGGGAGTAACGGCTAACTGTCCGTCTGGCCCGACAAGGGCCATATCGTCGTCTTGACAATACATCGGAGTCGGCGCTTTTACTCGTGGTAGCCCGCAATCCAGAGGCACGACCACATGTCTTAGAAGAGCTGCTTCTGGTGGCAGGCCGCTTCTGCATATTTGACGTCTGTCCCGAACTACCATCTGATCGTCCTTTGAGTTTTGTGCAATAATGTACCTGGAGGGAGCCTTTCGATCTTCCAGGAAAATGTTCCACGATTCGACTCCATGGCAAGTTTTGCTTCTCCTTCAATTCAATCAAAATCCGATCATCCTCGCTGAGATATCGAGTCCCCGCGGTTGCATTGCTGACTTGAGGCTTCTTAGGTTTTTTGTGCTTCGAGTATCTGGTGCCAAGCTTGTTTTCACTGAGTGCAGATGCTTCATCCCATTTGTGAGAGCATGTATTTGATCGTTCTTCTTCAAAAGTAAATGAATAAACGACTCTTGACAGGAAAATTTGTCGCGTCAGGAAGCCTCGAACAGGTATAGTTTCAGTGTTTTGCAAGCTTGTTGTGTGAGTCTGATCTTCGGAGTGGTCGAATTGAGTAGCGTCGACGGTCGAGTGGGGAGTAGTCCTGTTCTGGATTCGCGTTGGGGTATGGCGCGTCGTAGTTTGACTCAACTGCCTCGTCGGCAGTGAAGAAGCTCCGTGTCCACGCGATTTGGGACAATGATCATCGATATAATCCCCATCGTCCGAGTCATCCTGATCATCACTGCTCTCGTCGCAAACCGGATCGGATTGAGTTTTCCTTTTCCCCAAACAGCTATATTGTAGTCTGGAGAGAGATCTGGTCCGTACTCGACCTGAGGAATTTCTACCTGGTTGAATAGCTGAACTCAGTTTCGGCGAATGGCGTAATCCCGTGTGTGCTCCTGCCGAGCGCATTTGCCAATCTTTCTCTCTGTTTTGCGGTGGTGGAGAAACAGACCTTGTCGAAGGACCATGTTCTGAAAAGGCAAGAGAGCGTTCGACACTACGGTGTACTCCGCATTCATAATCATCGTTTGCCGCTTCATTTGTGGCTGAATCAACGACACTGTAAACCGATGTTATTGGGAGGATGTTGTTGTCCTCAGCCTCCGTTGTCTCCTCCGATATCCAACTGGGCGGCGCTCTTGCATTGAGGACCTCGGTAATATTGGGAGAATCAGGCTGGATGTCACAGGGTTGTGGAACACTTTGAGAGGTGTGTGATCTCTGATTCGCAATGGCGGAACGTTGATCATATGCCGTCGTGGTCTCGTCCACCAAGTCGAGTACCGCGTCTGTTTGTCGCACCAGGCTGTCCGTGGTCTTGACCTGGTCTGTATGGGCTTGAGTGAGCTAGTGGACTAGCTATGGATTGACAAACACTGACCTGCCAGAGAAAATTGCTTTGTTCGCTCGAAAGACATCTCCGCTGGGGCTGGTAGTCCAGGACCATGTGATGGTCCAAGAACTAGAGGTTGCGATGAAGGGTCATGGAATTCTGACCCTGTCTGACCCTGGGTAGTAAAATTTTCACCTCCCCCCGGGTTCTGATTTTTGTGAAAATCTAGCCCAAAACACAGGTTAACAACCGCTTTGTTTTCGAAAATCAAGATTTGGGATGAATCTCAGAAAGGAGCGAAGATTCTGGATAGAGGGTTATACAGCAAGCAATGAAATGAAGTCAAAATTTCGGAAATGACTGCTCAAAACTAGTGCGCTTACCATAATTGTCTTTATCCCGTTCTTGTTCGCCGCTCAAAACTTGCACTCTCCCGTCGCCGCTTTTCCCATGGAATGACGACATGGTAACACGATCATTTTGATCCTCGTGGGTATTGAACCATCCCCTGTCTAGCTCGCCAAGCCACGCAGAGACAGCATCTGTGCGAGGTCCGGTGTTTGCAAAAAAGGCCTGCGAATCGATCACAGTGCTGCGAGGATTCTGTGGACAAGAAAACTGCGACGGGGAAAAGTCAGAAGCATGCGGGGAGCAAGATGGAAAGCCGTGAGGTGGGCCATGGGATGGAAATGTTCCATCGAAAGGTGACGGATCGGAGTACTTGGAAATGAAGCTCGGTACTTGCGGGGGGTTCGAATTGCGAGGGAGTTTGGTAGCAGGCGGCTGGTACTGAATAATATCGTCCAAACTGATCGTGGCCATGTCGTTCAATTCAAAGAGGATTGTATCGCGGTAACGATGACAGACTACTTGGAAATGATGATCGAATTTGGGTCCCAGCATTTAATCCAACGGGGAAGAAACAATCTCTTTATACCTTCGCCGTCGACTTCCAACTTTCAGACCATCTCCGAGAACAAGAACTCATCCACTCTAACGTTCGGAATCTTTCATCTCCGATCAACGTGAATGACGCATGAGAATTCCTGGATAGTATCGCCACTTCGTGCGACATTTTCGCTATTGGATGAGGATATATGGCGGCTGATGGGGGGTGGTCCGCTCACGAAGGGCCGCCTTCTGCCTTGCCGCGCCTCGCCGCAAAAGGCCCTTCGCAGAGGATAAACACCGAAGGAATGTTTGGCACGGAGATGAATCGTCGATGCAACCCATCCGAATCATCAGCATGGTTAGCACCGGACCCGCATGGTGTGATTGAAGGGCCAATGGCTTGCGGAGGCACATGAAACATCGGAAATATTTTCTTGGCTGAAAACGAATATCCGTCAGGCCAGAGGGGCCTACGGGGTCTCTGGTAGAGCATGTGAACAGCATACAACCAGGCACTCAGTTCATTTTGTGGTGTGAGCTGATGACGATGGCGTACTCGTCCCAACTTCGTGCGAGTCAGGATCTGGCCCCAAATACTTGCGCTCAATCTGCATCAGGCGGACCTCATGTAGATGGCGAAATTTCGAAGCGTGCAGCAAAGTGTAATACCAAAAAGTTGGCTCCGTCGATGAGCGTGGTGGTGGCTCGCCCTGACCGAGGGCGATTGTAGCCTGGCAAGGCCCGTCGGCGTGGAGCGGCGATGGCGGAGATGAAGGGGCGACGATGACGATGAAGGCTTACGCTGAGGCAGGGAGGAATGTGCCGTGAAATCCGGCAATACCGTATTATTTCGAGTCGTAAGGGCGGGTGGACGGTCGCGGCTTAGGAGGAAATGCATCGAGGGGACGGTCGAGCGACGCACCAGAAGTTATATACTTGCGCAGGTAGCGTCATGAGGCGGTCGGGGACGGCAAAACCTATTTGGGAATAGCGACAGACACTAAACCGAGAGTGGACGCGCTAATCTTAAGTGGGAAGCCTTGGTTTCGCGACTGTTTTCGGGATAGCGTTGCACTAAACCCAGAGCGGAGGCACTAATCTTAAATAGGAAGCTGTGTCATCATGACCATTTTAGGGATAGCGTGGAATTTAAACCAAATGAGGACGGATTAAACCCAAACAGGGAGCGGTGTGACCCTGACGCTAAACCCGATCCAAGGGGCGGCCGAATCCAGCCGGTCCGGCACAAATGCTGAAAGTACTCCTCTAACAATATGAGATTATAGACTAAGTACTCGTAATTACTACCGATAATGCATTAAATAATAATACCTTAGTGACCTTCATAAATAAGGCTATCTAGTCTCTTAAGCTAAATAATAGCTCTACAATCATACACGTTCTATATATTGCATATGTCATCTAGCTTAGCCTAAAGGATCTCCTTAGTCAAATGAAAGCAAACCTAAGAAACGAGATGGCTAAGGTAGAGTAGTCTAAAGCTCATATCTAGTCGCTTTGTACGACGTAGTAGAAAAGAGAGATCGTTAGCACGTTAAATAAGGTACACCCCTTCCTTTTACGTTTCTATCATTTTCTGATTTATCATTATATCAGATACGTACCCTAGCTATTTATATTAGTAGTAGCCCCTAGCGTCGAGAGGCCTTCTATAACCTCCAAATAGAAGAGCCAAAGCTTATTCCTATTTAGGACGTTAAGACTCGCTAGAATTCGACCTTTCTTATACTCCGGCGTACAAAGCGACTATAGTCTATCTTTAACGAGTTTTGTGAGCACTACGGCTAAGATCATTTTGCCCTTAGCATAGAGGAATAGCGACAGATTGAATATCTTCTTTAGATTATATAACTATTCTTCAAATTCACCTCCCTTCTCTCACAGACGAAAGACGTGACTATCCACCTAGTCTTTAGCATCTACAATAAGCTCTTTAACTACTTAGAAAAGTGAATCTAGTAGCTCTAGCGAAAGAAAGTCCCTTAGAAGTAGTTAATGCTAGCTGCCCTCTACGCCGCTAAGACGAAGCTCTCTTAATATTATAGTATGACTAATTAGATTCCTAACGACCTCTATGCAATTAGCACAATACTTGTACTATAGTAGAAGCTTCGGTTCTTCTCTACTAAGGACTAGGATGATAACTGGCGTATACGGTATCGCAATAGTCCTGAATATTGCCTTAAGCCCTAAGAATAGCGGCTTTTAAGCACCTAGTCATAAGCCAAAGTTTAGCTATTAGTCCTAGCTATCTCTAAGCTTAAGATGATATGTAAACTAGAAGTATCTCGATAATCAACAGCTAGCTAACACGACGAACTTTCGTAATACCTTGATAGTAGTATGTGATATAACTAATTTAGTTTATTCATAACTAATATTTCTAATAGCAACTATTTGGTCTAGTCCTCGTATCTTCTAGAAAGAGTACTAGTCCGAATTTTTAGCGCTTGTAAGCCTTACCTTACCTGCGACGTTCTCTTAATCCCAGCTACTAGTGTAGGTATAGAGCGGCTTTTTAACTCTGCTCGAGATGTCTGCCACTATCGCTGAGGCTCTCTTAATCCTACAACGATCAAAGACCTAATGCTATTCATGTATACATCCTAGTTCGATATTAAGGATGAACAAAGGGCAATGATCAATAAGTACCTCTTATTTGAAGAGATGTAGACGGCTAGGGAGGAAAGCGATACCTAGGCGAGTGAATTTGATCTAATCAGTGACGATGAGGAAGTAGGAGAGGGAGATTCTACTCAGATACGATATACATGTGACCGGATGTCAGATCAAGAAAGAAAATCAATAAAGAATTCAATTTGAGTACGTAGTCGACGGGAGATCCAAGTTGAGAAAGGGAAGAAGAGACCGAAGAAGAGTCTCTACTTATCTACAACAGTCTATGCCCTGTGTCACCTGTCAAACGCAGTCTTCAATCGCAGTGATGCCAAACGCGGTCCCGTCAAGCGCAGACCCGTCGAGCGTGGTCCCGTCATGCGCAGTCCCGTTAAAATCCCATCAAGTGTGGTCACATTACCCCCCTCTGTAAGAGCATCTAGTCCCTTGATGCTGGTTTGTTGTCATCCGGATGATCGTCTAGGAATTCGTCGTCCAAGGCAGCTTTTGTCCATTCCTGTAGGCGGGCGGGCGGGCCAGGCTTGTCGGGGTATCGTTCGTGGAAATCGATTAGCTTTTGCGGGGCATTTTTGAAGTCCCCGGCTGGGTACCATGTGATGTCTTCATCTGTTCCGACCCACTTGACGCGGTAATTGAGCTTGCGGTAGTATAGTCGTGAGTCGAGGATTTCATCAACTTCCCATTCGTCATGATCGTTGACCTCCACTGGGGGCGGGGGGTCGATGTGCTGCCCAGTCAATGGCGTCGTCTTCGTTGCTCGGCGTAATTTGTCTGGTGAGAAGACGGGGTGTACCTTGATAGAGTTGGGTAGTTCGAGACGGTAAGAGTTGCCAACTTTTTCGATGATTCGGAAAGGTCCCGCGGATAGGTCGGCCAGTTTACGGCTTGGGCGTCCTGTATTCCAGTGTTTCGTTGTCACAAAGACTTCATCGTCGACATTAAAATCTTCCTGTCTGCGGTGTCGGTTTGCCTGTAGTTGTTGCCTCTCCTGCGCGCGGACGATTTGTTGTTGGGTGTCTTTCCAAATTTTCTCAAGTCGGGAGACATAGTCGCGTGCTGCGATGGCATCGGTCGACAGCTCCTGCGATGGAGGGGGCGATGGCTCTTGCCAATCGAACGATGTGCGGGGCTCGTATCCCCTCTCAATCATAAAGGGTGAGTTCTTCGTCGAATCTTGTGCCAGAGCAGCTGCAGCGAAATCAACTATCGGCAATAGCTCTGACCAGTCATCCTGATGGTAGTTGACGTACGGGCGTAGGCGTTGTGCGATATGTTGGTTCATAATCTCTGTCTGTCCGTCGGTCTGTGGATGCCGGGCTGTTGAGAGTTTTCGTTTGATGCCTAGGAGACGGCAGAATTCGGTCCAGAATTCAGAAATAAACTGTCCTCCCCGGTCTGAGACGATCGAATCCGGGATCCCTACCCAACGGTAGACGTGTGTGATGAATAACTGGGCAGTTTCCTTCGCGGTGATCGTTTTGTAACAAGGAATTGATATTGGGCGCTTAGAGAACCGGTCAACGACTACAAGGATCGTGTCGTAGCCATTCTTGTCCTTTGGGAGGGTACAAAAATCCATTGAAAGGTGTTGCCATGGTCGGTCTGGGATTGGTAGTGGGTGTAATAATCCAGGTGTCTTGTCTCGCCAGTGCTTCGTTCGCTTGCAGACTCGGCAGTTGTCCACATATCGATCAACATCCACCGACCAGCCCTTCCAATAGTATCGTGCGTTCACGAGCTTGCGTAGCTTTTCTTGCCCAGGGTGAGCCATAGACGGCTGGCGGTGGATCTCATCAAGGAGTCTTGCACGAAGATCGCCCTCATCTGGTACAACCAGCCGATTTTCGTATAGCAGCAATCCATCGTTCATTCTCCATTGTGTTCCTCCACTCATTGCTCTATCCCTCCCTTCCTGCAGGCTGTAGTGGCGGCGGTTCGCTGTCTTTACTCGTTCGGTGATCGGTTCAGTGGTAACAAGGGCGACGGAGGAGGGGGCTTCTTGGATTTCATCGAGGATTCTAGGATCGAGGCGTGATTTTGGGAGAAGGATTCGTTCGTTCGGGGGGCTCTGATCCTCTAGGTCTCTGCGCGAGAGAGTATCAGCTAGGGCGTTTCGCTTCCCTGGCCGATATTTGATCATAAAGTGGAATTGTGCTAAGAACTCGCTCCAACGAGCTTGTCTACCGTTCAATTTCTTCGACGTCATAAAGTATTGGAGCGCCTCGTGGTCAGTGAGAATCCCAAAGGGCTCGGAGCGTTGTAGTCCAGAGAGTTCTGCCCGCCACTCTTGAAGCGCACGGATGATCGCTAGCATTTCCCTATCATGGATCTCGTAGTTCTGCTCAGCTATCTGCATCGTTTTCGAGAAGTAGCCAACTGGATGCCAGAGTTCGTCGACCCCCTGCTGCGATAATACTGCTCCGACTACTCCCTTCGACGCGTCAGTCTCTACCTGGGTAGGTAGGTCTGGGTTGTAGTGGGCGAGGATAGGTGCTGAGGTCAGATGTTGTTTTAGCTCTTGGAAGGCGTCCTCGCATTCTGTGGTCCAGACGAAAGCTTTATCCTTCTTTGTCAATTGATGAAGGGGTTTCGCTATGCGGCTATAATGGTGAATGAACCGTCGGTAGAAATTGCAAAATCCTAGGAAAGACTGGATGCTTCGGACTGTCGTTGGTCGCTTCCACTGATCGATTGCTATAGTCTTCTGGGGATCTACGGAAATCCCATCTGTGCTAATGATGAATCCAAGGAATTGGGTCGATGCAACGTGGAATTCGCACTTCCCAAGGCTTGCTTGTAGCCCAGCCTCCCGTAATCGCTGTAAGATCCTCCGAACATGTTGTATATGGTCTTCGAGAGTCTCGCTATAGATAAGGATATCATCCACAAAGGCAGTAGCGATTTCATCAAGGTACTCGCCCAAGACACTGTTGATGTAGCGCTGGAATGTCGCAGGGCCGTTCGTCACCCCAAAGGGCATCACTTTGTACTTAAAGGAGCCGTATCTTGTGCGGAAAGTCGTGAGATCCTCAGAATCAGGGTGCATACGAATCCGATGGAATCCTTGCCGAATGTCAAGCTTCGTAAAAAATTTAGCCCTTGAGACACGCTGTAGAAGTTCATCAATAAGCGGTAAGGGGTATCGATCCTTTCGGGTGACAGCGTTCAACTTTCGGTAGTCCACGCATAGTCGCATTCCTCCATCCTTCTTCCGAACCATGATTATTGGGGAAGCGTACGGCGCAGAGCTTGGTTCAATGAATCCCTTCGTTAGGTTGTCGAGGATGTATTGTCGGGCGGTCTCAAGTTCCTCCGTGGACATCTTGTATAGGGGGCAGTACCCAAGAGTCATCTTGTCCTCAAGGCAAATTTCGTGGTCAACGTTGGTACGAAAGGGCGGAAGGGTATCGGATTTTCTTTTCGAAAAGACGTCTGCGAAGTCATGGTATTCGTGTGGGATAGTCTGTTCGATAGCCTCGCGCTCTGACTTCTCATCGATGATTCGGTCGATCTCATGAAGGGATGTGACGAACGTCTCGCTACCCTCCGTCTTCACTGACCGATAGAACCCGATAGCGCTAATTATCGCAATATCTACCGCCTTAGTTGCTTGACGCTGGGCAGCATTTCTAGCGATGGACGTGAGTTCCTTGCCCTGAAAGGCTCGCTCTATCTTTTGGACTTCGTCCTGGGGGAGCCCCCATGATGACGTTTTAGCCGCTTCTGGTCCACTCGTTCCATAAGGGCATTCCGTCTATCTGCATCTTCTTGGTGGGCGGGATTCGTTGCTGGTCGTCGAAGAATCGCTCGGGGGATAGTTGTAGTGAGTTTTGTTGCGATCTCATCCTTAAGAGGGCATTCCTTTGGCCAAATCAGGCGTCGTTTCTTGCAGTCGGGGAGTACTTCATATCGTTCGAACCACATCCTTCCAAGAATGATATCGTGTTTTCCTAGATCTGCCACAAGCATAGGGAGTCGTGCCTGTTGTCGACCATCGATGTGGAGGGTAAGCTCTACCGCATGGGTGATCGGTTGCGATTTCTGCCCGTCAAATCCCTTTACAGGGCAATCACGAGGCAAGCGAATCGTGCGAAGTCCAAACTGTTGACCTAGTAGAACAGCAAGGTCTGTGTCGATGAATATAAATCCATTCGCTCCAGTGTCTGCGAGAGCCGAGATATTGACTGAATGTCCATTGAATGCTAACTGAGCATTAAAAACAAGATCCCTTTGTCCAATCAATTTTGTCAAATCAAGCGCATGTAAAGACACTATTTCTCCACCTGAGAAGGAGACTTTTCCCAGGCTCAGGCTTTTCCCGTCTCAGTAGTTTCCTCAAGCTCGATGAGCTGTTCTGTGTTCACTGTAGCAACTGCTGTCTTTTTTGGGCAGTCTCGGCTAAGGTGACCCCTTTCTCGACACGTGAAGCATCGACCTTCCTTCAATAGGGCTACCCGGTCGGTAGAGGTAGGGCTCGAGCCAGCTTCTCGCTTGATAGCCGGGCTTCCAGTAGTCGATTCTCTTTTTCCTCCTCCGCTCGTCGTACGGCCTTGTGAACGGGAAGAGACTTGCTGTCCGATTAGGAGTGAGCATTCACGGCACTCAGAGGCGAAGTCCTTGAAGGAGACACGGTCGTTGTGAACTGATCTCATGACCTGATTTTGGAGGAGGTAAGGTAGTTTAGTGTAGAGATCCTCCTTCCGAACACTCATAGGGGTATCCGATTCTTCCGCAAGGCGGGCGAATTCGATCAGGAAGTCATCGAAGCTGTCCTTCGGCTTCATCTTTAGCTGTGTGTATTCGATTCGGGCCTTCGCACGGCGGTTCGGGTCTGAGAAAATCTCCTGTAAGTGATCGAGGAGGTCGGTCTCATCATCGTACGGAAGCGGCGCGTCCCTACGTAGGCGAGGGCCGATATGCTTCAAGGCCTTGCCTTCGCATCGGCTGGCCACGTAGTTGATCCGGAGGGTAGACGTCGGGTAGTGGTCGGCGTTGCCCTCTAGCTTCCGCTCCACTTGGGTTCTCCAGACCTCGAAATCCATATCCTTGCCATCGTCCATGATCGGAGCGTCAGGCATCTTAACAGATCGTCGGCCTCCGAAGTCGTTGGGTTTCGGGACCGCTATTCGCTGGTTCTGTAGGAGCTGGTGCGCGTAGTTGTTTCGCTCAGTCTCAAGGCGTAATTTCATGTCTTCATACTCGACTTGTATCGCTTCTAGTTCTTGCTCGTGACCACTAGTCGTAGCGGGAGGCGCGGTACGCGCTTCCTGATCTTTAGTGTTGGCGTACACTGTCCAAAGGCGTTCCCTCTTTAAGATCATGTCAAAGAGGGCATCGGGGTCCTTCCTGAAGGCCTTCTTGAACTCAGACAGGGTAAGTTGCGTATATTTCAACTGCTCGCCGAGCCCCTGGGGGCCGGCGCTCGGATCGGGGTTGTCCTCTACTGCGCAGACGTAGAAGGACTCTCGTCGGCCCTCCTCAGCGGCTAGAGAGGTACGTGGGAGCTTCGGGTAGGTGATTTCCACCGGGATGGTTTCAGAGGGGACCGATGCTTCGCTTCTTGCATCTTCAGGACCCTCTTCATCGTTGATTTGGGGTGATTTTTCGGGTCGAGGAACGCTCTGGGCTCGGGTAGTCGATGACCTAGCCATGGTTCCTGGTTCGTTTCGTTTCGTTCGGGGGAAGCCGCCTTCTTAGCGCCGTTCGTAGTTCGTTGTTCGGTTCGGGTTCTTCAGCGCTATCGTGGCTGTCACGTCGGGTTCGAAAGAGTTGTTAGGCACCAAGGCGAGCTGGGACAGTAGACTTCAATGAAGTAGCGTCCGTACAGCTGTGCGGCGATGGTGGAAAGAATGTAATGAAAGAACTTGGATCTTATGTGACCGGATGTCAGATCAAGAAAGAAAATCAATAAAGAATTCAATTTGAGTACGTAGTCGACGGGAGATCCAAGTTGAGAAAGGGAAGAAGAGACCGAAGAAGAGTCTCTACTTATCTACAACAGTCTATGCCCTGTGTCACCTGTCAAACGCAGTCTTCAATCGCAGTGATGCCAAACGCGGTCCCGTCAAGCGCAGACCCGTCGAGCGTGGTCCCGTCATGCGCAGTCCCGTTAAAATCCCATCAAGTGTGGTCACAGTTGGTTGGTTTGTTCTGCGTACGTACAGAGTAGATCCAAATTAGTTTCATCACTCTTTTCACATAACTTAACCCGCTTAGGGAAGAAACATTTGGAGTAGTTTCCACCTGGGGAATGAGAACTTGGGGTAGAATATAATAGGATTCTCAGAGTATGTCCAACTGTCGTCGCTTTAACATACCTTTACTAGTTAGTACCAAAGGTTCCATATATTGGCATAAATAGTCAATAAATAGTCAGGCCTGCCCCAGGTTTCTAAACTTACACAACTTTCTTTGAAACACTTGTTCCGTTGACCACTGGGATAGACAATATGCCTATTATTCCTGCTCGTCGGTTCGCGATACAGCGACTGCGCCCCGGCCAGTTGATCAAGATCATAGACTCCTCCGGAGGCCAAGTGATCGACACCTGGGCCTTTTCCATTCCACCAACACCCGCCTTTCCAAGATATATGTCAATGACTCACACTCGGTCGACCTTGCACAAACTTCTCCCGTCTATTAACGAGTCTTTTCTCGACAACAAACGAAATCCTATTATGACGATTGTCGAAGACACATCTCCTGGCATACACGACGTTCTCTTCGCCGCGTGTTCTCCGGAACGCTATCTTCAACTAGGTGCTGACAAAGAGCATGATAACTGCGCCAAAAATCTCCACGACGCCATTGAGCAATGCACAGAACCATCATTCAACCACATTGTGAAGTTTCTGGAGAGTGGCTGGATGCCTGATCCACTGAATTTATTCATGAAGGTGGATATCCATGGCAATATCTTGCAATGTTTAAACCCGGAAAGCAAGGCGGGGAATTACATTGTGTTAAGGGCGGAGCAAGAATGCGTCATAATAATGAGTGCTTGCCCGATGGATTTGAGCGCTTGCAATGGGGGCGAGCCTAGCAGCGCGAAATTCGAAGTTATTTGAGCTGGGAAAGTACTGTAGTTAGGTTTATACAGAATGCACCTTAAAACGCGGACGCGACCCAAGTCTGGCCCTCGGCTCCCCTGACCGAGTGGTTCCATGCATTGAGCAACTGACAGGTAGTAATAACTTCGCGACCTATAAACCTCATATGACCTCCTATCTTCAAGCGAGACAGGCCTAGGATGTCCTGTCGGGCGACCTAGAGCGTCCCGACTATCTGTTCAAGTACGTCAAACTATTACGGCAGACATCCAACCCTTAGTGAAGCCCCCACCTTAGTGGGGCAGTACCCATGTTGGCTTGGGAGACGGACAGCAGCAGCGGATGGCACTAGGCAGCAGTGTATAACACTTTCTTAAAAATTACACCATTCAAAGGTTTCACTAACGTTATGTGCCCTGAAACGAACGAAGTGAGAGGAAGGGAACTAATCAACGCGGATGTACGTGTGCGCGAGACGTTGCAAAAAGACATGGCTTAACTACGTATGGTCCGTTTTGCCACGCGCGCCGCCCATTCGCCCTTTCTCGCCCTTGTTCCTGCATTATTCTAGCCTCCTTCGGATTAGATGGTCTTGGCTTTAGGGTTCTAGGGCTTCGTCTGCATCTTTCTGCACGTCCTTCTCTTATGATTGCTTCGTGTCCTGCTCCTTGCCCATCGTTTTATTGCGACGCGCTGTTTTATATTACCACAAGATGTCTCCTGTCGCTTATGTCTCTCTACGCTTTACCCCTCCACACTTTCGTCTCACTATTGCGCCATGTTATCTAATCGGGCTTGTTACGATTGTGGCCGGCAAGTTCGTCTGTCTACAACTATCCATCCACCGCGATGCCCCGCTTGTCGACTAGCACGTTTGCCTCCTGCGGTCGAAACACGCCCCTGCTTGCGCTGCCATGTTCCAATCCCTGCTCACTCATCTAATATTCGCTGTGCGGGTTGTGAAGTTGCCCCGCCGCTCACTCCCTCTTATTCCCCTTGTTATGATTGTAGGAATCCCTTTCCAGCTCGAGCTGGCGTCATGCGTTGCCTCGACTGGAGGTCTAGAAGATCCATCACTGTGCAACCACCCGCTGATTTCCGCCACTCACATGGAACTTCTTTCGACCCAACTATTAATTCATTCCAGCGACCAAATCCGCCTCAGAGACAACGTCTGACTTCTCATCCTTCGCTATCTCCGATTCATCGTCTACAATTTTGGATCTCAAGCATGATCGCAATAGTCGACGTCAAGACTCGCACCGGAAATACTGCTCTACTTACGTGCAACTCTCTCGCCTGCGTTCACTGACTGGTCTTCATCTTCTACAACCAATTGATATGAGTGACCTCCAGCACAGGCCGGATCCTCAGTTGCTCGGTGAAATGCAAAGATTGCAAGCACTCGAACTGGACACTCTTGCTGCATGGCGAACCAATAACTCTACATAAATCACCACGTACCCAATCATTCTCCTCCACGTCTCGCCAACATGCCTAATTAAATTTATAGAGACAGGCACAGCCCTCTCTATTCTCTATTCAACTTCTTCCTCAGAGCAGCGGTGAGAGAACTTTTAGACTAATCATATTCAGGTTCGTATATGCACCTATCTTCATGCATCATAACAGGCCTCGACTAGGTCACCCCTGCCATGCCCTACCACATAGCCTTCTAGACCAAAATAAACTATTCTTCATGTCTTCCTGCCGTCTTACCTATAAACCTGTATATCCACTACCTTTCTAATCCTCCTAGAATGTCAAACCCCACACTTGACTACATCCATTTCCACTATGCCATCCAATAAATCTTTCCCAGCGATTCTTCACATTCGCGATTTCATCGAGCATGTCGAACCAGATCCAACGCGCCCTGCTAAAGGACTTTCCATGCAGCTGCGTGTTTCACTCAATATACCAGACAAAGATGTACAATCAGACGATGTTGAACAGCATGACATCCCCACCCTGATTCGATTTTTCAATGAAGGGAACCGGCCTGGCCTATACCAACCAAACGCTTTTGTCTATGCCTGGGGGTCTTTCCTCACCAACTCCTCTGACAGTGAGGGCTTTCACATTCTTCTCTACGCTAACAGCGTTGACCGGTTAGTAATTTTCGCAACCACCACGACTTTAAAATTGACCTAGCCTAGGCACCCAGGCGATCAAGAAGATACCGATTCATATTTCATGCACTGCCCCGAAGCGGCTCAGCCTGTCGTCACCGTTCTCGGAACGGTTCTTGAACGAGGGGGTTCAGCTAAACGGTGGTTCAACGCTATTACACTATCGTCTCCAATCTACAGTCTACAACAGTTCGTCTCGGACCCATCACACATTCCCCCTGACCGCATACTTCAAGAACGGACAACGTTGGGCGAACCTTCCACCACTAAACGTAAACACCAGCATTTTTCTGACTGGGCGTATTTTCGGCTCCACCAAAGAAAATCACCAATTAGCTGTGATTACGGACGATATACATTTCCTTCCAACCCTGTCACAATCTCTTACCCCCACCCCATCTCCAACAATTGGTAAACGCAAACGCCAGGACCGCTGGGCCCAAAGGGCTAACCCTCGCTCTCCATTCATGTCAGTGGCCTTGTTGCAAGATGACTCGACCCCAATCATGCAATTATCATACAACTCCACTGAAACCACTACTCTGAATGACGACGACGAAGAAACCTGAATAAATTCGCCAGACACACCCGACGATGCTCAATCCTCACCACAGCCTCAGACTCCTACGTCACAGAGACGTTCCCAAAGACCACGGAAAACATCCTATGCTAACACACTTGGTCGATCAAAATACAACACTTGAAATCTCGAACAACTTCCATCCGATTGTGCACCTCTTTCACTGCCCGGATATTAGTCATGCTGGTGGCTTCCCTCATTGGTCTATCTTGTTTAACATGCATGTTGACTTACGACTCGCAATTTCAACTTTCTATACACATTTTACTTTCTTACCACCCTCTTCTTTTCATCGTTTCAGGGCCGATGCGCGCGCCGCGCGCGTCTTCCAGTTCTGGGAAGCGGAGGATCTACGACTACACCATATTTGGATTAGCGTGTTTCAGGTTAGGGTTCGGGAACTAATCCGTGTGAGGATCTTGGTAAATCTGATTTCGAATATGGCTGTAACTCATTTGTTGTTTTCAACAACCAGGGTGTATGCAGAATATGGTCTGATGGAAACCACGGCTGCACCGGCTACTCAGAGTCTTTCGCCATACTACATGGGGATGACTGTTCAAGTAAGTGCTAATACTGGCTAGCCCTTTCTGTACAACCTAATAGCTGATCAATATTTAGACTTCTCTGTAAATGGGACTAGCACTGATTCAGTTATGCTCAAGCTTGATATTTGTGGTACAGAGAATGGGCAACCGGCTGCTTGGGTGAATGTGAACAAAAACACCAGCGTGTCTTTCGTAAATCAGCAAGGCGAAAGATCTCACTGCGTACTTGATAACGGATTCAAGGTTGGCAGCAAGTGTAGTGGAAAAAATACTGGCTCATCCGAGTCCAGGTATTCGACAACTATTTTAAGTCAATCTCCAACCCAAGCGACAAGTTCCGATGTCTGCAACCAGAGAAACTGAAATTGGCTTTCATGAATCATAGTTTACAGTACAGCTATACCTTGATCTGTGAAGACGATGGGGGTATGGGAGATCCCTTAGGGAGAAAACCACCACCGAAGGTACCCAAAATCTAAACCACTGAAGCCATTAAGCAACCTGGCTGCCAGTTGATAGATTACTGACCCTGATTAATCATGCATCACGTCGCAATTAATTAGACTAACCAAATAAAAACTGAAGCTGATAAATGCGTTGATGGTAGTAAAAACTTTGCCATACTCAAACTGCGGAAGTAGCTAGCCGCGGGATATCTTTACTGTATATGGTGATTCACACTCATCATAACTCGAATGATACAGAGGCACTGATCAGATTTGACCATCCTATAAGTTCTATGGGCGGTCGAATTTCATCACCCAATCTTCAACGAGATGGTAAAATCATGAGATGCCATCAAAGTTATAAAAAGATCCCCATTCAAGAGGTGGTGAAATGGTGAGTTCCGACTATTTACTGTGTGAAGAAATCTTAATAGCCTACCTGATAGTGAAGTGGTGAAATCCAAACTTCCTTGTCATTTCCTGGAGGCGGGTAAAATCTGACCATCCATTAAACCCGTCAGCAATGACCGTCATCCAATTTGATCATCCGTTTAAAACACCCAAACAAGAGCCATTTCACCACGTCCAGGATCGATAGGGTGGTTATGTTTGACCACCAAATAAACATATCGCGACATGTCACTTCACCGAATTTGCCAACTCAGGGAATGATGGGGTAGATTAATTGCTGCCTTGTCAAGCACATTGCGCTAGGCAATGTCAGCACTGCTGCAATGGTTACGGTAGCTGAATTTGATCATCCATCCGAACGCACCGGTTCACCGCCTCAAGAATTATCTGTGTGATGGAATTTGATCACCCTTTCAACACATCTCAGCCCTCATTTACCCCAGAAGCAATGTTTAGCAATGCAGGTATATGACACTCTTTCAATGAAAATGGCAGTAAAGCAATGGGCTAAGGTTAATTAAGCAACAAAATTGAGCGTCAGCTGCGCGCTGAAGTCCAAAAGGTGGCCCGCGAAGTTTGCCCACTTTATATATCCATGATCGCTCAATTTGGAACAAACTATACAACGCCAAATGTGTCTTATAAAGTAATATGAATAGGATACTGTGCAACATCAATCGCAGAATTACCACCAACCTACTGGCGCTCTAGCTTTCCATTTCCCTCTTCCATCGTAGGTGGCTGTTTGGGAGAGCATTACTCTATTCTTGGTCTCTTTACACTTGATTTCAAGGGGGCTATCCGAAGGGCGGCCATTTTGCCCAGGGCTAGCATTGGCTCTCTTGTGTAGGCTCTTCAACACTTCGCGGATTTGTCGCACGCCACCTGGAGATGAATCAAGCGCAAACAGTAGAGCGTATCTTTCAACTCATCACTCCCGTTAGTCACTAGTCTATACTATAGTCGAAAAAAGGAACTAGGGCCAAAGACTCCTAATACGTACCCTGGATCGCTGCGATAACTGATATCCTCCTGTACCTCCTCACTCAAATATACCCTACTAACCTTTGGATATGTTTGTCGGTCGAACCGATACCAAGCTGAATCGATAAGCTCGAGAGCCCCAGACCAAGCTCGCTCAACTGCTTTGCGTTTTGTTTCATCGGGGTTACTTGGATTGGGCTCATTGCAACTTCTATGCCAGGTAGCGACATTCGGATTCATAGTATATCCATCACGACGTTGGGGAACACTAAGCGCCTGACCCCGAGTATGTATCAACATCCAGGACGTCATGATCACAATTATAATGAGAAGAATGTTTTAATACAGCTAAAAATTCCTCTTTCTGCTTCTGACTAGCATGACTAAGGGATCTAATTTTCATTTTAGTAGAAATTGTCAAAATCTCGACGTACGACGGTCCCACATGGAAGTGCAAATCACGAAGGAATAAATCTCTGATTAAGATAAATCTGGGAATGCCCAACAATTTAGAGGGCGAACTAACCAGTAAATGACTAATACACAATAGGAAATATTGATGAGGGGTAAAATCCCTGTATGTGATGTGTAGGAATTCCAATTCTTGACAATTATTTGCGATGTTGCGGCTTCGTTCCTGAGCAGCACGTGCCTCACATCACAACAGACTGGATAGCCCCGCAGTTCTAAATACATATTTGAGTCCCTCGCCCCCAGGAACTACACCCTCGCCAGGCAGCTACCAACCACTAATGCAACTTCGCTCAAGTTGCTACGAATTTCCTTATTGAATAACAGCAGTTTCCTTACTTTCCTGATTCTTACTCTTACTCGTCTGATTGCGAAACTCTTAAAAAGCCATGGTTTCACATCTGACTGCTGCCTAATCTCTTGGACTTTTGATATGGGTCTTGAATAAATCCCTCGCCGCGGCTTGAAAGCGATCCGGAGAGGTTTTTGATTTGCTTATATGCCGTTACACTGGTGGCCTTTGGACTTATCCTGTGCGTTGTAAGCCATATTATGCCGTTTATCCTGACGCACCCCGTGTCAATATAGAGCTAGGGTTAGGGTGTTTATTTTTTATTTTTTTTTTTTTTTTTTTTTTTGGTAGCTATCTATCTAGTTTCTTCATCAACCAATGAGCCTTGAAGAAGGTTTTCGGATCCTGGCTGTTTCAAAAAAATTAGGGCTTTGGTCGATAGTATTGCCTGTCTCGGGATAGTTGTTCGACTACTACTGTTGAAGAAGTGTATCTGTCTGCTATATTTATAATAAAGGTCAATAAAGGGCTCTTTTATGGTGGTCTATCGTTTGTTGACCGATATAGAGCTGGATGGGGCATGTCAAGTAGCCATTATGTATAACTGCACCGGAGCACACTATTGACAAATGATAAACCAAAGTTCTAGACAATATACCTCGTGGAATATATATATCCAGATGTAGGCTACTTCTTTTCATTATACCATAATAGGTTGTTCATGCAATTGATACATGCGGCTATACAATTTAAAGGACCTGTGAATAACAAAATATTCAAGAGCAAGATTACATTAACGGCATAAAGACATTCCATTCCAAAAAATCATCAAAGACTCGGTCGGAGTGTCCATTCAAGCATTATCCGCCTCATGCAGGCGCACGGTCACCAGATCCGCCGGGGCCATAGTCAGCGTCAACGCCCCGCGGATCTTGCGATCGGGATAAACATCCTCAATCTTATCGAAGCGCTGCAACAGACGCACAAGCACGTATCCCGCCTCAGTAAGCGCAAACTGCTGTCCGATACAGATACGCGGCCCGCCGTTGAAGGGGAGGTACTCCCACCCAACCTTCCGATCCATCCAGCGCTCGGGCTTGAACTCATCCGCGTCGGGACCCCAGAAGTCCTGCCGGCGATGCATGATGAAGGTGCTGTAGGCGATGGTCTGGCCCTTGCGGACGAAAATGGGGGACAGGCCGTCTGGGCCGCCGCCGCGCGGGAGCGTCGTGTCGCGGGTTGCGGTGCGGCGGTTGAAGGGGACGACGGGCCAGAGGCGCAGGACCTCGTTCATGCAGTGTTGCAGGTATTGGCAGGATTTGAGGTTGGTGAAGGTGATATCGTGCGGAGCGGCGTAGGTGCCGAAGTCGGTGGTGATTGTCTCGCGCAGTTTGTGGAAGACGGCTGGGTGGCGTGTGAGCATTTGGATCGTCCAGCTTAGGAGGGAGGCGGTGGTGTCGCGGCCTGCGAGCAGGATGTTGAGGAGTTGGGAGCGCAGCTCGATTGGGTCGTGAGTTGAAGCGACTAGCGCATAGAGGAAGACATAGCTAGCAGGCTTCTCTTCGTCTAGGGGCTTCTTCTTCTCGTTCTGCTGAACGGCATCCAGTGCGTTTTTGACGAATTTGTCTACAAACGCCCGCACTTGCGCGTCCGAGTGCCGGGTCTTCTTGTTGTCCACTACCCAGGAGAATTTCTCGAATCGGCCTCGCTGCGCAGCAACCCACTGGGAGCGGTCGAAGTAGGAGGCGAATTTGTCCTCGGGCCGATTTAGGCCCTGCAGTGCACCGATCTGGCTCTCTACACTTTCGCCGAACAGGAACTCCGTTGCTGAGTCGATGGTCAAGCGGAAAAAGATCGACTGGATGTCGGTGGAGGCAGTCCAGCCATTCGCCGCCACGGGCAGTGCCTGCATCGCCTTTTGCACATGTTCTTCCTCCAGATCCAGCTGGCTGATCTGCTCGCGGGTGAACTGGGGGCGGAGCAGTGAGCGGGATCGCGACCAGTCCTCTCCGTCTGCCGTAAACTATGATTGTCGTGTCAGCCGCACCAACTTTTTTTTGGGTCAACAAACAATCAAAACTTACGATTCCCGTGCCCAGCAACGGGTGAAGACTGGTATGCCTGGCAGCCCCGAGCCCAAAATCCTTAAACTGCGTCGCCAGCACAGCCTGGATATTCTTCGGATCGGCTGTAAACAAGTTATCGCGGCCGAGGTTGCGGAGTATAAAGGTCGAGACATAGCGGTTTTCGAGGTTGCTCATCACTTCCATGCGCTTCGCAGCCAGCTCGGGGATGGCATGGTCGCGGTCGGCGGCCAGCAACTGCAGGAGGTTGCTGATTCCCAGTGGGTCTTTGTAAGGGTACCTCGGCACGGCGCCACAGCCCAGGCTCTTAACCTGGCGCGACCGCTGCCACGAGGTGAATAGCAGGCGGATGACGTGCAGCGCTAGCGCCGCGGCGGCAAAGCTTAGCAGGAATGAGGGTGTCATGGCTGCTGGCTGCAGATAGGGGGTACCGGGGTAGAAGGTAACCGAGTGTTTGCTTGTAGCCAGAATAATCAAGCATGCAGGCAGTCCACGCTCTTTATATATGTCCACTGGGTGAACAGAGTTGCAGCCTAGAGGTGTTGACTTGGCCTGATCGAGGCTCGACGCCGGGCCAATCACATGGCCGATCGGGCTTCGGGGCTGCCAACCTTTTCGTCGGCGAGGTCGGATGTGTTGGGTGGGGGCCTGAAATCTTCGATAAGCTAGATATCGCCCAAGTTTGAAAATATGATTCTTCTCCGACAGCCGCATATACTTTTCCAAGAGCTAAGCCCCGAGTCGATCATGCATTTGGCTGGCTACAGCTGCGGCTGGCTGCGACCGTTTGTCCAAGGAATTCGTAGACCATCTCTGGATCCAGATCCTTAGGTACTAAGTACCATATACCCGCTGGATTCTTTGGTTGATCCGCCATTGTTGTTTTCCTTCCTACCGTATATCTACCGTGTACAGAATCGGACGTAGAAATATAGTCAACTGTTAAAGCTTCTGTACACAGGGTACACAGACCAGCATGATACAAAACAGGTAAGTGGACCCAGGCCAAACTAAGCCTAAGGCTAGAGGATCGTGGATTTGGGGATTAGTGATCACGACAACTAAAGACGTGGACAGCGACAGCGAACATGCTCCCAATTTTCCTACACATCACTGAAAATGAAGTCCCCTGTACCTCAAAAATCAGACCCACGCTCCGATAAGGGGTATACGCTCTTATCATCAAGATCCCACAGTGGGCCTTCCCTAAAAAGAAGATCCCCCACAGTGGGCCTTCCCTAAAAAGAAGGTCCCCCACAGTGTTAAAGTTTTATCTGTACCGCGGTATCTCATTTACGTAGGCTCTTGAAATTTACGATATGCCAAGCAGTCCACGATGTCACGGTGCTCTTCTCAACAAATATGGCATTGTACGATTCAAATATTTCATTGATGAGGATCCTGTCACTTGAAATCTGGACCACGGCAGGCCTACGTTCAAAGAAAACAGGTACTTCCTGGCTTTGCTAGGTCGTTTGACTAAAGTAAAACACTCGAGAATTTGATGATGCTAATATCTGCGTGTCTGGATCAAGACAGCCTCTCTATGCAGCAGTCATTACATGGAGTGTCGATGCATCAGTTCATCCAAAGCCTTCTGACAACCTGCTTGAACTTCGCTCTTACCTTGCGAAGGGCGATACCATTGTACCTATGACAATTTACCGCAGGTATACCGAACTGCCAAACAATTCTAAAACTACTACAAGCGTCAGAGGCTTCATGCTCTACTTAGTTGCGCTTCGCAGTAAGCAATGAACAAACAGAGTATTAGAAATTGGATGCTAACACTTTCTAGAAAATTTATTTACGATGGTATATAGCAGGGAGTGATCGAATTAGATTTAAAGATGAAGCGCAAGATTGAAGAATTGCAGGCTGTACCGTGAGCTTGCAAGTTATGTCTATAATCCGCTTTTATCTTGTTCTAGAGAGAAAAAGAAGAAACTGTCAAATACAGGGATTTTACCGGTACCCGTTTGGGCCTTGGGTCGGGTTTTTCGTGGCTGGTTGGGTTTTGGGCGGGTTATGGCGAGGTCTAATTCCACCTTGTAATTTCTACCATTCTACCCTGCAGCTATCACCATGCCGCTACCAAAAGCAACTCTTGTAATTGTCTCCGGTGCTTTCCACGACCAAGACATGTTCGAACCGGCTATCCCCTGGCTCTGCCGGACAGGGCACCCGCTGGACTTCAACGTCAAGCTACCCAGTGTAGGCAACAACTCGGCGAGTAGCCTACAGGAGGACGCAGATGCGATTCGGAATAGAGTGTTGGATGTCTTGGACAACGTGGATGGGGGCAACAACGTTGTCATGGTGCTGTTCTCTTACGGAGCTGTGCCGGCAGTACAGGGACTCGTCGGTCTCGACCAGAAGACTCGTGGACCCGGAAAGACAGCCATCCTAAAGTTTCTTTTTATTCGTGCAATATGCCCATGATAGGTGAGAGTCATCTGGAACAGTTTGGGAATTGGGCCAAATTGCAGGATTTGACGGCGGATCCTCCGGTTGAATTCAAGGTACCTACGCGAAAAAGAATAATCAGCAACCTGATTATGTTAAAGCTAACCGTTCAATTCTCTCTAGGATGGCGTGGCGATTTTCATAGCTGGCCCTGACATCTTCTACAATGGACTTGACGAGGAAATCAAGGCTCATTTCTACACCAAGTTAAAGACCCAATCCGCAGCATTAGTTTTCCCTCTTGACCTGTACTAATAGTATTTACTAATGAGATCTGTGCGTGCAAAGATCTCTCCTGGACCCCATCACTCAAGCTGCCTACTTGGATATCCCCAGCTGGTACCTAGTCACCAAGCTCGATAATAACATGCCGCGAGACTTTCAGATCCTCTGTACGAAAGTCATTGGAGAGAAGCTGGAAAATGTTGAAGAGATTGAAACTGGCCATAGTAGCTTCTGGATTAGACCAGACCTTGTTGTGGACTACATTCTGCGGGGTGCCCGGAGTGCTGAGAAGGGTTTATCATGAACCTTGTTTGCTGGATCGAATTCAGATGTCATGTGTTATAGCTCTATGTAGATAAACGAGGATATTCTGAAACGAGTGTATGCTGCGCTGGCAACCAACTCAACTATAAAGCATTCATCCACGCACCTATAAAATCCGTCTGTCCTGAGGCTGAGGCGAAGGACTAAGCTAGCTCACTCATATACTGAATTCCGCACATAGCACCGCGGTGAGTGTTGTGAGCTGAACGACAATGTGAGCTTCGGCTACTCCTCTTTGTCTCACTGACTCTATACGTAGCTGTACTTCATGAGCGCCGTCTATGTGATAAGACCCGCGATAGCCCTCATCTGCGTAGCCATCGCCACACACGACATCAGGCTTCCTGCCCTTCTCTGCCCTTCTCGCTTCTGCACCCGCTCTCCAGCGCCCATTCCGAGCAGGCTCACTCTTCGCCGGCTCGAATTGCATCTGGTAGGCCCTTGCCCACTGCTTATACACCTCATAGGCCTCCTCAAGGTTCTGGCGTTCTCGCTCGCGGTTGGGGCAAAGTCTACTACGTTTTTATCGTCCGCAAAACCAATTACCGCTACCCCTAGCACCTCCTTAAGCGTCTCGTATAGCGAGGCGATGTAGAGGAGGAAGAGAATAGGGAGAGAGGGGGATCTCTGCGGGACTCTAGCCTGTATTCGGATTAGTTCAGATTCCTCGTCGTCGAAGAAAAGCGTCGCGCCCCGGTCCGTAAGGTAGCTTTGAGTCTAGTTGATTACCCAGTGCGGAAATCCCTTCTTTTGTAGAGTGTCCAGGAGTCGCTGGTGGCATATGGTGTCGAAGGCTCCCTGGATGTCTAGCTGTAAGAGCGAGGCGACTGCCTTATGGGACCACGCCGTACGGACCTGGTCCGTAAGTAGCCTGACCGCTAGCTTCGTGGACCTGCCCTGTCTGTTGCGTATCTGGTTTGCTGGGAGGAGCCCGTTGCTCTCCACTACCTGAGTGACGCGTTCCGCTATGAGTGCCTCTATTACTTTGTCCACTGTGTTTAGGAACGACATCGGTCGCCCTCCGCCGGCCGTCTGGAGCTGCTTCATAGATTTTCCTGGCTTCCTTATGGAAGGCTAATTAATGTTGATAGGAAGTTTAGTGGGCGCAGAAATGGAGTTTAAAAAAGTGTTGAAAGAGGGTTCAACAGAGCAGAACAAAATGGTTGACAGAAACATCAAGTAAGGACAGGATTGGAGAGCCAGCGTGGTGGTACCAACAGACAATATCAACAGGCGACAGGTGTTAAACGGGGAGTTTATCGACCAACTAAGTTAGGTAGGAGCAGTCAGTATCTCATCGTCGCAGTTCACTCAGTCACGGCCCAACTTCGACTTTTGCCGTCTAATTCAACAGATGAGTTTCCTTATCTAGTATCTTCATGAGCAATAGTTTGGTTCGTACATTGTCGGTATAGGAATGTTTTTTTGATCGATAGAAATTACAAGATCTGTACCCGATTGTCTGGTACCTTCTCGTTAAATGCTGGACGGATATATTATTGCATGCATCATATAGTCTCAGTACGAATCAAATTCACTATCGTACTTTTGAAATTCTAGTTAGATACATCGTGAACTCGTGTCAAACGCCGTTACTCTAATAGCTATCATTGAAGTGCTTATCCGAGCCATTTCCTCTACTCTGTCAACTAGAAGCAGGTCTCATTTCAAGAATAAAGCTGTGTTAATGGAGCTAAATTAGTACAGCAGTTGTTCACTCATGCTTTTGCCTCAATTTGTTTATCCACTGGCATACAGATCTTGTTTGAGATCATGGACGATCCAAAAACTCCCAAATATCATGACCGTATTCTTTGCTTGCAGTTGTACCAAGAATTTTTAAATCACATCTCAGTCTTTCATCTTCTCGCAGCCGCTTAACAACTTCGTGATAGCTATTAATAACGGAATAGGATATTGCGGTTTTGTCAGATCTGTCGACAGCATTGAGATCTGTCTCTTTATTCCCCAGAAGAAGTTCGACAATTTGTAATTCTCCGAAAGGAACCGCTGCTGACAGAGCTGTTTCATTCTCAATCGTTCTCTCACGTCTTCATCTCCTTGCCACGTGAAGCCTTCACCTACACTCGTTTGACGTCCGAAAGGAGGCTGCCGTGAACGCCATAGAGAACTAACCCTGGTAGGCAACATATTTCTTTATACCGCTTCTGTTGTTTACAGCGGATTGTTATTCGTTACCAACGTCTATGGAAATCTGGCCCTGTAACAATTTACATTGTCACTCTCATTGTAGTAGTTTGGCTATAGTCTCTCGCTCATATTTTGTCGCCCACCATAGTGGCATTCGTCCGCTAGAATCATGGGAGTCAAGACTGACGCCCTCCATGGCAAGCAGCAGCTTAATAACTGTCTCCTGCCCATGATTTGCAGCCCACGCCAACGGTGTCCTTCCCCAATGATCCCGGGAGTCAGGTTTGACGCCCTCTATCACAACTAGTAGCTTGAATAACGCCCCATGTCCATTTTGTGCTACCCACGATAGAGGCGTCCCTCCGTTAGAATCATGGGAGTGTGGGTTGACGCCCTCCGTGGCGAGTAGGAGCTTGACCACCGCCTCATTTCCATTCCGTGCTGCTATCGATAGCGGCGTGTCATCAAACCTAGATAGAGTTTCGACATGAGCTCCTTGTTCTAGCGATCTTTGAGCTGTCACTTCTTGCCCATGTTTTGCAGCCCACGATAATGCCGAACTTCCAAGTTGTTGCACATCATAACGATAGAGATAGGGGTTTATGAGATTGTAAAGGCGGGCATTTGTTCTAGCAAAAACATTTATATGCCCGCGAATTCCAGATCCTTTGCAATGCACTGCAGCAGTTCATTTGGTAAACGAAGCAGCATCTCAAAAGGGTTCGCTTCACGATAAATGAGCCGAAGTGGACAGTAGGTCGGGAGGGGCACGAGAGGTAGCATGTGTATAATGTCAGGGTAAATTTCCACCTGGTAATTTACAATGTGACCCATCTCTTGCATTCCAAGCGCTTACTCAGCTGATTTACGACTGCCTATCATGGAAACTGGTGCATGATGTGGAATTTACACGTCCATTTCTACTCCGACAATTATCCGTCTATTTCCCGCCTGATTGCCCTACAAATACGACCATGTTAGATAGTCTGAATAGCATCGATTTCATCATTTGTCCAATGACATAAATTGGTAGAATTACTAGTGCATACGCCTATCAGACATTCCGACAGAATGCCGTTCAAGGTTCATACGCCTAGTGCAACACGGAAAACACCAAGAGCATCGTGGTCGCTGGGTTCAAATAGACCACACCGCCCCTGGGAATTCACCGCTGTGGTCCATTTACTAGGAGACGGTCATCCCATTCAATTTTGCCAATACCGTAAGGTGACGCTCCCAAACTATGCAAACTCTGCCAACATTGCGCTTTCTGGTTTTATACTCGACAGAACGAGCCATGGTTTGCAAAGATATAAAACTGGCTCGTTTCCCTCTTTCCTGGTTCACTGATTTCTCTTCCTTTGATATCTCTGAAGACCTTTATTACATGTGATACCCTTTTTGGATATATTTTGATATCCAGATTCTGTATTTTCTTACCTCTATGTATACGTGAGACCGTCACAGCATGGGTGGGGTTTTTCTACAGTCCATTTTTATCAATTTACACTATAACCAATGACTAAAAGGTGTTGAGAAAGTTTGTTGTTTTGCGGCATTTACCACGGTTTTGGGGTGTCTCACTCGCTTACATTTTAATATGGTTTTGCGGCATTTACCAGGGTTTTGTGCGGTGTCCCACTCGCTTACATGTCCGCATCTGCGGATTTGCCGCAGCCTACATGATTTAAGGCTCAGTCTCCTCAAAGCTGTCAGCATTTCCCCGCTGTTGCGCAGATGCCCATGGAAACACTCCTCTCTGGTGGTCCACCTGGCTCGAGTATGACCGGATTGTTGAACGGTTATTAGAAAATGATAACTTGGATCTCAACCCCGTGGTTGGGAGGAACCATTTACCTTGAACGCCTATTTATCATGCCGTTGAAAAGAGCAACTACTTCGTTGCGGACTTGCTTCTCAAAAAACCGAGTCTAGATCCAAATACCCGTGGACTTCACCGGTGGACTCCTCTGGGCTATGCCGCACGTCTCGGAGACGTTGAAATGGTCAAGTTATTGCTCAAAAGAGCGGATATTCGGATCAATGTAGTCGATAAAGATGAAGACGGTACACTTTGGTTAGCCGCAAGTTACGGAGAAGCCGAAGTGGTCAAACTATTCATGCAACAGGGTGACCAGTTGAACATTAACTGTCAAAACAACACGAAAGGAGAATCTTGCCAGATTGTTAGGATTCTCCTTCGTTTGGTCTGTTTGCAAGAAGGATTCCATCCGTTTCTATGAGGAATCACGGTTCTATAACAATGACTCATTTGTAGTTACCGATGAATACGATACAGCCCTACAGGGATTACTAGGGAAGAGCTAAAATTAGATTAGCCTATCTCGAGTTAGGGTCTGGGGATTAAGTTGTAAGAGTGTAGAGAACTGATCTCGAATATGACTGTAACCATGGATTCAGTTTGGAATTATGGCATTTTGATTCAATTGACTATAGACATTTCGGTAATTTCGGTCTAACAAGAACAAAATTTCCCCCAGCAGCCCACTTACCGGTCTATAACCACGCTCAGTTGCCTATGCCAGCGGTGTCAAATCATCATTTCCCTTCGTGTCCGCCTTTACAGCATCCCGCTCGAGTAGCAGTTCAACGACTTCTTCATGGGCTTCCCTAGCTCCCCTAGCTGCCCATAAGAGCGGTGTCCGACCATCAATATCCTTTGAGTCTGGCTCCACAACATCTCACCCTAGTAGAAGCTTCACTACCGCTTCATTTCCCGAATCAGCTGTCCATGATAGTGGCGTCTGATCATCGACATCCTTCGAGTCTGCTTCCACATCATCTCGCGCCACTGATATCTTCACGATCGTTTATGCCTATGACAAACCCCCTAATTTCTACGGAAGAGACGGCGCCAGAAGTTTGCTCCTCTATGGTTTGAGGAACCACCCAACCCACGCCACTGATTTAGGGTAGTTAGTGTATATATAGTAAATGGGTGACTGGGCCCTAATTTTCGGACGGAAAGTCGAACGCACTCCGCCAACAACAGAAAAGAGGCCTTCCGTTGGTCTGATGATCTCAAGGTACAAGCAAGATTGGCCATGCTGATTAGAGTGTCGGGATGTTCTGGCCCAAGCACCCGCTTGCGAGTCTCCAAGACCTGCACCTCTAGCTCTTCAGCTTCCTTCCATCGTCCCTGATTTTGATAGACGACTGCCAGATTGGTTATGCTAAGCAAAGTGTCGGGATGCTCTGGCCCAAGCACCCGCTTGCGGATCTCCACAACCTGCACCTCGAGCTCTTCAGCTTCCTTCCACCGTCCCTGATTTTGATAGACGAGAGCAAGGTTCCCTATGCTAACCAGAGTGCCGGGATGCTCTGGCCCAGATACCCGCTTGCGGATCTCTACGATCTGCATCGCTAGCCCTTCGACTTCCTTCAATCGTCCCTGATTTTGACAGACGGCTGCCGGGTTGACTATGCCAGTCAGAGTGTTGGGATGCTCTAGCCCTCGCACCCGCTTGCGGATCTCCGTGAGCTGCACCTCTAGCTCTTCAATTTCCTTCAACTGTTCCTCATCGAGTCATCGATATAAGTGTAAGCAAGATTCCCTATGATAGGTAGATTGTTAGGGTGCTCTAGGTCGATTTCCTGGATATATATATTCATGGCATGTAGTAGTTATTACTAGTAATTGGTGAAATGACTGACTCCTGACTAGTCAGGTGACTATTCTAAGCTCAATTAGGCTAGTTCGCTAGTTCTGCGATATTATCGTGCGATAATTTGCGATAATGCGATAATTATCGCAAAATAATATCGCAGGACCAAAATCTCTTGCGATAATTATCACCGCATATCGTGAACAGCCCTAACGACCTATGCTTAGAACCGCCACTGCTGCAACCAGTTCGACATCAGGGCCACCGAGATCGGCCCGAGTGTTCTCATCATGGCGCTGGCCTCTTGCGTGCGCTTCACCTCCAGTGCCACGACCAGCGAATTCTCGCTCAGCAGGCTCTTGTAAAAGTCCAGCAGTTTGAGTCCCGGTTTCTGCGCTACATCCGCCGGAGTAGGCTTCTCGATCTTCTCTAGCTCGCCGACCCATTCGGCCAGTTCGACTAGTTCCAGGGTGTATTTCTCATGGATGGCCGGGATCAGCGAGGACCACGGCGCCGTGGACGGGTTCGTTACATGGAAGGCAGAGCAAAGGTCCAGGGATCGATTGGCATGACGTGTGTTGACGAGCTCCATGATGATCGAAGAGAGGGTGTCCTGAAATGATTGACCATCAGAAATGTACTTTCATATTGATAGTTAGAAATAGGAAAAGGGGTCCTACCACCGGGATCCAATCAATTGCCATCGATCCCAGCCGATTGGGGACCTTACCCAGCGCCTTCGACGTAGCGATGATCGTGGGCAGCCATTCGTGCGGATTCCACTGTCCGCTCGGGGACGTCGGCCCTGCGATCTGTCCCACGCGATAAATCGTCGTCGCCACGCGGCTTCGCCGAGAAGCTTCTAGGCAGATGCGCTCACCTACATGTTTGGACTCGCCGTAGCCTTGTGCGAGAGCCACCGCGTAGTCTTCCATCGGTACTTCTGGTACTGACGATCCCATGGCCGAGGTCCATGCCCCGACTGCACTGATAGAAGACACGAAGTGAAGATGCGCGTTGTGCTTGCTGTGGATGCTGAAGTCGACGAAGCGCCGAACTCCGCGGATATGCGTATCTTCAAAGGAATCGACCGTGTGATTGAAGTCGACTTTCCAGGCGTTGTGGATGATCGTGTCCACTGATTCCAGTAGCTCTTGGTATTTGGCTTCGTCGAGACCGAAACGCGGGTCCCCAAAGGTGACCTGTAGGAAATCTAGCTTCTTCCATCCATTTTCATCGACGTGCAGTCCTTTCTCTTCGAGGCCTTTCTTCTGGCGTTGTTCCGCGTCGGATCGGTTCAAGCAGTAAATCTTCGTCACGGACTTGTTGACAAGAAGGCTGTTGAGCAGGTATGTCCCTAGTGAGCCCGTTGATCCGGTGAGAATCACGGTGGAGGGCGCATTCGTTGTATTCTGCGGGAAGTTCTGGTCGCGTACGGGGAGATCGGCCGTGTACTTATCTATCAGACCCTTAATCTTCTCCTGTCGGTTGATGTTGGTCTGCCTTGCCTTGCCTTCGAGTATTTCGCAAACGACCCGCGACAACTGCTCCACGGTCGGGTTGCCATAGATCGTCTGTGGCGTCAGAAGTGCTGCTTTCACATCGGGCCAGCGCATTTGAATGCCCTTCTGCAGCATCCTAGAGATCTGGATGGTCATGAGAGAGTCGAGCCCGGCAGTATAGAAGTTCTGATCAACGGAAATTTCAGATTTCTCCAACACGCGAGCAATCATTTGGCGGAGGTAGTCTCCAACGGTAGCTTGGTCGAGGGTTTCGGGAAGCTGGTGCTCCAATTCCTCCTTCAGACCAGCAACGTATATGGCATCAATCTCCTTCTCGTACTCCCGAATAGTAGCTTGCCGCTGCGTCGAGCCCTTCGGAGTCCTCTTGAAAGGCTTATTCTTCGAGCCAAGCCCGATGTGGTTCTTCATCACCCGGCCGTGTTGGGCGATGGTCTGGTTGGCCGCCTGCACGGATGGCCAGATCTCGTCGGTGAACGCCTTGACATCCATCTCTGGCATGTCGGGCCTTGGCTCGATCAGCAAAGCGGCCTGGAATCGAGATTGGCCGACGACTACTGCCCTCGAGACCAGCGGATGACTTTCAATCATTGTCTCCATCGTGACCGGGTTGAACTTCTCGCCGTTGCTCAAGACAATCACGTCGTCTCCTCGGCCGTAGAACTTCCATAGACCGGGGTTCGTGGGATGCGGAGTGAAGAGATCTTTCGTTCGATATGTGTCTACCTTCGGGAAGGTGTGAAAGATACCGGTGAAGTCCCGGTTCTCCTGTCGCTTGAAGACCGCCTCGTACAAACTCTCGCCCACTTGTTGCATATCAATCCCGGATTGCGGATGCCATTTAAAATAGTGCCAGTCGTCTGGGTTTTCGGGTACAATTGCTTGAAGCCAGCCGGCCTCACTGGATCCGATGATAGGCACCATCTTGGTGTACTTGCGTAGCCGCTCTCCAGTTTCTAACGCCAGCGGAGCGCCTCCAAAGTAGATGGCACGCATCTGTTTGATACAAGCAACCGCCTTGTCGTTCTTAATCATGTCTTCTAGCACAGACGGAGGGAAAACCCCCGTCTTGGGCTTACCCATTTTCATGAGCTCGGTCAAAAGGGTCACAGATAACGGTTTTTCAGGGCCAAGCAAGGCCGTTGTCCCATGGAAGACGGTGAAGAACAGACCAAGCATCCCCATAATATGGAAGAATGGCGTGATGGTCAGGATGAGATCCTTCTGGCCAAGCTGGAAGAAAATAGCGGGCTCGCCGCCTGCAGGCCATTCCATTCGAGAGATTGCATCCCACGTACCGATGAAGCCGTTCGTTAGATGCACTGGCTTAGGCATTCCTGTACAAATGTTAAGTTTAATTACTTTGGTAAATAGATATACGAGTGGGGCTACCAGTCGTTCCAGAGCTATGGATGATCAATACCGTGTCATCTTCGGCCTCGGCAAATGTCTTGGGGAATGGATAAGAGCCAAAGTCGCCCTCGGCATTGAGCATGGTCTTCAAGAAGGGGACCTCGAAGACTTCGATGCCGGGGGTAAAACTTTGAATCTCGAGAGCACGACCGCGACGCTCTGCGCTGGTGAAGAACTTGGTTACTCCAACGACTTTTAGAAGGTGGGCGTGAGCTTCGTTCGAATTTCTTATAGACGGGAAGAAAGCCTAGTGTTTGATCAATATTCTGCTCATGACCATTTCTGACCTTCTCACCTGATAGCCAAGTTTCTGACATGCGAGAATGAAGAACCAATAGCGTACGTCATTGGCCGCCATGTAAGTCAACGTCTCGCGGTTCTGCGCTGGCCCAATCGTCTTCTCAATCCAATTGCAAAAGAAATTCGTGGCGTTCGACGCCTGTTTCATTGTGACGGTCTGCAGTCCATCGGATAGCTCTGGTCCGTTCGGGATGATCGCAAATTTCCTGTCGGGGTCTGTTGCGGCTGCATCGTCAACGATCTTTGCCATAATCCGTTTCCCTGCTTGCTCCATTTTTGCGATAATAGGTAGAAGATGAAGATAATTGAATGAATGAAGAGAAACTACGCGTGTACAGGGCTACGATGAAAAAAGAGTATCAGCCGTGAAGCATGAGGAGGGGAGGGGCAAAAGGATCGATTTATAGGCCCCCTCAGCTCGGGATCTTCCTTTAAGGTCTGCCGAATGCTTCGTCATTATCGTATTTTGTACCACTGCAAGCCTAGATAAGACGGGGGGAGGGGGGGGCGGAGCGCGCTATAACCACTAGTAGTCAGGGGTCTAACTTACTGGACGAATTGCAGATCCTTGCTCGAATTAGACCTGGACAAATGGGTCCATGGGTAGTGACCCTCGCCCAAAACCCAAACCCAAGATACCCATGGGTATCTTGTTGGGAACCCGACCCACCCATCTGGGTACCCATGGGTACCCAAGAAATACCCATTCTGGCATAACTTTCCCAATTAGGATGCATAATTCGCTTACCTCAGCCTTATAATTTACGGTTTTTACAACTGTTTTGGTCATTACTTTAATTCATGAAGCTTTTCGACCACATCCTTTGTGAAAAATTAAGAAATGTGTCTGTAAAGAGATAAACTTGACACTGTAATGTTGCATTGAGTTAAGCTTATGGAAGTCTAACATTGGTGTGGTGGACAATTAGTAGTGTTGTGGAAAACTATGAGTCAAGAGAGAGAAATATATCTTGGATGCACAGCAAAGTATATGCACCTTCATGACCACAGCACCACCTATTTCTATTCACATACCTTACGCCTGTACAAAGGTTCTATTTTATTAAGTGATTCGCTGAGGCCTCTATTTATTTAGCTATTTATCTTATTCTATATTCTTGGCTTTGGGTAGGCTATAGAACCCTGTGGAGAGCCTCTAATCGAATGGACTAGATGGGAGCTTTGTCTTCATGAAAAAATTTTCAAGTTCTATGGGTACCCATAGCGCCAGAGGTAGCAGTGTATTCAAATCTTGCACTACTAAGGTTTGTTATCTCAATGCGGCATCAGTCCCTGCCTGACACTCCGCAAAGAGCTCGTGGATCACAGCACCCCTTTCGAATCCTGCAGCTTGGCTACTTTTGAAGTTGAGATCCTTGGGGCTATGCTTAGTTTACTTGGAGATTTGCACAGTCGAGGGGGTGAGATAGTTGAATTCTTTGCCGTTCGACAAGGGCTATACATTTTCCAGTCCACCTGTCCCTTGGACCGAGAGTTGAGCAAATGTACACCGAGCAGCATCCACAATCTGAAGGCGGTGAAGATAACCACCCAATCGTTGCTGGAGGTGGCAGATTGGCGAATCGAGATATGCTTGAGGGTAGGTGGTGAAATGGCGAGTTGTTACGTGGGTAAAAGGGCTTGTTCCAATCTGCTCATCGAGTGATCCAATTGCAGAGCTGTTCCCGATACGATAACTGCAGGATTTCTCTATATCGGTTATCGCATCGGCTACTACCAATACCTAAAACTTATCGGTTATCTGTATCGGCTCCCAAAATTTGCCACGATAATTAACGGCAGATAATTTTCAAGAGCCTACGTAAATGAGATATCGCGGTATAGATAAAACTTTAACACTGTGGGTGACCTTCTTTTTAGGGAAGGCCCCACTGTGGGGGATCTTCTTTTTAGGGAAGGCCTTTTACCATGGTTGTGCGGTGTCTCACTCGCTTCCATTTTACTATGTGGTTTTGTGGCATTTACCATGGTTTTGCGGTGTCCCACTCGCTTACCGATTACGTTAGCCATAACTAATTAGTTAACGATGCCTCTATCAGCAATAGACTAGAAGTGGGTATAAGGCTGACTTGCGCCAGGGACTATAGTCTACCGTACTTAGGCGAGGGAGGGCTCATCATCATCATCACCTCGAGCCTCTACAGTTTTCACAACTACTCTGCTGCAATGTCACCCACACAAGACACTTACGATTTCATTATTGTTGGAGGTCAGCTTGTCAAACCGTAATAGCGGCGTTGCCGCAGTCTGCTAACGCATCCCTAGTAATAAGGGCCAAAGCCACAATCGATTGCTAGCGCATCTATCGATAGAGAAAGGACTCGATGGAGAGGGAACGGAGAGAAGACGCTGCTGCAAGGCAAAGAAAATGGGAGATGTAGGTCATGTGAGTATGATGTGACCCAAATAGGCAAAAGAACAAACGAGGCCTTTACAGTCGAGTCTTTCTTCTCAGGCCTCAGCCTGTACTAGTGCCTAAAACTAAATATAGGCCGCTTCTGGCGAAGAGCTCGAGAGAATCGGCCAAGCTAGTGTGTTGTTATCCCATCTACAGTACCTGGGGGGCCTTCCCTAAAAAGGAGGTCCCCCACAGTGGGGCTTCCCTAAAAGAAGGTCCCCCACAGTGTTAAAGTTTTATCTGTACCGCGATATCTCATTTACGTAGGCTCTTGGAATTTACGATATGCTAAGCAGTCCACGATGTCACGGTGCTCTTGTCAGATGTTTCTGGGTAGCAAAGACGAGAATATAAAGCATGAGAAGAAAAACCTCCTTTGGCCCCCTGGTGAGCTTTCTTCCGCTTTATTCAAAACTACTCTGCTGCAATGTCACCCACACAAGATACTTACGATTTCATTATTGTTGGAGGTCAGCTTGTCATGATAAACCGGAAATGTCTTCGACTGACATTCTAATAGGTGGCCCGGCTGGATGTGCCCTTGCGGCATCCCTAGCCAAATCAGCCAAAAGGCCTAGCGTGCTTCTGCTAGAGGCTGGTGGGCGTAATGATGACCCATCCTTGCGGGTTGATGGGAAACGATGGACGACCTTCCAGATGGAGGACATGAACTGGGGATACAAAACCGTCCCGCAGGAGCACTTGAACGGCCGCAAACTCGACTATTCTCGCGGCAAAGGTCTGGGAGGTAGCACCGCTATCAATTTCGGTGTGTACATCACCGGGGCACAGGATGACTACGACGAATGGGCCGCAGAGGTCGGGGACGACACTTTCAGGTGGGAGAATATGCAACGCCGGTTCAAAAAACTAGAGTCGTTTGATACAACAGTTCATGTGCCCGAACACGAAAAATATGTGAAACCCAAGGCCTCCGATCATGGATCTCAGGGTGCCCTACGCTTGGCCTTTCCAAGAGAGTGGGAGAAAGACGTGCCACTCGTGCTAGATGCCTATGAGCAAGCAGGCCTTGAACGAAACCTAGATCATAACTCGGGAAATCCTCTCGGTATGGCATTGATGGTCAACTCATCTTACCAGGGACAAAGGATAACTGCAGCCGATTTGCTGATTGGTGTCCCGGACAACCTACTTGTTCTAACCGAGAGCCCCGTGCAGCGGGTTATCTTGCAGGACAAGAAAGCAGTGGGAGTGGAAGTATGTGGAAAGCAATGTAGGTTATACTTTGGTCTTGAAACTCCGTGAGGCCAGCTCCTAACTATTTTTGTAGACCTCTCAGCGAAGGAAGTTATCTTGTCAGCAGGCAGTCTCGACAGCCCTAAAATCTTGATGCACTCTGGGATTGGACCAGCCGCACAGCTCCAGAGTTTCAATATTCCAGTCGTTCAAGACCTCCAAGCAGTCGGTCAAGGTCTTAAAGACCACTACTTCGCTCCACTCATTGTGGCGCGAAAGCCCGAGACCAATGACCGCAATGCGTTTTATCAGGATGAAGCGGTCATGAATGCTGCATCTGAGCTATGGCAAGCAACTCACACCGGCCCTTGGGCTCGATATGGCTGTCAACTTACAGGTGGATGGTTCAAGTCGGACCGTATAACGTCTTCCGATGAGTTTAAAGCATTACCGAAGTCAGCCCAGGACTTCATGAACCGCAAGACGATTCCACATTACGAAATCACGTCCCATTTGCCTATCCATTTGATCTCTCCCGAACTATTCCAAGACTATAGCTACGTCTGCTTTGCAGTCTTCATGATGAATGAGCAATCAAGTGGCGAAGTTCATCTCCAGTCATCCAACCCGGACGACCCTTTGTTGTTTGATCCGAAGTTCCTCGAGCACCCGTTTGATCGTCAAGCCTGCATCCAGATCTATCGGCATCTCATGGATATTGCAAAGCATCCTGCATTTGCAAAAGACACAGTCTCCACTATCGTTTCACCGTCTTCTGAATCGGATGAGGACATCCTGGAATTCTGGAAAAACAACCTCTCCTCGAGCTGGCATATGACGGGCACTGTGAAGATGGGAAAGCCGGGTAATGCTGAGGCGGCTGTCGACAGCCAGTTCCGTGTCTTTGGCATTGAACATCTCCGCGTTGCCGACATGAGCGTCGTTCCCGTTCTCACCAACAACCACACGCAGGCCACGGCCTATGTCACAGGGTCTACTTGTGCGGACGTGTTAATTCAAGAATACGCACTGGATGCTTTGTAGTGTATCTCGAGAGCCATATATTGAGAGGGCTCAGGCCCAGGAGGGGGTCACGTGCCTGGTGTTTATATTGTTTGCCACAACTGTACTGAATAGGGATGGGGAAATGTATTACAAAATTTCGAATTTACTGCAATTTGGCCTCATGAAATGAAATTTGAAACGGGCCTTGAAATTTGAAATCTCAAGCTAATCCCAAAAGAGCATTCCGTATCCACCAATCAGAGCTCGATAATCACATGATCTTCCTACCTCGCCGCGGCCGCCGAGTAGGCTGATCGCCGTGATCTGCCGGTCTGGTTAATGTATTCTGCCCAAACAAAATGGCTGGAGGCAAAATGGCCTCTGGAGCGGACCAGCATGATGATGATGCTGACCATCATGGCCGTTTGGCTCCAGTAGATGAGCCACTTGTTGACGATGGGCACGAGCGGGTAGGCAAACATGGTGAAGAGCATGCCGGCCAGCATGAAAAACATATACAAGAGGTAGACCATCATCCAGCGTTCAATCTCAAAGGTGGGATGCGTGATGACCACAAAGCCGAAGATCTGCTGCGCATTCGTGCTGGCGATGCTGGCACAGGCACAGATCCAGGACATGCAGTTGGCCGTGCCGGTCAACATAGACAGGAAACGCGCATACTTCGGAGAGGCGACTCGAGCTGTCCAGTAAAAGGGTCCGCCCGAGGTGGGATAGGCCGAAATCAGCTCGGCAATCGACGCCGCAACACAAAAGGTAAAGGTTGACACAAAGAGGAATCCATACAGCGCAGCTGCCGGTCCGCCTTCAGCAATCACTAGTGTGAGACCTGCTCCCGCAAATGCCTAGGTCGAAGCCAACCCGAGACCCATGCCGATGACCTTTTGCAGACTCCATCGTCTCACCATCTGCTGTTCGTAGCCTACGATCTTCGCGAGGACGATGGCATCATTATCGTCCTGGACCTTTGATACCACCACGTGAGGGTTGCTCGACTGGGCACTGATTTCATCCATAGTGTAACGGCAACGATGATGATGATGTTGATAAACGGCTAATCCGGAGTGACTCCTGAGTTCAACCCTGTTGGCTTTCGTCGTGGTTCCGGCATCACATTTGTAAAACTATCCAGCACGTCTCAGAAGCTTTTAGGTGGATCAATTGATATCAGAAGTAGATAGGTCGAGCCCACGCCCATATGAGCCTTTAAATCAAATTCAGCCCTAACAACCATGGATCTTTGTCAGTGGACACGACAACTATCTGGTATAAAGCCACACAGGCAGTAAGTACTTGCTGCAATTCTGCGAGCCGACTCTCGGAGAGTTGCCGCGTTTTCTGGGGGTTCTTTTGGTTTATCGCCCTATCGGCCGATCTCACTCGGCTTATCGGCAGACTACCTTCGTCCCTTCTTCGTCCCTATTCAAGCCTTATCGGCCATCGGCCATTGGCTACCGCCCTTGGCACATGGTTCAGTCGATGTTGCGATTTTGCCTTTTGCTGAATCAGGTCGTCGAGGCTGCGCGGATCCATCATTTTTCGGTTTGGCGGTACCCGCCCACTGTAGCCGGGCCCTCACCGCTCTCGCTGGTGAGGGCCCTCCCCAGCACAATTATATTTCAGCGTAATTATAAGTGTTGTAGTTCAGAGGAATTGTTAATAATATTATTTCCGAGGGGATACAAGAGGCTATATATACAACATAGAGTCCAAGTTGATTAGAAATCAACTTGGTTCTTCGTATAGATATTGCAGGAATTATTTCCGATGTTGCGGCTTTGTTCCTGAGCACCACGTGCCTCATATCACAACAATTACGACGGGGAGGCTCCCCAACTCCTAGCGCAGTTGGGATACAGACTTAGCGCTAGGTACAGGAATAACCACATATGAAGCAGCGTATCATGTGATTAGGGTTTGAAAGAGCATTTCGATGTTTCCGACATAGAAGGCACCGTTATCGCCACTATAACATTCTCTTAAAGAGATAAAGTCTGAAATACAACAGAACTAGGATGCATCGGGACACGACTTCTTAAAAACATACTCGCCCCCAAGTCGGACCCCCAACTGCTGCACGCGGTGTAGGGTCCGACTTGGGGGCGAGTACTTGGGAGAGGCCTTGAATCTACCGGAATTTGCCGGAGATAGTCGGGATGATGCACCTTGGTTCACAAAACTATAAATTACACCACTTACTCTAATAAAAACTCTAGAGTGGTCTATTCCACCTTACTCTGGACACCATAGGGGATTTGATGCCATAGTACGCTGATATTTTATCCATGGAATCTGTGGAACACTAGTCTAAAGCAGCTAGCCGAAGGACGTGCCTCGTCTCCGAGAGTCAAGGTCAATCACGGAAGCAAACTGAGAACTGCTAAATACACTCGAACAAAGCTCTTGCTAAAGTTTATAACAACGAATGGTGATATGACTTCTGCAAGGGGCAGCGTACCACGGCGTCAGAGGACTTTTCACTTTGTGAATGCGCACCCGTTTTCAGACACCGAAAGCTTTGAGACGCGTCATTTTCTTCGGTCACATGTGGGCAGCTGGGTCTGGCAGCAGATCAAACAGAAATCCACGATATCAGAAACTGATGAGCCTAGGGAGCGTTCTCAATGTGCCAACCTCTCTACAAACAATCCCGATTGGACTAGCGTCGAAGATATAGGCGATGTACCTGGATCATCTACAACGAAGGGCGCCCAGGATAGTGGCGGAGGAGTTGCTCTCATCACGAGCGAAAATACACTGCATGGATCGGATTCGCATCCATCTAGGTCGTTGTATACGCCGCTATGTACGATTGATCATATCGGCAATGCTACGTTGGACCCGTTCCAGACGTTCTCGTCAGATTTCGACCCTATGCTTGTCAATTGGTGCAACATATATAGTTCGTTCGATACTTTCGCCACAGATCAGTACAAACACTAATATCTCTACAGATCTGACGGTCTTATGGCCTGGTCTCATACCGAGCTCCCCGAAAGGCTGCAAAAACTCGGCCATATCGCGTTGGTTTCAACTATCTTGGCATGAACCTACCCTTTTTACCACCTTCCTATTCAGTGCAGTATTTCACTACCAACAATTGCGTTTGCGCAATGAAAGCAAGCACGGTAATATGCATACACCTCTGGAGAGGAAGGTCCTAGAACGTTTTGAGTTCGAGTCGATTAAGAGGGTCAAACAAGCGATCCAAGATACGACCCGAGCTGTCAGCGATGCAGTTATTCTAAGCGTCGGTTGCCTGGCGAACAATAGACGAGACGAGTTGCTTAGGGATGAGAACACAAACTCCCCGTTTGAACCACCCTTGCGAAACCTGCAGTGGCTGGATATCTACGGAAGCCTATCACCAAATGACATCCATTTATCCGGCCTCGCGCAACTTGTCGGTCTGCGAGGAGGACTGCAAAACATTGACCTTTCTGCGCTCGCCCCAATTCTTTGCTGGTAAGCATATCATATGCCAGTTGATTGATAGGATCGACTATACTAACATCTCAATATAGCTCAGATATTTTGGCTTCCAGCAAGATCTTATCACACCCCAAATTTCCCTTTTGTCCACTACAAGGAGACCAGAACCATACACTACAAAGCCAGCTTGGCTTCGGATCGGCCGATCTGGAAAATGGATTTATGCAGCTGTGTCATATTGGATTCACAGCGCAGCTGGCCGAGGTCTTACAGGCCGCGAAAAGTTACATTTCTATCGTCAAAAGATATCACGAGGGATGTATAGTTCAACCTGACTTGCGCCAAATCAGCGACCAGCGCAACCTTGTACAATACCACCTCCTCGCTCTACCATCAGCGGAGCACCTTGGTCAGAGCTTTGCCTATTGTTCTTCAGTTTACGAGATCGCTCGCCTCGCCGGACTAATCCTCGGCGTTGGCGTGATTTTTCCACTGCCTGCTGAGACATCGCCGTTTTCGTCCCTTATAAAGCTCTTGCAGATTGAGCTACAACGACGGTCCATCTTCAAATCGAGCTGGTGTACACCGGATGTGGTCAGGGTGCTCATTTGGGCCCTAATGTTGGGTGGTATAGCGGCGAAGGGCTACCCTGAGAGGCCATGGTTTGTTGCTGTGCTCCGTAAGGTTGCTGTGCATTCTGGTCTATGTCGATGGCAAGATCTTAAGCAAGTTCTAGAGCTCATGGTATGGCTTGACACCGCCTGCGACCGCGCAGGGAAACAATTATGGGACGAGATTTGGCCTTGACATACCCATGGGTTTTCCATGAAAAATACGGCGTGTTATAGTAATGTAAAGTACCTTTATATATACCCGCCCCCTAGAAGTCGGGCCCTCACGCGACGTGACAACCAAGATATCGAGATGTCATATTGGTTTCAGTGCTACGCGTTCGACGTTGTTTAATGCGTCACTTTTGGAGAGCGGTTTGGTAAGCTAGCAATCATCGTTCATTCTCAGCTTCTAACTAGGTAATATGTAGGCTTTTTGGATAGAGGCGAGGATGGAGCGTGCAGCCCTCAAATTACCTTCAGAGAAGCTCAGGACCTTTCATACTTCCAGGCTTTCATGAAAGAGGTCATGCGGATGCATTCAGCCTCGGGATTACCTCTTTGGCGAGTCATTGCTAAGGGAGAGGTTTTTATAAACCCTCACGAGTTCCGACCTGAAAGATGGATCGATTCTGATGAGATAAAACTGTCTGCAATGAATGAGATGTTCATCCCGGTAAGCACCTGCCTATAATAGTAGTAGTCCTCTGTTGACTTACTGATGATATCGACACACAGTTCGGAGCCGGCGCAGGGATATGTATTGGAAGACATGTCTCTCTCCTAGAGATGCAGAAAGTTATTCCGATCCTGGTAACAGATTTTGATTTTGAGCTCACTGTCCCAGAGCGCGATTGGGATACGGTGAATTATTGGTTCATCAGACCCAAAAAGTTCCGAGTGCGAGTGTCCAAGAGGGCGCGGACCTGCGTCGAGCGCAGTCACGTGATCTAAACGTTTGCACTGTTTGTATGACTATCTATACATTTTAGTTTCTGTCAAGGATTGGAATTCCTACCCAGGTCACAAGCTGGATCTTTTATATAAGATAAAATATCACACTTGTACCTCAATTCAGAGCTTCAACTCCAAAAGCCGCAGGCTACCACAACTATATATATCCATAATTTCCAATAAAGAGAGGCCAAAATCCGCATTGGAAATCAAATCCATCCTCACCGACTTGGCGCGATCCCAACCACCCCATTTAATAGAGGTCAGGACGAGATGAGGTTGGAAAGCGGGTGAGGCAGAGCAGGCAGTATAGATTCAGTACAACAAACTGATTCTTGGGGGCCCTCGAGTCCCCCAAAATCAAGAGGTCCTTTAAGTACAGTAGACAGCGATGTAGTCTCGCATAAAGCCTAAGATGAGCGATTGACTGATATCACAACAAGCAAGCTAGACAGCGATTGACCAGGTATCAAACACAAAATCCAGCAAGAAGAAGAGTAACGCGATTGAAATCCATCAAAACCATTCATTTTGCCCTCAGCTAGTCAAGAGCCCCTTAAGCATTCTTCCGCGGTGGCCTAGTTACTCTTAAAGTAGTTGAAAGCCACCACAGGCCCTAGACCAATCTCCTTTGTCCAGGCATCGAGATCATACCGCGTACGGTTCCGTATGCTCAGGTTCTTGCCATCAGCCGGAGCATACTTATTGGCATCAAAGTCGGCCGGTTCCTCATACAGGAAGAACATATACCGGTGGGGCGAGCTACCTGGCGGTGGAGCCGGGCCGATGTAGTTCGCAATGAAGGGGCCACTGGTACCGAGCGCCGAGGACTCGGATGCCTTGACACCCGGCTGTATCCAGTGCAGAATGGGTCCGAGGACTCTAAATGACGGGAAAGGAGCGTCCAAGTCAAGACCCACGACCAGATAGGTCTTGGAGGGCGAAGCTCCGGTAAAAGAGAGCTCCGGGGGCGATTGAGCGTCTGTATAGATCTTGTTAAACAATGTTTTTGATATAAAGGGCTTGGCATATTATGCACCTAGGGTTCGTACCGGCGCGAGGAATGTACTGTCCCGGCTGGACGTTCTGGTGAGATCCCACTGTCAGGCTCAGGATCTTGGACTGGTCGTTCTTGATGAGCGAGAAAGCAGCTTGAATACTCGTGTCGGAAGGCATCTTGGTCGCATTCACGTGCGGAGAGGTCAAGCAAGGTATTGTTGAAGCCAAAAGTGAGACTGGTTTCTTGCAAAAGTTAAAAATGGTGAAATATTCAAGTCACGCAGTCAAGCATCGACAAGCTTCGGAGATAAGCGGAGTTTATAACGTATCTCTACGCAAACGACTTTGCGACCGCACACCGCACCCGTGACTAGACCTCGCCAAGCGCGAGTTTTGGGCGATTTTCGCTGTCAAGAACCCGCCCACGGGTAAGCTGCGCGGGCTTTGGGCATTCAGAACCCGCCCGTGGGTTCTTGGCGGGTATCCATGGGTAGACCCAAATTACCTAAAGTTAGAATAATTGGTGCCATGCTTTTGCTAAGGCGATACGATGCAATGTAGATCTAGTGTAGATATATACATAATATAAAAGTGTTGAACATGCTCTATATTATTAGCGCTCCATCAGTGTCGTATCGTCTCCACTCAAAGCCACCAACGAGGTCATACAGCTTCCTTTATACTTCGCTACATTCCAAAGCAGCATAATAGCAAGAAATCAGAGAAAATCCTTACTGAGAGGTGATTTCTTTCCAACTTGCAATTTGGGGTCGGGGCGGGTTTTGGGTACCCGCGGGTTGATGCGCCTAACAAATAGATAGATCCAAAGCCCACGACGCGACAAGAAGAAAAACCAAAGGCCAGATCTCAACCGCACAAGATGAAATTCGTCCTTGACACCAGCGACAAGAGTCGTAACTATGGCATCTCCCACCACTGTCTCCGCGGTCAATTTCTCGGATTCGATCTAGTAGGCCCTTATGAAATTTTCGTCTGGCGTCAAGAAATTTACCAAAGTACAACTTAAAGAACAATTGTTCAAGACCATCACTTGCTTAAGACTGCCTTTCTAAATCGTGGAAGATCCTATGTTCTAAGGCCTGTTCAATCTGATCCACTCCGGACCTCAGGAATTGGGTTTCCTTCAGCAAAGACAACGCTTGCGTGATGCGAGAGCCACAATGCCGTTAAGCAGATTGCAATGTATTAGACAGGATCATAAATGAATATGAAATTCTTTTGTCCTTCTTTCTCTGCATGCCTCCACGAAGGCTCTAGAATCGGTGTATTCAAAGATCAAACCAAGCGAATACAATGGTCAAAGGGAAAAACTACCACACAAGTTCATGTTAGGTGACCGGTCAACTTTTTTTGCTTTTGCGGGTTATATGAGTACCCGTTTGGGTGTCGGGTTTTCCAAATCAGAACCCGCCCACGGGTCGGGTCGGGTTCTTGGCGGGTGGGTTAGGTTTTGGACGGGTTTTGGCGAGGTCTAGATCCTTATAGGGGGCCGCCCGTCGGATAAACATCCGCAGGCCCGGGCTGCGGGCTCGTACCGTGATAGTACTCCCCTCCTTAGGACCGAGCTCCGTCGAAGTGAGGCTTAGGCTTGTGAGGTTATCGATGGTGGGAGTTCTGAACTATCTCTTGTGCGTTTCCAGGGAGTGCGCAGGTTACTCGGCTGGCTCGTCGTAGCCAGTCCATTTGATAGTGTATTTCAGGCGGGGGCCTCCGCGACCTCCGTTGCCAGCGGGAGTCCAGGATATCTTCGACTAGCCACTCTTCTAATTGACGCTGGCCGGGCAGCGGGTTCTCAGAGGCAGGGCGGAGCAGGTTGACGTTAAAAGACAGGGTGAATTCTGAATACTCCATACTGGGTGGCAGTTCAAGACCCACTGTGGGGGACCTTCTTTTAGGGAAGGCCCGCTGTGGGAGATTTTCTTTTAGGGAAGGCCCGCTGGGGGGATCTTCTTTTTAGGGGTACGCATACCGAATGCTTCTAGGATCCGGAATGTGCCAAGGTTCTTCCAGTCGTTTCTTCTGGGCACGTTATCGTTCGGATATTTCGGGCATCTAACCAGACTTACTGGCCGACGTGGACCTGATGGGTAGACCTTGGCAGTAATAATTTAGTGTTGACTTCGAAATCCAAAGTCCCGAGCGCAATAGAGCCTGTTAGGACAATAGAATAAATGTCAGCACCCTTGATTTTAGCAGTTATAAACCACAAGACTCTGCTGGTGAAATACAAAGAGGAGGGTATCAGGCCTCAGGAATCCCTCAGCTTGATACACCGTTAGGTTTGCACCCTCTGTCCCACTTGGCAGGGATTTCTTTACTAGAGACGGCTACGAAGACATATCGTTATTCTTTTCTTTCTCTACGCTTGACGTTTCGATAGAGAGACGCCACACAGTTTAATTCCATTGGTATTTTCATTTATTCGTGACTGGTGCGTCACATGGCCTACAGGGCATTTCAAAATTGTTTCCTTCTTCTTGAAAGCCATACGCATCCACGTCACAGATTCATCATTTACGAAAATGTGTGTGCAAAGAGGTTTGAACTGCCGATCCAGCTTCTGTGATATGTCTGCGAGATTGAGAAGGTCGTGGCGGCCCTAGCCCTCAGGCTACGCCTCGAGCAACCATTTCACTCCCTCGGCCAAGTCACTGTAAAATTCCCTTGACTTCGATATCTGAGGGAACAAAATCCAGAAGCCATGTGGGACCTTGTCATAAATGTCCAATTTTGTCTCCACGCCTGCATCTTCCCTCAAAACCTTTTCATAGATCAAGCCCTCATCTCTTAACGGATCTAGCCCACATACTTGGATATAGTGCCTTGGCAACCCCTTATGACTTGGACTTAGTAAAGATGAGAACATTGGAGACTTGGGATCTGGCTTGTAATTATCTGAGTTTGGTAGTCAGTATTAGTAGAAGGTCGAATATGGTGGGAGACAATGGGTGTGAGGTGTCTCATACCTAGGAAGAGCTCGCGCAACCTGGCATTCAGAATAGGTGCATCCGCATTCTCCACATAGCTCTTCAACTCTTGCGTGTACCTTTCTGGCACTGCGTCAGGGTGTACAACTGGTGGAACACTGATATAGACGCCTGTAAGTGGTGGTGATAGTGCTTCTGTGACTGCTAAGTGCGAGGCAACTGTTGCAAAATTTGCTCCAGCAGAAGATCCTCCAACAATAAAGCCCTTTTTAGGATCGGATCCTAACTTATACGCATTACGCGCGGCCTATCAACATCTGTTAGTAACATGGCCCCTGGCATCTTTGAAGGGGGAAACCCTTGAATATTCAATACTAACCCATTTCAAGGCATCGTATGCATCCTGTACTGGCACCGGCCATGGGTATTCAGGAGCAAGCCGATATTCCACGTTTATAATGATGGCCCTAAACTTCTGAACAAACATCCTGCATTCGTTCTCAATACTGGCTGCATTACCAAAGCAGTAGCCACCGCCGTGGTACATGACAAACAGCGGGCCACTTTCCGCGTTCGTCCCAGCGTCCTTGGGCCGATGAATGCGGACGCTGATTTCTGTGCCATCGCGAACTGGAATTTCACGGTTTTCTTCAGATACATCTGTTGGGGCAGAGGAGGTGAGCCTGAGACTTTGCGAATGCGCTACCAAGGCACGGATATCAGCGATCGAGTTGAATTCTGGCATGGCAGGCATTGATGCAAAACACTGCGTTCGTTATAAAATGTTGACCTGGATAAGGTTGGAGAGTTCACATACCTGTGCCAACTCCGAATCCATACTGAGCGAATTAGACGACATATCAGCTACTTGAGTATTATCTTTTTTTTTCTTCCTCTTCTCTTACTGTCGCTCTAGCTAAGTCAGCTGTACTTATAGCCTGAATGAGTAGCTGACATATTAACACGATAATGCGATATTTCCCCGGTTAACCGAAATGCCGCGGCTCAAAACCCGGAAGTTTCCGTCGAATAGAACGGATTCACATGTGTTCGATCACCTGTTTCAGTGGTATTGTCCTGTCACCCTGATACGCACTACTCATGCATTGGGGTTAGACCTGTATCTATACTGGAAGACGCGCGCATTGCGCGCATCAGCCCTGAAACGAAGAAGTAGACAGTGGAGACGGAAAGGGCAAAAGAAACATTGAATCGTGTGGATTGATCTTGAGTTAAATGTAAATCAAGATTGACCAATGGGAGAGGAAATTCGTGCCAAGCTACCGAAGACTAGATCCCGCTACTTCTATCAAGACGCATCGCTACTCAGTCGACCGCGTGCAACGAAAGAGGAGGTGCGATACGTCTCAATCAAAAGACACAGATAGACAAATGGCTGTCGTCTAGGCCGATCCGGTGGAGACAACTAGCGAGCCTGGCTTGATCCGTATGGAGTGAGCGAGGGTGGATTCCTGATGCCTTCTTCCGGTCGAGCCTACCGTACAGTATCTTTTGTGAAACATCTAGGGAGAGTCTAGAAGAGCCGGCGAGTGAAGTTGATCCCAAGTCCACCGAGGATGGCCAACCTCTCGATTCTCTACTTTCGCCTCCCGGACTATGAGATGCGCATGCTCTGCGCATTTATTGTCGTGCCGACGACTGTAGCATGTTTGTATACGCCTTCTCTAATAGCTCTATGCCCGTCAGGGACTGCCCTCCTCGGAGTTGTGCGGTTTATAGTGAGCACAGCATAAGGCTTTCGAAGGGATACCTGGGGGTGGAGTAAATCACAGCTATTGGCCGAGGCTCTTTCCCGTTGGGCTGTCATGATAGCACCATCTGCTTCTCCCTCTTCCCTACCAATCACAATGATACCAGGAACACATTTCTCGTTAACAGAAACCACCCTATCCATGTTGTTTTGTGGCATTTACTATGGTTTTGGGGTGTCTCATTCGCTTCCATTTTACCATGGGTGTGCGGTGTCTCACTCGCTTCAGGGGGATCTTCTTTTTAGGGAAGGCCCACTGTGGGGGACCTTCTTTTTAGGGAAGGCCCCCAGGTACTGTAGATGGGATAACAACACACTAGCTTGGCCGATTCTCTCTAGCTCTTGCTAGAAGCGGCCTATATTTAGTTTTAGGCACTGGTACAGGCTAAGAACTGAGAAGGAAGACTCGACTGTAAAGGCCTCGTTTGTTCTGTTGCCTATTTGGGTCACATCATACTCACATGACCTACATCTCCCATTTTCTTTGCCCCGCTGAAGCGCTTTCTCTCGCCAAGACTTGAAATATAGTAGCGCACGTGACCTTGCACTAGATTTATTACTATCATATCCATCTAGTTAACATATTAAAACAAAATATTTCAAATTATATTATGGTAGTTACTTTAGTATAACGGTGACAGGTGTAAATGATAGTAGATGAGGTAAGCGAATTGTACATCCTAATTAAGAAATTTATGCTAGAATGGGTATCTCATGGGTAAGTTATTATTTCGGCCGACACAAGCTTACGTGAGGGCGAGCAACGAGCATCACTATATAAACCCCATGATGGCACCACCTGTGGATGAGGGGGTAATAAGTGAAGCCTTCTTTAGCCACCTGTAAGCTGCACGGCTAACATGTCATCGCAGTCTGTTTTCGACTTCGTCGTTGTGGGCGGTACGTTCCTTCGGTCTCGCCGTGCCCCTTCTTTTCCCACTTCAAACTTCGTTTCTGAACTCAACTGACAGGTCTTGTCTGGGACTTAGCTGGTCCCGCTGGTTCCGTCATTGCGGCGCGGCTGGCCAAGACTTCCACAGCGCCTCAAGTGCTTCTGCTCGAGGCGGGCGAGCTCAATGTCGAGCTAACGCACCGTGTCGCCGGGGCACGATACACATTCTGGAACACGGAGGATGGTGCCAAGTACAACTACCGCTACAAGAGTGTGCCCGAGCCTGAGCTGGCCCGGCGCGAGTTGGTGTACGACCGTGGTCATGGGCTAGGCGGCTCGACTAGCATTAACATAGGCCTCTGGGACTATGGGCGTAAGGAAGAGATGGAAGAATGGGCGAGACTTGTGGACGACGATGCTTGGACCTGGAACGGCCTGCTGACAAGGATAAAGAAAGTAGGTGTCAAGACTGTGTCAAGGCTCTGTGGTCTACAAATACTCAGCTAGCGAACGGCCGCCTTGCAAACTATGGCTAGGCGCCTTAGGACAGCGTCATGGTATTCGACTATTCAAAGGTTGTGAGAGGGCTGACTTGAGAACGAAACAGATCGAGCGCTTCCATAATGATACACCTGCAGAGTTCAGGGATGGCCCGGATCCAGCAAATCATGGCACGAATGGGTCTGCGAATCCTTTTCTTATCAGGACAACCGGGAGCAAAGCTGTTGACTGTTTAGCAGACCCCTTGACGTTACTCTTCCTTCTACTTGGACGCCTGGCTTACAGATAGTCCTCGATGGAGCAAAGAAGTACGGTGTAAGTAGCTCAGAGAACTCCCATACGTGCGCAGTGCGGGATTGGAACAAGCTCAATCTAATGCTAACCCTTCACAAGTTTCCGGTGCTCTCGAGTCTGTATTCGGGGAATCTTGGGATGGGGGTTGTTGCTTCCACGACGTATAAAGGTTTACGAACGACGGCTGCCACAGCCTATCTAACCGACGCGCCTTCCAACCTATCTATCAAGACCGGTTCTATTGTTGCCCGGGTTCTATTCGACGGCAAGAAGGCGGTAGGGGTGGAGCTCACCGATGGCACTAAATGTCTGTTGCATCTTTTTCATTTACCTGACTGACAAGGAGATCTATGGCTTGGAATTGATCCGCTGACGATAGGCCTGGTAACCCCGTTTTGATAGACTTCGCATCTAAAGAAATCATCCTATCCGCAGGCGCCATCGATACTCCCAAGATCCTCCTCCTATCGGGGGTCGGTCCCCAGGAAGAGCTAGCAAAACATTCCATCCCTGTTGTCTCGAATCTCCCTGCAGTAGGACGGAACCTGAAAGACCATTACTTAGTTCAATTACAGGCTTTAGTTCGACCTGGCACGGTGCCTAACGTGAGCTTAAGCGACCTAGCTAGTTGGCAGGCGCAATGGACTAAGGACCAGACGGGACCCTTGGCGCTGGACCCGGGCATGTTGGCCTTGGGGTACTTCCAACTCGACAACCTAGCGACGTTCCCTGAGTTCCAGCAGCTTGATGAGCGAACCAGGGTTTTTTTGACGCGACCTCAGACGGCGTCATATGAGTTGGGAGTGGCAAGTCATTCCCTCGGTATATATTGAGGACAAACACTGACCGCTGCAATCTCGCAATTTATAGGCGATCGTCCCAATCCCGGGAGCTGAAAAGGGTATCATACAAGCCAGCGTCATCCTGATGAACGCCCAATCTAGCGGCCGGGTCTCACTCAAGAGTTCCGATCCTATCACACCACCCATACTCGAGCTGAATTATCTCCAGCATCCGTATGACCGTCGGGTATACATCGAGGCCATTAAAAAGGCGGTGGATTACATGTTCAACTCCGACATGCCCGTAACCGAACAGATCCAGGGTCCAAAGAGCACGTCTGACAATGACATCTTGGTGAGCGCCTCATTACTACTAAGGCTTGTGAGTGAAGGGGCGTTAGCTGACCTAATTCGTACGCGTAGCAATTCCTCCGGGAGCATATCGGACCCGCTTGGCACGCGTTGGGCACCGTCAAAATGGGAAAGGTCGACGAGGACACGACCTGCGTTGATCCTGAATTTCGTGTCGTCGGTCTCAACAACCTGCGTGTCGCCGATATGAGTGTTTGTCCAGTTGTTCCTAGGCAAGTACCAGACGAGACTCTCAACCAAACATTAGACTGATCTACGCAGGCTAACTGTCATGTCTGCAGCAACCACACCCAGTCGACCGCGTATCTCATTGGCGAGGTGGCCGCGGACAAATTGATCAAAGAGTACAACCTGTAGAATTGTGCTGCAAAGGCCTATTCTTGCCGAGGCTCTGTAGTGCACTCAAAAGGAGTGTGGGAAAGCTATAATACAATTATAACGCCCATGAACTCAGTACCCAGTCATATCAATTAATTGTTGTCCCTTAGTACTATCACAATCAAGGTAGCAGCTAAGTCCATGCACCGAGAGCGAAAGGCATCCAGATCGCCACCAGCTGGTCTGCAAGGAGTGGTATAGTGAGCGTGGGAGGCTGTATATGGGATACCTTGATCCATGATGAGAACAATGCAATCACCAGCTACTCTGTCACTCTTGGCACAAGCATGGAGCAGAATCCATATATGGATGAGCCTAGTCGACCTCATCCTGGAGGAAGGGAACTGAGTCAGTATGACGTGGGCCCCTAAACACCCCGACTTTGTGTTGGGAATGAAGGTGAGGGCGGCGGCTCGGGTAGCAATGATAGAGGGATTTAAGCCAGACAAATTACCATATCGACCGCTACTACCGCACCATCTACCGCATCTGCGTTTCCGAGGTGGTGGGTGTGAGGCCCGAGGACGTCGACACCCTTTACGAGCACGACATGTCTACCTGTCGCATGCTCGACCTCAAGAAGACCCAGGGCCAGAGCTGGGACGATCGGACTGCGCTAAAGCGGCTGCTCACCGTGGGCTTGTAACAACAGTCAGCACAAACGACGTTATCGATACATACAAAAGACGAAGCCAAGCACATACCGTAACTTGGCGTTTAATTCTCGTTTCTCCCGACTCAATGCACTCTCTTTCAAAATTACGCAAGCTCCGTATAGCATTTACACTCACAATACACCAACTTTGTATGAGTACTGAGTGGACACCTTCTGCATAACTTTTCAGTGCTTGGTGTCCATGTAGGACAAGTCTGCAATATTTATCCGGACACGGTATAGTTTCATCTCGTTTAAAGCCGTGAAGGTGCTTCTCGAAATGTTCTCTAGCTTTCTGTGTTGTCGCAAAATAGCACTGATAATGGGGCTGAAAGACGCAGAAGAGACAGTGTCGATTTGTTAGAGAGATTGGACCATCGCGCGACTCCGGTAATGGAGAAGGTTCTTGTTCTGATCGAGACTTAGAAGATTCATCAGGCGACAAATTCTGATTGTTGTTGGCTGCACACTTAGGATTTGTTTCTGGCATACAGTAATCCTTGCGGATGGTACCTTTTCGACTCGACCGAGGTCAATAATTGCGTTGATCAGAACAATACGCTGCCCCATTTCATCTTCCTCAGAAAGATCCTGGAAAGGCAATTGCATCAACTCTGCTAACTGACAGCGCTCTTTGCGGCGGTGAACAGTCTTCTGCGGTTCGTACGATTTCTGGCCACAGTAAAGCGAGGGTGCCGACAGGAAGACAATGTCTATGGTTCCAACTGATGAAATTGCAGGCAATTTTCAGTGATTTAAGAGTTCTCGAATCAACGTTTCACCGTGAACAGATGAGAGTCATAAGATAGTCAAACCCTTGAAACCTGAGCTTTTTACTGATAGTTGAATAGCTCCTCTTGCACCACAAGGCCTCAAATTAGAAGACCGCGGAGGATTTTGATCGTCAATAAACGTCCCTTAAACGATAGTTACCATCTCGATAGATTGACTCAGCATCACTCTCTCAGCATGACCCTAGCTAGTCTCTCTCGGTGACCATATAAAATGGGCATTAAAAATATCGCTTCAAATAATGGAGGTAAAATGAAGACATGGCTTTCAACAGGCCGGGTTAGGGTAGGCACCCACAAATATCCTGCAACGTTTGCCACCAACCAGAGCACGCGAGGGACAAGACCAGCTGAGAGGTCTATAAATACCTCCTCTAATCCCCAGTCCTTTGCTCTACAAGATAATTCCATGACTACCCCAACACCCGATAGGTTCCTCTCCTTTTAGCTAATATTGGGCATTTCCACTGTACTGACACGCATAGAATACACCAGACTCATGCGAGTCGGCCAGTACCAGCGAGGCGGTCCATGTGCTCTTATTCCCAACCAATACTTCTGTGCCATCCCCATGCTTGCCGGTCAGAGATGAAGGCAGGACATTCATTTGGGCGACCTGGTCGAAACGTCTTTTCTGTACGAACATGAACTCTCCGCCATAGCTGGCTGACTGAGCTGATCCACTGTCCATCCCGCCTCCAGATTTGTTCCCAAGATGCAACAGTGTGACCATTCATGGCGCAGGTATGTGAACCTTAGCCTGACATTGTCTGATACTGTATTGACATTGAAGATGATACGAATTAACCAGATCCGTGCACATTGGGCTACTTTGCACGAGCACAGCATTCATTGAGTTCCATCCGTCCATTGGGCCAACATCCATTGCTAGGCCGAGATCATTTGTTGGCCACCCACTCGTGAGTAATCAAATACCTCGGCGATCTACTAGCTAATGGACTGCAGCGAATCGATGAGTGCGCACCAAAGTGAAACCGGGAGGATCCAGGCTGGTGCCATTGTCAATGGCCCCCGGTGTAAAGCTACGGCCCCGCCGCTTCAAATCACGCGGCATATCGCCAGTGACTCGTGCGGCCGGTGAAATCCTGTGAATTGTGGCAACGTGCCAATAACGGGACTGGATATGCAGCTCGCCACGGCTTGTTAGGTGTTCGCCTGTCTTCGTGAAGTCACACGCCACTCTCTCCACACATTGGGGCAGAACTTGTTAGCGCAAAGCCTTGTGCACCCAATTTCCATGGTATGCTTGAGTGGTTTCTCGAGGCCTCACTGCTGTGCACGACGTCAGTAACAGCTTGCCAGCAACGGTGATTAATGCTACGATGTCCTCGTCAACAGGAATAGGGAGTGAGTCTTCCTTTCAATTAATGTTTTGCAATTCTATGGTCCAAGTTGACTGGTAGGCGCAGAAGCTGCCGCCGACATGGATGGACCCGAAGGTTTTTGCTGTGAGTCTAAAGTCCTCTGCCACAACACTGTTGCTGACATTTGCTGAACCGTTGGCAGACACCAGGCGCCGGCCATTAGAGGCCAACTCGGACCTCGTGTTGAGGAAACTTGACTGCGTCTGGAGAGTGTAGGCTCGCTCCGCGAGGTTCAGACCGTCTACATGTCAGTCTGTTTTTACTGCGCAATTCGTTCCACCAAGTCGTCAGCGGAGCAAGTGTCGTCTAGTTGTGCTCTTCTGTTGGCCTGCCAGGACTGTCTCGCGTTGTCTAGGGCTTGTGGGTCGGCCTGAAGGGCCGGGATCTGCCATCCAGTCATTTCACCAACTACCAGTAATAACTACTATATACCATGAATATATATATCATCTATGCATGTATTCCCTGTATCGAATAGTTCAATAGTTTATTATAATACAACTAATCAATTGATCAATTCATTCAACTGACTAACAAAACTAAGCAATAAAAGTAATAAAAGCAATAAATTCGACTAAACAAGGTCTTTCATTAGCATTAACATCCTCATAGTATCTACCCCTAAACTAAGCCTTCGAATTCCTAAAAGATCTCTCCCTGCACTAAATAGCCTCTCAACTGATACCTCTGAAGCTGGGATCGCGAGAAATTCCCTTGCAGCCTCTGCCATTTGAGGGTATTCACCCCTATGGGTGCGCCACTAATTGCATAGCCAGTCTGGATCCTCCTTCCCTATGATAGTAAGCCGGGGACTATCAAAGTACTGATTAATATCAGAAACTAATCGAGATCCCTGAGGCTGGAGCTTATGAAGCATCCGCATTCGCATTGACTGTGGAATCGACTGGGGAATCGACTGTGGAATCGACTGTGGAATCGACTGGGGAATCGACTGTGGTAGATATCTTAGATGCAGCATTCGACGAGTCTCTTGTATAATCATCTGGGCAGCTTCTTGATCCTCGATCTCATGAAGTATGAGGTCACCTTTGACCTGGGGATCAAGGATTAAGGCTGTATAATATGCCTCTGAGTTATCCATAAAGTCATAGTACTTTTGGTACTTCTTCATGCCTGCCCTCATTGCATTTGCAATATCATCATTGTATCCCACTAAGGCTGTATCTTCTAAAAGATCCTGAAGCGCATAGTAAATTGGGACAGTTAGACTGATTTGTGGCCTTGATATAGATACCAAGTTCGTCAAGTCATTAAAGGTTTTCAGAGCCCTATGAACCTGACCAAGCCATTCCCATTCTGCATTAGTAAAGGGAGGAATTTCACCTAGTTAATCAATTAATTAGTAGTTTAATTGCATAGTTTAATTGTATAGTTTAATTGCGTACTTACCTTGTATAGAGCAAAATCGATTAATCTGACGCTGAGCATTGATTCTATCATCAAGCATTCGAAAGGTAGAATTCCACCGTGTTTCCACATCACACTCAATGAATTTATTATCAAGCTCCATTGCATCACAGATCGAATTCCATTCCTGCCTCCGTTGAGGGCTCCGCGAAATCCAAATAGCAAGAATCCGGAGTCTAGATAATGCTGATTGGGAAGATAGAGAGGTCGAATTCGATTCTAGATTATCACAGATCTCATTAGCTTCTGAAATACTTCCAGATTTTAAGGATCGAAGGATATCTTTGACAATCAAGTTTAGGATATGAGCTAGACAGCGAATATAGCTATCAGCTCCACGGAATCGAATTGGCTGTAAAGATTTCTTTTTCAAAGTGAAATGAAGCTCAGAAACCATCTCCTGAATATTTGAGGCATTATCCCTAGTGATTGTAGTCAACTTTGACGTGAGATCTAATTCTACCAAGGTTTGATAGACCGTGGCAGCAATATTCTCCCCTGTATGAGGTCCAAAGATTTGACAGAATTCGAGAACCTCTTCGCGATAGTAGAAATCCTCTATGAGCCAGTGACCTATAATAATTAATCAATTAGTCAATGAATTAGTCAATTAATCAGTCAATTAATCAGTCAATTAATCAATTACATACTAATAATCCCAAGAATAGGGTAGTGGTTCTGGCTTATTCATATATCAAGGGAAAATGCAATTGTTTTGCATGTATTGGCTAAGTTCTCCTTCAATCTTAATCGTTGGATTTCGAATTGATCCTGTAGTCGACGACGCACAGTAGATCGAGAGGTCCATGGTAAAGAAATCCCTGGGATATCTTCAAAGATTTGCTGAAAAGCCTCAGATTCAATAACAAGAAAGGCTTGCTTATCTTGAATGATCCATCGAAGAAGGTTCCGCTCAAGACAGTCCTCAATTGATAGATTCTGTTGTTTTTTAAAGGCCTTCCGGATATCTTGACTCTTTGGCTTCGAACTTTGAGGGGGGAAAATAGAGTGCTTTGAAAGATGTCGCTGCATATTTGAGGTCGATGTAGACCTTTGGGAATCTGTAGTTTTCCAATCACATTGTAGGCCTTTGTCATCGATGACTGTACAGTAGATATCCCGATCTCTATTCATCTTATTCCCAGATCTCTTTTCTATCACGGGATACCTCAGTTGTAGAGAAGTAGTCCCAAATCCACTTAGTAGTTGGTGCTAGGCGAGGCTTCTTCTTGATCGTCGGACGGAAGGTTTGGGAGGCAGACTCTTGAGGTAAGATATCTGAAAATAGAAGAGATTCTTGATCAGTAGAGGGAAGATCAGGATCCACTGGCAAAAACTGAGATATATCAGACTCAGTCAATTGGTCAGATAGTAGCCCTCCATCAGGCGAATCAGGGCCACCATTGAGCAATTCATAGTCAATTCGAGCTACCCTCCGCATAGTTCTTTCATTGGAAGTCATAATGGAAGTTAGAAATGGAATTGGAATTGGGGGAGGGTGGAATTTGAACTTCAGCTAAATTTTCTACTAGCTATTTGCTTAGTAAGATCGGCTAACTAACGATAATATCGGCGAATAGTCGATATATCGGGCGATAATTATCGTCATGGATTTTAGTCTCCCGATATCGTATCGGGAACAGCCCTAAATTATTGACCCTGGTCAGGGCAAGGTCGATGATTGAGATCCCTGGTGTTGTTTTTGGTCTGGTTGAGACCCCTGGTTCGTTGTTGATGTAGAAGCCTACCTCCTCTATCAGACTTCTTAGGGGACCTGCGTTGGTCCGACCGTTGGCCAGGGGGGTTCCATATTTGGTTATGGGTATTGAAGTCCCCTAGACCTGGCACTCACCCGCGGGTGACCCTCCGGACCCTGAGGGTCCTCACGTGATAAAATTTAACTAAAAACGTGACTTTGTAGCCTAAACTATACCTTTTTGGGCATTTTAAGGTGTCTATTCGCTTAGTCATCTAGCCTAATAGGGTATAATGTGTCCTAAATAGGTAAGGTGTAGTATATGCGGGTCGTTGAGGGTCGTTGCGGGTGACCCTCCAAGGGTCCCTTGAGGGTCAGGGTGAGTGCCAGGTCTAAAGTCCCCTAGGATTAGACACCTACCCTCGAGGACTTCGTCCCAGCCCACATCTTCTGTAGCTCTCCTCTGCCTGTCGCTATCCCCCTGCGAGCAATAGCCTGACCCAAGCCAGTTATCTCAGCAGTTGATCACTCGAGTCCATCGAGCTTTTTCCTAGACCGGTTTAGCTCCCATATGTCCAGCGTCATAAGATATGGGTGGTTAATGAGGTCTGTTCGGGCTTCTACCGTCGTTCTGTCGAACAAGTCCCGTCAGATAGCCACGGCTGCCCGGCGGTTCCTGTGCGCCCCGGCTTCTGGCCAGTATATCTGGTATCCTCCGTGTCGAAACTCCCTATCAATGTAGGGCTCTTGTAGGCATGCTAGGCTCACCCCTAGCTCTAGCCCAGCTTCAAGGGCTGCAATAGTGACTACGTACGTCTTGCGGCAGTTGTGTCGCAGGATTCGCATTGATGATCGTTTAGATCCTCCGCGGCTTCCTCAGACTACGGGCGACGATAGTCGCCAGAGCCCGCCAAAACTTTATAGCCAATCGTTTTGCCGGCAAAAATATTATCTAATCGTCTGAAAATGGGTTGTACACCATACCACATAGTAATTTGTATGGTATACTGAGTACCTCATATTCTACAAAGGTCTCCCGGCCACCCAGAGTCTGCCCTCAACTCAACCCGTACAAAAATAGGAGTACATGAGCTCTCATAGTAATTAATATGGTAGGCTAGGTACTGCCCTTTTCACAAAGGTCTCCCGAGTCCCGGCCACACAAAGTCTGCCCTTAACCCATACAAAAATAGGTGTACATGCTCTCCCATAGTAATTACTATGACAGGCTGGGTACTCTCCCTCTCACAAAGTTCGCCCAGGGTAGTTTCACTGCCCCAGGTCGCCCAAATCTTCCATTTCCACTACTTTGAAAAACAGAGGCTGTTTTGAAGGCCAAATCCATTCGATTAACTAACTACCTATTTTGCCTACCATCCATCCACCTAACCATCATCAAGAGCGCCCTGATATCACATTATCACGCCGAACCTCGCCCTCCCCATCCCCCTGAAGCCGATCTCGAACCCGGCGCCGCGTCTGGGGCGGCGATACTGTGGATGAAACCGCCCGACGGCGTTTAGGGGGGGCGCGACGGCGGTGCCCTGGCTGATGACCTGGCTGGTGCTGGTGCTGGTGCTGGTGCTGGTGCTGGTGCTGGTGCTGGTGCTGGTGCTGGTGCTGGTGCTGGTGCTGGTGGTATGTCTGGGGTAGGTTCTCTCGCCGGCGGCGCTGGGTCTTTCTTCTTAAAGAAGATAGCTGGATCATCGAGGTCAGAAACATCGACGTCGTCGACTGGGGTTTTGAGGCGGGCTGGACGAGTAGCGAGGTCTGAATAGTCGACGATCTCGTCTGGCCAACTGAAGCAAGACGACCTAACGCTCTTACTGCGTGGATGGCGGGCATCGCGGGCACCCGGCTCCTGCTTGACCTGGTCTGGTCGAAGATCTGGCTCTTGTTCCACTTCCTTCCGAACGATGACAATATTGATATCGCGCTCGGCGCCGCCCCTCTTGTGAAACAACTCGTAGAGCTCAGTAGTATGTATCTCCTTAGTGTGCTTTGGAGATAGGAATACTGGCTGTACTGGCTTCTTCGTGAACTCGAGCGCTAGCTTGTATACATCGCCTGGCTCTGGTGAATACTGCTCGAGGTCTGTATCAAGCGCTGGCAGGAGCTCCTTCTTTATAAAGTGCTCGAACGACTGGCTAAAGCAGCGATTGAGCGGATGGGATATGACGCCCCCAAAGCTCTGTGGTTCCCTATCCGCCCTCTTCGGAGCATCCTTCCGCCATAGCCAGAAGTAAAGACGAGCCCGTAGATGCTCATCAGATGCTCGGGATGAAGTAGCTCGGGATGAAGTTGACGGAGTCTGGGGCTGGCCGCTGAATGCGCTGGTTTCGGGCAGCGGCGGTAATACGCTGGAGGAACTGGCCTGGTATGTACTGTGCGCGCTCCTGCGTATAGGCCGGCTGTATGTACTCGCGATTAGGGAAGCTTGATATATGCTGCGAGCTCCGCTGCGAGATCTCCCGCTCATAATGGGGGTATGCCGGCGGCGAAGATGTAGTGAGATCATAGTATTCGGTGTGAGAAGGAATGCTGGAAGGCCGGTGAGGCATAATGGTGGTTGGAAGGTTGGTGGTTGGAAGGCTAGTAGGCCAAAAAATGAAAGAATTGTAGATGAAAAGAGGGTAGTTGACGATATAAAGAGGACGCCTTAATAGAGCGATTTAATATTAGATGAGGTATCAACGTCGAGTAAACTTGAATATAGAATGCACCCTATCGTATTGCAATTAGGACTAACCTCCTTGCTGCATGTAAACCGCATGCAAACTGCATATCAATTGTGAACTGGCCTATATACTGCCATCCCGCCATCTACGCCATCCACGCCATCCACGCTATCAACGGCTAGCTGCTCTAGCCATATCTTGGCCTCAAGTAGTTGCTCTGGGCCCTGGGCGTATAGGCATCTCCCCGGCGGCGAGGTCCTCCCCGGCTAGACCTTAGTCGTACGCCTCAGCTAGTTGCCCTGGCGGCACCCAGTTGTATCCTCCGGTAGGCCGAGCGCTCACAGCGAGTATTGGTAGTGCACCAGACTCAATATGGTTAGTCACAAGCCGGCGAAGCTCAAGATAGACTAGTATATATGGCTGAGCATCGCTCTCCCGTGGTGGTGGCTGGACAGGATCGAAGTTAAGCTGCTGGTATAGCTGAGCACGGCACCACTGGAGCGTCTCAGCTGGTAGATACTCATCAGCATCCCAATCTCCACAGATGCCCTCATGTAGACCACTTAATATGACTCTATCAACCCCTTTCTTGAAGTCCTGGACCTGTGGGTGGTGGAAGAGCATCCAGGGTTTACCAGGGACGCTATCTGGGCGATTCTTTTGCCGGCGGATGCGATGGGTATTCCAGGTCTCAACAAACTCTTCAATCGACGAGCGTACCGACGGCATATAGACAGCGAGAAGGGCAATCTAGATAGTAGAGTGGTTAGCGAGCGCTCACTTCGAAGGCATCGCACGATGGGCATCAGTGGGCATCAGTGGGCATCAGTGGGCATCAGTGGGCATCGCACAAAGGGCATCGTACGAAGGCATCGTATACATACCTGGTCGGCGGTTGACGATGTGAAAAAGCCACTATCCTGTAGATAGCGAAATAACTTCCGCCAGACGAAGTTATTTGACCCAGAGAGCTGTCCCCACCAAGACTCGATGCGCTGGTTCTGGACACTCCGGCCGTACCACCAGCACTCCTCATGACGAATATCTGGGTCGATAGCTCGCCGGAGAGCCCAGTGGGCATCGCCGATGAGGTGTGTCTCGGTGCCAAGGTGGGCGCGGATAGCTCGTGGCTGGAATCGACGCACAGAGAGGGTATCGAGATACTGGCGGAGTACGCTCACCGCGGTGCGTGTACTTATACCGACGTAGATCCAGACAATATAGCGGGAGTAACCATCGATAGCGGCATAGACCTCAATTCCATATGGCTGGAGCTTCATATACCCATCAATATGCCAGACAAAATTCGGCCCAGGCACAGTATACGACCCCCGGGCGCGCTGAAGACCAAGCGAGCGACGCTGAAGGGCATCTGGGCGAAGAGCACACCAGATCTTGAAGATCCGGTCTCTCGCATAGACATATCTATGCCGGCGAAGATAGGTATACAGATGCCCTCTTCCGTAGCCTTCAATATGCCCCTTCCCGAGCTGATCGGCCAGTATAGCTTCGACCTCTCCCTCCTGCTGCTGCTGCTCTTCAGGGTCATCGATACGAAGGCGTATTCCTAACCGTTGACAGCGAATAGTCCAGAGGGTGCGAGGGGATATCGGAGTGCCTTCATTCGATAGAATTTCGAGGATCTCACTCGTGGTAAGGGCGGCTTGGGTACATAGCGTGGCGATGCGGGTCTGTATAGCCTCATTATACACAATGCTCGGCGCTCTTCGAACTTCCCAGGCCTGTAATCGCCTCTGAAGCGTCCGTACTGAGACGGGGCTTTGCTGCAAATAATGACTGGCCACTTCCTTGAATCCACAATGAAGACAGCTGTGGAATATTGGCAGTTTAAGACTGACACACGCATGGAAGATATCTCACAGCACTTTTCCAGGCCATTCTCTCTCTTCAAACAGCGCTGCGAGGATATCGAAGTCCCGTAGTATCGACTGTTCGGATCTGGTGGAGTTCTGTACTATCTCTCGTAGCCAATATTTTGGCGAATCTTTCTCGTTAAACCGTGCCACGAGAACATTGAGATTTCGGAGTGCCGGTCCAATTTTAGCTTTCAGGAAGTCGACGAGGGCTTGAAAAATATCCCATCGACAAAATGTGAATGAAATGAGATCTTTCACGGGCAGATAGTTCAGTATGTGGTATAGCAACTCAGCCGGAAGGGAAATAATGTCCGTTGACGATTGTTCTTCATCCCCCTCGCAAATCTTTCGTACATGTAGTTGATTTTTTACTTTCGATTGAAAATTATCAAATGGCGGTGTCTCCTCCATTCCCGACAAGGACATGCTGCCCTCTCAAGTTTCCAATTGGCCTTGTTAAGGAAGTAAAGCTAAAATTTGGAAGTGTGCGTTAGAAAAACATCTCTTTCTTGGCAAAACCGTTTTCTTGAAATATCTCGCCGACTAGGGGCCCTACGGCTCTAAGAATTTGATCAAATTTTAAGTGACGACGGGCGCTATCGTCTAGTACCAATTTCATTGGGAAAAATGGTTGCGATCGTTGCCACGGGTGCAAATGCATGATGAGAATCTGACCCTCTTGTGCTCCGAAACCATCTAGGCAATTCAAAAGAGCCGATAAAGATATGCCGCTATGGATCAAAGTTTAGTTTGAGTTCACGAGAATTTGCACCCTCTGCCTCCGATGTAGTACTCCCCAAAGCCTTTTTTGCAGGGAGTAATTGAATGCAAAGATCTTTCATGAGTTCGTCTGTGCGCTCACTAGCTTGAATAACCTCGAAGAGAGCAAGCATACCGCGCTGTGTAGTTTTTGCAGCTTGGGTAGTAAGTGCACCAATACTTGTCAGATCGAACATGATGCGTGAGAAAACTGTAAGGTAGCGAAATTAGAAACCCATTCTTCAAATACATGGTAACACTTTGTTTGATGAAGGTTTGAGAGGTTCAATTGTTCATTCTATCGTCGGGCGAGTAGAAGAAGTTTTCCCGTTTCATGGAGACCATAGAGATCGTATTTCAATGTTTTTCCACCCTTGATCAGCCTCTGATTTCCCACATACAAATAATTTTAACCTTAATTCAAATCTATCAGCCTCCCAATTATTAGTGCGCTTCGCCAATCCACCTATCAATGGCTAATGAGTAATCAGAACGTGGTAAATCCAACATCTTCTCCACAAGAAAGAGGCAGTGTCCCGCATTGGGGAATATCTGGATGTCGACGCTGCTTGTATGTTTCTCCTATAGACAGTTTGTGTCAGGGGACCACACACTATTGTTATTTGAACAGAGCTTTCCTACCTTGATGACACCTGCAACCTTAATTATATCGTCCCGCAGGAGCTCCAACGCCCCAATGAGGATTGTGATCCCTCCAATCGGCAAGTCTTCATACCAGCTCTTATCCAATACAATAGCCGGTGTTAGCCAATGATTGACTAGTTCGACCTCAGGATCGTGGTGAGCTTCAATCGCGGCCCACAAATTCGAAAGCATATCAGGAGTAATAGTGTCTTTGCCAATATTCTCAGTCATAGATGCTGCTGATGTCACTACCGGCGCAGACGGAGAGATGAGTAGTGTCCGTCCTAGCCGGTGGCCGGATGGTAAAGAGAACGGTGCGACCGCCGGATGTGGGTGAGAAAAATGGAGGAGGAGAGCTAGAATCAGTGTCCCACCAGCACTCTCCCCGAACAACTCGATCTGTCCGCATGTTACTTCAATGATACATACGAATCATAGGCTAGATAAGGAGCAGCGTAACTAACATCTTCAGGATCGTGGTCCTTCAACAAGTGCTGTATGAAAGCGACAGTTTGCCTTAGTTGTGTGGGGTAGGGTGCTACAGGACAGGTATCTGTATGACAGTCAACGATCAGCATGTGCTATAAGATACAAGGTGTTCATATGTTAAGTTTCATACCGTATGCCAGTAATGCCACCGCTGTATCCTTGTCAGGACCCCGAAGCTTGTATGCATTATAGGCCAACCCCACTTGCATTACGGAGCCATTCATCACGAGGCCGCCGCCATGGATATAAGCAAGCACCTTCTTAGCAGATTTGGCACCGAACCACCCAACAGAGGGTCCGCAGGGGAGGTGTTCGATTACTTCAGACTGGTTCTCTGAACGGATAACCTCTTTGTACCGCTCGATGACCGGCAAAGAAAAGGCATTTCTACGTACATGGTGAAAAGTTAGCATAAGAAGCAACATTATGGATAGGTAGTGCAAGCTACCGGACGAGCACGTACTTTAAAGCTTCTTCCATTTCCAACATCGTATTTTGAATAAGATTGTGAGCTCAGTTTTATGAGTAGAATTAATTCACTAAATACATCATTTATATAAGTTCAAGCAGGTCCTAACTAACTGGCCGTTATTGTCTCAAATCAATTCCCGCTGACCCATACTCCGTACACAAGGTAATTTTGTTGCCTGGGCGTCTTTCATCGATCTGGCCAGGGACGAGACCGGTAGAGCGGCACATTAACTCTCTCAAATTCACTCCATATTCCTTTTTTAAAATAGTTAATCAGTAAGACGATCACGTTCAATCCTGGACTAATCCCATTGGCTTTGAATCCACCATATTTCTACACGTTGCAGGAAAGTCTCAGAACTTCTATGGACCCCACTAGAAGGAGGATTCCAATCTTGACTGAAATATTCTGCTTGGCATATCGTAAATTTCAAGAGCCTACGTAAATGAGATATCGCGGTACAGATAAAACTTTAACACTGTGGGGGACCTTTTTAGGGAAGGCCCACTGTGGGGGATCTTCTTTTTAGGGAAGGCCCCCCAGGTACTGTAGATGGGATAACAACACACTAGCTTGGCCGATTCTCTCGAGCTCTTCGCTAGAAGCGGCCTATATTTAGTTTTAGGCACTGGTACAGGCTGAGGCCTGAGAAGGAAGACTCGACTGTAAAGGCCTCGTTTGTTCTGTTGCCTATTTGGGTCACGTCATACTCACATGACCTACATTTCCCATTTTCTTTGCCTTGCTGAAGCGCCTTCTCTCCCTTCCCTCTCCATCGAGTCCTTTCTCTATCGATAGATGCGCTAGCAATCGATTGTGGCTTTGGCCCTTATTACCATGAATGCGTTAAAAGACTACGGCAAAACCGCTATTACGGTTCTCAGTTACCACTTTGAAAACCAAAACCAAACCCGCACCTTTGTGGTTAACCGCAAATATAACCGCGTTTTACAACTCAAAAACTGCACTAGCATAATTCTCGCTTCTTTAACCTTTTATGGCCTACCACCTGACATTTATGTCGCTGACTCACCCTTAATTCTTTACCAGGAATACACTCGTTCTGGTCATCACAGTACTCCTCTACACTTTCTCCTTTTCCGTGATCCGGTCCGGGCGTCAATGCAAGACCAGATATCTTTGTGCGACATCTCGCACTATCGGCAAAGCTCGAATCGAAGATTTGCTGTGAACGCCAGGCTGGGTGGGCTAGACAACGACGCCCTGGATGAGAGTCATCGGGGAGGAAGGGTTGATGGTTACTGCTTCTGGGCGCTGGTCGGCAGATGATGGCGGACTAAAGAGCCAGCCGATGGGCCACACTCCCCCGATAGCCGACTCTCTCGGGCTCCGGCAACACGCCACACTGAACATCAAAAGACTCAATTGTTTTTCGGGTTTTTTCGGAGTTTGCATGTAGATTTGGTGGAGATCGCTTTGCAACGTTCATCTGCGTAGCTGTTCTGTATTTTCTTGATCTATGCCACTGATTCCCCGCAGTCACCGAGGCCGATCAATCCTTAAATTTTAACACATGACGGCAGCACAGACTCGATATCTGATCCTGTGGAGATGGGGCTGTGAAAGGGGACGCGCACTATCATTGTGTCTTACGTACCAAATTGAATCCAGTATTGTTTCCCCGTTCTTCTGCTGTGAACACGGGTGGGACGGCAGAACCTTCGGACGACCGAGTCTGAGGCGAATTTCTTGAAATATCGTGCAATTCCAGGGCTAGCATTGATCTTGATCGATCGTTGCCAGAAATTTTCGTTTCCTCAACTATCCGCTGCATATAAAAATTCTCTCTATTGTAATTGAACACAGGACCAGCATGGCGGCGCCACGGGCAAAATTGCCGCTGGATGTGATTGTAGTCGGGTATGTCTTCCCTGCCATGGATTTGAACTTGTGCTGATATTTCCTAGTGCTGGTAAGTTCTTTTTCAAAGGAGCATGTAAAGACATGACTTAACTGACAATCAATGCACAGGCATTGGCGGCATGGCCGCAGCCCTGACGCTGGGCTTGCGAGGGCATCGTGTGGTGGTTCTGGAAGCGGCGCCAAAGGTAGAAATACCACACTCTTCACAATGAATGGTTGCAAACCAAATTCGAAACAGCTCATGGAAGTGGGAGCCGAGATCCAAGTCTCGCCGAACATGCTGCGACTCTTTGACCGTAAGAAATGGTGGCCCCATGTTCTGCGGGAATCTCGCTCACGACGCAATTTAGGTTGGGGCATCTCGGACCTGATCCACGCCAAAGACGTGGTACTGGAGCACATCCACGTACGACGATGGCAAGACGGCAGCCTTCTAGGCACAATACCAGTGAACAAGACCTTCGGTCAACAAGTTGTCCTGCACCGCGCAGACCTGCACAACGCCCTGATCGCCAAGGCACTGGAACTGGACAACGTGAAGCTACGCGAGAACTCCGCCGTCACAAGTGTGCAATTCAACCCTGCCTCTGTGACACTAGCCAACGGCTCAATTGTGCGAGGCGACGTAGTCATCGGCGCAGATGGGATCAAGTCCACTGTGCGCGAGCACCTGCTGCAGGACTCGTCCACCAAAGCAATTGCCACGGGTGACGCGGCGTACCGGATTATGTTGCCCCGTAGCGTGATGGAGAAGTATGCGGAGCTGAAGACATTGATTGAAGAGCCACAGGCGACTCGTTGGTTGGGGCCTGGGAGGCATATTGTCGGGTACCCCGTGCGCAAGCATGAGCTGTACAATGTCGTGCTGCTTCATCTGGACAGACAGCAAGTGGAGGAGTCGTGGACTACCAAGGGCTCGAAGCAGGCTATGGTCGATAGCTATGAAGGATGGGACTCGAGAGTGCGGAAGCTCATTGATCTGGTGCATGACGCTGAAGTTCTCGAGTGGAAATTGTGTCTGCACCGCCCCCTAAGGACATGGATCCGGGGACCAGTCGCTCTCCTCGGTGATGCATGCCATGCAATGCTGTATGTATTCTTTGCTCCGAACTCTGTGTGTCCACTAATCCCTCCTCTAGTCCGTATGTTGCACAGGGTGCTGCCCAAGCCGTCGAAGATGCCGCCGCGCTCGGCGTTGTGCTGTCATCCATCACATCCCACCGCGACATCCCACGGGCCTTGCAAGTATATGAGAAATCGCGGAAGCAGCGCGCAGAGACTGTGCAGCAATCAGGCTCCGAGAATCGTATCACGTTACACTTACCCGATGGCCCGGAGCAGAAGGCCCGCGACGAGCAATTCCGCGCGTCGGCCAGAGGGAAAACCCCGGATAAATGGTCAGATCGTGAGACGCAGAAGTTTTTCTGGGGATGGGATGCTGGGAAGGCGGCTCTGGATGCTTGGAATGGTGAGTCTTTTTTGGTTGCCTCGCTGTTTGTTGAGTGCTAATTTGGGCTGACTAGAACTGCAAGACAACGTCAAGCTCAATGCGAATGTGTGATGCGCAAACCAATCACTTGACGAAACATCTCAGCGACAACGCATATAGTTATTCAAGCTTACTTGTGGATATTTAGGCAGAGGAGACATGTGTCTGGTTCTACGAAGCACATTAGAGGACTCCCGCAGCATTGCAATTTTGCTATCCCATTATACATCAACACATTCAAATACACCAGGCATGGGTAAGCGTAGATACACTCCATACGTGTGTTCGAGGGGTGGACGCCAGTGACGGTCAACATATGGCACTTCCAAACAGGTGAAGTTCAGAATTTGGTCGCCTTTTCTTTTTACATCTCACCAGCATCGGCCTTACATCTGGCCGTACTTCTTAAGACGGATGGCTGACACGGTGATGAGGCCGGTGGTCTCGGCGGGCGAGAAGTCGCCAATCTCGTCCATGCTGGACTCGGACATGTCGTACAGCTTCTCGGTCTCGGAGGAGCTACCCATGATGGAGACGGTGCCCTTGTAGGCGCGGCAGCGTACCTGGCCGTTCACGGACTTCTAGAAAGCGGCGATGGATGACTCGAGGAACTCGCGCTGGGGAGAAATAGAGGCCGTTGTAGAGGAGCTGGAGAATATGTGATTAGCTAATCGATCAAGTCGTTGGTGCAGATTAACAAACCTTGGAGTAGTTGACAGTGACGAACTGGCCATGGAGAGCGCGGACTTCGCGGTCCATGACAAGACCCTCCAGATCACTGTGCAAAGTCAGACGGAGTTTTACACCACCTACTAATCTAAGCAGGACCTGATCCTAATTCCGGACAGCTTCTGACTGTTCCGTTCATCTCGTCCCATAATTGTTTCCCTGCGCGGTCGCAGGCGGTGTCAAGCCATACCATGAGCTCTAGAACTTGCTTAAGATCTTGCCATCGACATAGACCAGAATGCACAGCAACCTTACGGAGCACAGCAACAAACCATGGCCTCTCAGGGTAGCCCTTCGCCGCTATACCACCCAACATTAGGGCCCAAATGAGCACCCTGACCACATCCGGTGTACACCAGCTCGATTTGAAGATGGACCGTCGTTGTAGCTCAATCTGCAAGAGCTTTATAAGGGACGAAAACGGCGATGTCTCAGCAGGCAGTGGAAAAATCACGCCAACGCCGAGGATTAGTCCGGCGAGGCGAGCGATCTCGTAAACTGAAGAACAATAGGCAAAGCTCTGACCAAGGTGCTCCGCTGATGGTAGAGCGAGGAGGTGGTATTGTACAAGGTTGCGCTGGTCGCTGATTTGGCGCAAGTCAGGTTGAACTATACATCCCTCGTGATATCTTTTGACGATAGAAATGTAACTTTTCGCGGCCTGTAAGACCTCGGCCAGCTGCGCTGTGAATCCAATATGACACAGCTGCATAAATCCATTTTCCAGATCGGCCGATCCGAAGCCAAGCTGGCTTTGTAGTGTATGGTTCTGGTCTCCTTGTAGTGGACAAAAGGGAAATTTGGGGTGTGATAAGATCTTGCTGGAAGCCAAAATATCTGAGCTATATTGAGATGTTAGTATAGTCGATCCTATCAATCAACTGGCATATGATATGCTTACCAGCAAAGAATTGGGGCGAGCGCAGAAAGGTCAATGTTTTGCAGTCCTCCTCGCAGACCGACAAGTTGCGCGAGGCCGGATAAATGGATGTCATTTGGTGATAGGCTTCCGTAGATATCCAGCCACTGCAGGTTTCGCAAGGGTGGTTCAAACGGGGAGTTTGTGTTCTCATCCCTAAGCAACTCGTCTCGTCTATTGTTCGCCAGGCAACCGACGCTTAGAATAACTGCATCGCTGACAGCTCGGGTCGTATCTTGGATCGCTTGTTTGACCCTCTTAATCGACTCGAACTCAAAACGTTCTAGGACCTTCCTCTCCAGAGGTGTATGCATATTACCGTGCTTGCTTTCATTGCGCAAACGCAATTGTTGGTAGTGAAATACTGCACTGAATAGGAAGGTGGTAAAAAGGGTAGGTTCATGCCAAGATAGTTGAAACCAACGCGATATGGCCGAGTTTTTGCAGCCTTTCGGGGAGCTCGGTATGAGACCAGGCCATAAGACCGTCAGATCTGTAGAGATATTAGTGTTTGTACTGATCTGTGGCGAAAGTATCGAACGAACTATATATGTTGCACCAATTGACAAGCATAGGGTCGAAATCTGACGAGAACGTCTGGAACGGGTCCAACGTAGCATTGCCGATATGATCAATCGTACATAGCGGCGTATACAACGACCTAGATGGATGCGAATCCGATCCATGCAGTGTATTTTCGCTCGTGATGAGAGCAACTCCTCCGCCACTATCCTGGGCGCCCTTCGTTGTAGATGATCCAGGTACATCGCCTATATCTTCGACGCTAGTCCAATCGGGATTGTTTGTAGAGAGGTTGGCACATTGAGAACGCTCCCTAGGCTCATCAGTTTCTGATATCGTGGATTTCTGTTTGATCTGCTGCCAGACCCAGCTGCCCACATGTGACCGAAGAAAATGACGCGTCTCAAAGCTTTCGGTGTCTGAAAACGGGTGCGCATTCACAAAGTGAAAAGTCCTCTGACGCCGTGGTACGCTGCCCCTTGCAGAAGTCATATCACCATTCGTTGTTATAAACTTTAGCAAGAGCTTTGTTCGAGTGTATTTAGCAGTTCTCAGTTTGCTTCCGTGATTGACCTTGACTCTCGGAGACGAGGCACGTCCTTCGGCTAGCTGCTTTAGACTAGTGTTCCACAGATTCCATGGATAAAATATCAGCGTACTATGGCATCAAATCCCCTATGGTGTCCAGAGTAAGGTGGAATAGACCACTCTAGAGTTTTTATTAGAGTAAGTGGTGTAATTTATAGTTTTGTGAACCAAGGTGCATCATCCCGACTATCTCCGGCAAATTCCGGTAGATTCAAGGCCTCTCCCAAGTACTCGCCCCCAAGTCGGACCCTACACCGCGTGCAGCAGTTGGGGGTCCGACTTGGGGGCGAGTATGTTTTTAAGAAGTCGTGTCCCGATGCATCCTAGTTCTGTTGTATTTCAGACTTTATCTCTTTAAGAGAATGTTATAGTGGCGATAACGGTGCCTTCTATGTCGGAAACATCGAAATGCTCTTTCAAACCCTAATCACATGATACGCTGCTTCATATGTGGTTATTCCTGTACCTAGCGCTAAGTCTGTATCCCAACTGCGCTAGGAGTTGGGGAGCCTCCCCGTCGTAATTGTTGTGATATGAGGCACGTGGTGCTCAGGAACAAAGCCGCAACATCGGAAATAATTCCTGCAATATCTATACGAAGAACCAAGTTGATTTCTAATCAACTTGGACTCTATGTTGTATATATAGCCTCTTGTATCCCCTCGGAAATAATATTATTAACAATTCCTCTGAACTACAACACTTATAATTACGCTGAAATATAATTGTGCTGGGGAGGGCCCTCACCAGCGAGAGCGGTGAGGGCCCGGCTACAGTGGGCGGGTACCGCCAAACCGAAAAATGATGGATCCGCGCAGCCTCGACGACCTGATTCAGCAAAAGGCAAAATCGCAACATCGACTGAACCATGTGCCAAGGGCGGTAGCCAATGGCCGATGGCCGATAAGGCTTGAATAGGGACGAAGAAGGGACGAAGGTAGTCTGCCGATAAGCCGAGTGAGATCGGCCGATAGGGCGATAAACCAAAAGAACCCCCAGAAAACGCGGCAACTCTCCGAGAGTCGGCTCGCAGAATTGCAGCAAGTACTTACTGCCGTGGATGTCGACATTTTTCAATGCACTTTCTGATATATTGAGCATCTGTTATACCCTGCCTGCATTTCAAATGCTACGGTTTCTGCGATTTCCTGAGCAGGTTTACTCACCGCCTTGGCCATTTAAACTTATGCAAAGTGCCCAAGCATCGCACTCCAGCTAATTTCCATTTGGAATGGATTTTCTTTCGTCTTTGCCCGAGGAAATACTCATTCTTGTTGCTCATAATCTTGGCTTCTGGGATTTCTTGCAGTTATGTGCAACATGCCAACGTACGCGTCATGCGTTCCAGTTGGATGGTGTTATGTGGTTAGTAAGAAATATGGCCACATGCGATGTCGATCAGCGAAACCAAGCTATTGAGGGGTTACACCACCTTCCACGTTGCCAGCTGCTACTACATTCGTTTTTACGTGAGCAGATATCTGTCTCACAAGCCCTAGTTGAGCACGGAGCAACACTCAAAGATGTTCATTGCGGAGCCCTGAAGCAGATGTATATTTTAGAAACCAGAAAGCACGCGCTGCATGTCCTAGTGAAACGCAAAAGAAATCTTTCTACCGGATGATGATGAAAATTGGCGATCAGATTCAGGCCAGAGAGAGAATTATCCTACCTCCTTCCAAGACGATACATCTCCCAGGCTCTTGATATTTGTATGGCACCCGGAGGATATTCCGCGACCGTCTTAAAATACAACTCCTATGCCAAAGTGTGCGGACTCAGCTTGCCAATAGACGAAGATGGACATGAAGTTCTTCTTCCGGACTGGCATACAGATAGGCGGGTTGAAATCCAGTTCATCGATATCACCATGCTTGCAGCAGAAATCGGCTTTCCGGATCTGAATCTACAAAACCATCCACAGGCTTCCAAATTTTCCCGTAACGTGATAACGTATTGCCCGAGCGACCGCATTGACCGAGCGGCCCCACCAAAAATCAAAAAACCGTCAATTTTTCACCACGACGAATACCACAAAAATAACTCAAATTTTGCTATTTAATACGTGTAGGGCATTTAACATAGGTATGACCTTTAATCCCACATCCAGAGCAGGTGACCTGCCGCCTAACTATAGGCATAGAGGGTAAAGCAGGTTCTGTAGGTGGTTCTTTAGGCACATCTGGCAAAGATATATCTTCACTCTCACTATCATCCTCAACAACCACATCATCCTGACCATCCTCCCGACTCCCGAAAATACCCCTCTGGCTAGTAAACTTATGCTTGATTGCTCGTTTCTTAATCTGTTTCTTATTAGAAGCCTCCAATTGGTCGCAGCGATTCTGAAGAAAAATATGACGATGGACCACTTTTATGGTCATTTCATGGGTCCTCTCAATCTCCCGTTTGGTTGGTGAAGAGATGATCGAAGAAGAAGATTCTAGACCTTTTTTGATCCGAGATTGCGATTTTGAAAATTTTGAGAGAGTCCAGAGAGTATTTGGATCACTATCACTGCCAGAAGAGAGTGGTCGCTGAAGGAGGATCTCAAGAGGAGGAAGTTCATCCAAGCATACATTAAGCTTTTCCAAGACTCTATTAGCATCAAATGGTGCTAATCCAGTAGCTGAAAAGCTATTCTGGATAGTAGAGGTCTTAAAAGCTCCCTTTCTTGCGTCTGCAATCAACTCAAGGAAATCTTCCTTATCAATAGAATTGACTCCGTTCCGCATCACGGTTGAAACCGCTCCTCCATAAAGCCTCTTCAAAACCGAAAAACAACCCACATCTAAAGGTTGTAAAAGATGAGAGGCATGAGAAGGCATACAGATAGCGATGATATCATTTTCTTCACAAATTTGATCGAATTCAGGGGTTAAATGACTCCCATGACCATCAAGGACTAACAGGCAGTATTTTCCCACTCTTTTCCCAATATTTGGGATAAAATGAGATTTTAACCGCCATAAACCAATTTCATTGGTAGTCCAGCCATTTTTGCTCATAGTTAGACGAGATCCAGGTTGATTTGAATCAAGAGGGATGCGTAGATGTTCAGGAAAGAATTTCCCCTTAAAAACGAAGAGTGGAGGATAGACACTTCCATCAGCTCTAATACACTCAATTGAAGTCACCTACTCGCGATTTCCAGCTTGTAGGAGAGCTCTTTTCCCATGGTATTCAGCTGAGGTAATGATCCTTTGTGTAGTACCAATTCCCATAGCAAAACCAGACTCATCAAAGTTGAAAATATCATCCGAAGTGATACCCCACTTTTCAATGGTATTTTGGACCAAATCAAACCATGGTTTGATAATTCGAGGGTCCTCTGAAAGAGCCCTCTGATAGTCGTATTTTCGAGATAATCGTGTGGACAAATTTGGATGTCGTTTGACAAAGTGAGATGCCCAATCTCTACCAACAGTAGAAGGGGTTGTTTTTCGGGCATAAAGGAGTAAATTGGCCATATCTCTCAACATAGGCAGTGTAAGAGCAGCACCTCTGGTGTCCATATCCAATAGCCATTCTTCAATCGATTGCTCTTCAATTTCAGAGAAAATAAAGCGATTGTGTCGTTTTTCAGAAGCAGCTTCACGCCCATTAAGGCGCGCCTTCAAAGTTGAGACTGGTAAATCAAAAGACCGCGCAGCAGCTGCAGCAGAGGAATATTTTCCATCTTTTATAGCTTTTATAGCTAATAAAAGACGGCCCTCCTGCTCTATCAATTTTTTTTTTTCGATCAGACCGTTGGGGGGACATGATTATTGTGGTAAACAAGAGATGTTATTTTTTGAGATGGGTTTTTAGTGGGGCCGCTCGGTCAATGCGGTCGCTCGGGCAATACGTTATCACGTTAATGTACCTCGTTGATGACTAAGATCTTGCTAAAGACTTGTGTCGAATCCAGGTGGAGAATTGATCCGCCATTAATTACCCAACTAGTAATATCATGACCGCAAGATAGAAGAAGTCTGACATTCTAAGGATATTCTGGCTATCTCTTTAATAGTGCACAATGCATAGTAGGCGAAATAAGCACACAATAACAAAAATGTGAAAATACAAAAGCAGTTTAGTGCTGACAAACTTTTATGCATGGATCCACCATGCTGGCATCTCGACAACTTGATATCAGAGCCGCGCGTGCTGAGTTACTCGTAGGACCGAGTTTACCTACTCTCAAATCCCTTTACATCGACTTCAATTCTCGCACAGATCTCAGAGACGACAGTATAGTCCTTGTTGACTTAAACTATTTACCCCAACTCTATTGCCTTGAGGTGGCATGCTTGGAATCTAACAACTTAATATTGCTTGGCTCCCCATCGTCTGAATCCCACTCCTTGCTTGACAGTTGGCCAGAGTGAGGTTGGAGATTCTGCATGGTGCAGGACGACGAAATGACGGTAGAACAAAGCAAACTGGGGTTCAGTATGGCGTGCTTTGAGTGAACCAGGATAAGGAAAGCAAGCAAGTAGTGGCTTTGGTAAGGCAGTAACAGCGGGGCTCCTTCACTGGTATTGTGCGGCAGTGACCTGAGACATGAAATATGAGTTTGTTTGCCCACGCCACATAGCACATCACGCGGCGAATGGCAGCACTGTACTAGGCCGAGGATGGAAGGAGGAGGGGCAGTGTTAGCCCTGTATGTTTTAGCAAGCCGCTTTCCTTTTGGAGCGATCGTGGGAGATAACCAATGGGCCACCAGCGGGAGCACCGAGGATATGTGCTGAGCCGTGGCCTAGCCGGTGGGACAAGGGGATTGCATTATAAAGAACGACAAAAGTACTGGACAGTAAGTACTGGACAGTAAGGGCCTCGGATATGGTTCTGTCAGGATCTCTGCCAGGGCTTGGATATGATCGGTGCTATATAGGTCTATCTTTAGAGAATATCATGCACAGGTTTGCACATATTGAAAGCACCTTCACTGAAGCACTGGGCCTTGTGGCTTCACAGGCTTTCATTTACATATGTAATGGATAATGCCTGGCAAGTCTTGGCTTGCTCTTTCCGTTTTAGTGCTCACTGCTTACTCCCTGAGTAGAACTGAGCACGGCGCTGAGCCAGGGTACAGCTCAGCTGCCATTTACAAAACGCTCACTCCCGACTACGACCCACATTAGTCCAAATCGGGTTAGTCTGCATTAGTAACAAAGTCATGTGATCGAACCCACAATACCTGAACTTCGTATTTCCACGCTCCCACTTCTTTCTCTCTATCACCGCCTTCCTCTTTCCCCCCCCCCCCCCCCCGGGTCAGCCATCACGTGAGTTCACTGCTCAATATCACAGATATCTGCAGATACAGTGCTGATAAGTGCTTTTGAGGCGTTTCAGGATGGCTCCCCCGGTTTTCCTTGCAGGATTTGCCCCCTATGAAAGGTACCTGGAGCTGGGCCGCGGGGGCGCCATCGCCCTCCCCGAGTTCGAACTTGTAAGTGTAGCAACCAATTTGCCGAGGGGCAGGATATATATCTGGTGGGGGACATGGTCGTGTGGTGCTCGATGTACGACGAACTTTCTGTTAGAGAAAACGGAGGGTTGCAAGCGCTTTCAAAGTGGTTATACTAATTCTAATATAGGATGAGAACGATGCGTACATTGTGATGCCGGGCGAAGCGTTCTGCCGGATTGAAGATTGCGACCGGAAGCAGGTAAGAACACTTCCCAACCGCTTATAAGTGCTTACACCCTTTTTGGAAAGACCAAGATACTCGTAATCTGCGCCGGCACGTGAAGAGCCATGGGGTCGAAGTGTCTCAGCATAACACTGGCAAGCCCTCGACTCAAGAGAAGGACAAAATTCGGGGTAAGTTTCCCTTACGAAAGAGCTTTGAAAGTGATCGCTATACGCTTTAGACTGGTACCGAAAACTGATGGCCGATTACATGCCTGCTGCTGCTGAAGAGCCTGCTGCTGCTGAAGAGCCTGCTGCTGCTGAAGAGCCTGCTGCTCCTGGAGGGCCGACTTCCGAGACGGACACCCCTAAGGTGCCTCTCACTCGTCGTGGACATGTATGAAGCTTTCTAAACACTTTCAAAGCGCTTAAAACTAACCTTTATAAGGTGTCGAAGACTTAGGCTCGCACCAACCTGAAGGATCGTGGCTTGTTGACAGAGGATGACTACCCTTGCGGTTCTTGCGCGAATGGAGGCAATCCTAGCAGTATGTATGCCCTTCCTAAGGGTTTGAAACGCACTAACTAAGCGCTTAGACTGTCCTACTAACAAAGATTGTGACTACCATATGCTCTTCGACATGTCAGACTGCATTGATTACTAGCAGTATTTTCCATAAAGTCTGCAGCGGTTTTAAAGCGCTTTGATTCTTTTTGTACTTAGCAATTTTTCTCTACAATGAAGATAATGATTCCGACTTCTTAATATTTAGAATAAATAATATCTCAGATTTATAAAAAGAGTATAAACATTCTTTTACACTTTAAAAGTGCTATTTTTTTTATTTTTTTCCCCCAAAATAGTAATTGAACTAAAAGCAGATTCCAAAGCAGATTCCAAAGCAAAGTCAAAGCAAAGTCAAAGCAAAGTCAAAGCAAATTCAAAGCAGATTTAAAGCAGATTTAAAAATTGAATCCGCGCTCACGAAGTGCTTGGTCCAATTCACTAGTCTCTTCGTTCACAGAGGCTAGTAAAGCGTCAGACTGAGCGATAGCTTCATTAGTCTCAGCTGTCGTTCTTTCGACCCTTTGAATCAGCCTTTGGTACTCTTCTGCCTCAAGATCTGCCCTTTGTGACCACACTTGATGGGATTTCAACGGGACTGCGCTTGACGGGACCGCGCTCGACGGGACCGCGTTTGGCATCACTGCGATTGAAGACTGCGATTGAAGACTGCGATTGAAGACTGCGATTGAAGACTGCGTTTGAAGACTGCGTTTGAAGACTGCGTTTGAAGACTGCGTTTGAAGACTGCGTTTGACAGGTGACACAGGACATAGACTGTTGTAGATAAGTAGAGACTCTTCTTCGGTCTCTTCTTCCCTTTCTCAACTTGGATCTCCCGTCGACTACGTACTCAAATTGAATTCTTTATTGATTTTCTTTCTTGATCTGACATCCGGTCACATTGCATTTCCTGCGCGTAAAGCGCGATTTTCCTCCGCTAGAATTGTTCCATTATGCATCGCTAGCTGGCATACTTTGACTGGCTGGTCAAAAGCCCTATCTGTTGGAGTAGGCAGACTCTGTAATCGTCGACTAATCATAGATTTGACTGAAGAAGCTTGTCATTTCAATTGTTTAGGAGTTGCTAGCAGTTTAGGGCTCCATGCGCTCAGGCTTTCATCAATCGGAGTTTCAGAAATCAGCAGCCTTCTTCTTCGCCTCCCACTCATGCGCCAGAATTCCCATATGGATACTATCCCACCACCTCCCACCCTTCCACAAACACTCCCTCCTACGTCCCTCGGAAACAAATCCAAGCTTTTGGTACACAGTTTGTGCCCTCTCGTTCCATTCATAGACCGTCAGCTCAACGCGGTGCAGCCCGGCAGTCAAAAAAGACCAATCTAGCATCCACGATATAGCCTCAGGCCCATATCCCTTGTCCTGGTACTGGCGCGCAATAATAATCCCTAATTCGTGTGTGCGATTATGTGCGGCAACAGAAGCTTGCCCTTTCAAATGGATCACGCCAATTGTCTCGGGATCCTTATCTGAGCCTTCATCTGGGATGATGCATATCATGACCGACAGGAATAGCGTAGCCTCAGCCTTGGCCCGCATCTCCTTCCGTTCGTTAGTACTGAGCGGCCGTTGTAGGGCGCGTGAGGTCATAGACCCGATTGAGGGGTCAGCGGAGAGAGTTTGGAAGAATACATCATCTTTTGGGCTGTCCTCGGGTGCACGGTAGAGGAGGCGTGCGGAACGGTAGGGTTCCAGTGGAAAGGGATTCATATCGATCGTCTGGAAAACCTGGCTGAAGGTTGTGGGACAAGTAGCGAAACTTCGATGTCTTGAATCTCAGTCAACAGGACGAGGTAAGATCATTTTCAAAGGGCATTTTTCTCTCGTTAGTGATCTCTCGCTGCTAGATCCTAGCGAGCAGATTTATTAGTGAGTCATCATTGAATACGAACAAGATCGCCTGTAGCGAGTCAGGGGATCTCCTCCCTAGAACATTTCATGGGGCTATACGGTAATTTACAACGATTGATTAGACGCGAAAGCACAATACGTTTTATACGGCCAAGCACAGGTTGTTTTAACCCTGACCCAATCAGAGTTTGCGAGGTATCGGGTACAAGCCTCAAAACTAAACGTAAGTGTCAAAGGGCTAAACTGTTTTCGGAATCTACTATACCAAAAGCAAGTCTCCTACAGGATAAAATTACTTTCATTTAAAATGCATAGTGCCGTAGCAACCGCTTCTACTCCTTAGAGTAATAAGTAGTTAAGCTGTTCCCAGCGCGTTAAGCCGACCATATCATGTCGCATCAGTAAAAGTTTGATGTTCAACGATGTCATGGCTGTTGAACTTGGAAAGGGGTCAAACCATTATGAAAGACAGATTTAGGCAAGCACCACACATTTCTGAGGCGTCATCAGAACTATGATTTCTTTCCTTACAATCAATGTTGAGGTGCATGAAAAGTTTGTTCATCTTAGCTTTCTGTATAGATAAGTGATCACATACATGAGGTTGAGGTGTTGTGTAGCCTTGCACATTTTCAGGATATGACCAGCAAGAATCTGATGTAGGTATATTGTCTCTTTCTTATCAAGTCATTATTGAGACCTTGGAGGTGCCATGGGTTCTGGCCTGAAAAGTATAAAATAGGCTCGATTGTCCATCTCCAGCCCTGATCCAACTCCCCGAATCTTAGAGCTGCAGTCTTGTCGTGTCCTTCAGTAAAAAGAACCAGAAAGTCAAAATATGGGGTTTCAAAGCGATCTGATACAACGGTGAATGGATCAGATAGCCAATCGAATGTGACCGGGCGTCTACCAAGGAGAAATCCAGCAGAGATCAGGAAGTCATATTGGGTACAGTGGTCGACGGGACATCGGAAGATGGGGAAGGGAAAGAAGAGGGATAAACAAAGAGAACTATCTACGGAAACAGAAACCATATCACATGCTCAAGGTACAGCCTCAGGCTGGTCACACATCCTGTTTGATTGTGTATAGCCAGGACAATACAACACCGTGGCAGGCATATGTGGGCTTCGTATTGACAGCCTGGACAGGCCAGTTGTGTCCGACCGCCTATATACTCATACAGATGACCAGACTGGAAGGAGTTGAACAAGTCTAGCAGTCACAGGAAATCAATTACATGTCGGCATGCATTCGACTCAATTACACTGTCAGCCTACCACTATGCCGTACTTGCGGCATGCAGGTAAAAGTTCCATCACGCGGGCGACGAACGAATTATTCTAGCTAGCGTGCTTCTTTCGCCCGCCGCCAGAGGCAAGGCGTCATTGGCCTATCTCCCCCGGACGACGGGAGTTTCAAGTTGGAGAAGGAAAGAAGAAAAGATATAAAAGTTGGAACTATTCATACAAGGCATGGCACACAGTCACATCAGATACGGTCTCTCCCCTAGTCACAAACGATATTTTTCGGAACAAATACACTGGTTTCAAGCAAGGGTTGTTGAACAAGTTCTGTAAAAGATGAGCCATCAATGGTTAGATCCACTGAGCCTTCCATTACTCCGAGGCTCTTAATGCCTGATATTCAGTGTTTGAAGTGGTTTGGAGGGTAGGGGTGGATTAAATGCTATCGGGCGGGCCCGTAGGCAGTGAAATTGGAACGGTTTGTGGCCGACACGGTTGGGGATCTCCGAGTCCCGGATGATGCACGTGACGTCGGGCGTATTTCGTTATCAGTTGTTGTTGAATGCCTTTTCATATCTTCTTAATCTCTGAATCAATCGAAGCAGGACTCAGGCTGACAACCTATGTTCACACGCCATTTGGGAATAGCCTACCGTCTTCATATTTATCTGCTTTCGCGTTCCCTTTCTTCTGCCCCAATTTTTGATCCCATTGAATTTTTCTTTTTGCAATAGACCTCATCACAGCCATGCTCATCAGCCACACGCTACCAGCCGCCAGGCTCATCCCCAACCATACGCGGAAATTCTCCTTACTTTCCACACATGCTTCCTTCCCAGCAACGATGCATCGGTTTCAACTTCACCGGAAAGCGACATTGTACGACGCGGACCAAGAGGAGACCCGCCATAGGAAGGACGGTATCAAAGTGTCAGGAGATGGGCTAGTTCACGCGATGATCTCGAAGTCAAGCCCGTGTAAGTAAAGACTTTTTTGCTTTTATGAAAAATACTATGCGGTACTAAAAGTACTGGCTCTGTCCTAGACTCCAACGGGCCAATTTTCATGCCTAACTCTCGCCTTATGCAACAAATCCTTCAGTTTGATTTCTCGAATTACCAAGAAGATGTTGATGATGGCAAGCCTATGCTTAATCCTACTGTGATCTGTATCCAGCGAGGTATGATTTACTCATCGTTTCAAATTGAACCGGAAAAAGAGGCTCATCACTTTAGGTACTCCCATTCCCCCTGTGCTGGTTTTATGGAGAGAAGGCATTTCGCGCTTTTCTTTGCAGCCCTCAAAGCCCATCGAAATTGAAAGTAAGTATTAAACAAGACTGCGGGGTAAATTGGATAGGCTATTAACGGTTAAATAGATCTTAACAATCTTCTTACCGAGTTCTATGAGAGGTCTGCAACAGCTGTTGATGCAGAGGAGTGGGTCCAAACGCATCCATATTGGGAGAGCTTCGCAGACCAGAACGAGAAAGGGTGGATGGAGACATAGATTCTTTGAGGTTTATAACATACTCCAAAAAATGAACGTGGATGTCTCTACGTGGTAAATGGTGTCGTGAAATCCATAAGATTACCTCTATCCGTCAATCTCATTAGTCCACTCCGCAAAAGGGCCTACGCTCCTACCTGTGGCCGACGGATGCAGAGTTCAACATAGACTGCCCTATTCGAGATCATGTCAACGGAACACGGCTTTTCCCTCTTCCCGATGAGTTACAGGCCGTAGTCTAAAATTCGATTACGTACAAGTGGATTGATAACGAAACCATCTCGAGAATTCAGGATATCCATCTATCTGTGTATTTAGAGGTTATTTCAGAGATCGTGGATCGCGAGCGACGGCAACGGATGCGAGCCGTCCGGGAGTGGTACAAAGTCGGAGTGGTCGTAGAGCGGGGCCGTCCCGTCCGGGATGGCGGCGAGGTGTCGCTGGCATTCGGTCGGGTTGAGAATCCCGTGTGTCGTAGAGATGGCGCTCCTTCATACGGGCCGGGATCCCTACGCGACACACGCAGCAGACGATGGCGTTGTGACCCGTTTCGTACTTGAAGAGGGCACGCGGTTGCGGTTGCCCGGCTATCGTCGTCCGATCGACCAGGCTCGTCCCACCGACTTACGATCATGTCGTGGAATCTGAACCAGGTCGGGGACTCCGGGGAATCGACGGCGCGTGGCCTGATCGTTCGTCCGTCCGTACAAGGGGCCCCCGGATTGGAACCACGGTTGGAGGACTAGGGGGGTTATGGGGGGGGGGGGGGGGGAAGCCGATCCAGCACATCGCCTCGACGATCCCGTCTAGTATAGATCGAATCGAGGGCCCGCCCCTCGTGCACCGACGTTTTTGGTGCGCATCGCCTGACCACTTCCCCGGGCCTTCGCCTCGAAGGTATAGGGCCCGAGGTACTGCGTTTTGGCGGCATAGTAGATGTTTGAGGAGAGTAGGAATGCGTGGGAGACGCGATTTGGGGGCAGGTGTGACCGGTTGTCAGATCAAGAAGTCAGATCAAGAAAGAAGATCAATAAAGAATTCAATTTGAGTACGTAGTCGACGGGAGATCCAAGTTGAGAAAGGGAAGAAGAGACCGAAGAAGAGTCTCTACTTATCTACAGAAGTCTATGTCCTGTGTCACCTTTCAAACGCAGTCTTCAATCGCAGTGATGCCAAACGCGGTCCCGTCAAGCGCAGACCCGTTAAGATCCTATCAAGTGTGGTCACAGCAGGTGCGCCACTCGCCCGTGGTTTACGTTATAGATAGAAGGATTGACTGTGCGCAGCCTTGGTCTACAGATGTATATAACGTAAAGTAAGCTTACGCAGCTTCTTTGAGCATACTCCACCAAATTGGGGGCCAGGGCGGCCAAGGAATTGGCGGATGGCCAAAGAGGGGCCAACAAGGTATATATAGATTTCGCGTATATCTACCGTAGTCTCTCTCCACTTAACGAAGGCAGATTGAGCGAAATTAGGAGTTCAACGAAGATTCCTGGTTTCTTAAGTCAAAAATTTATACATAGAAATGAATTTTCTTGGATTTGCTCGTTGCTTTGCATTGTACAATCGTCAATTTAGAGCCCGCCGATCAAAACCCGGATAGGCCCTGTTAAGGAGCCCCAATAAATAAGCCAGGCCCAACCTGGAAAAGATTTCATGTTTGAATATCCGTAATTAACGAATCAAGAGGTTTCCTCGCTAAGCTAAGGAATCATGTATGGATTGTACTCCATATGTATGTAGCAGATCCTGCCGTTCTGGAAGCGAGAGTACGCATAGATTAAACTGGGGCGACAGGGGGCCAAAAGTCGTAACAACAGTATATGAACAAGAGCCTTCCTCCTGATCTGACATCTACAATTCCGTTACATTGACTCTTCTCCATACCGATACGTCCTCGCAATCTATTCACAATGTTTCTGCCATCTGCTTTCCTAGCCACTAGGGCGCTACTCGCCAGCATGATAGGTTCTGGCAATTCCACTCTGGCGGCACGAGATGAAGTGAGTTCCTTCGCCGAGTTCTTTGACCTTACTGGGGAGGGTAGCCAGTGCTGGTTTTATCTCTATCATTACTATGGCTGCACCGGGCAGAGCAACGATCCTATCGGGACTGTGAGGGACCAGTTTCAACAAAAAGGAAGAAGTGACATTCTACGAAAATCTTCAAACTAGAGAAAAGAAGAAGAAGAAACAGAAGGGAAAAGGAAACAGACAGACTAAATATAGAAGAGCAACAAAGAACGACAAACAGGATCACGTAATCCGGCTTGTGCCTTCAGATCTTCACAGGGACCTGGAGTGTGGATGATAGTGGAGCGCAAGTTTGCGTTGGCTGTGAGTGGTTCATTCTCTATTCTATCTATCGACTGCCTGGGACGTTCGACTGATCTTTATCATGTTATCTGTACAGCCGGTGTCGTTTCCTCGGATATGTGCGATATTGCCTCTATCACGGTGGACTTCGACGGCCAGACCGTCACCTTTTATAACCCAGTGGAGTCGCAACTCAATCTTGAGTCTTGGGCTCAGGGCTTCGCCAATAACCAGACGGTGGTCTATTAAGGCTCTCCTTTAGATTGGTGGAGAATTTGGAGTTTGCTTGGTATATTTACTATGGCTCTCAATCACCTAGAAAGCGCGATGCCATAGTTTGTCCCTTCTTGTTCATTATCATCAGATTTATTAAAGGCAAACGCTTCATTGCAGCGAGCTCAAAAACATGTAATATACAAGCCCGGCGCTTCAACGCTTGAACGATAAAATAGGTTGTTTGCCGAATAACCCATTCTCATCAACAAGGATCTTCGCACCGCCGCGACGGCGTCGTTCAACGCGTACATCTTGATCGGCTCGAGCCCACAGTTTGAACTGTGTAAAAGGATCGTCAGACCACCTGGGCCCGGGGAGCGCAGATGCCGCAGAGAATGAAACCAGTTCTTAGGTTCGCTGTCCTCCCCTTCGTATTCTTCGTCGCCGTCGGCTGCCTCCGTATCGTAGAGCCTGGACTCGGCGCGCGAGAGGTGCACGGTGAGATCGGCGTCATCATCACCGAGTTCAATGCTGGCTGTTTTGTGGCGTTGATCACCGTCATCATGATCTTCTTCTTCGGCAGCTAATTTGATGGCTTCTGCAGCGGACATGTCGACCTCATTGTCATTATCAGGTTGCTTGACTTTGGGTATGTCGACATCCTGGTCCATGGCGCGAGCACTGCTTTGAAGAAGCTCGTCAAGAAAGGCAACATCAGGCTCTGTCCTTACGTCTTCATGTTTTAAGAAGCAAGAAGCAATGTTCAGATGATATCATCCGGCTTTTGTTGTCATCACTGGATGAAGAGCCCTGTTCTCCCTCTATAGTTATCGCACCCCACCCCCCTCTCTATGGGCATTGGACCCCCCCGAGTTGGCTGGCGGACGAGGCAGGTCGATCGAGGCACACACGCGTGGCGGCGCGGAGCCTATGGAAGGGGGACCCCCTAGTGGATTTCGAATTGTAGAACAGGGTATTCTTGTGGCAAAGGTTACGGATCGACTCCAAAAGAAAATTCTGGTCAAGGGAGCTGCAGAGAGGGATCTAGAGATATTTATACAATTCGTAGGCACTATCAGGTACTTTTGCTCAAACATAAGTTATTAAACCAGCAGATAAATCACAAGTTTTCCCATCTCTGATTGCCAATCGAGATTAAGCGATTGAACAATTCATCCCGCTCCGGTATCGCTGTCAATCTCCAAGTTTTCTCTTCCTCATCCTCGATCTCTAGACTTGCTAACAGCTCCTTCTCCGACGAAAACGCTGCCATTGACTCAATTGCCGTATTTACAAAGGCTGTTGTCCTCTTCAGTCGCTTCATATCCTTCACGGCAATTTCAAATGCTGGCTTGAGCTTTTTAGAGCTCCTCGGTCTTGGGTCATCGCGTGTGAAGAACAGAATCGGACCAGCAGACTCTGTGATGACTGCCCAGCCACTCTTTCCCTCGAATCGGCATTTGTACTCGCTTGGCCCGGCATAGACGATACTTTTCGTCTTAGGCAGTACGCCTAAATGACCTTTTGCCTTCTGCGAGCCAGTTGCGGCCCGGACGTGATCAGTTGCAAGTTTCGTCTCAACGACAGATTTGGCATGGCCTTTGAAAAGACGAATGAACTTGGAGAGATGTTTGTGTTTTGGCTGCTCTTCACTGTCGTCACTATGAGCCTTCTCAGCAGCTGAAGGCATGACAGCGTCAAGGACTTCGGGTTGGGTAGCATCGAGAGGGATGTCTTCAGCATGAATAAGATTTGGACGATCCGGATCAACGGGCATGGACGTGGGTACAGGAGGAAGAGGCGTATTGTGTGCTTCGCCGATGCGGAGAAGGGTGATTGCGATCTGCGTGTTTGTGGGAACGCCCCGAAGAACATTGCTACTTATAATTAGCAATGGTTCGGACACAAAGGTAGGAAACTGACTTCTTGGGCTGTGCAAGGTCCATGTAATAAGGCATATTTTGTTTGAGCCACGCTATCGCAGGCGTCAGCATTGGATCGCCAAAAATGACGAATCCAATGGCACACCCTGTCCCCTTGTAGACCATGTAATAGTTAATGAAAATTGATACGAGAAATAAAGTTGCTAGAACAGCATTGATTCTAAGAAAGGCAAAACGAGAAAATGGTGGGGTTGGTGAAAGTGCGCTGAAGGTGGGTCAGTAAATCCGTTCAAGGCTAAATAGGAGTTACTTACTTCGCAACTCTCTCCCAATTATCAGCTATCTCTCCGATCACATGTGGCGCTGTGTCAAGGACTCTGGTAATACTTTCTGGATTAACTCCAGCCCATATAATCTCTTCCATCGGCTGTTGAGTTTGATCGGTACTCTTAGTGACATGCCCTGGTGCGGAACCTGCACCTTGAACAGCTTTTACTGCTGCCCTGATAGGCTTGGGAACCTTTCCTTCTAGCGGATCTCCATCCCGTTGAGAGTTATTATGCATACCGACAGCCCTTTGAATGTTGTGCCTGACGTTGTCAACGAAATTGGCTGCTTCCTCCTCGATAGCTTCATACGGTTGCTTTTCCGGTGCACCAGTGAGTGTATCATTAGTACCTAGCTGACCTGCTTGCGGTTTCTGGATCCCGCCTGTCCTGATGTTCACCAGAGCACGAGGTGCTGGCGGAAAGAGTGCGTTGCGAGCTTCTACAGAAGACACCAATAGAATCAATGTTCCAAGAACAAGCGGCGCTAACAGATCAAATAGCCATGCAGAAAAGTAGATCTAATTTAAATGTCACCACACACCTTGTTTAGGGGTTCATAACTCAGCGGTGGATTTATAGCCAACGTACCGCACAAAATGCTGATGTACGGCGGGTCTCCTTCCAGGAACGAAGCCGCGAGACATGCTTGCCAAGACTTGCGATGCCAAGAATCATGGTCAAATAAACGCGTTGTAGGTGCAGTGATACTTTATCCGTGGTATGATCTTGAGACCACGCATCATTGAGGTCGAGGCCACTTGCAATTCCAATGGGCACGGCTTTGACATCGAAGACATCCTAATCAGTCGGAAATTAGTCTTGTGAATGCTTGGTAGGGACCAATAAAGCCTCACCTTGTTGAAGCGTCTGAGGAATGCAAAAAGCTCTTCGTTTGTGTAACCGCCAATCAACGGATCGGGTATCTCTACGTTAGCTTTATGCCAACCAATGTCTCTCGCAACTTGAGCATTTCTGCCACTAGGGTAATCTGTCTGGATAGCACCTCGGGTCTTCGGTACATCGTACGCTAGCTCGTGGCTGTCTGCGTTACAATCTTTCCTAAAGACCTCCACCGGGCCTTGGATCAGTGCATAGGCCTGATCCTGCAAAGTAGCCACCATACTAGGGTTATTGTTGACATTGCTGTGGATGTCTGGAAGTGTCTTTTGGTGATTGAGGTTCCGGTGAGCCTGTGGTGTGGTCAAGCCACTTGATGCTCCAACTAAGGCATATGCTTGATCTTGAAAGGTGGTCAGTATCGCGGGAGCAGCATTGTTAAGATCGTTAACGCTTGGTGAGGTCTCAATGTGTTCGCGCGTTCCGTCAGCCTGAGATGCTGGCTGGCCACTACAACCACCAACAAGCACACATGTATTGTCATGTAGTGTCTGCATCTTAGCCGGAGCAGCATCGTCTTGGACCTGGCCGCCTGATATGGTGTCAAGGTGATTGTGACACCCATCGACGGCAAGTAGATCATTTTGGCCACTTGCAATACCATCCAGCGCATAAAAGCTCTCTTTTACGGTTTGAATCACATTTAGAGGGGTGGTGTCATCAACTTGATGCCCTGACGTAACATGGTGGTGGTCGTGGGTGTGTGTTGCATTTCGAGTCGTGGATGTATGATCGTGAGCAATGATCCCATCGATCTGACTTTGTTTCCCATCAACATATGATGCTGCAGGTTCATTCCCACTCAGACCTGGCTGGTATTGCAGATCTGTGCCTAGTTTCCCCTGGGTACGTGTCTGCTGGTCCACTTCCTGATCCTGATCTTTTAGGGCTCGTTTGGAGTGCTCATCGCTCGCTGGTGGAGTGTTTCTCGAAACTTTGACGATATAGCCAGCGTTGTTTGACATTGTGAATATGCCTTTGCGGTCGCCACTTCGTCGTTAAGCGAGAAAGGTGCGATTCAACAGCTCAATATAAGATACATAAAACTTAGCCTCTTGGTCGAGCTGTCATGAGGGTACGGGCTTATAAAGGTACAGTAAAGATAGCGGACGTAATATATTCCCTGAAAGCGACAGGTATCATTTGTTCCTTTTTCTACCTGGCACATAAAAGTCTGTTGACGCTGATGACGCTTCAGTGGCGATGACGTCATTCGTACCATATCACCGCAGGATCAATACAGGATTTCCATGCAATATATGACAGCTACCTTTACACTCCGTCTTCTGGTAATACTTGCTTTCTCTCGATCCTCCCCTCCGACAGTATATATGATCATTCTCTTCTTTCCGCGTTGTTTCTGGATCTATTGACTTGATGAAATTAAAGTTATAACAGTTTATCCATAATCACTTTTGAGTCTCGTCTTTACAAACATGACTTCCTCCCTTGAGCAGCTCAAACCACTAGCTCCATCATAGTTTGCGACTCTGGTACAGGATGGAGCGGAATCAGTTTCACTACTTTGCTCTCATAGAATCTTTCCCAGATCCTAACCTGAATCACGCCAATCTATTTCTGGCTTAGCCGTGTTTCAAGTAATGAACCGTATTGAAAGACACCATCAGGTGATATAATATGTCGGAGTCTGGATTTCTGGTATTCACTAGTAAATTTACTAGGTCGTGTCATGTGACAATGATTGAAAACGATGGTATTCAGGTCTAGCTATCACGTCCATATTTATAGGGGCAGAGAAGCGGAAAAACTCTGCTCAGTGTGATCTATCCAATTATCCAACTCGGGGCACAGTTGCCATATGGGTAGATTGGATGAGTATTTCGGTAGGATGCGGCGACTGGATAAATTACCCAGGAGACCATTATACTGACATAATATTCTGTCGAATATGAAAATGACTGTATTGGCTAGTCAAGAGCCTATAGTGCTTTTTGGTCTAGCGGTATAGCATTTTTGACATATTCTATAAATTACTTGTAATTCTTTATCAAGAACACTGACACATGAGCTAGCTCGTCAGCGACTCCGCTTGTCGCAGCGAATTTCACTAAAGTAGTCCCCGCGAAGTCAATCTATGATGGGGAAAGATCATTTTGGGAACTACATGTAAAGTAGAAATTGCTATGTAAACATGCAATATTCGGGTTAGTGAAGTGAGGGATCTGGCTATAGAACTTACAATGAGATGGTGAGTTTTAGGACTAATATATTATGCCGCCATGATTCTACATTGTACAAGACGTCCGCTGGTGACACAGAAGAAGAACATCACCCTGTTCATATTTTACGTTTTGTTCATGTTGTTCAGTATGAATGTCCTCCCCTTATAAAGACTCTCTAGGTGTCTTTATAACTACGCGACTGTATACTATATCCGTCCTTGTCTCAATTCGTCTGCTGTATCAGATTTGACCGAGAGCGTCCTTTTTCACTAGGTATTTATAATTAGGCCTTCATTTCCCACTTCGCCAATGCTTCAGAATTGGCTAAAGTTTCCGGGTTGTTTAGCCCAAGTGTTTGTTCCTGCTTGGCTAGGCAATTTCTAAGTAAACTGATGGCTTCCGCATCCTGACCTGAAGATTTCCAGGTAAAAGCGAGGTTCGCCATACTGGTCAGTATTTCCGGATGATCCTCGCCGAGCTTCGTCTTGCGAGTCTCTATCACCTGCACCTTGAGCTGCTCGGCCTCTTCCCACCGGCCCTGGTCCCCGTACATTGATGCTAGGTTGGCAATACTCCTTAACGTATCGCGAAAGAGAGTCGCCGCACATGTATGACATGTCATGCCTCAAGCAATGGAGATAATAATTAGAGAGACTTGTTCTATTTGTTATTTCCTTATGCGGGTTTGTAGAAAATAAATTACGCCAAACATGTCTATGCGGCAGATTCCAACACCACTCGACAACTACTGATTCGCCAACACACTTCGACCAACACTACGATCCTCGAATACCCTATTGGTGGCATCTTGGCCTTCTCCGAGTTACTGAAGATGGCGCGTCGTCGTCGCTGATTCCTGACGTGACACAACTGGCATGGCTTGAATTCTGCTAAAGACATTTTCATCGCGTTCAATGCCCATAGGTATACGCGTTCAGTCAATGGCAAACTGGCTGCGCTCTCTGAGCTTCTTCCCGAACTTCCACAAGAACATTAGACCCACTGCGCACAAAATTGTCAACCCTGCAAGAAGACTCACACCACCATCCACTCCTAGCGCATCGAACATGGGGCCGGCAAACAGGATCGCTGCAAAGGCGAACGCACTGCGGGCAAAGCTACTGGCCGCAAGAATGCTAGCGGCGTATCGCGGGTAGATCATCGGTATATATGAGAAGATGCTTTGCGTGACGAAGTACATTGCGAACATCAGGATTGCGAAGCCTAGCGTTGGAGCTATCCAGTGTACAGACGGACGAGCAGACCATGCTAAACGTGAAAATTAGTAAGAGAACAGTCGCTCCTGAGCCAGAGATATTTTCACTGACCGTACAAGAAGAGGCCGCCCGGGATAAGCCAACTGAATATCATGCCGAGAACAAGGTGGTTCTCCAAATCTCCAAACGAGCCATCTTTCAGCCTGGGGAGCACACGTTTGATATAGATAGAGTGCAGGGCCACTGCAAGAAACCCCGCTGGAATGGCACCAAGGTATATAAGAGCTGTGATCTCCGGCTTGAAGTCGTAGTCAACCGAAAAAACGATCGGAAAAGACTGCACTATTATCTGAGCCATGAGCTCAAGATATCGGTATGGCAATGTGACATACCTCAAAGAACGTATAGTATATACCATAGATCAACCCAAAATATACGGTAGTGAATAACAGAGCTGGATCTTTGATATTCAGTTCCCATGGCTTCACAAGCGCATCCCATAGAAGACCATTGACGGTAAGATGTTCTTTCTTCATCTGAGCTTCGGATTTGATTGCCGGATCTCCCCTCTGCTCCACCAAACGCTTAGCGCGATAGTAGAGGATGGTGAGGCCCGATGTCTCCGGTACTGTGGCGATGAGCAGGATGTAGGTAGGTCCAACGAGGATCATCAGTTCCCAGCTTGCAAATCTCCAGCCGAGCGCCCTGACAGCGAACGAGGATAGAGTTGGCCCCAAAGCAGGTCCCATGGCTGTCGTAGCTGCCCAAATTCCGACTGCAAATGGGAAACTGCTCGGGCGCCAGATGTCCCCCAGAGAGGCCCCTGACGTGGCAAGTGGAGGAGACGCCATGAGACCGAGGAGAAAGCGTAGTACCATCAGCCCTGCATAATTTTGAACCAAGGATCCCGGGATGCAGAGCAGGAGAAAAAGCAAGCCCGAGATGGCATATGGTGGGTTTCGACCGACAGATGGTATCTCCGTGAGGGGCGAGAGCAGAAGGCACCCCATACCGTACCCCAGTACGTACAGTGCTAGCCCAAGTGTCGCCTCAATCTGGTCGACATGAAAATCATCCATGATACCTTGCTCACTGGAAGTGTACAGAGATGATCCAGCATAGACCGTAAACGTATATAGGCTGTGGAATAAGCAGGTGTTCAAAGTTGGCAAAAGAAAATTTTTCTTACTTTACTATAGCGGATATCCACACTTTTTGACGTAACGACCAATTGTGAGGGTTATCGGGATCATCTGGTGGTTTGAGTGAATGAAACCTCTTATAAAGTGGGGGACATAACCTACTGTCACCGTTCCATTGAACCAGCTTATAGGAGGAGTATCTTTCTTTGGCTCTCTTGTCCGATCCTGCTTGGTCTGCTACTTGCAGGGTTGAAAGCCCTGCGTCAAGTGCCGAGTTTTCAATGTCCTTTGACTTAACCCGATCGAATGATAATTTTCCAGGAAAGCCAAGCTGGAAGAGAGCACCAGCAGAAGAATGCCTGAACATGTATTCCATGGTTGGCGTGCTCAATGCGCTCAAGGCTATTTGCGTCAATATCAGTTTATCGGTCCTTGATCGTGGTCGTGTGAGGTTTTATATGCATACGCGCTCTAGATATTAAGGCTATATGAGGTGGCCAAAGCCAAGGTCTGTTCCTAAATCCGTAATTAAATACCGAAAACTCCATGCTCTTAAACCCGAGAATGTTATATGCTTATATATTTTAACGGAATTCGCCCATTCATTTGACGTACGAAGGGAGAGAACCTGCGGAAACTAAACTCAATTGGGTCAATCCACCTGGGCGGATGGTACTCAACCCAGTGGGAACTAAACCGTATTGAGAATGGACCGGCGATGTTCAGTCGGGATGACGTTAACTAGTGCATGTAATTGTTTCCGGTGCCCTGCCTCTGCAAAACCTCCGATCCCGCCATCCGCTCAATTTTGGACCGTCATGGAACCCGGCGGAGGACAGACGACACTGCGCAAAGCCTGCCAGAATTGCACCACTGCCAAACGGCGATGCATCGTGAAACTCCCTCGCTGCGCGCGGTGCTCTAAGAAAAGCCTCGATTGCAGCTATGACCTGGAGCCGATGCCGTCTGAAGCAATGGAGAGTCAGCGACCGATGTGGAAACGGACGAAAGCAGTCAGCGATGGACCTGTGCATGCTTGCTTCAGCAGCTGTTGTCGCAAGGAGATGGCCCATCATCGGCTATTGTGCCCATGCACGAAAGCAGAGAGGGCATAGAGTATGTCGTCTGGGTTTTGTCTATTATCCCAAGTTTCGTATTGAGAAGCCTTCCGTCGGTATTCATCCACCCCAAGCGACGTGTGTCACAGGGAGTGAACCCTCTTATCGCTGCCGTGGATAACCTCCGCCCGAGTTCAAACTTGGGCCCGTCAGACGAATCTTTTCAACATTTGCTTCGCACCGACCCTACGAATGGTACCATGGATGATGCCTTGACTGCGGTGCAGGCATTGATGCTATACATGGTGGCATTCATGTTCAGCGGTGATACAGCCATTCAGACAGCAACGAGGCTGTATTTCAGCCGCTTGTCGAATTGGATCGATAATCTTGAGATGCGCGCCCATGATATCACCACTCAAGGGTTGACTCCATGGCAAGGATGGCTCTTCGGCGAAAGTACTCGACGGACCATTCTCGCGGCACATATCTTTATTTGTGTCTTTAATAAACACCAGTACGAGCTATCTGACAACAAGATTCGGATGGAAGCTCTTCCCTTCGATGGACGTTTTGGGCTATGGCTAGCGGAAACTCCGCAAGCCTGGATTGCGTCAGCAGGAGAAAGGCGTGGTCAGGACGTGCCGACAAAGTTAGTCTCCTGGCATGAATTTAGTATATCTCGACCGGTCATCCCAATGGGCCCCGATGGGGATATGTTCATGTCAATGTTGCTGGTTTCGCATAATGGGAAGGCCAATATATGAGATAATGGATTGACTGGATCAAGTGTAGGACGTTTTCTTCCTTGTCGAGGATTTTTGCTGAGAGGACCAAGGAGTGGCTAGTGGCACGAGCGCGGTGTGGATAGCGGAGAAAAGTTTCTCAGTGGCTAGCAATCGGACACATGGATATGGAGTCACTTTCGTCTGGATTTTTGTGGCTTGTGTGATGTCTATTGCTATCTACGTTTCGTACCCATGCTGCTACCTCATGCCGGACATAAAAAAAAAAAACAGTCTTCGCTCGCAAGAATCGCTCCTTGTGCCGGCCCTGCGGTCTGATTCCAGCCCCGCCCTGGGCCGGCTTCGAGTGGCTCCCCGTGCACGCCCCGGTTTTCGGTTTAGCACTCAATACCGCACTCCTACAATTTCACCTGCCCAACCGGACTCCCCGTCTGCTACCCAACCCACCCCCTTCTTATTTTTCGGTTGCAAATTACGGTTGAGCCCTTGGAACCTCCACTTTCAACTTTTGGGATTAGGGTTATTTGGCCTCTTAACGCAGGTGGCGCTGTGGAGGCTGACCGGCCTTTGGAAGACCATGTTCCCGAGCGACACCTTCCACATAGTGCTCCCGCAACATAGGTCTATATAGTTCATATCTCGTCCGTGCGTTTTCCGCCATAACCTCATATAAAATTAAAAATTAATCCACGCAAGAGCCAACAAAAGACTCAACAAGCCTATATGAGAAACGTCCCTCGCCCGCGATGCTGCACTGTAGGGAACACTAGAAGCAGGCGAAGTAGCTGAACCAGTCCGACCTCCAGAGGCAGAGGTACTTCTAGAAACAGTGCCTATGATATGCGTTCCAGACTCTATCACCGTGGAAGCGGGGACAATCATGGTTGACCCAGAGATAACCGTCGTTGATTCGGGTATTGTCACTGTTGAGCCAGACGCTGTTCCAGTAATAGTGCCTATGATATGCGTTCCAGACTCTATCACCGTGGAAGCGGGGACAATCACGGTTGACCCGGAGATAACCGTCGTTGATTCGGGTATTGTCACTGTTGAGCCAGACGCTGTTCCAGTAACAGTGCTTAAGGTATGCGTTCCAGACACTATCACCGTGGACCCGGGGACAGTCACGGTTGACCCGGAGATAATCGTCGTTGATTTGGGTACTGTCACTGTTGAGCCAGATACGGAAGTTGTACTCTGCTCACCTGTTGTAGTTGACTCTGTTGACACAGTGGTTGTTTGTGCTGAACTTGTTGTCTGCGGATTCTGAGTGGTGGTGGTGGTCTCAGTGCTCGCAGTTGTCGTAGTGCTAATCTCAGTGCTCGTAGTTGTCGTAGTGCTAGGAGTAGTCGACTGTTTAATGGTGGTAGTAGTAGTTACCTCGGTGGTAGTTGTCGTTGCCGAGGTGCTCGAGGAAGTCGTCGAAGTCGTCTGATCAGAGCAAAAGTTCAACCACTGGGCAAATGTGGGCAGCAATGTAGATGAGTATACAGCCGAGGCGGACAAAGTTGCTGAGGCGCTGATGCATTCCTCACAATAACCCAAGTCCAGCAGGAACGTAGACCCGACAGCGCACAATAAAGCCTGCTTTCCAGTTTCTTCGGCGATGATACCAACGATATTGCAATCCTTATAGCACCCACTGGGTATATAACCCGTGTTCACCCGCTTGGTCAGTCGATCAAGGGAATAATCCATGAGCTGTTCACTTTTACCATGAGGTGGGAGCAACTCGCGCTTGCTGGGACCCGTTGTAGACTCTTCAGCACAGTCAAGGATATCATAGCTCAGACCAAAGTCCATAGGGTCCAGGTTGTAGTAGTTACTGGTAACATTGTAGCCAGTATCATCGTTGAATAGTGGAACCGGAGCCTCAATGCAGTAGTCGGGTGAACAAACGTAAGTATCAGCGGGAAGACCAGCTTCAACATTGCAGCCCGCACGGTCGCCTGTATGAGGGGGTTTGCAAAGGTATCCAGGTGGACAGCCCCAGGTATAGTCGTCGGGCAACTGAGTGATGGGTGTATAGCTCGGATTTGTGACGAGACTTGGGCATACAGTGACGGGGGCAACCTGGGTCTGTGTTTGCGTTTGCGTCGTCGTCGTAACTTGTCCAGAAGTGGTAGAACCTATGGTGATAGTCTCAGTCACCGTGTCGGTGATGGTATCTGTTACAGTAACTGTCGCCGCACTTGCTGTGACAGTATCAGTGATGATGTCGGTTGTAGTATCTGTGACTGTACATGTCTCCGTACATGCTGTGACAGTATCGGTGGTGATGTCGGTCGTGGTGTCGGTTATAGTATCCGTGACCGTACATTCAGCAACTTCGCCTTCACCAACCCAAATCGTAACCCCAACTGTGATCGTTGCATCCAGGTCAGTACCTGATGTGTCTCTGGGTTCCATCAATTGGGTAATTGCCGCCAGAGTTGGGATGGTGGCAGGGACGTCATTGCTGTTCGTTATTGTTGACAGAGTAAACGCAGATGTCGCAAACAGCGACAACCAAGCGACCGAGGACCTCATCGTCGCGAATTCTTCTCGAGAAGATTGCTTGCAAGCTTGAGATGACTCTTAAACCACAACAGAAGAGAATCCGCCCACGATGGTAGGGAAGGGAAAAGAAAAAGCTTTAGGGCACACGTGCACGGTCCTCTAGTTCATTTCCTTAGCTGTGCGAGAATGTTTATGTTGTTGTGACCTACTAAAGCCCCGCCCGCTGATAAAGAAATCGACTAACCGAGTTCGAGCACAAAGACGGGATGAGAATTTTAAGGCCTGCAGCACGCCTGAAAGGCTTGCAGCTGTGGATGCATATTAGCCAATTCAGCGGCGCGCACAGCTGTTAGGCCCTGTAACCCTCCACTGATTAGTAGCATCGTCCAACAGGATGATTCAGACCTCGTATTGCTCTTGCCCGCTACTGGGCACTAGCGGTATGTAGAATGCATATAATCCCGAACTAGGGAAAAACTAGAGATGTTTTTGGCTACTGCCGTTCATTGTAAAAATCAGACGGACTCAGCTCCGATGCATCTAAGAGCCTGTGCATAATTTGTTTCTTTTGAATGGTCGCCTCGATGTGCACGGGGCCCTCTATGGCGGGGAGCTTCGGGCATCAAAGAGGTGGGAAACAAAGCCGCATTGCTGACTGGGATTCGGTTAGTCCGCCCCGTTCCCTCCACTTGCCCTAGTCATGCGATAGTAGCGCTCACCACTCATCCATACGACAGTCATTAGGCCGCCTAAGAGCTTTGGCGATGTGAAATTGGATTCCGCCTTTTCTCATCCCGCGAATCCCATTCGGAGACTGTTGTGAGAAGCTGGACGGCGACGAGAACGCCTGCGACTTTATCGGTGGAAAAATGTTTCTCTTAGGAACGTTTCTGACGCTGTTGGCGGTTGTGATAGAACGCGCAGTGGGAACATGTGGCGTGTATCAGACACAGGTCGGCTACTCGATATGTAACTGGCAATCATTGCGTGGTAAGAGCTCATTTCTTGCACTCGCGATGGAGTTTTGTACTGACAGTGACAGCCAACGTCATTCGCGATACGATTTACATAGATGGAGGGTACTTATGGTATGCACAGTATGGAAAGACCTAAAATGAATGGAACAAGTACAATTAGTGCTGACAATTCCAGAATATACTCGGATAATTGCACCAGTGACACGTCTGATGGTAAGGACCATATTGAACGAGCCCGACAAATTTGGAAGATATACAAAGCTAACCAACTGCAACAGGAAGTTTTGACGGCTCCGTCTACACTTTCGATCTTTCGACTTCGTTCAATACTAGTTCGAATTTCTCGAATGTACTCAGCCCGATGTCCATTGCCGGTGGTGCCGGAAGCAATATAGATCCAACCTACATTGACGGCGCGATGTTTGCCAACGACGATGAGTTCTACCTTTATGGGTTTGTACCATTCAATGTTCTACCAGGCATACAGCAAATACTAAACTGCAATAAACCATCATAGGGGCGCCGCGATTCCCGCTAGTAATGACGAGGTACCATCTGGCAATGCTGTGCTTGGCTATGAAGCCTATCAGTACGGTGCGACTATTCAAGACTGGGAGCCAATGTGGTGGACGGAAGACTTACCAGACAACGTGACAACATATATCACCAACGGAGCTGGGGCATCAGCACCGAGCGAGAATCTAGGCTTCTACTTTAGTGGAATGCATGCCCCAGACTGGGGCTCCTTCACATATCCTCCTTATCTGGCCAACACAACGGCGGACACATTCACTACGGTGAACATGTCAGTGATGCGCTCCGAGACATGGGACACCGATACACTGCCGAGCTACATCAAAGGCCGTGCCAACGCTGAGATTGTTTGGGTGCCAGTGTCTGAGGCTGGAGTCCTGGTAGCCATCGGGGGCGTGGTCAACCCCGCTGGACTCTTTGAAAGTTTGAATTCATCCCAGGAGGCACTCAGCAAAGATCTGAGCCCGAAATTCATGGAGACGGTCTCGGTATACGATGCCAATACCAAGACTTGGTATCTCCAGAACACGACGGGCGATACACCGCCGCAGCTGACCGAGTTTTGCTCTGTGCTTGCTAGCGCAGCAGACGGCTCATCACACAATATCTACATCTACGGAGGATACGATGGTCTCAATGCAAACTCAAATCCATATGACGACGTGTATATCTTGTCATTGCCTTCTTTTACGTGGGTCAAGGTGTACAATGGGACAAACACACACGGCCGGAGTGGACACAGATGCATCAAGGTTTATCCAGACCAAATGCTCGCCATTGGAGGCTATCGTATCGATTCAACGCACTGTCTAGAGGGGGGTGTCATGGTTAACTTCAACCTCAACAACCTCAGTTTCCAGGATGCCTATGACCCCTCGCAGTGGAGCGACTATAAAGTACCAGATCTTTTATCAGCGCAAATAGGTGGAGAGTAAGTATCCAGCCAACAACAGAACAGAAAGAATCACCACAATTAATATTATCTATAGCTCTTCTGGAGGTGCAACCACCACAGCTCCATCATCATGGACCAACTCCTCTCTAGAAAGTATCTTCAGTACAAAGTACACCAAAACCATCGCAACCTACTGGCCCTACAACACGACTTCTAGCGACAGCACCACAAAGCATCACAAAGGCCTGCCGACCTGGGCTGCAGCTGTGATCGGCGTTCTCTGCGGCCTACTCGTCGTTGGACTGATCATCGCCGCTTTCTGGCTCTTTCGCAGACATCGCCAGCGCCGCCAGCACCCCCAGCACCCCCAGCTTGAAAAGGACGAAGTTATCCAGGAAGCTGACGGCACGGAACATCTTATGTTTATGTACGGGGGTGGCCGGACCGCGCTTATGGCTGGTCCACACTCTACATCCACCGGTCAGGAGACATCCACAGGCGCGCAAACAATGCAGGAGTCGATCGAGAGGTCGGTGTCTCCCGGTTCGGTGGAATCAGGAGGTGGTATACTCCACGAGATGCACGGTATGCTACCATATTCTTTGTCTATTTCCCTGCAAGTAGTATACATCATCCACATGCGATACTAACACCAAAAGATTCCTCGCCCATCGAACTCCCGACCCAATTCAATGTCTCCTCCTCTAATAGCAATAGGACCTCGGGATTCAGTATGGCGCGAGGTTCTTCCCTTTCGCCCAATTTACCACAGACTCCAGTGTCTGATTCAGGTCAATCCTTCCGACCGAGTCACCACCGCAGTTTGTCAACTCAGTCCATTGATAATGTGGTAACTGGCCCGATGTCACATTTTCATGCACCATTGGATGGCGGCAATGGGCAACATCAGCGCCATGGGTCTGAGATTTCGGAGGAGAGTGCTAGTTTGAATGGGAAAGGTCCAATCCGTGGTAGCGAGACGATCGATGAACATGAAAAATAGATATAGTGAAATCATGAATTCTTGCTAACCGCCTTAGCACTGTTGCCATACTATAAGAAACTTTAAAAATAACAACATACCATGCCCTGAAACGAAGGAACATGGTGAAAGTTAACACTCTAGCAGCTGTTGCATACGCTACTCAGTTTAATGTGCTCATTCAGTTGTCCCCAGACCGCTTCCTAGAAAAGTGTCTGTAGTGTATATTATGGATATGAGACCTCCAAGAATATATTTTACACGAAACTGCTATACACTGGCTACCTGTGCGCCTCCTTCCCTTCCGAAACAGCAACCAGGCTGCCTCTTGGCGTACGATACTAATGCGAGCCAGGGTATATAGCATCATGGAAGAGGTGTCCGTTCTGACGAACGAGTTTTAGAGCGCGCAATGCTAGTGCCACGAATGCTTCAATATCATGCCGATGCAATGCAAATTCTCTTAAGTACTGAGATTGCGGTGACGAGGCTTCTTGACCGGAGAAGTTCTTATTAACAGATACGGAAAACCCACAGCGAGAGTTGTCAACTTGAAATCAGAAATTTGTGATGTGTGACCCTTTCCTCATGAGCAACGCTGTCGCCTCCGGAACGTCTCTTGGAGGCTGGCAATACGCACGTTAGACATAATGGGAGTTTGGAGACGACCAGACCGTGCTTTTTGGGCATTCTTTCAGCCATGATTTTGACGTCCTGAAAGTTTTTCATCCGAAAGTGGTGGACTCCGCCATCTTGAACAGCGAAGCTGTGTTTCTCACTTTTCTTCCTACAGAGACATTGGCACGTTTATGGAGTTTAAAGACGCTGGTCAAGGACTTGCTGGGCTATGATATACAAACTGGCGATGGCCGGTATAGCGCTTTGGAGGACGCATATGCGGCACGAGACGTCGTCATCTGGTGCATCAGAAACCCTGAGTAGCTAAAGTTATGGGCTGAACATGCTCGAACTTAGGAAGGAAAGCGCGCGTCCGGGAAGTATCGTCAAAAGAAACATCGCACAAGAAACGACAGGACAAGAATGCCGGTCACTGAGCCTTCAGGAAATTTGGGTTACGATGAATAGGACGATTCCTCTGAAATAATCCGCTGGTCTGAGATTACGGAGGACTATGGAGGGCTACATCCAGATACTGGATACGATCCCTAGTCCCGAATGAGCTCTTGGATCCCAAAGGCATGGAAAGTGGCATGAAATCGAATTGGTTATCACACATAAGATTCTTGAAGAAACACAGGGGTCCCGCACAGCGTACTGTATAGTCCCTCTCTCTACAGTATGTGTGTGTGTCTACAATTCCTGACAATTTTCAAAATCAACCTGACGTCGAAAGGCCGAAAGTCGGATCAACGATGGTCTATCTCTGCATAAAGACGTCTCACGCTTGCTTGAAGAATATGATCCTAATCACATGATGCACTAGTCCTGATATGATTATTATCGTATTAGACCTGTGTTTAAAAACCGCGCGAACGATGGTTGAAAACCTGATTATGGCAAGAGCCAGTGTATGTGGTCTTGCACCGGATCCCCGTATTAAGTTGTGGGGGGGGGTCCAATGGGCCAATGGCGGCGTGGGAAGAGACAATTTCGATTTCCATACAGTCTGTAGGAGGTTAAAGTGACGATATTTCACTGGATCTATGTAGTGCACTCTTTTAGTGAAGTGGCAACGAGAGCGCATCAGCTCCCTAAGTGTCAAATATATAGCCCTTCAACAGTAAACACCAACACCCCGACTGTCTACTACGAATCATCAATGCTTTAAAATATTAAATGACAGAGAAAAAGATATATTTTGAGTGCGAAAAAAACCCCCATAAAGGATGCGATAACAACATCAACATCTAGCCAGACAGACCAGAACAGCAAAAACAAACAGAAAGCCGATAGTTACGCTGATCTTGTCAGATGAACCATCAGTCATATCCATCCGAAAGAGGTTACTTATGCAAAATTTCTGATCTTGGTGGGTGAGTGGGGGTAAATGAGGGTTCCCCGCCACGGGTCGAGGATAGGTTGAGGGTGACCCTCAAAGGGTGAAGGTTTCATATTCCCTTAGCTGCAGAGGGCAAGTCCGACGCCTAACCTTTGTTTTCAGCGCTCATTCCACTTCACGGTAGACTATGACATGTTTTCGCAACAGAACGCTACATGTTCTACTTAAATCGGCCTGCATTGCCAGGTGTTGGCTCTGGGTTCGGCCGCCAAGTGCCGCTCTTAAGCCGCACTTGCATAGATACGACAGACAAGCTTTGTGGATCAACATGCAGACCACGCTAAAGTCCGCTCACAACCCGCTGGAACCCCCCGCTTCAGCTATCCACACTTGCACGATCATTAGATCCGGCCATCAAGATTTGCGTTTACATTACTTCTTGACAAAACTACCCTTTTTCTCTGACAGAATTTAATCAAAGGATCACAGCTTCCTTGATCAGAAATGATCACCAATGCAGCCTTAGGGAACTTGCCATTTTCCCGCTGTTCGCGAGCATCCAGTAGATATATAGACCAGGTAAACACCCCTCCCCTCAAACATTCCCTTGATCAGGACACTCCATCGCAAATCCTCTTCACGACACAATCTAATAACTATTTCCCAACATTCAATAACACGGATCTTACAATGAAATCCAGCGGCGCTAGTACCAACGGAAGGCCTGCCTATGGGCGACGCAACTTTGTCGACGTGATCGACGAAACCGCATTGAACGAACCATTCCGACCTATCCTTTCTATTCCTCGCTCTTCGGACCCAAGGGATGGATGGGAGGAACTGAGTTTTGGGCAATACGCCAACGCCATTAACCGCTTTGCTCACTGGATGGTCGAACATGTCGGGCGTGCGAAAGACGGGGAGTACCCCACGGTCGCGTATATCGGCCCAAATGATGTACGATACTTGGTTATTTTGGCAGCATCTATCAAAGCCGGATACAAGGTATGTTGCTAATTTTAGTCTCCGAGGTACGCGAAAGAGCGTACCTTTGGAATGGACGTCAAACAGCTGAAATTCTGATCATTGTAGGCTCTGTTCATCTCCCCACGGAACAACATCGAGAGCCAGTTGTCTCTGTTTGAAGCAACTGATTGCCAATGGCTTTTATACACACAAGAATACGCGCAGGCCATACAGTCCTGGCTGAGTGTCCGTCCGATGAAATCCAGCCTGGTCAGCGCCGTTAGTGATATACTTTCTGCGGAGAGCGCCCCGTCTTTCCCCTACCAGAAATCATTCGACGAGATTCGCAGCAAGCCGGCTTTAGTTTTACACACAAGCGGAAGCACTGGAACTCCCAAACCGATTGTCTGCTGTCATGGTATACTCTCTCTGGCCGATGCATATCATCAGCGACCGGATTTTGCCGGATACTCTCATGTTCTGAAGGCATTCTCGGGGATGGCGGACAGGGTTTTGTGCGCAGGTATGTTATTCATATTCGTAAGTCTCTATTCAAGACCTAGCTAATACGTTGAACGCAGCACCCCTGTGCCACGCCCTCGGGCTTTATTTGTACATCAGTCTTTCTATCTTCTGGGGCACCCCGCTGCTACTACCAGTTGCAGACCAAGCAGTGACATCAGATGCTATCTGCTCTTTCATCCAGCACTCTGGTGCTGATGCTGCCGTCGTGCCCCCCTCCATTCTCGCAGATATGAGTCAGGAAGAGGCAGACATCGAATTACTCAAGAAGCTCTCATTTGTGTCTTGTGGTGGAGGAAATCTAGAGCCTATGGCCGGTGATCGGCTTGTCGAGGCAGGAGTAACACTCGCCAATCTCATTTCAACCACAGAGTAAGAAGGTGTACTCATTCAAGCATCCTCATTTCATTGCTAATGACTGTTAGATATGGAATGTACCCGCTTTATTTTCAACCGGACATGAAGCTGTGGAGATATTTCGTTTTTGACGATGAGACCTTTGGCTCCGATTTCCGTCCGACCGGCGACAACAACTTTGAACATGTCATCATTCGCCACAACAAAGATCCTGGAATGCAAGGCATCTTCTACACTTTCCCCGAACTTGACGAATACAACACCAAGGATCTGTATCGACCTCACCCAACTGCCCCTTATCTTTGGCTCCACACCGGACGCGCAGATGATGTGATCGTGTTTTCCAACGGCGAAAAGTTGAATCCAGTGACCATCGAATGCACCGTTGGCGCTCATCCAGCTCTTAAACGGGCAATCGTGGTCGGCCAAGGAAAGTTCCAGGCTTGTATTTTCCTTGAGCCGCTTGAATTTCCCAAGGACGACACCGCAGCCCAGGCCCTTATCGACACTGTGTGGCCTACTATTAACCAGGTGAATAAACAGACAGTAGCCCATGGACAGATTGCGCGACGTCTGGTTAGGCTTTCCGATCCTGCTAAGCCTATTCCTTCTTCTGCTAAGGGATCTCTTCAGAGGGGAGCATTCTTGAAGGTCTATGAGGATGATATCGAAGCTTTATATAATGGAAACAACGGAGCCAGATCAACGCGACTTTCTCTTGAGAGCGAAAATACCCTTATGGAATCCCTTCGTGACATAATCGTAACGTTTGGAGTTGAGGACGTTGAGCCTGATACAGACTTCTTTGCAGCTGGTATCGATTCACTCGGAATCATCAATCTTGGAAAACTCCTTGGACAGGGACTCCGACACGCTATGGTGCCTGAAGATCGCTCTACGGTCACAACTCGAGCTATTTACGGCAACTCATCCCTACGAAAGCTCGCTCGGCATCTCCTTGCCCAAGCTTCTCACGATGCCACTGTTACCAATGGCGTGGATGGAGTGGAAGCAGCAAAGGAGGTCTTGGAAAAGTACAGTATTGAGTCTGTCAATAGCAGCATTCCTGAAAAGCCATCCCCTAGAGATGAGGGACAGACAATCATCCTTACCGGTTCGACAGGTAGCCTCGGTTCATATCTCTTAGACCTACTGGAGAGTAGCAACTCTGTCTCAAAGGTCATTTGCCTCAACCGAGGCGCTGACGGCGGTCGACAAAAACAATTACATTCCAACGAAGAGCGCGGCCTTCGAGTTAACTTTCTGAAAACGGAATTCCTGCAAGCAGATCTGTCACAACCAAAACTTGGACTGAGCCCTGCCATTTACGAATCTCTTTTGTCCTCGGTGGACCGCATCATCCACACCGCCTGGCCAGTCAACTTCAACCTGTCTGTCGAGTCTTTTGCGCCCAGTATCTATGGTGTTCGAAATTTGGCAGAGTTCTCTTTCTGCGCTAGCAAGCATTTGCCCATCATTTTCATATCATCCATCGGCTCTGTCGATCGTTGGGCCGGTCCTGGGCCAGTTCCCGAGTCTATTCTAACCGATCTAAGCCTTGCTTCAACGGGATATGGCCAATCTAAATTTGTCGGTGATTTGATCCTGCAACAAGCAAAAGAGAAGCTTGATGTTCCAACTGCAGTAATTCGTGTCGGTCAGATTTCTGGTCCTCGAAGCGCAAAGGGTACTTGGAATAGACATGAGTGGCTTCCTACTATTATTTCTTCATCAGTGATCTTGGGCCAGCTGCCTACTGATCTCGGCGCAAATCACACAGTCGACTGGGTTCCAGTGGAGGATGTCGCAAAAGCAATCCTGGAAATTGCTGGGATCTTATCTCACCAACCACTGTTGGCGATCTGTGGCCATTTCCATCTTGTCAATCCAGCTCATGCACAATGGAAAGATCTCGCCGAGGCAGTGAAGAGCTTCTATGAGCAGCAAGGGCGCAAGCTTGAGTTTGTTGATATGGCCACTTGGGTCAAGATGGTTGAAGCCAATGCTGCAACCGGAACCGAAATCCCGGCTGTGAAGCTTTTGGATACTTACAAGGCGCTTGTGGCTAGAGAGACTCATTTTGCAGGGTTCTCTACGACCAAGACAAGGGAAACAAGTAAGACACTGGACCAAATGGGTCCTATTAATGCAGATATGATGAAAGTGTGGTGCCAGCAATGGGAGTTTTGATATCTGTCAGAATCTGGGCGTACGACAGTCCCACATGGAAGTGTAAATCACGAAGAAATAAATCTCTGATTCAGATAAACCTGGGAATGCCCGACAAATTAGAGGGCTCACTAACTAGTAAATGACTAATACAGAATAGGAAATATTGGTGAGTGGTAAAATCCCAGTATGTGACCTGTAGGGATTCCAACTCTTGACAATATCAATCAGATGAAACTTTTGTCTTTAGCTTCTACAGGTATAGAGAAACCATACAACTCAGAAAACTAAGCATCATCGAAGTCTAAATCGCGCTTATTCATTAAAGCTCTCGGACCTTACTTGCTGATATATTTTGGTGGGCTTAGTCGTAATGCAGATCTATTTTCAAACCTTCACCTTCAATGATCCATGTTAAGTAAAGAGCCAGAATTCATGCACGTACACGCCATTCCATACCAGCCCCGATTAGTTATAGGAATTGATGACTCACCCATCGAGTTAACGTAATTCCCGTACGAGCCGCCCACCTCAAAACACATAGTAAATGCGATAACTTACAAGTTGATATCTCAATACCAATATGTCAAATCTGTTTGATTATTGGCATAATATGATAACTCTGTCTAGAAAATAAAGTAAGCTCACTTAAATCTAAACTAAAGAATTATTTTGTTGCATTACCAAAAAATACTGTTACATAAGCTACAAATATATACATCCGACCTTGCAAAGATCACGTATTATTCTAAACTTCAGAATTAAGCTAGATATGTACTAGATAGTACTCCAATATAATCAAATCTCATATTAAGCTAGTTTTGCTGAGATATCAAGTTGTAATTTATCCCATCTACTATGTGTTTTGAGGTGGGCGGCTCGCCCGGGGTGGGCGACTCGTATGGGAATTACGTTAAGAGGGGCAGGTTACATCATCTCCCACATTGAAAATAATCCGCACTGCCAAGGCGCTTTCATAAGTCAATTCTTTTCTTAGAATCCTGCATAGCACGAAAGACAGATTTCCTCGAAGTCGCTGGGCGGAAAAGCATATGAAATGATAGCGCGTGTACCTTAACGCGTCCCCCATAATGAAACCTCCCCTAGCCTGTAAGAACTGCAGAGCGCGCAAGAAGAAATGTGATCGTGCCTATCCGATATGCTCCTACTGCCTGAGGTTTGCTTTTAATTCTTTACTCTATTGAATAAGCCTAATTATTAGAACAGAACCCATGATCGCTGTGAATATCGGATTGACCCCTTCACTAACCGCGCCGTAAGGCCGAACGTATCGCTAGCACCCCGAGCAAATGAAAGCGAGGGCACACAAAGAGTTCGATTCAATGCGGCAATGTTTCTGGGCTACCCGAACCAAACCCTCCCAAGGCCCGCTGCGCTGGAGAGCGCCGCTGTTGGAGCTGATGTATTGGAATACATCTATGGCCCTAGCCAAACCGAGCGACAGCAATGGATCTCTGATTTTATCAAGATCATTGATCCCTGGATGCCATTTATTCCCCTCAGCGAGCTCCACACGGAATTATTGAATGAGAGCAGTCAGTTAAAGGGAGAAGACGTACTTCTGCTTGCATGCATCAAGTTGAATACCGAGCCGTTGCCGGGAAGACAACCCGTGAACAAGCAGTATCTCGCTGTCAAGGCAACGTTCCTTAATGCTGAGATCTACGGAACACTCTCTATCAGACTTTTGCAGGCTTCCCTCTTGCTTCTTCTCTATGAGTATGGACATGGCATCTACCCATCTGCCTACACGACTCTAGGTGGTTGTGCTCGGTATCTTGGGGCCCTGGACATAGAACCGGACTTGGAACGAAATTATGCAAGTAATTGGATGGACGGCGAACAACGAAGACGACTATGGTGGTTTGTCTATGTCATGGAACGGTAAGTTTTCCATTTCCTTTTTGTTGATCACCGTGGCGCTAATTCATAAATGGCAGCATCATGGCCCTTGGCTGCCCCCAACGCCCACTTTTATTGAGAGAACCTGACGGAAATGAGATTCTCCCTTCAGACGATGTCTCATGGCAACAAGAAGTATTTGATCAGGTCTTTGTTTTCTCGAAAGCCCGAATGTTAACATGAGCAGCATCCTTCCGCTCATTCTCGTTTAACGCTTTTGTCGCCTGCAAGATCTAACATGGGCACTTTCCGCCTCCTAGTCCATGCTGCATACCTCGTGGGTCGTGTCATCCAACTGATATCCGACCGCCGAATTGGGCACCAATCAATAGCAACAAGACGGACACAGCTCTATAGGACGATCAACGCACTGGCAAATGTATTAGAAGTCGAGCTACAAACAACAATTATCTTCGTCAGTGTTGCACGCAGCACTCTCAACAGGTGCTTTTCTGATACCCAATTGAACTATGTCCAAAGACTAATTAATCTAGTGCGATATTCGTGCTTTATTCCTTTGGCGAACCAGATGGTGATGAATTTGGTGACATCTATGACACAAATCACCCTATAAGCAAATCGGCACATACTTGTCTCGGTTTGACGAGAATTTATATTAGTGGGGATTTGACTAGTGAGCAGAGAGCTTCTCCGTTTCTCTTGTCTTGGGGATTTCACTCGTTCAGGTACTTTTACGACCGATACAACCTTGATGGACACCTCGGGAGCTTAGAGGCACTTGAAGTTATGAGAAGAGGATTGGAGGCCCTTGGCGATAAGTGGAAGCTTGCCGGTACGCGATTAGCATCTCGGACTTTGCTGTCGTATCTAATATGTGAGACAGACGTCTATGCGGTTCTTTTGAATAGCAAACAGGTGAGTAATTATGAGAGATGGGCCGTGTTCGCAGCTAATAAACCGCTTTAGAGTTGAGAATAAGTGTGTAAATTCGATATAGAGGGGCTTTTTTCGCTGAATTATTATTGGGATTTCCATTTGTATGGTCGAACGCATAGTAAGGATGACTCATCATAATTAAGACTACCCAGTCATTAGCAGCCGTATAGCAGTTTCAAATAAATAATATTTACAGTATCAAATCCACGATACTACAGTAATTTAAATTAGAAACCGTATCTAGCGAATAGCCACGTTGAAACACTGCACTTCATGAATGTCTGTTGAAACCAGTGACGGCTCTTTCAAGCTCATTCCACGTCAGTCAACTGCCATGAAGGCCTATTGTCCTAAATTAAGAATTGTCTTCCAAGCTAGAAGATGAAAGCCTCGGTCTCGCAGACGAGCTCCAGATACCTCGCAGTTATTATTGGGATTTGAACAACGGTTTGAATAGAGTGGTATTTCATCTGGAAAACATAAGAAAAACTGGGCGACATGGATGTTCAGAGTGGTGAGAGTGGTGAAGGTGGTGAGGTGAGCTCAAGACGATATCATGTCGATTGTTTCAACAAGTACTTTCCACTAGTACGCCGTCAATAGCATCAACAGTCCTTGTTGCCTTGCTGCTGTTGCTGCTTTGTTCTACAATCCTAAACCCCGCCCACGGGGGGGCCCTTGCGACGCGCTGCATTGATCTTATAGGTATATGGGTAAGAGCGAGTTGTTTTGTTAGCTATTATCATCGCGTCTCCTCTTAACAAGGCGAGCCGAAAATTAGAATCCTTTCCCCTTTGCTTTTGTGAGGGTAGAGTATGTATTTCTACGTGGTAAGGGGTGCCAGGGACCGCGTACGTGGTCCACCGCCGCCCGCTATGCGTGTCACGGACAGCGTCCGTCCTTTCCACGTTGTCCCGGATGCATATGATGCTGCGGGATGGTCAGCAGTTGGGTTCTCACTCGACTTCATAGCCCCATCATCGATACAAGAGGCTTCAGGAACAACAATCTCAGCCCTCTTCTCATTTTATAGATAACTAGGTTACTCTCGTCCCACTCTTCGGGGGCTCATGAAAAGACAATTTCGATTTCCAACAGAATAAAAACATAGATACAGCTTCATGCAAATTCCAGGAGGAGGATGGCCTTGGCTTGTATCATTTTCAGCCGGCGTATATATCCATGAATATTGGTCGTAATTATGGGGCGTTCTCGCGCTCTTTACCCCGCATGAGGGGAAAAGTTCAACCTCTTTGCTGATTTTTAGCCTATCAGATGAGCGGAATCACAAAGCTAAACTAGTAAAGAGTGGGCTCGGAAAGCCGATAGAGGTTACCCGAGAACGGCATGTTTGGCCGAGGGCCACGTAATATCTAGCTTAAAGGGATCAGACATTTGATGTCTCAAATTATGCAACAGCCCACTCGGCCGAGTGATAATCATCCTATGTCCGTTGACTATCCTAGTAGAATCCCGGATTTCTGTCCCAGTGACGTGAGCAATACAATTGCATATTGTCGAACTCGTGCTCCTATTGAATTTGAAGACCCAGACATCTCAACGCCATGACAACTCTATGATATAAATAAAAAAGCGGGGACATCCAAACGACCTGTACGAACGGGAAACAAATTGCAATGGCCAATACAGTTGAAGTAACAAGGGCGTCGGAGCTCGACGAGGGAACCGGTAAGATTGAATGTGCGTAATAGATTCAAGGGATTCCATGCTAATGAGAACTCTACACAGGAGGATGGACGCAAGGTATGGTTCGGAAAGGCGCGATTGTCGACAAATCGGACAAGATCTGCTCTCTGGGTTTGTCTCGCTGTTTATTTTAGGGTCATTTGCCTGGAGATGCTTCTACAAATCTTGCTAACGTTAATTCTAACGTTGCCATCCAGTGATGCAGGCGCAGCCCCATTCCTGCTCTGCAGTCCACCACCACGGCGACCAGGACACTGTTGTGTATGTCGCGAAAGGTCATGGTAGCATTGTTTTCGATGGGGGAAGACGGCGAGAAAACCTATCGCCCGGTGATTTCGCTCTCATTCCTGCGTAAGATCCGCATCATTGCCAGAGTATAGAGCGTGTAATAGATGAGTAACCATGGCGCAGGTATACTGAACATCAGGAAGTCAACGAGTCAGGCCAAGAGGTGAAATGGATTATCACGCGTACCGGACGAAAGCCGATCACTGTCAATTTAGAAGGATGGGGTGGAGGGAGTGCCAAATAAGGGGGGATGGGTCTTGGACAATCCTAGAGAGGCCACGTAATTGTATTGAGGTAGATAGGGCTAGGTTTCAACAACCAGACAGGTATACCTGGAAATTGTTTTGTTACTGAACTACTGGATTTACCCATATATATCCATACCGCATCGTAAACCGGATTAATACTCGCTGGCGGATTGTTGATGTTACAAATAGAAGAGAAAATCGCCGATGAGCAAACCCACTGATCACATAACCTCATAATGAGAGAACTAAAAGAGAGCCCTAAGATGGATACGGCCTTTAGTACAAGCAATAATTTGGAATAATATGAGAGAGCTTTTGACCCCTGCGTAGCAGTGGCGCCGGACTACGAAGGGAGCGAATATGTAGACCCGCACAGGTAAGAGAACACAGTGGCCGTCTTGAGAGTAGAATCACCTGCAGAAATGCAGCGGAAAAAGCAAGGGCTCAGGAACTGTCTATGGAGTGGAAGAACTTACGGTTCGAGATCGAAATTGCACGGTGAGACTTGGTACAAATCTGAATCTAATGCCAGTAATGCCGACGAGGACTGCGATGACAGCGGAATCAGTATGACGACCAAAAAACAGCACCAGACCAGCCCCACACAAATATTAAAATCAGCATAATGCTGGGCCAAAGACAAATATTCAACAGGTTTAAGAAGTTTACAAGATGCAGAGCTCGACTCCTACCTGGATAAGGTCTGATTAGCGTTTGAGTCGCGAGATGTACTGTCAAGAGCAAACCGACGACACGGACGGGCAAGCGAATATAGGCGCTATCAAGGCAGAAGATATGATGAGAGACTGACCCCGGACACTCTGGGAGCAAAGGGACAGGCACTAATTATACAAGTGGTAAACTTCCCCCAATATGAAGTTCTGCAGCAAGCGAGCAGTGCTCACTGAGCTTTGAAGAAGGCAACTAGCTCAAAGTTAGCACGACGTGCTGGATTCGCAATCAAAGATGACAACATACTCGGCAGCATCGGCAACGCAGCTATTCCATCCAATGCAGAAGAACGCAATAAAAGAACAACCTCCAATGACAAGCATACTGATGACCTTTAGCGAATTTCACTCCACTGGAAGTACGATCCACCATCGGAAATTAAAATTAATAAGAAGACGACATCAATGAAGGAAGCAAGTACGTGCCACTAATCGATGCGGATCACCCTCTCTCGGAAGCTAGCTTGGAGTACATTGTTTGGAATAAAGAAGAATGCAACCACCTCAGAGCATGCAGCAAACGGGGAGATCAACCGGAAAAGTCTGCACCACGTTGACCGCAGGACAAACACAGCAGTGAGAAAAGGACCGATCACACTTCCGGTACCGAGAGCTGGACCCAAGTTCCCCTGGTACCTTTCGCGCTGCTCGAGAGTGACGATATCGGAGATAATAATCATTGGTAGAGATAAGACACCGCCACCGGGCACACCGCCACCGGCCACATCATTTAGTAGATAATATGTGGAGATTCTGCCCCTGTTTAGCTGGATCCATTTTAGCCCTTCGCTTTCTTGAGTCTCTTCTCGTCCGAGTAAATCCACTTGCTCCATTGCTCTGCAGTAGGTTTGGTTAAGATAAATCCGAGGCCGATGACGACTCCGCAGGCTCGATTCTGAACTATCTATCGATGTAAGTGAAGTCTGTCCTGTGCGAATCTTCTTTTTTTCCACTTCCCTGGCTGCCAGCTCACCTTTCCACCCATGCAGGCATATCTTCAATACCGACGCATAGGGCATGCTGTACATAGACAGCTTGACGACCATCCAGAATGGATCCAAGCCGGTGTGCAAGAGCCGAAAGACTTGCCCGAGGCTTCCCAAGGTTTGAATAGCGGCAGTCCTGGCATGAACGAGACACAGCAGCAGTCATCACCGTCGCACGTCACAACTCATCCATTACCAGGAATCCAATTGATAGAAAAGGCTGACAGCAATGGACTCTCTCAAGTCTTCCTTGTCGGCTGGGACCATGAAGAAGATCCCATCAACCCGCGGAATTACAGCTTTGCAACCCGCATCTCGGCCACATTGATTGTCTCTACACTGGGCTTTATAGTAGGAGCCGCATCGTCCATTGAATCTGGCGTCCTGCTACAGAACAGCACCACCTTCCATGTCAGCGAGGTCGTCGCCTCTCTGGCGACGGGCGTCTACCTCATTGGATTTGGAGTGGGATCGCTAGCGTCCGGTCCGCTGTCCGAAATCTTCGGCCGCAATGCCGTGTACGCTGGCTCCCTCAGCCTCTTCATGATCTTCATCATGGCGTCCGGATTGGCGCCCAACATCAGCGCCCAGCTCGTCTTCCGCTTCCTGGCCGGTGTCTTTGGCTGTCCGCCCCTTACCTGCTGCGGAGGCACCATCGCCGACATCTGGAACCCTCTCGAGAAGACCTTCGGCTTCCCGCTCTACGCCGTCTTCTCCTTCGGCGGCCCCGTACTTGGCCCTGTGATCGCCTCTTACATGGGCGAGGGTACCCTCTCCTGGCGCTGGACCAACTGGATCATCCTGATCACGTCCGGTCTCGTCTTGGCCCTGATCGTCCTGTTCCAACCTGAGACCTACCCTCCGCTCCTCCTGAAATGGAAAGCCCATCATTTCCGCTACCTCACGGGCGATCAACGGTACCAGTCCGAGATGGACCTGGACCGCACCGCGCTCTTCTCACGAATCAACACCGCCTGTGTGCGGCAGTTCTCCCTAACATTCCGCGAGCCAATAATCCTACTAATCACCCTGTATATGAACGTTGTCTACATTGTGATTTTCACCTTCTTTGTCGGATACCCGTACATATTCAGCGACGTGTACGACATTTCGCAAGGCCTCACCAACATCGTCTGGGTGGCCATGTACATAGGCATTGCGCTAGTGGGCCTGTTCGTGCCGTGGGTGTACTCGCGGACCAAGAGGGAGTTCCTCAAGACAGTGGCCGCTTCTTCCCTGGCCATTTCCTCTTCCGACAACGGCGACGTCGGCGACGTACCACGGAAGAAAACCCACTCCACCCGTCCGGAGAATCGCCTTTGGTACGCTATGATCGGCGCGCCCGCTATCCCAATTGGGTTATTTTGGATGGGATGGACGGATTATGTAAAGCTTTATGATACAATATTCCCCTGGGACTTCCATAAACTAACAATGACACAATAGAGCACGATCTCAATTTGGTGCCCCATCCTCGCCTCCACACTGTTCGGCTTCGGATGCATCTGTATCTTCCTCTCCAGCTACATGTATGTCATCGACGCGTACGACATCTACGCTGCCTCCGCACTCGGCTTCATGACCGTCTCCCGCTACTGCGCGGCGGGCGGCATGACCATCGTCGGGATCCCGTTCTACTCGAACATGGGCGTGCACTGGACGCTGACTATACTGGGGGTGATCAGCGCGATTATGACGCCGGTGCCATATGTGTTTTGGCGATTTGGCGAGGTGATTCGGGGGTGGAGCCGGTATGCAGTTTCGACTTAGTGTGGGTGGTTGGATTAAACTGATTTGGAGTGGGGCGGTTGAAAATGCCACTCGAAGATCGGGAGACACATGAAGGATGCAATTGGAAGACGACTGTTTATACACGAGTAACATCAACCTCGAATAACTACAGTTGGAATTTAAGTTCCGAGCTAGTCAGAAACCTTATCGGCGGATCTCTGCTGAGACTCACTGCTCATATTGCTAATCTAAGGGCGGATAGGCCGAGGCGAGTATCATGAAAGCCAGATCGCACTTGATATGATGACAATGATTTAGCTATATATATCTTATCTTTGGATGATATCGACCTACCGATAATTGCCTCTGGTCAACAGACTCAGTGCGCATTGGTAGATATGTGCCGCAGTGGTTGGAAAATATAATACCAGATCTATGCAGGCTCGGGCCCATAACGTCGATTTCAATTGGTTTCTCGACCTTACTGGGACCCAGAGAAATATCTCTCTGATTCGCTCGGCACATCAAATAGAAGCATGGGACTCACATTGGTTATCTGCGAGTATTATCGGTTCGCGATCGAACTCGACCATGGAGCAGAAAATAGTAGAACAGCACAACAGTAGCTGTTGGAGAAAACCCAGTAGATAGGCAATAGACGAAGACGCATCTGGTATACATTATCCCCAGCACTTCAGCTGCTCTGACCATACCATTAAGAAATCATGACCGGGTGCCAGGTCAAGAGAAAAAACGAATAAAGAATTCAATTTGAGTGCTATACTCGACGGGAGATCCAAGTTGGGCAAAGGAAAAAGAGACGGAGGAAGCGTCTCTACTTATCTACAACAATCTATATGCTATGTCACCTATCAAACGCAGTCTTCAAACGCAGTGCTGTCAAACACAGTCCCGTCATGCTTGGTCACAATTAACTCGCTTACCGATTACGTTAATTAATTACACTGCTAGAAAACCCAGGTAATAATGCACAACGATATAAGGCCTGGGTTTATTGTCGTGAGATTAACCAATTGCTGGTGTCATGTAGCAAAACATCCTCCCTCAACAACTTGCTTAGAATCTCCCAGCCAAGGCTTAGCCAAGTCTCAACACCATTTACGAATTCACTACCGCACAAACCGCCTACCCAGTGAGTAGCCGCACTCGGGATGCTATCAACTTGAGCTACGTGAATACGCACAAGCTCATGCTAATCACTGCAATATGTTTCTACGCTCTGATATGGGGCATTACCAGAATGTAGGAGGACGTCAATGTAAAGAACATCAAGCAGTATGATGGTTTGACAATTTAGATGTGGACAGATACATTCATGTTCACGCAGTAAACACAAAATTACCACACATTGAGTGAATAGTCAAGGCGTAACACATATGGCAGCGTTGAACAACATCTCAGTAATAAAGAAAAATATGGGCACTAGACAAGAGCTATGTAATACAGAGTTATATACCCAAACCTTGTAGTACAAAGAAAGTGATTTTAGGTAAGCTCGACGTTGACATAGTTACCTCCATTGTTAACATGGACATAACCTCCAACCCTGCCATTGCTTCCGCAAGTATCGATCAACTGTTGGATGTAGTACTCTACGCAGGGCAATGGCTCACAGTAGTCATATCCGTAGAGATCATCATCTTGGCAGAGAACCAGGTTGCAAGAGTTGCTTGAGGCGACCGTCTGACAGCCAGAACCGTATGGCTGGGCACACGGTGTACTGACAGCGTTGAAAGTCCCGCCGGTGCCGAAGGCCTCGCAGTCCCCAATTTCGGGACTTGCGTCACTTGTCTGGCACACTGGAGCATCGGCTGGAGGACAGCCAGAGGGCAGTGCAGATGATGAGGCAGCCGAGGAAGTTGTGGTCGTGGACGGAGGCAGCACCGTGCTTGGGGGCTTCGGCGTGGTTTGAGGTGAAGTGGCAGGGGCAGTGGAATGCGGTGAGATCACAGTTGATGGTATAAGAGGCGTTGATTTTGAGGGAGAGCCTGGCTTAGAACCTGGCGTAGAACCGGGAATAGAACCTGGTCCTGTACTCGGTCCTGTACTTGGTCTTGTACTTGGTGCTGTACTCGGTCCTGTACTTGGTGCTGTACTCGGTCCTGTACTTGGTCCTGTACTCGGTCCTGTATTTGGTCTTGTACTTGGTCCTGTTCTTGGTCTTGTACTCGGTCCTGTACTCGATCCTATACTCGGTCCTGTACTCGGTCCTGTACTCGGTCCTGTACTTGGTCCTGTACTCGGTCCTGTATTTGGTCTTGTACTTGGTCCTGTTCTTGGTCTTGTACTCGGTCCTGTACTCGATCCTATACTCGGTCCTGTACTCGGTCCTGTACTCGGTCCTGTACTCGGCCCTGTACTCGGTCCTGTACTCGGTCCTGTACTCGGTCCTGTACTCAGTCCTGTACTTCGTCTTGTACTTGATCCTGTAACTGGTGTGGATCTAGACGCGTGCCAAGTAATGTAAGGAGCATTGATGGTAGCGAGAACATCAAGCATGTCCTCTTCAGCTTGGGCCAAGCCGTAGTTCCATGCGTCACCCAGCGGAGTACCCGTCGGCCCGGCGCTCATTGACCCCGTCGAGGAGGGCGTGGTCGAGGACGGCGTGGTCGAGGACGGCGTGGTCGAGGTGGTAGTCGTGGTTGAAGTGGTAGTCGTGGTCGTGGTCGAAGTCGTGGTCGAGGTCGAGGTGTGGTCGTTGTCCGGGGGGTCATCTGGGGGCGGATCAGGTCCTCCAGGTGGCGGGGGGGTCCCGTCGGGCAGATCCGGCGGGTGAGCACCGCAGCAGAGTCCCCAGGATGAGCTGCTGTCGCCGTTGGGGCAGAAGATGGGGATTATGCAGGATCCCTTGGCACACAGAGGGCCAGTGCATTTCCAGGCACCGGTAGGACCAATGCTGCCGGAGCTGGTGTAGGTAGAAGTGTATGTGACAGACGTGGTCGTGCCGCCGTTGATGATGGGAACAACCGTAATCACGGGACCTACCGTTGACCCTGTCGTGGCCGGAGTGCCTGTAGATCCGGTAGGTGGCATCGAAGGTGTGCCAGAGAGAATCCCAGTTGTCGTAGTGCCTATTGGGGGAATCGTGCCAGGCGTTGAGCCAGGGTTCGAAGGTTCAGTTGAACCACCAGTCGAGCCACCGGGAGTGCCAGGAGTAGAAATAGGAGTGGTATTGGACAAGGTCCCCGACGACTTGCCAGTACTCGATCGAGTCGAGAAGCTGCCAGAGTGGCGGGAGCTGAAAGACGAGCCTCGTGTGATGGTGCTGAACGTGCTCGGCAAGGTCAAGGTGTCAGAACTGTCTAGCGTGATCAAGTCGTCACCACGCATCACCATCAGCGCATCCCTCTCGGAAAGACCACTGGCGTCCACCGCTCGCCTTTTGGCACTGCCACCGGCAGCGGCCGGTAGAACCTCGACGAAGCCGTTCTTCATGACACGCATGGCGTCCCCGCCGCCAGATGCGGAGATCAAAGATGCTCCCACACCCACAAAGCCGTAGCTGTCGGCGTTCTGGTATCCCTGATCGCCGAAGCTCTTGCAGGTGTTCCAACCGTATGAGTTGGGAGAGTTGACGTCAATGGCACGCGCGCCATCCGTCACGGCGTGGGTCATCTCGTGCAGGGTCAGCATGTCGCCGATTCTGGCCACGTCGATGGGCGAGACCCCAGGGTTTGCGTCCAGGAATTTCCCGTAGGCCTCGCGGCCCCTTGGCAGGTTGGCCTTCATATCGTTGAGGACCTTTGATTTTCGCCCAGCCAGGTACGTGATGAACTGGGGGCACATTTGAATTTGCGACGGCTTATCTACACCCGTGTTGGCCCAGTTGAGTGTCCAGGCGAACTAGTTGATCAGTCAGTCGATACATGAGAACATAGACAGAGCGGCGGAGATGGCTTACAGTGCCCCTGGTGTTTTTGCACGACTGATAGGAAGGCTCCATGCGAATGTCGGCGTCAATGGTGGGATCACAGGCAAATCCCGGTTTTGCTTGGCCAGCGCAGTCTTGATTCTCGTAGTTGATGGGGGCGGCGGCGTCAGGGGGTTGGAACGCGGTGAACCGATCATAGGTGCAGTAGATGACGACGCTGCTCTTGTCCAGGTTGGAGTACCTCGCAGGGCGTGCGCGCGTGACCCGGGGCGCAGCCTGGGCTCCCTTGTACTTGAGAACATCCTCGAATATCTTGGATGCCTGTAGCCAAGCCGCTGACGATGTTGAGGGCTTGTCGTTACTCAAAGTCGACGGGAACATGTAGGAGAGCAGGTCCCTCTGGGCTATCCATACATCAGATGGGTCTGAAGGGTCAGTATCCGAGGCGAGAGAGTCGAACATGTCCGATGCCGCCTGGGCCTGACTGAAGGCACTGTTGAGCCATTGAGTGATGAGGCCCTGGTTGTCATTGCAGGACTCATCCAGGTAGTATGCATGAGCAAGGGGAGTCGTTAGAGATACGGCCAGGGCGGCCAGCCGCACGGTAGATCCAGCAAAATGCATGATGAAAGAAGAGCTTTTTACAGGGACAAGGCCGTGCAGGAAAACTCTACTAATACCGAGAGGCGAGGATCATATCGAGTGTTTCTCGGGGAGCTAAAGTCTTGTTCTTATATATGAAAGAATCTCCTTCCCCCTTGAAGAGAAAAACACCCAAGAGATGCTTCAGGGCCGCAGGCTTGACCAATGAGTTTGGTGTTTAAAATTAACTCCTGCTCATCACTAGAATTTGGAGATGTAACTCAAGAAATAGCCCCCAGGTTACCAGGGGACTGTCTCGGATGTTTGCCACAACATGTACTAAAAAAACCTTTACAATATCGGTAGAGGTCCATTTGGTTCCCGATGGGTCCCTCACGTGGAGATGGAAGATAGGTGAACATCCACTGAATCATAGTCCAACGATAATCATAGTTAATAACCAAAATTTGTCCTCTGTTTGGCCTACAAATATAGTTTTGTGAAAGCCGACCGGATCTCCAGTGGCTTATGTTTGACCCACTGGGCCGGAAGGCAAAGAGCGGGTGGCCTTATCTTGGCAGGTCTTAGCTTTTGCACAGCCATGGAGCTGAGGTGGGCCCGGCGAACTAGCCTGCATCGAACATCAGCCCTGGCTGTGTTCTGCAGAGGCTCTGCCTGACAAGGCAGACTTGTACGCCTTAGCAGAAGTGACATCTGCAGGCAGACCTACCGAGATACAAGTGAAGAATTTAATTACGCCATCAGATAGGCTTGAAAGTCCTGGAACTCCGCCGAAGTATCTTGTTAATTTTAGAGCTACATTCTAATCTTTCTATTCTGATGAGAACAAGAGAAACGAATGCTTTCGATTCAACCACTGGATTCATTTCCTGACCTGTCATGTCATCTCAAATATACGCCACGGTGCCCCTGCCCCCAACCACCCATAACCAGCTAAAAGAAAAGAACAAAACCAAATGATGAAAATAATATAGGCACTCACCCAAGAAAAGAAAGGCCATGCGAACAGAGAGAAGAATAACTCCCTAGGATCTCGCTTAGTTGTCAACATTACATGGAGATAAAGTAAAACGACCTTGAAAGGTCAGAAACCAGCACTTGATTGGTTGTCATTCCTCCGGCGCCGGAGGAGTGCTTCTTTCGTAAGGGTGAGCTATTCCGCAGAGAACCTGCACGCTAGCTACTGGGATCGGTTGCGTCGGATGCTGGAGGAAGGACTTCGCTCTCGGCAGAGGCACGGGCTTCGTGTCGCCATAGGCCATTGCCCCACACTTGGCCGATCGAGCTAATTCGGCGAAGGTTTCTAGCCTGGCCTAATCCCTACTTGCAACAGGTTGTACTGAATCATAATGAGAAGCTCGGTGTCCTTCTGAGGAACATCGCTGATTAGGGACTGGCCGCCCCCTGTCGTTCTTAGTTCACGGTGGCAAAGCAATCAAAACAAGACTCGAGGAGCCGCGTCGAGAACGTAATAGATACTTTTTGCGAAGTATCGCCTTGTGGAGCCCGTGTGTACCTGCTGGGAACATGGCCCAGTCGGAAAGTCGGAGGGGCTTGGGTCCCTCGGACAGACACACGACAAGTAACACGCACAGGCGGAGCCGCTTTGCCACGACGGGGACGAAGCAAGGCCGAGGCGGTGCTGATCAGGGGGTTTCAGTTTCAGTATTGCTTTTAGCCTTTATGTCAAACATGGGGGCCGAACTAGGCTGCACGGAAACTTTCCATTCGGAAGCTAGGTAGGTCTTAATAGAGTCAACTAAGATTACCCACTCCTCGGATCACGGCCAGAAGGATGAACACTAGCCACGTCTGGTAGGTGAAGATTGGATCATCTGGGGTATTTACTGCATGCCGCTAAGCGCGTTAGCCACCAAAGTACCCGACGACCGGGTCTCCTTGGCCCGTGGTGGCGAGGGTTCGTAATAAATTTGTAATTTAGGAAAGGGGCCGGTTACACGCTCGCACGATTACTTCCAAATTCAAAGTCTATTCTTGGCACAGTTTCAGACTCGCAATTTTAATTTTTCTTTCTTCCTCTTTTCATTTCTTCATCTTCTGTCCTCTTCCCTCTATTTTCTCACCTCTAGACAATGGCTTATGATGACGAGGATGATGACCCCATCATGTGGCCCCCAGTGCCATGCGGAAACGCAGTGGACCCCGATGGCACAGCGGCCGCACGAGAGGCCAACGCACCGCCGCTGCTGCCGGCCAAACGACCGCGGGCTCTGACACTTCCGCTTACTTCTGAAAATGGTGAGGAAGAGGGAGATGATGAGGGCGGCAGCAGAGATGGAGGAGAGCAGCAAAGCAGCAGCAGCAGCAGATACATGCTGCGAAACCGGCCTGGCCCAAATTTCACAAAGACTGCCTGCAAGACTTCACCTTTGGACTGTCAGCGCACAGCCGACCAATCGCAGTCTCGTCTACTTTCAACACTGCCTGTCGAGATTCGCCGAGCTATTTGGAGGCACGCCGTGGGCCGGCAGCTACTTCACATGGCCCGTGTCCCCAACAGACTCGTCGCTCTTGAATGCGCCCAGCCAAAGGATCTGACTAAGGACCTGGAAACCCTCAGACATGACTGCTGGTGCATGACGAGAATCGGAGCCCTTCGTGGTACCATTACACGCGTGTACCGAGCCAAGAACAGTGCCCAGCCCACACGACCTGCCAACCTTCTTCCTCTGCTGCAGACCTGTCGGTTAGTATACACTGAAGCAGTGTCAATGCTATACCAAGACAACATCTTTGATATTGATCACGTGGATACACTCCTTTACATGAAAAGGTGTATACTCCCTCAGCGTCTACATCAGATTACAAGACTTAACTACTCTTGGGATTTCTCTCAACCTGTATACCCAGACTCTCCACGGCACAAGACCTGGTGTGAAGCGTGCAATGTGCTCTCAAGTCTCAGCAGACTACAGGAGCTTACAATACACCTCACCGGAAATTTCGATGTAACCTCGGAGGATTTCAAAAGTAAGTCCTGGGTGCCCCTGCTGGATGGACTCAAGCAGGTCAAGGCAACCCGGCGATACGACGTGTATATCCCATGGTCCGAGGAGGAGTGCAGCAGGGCGGCCGCTGAAAATGACTTTCCTTTTACCTTGGTGTCTTGGCCCCAGAAGCCGCTTATCCCACGTAAAACTGCCGAGGGCGAGACCGTTTCGCTATTCTAGGCTTTGGCTTAAGCTCTGCTGGAGCTGGCTTCGCTGTGGCTTTTTGTAAAATCAATCTAATTAGCTATTTTATCTTGGCGGCGTTCTAGGCGGCGGTAACCTGGATTTCTAGAAGGATACCTATTCCAATACATGACGGATGACCACATCATCTGTACCTTGTGATAGCCGGACATGCATGCGTTTAATTAAGAGAATGCCAGACTTGACTAGTAAACCGATGGTCTCCTTGGCAGGCGGCCCCCTGTCTTGCTGTTGTTGGCGCCAAACATTTGACTGCATTCAGCATCACGTAGATCATCAGCTAATGCGCGCGCAGCCAACAAACCGCTCAGCTCTCCGCTTCGTGTGTTCTTCTCCACTTCTTTCTCCAGCGTTAGCGACAACATTAAGTGATGTGACCATGGGACAAGTCGACTCTCATTGAATCTTATCGCCATCGACACGATCGAACAAAGACTTCCGTTTGAACGCCGTGCGAGCACCGGCATTAACCAGTTAGGCCATAGCGCTCAAATTAGTTACCTTCGTCGTTCTCTTTCTTGATCTGGCTGCCCGGTCACAGAGAGAGAATTAGTTTTACTAACTCATGGAGTTTGGAAGCAAACACCTACCAGTGATCTAAAAATATATTTTTGAATGTGAACATGCCACCTTCCAACGGGACTCCAATAACATTAATTACGTAGGTTTGTTTTGCTCTTGTTACAAGCACTATGTACAGAATTAATTCCATATGTTCGATCTATGCCCTGTTGAACGGGATTTCTTCGAGAAGATTTTCAACTTTCGGTGCGTTCCAGATTTACCCCAGGGGTGCTACATGAGTGCTCCAAGTCTGCTCCAAGTCTGCTCCAAGCCTACTCCAAGTCTGCTCCAAGCCTATTCCAAGTGTGCTCCCATTGTGCTCCCATTGTGCTCCCAGTGTGCTCAAGGTCTGGTACAAGTATTTTCTCTGTATCTCCGGAACGATTGTGAGGACCATTGTACCGTAATATATGCTGCGACTATCAGGTCTGATTTGTAAGGCTTGACCGCTACCTCGCTGCCGCGCAGGGATCGCAGGCATTGACCAAGTCGAGCGGGGAAAGGGGCCTGTACATAAAGGTCTCGCTGGCACCTGAGTCTCAGGGTCCAGCGAGAAGTCTTGGAAATATACTGAGTCGCACCGAAAGCCTCCCTGCGAGTCTCTGTTGCCCAAATTCGTAAAACCACTACAATGGGTGTATCGTGACACATCCCGGCAACGATACGCCTCATATCCCGCTTTCCACGCGATAAGCACCATCCAAGCTATTAGTATTGTAAGTTTATTTACAGTAAAAAAACGATAGGCTTCAGGCGAGCGAGTTTGTCATCGCCAGTATACGGTAACTTTCATCAAACAACATGTACTCCTAGAGGACGCGGACGTGTATGGTCACGTATTAAGATAAGCCAGTCATGTGATATCAGACTGCGTGCAGTACATACAGGCCAGATCATCATATCTACTTTCTGAAAATCAGATCAATATGTCCATCCCAACGCTCCCTGTCGAACTTGTGACTAGAGTCTGCAGTTACCTCGAGCGACCGGAATGGGCTGCGTTCAGGTTGACTTGCACTCGGCTATACTTTTCATCCTTAGACGCGTTCACAGATCGATATTTTAGAAGCATTCGCTTCATGGCCACAAGTGACAGTCTTCGTGAACTAGAAGACTTAGCTTCGAATATGGCCATTCAAGCACGTGTTCGAAATTTATGGATGATACCGACCATCTTTGAAGGTCGTCACAACCTGGAACCTCCTGCATTTGAGACATCTCACTATGCAATGTCGTTAAAATATGACCGACGTTTAGAGGGCAAAGAACTAGAATCTCGCTACGCCATATATCAAGCTACCGTGGCAGATAATTTTGCGTTGCTTGAGTCAGATGACTTCAGCACCAGACTTCAAAAATGCTTCGCTCGCTTTAGCAACCTGAAGTCTATTGGATTCCAGCATTATACAACATCATTTCTACTAGACCCACGACAGAATGAAGTTCGATATCTAGGTTTGCGCCGGCTCAGGGATCAAATGGACTTGGAGTTCCGCCCTCTGCACTTATCTTTTCTGGAATCCAAACTCAATACCAAGCCCACCTCTCTGGCCATGCGCAGACTATTCCAAGCACTCTTGGGTTCTAATAAACCATTCAAACCCAAGGAGCTACATACGTGTGGTACCGACTTCTGTGGTCGGATACCTCTAGATCTTTTCCTAACACAGGTGGAATACGACACCCTTCTCCTGAACCTAGGGAGCCTCGAGTACCTACATATGTGCGTCTCTTATGACAGATCGATATCAGAAAACAGACCATACCCCAGAGCCAACACTATTAATCTCCTTCTCAAAATTGCTCCTAAGCTGAAAACACTCGTCTTTTCTCTGTGGAACAAGTCGAACGACCGACGCGCGATGAGGCGCCACCACTTCTTGGATATTGCTCAAAGCATCAATTTCACGCAGCTCACAAAACTTCATCTTCATTGGATCGAAATCCAATATGATTCCTTGAAATCATTCTTAAACACAGCGAAGGCAACGTTAGAAACCCTCACGCTTGAATTGGTTACAATGAGCGACGATAGTCCTCCTGCGACAGATCAAACGCCTGTCTCAAACATTCAGTCTCCCCTGGATAGGATGAGTGCTTCTTGGCAATGTGTTTGGATCCTTCTTGGAAACGAGTTCTCGTTCAAAACATTTGAAGTGAAAAATCTTCAGTATCAGGGCTTGAAAGTTTTTTGTATAAAACATGCCGATAGAAGTCAAAAGGTTGAGTCCACTCGCTTTGATGCTGAAATAGCCGAGATCTCGTTCCACGAATGGATGAGTCAGTTGACGTTAGTAGTAACGGGTGAACTTCGTGATGCAGCGGCAGTAAGACATCAAGGTGAGTCACCAACGTACTCCAAAGGAATTAATCATCGTTCTCATATCTTGACAGAATGGTTCGATTCAAAGCTGCCCCAGCACTACGATTTGACTCACTCACGTTCAAATGATCATGAGATTGCAGAGCGGCCCTCGCCAATGGAATTCTTGGAACCAAATGTATGGGAACTGGATGCACCATAGTTTACGAGAAACCTGAATTCAGAGTACGAACTAGATGTAGTTTAGATTTACTCACAGAAGGCAGCTACGAATAGATATCCAATGTAAATGCGAATCATGCGCTATGATGGCCAATTTAGTGTCGGAAAGAGGGACCTATGCGCGAAGCTTAATCAGCCAAAAGTGCAAAGAGGGAAAGAAAAATTTCCTATGTCAGCCAGTTGCTCAAAACTCCTAGTTTATGAGACATTTACATATACGCATTCTGCTATCATCATCAAATTGAAATTGAGACATCTGTTGCGTGAAAAAGCATCCAGGCAACACTCTGACGATTGACTCCAAACTTTTACTTTACATGCCCCCGGAAAATCACCACCAAGTCCTTTTTGGTTCCAATCTATAAGGCTGTCACCGTAGGAACTATCGCTAGTGAACCAACCTCACGCCTTAGGGCAAATCGTGAGGTAGTTCCTTGAGTTTTCTTTGGTTTTTGCCGAAAAGCCCATCACGGTTTCTCATCGCTCAAGGCACTTGTGCATGGATCTTTCTGAGTTCCTCTGTACCCGAAATAGGGACAATTCGGCTATTTCTTTAGTATAACTAAAACTGTAAGTATCGTAAATCAAAATTTAATTGTATTTTGTCACAGTAGATCGAGAACTAGGGTGCCAATCTTACTTGTACCGTCGTCTTGCCTAATAAAGATTTTTAGGAAGACGAGGAAGATAATGATTTTTCTGGACATCCGTTGCCACCTATGCATCTATAGAGAGACCGGAGGCGTCCTAGGGATGCTAATGAATACGATAAGTATTAAACCATATAAGTAAGAAATTTAACGAAATACTCTCTGGTTCAATTTTGAGTAATTAAATCCTCACTTTGATTACAAGCCAAATACCAAAGAAACAGGGCAAATCCGCACAAGTTATGCAAATCATAGGCCTTTCAATATTTCCACTGCTTATAGCCCTACGGGCGACGATAGTCGCAAGAGCCCGCCAAAACTTTATAGCCAATCGTTTTGCCGGCAAAAATATTCTAACCGTCTGAAAATGGTCTGTACACCATACCACATAGTAATCTGTATGGTAGACTGTGTGCCTCCTTTTCTACAAGGTCTCCCGGCCACCCAGAGTCTGCCCTCAACTCAACTCGCACAAAAATAGGTGTACATGCTCTCCTATTGTAATTACTATGACAGGCTGGGTACTATCCCTTTCACAAAGGTCGCCCAGGGTAGTTTCACTACCCCAGGTGGCCCAAATCTTCCATTTCCACTACTTTTGAAAAACAGAGGCTGTTTTGAAGGCCAAATCCATTCGATCAACTAACTACCTATTTTACCTACCATCCATCCACCTACCCATCATCAAGAGCGCCCTGATATCACATTTTTATGCCGAACCTCGCCCTCCCCATCCCCCTGAAGTCGATCTCGAACCCGACGCCGCGTCTGGGGCGGCGATACTGTGGATGAAACCGCCCGGCGGCGTTTAGGGTGGCGCGACGGCGGTGCCTTGGCTGATGACCTGGCTGGTGCTGGTGCTGGTGCTGGTGCTATGTCCGTGGTAGGTTCTCCCGCCGGTGGCGCTGGGTCTTTCTTCTTGAAGAAGATAGCTGGATCATCGAGGTCAGAAACATCGACGTCGTCGACTGGGCTTTTGAGGCGGGCTGGACGAGTAGCGAGGTCTGGATAGTCGATGATCTCGTCTGGCCAACTGAAGCAAGACGACCTGACGCTCTCACTGCTTGGATGGCGGGCATCGCGGGCACCCGGATCCTGCTTGACTTGGCTTAGTCGAAGATCTGGCTCTTCTTCCACTTCCTTCCGGACGATGATAATATTGATATCGCGCTCGCCGTCCCTCTTGTGAAATAACTCGTAGAGCTTAGTAGTATGTATTTCCTTATTGTACTTTGGAGATAGGAAGACTGGCTGTACTGGCTTCTTCGTGAACGCGAGCGCTAGCCTGTATACATCGCCTGGCTCTGGTGAATACTGCTCGAGGTCTGTATCGAGCAGTGGTAGGAGCTCCTTCTTTATAAAGTGCTCAAACGACTGGACAAAGCAGCGATTGAGCGGATGGGATATGACGCCCCCAAAGTTCTGTGGTTCCCTATCCGCCTTCTTCGGAGCATCCTTCCGCCATAGCCAGAAGGAAAGACGAGCCTGTAGATGCTCTTTAGTGGCTCGGGACGAATTGGCTTGGGATGAAGTTGAGGGAGTCTGGGGCTGAATGCGCTGGTTTCGGGCAGCGGCGGTAACACGCTGGAGGAACTGGCCTGGTATATACTGTGCGCGCTCCTGCGTGTAGGCCGGCTGTATGTGCTCGCGATTAGGGAAGCTCGGTATATGCGAGCTCCGCTGCGAGATCTCCCGCTCATAATAGGGGTATGCTGGCGGCGACGATGTAGCGAGATCATAGTGTTCGGCGCGAGAAGCGATGCTGGAAGGTCGGTGAGGCATAATGGTCGTTGGAAGGAAGGTTGGCGGTTGGAAGGCTGGTGGTTGGAAGGCTAGTAGGCCAAAAAATGAAAGAATGGTAGATGAAAAGAGGGTAGTTGACGATATAAAGAGGACACCTTAATAGAGCGATTTACTATTAGATGAGGTATCAACGTCGAGTAAATTTGAATATAGACTACACCCTATCATATTGCAATTGGGACTAACCTCCTTGCTGCTTGTAAACCCGCATGCAAACTGCATATCAATTGTGAACTGGCCTATATACTGCCATCCCGCTATCCCGCCATCCACGCTATTAACGGCTAGCTGCTCTAGCCATATCTTGGCCTCATGTAGTTGCGCTGGGCCCTGGGCGTATAGGCATCTCCCCGGCGGCGAGGTCCTCCCCGGCTAAACCTTGTCGTACGCCTCAGCTGGTTGCCCTGGCGGCACCCAGTTGTATCCTCCGGTAGGCCGAGCGCTTACTACGAGTATCGGTAGTGCGCCTGACTCAATGTGGTTGGTCACAAGCTGGCGGAGTTCTAGGTAGACGTGTGTATACGGCTGAGCATAGCTCTCTCGTGCTGGTGGCTGGAGAGGGTCGAAGCCAAGCTGGTATAGCTGAGTCCGGCACCACTGTAGCGTTTCAGCTGGTAGATATTCATCAGCATCCCAATCTCCAACGACCCCTTCATGTAGACCACTTAATACGACTGGATCTACCCCTTTATTGAAGTCTTGGACCTGTGGATGGTGGAAGAGCATCCAGGGTTTACCGGGGACGCTATCTGGGCGATTTTTTTGCCGACGGATGCGATGGGTATTCCAGGTCTCAACAAACTCTTTAATCGACGAGCGTACCAACGGCATATAGACAGCGAGAAGGGCAATCTAGATAGTAGAGTGGTTAGCGAGCGCTCGCTTCGAAGGTATCGCACGATGGGCATCGTACGCAGGCATCGTATACATACCTGGTCGGCGGTTGACGATGTGAAAAAGCCACTATCCTGTAGATAGCGAAATAACTTCCGCCAGACGAAGTTATTTGACCCAGAGAGCTGTCCCCACCAAGACTCGATGCGCTGGTTCTGGACACTCCGGCCGTACCACCAGCACTCCTCATGACGAATATCTGGGTCGATAGCTCGCCGGAGAGCCCAGTGGGCATCGCCGATGAGGTATGTCTCGGTGCCAAGGTCTACGCGAATAGCTCGTGGCTGGAATCGACGCATAGAGAGGGTATCGAGATACTGGCGGAGTACACTCACCGCGGTGCGTGTACTTATACCGACGTAGATCCAGACAATATAGCGGGAGTAACCATCGATAGCGGCATAGACCTCAATTCCATATGGCTGGAGCTTCATGTACCCATCAATGTGCCAGACAAAATTCGGGCCAGGCACAGTATACGACCCCCGGGCGCGCTGAAGACCAAGCGATCGACGCTGAAGGGCATCTGGGCGAAGAGCACACCAGATCTTGAAGATCCGGTCTCTCACATAGACATACCTATGCCGGCGAAGATAGGTATACAGATGCCCTCTTCCGTAGCCTTCAATATGCCCCTTCCCAAGCTGATCGGCCAGTATAGCTTCGATCTCTCCCTCCTGCTGCTGCTGCTCTTCAGGGTCATCGATACGAAGGCGTATTCCTAACCTCTGACAGCGAATAGTCCAGAGGGTGCGGGGGGAGATCGGAGTGCCTTCATTCGATAGAACTTCGAGGATCTCACTCGTGGTAAGGGCGGCTTGGGTACATAGCGTGGCGATGCGGGTCTGTATAGCCTCGTTATACACAATGCTTGGCGCTCTTCTAACTTCCCAGGCCTGTAATCGCCTCTGAAGCGTCCGTACTGAGACGGCGAGCCCATAATTCTGGCGCAAAGCGAAGCAGATATCTTCGACGGTAGTCCTCTGGGTAGTGAAGAGAGAGACGATCTCCTCTTGGTAGGCTTCCAAATCGACCTGGGGGCGAGGCATCATCGCGCAAGCGCTGTCGATGGGCCAGGGGCAGATGGCCGCTTGGATGGCGCTGTCGATAGAGCGCTGGATGGAGCGCTGGATGGCCGCCGGGACTCTTGTATAGAAGCCAAAAACAGCCTCTATTTTTGAAAAGTAGTGGAAATGGAAGATCTGGGCAACTTAGAGCGCTGGGTCTGCCCAGCACCCCCTGGTCAAACGGATGGCCAGGGTAGTGACTGGGAGACCCTTTGTGAAAGGGACGATACCTAGTCTACTATAGTATGTATTATGAGATACGAGGTACTACTATTTTTTTCAAAAGTGGAAGGCGGACACAAGGGCGGTAACCCCTTAATTAGCACTAGTCATTTTGGCGGGCTCTTGCGACTATCGCCTTCCGTATATAGCCCTGTGGGTATTCCTAGAAGTCCTGCGGGACTGCCCTAAAGGGGGGTCAGTCCCGCCTCTTAGTCGTCTCACGGGACTACATGGAAATTCCTATATGGACCCACGGGCAGTCCCATGGGACCACTCCCGTGGGAAACGTCAGGGCCTAGAATTAGCTCTACTTGGAGCGACTAGGAATGATGCCGACGATTGGCTACGTAAGCTTGCAATATCATATTGTCCCTCTTATTTGCTACAGACGAAGCTCGTTAGAACAAAAATATAAAAAGTCCAATATCTGCTCTCAAAAGTCCCGTTTAGATCAAGACGAAACAGGCTGTGGGAAAGAGTCCAGAACCTTCTCAGGTCCAGTGATTGTCAACTCAGCATGCGGATAAGAATGTTGACCCACATCCACTTCCAAAGTATACGATCCAGGGTACAGCACCAAATCTCCGTTTGCAGCAGTGCGTGCCATAGAGCCAAGTGTCACGTCGATACCGACTGTCTGAGTCTCTCCAGGCTTGACAGAGAAAGCTCGCGCATAGCCGATCAGAGTTTTGATAGGATACGGCTTGGGGCCGGCGTTGCTAGTGGAGGCGAAGACCAATGCGACATAGTCGGATGTAACTTTTCCGATGTTCTTCACTTTGACGTGGAAGGTGTCAAAGACAGCAGTATCTTGGTACTCTGATTTGCTTGCATGCGCAACAAGGCCTGCCGTGTTGTAAGGGCCCATCTTCGAGTTAACCCAGGAGACGTCGAAGGTAGTATAGTGTAGACCAAAGCCGAAGGGAATCACGGCATGGTTATACCAACGATAAGTACGCCCAGGAGTAATTCCATTTGGACGCAGCGCCATGTCGGTCATGGGGATCTCGTTAGTATAATTGGCTGGATACTGAGTTACCGGCAATCTTCCCGCAGGAGCAGACTGACCCGTAAGAATGTCGAACACGGCCTGGCCACCAGCTTGACTGGGGTAACCACACCATAACAATGCATTCACATTGTTGTTTGTGAGAAGCGTCGAGTCATCTACTTGACCGCCACCGAATTGCAGGATAACCAGCGGTTTTCCGACTTGAGAAAGTTCGTCAATGAGTTGAAGCTGGTTACCCGGCCAGGCGATAGAGTTTCGATCACTGCCTTCAGCTTCAATCGAATTGTCAATACCACCAGCATAGATGACGATATCCGCTGCCCTTGCCGCGGCCACAGCAGCAGCAAAGCCAGATGTGTCAGTGGAGTTGATCGCAGTGCCTTCCTGATACTGAACGCTATACCCCATCTGTTGAGCGCCCCATACCATAGTTCGGATGTATTCCGGGGTGCCGTAATAGTTTCCTTGCAGCTGAGTGGTAGCATTGGCGTAGGGTCCAATCAACGCAACAGTCTGACCATGGCGAGACAATGGTAGAATTTCTTTGTGGTCATTTTTCAAGAGCACAATCCCCTCAACAGTAGCCTGATTAGCCAGTTGCTGCGATGCAGGGGTACCCACATCAGACCATCCGAGTGAGCGATATTGTGACTCGTCTGGGTCGAACCATCCAAGACGGACCAGAGAGGAGTAGAGGTAAATTAAAGCGGAATCCAACGTGGCGTTCTGGAACAGATCTTGCGCAGCCGCCGCTCCAAGATTGTTTGACATTGTGGTTCCACAATCCAGATTTGTACCGGCATTCAGAGCGTCTGCAGCAGCTGCCGCAAGAGAACTGGTATAGTGATGGTCAGAGTAGATGTTGTCGACTGCGTCACAATCCGAGGTCACCCAGTGTCCAGTTTGATTCCAGTTCCAATGATCACGAAGGATAGTGTCTAATAGATAGCTATCGGCGCAGGTTGGAATTCCGTTAACAGCGTTATAGCTACACATGATGGCATCCACTTGCGCATCACGGGCACAGCTTTTGAAGGAAGGTAGATAATACTCGGACAAATCCTGGGTGGAAATGATTGCGTTGAAGCCATAGCGTTGATTTCCTTCCCAGTTCTCGACATCGTATCCAGCAAAGTGTTTGCAAGTCGCCACGACTCGCGGATTGGCAGGCCCTATTCCATTTTGCAAGCCGTCTATAAGATTGTAAACGTAGCGAGCAATGTGAAATGGATCTTCTCCAGGCGTTTCTTGACCTCTACCCCAGCGCGGATCTCTGAATGGATTGATATTGGGAGTCCAGAAATCCAGGCCAGCATTACCATAGTTGTTGAAGGCGCGGCCTTCAATGCTTACCACAGTTCCCACTCGTTTGATCAAGGCATCGTCAAAAGCGGCAGACATCAAAATGGGTTGTGGGAACGAGGTGGCATAGCTGAAGTTAGCAGAGGGTTGGAAGGTGACGCCAGGAGAGCCTGCCACACCATGTAAAGCCTCGCTCCACCATTGATATGCAGGTAGGCCAAGACGAGCAGACCCAGGAGACCCATTCTGGGTATTTTGGACCTTTTCGTCAAAGCTCATGGCAAGAACCAGCCCTTTTGCGCGGGTCAGCGGATCGAGAGAGGTATCACATACTGGATTGCTGCAGAGAGGATCGACTGTGCAATTGGGCTTCACAGATCCCGAAAGAGGAACTGGGTTGGGACTTGGATTGGAAATATTGTATACATCAACCCTTCGGAGATTGACCACTTCAGTTAGCTGACTCTCAGCAAATATCAAGCATACTTGGTCTCACATACAGCCAAGTGCCTCCACAGATCTCGGACGAATTCCCAGCGCAGGACATGGTGCATACACTATCTGCCTGTTTCTGTGCAGAGCTACCGACAGAATTTCCACAGTAACATTGACTAATCTCAGATGAGCTTCTGTAAGTACAGGATATTATTCACAGTCAAGGTAGTGGTCAACTCACGATCCGTATTCCACTCCAGCATAACTGAATCCAGACATCCCGCAAGCATTGGCGCATGTCTGGGGCGTATTGCCACCAGGAGGGGTAGCCGATCCTCCTTGAAGCACTCGTGAGCTATTATCTGTGTAGCAACCCAAGAAAGAGATACTGGCCGTATAATTTTCATTGGGAGCTGGGAGACATTTGCCCTGCCGTTGCTGAATCGACGGGATTGCCGCGGTCGAGGTTGCTCCTAGGAGGATTACACTCCATTTTAGGAAGCTGGAAGTAACAGTCATAGCAAACTTTGGGAAATTCCGCTGCTTTACAAACGCTTTATACGGGGGCGGAGTATGCTTGCGATAAGATGATGTTCCTTAAAAAGCAGTAGCAGAAAAGGGAGTCACAGAAGCAATTTATAGAAGCTTCTATGGCTCAATTGACCGTCTCTACTGACATTGGGTCTTGAGATTCGACATGGACCCGGGTCAAAACTCTGCACGCATTTTGCCGGTTTGCCGTGATTCCAGTAGCTTCTCCCCGCAACGAAATGTCACTAGATGGCGGGGGTCGGATAAATTCTAGTCTCTTTCCCCGCACAATTCCCTGGTGGTCAGTGCTTGAGAGGAGAAAAATACGGAGTTAGGATCCGGCTACCACATAGCTTCTCGTGACTAGAGTAGCAAAGCGCTCACTGAGTCACGTCAGGTTCGATGAATAGAACTTAGCCAAAAGTCAGTAGCCAAAAGTGTATATTGAAACTTGCTCTTGAAGCATGAAAATCAAGTTTCCACCAGTTTTTGAGAGCAGTCCACTGATACTCTATGGATTGTTTCGTGATTTAATTGGTAATGATCTCTAAAAAAGCCTCTTCTATAGGTGTTCATATCAAGCAATTTTTAACCATGCGCATGACTCCAGATTCTAAAGGACCACAAAGTGTTCAGACTTGAGAAAGGGGGTTGCACCACAGCTTCAAGTTCATCTTTGAAGCGTCGAAGAGGTGAAGACTCGAGTCAATAGATTTGAGAGTACAACACATCACGGCTAATTGCTCATATAGAGTCCTTGAGATCTACGGACAGTTGACCTTTCTAATTAGCCGGTGCATGAGATTGAAAATGTGTGAGCGCATGGAGTGGTAAATTACCACAAGCAAGCGATAAGGTTTGTTGGAAATCTCGGTGTTGAAACTACCGAGCATCGGCGCATTTAGGAGATAGTTTAACCTCTAAGTTCTATTCCAGACGTAGCCCACCTACTGGGCCCATGGTTAAGAAACCTAGGGTGGATGTACCTCAAAAATACTCTGTAGAAGCTCATCGAATTCCACGAACGATATCCTGACCAGCCTGGCCCGCGCATCTGCCTATAGGAATGGATCAGAGCTGTATTGAGTAATGAATTGTTGGACAATCATCTAGATGATAACAAACCAGTATCTAGGGAGTAAATGCTCTTATAGAAGGGGGTGATATGACTAGCCGTATGGAGCACGTGATACAGATTCTGTAGATAGTTGGGACTCTCTTCGTTTCTTCTCCTTGTTTCCTTCCCCAACTTGGAAGTCGCATAAATCCATAGCACATCAATTTGATTACTTCTCTATTTTCTCTCCTGATCTGGCTGCCTGGTCACGCCTAGTACTAGTCCTTAGAGTTTGACCAACGCGCTTAGATTTTGTGTTGTTTGGTTTATAGCGAGCCAGTGATTTAATTTCCAGCTATAGGGAGCTAGCTTGGGAGAGTCACTCTATGATTGGGCTTTTAATAATCCTCAAATTTCTGAATTTTTCACGAATATATGTTTGTTTTGTTAAAAACATGTAGAGCCATATGCACAGCTTCACAGTCAAAAGTCGGAAATTTCTCAAAGCCAATAACAAATCGATAACGTAAAACACATGTACATGTCCCCACTGAAAAACAAAATGGCAATTATTAGGAGAGCGGTTATGATAAAACTCCAGATGCGATTGTGGCAAATAGTGAAGTACAGCGGTTCATAGAATTTGAGTCCTGTGAAAGCGATCAGCATTAATATCAAGCTGTTAAGAGAGTTTTCATTTTAGGCATCAATTACCTTTTAGTCACAAAAGATCTCGAAACAAATAACTCGAGCCTGTCTTCCCTTTCTGTTCACGAGTTCTAGCTCCAGTAAGGCCTGGCGAAGAGATTGCTTATTCCGTTCAGTCCAAGAGGAAGGCTCAGAGTCGACATCATACTCTGCCTGCAGGGAAGAATCGTATCTAGACATTTGGAGTAGGCTTTGAGCTGGATCCGTACTTTCAAGCACATCTAATTTGTATTGTAAATCGGCATGCACAGCATTCCCTGCCACGTGCTGTAATAAGGAGCATCCAATTACATGACGCAGGTCTGGCTTCGCAGACCGGGCTTCTTTTTTCATCTTTTTGAAAGACATCCGGTACAGATGATATGGAAGAAGATCAGAAACGTCGCTTTGCGTGGATTTTGGAAGTGAATTTGGGCTGTGGGAATGCTGAACAAGCTGGGTCTTGGCTCGTTGCCGAACTTTTGATGGAAGGATCCAAGTCATTGTCCAGGGGTACTGCATTCTGAGGAGGTAGGAAAATATATCAAGATGATGGTAGAATGGCAGATTTGTCTTGTAGTTACTGGCATGTGTAAGTGGCGACCAAGTAGGCGCTTGTATGCTACAGGAGAGAAGCAGAGGTTCGGGTGGGATTCGAGATGACCTCATTTTGGAAGCAGTTTTATCACCTCATACGCCAACTTTAATATGGGGAACGAAGTCGGAGCTCGTTATTGGCCAGAGGCGATTTGCACTGATTAGGTGTTCCCGGCAGATCATGCCATCCAATCGGAGGCAGTTTTATCGCCCTGAACGCCACTTTAGTAACGTGTGAAGAAGTCGAAACTCATTATTGGCCAGAGGCAGCCAGGCGTGGCGTGGTCTTGCACTGATTAGGTGTTGCCTGGCAGATCATTCCACCCAATCTATATCGCCAACTACTACTAAATATGTTTGGAGATATAAGGCACGACACTCTAATGGAAGAGCTGATTTGAAAATAGTCAATGTTAGACTCTTTGATAATCGTGCGACCGACCAGTTCATATAATTCATGTGGGCTTGGGTTTCTTAATCGTGCTTTGGTAACCGAAATAACAACTTGTGAGGGCAGCATCACTCCTGTATGCTATGACTTTTGGCTACGACTGTGTGCCTGATATCTTTGATATCTAAGGCACACAGCTACTACACTGCTGTGCATAGATCAGCATTCGCCCAACTAGGCGCTATCAAGCTAGGTACCAAACGAGAACAAGGCATATAACCGAGATGGCACACCAGGTTTCTAATAAAAATAATGACAAAGGAAACCAAAATCAGTTAGCTACCCGTGATGAGGAAATTACGATTCGACATATTCTCTCAGTCGAAGGCAATATTATCAATTGGCAGATTACTCTATCTCGCGCAAACTGAAATTCTTTGGATTCCATATTTTTGAAGCGGGCAACAGCCAAGAAGCTTTGGATGCCATCTAATATACTTCATTTGACTACATCCTCATGGACTAAGAGACACCTGTTATACATGGACATGGCAACTTGGCGACAAAAGGCAATACGCAATTTTCAGAGAGAGAGTGGGGCACAAATTCCCGTGCTAGGTGTCATAGCGAACGTGAGATCAGCGGAACAAGCCGAAATGCTGCGCGCTGGAACGGATGACATCATACATAAGATGTACAGGAGGGACGAGATTGTCGAGAAGATATATTTCTTGATAGCTACCAAACTGAGACGATAATGTCCGCCGACTTGAGCAACATTTAAGTCTCCAAATTTTGGCGAGCGCTATGCATGACTTAATGTATCCATTCCGGGCTACAGAAAACTACTGTACTGTATGATCCTAAACGCAGTCCTTGGAGCTTACCTATATGGTCCCGAGCCATTCAATGACCGACTTACTGGGCACTTTTAATATAGAGAAGGGGTATATCTTACTACGCGTCCAATAACTATCAGCTTGCTCGGGAGCTAAAAGCCGGCGAAGTGACTTCAAATATACAATTTGCTATGGAATGGGGTTTGAAGTTCGCAAGTGCAATTCGCCGCCGGCATAATATTTCGACCGCGTGAAAAGAAACCTTTGACCCGAAAGACAGAACGACGCTGTAAGCGAACCATCCGTTCAAAACACGGCTTGAAGTGTGTGCGGCGATGAAGTTGCTTTTTTTGCTTGCCTCGAGGGAATTACCGTCGAATTGCAGGTGTAATATACGGTCTCTGGATAGCACCTGGGGGCTGTCAGCCTCTGATAGGCTTTTATGCAGATACATAGAAAATCTATGATTGCTCCATGGGGATCAAACTTGGATGCTGTGCTGCAATTGCGTCACCGCAGTTCTAGGATATATTCAATCCTGTCCACTAATCAGAATCTTTCAATTGTAAAAAAGGATATTCAGGAATTTCTCTAAAATTATAGTCGAAGTGCTTGTGCGCTCGGTTGAATCTCAGAATACTTGCATAGGACCAGCACTTGAAACAGCAAAAGCGAGTGCGGCCATCCGTGGCTAGGATGACATCATTTTTTGATGTGGATGAGTTTTTATTGTACATAAGCAGGGGCTAAAGCCGACTTCTTTATCCCTCTCATTCATTCTCCTTCTATATCCCTGTCATTCTAACAACGATACTTTCGACTTTTTCCATACGTTTTTACAAGATACCTCGCGGTCAATAACCCCCAATGGCCGGAATTGGTTCTCCAGAGCTCGACGGCCCCCTTCCCAAGCCAGCAGTCACCAACAATCCACCAGAAAACACTCTCGAATCCGAGCCCCGGAAGCACCGCCCTCCGTATAAAATCCAAAGTGCCAAGGAATTTGGACCAGTCAAGTGGCGTGGCCACTGCCTGTGTGGAAAAGTCTCCTATGTCCTAAAGCGAGACAAGCCATTAGAATCCAAGTATTGTCACTGCCGCGTGTGTCAAGTCAACCACGGTGCACCGTTCCAATGGGCATTCATCATCTACAAGCACGAGATGTCATTCCTTACGGGTGCACATGGTGTGTCCCGTTATGAAACCCCGCATGAATCGCAGATGTACGGTCCACATACCAAGGTTTCGTGTTCCAGCTGTCACACGCCAATTATGGATGAATGCGAAAATGTGTGCCTGATCTTCCCTCAATTAATTGAGATTACTGGATCGAATGGCGAGCAGAGGAAACAGAGGGAGGTGTTTAAGCCAAAGTTTGTGAACCTATTGTCGGCAGTGAGCATTGAAACTAATGAGACGTGGTAGATGCCATGTATTTTATGAGTCGCGCATGGAGGATATTCTTGATGGTCTCCCTAAGTGGAGGGAGATTGACGGTACCAGTGGACTACTGGACGACTACGGCAATCAGATCCCAAATCGATGAAGCGTCATATTCGGATGGAGTGTTCAGAAGTTCTGAAAACGAGATGTGAAGTGAGAACTTTTCCTGCGCTCTCATTTACAGCGGCAATCCACGGGCTGTTCAGCTTGGTTTAAGTCCTTAACACCCTGTTGAGTCCCCCGTTCTAGAATATTTGTTTCCGTCATTAACTTGCTCAATACATACATTGCTGTAATAGATGAAGAATTATTATTTGATGGTTGAGCCACCTGCGCTCCTAATCGAGTAGGTCCTGTTGTACACTAGTAAACGTCCACGTCGTACGAATTCTTGCCCCAAGTTTGGCTACTTTCATGAGATAGAGCCCTTCATGCCGGCTGAAATAGGATTGTGCACCTAGGAAGGGACCTTGAGCAGATCCGAGTGCTCGCTAAGGAGAGAAAAAGTACGGTCAGTTTCTAAGCTCGTGCTAATTTGCTGACTGTAAATATATTCGATCTTAGTGCCCGGTACAGAACTTTACTTCTCAAGAAGTCTCTCTTCACTACCAATCAGAAGAGTACATCGCTTTCAGCGATCCTCTAAAACAGTCTCTACATCACACAGATGTATGATGGTCGCTAGCGACCAAAGATCTTGTTGTTCGATGACCGATTTGAACCAATCGAGGGAACAGAAGCTGAGGTGCGACGAGCGACGCCGCTAGAATCCTGGCAGCAAAGTAAGCGGAGCTAAGCCAAGATAACATCTCGGTTGCCACGACAGATTTGCTAAGTTGATCATGGACCGTACCATTTTCTCACCATGGGATGTATCTCCATGGTAAGGTGTTTATTGTACAGCCGACTCCCTATTACACTGACACTGAATTGAATTCATATTTCTTCCATTCCGACTGGCGGAATTATCTCGTCTATTGATAAGGGTGCAAAATTACCTAGCACCATCCCGTGTGCATTAACGTATTCATGGCGATCTTGTAAGCACCCAGGATCTGTCTACGGGAAGAAATCCACCAATCACAGCTGGATCTACCTGCACCGGGTCGCTCCTCCGGCCAATCATGCTCTCCATTGGCATGCTCACAAATACTTCTATATGAATGATTGCCAGGGAGTGTCGCTACAGGGAGCAAAGGTCAATGAGGCCCAATAGAAACAGGCCATCGTTCCATCTGGTCAAATAAGGTACTCGGAACAATTGATCAATCCTGTAGAGACGGGATGTATTTAAAGACTTCGCAATCAAAGTAGACACTGCGTAGTACAGTTAATAAGCACATGTTGAGATCTTTAATCATGACGCAGCTAGCTAGGTTTGCAATTCACACCGAATCAAGGCATAGAGTTACGTCATTTGCCAGCGGCCACTTTATAGGCTAGGTAACGACCGCCCGGTACTATCAAATTTTTTCTATCATTTGACGCGGGCGTGTTTCTAGAGATCAAGGGTTATGTCTACTACTTCTCAATCTAGGCCAGCTGATACAACGTCCGGCTTCACTGAACATCGAAGTGTGATAGAACGAATCCGGGAGAGGCGTAGAACAGCTGAAGCCAAACAATCGCGCGAGTGCGACAATGCACAGATTTCTGTCGGGTTTATGTCAACGTCCCAGCGTGCCTCAAATATGCCGAGGTACCCTGGTCTTGATCGTTGGCGCTTGCTTGAAAAGATAGGGGATGGTGCTTTCAGCAGCGTATACCGCGCAAGCGACACAAAATCCGAGTTCAGCGAAGTCGCGATCAAGGTCTCGAAAAAATATGAAATGCACGAGAACCAGGTGAGTAACTTCCTACAAATATTATTTTCTCCTGAACGAAGCGAATGCGTAAAGAAGTTTTTTTTTTGACAATGTGGCAGAAGAAGAAATTACACGAGGAGGCTGAGATTACGCGTAAACTTGATCATGACAATGTGGTTCAACTTATTGACTCGTTCGAATCGCGCCAATATCATTATATGATTTTGGAGCTTTGCCCTGGGGGGGAACTATATGACCAAATAATTAAGCTTGATTCTCTGAGCGAAAAATTGAGCCGGCATGTCATAACTCAAGTTGCAAATGGTGTGGAGTATCTTCATCAGACTATGGGAGTCGTTCATAGGTAAGCTGCCTCTTGGTGTAGGGGGTTTCAATCATCGCCAATAAATCTTACATGGACCTACAGGGACATCAAACCCGAGAACATTCTCTTTTACCCTCTCTCTTCAACACCCTGCGAAGAATCAAACCCCGCGCGGTCAGGGAATGAAGATGATACCGAAGAAGCTGTTTCGGTCGCTGGGGTTAGGTCTGCTAATGTTGGTGTGGTCAAGCTCGCAGACTTTGGGTTATCCAAGGTCATATGTGGCGGTTCCGCTATGACTCCCTGCGGTACCGTGGGTTACGCTGCACCCGAGCTATGCAGGAAACAAAAATACACTACCGGCGTCGACATGTGGGCTCTTGGATGTCTTCTTTTTACCATGTTGACCGGATTTCCTCCTTTCTACGACGAAGATATAAAAACGATGACGCGTAAAGTGATGCGAGGGGAATATACGTTTGCATCTCCAAAATGGGATCACATTTCGGACGGCGCGAAGGATCTCGTTTCCCGCCTTCTGACGGTTACTCCTGAAGAAAGGCTAACTATCAAGGAGTGCCTCGCTCATCCCTGGATGCGGGAAAATTCAGAAGAAATCAAGCCCATTGGCAATGGTCTATCGATAAACATCGAAACCAACAACCCTAAACCTCACACTACTTTATTGAGGAATGACCCGACAGCAGAACATTCCAAAGCACTTACTGAGAACGAAAACGGGTACGCTTATCCTGGGACTCCCAACGTCCGAGATATTCTGAATGTTGCTCTTTCCGTGCAACAAGGGGAACACCAGTGGCAGCAACCACGTGGGTCAAAGCGCTATAAAAGGGATCCACTAAACGAATTTACAGACGGGATCCAGCTCAACGGAGCAATTATTGCATTCTCCAGCCTTAACATTAAGAACAGTAAGTTGCTCGAAAAGAGGAGGATGCGATCCTGTGGGGGCCAACACTCGATTTTCTGAAGTTAGCAACTCCCCCGATCTGCGAAGGCTATTGTAATTATCTGTTTGTCACTTTTTTTTTCAATAAAGACGACACCGGCTTGCGTGCATTATTCCCTTCCTCATGGGGGTGGGAGCATCGTACTACAATAGCTTGAGGGCTTTAGTCTTAACTATGGGAGGGAAAAGTGGGTCCGTAAACACAATAGGATCATCTTATAGTACGCCCCGACTAACGCCCTAGTAGACTTTAAACCAACGTACCAATGTACCAATAGGCGTTTTAGCAGATGACGATAGTCAAAATTAGAGACTATTCAGAGCTCTGGTTAGCTCATATAGTTCCTCAATACCGGGTCTATAATCCCTTTTTAAAGGGTGGTTGTAGGGATTCGAATCAGTTCAATTGTTTTGTTAGGGTGCGACCGTCAGGTCATGTAACGCTTTGTAGATTAATCAAACAACTTACTTTGACAGATATCACGCCGTCGATTACCTTGACGCTCCTCGTTCGACCTATTGGCGCTATTACTTTCGGCATACTGGCAGACATGTTCGGCCGAAAGTGGATAATATCAATAAATCTGTGGATTCTGGCCGTGTTGCAGGTGGGCACGGCATACGCGGGTTCGTTTAGCGCGTTTGTCAGAGTCCAGACGATTTTCGGGTGTTGCATGGGTGGAATCTAGGGCATAGCGGCCGCCCTATTCCTAGAAAACATGCCCGTCGAAGCCCGGGACCTTTTCTCCGGAATCCTACAAAACGGTTATGCGATGAGATATGTCAGCAGCGATGGTCAAGATCGTTGGGGTGCCTAAGACGAGTTATAAAATAATTCTTCACGAGCGCTGGTTTCACAGCCGTCCTGGCCATCGCTGTCATGTGTATATCCGAGTCTTCCATCTTTGCCAAGGAAACTATCTATGCCGATGGGTTGATTGCGGAAGAGGATATGTCGACGGGTATCAGCCCCAAGAAGCGTATCCTGCTGCTCCTCCGTGATGCGCTCATAGCTGCGTGCTAGTATTAGAAAATGTTCCTTTTCAGCACTCTCTTCGCGTCAATGTACAATTAGGAGATACGCGTGTGCTAGGACATTTCCCCTCTTATCTCAAAGACTAGAAGGCCTTTATTTCATAATAGGCTAGTCTGTGACCACACTTGATGGGATCTCAACGGGACTGCGCATGACGGGACCGCGCTCGACGGGTCTGCGCTTGACGGGACCGCGTTTGGCATCACTGCGATTGAAGACTGCGTTTGAAGACTGCGTTTGACAGGTGACACAGGACATAGACTGTTGTAGATAAGTAGAGACTCTTCCTCTGTCTCTTCTTCATTTTCTCATCTTGGATCTCCCGTCGGCTACGTACTCAAATTGAATTCTTTATTGATTTTCTTTCTTGATCTAACATCCGGTCACACAATGGAGAATATGATACGGGAAGAGAAATAACTGGGTCTTCGAGCCGCAGCTGCCGAAACTATCCAAACTGTCCAAGGTAAATATAGAGACCAAAAAACCTACCAGCAATTGCATAATACGATAACTGGTAACTGATACTAGGCCGGGGAGTAAACTTCTGCTTTGCTGAAAATCGTTTGATTAGGATGCTAGAACAGGTTAAATCAGTTATGGTATATTTACTGTTAAATGATACTTAGAAAAAAGCCAGATTTAATTAGATCTCGGGAAAGTATATACCCGCCCTATCGAAGTTGGACCCTCGCCATTGTGACCTGACGTGGCTGCACCACCTTGCCGCGGGCCAAATGCGTTTTCTTTTGTACTGCTCGAAATTCCTATCTGGTGTTTGTGAAGTCCGGAGAGCATGTGTAGAGCACTTAGAATGGCCTAAATGAAATCATTCAAGCCTCCCAGATAGTAGTCACCCTCTTGACATCATTAATATGGCATAAATGATCTGTTCTTGCGCCGCCGCGCCCGAGACCGGAACTCAGTACTTCTCTACTTGTGTATCTGCGGAGATGCCCAAGGGATGTTTTAACATGAAAGGAAAGCTCTGATCCAGTGTCTGTTTATACCTGAAGCTCACAGGTCCGCCCCGAATCAGTTTCACCAATTTGACAGTAGATAACCCGGGAATCATATAGCCAACAGAGGTAGATTAAGGTCGTCCATTGCCTGGGTCTGGCTCTCTCATCATTAGTAATTTGCTTGTTTCCTGTTCGATATAAAGAGTAGGGACAGGGATCAATGCAAACATTATATGCAAGCATCACAGGACTCCTTTTCCTATGTGCGATTTCAACGGGCTCGGAGTTTTTCCTTGAAGAAGTCACCAGTTATCCGGATATGATTAGATGCATAGGACTGTGGATATCAAGCAGTGAATTTGTTAAAATGCCCAATATTACCTCAATGGCCATTGTGTAGTCACTCAACGTACTGATTTCTTCCGCCCAGAGTGGCTCTTCTGCATTACACTCAACCGCTTTTCTAACGTATTCTAGACGATTCAATTTGAGATACAGTACCTTTAAAAGAGCTTTAGTACTGATCAGAGGTAGAGATACATCGTTTAGGGCTCTAATTGTTTTGCGATTTCTGTTGCAAGTTTCGCAATTCTAATGCTCAACAAATCCAAGGGTGCCGCGATTATCTAAAGAGATTTTGATGTTCTTAGACAGGCGCCGTATTTCATCCACTGTTCTCAAGTACTGGAGGTCACGCTCACGACGAGCCTCAAGCCGGGGGACGAGTAATGGTAGCACGGATGATTTCCACAGCATGATATGGGATCTCGTACTTGCAATCGCCGTGATCGCAGACAGCACGATAGATAGGACAGCGAGTACGGTCGGAAAAATAATCCGAGGCCATCGGACGGAAATATAGGTATGGGTTCTGAAGGCCTGAACTGGCGCACGAAACGATCCATGACTAGCGCGAATGTTGTCTGTCATGCTAGTGGCCATTCCATCATAGACTCGCTGAGATTCCTGCTAGTAAACAAAACAAAAGCCGACCCATACTAGCCGTAGGCCAATTTTTGACTTGTAGTCATTTGGGAAGTAGGTGGTGTTGAACAACGAGTACATCAGAGGCCTCAAAGTATACCAGCTGTCCATGTGAATGCCGTAGCTTGAGTTCATGCTTATTCCGCCTTGATCATCGCCGAAAGGGATTATTGGATAAAGTGACTTACCGGGCTCATAATCTTCGCCCTCGACATACATGTTTCGACTGCTGGAGGGTTGCAAAACACGATGGTTGGTCGAAACATAATTCTGCGTATAGTGCTTCTCACAAAAATTTTCCCAGCACTTTGTGATACTGGGTTTTTACTTAGCCGATGGCACGTTCTCTGGGACGTAATATACTCGTTGGGAGTACTTTGCCGAGACAAAAGAGACAATGGGTCCTAGATTGTAATTATCAGAATCACTTGGGGATGTCGAATAAGATGACCATGGCTGACGGACCACAGACCAGCCTATGGCGTGGGCGTTGTCATATTGATAGTCTGTATCGTGTATACCTGGAGCAAAACCGAAGCCTCTGGATGTAGTGTGGGTACAATCAATAGGAATCGAGTCATAAGTATCCCTGTAACTCGGACCTTCGCCTTGCGCTAGAGTTAATTTTTTTGAAATCGGCTTGCAACTCTGTTTGGTTTGGCTGGTAATGTCTTCATACTGACTGCAGATGCCTAAGGAAATAAAATCAGGGTTTTCGCAGTCATCTGAACTGCAAAAAAGCTCGGGTGGAAAATTCTGGTTTGCAAGCCCCCTGAAGATGGCAACCTGCATGGATGGATCTCCTGCCAGGTCCATGTCTTCATGGAAGAGGTTACCGTCTGATTGTGGCCGCTTGTCACATATGAATGAGCGGTTTGGATACTCGCAGTCTCATTCAAAGCTAGTATTTGATGCGAGAGAAACACCAAAATCTGCTGCGAAACTCTGTAAGTCAAATCCGACTCCCCTCAATCGGTTCGCAAGACCCCCTTCTGTAAGGAAATCCGACCCTCCCTCTACCAGAGAATCAGACCGCCCTCGGACGACCGTCTGGTCGGGGCAAGCACGGCACGCGGCGATTGCCCGTGCCGGGAAGGGCTCCGCGGCCAGTCAAAGCCGGGGGACAATCAGACTGCAGGGCCCACAGTAGCAATCTACCAGGTCTTCAGCTCGGCAGTGCTCCCAATTTGGAAGCATGGACAAGCCAAGGCGTTTTACCTGATTACATGTCATAATATATAATACTTCCATTGTATTAATTCCACCAAGTTTTGATCGAACTACCGAATTTTCATATCGTTTGCAACCGTTGATTGATGGATATAAAGGTGCTTGGTAGATCGATCAGTTTAGAGAAGCCTAGCTGAGGGTTCCTCAAGGTAACAAGAAATATACTTCTTTCCGATTCCGTTTTACAACACCCTATTTGTGGCAAAATCAAATCCGAGCCTCTTACTTTGGGCGATACGAGAGCGTCTGTTCGTATGGCTATGCCGATTTCGATAGCAAATGCCGAGGATCATTCTGCAGCTTTCAAGGGCAAAAGGGCCGGCGTTGATGCTACTCTCAGTTGGAGTAACTAGTAGATGAGAGCCAACCAGATGGCGGCTCCTCTAAATCAAGTGTTATTACTTCTCCACTTCAGGGGGTGTCCAGGTTACATAGACTTGAAAGTGGGTCAGCCCGATTCCCACTAGTCAGAACCCATGGAATGATGGCGGGGGATCATGCAGAAAAGGCAGAAGCCAACCTCTCCCCACGAATTAGTCCAGAAGGTTTGTAAAGTACATTGGAAAAGAGGAGTATGAGCCAGTAAGTTACTACCCCTCAGCTATTGAAACGATTCCAAGATAAATTTACATATACTTTCGTATGCCGGAGCAAAACGAACACCGGCCCATGCGCACGACGAGGCCCAATGCCCTAGCTCGAAGCACACACTCTCCGATTCTGGTAGGATTTGTAGAATTGTTGTAATTATCTGTGACCTATATAAAAAGGGTTGGAGATGCTGTTTAGCTCCGCACATAATCACTACATCTTCAGCTTCCATCTACCTGCTGTACGTAGCAGAAAGTTATGTTTTTCAAGATCATTCCTACCATAGTGGCATGTAGCCTTGTAGCATCTGCTACTCAGACTTTCAGCAACACCGGCACACTTGCAGGCTGGAGTGCGCAGACAATTGAGGACAAGGGTAGCATCCAGGAGGTCACCAATGTCGTCTACAAGGGCCCTACCGCCCTCAAGATGACCCAGATCTATGATCCCAACTGGACCGGTCGTTTCCACTCGGAAAAAGCCAAGTCTGCCATCTACAAGCTCGGTGACCAAGGCTTTTATGGGTTCGCTTTCCGCCTGCAGGATGACTGGCAATTCTCCCCAGCCCAGTCGTACAACTTGGGCCAGTTCATCGCCGACTTCACAGATACTGGGTGCGATGACTGGATGCCATCCAGCATGATCTGGATTGTTGGTAACCAACTCTATACTCGTCTAAAGTACGGCACGGTCTGCGAGCAGCAGATTCGGACTTTCAGCAATATCGCTACCGTGACACCAGGAGCATGGCATCGGGTCACCATCCAGGCCAGCTGGCAGTCCGACAATACCGGTTTTTACAAAGTTTGGTTTGACGGTAACAAGGTCGTCGAGGTATTCAACGTGCCGACGATGATCAACGATTCTCGACCATTTGACTACCACGTCGGTATATACGCCAACGGCTGGCACGACGATGGTGGCATGAAAGGTAGCCAAGGCACACGCCAAATCTGGTTTGATCAGATTTCTGCTGGCACTACCTTTGCCGATGCGGATCCTGCTGCATGGTAGAACTGTGAAGCGTGTGAAATGTCGGCAGGCCTCAAAGGCCACACGACCGCTCATGCGCATCCATGTCAATATTGTGGGCGGCGGTGGGGTCCTTGCTGATGAAGAAGACGCTTTGAAAACGGTGAAATTGTAGTCTTGGCACGGATTCAACCATTTTCTTCTGATATGGGGCAAGCCTAGGCTGGAGCGATTGCAATAGTGTCTGTTTTATTGAATCGACAAGTTGTATGCGCACCCTGGGATCAAAATTGTCGCAATGATAGCTCCACCCACTTACAATTTCCCGAGAAAATTGCTGGCTTGGTAGTGGTAATCATTTATTCATTAGAAAAGAGAGTTTCGAATTTTTCGAGCTGATGACAGTGAGCTGTGCTGATGGGTGGGTGCCTGAGGTGTCAGCGCCCACCGCCGTAGATGGATAGGATTTCCCTTCTGGGAGATCATGATCAATACAACCTCACTACCCGTTCGTTTCCTTTCCATGATCTCTCTCCAGGTCTCTGCTGTGACGTCCGACGACCTCCCCTGAGTCGACCGGCCATCATGTGCATATATACTGCGACGCCAGAACGAGCTAATCACACAAGTAGTGATTTGCAGCCGCCCCTCGGAGACAGCATAGTTGCTTGAGACTTACTTACGCTGCCACTTTAGCTACCGTTGATAATCAGAAGCTTTCTCTGGACGCTAGGCGACTTTCGCTCGGCCCAAAACTCACGATGATGAAGTGGTTTACCGGCTGGAGGAGCGAAAGAAAGTCTCAGTATTTTGGTGCCATGGCATACACCTTGATGCAAATCACCGTTTATATACCTGTAGTTGAAGACCATTCGGCTGCAAACGGGGCAATGTTTTTCTCGTTGCATACAACACGTAAACAAAATTATCACCATCTTTTCCATCATCCCTCTCCAATCTCGTGAAAAATTTTGACCAATCGATAAAGGGCCACCAGACGGCCAAGTACGAGAGAATCGAGTATATACACCCAAGAATAGTCAGTGACCTCCCTTGAAGGACTATGTCACCATAATGCCGCTTATATCAAATGTGGTGCACATTCGGTATCAAGGGGCGGGCTGGGCTATAAGCCAGACGGCCCCTAACACGTTTACATGCAAAGTTTAATGGACTGACATTGAATGACAATCAAAAAATTTCGATCTCCGATCTTCTTGCATAGGAGCATACAGTGCTAAAAATTTCCATTGTATGCTTATTCAGGCTATGTTTCTGTTTCCACCTGTAGTCGAAGTTAATGATAGTCTAGCAATGAGCCGGGTTGTTAGGGTAGACATTCTGCGTGTTGCAGGTATTAGGGGGCACAAAGAGAGGTGAAGCTAGGATATATTAGCGCAAATTCAGAGTGTCAACTGACGCTCAAGAACTTACTGTTGACGCCGTAATTGGTCGGCGGATCGCGCACGATAGTGTAGCGGCCGCCCAAGGTGAGATCATCTTCGCAATTAATCTGGTTCTGGCCGCCATTGGTGGTGGCAGATCCGGTCCAGATGTCAATGTGAGGTTGCCCGTTGTTGTAGTCGGTGGCTTTGGGCCGGTCAGCAAAAGAGCTGGCTGGGGCATTTGGAGAACCGTATACTCACTGCACTGGGCACAGTCGTCCTCATAACGACCGTATTTAGTGAGAAGAGGAAGATATACAATCTCGCAAACGTTGAGCTCGCCGGGCGCAGTCGCGATTGTGACGGGGTCATCGTAGGTGCCGGAGCCTATCACATGTATCATGAGTCAAATGAGCGAGCCGTCATTGAAGAAGCATCATACCCCCCAGCAACGTAATTTCGGCCTCCGCAATTGTGGGCCGTACCCGGGCCAGGAGGAGAATTATCTGGATAGCCGTAAAATGTGATTGTAAAGTTACCCGGCGTGGAGCAAGCCGTGCCGACACCAGCGAAGGCCACACCAAGAAGCAGAGTGATGCTGGTCTTCATTTTGCAAGACAAGAGATAGGCCAGGTGATATACAGAGATCTATGTACAGAGATCAACGGTTCAATAGTCTAGGCTTCAGGCTCGAGCAGTCTCCGTACTTTATATGAAGATTGCCATGTCATAAAGGCTGCTTTTTAAAAAGGAAAGTCACATGCGATTGGCCTACCATCACGGCAAGCTTTTGCCGACTCTACCCCGCAATGATGCCTACCATGCAATGCTACGTTGAATAGTAAATCAAGTATCATGGAATTGGTTGGATGTGCTAAGATTACAGTTGGAGTATTTGGTACATACATTAGTGTTAAGCGCCGATCTTGCTCAACAAACTCAGTTATGGATGGCAATGTGATTCGCGCAAAATTTTCGACCGCTCGTAAGCCTCTGAGTAGTATTTGAAGCACCATCAATGTAGTGCTCTTTCTCTCTTTGCCGCCTTTGCCGTCGTGGTTGCATTTACCTGTTTTCTGAAGGGTCACTCCCTTAGACTCAAATCTCAGACTTCTATCAAGTAAGAAACCGCGTTACCAACAGAATTACCCCGCAGAAGTAAAATTTGGCAAACTCCCGGGTCTCTGTTTTATGCGTATGCGGTCATCCTCTGGTACGCACATACAGGCGACACGAGCGTGGTGTTTTCTCTCCAGAATACCTTGTAAGTGCCTGACTACGTTTCATCATAAGCCACCCAAAATCGAAATCGCCTCGGAAACCCGTCCTACGGGTCCAGTCTGGTCTTGGAAGTCAAGCTCGTGGGCACTTTATTTGCTATTGGCTCCCTTCCATCATCCAGTTAGATCTCGGCAGGAGTTCCGCGTAATCCAGCTGAAACATGGCCGAAACCCAGCCCAAGCTGTTCCGGGTTCAGGTCTGGGCTCTGAACTAGTACCCGACTGGGGTTTGGGTAACCCAGCTAGGTAGGCAAACAAGAGAAACGAAGGATATCTCGTGATTTGCATTAATTATGTAGTTCGATCTATATTTTTGAATATTGAAGGTGTATGGGCCATATTTCATATTACTAAGGCGGGGCGAGTGAGGATTTGATGATGCTTTCTTGATTTAAACCATTCTATAACTTTAATAGCTGTCAAAAATCGGAATTCCAACAGATCACATACAGGGATTTTATTCCTCCTCAATATTTCCTGTTGTTTATTAATCATTCATTGGCTAATTCGCCCCATAAATTTGCTGGACATCCCTGGATTGAATTTAAAATGAGATTGATACCCCTGTACCTTCGTGATTTGCACTTCCATGTGGGACCGTCGTACGTCCGGATTTTGACAAAAGATAATGCGGTCCCTAAATTTGCTAACTGAAGTTTCATCTCGCTCCAAATGATCGGATATGTTTTATGTCCACTTATAGTATGTCAGAAGAATGGCCCCCAGGCAATTTATCCAGCTGCCGCATCTGTCCCCTCACTCATCTGGGAATTCCCCATCAGGGAACTGTGCCATGACGTGGCCAGATCTCACTATGTAGAGTATTTCCGCTTCTCTACTATAAATATGGACATGATAGCTAGACCTAAATACCCTCGTTTTCAATCATTGTCGCATGACACTATCTAGTAGTGAATACAAGAAATTCAGACTCCGACATAGTATTATTCATGTTGTTCAAGAAAACAGAGGCAAGCTCATCATAGTTAGGAAATGCCATTTTCATATGCCACTGTCGGACAGTGGTGGTTCGAGGCCAAAGGTCAGCCACTACCACTACGACGAATATTACTAGTACTACTGCTGCTCCCTCCACTAGATTCAGTGCAAACATTCAGGATCTCAATCAAAAACTAGTCATGTTAGCTTTCTCTATACCGACGCAATTTCCGCAGTCCACACTTTCAGTATCGCACCCTAGGGGCTGACGTTATTTACCTAATGAATATGTGTCTACTCTGAAAGTATTTCTCTTACAACCCCACTACTAAGATGTAGTGCATCCTACCCATCCCCATGGGGTAGATTCAAAATGCGTATGGACAAATCGTCGCTCTATTGCATATTAAACTTTGATGCTTATTATGCGACTAGTTATAATGGTAGCTGGATTTTAAAGCTATTGGAAATTGGCTCATAGTCCTATTTTTCTCATCCATAGTTAAGACCCAAACCCCTAAAATAGGCGAGTCCACTGCTCCTACCTCCATGCGGTAGTACTATAAGTGCAAATTAGTGAACCTCAAAGTGTATTGTCTGCTGTATCACATTCGGCTGGTTCACTAATCCCTCCGTACTTTCAGTATCGTCCTTGAATGACTCTCGCCGTCCGCTAGTCACTTGTACGGACATGCTAGGAACGAAAGATTCCACTGGAAAATCTCGATTGAGAGATTTTCTCATAGATGAGAGATTGCGTTTGTCGCTTGCCGACCGGCCATCGACGGGATCCTCGTGAATGGTGAATGCGTGGACGCTGGGCTGGAGTTCGATGACGAGACGCCCGAGTGATGGGATAGCAGTGGTGACGATACTCAAATTCATCATAACTCTAGGAGAGCATATTGTCAGTCGCCCATCTGTCGTTGTTTATATAAAGCTGAGCCAATGCCCAGATGGATACTTACTGGTCCCAGATTGTGGAGTTGGTGTTTTCCCCTGGAGTTTCGCGTTAACATTGGACCAAATAACGGTCGTAAAACCCAGCAGAGAGGCTACTCACATGGGATATCAGATGACTTGAGCATGGCGACAGTATAATGAACTTCAATTCCTGTTGCCACACAAACCCTATTATTGGTTAATGTTGGTGACTGGATATTGTGAGATCGTGCCGTCTTACAAAATTCTACTGGCGAGAAGTGCCATGATTCTGAACCGTTTCCCTCGGGACAATTGCACCGTGCGGAGCAACATGCATGGAAGCACAACGATCCCAATATCCGTTATTATGTTCAACGCTGCGATGACCTGGAAAAGCGCGATCTGCGAGTAGCCCCAGGAGACACGGGATCAGCGTGTCAATGCGAAAAGAGGAAAGGAACTGGTCCCACCTGATTGATACATTGGTCTGGCACGTTCCACTTCCACGGTGCTGAAATAGTGCATCGCAGAACCAATGCCAGGATAGATGCTATGGTCCATGCAATGATGACCACCATTAGACCCTGGTTTGTTCGCGAATATCGGCGGGATGTCATCAAATTCTTGAACAGCAACCCCAGCGAGAGCTTGCTCAAAGCTGTCGTTGCGATTAACAGAATCTGTGCTGCATACTCATACTGTGATCTGGATTAGCCTGCGGGTTAATGAATCTTGTTCGACTTCGTTCATTGCTTACCTTCAGATACAGCACAAGTTGTTGGTTCTCAATGGTGGATATCTTGCGACCAAGTCCATTAGATATGGCGAGCTGCACGAATATGCTCTGCAGGATCCCTAATATCTATTGAGCAAGAAGGTATTATATTAGCGAGCCAGATCTAGCACAATGGGCAAGCCGTGATATTAGAGGGGAGGTCAACACATACTGTAGCCGCTGCTAGTAAAATATCATCGGAATGGATAACGCGTCCGATGAACCATCGCGCGAACAGGCGGGCTACAACAACGGTGATTGTCAGAGCCAGTAGTGTATACAGTGTAACTGCAGCATATCCACCATGATCGCTGTCGGTGATCTGGAAGAGAGGAGGTAGCGTGCCAGCCATGGCACCATATGAGGATAAATCCTGCACTGAGGGGCTCGGAAATCCGTAAGGAAATGAAAAAGGATGGCAGATCGCAGATCGTAGATCGCATGTATATGATGGCTCTTATCCTTATCGAGAATAGTCAACTTGCGACATCTTTCGCCGTGCCCCTGAATCCCTCCAGATTGCAATTCTGGGCCATTCCCATCGTTTGACGGCGTGTGGCTGGAACACGCATTTGAGTTTTTTTTATGTTATTTTATTTCATTTAATCTTTCCATGTGGCCTGGGTTCGCGCTGAGGGTGATGCTTATTGGTAGAAATCGAATGCTTTCATGACCCGATATCGCACAACCCCGCTTCTAGATGAATTTGCGCCGGACTCCGGCCGGAGGGTCGCGCAGAGGCCCCTCGAATCCCGCCACCCTGCCTCAAGCCCATGGTTCTAGCAAAACAAAGCACAAATTAGCTTTTATTAGTTTCGCTTCGTCTTTGCCGACTCCGGCTCCAATACCTTTTCTGGACTAAAGCTAAAACTCGCGGTTTAACTCCGCCTCGAGCAACACGCGTGATAGCTCTGTAAACTAGATTATTACAGTGTGAGTTAGTTTTCCAACACGAACATATCAGTTTCTATTCAATTGATAATCTTATAATGGCAAGGTATATCTTTATTAACTTATATCTTTATTAACTACTAGAATAAATAGAGTACGTGGAACGGTTTCCCTGCGACTGGATCCGGATAATACGGAAACTTACACGTAATATGCATCAAATTATGGTTTGTGGTTAAACATTAATCAGGCGTGGCGTCTTAACGCCAATGAAATCTAGGCGAATCAAAGCGACCAAGTCATCTTTCCCAATCTCACTGAGCCACCGCCCAAATAGTCAAGAGCTCGTGCCTGTGGTATGATACGATGCCGCCGCGAAGCCCTTTTATCTCCGATTCAAGCGATTGAATTTTTTTTCACATGCATCTGGCGCTTGAAATGGAATGGCCCTGAAGAGAGGAAATACTTACGTTGGACTGCATTCTGTCTTCTAGGACAAATAACTGTGGCCTTTGGAAGTGACGAACCGATTTAACCGGCCTCGGGCTGAGAAGCTTCAACGACGCCATGTCGAGCGAAATTGAAATGGAACATCTGGGCGTCAAGTCCTCTACCAAATTAAACATCTTTGAACATCACTCACACAGCCGTACGGGCTCTAATGGGAGTTTCCATGGCGGCGTTTCTACATCCAGGTCAAGTAGGAAGCATCTGGAGGTACGTACCTTGCACCGCTGACGTCCAACACTGGAAGTGCGAAAGATACACTTCGACTGACAAGATGTGCGACTCCAGAGAAGTTTTGGATCGCTCTCAATCCTCTCTCTATCCCTCACTTTACTCTCCTCATGGGAATCTATTGCTAAGTGAGCACCCACGTTTCAGTTCGTCGTTCTCAACTCGCAAGCTGACTATCGCTCCAGTTCTTTTGAGGCTGGACTTGTTAATGGTGGGCCGGCTGGCCTTGTCTGGGGCATGGTACTGTCGATAACCGGGACTATGGCGATGGCGCTATCGCTGGCCGAGCTGGCGTCCATGTGTCCACTGGCAGGGGGACAATATCACTGGACGGCCCTCCTGGCGCCCCCGCGGATCAGAGCATTCAGTACTTGGATGCAGGGGTGGATAACCGTCTTTGGATGGCAAACAGCAGTGGCTAGTATTTGCCAACTGGTAGCAACGCAGATCCAGGGAATGGCAATGCTGAACAATTCGAGCTATGTGCCTCAACAGTGGCATGGGACGCTCATGATGTGGGCAATCATTCTCTTCTCCGGCTTCGTCAATATCTACGGAATCAAGATCATGCCGGCTCTACAGATGCTTGGGGGTATCATGCACGTCACATTCTTCATCGCTATCGTCGTCCCGCTTCTCCTCCTTGCTCGGCGCAGCACCTCTGAATTTGTCTTCACGGAGTTGCTGACGACGGAACAAGGATGGCAGTCACCTGGCGTTGCTTGGTGTCTAGGAATGTTGACTGTCACCTACTGTTTTATTGGTAAGTGAGCTCTACAAAGCAATCAAACTCATCCCCTCATTGCATAACCTCGAAAGGCTGACTGGCATATCGCTGCACTCTGCTAGGTTTTGACGGTGCCATCCATATGAGTGAGGAAGTGAAAAACCCTGCTGTGGTCATTCCACGTATCTTGGTCCAAACCATTGCTATAAATGGCTTTATGGCTTTTGTCTTCCTCCTCATAATTCTCTTCTGCATCGGCAACGTCAACGAAGCCTTACAACCTCCCTACATCTTCCCCATAATCGGAATCTTCAAGCAGGCTACTAGATCCGTTGGAGCGACCACCGCCATGCAGACGGCAATCACTCTCATTGGCATGGTATCTAACCTTGGCGTGGTTGCATCCGTCTCACGACTCACCTGGGCCTTTGCTCGTGATGGGGGACTGCCATTCTCAGCCTTTTTTGCCCATGTTGGTTCTCTCCGTTTTACATTGTAACGAATTTACTCTGCTCAAGTACATTGCTGACAGTACATCAGGTCGACCGCCAGCACCGCGTACCGAAACGAGCGATTGAACTTGTCTGCACGGCGGTTATAATTCTTTCCGTCATCAACGCCGCCTCGGAGACGGCCCTCAGTGCCATCCTCGCTCTTTCCACCAGCTCCCTTTACGTGTCATATCTTATTCCAATTGTCATGATGATCATCCGTCGCTTGGACATTGACCGCGAGCCGATCCGATTCGGGCCTTGGTCTCTAGGTCGCTACGGCATGATAATTAACATTTACTCTCTCGTCTTTGGCACCTTCGTCTGCATTTTTGTGCCGTTTCCGACGCAGATCCCCGTCACTGCCGCAAATATGAATTGGTCTGGGCCTGTCTTCCTCGGCGTCTGCGTATTGCTCGTTATAGACTGGGTTTTCCGGGCGAGGAAGAAGTATATTGGGCCGACAAAGTATCTACCATATTCAGAGAACAAGAGCAACCATTCTTGACCAGCTAGGGCCTACATATATGTCAGACTTGGACACGATAGGTGCTCAAGATTTCCATGTCTGTTGTATCTCATACGGGGATAACACGAGCAAGCAAATGCGACGAAAGCCCTTACTCGATTCAACTTTTTAAAAGTATACACACTTATTTAATGCGCACTCATCTCTATTTAAACCCCCTAATTCTATCTATGGCGCGGATAAAACCCTCTAGAAAACACATTGGGGACCGAGAATTCGAGCGAAATCAGCCGAGGGGCGGCTAAGATCCCTAGAACTACAAGCTAAGAATTCCCCGTTACCCCTATGGGGATTGTAGTGGGCTACTGGGAGGAAATTAAGTGGGTGACCTGCAATCTGGTCATGGTTTCTGGACATGGGAGCATAAGGCGGGCCTCTACATGAGAGCTGAGGGATACTGGAACAATGTGTTCGCTGATCCTTATGGCAATGACCCAAAGTTCACCAAATATCGCTGATCTCACTCGGATGTGTCACTTCTCTGGAGTTGGAGTTTATCTGAACTTCGCCTTCCATATGCGGTCTAGGATCCCGCCTAGGTGTCTACAGACCACACGTCTAACCAGACGACCTGGTTGTTAGGTGAATCTCACGAAACGCTTCGTCCACGACTGGTTTTTTACTGGTCTCTCAATCTGCCACGACTGGTTGGCACTACGTGCCGACAAGAACCTGTCTCTCCAGCTGACACATCTATTTTAAGACAGGTACTATAAACCTTGACGACTAATATTACCATACACATTAATTAGACATCGACTGGGCTTCGGTGTGTCACACATAATGCATAATCACATATAGATTCATCTATACTCAACGACTTCGATTATGTTTTCAATGCTTTTTTGATCCCTCATCGCTAACCCCCGAAGTGCGGCTCAAACAAGCGGCTCAAACAAGCAATATCCATATCGTACAGTGCCTAACAAGGACGGCATTCCGTATAAACAGAAGAAGTTTTATCATCTATTTCTTGATACCTTTCTCGCGCAGACGCTGCTCATCTTCCATCTGCAATTCGCGATCGATCTGGGCGCCCTTGGAAGGCTTGTTGCCATGTAATTGAGCCTGATACCATGTCAGAGCTGCTGATCAACTATCACAGGCTTAGTTGGAAGTACTCACCGGCTTCGTGGGATCGCTTTTGCTAAGCTCTGCCTCGCGGTTCAAGTCGTCATTGTGGTGGTGCGAAGGGTTGGGTTTGCCTTCCTGCGAGGCCAGCTTGTTGGCAATAGAGCGCTGGTCCTTGGAATCGAGGTTCTTGTGGCTGCCTTGGGTGCCCTCCTTGTAGCGCTCGCGCTCGTTGATGACGGACTGGGGTTCGTTGCGCTGGTCGCCAGCTTCGTAGATAGGGGCGTGGCCGACGTTGGACTGACCAGCTCCGTGGACACCGGTGTTGGGGGACATATTGAAGAGGCAGAGGATTTATTGAGAGAATTGGTGTGTGATGGTGTATCCGTCTTAGACATCATACACCTTTATATTTCCATTGCACCAGGATGTGATGTCATGCTGGAGTCAGTGAGGTCATTGTGGGGCGAAGCCTGCTATGTGAGGCGGTTCAAGATAGGCGATGATAATGTAGTCAAATTTCCGTCCAAGTGGAACGCAGGAATCCAGAATCAAGGCAGCGGTGGGTGAATGCGATCATAAAGTGTTATTCATCGCTCAGGACCCGATTATTATCGCAGACTCTCAATTAGCCCTCATGTCCCTAAGTAGTAAGTTACTCTCCCTAGGCAGGGTGACACACACCGTCACACATTCCAACGATGTTAGAAAATTAGACATTAGCTGTGATCTTTTGAACTGACTGCATGAGGAAGTGGGTCAGTATGGTTGGTGATGATGGCATGGATGTTTGAGGGCAAAGCACTCATTTCTTGGCAGTCTTCATTTGCTCATGTTGAGATTGATACCCAAGCACAGGCCAAAAACACTCGTCGTTGCTCGTATGCCCGTAGTCATTTACACGGCCACGGTCACCGGAAACAGCATTATTGGTAAGCCAGTAAGTCATTGAATGATGTTCGTAAAGAACATTATTTGATGTTGGAATGGATTTGAAAGTTGGTATAAGAGCAACCCTAGAGGGAACCCAGGGAATGTGTGAGGAGAGTGTTCTTTGCATCAACCTGAACTGGAGATGGTTGACTAGCCCGGATGGAAGACTTGGAAACACCTTGTGTTCGCGCATTAGATTATACCATTACATGCAGATGGGAGTCCCTTGGGTCTGACCAGTGAATTGAGAGCGTTGCCCTGGTAAATCTGCGATTGATTAAAATTGTGTATTGTTGAAGATAATAGCACTAGGAGTGCTCACCAAGGAATAACATATTCTTGCCAATGTTCCTTAGTATCAGCCTCTTTGAACTTCTCAATACCACCGACAACGCCGTCTTCGCCAACCAGCCAATCACCTGTTTCCACTCGATCAACCCAATTTTCTAACACTTTGTGCAAATATGAGCTACGTGAATCCCAAGGTAGATAACCACTATACCCACTAAACGAATCCGACCGATAGAGTTGATCAGACTCAGTACTTCCACCCCTAGCCTGTTTGATAAATGGAAGACCATTACTACTTCGAGCAAACCCGCTGTGGCCGATCTCATACGGTAGTAGGAGTCGACTGTCGTTGCTAGATTTCCAGCTACAACAATCCTCGACGGGTTCAACATATAAACCAGCTGGAATATCCTCAGTATTTCCGCCAGGAAACCAAGGCCGAACCCAGGGCGATTTATTCTCCTGCTCTCCTCGAAATAAGAGTAGGGGAAACGACGGCTCATCGTCAGTAGAGCGTTCCGCGAATGGCTGATTAATGAATTCATCGGAACTTTGGACTCTGATGCCGGGAGCAATATAGCGAAAATCGAGTTGACGGACGGGAAGACCCGAGAGAAATTGTCCGGTAAAAGAATCTACTTCTATCGATGAAGCTCTGAGAACGGATTCCGGGTAAGGAAGAGGAATCTGTCCAAGGCTTTGCTGCTCGAGCCCATGATGTATCGAACTTGAAGGAAGACGAGCCTCGATGGCATCAAGAAGGCGCGTAAAGGCACTAACAGCCCTCTCAACATCTACCGGAGTATATTGATGGAACTCCCAAGGGAATACTCTGATCAATTGGTCTGAATATCTCTTTCCGCGGTCGGAATATGTTGTGAGTTTGCCTTCGTCGATCATGTCCAGATAGGCTTGCAGAATGCATTGTAACGGCCGCCATGGCCACCGTTCTAGATCAAACCAGATCAGATCTCCCCAGTCTGGGACAAAGGAAGCTAGCTCGGTTTCTTGATCGAATCTATTCGACTTGTCAGTGTTATTCTGTACCAAGTTTTAGTGTATCCTAACAGTACAGTATACCGATTTCTTCATCACTCTCGGTCCGCGTCGAGGGGTATAACCACACTAAGCGATCGTCCCCCCACCTTCGGAGGGGAGAGTCTTGTACATCTAGAATGTCGTCTTTCCCATGGAGTGCTATCAGATAATAGAAAAGATGAAAATCCGAGGAAGGGTCGAATATAATAGCTTTTGCCGACCGTAGAAACTGGATCAATTTCGGGTTCAGGCGAGATGCGAGGTCGAAGGGCACTGGGGACGACTCTCCCCACCAGCTCTTGGACGGAAGCGAAGAGACATCTCGTCCGGCCCCAACCCACGCGCGTTCAAAGATCTGGTTGTGAAGCTGGGCTGCTAAGTGGGGGTCAAATTCAGTCGCCGGCATTTTAGAGAGGGGTAGGCGAAAGATTGAATTTGTATAGGCTAGTTCGAAAACCTGTGGGAGGGCAATTTGTCATCACTAGCGCAAGCCACAAACCTCCTAGAACAATGTGAACAACAGGCCTTAGATGGCAACCCGTGTAGCTCCACATGGCTATATACGGACACGAACAGCAACAGAAGCGCCAGGTAAAAAGGGCCACGATTATGCGGCTTTCCTCAAGGATAACAATGGCAATATTTTCACACCATTTTTCTCGTGCTGAAAGATCCCCGGCTTCGCAGCTAGCCGTAACGGGAGGATCTAATTGTCAATTTTTTTGACCAGTCAAGCTTGTCATATACATCGCTCATTATGTCTGACGCCTCCAGTCATTTACGTTTCTCTTTTGTCTCTATCCTGGTGTTCTCCAACACTTACTTGGTCTTTATGTCTTTGTCTTGGTCTCTCCTTAGGGTAGTTAACCATGTGTCAATATGAAAATGACTGTATTAGCTCGTCGAGTCCATGGTGCTTTTGGTCTAGCCCTATAGCGTTTTTGACACAATTCTCTGGGGTAAAACTCCACTATCACTTGACCCGGGATGCGGTTACTAGGCCAGAAATGGACGGTAATAATAAAAGGATGGACATACTGCTTTGGTCTAGTGTCAGCAGGGACAGCCTTACTTATATCTTCCAAGCGTCTACGCTACAATCTACCACTCCATCACTGCAACTACTGCTCAAGCCCTCGCAACACATCGATAGCAAGCACTACTACCACCAAATTACACATAGATGTCGACCTGCCAACTCAAGATGTCTCAGAGCTTTGCCTATGCCTCCGTGATATCCTCCAGTCGGAGTAAACCAAGTAATTGTGGCTCTGGCCTGGCTGAGATGCTGCGCAACACCCTTCAATGCAGCCCAACCGTCATGCCAGCGCCAGAGCCACAGCCTCTGCAGGAGGAAAAGAAAAAGAAGCGCATCATCGTCATCGGCGCCGGCATCTCCGGCCTGCGTGCCGCCTCGACTTTGCAGCGCCACGGAGTCGATGTTGTCGTTCTGGAAGCGCGAGACCGCATCGGTGGTCGCATCTGCACGACGCGCAACGGAGGCCAGACGACGTGGGACTTAGGTATGTGTGCCTTGGACACACGAGTCGGTACTGACCGCCGGGCTTGCGATGGGCCCTTTGGATATCACGCTTGACGCTGTGTCAGAACTCTCGGTTGCTGGACTTTGCTCCTCTTCTCCCTCCCTACTCCAACCCCCTGTTGCGAGGCGACTAAACGTCTCTAGGTGCGGCGTGGATGCATGAAACGTCGCAGAATCCGCTCGTCAAACTCATTCGCGCCCTCGGGATCGAATATTACTACGACGATGGTACCCCGCTGTACTACACAGCGCAGGGTCGGGCCGGCGCCCAGTTCAAGGCCAAGAAAGTTGCCGACGAGTTCGCAGACTACGTCGACTGGTACTACAAAGCCCATCCTGATGCGGAAGACCGCAGCGTCGATGATTTCATGCAGGAGTTTATCAGTCGGCATGAGTTGATCACCCAAGATGAGCGCCTGTGGGCGCCGCAGGCCGTCCGCGAGATTGAACAGTGGATCGCTACGGGTACGGCCGAAGCTTCGTGCAAATATCTCCAGTATTTTATCACTGAGCGCAACCTATACATGAAGGGCGGCTACGATCGAATCGTCGACTGGACCGCCGGGCCGCTACTGGAGAGCCCCCATGCGCTGCAACTGAACCATCGAGTAACCCGAGTGGCCTGGAGCGATAACGCACAGGGACAGGATGCTGTCCGCGTGGAGTGCGAGGATGCTACAGGCTGCTGTAAGACGGTGACAGGTGACGCAGTGATCGTGACCGTGCCGCTGGGAGCCCTCCATCATAAACTCCTCACATTCGACCCGCCGTTGCCGGACGATATCCAGCATGGCTTTTCTCAGCACTCGACAATTGTGTTCGCCGCGACCCAGCATCATGTCGACTACCTGTACGCTCTGCTTGTTGAGGCAGGATTCGCAACGTCTTATGCCTACGGTTCCTTGGATCAAACGGCTCGCAAGATCCAGGTTGAGAATTTCAGACAAGGCTTGTCCAATATTCTGGTCGTCACAGACGTGGCCGCTAGAGGTATCGACATTCCCGTGCTGGCTAACGTTATCAACTACGATTTCCCGTCGCAGCCAAAGATCTTTGTTCACCGTGTCGGCCGTACGGCTCGAGCTGGCCAGAAGGGATGGAGTTACAGTTTGGTTCGGGACGCAGATGTTCCGTACCTTCTTGATCTTCAGCTGTTCCTTGGCCGACGACTGGTTCTAGGCCGCCAATTTGGGGACCAGGTCAACTTTGCCGAGGACGTGGTCACTGGATGCGTCCCCCGGGATCCGTTGTCCCGGAGCTGTGAATGGGTGACTAAGGTCCTAGATGAAGATGCAGACATTGCTACCCAGAGACAAGTTGCCCAGAAGGGTGAGAAGCTGTACATGCGCACGCGCAATGCGGCTTCATTGGAAAGTGCCAAGCGAGCCAAACAGGTTGTCTCCTCCGAGGACTGGTCCACAATTCATCCGTTATTCAATGATGCAGCGAGCCAGATGGAAGCCGAGCGTGAGAATATGCTTGCCCGGATCGGTGGCTACCGGCCACAGGAGACCATTTTCGAGGCCAATAACCGACGCAATGGTAAAACCGAAGGGGACGCATCCATTGATACAATCAAACGCATCCGCAAGACTGTGGATGCGAAGAAGAAGCGGGCACAGGCGAACGAGCAATCCGAGTCGCTCGAGTCAGGGGAAACCAATGCGGCTGCGGAAGACGGGTTTGACGAGGAGGACGACGACATTCCACAAGAGGCGGGTGACAACATGTCGATGGCATCTGATTCCGATCTTGAGGTCACTTTTTCCGCGTATTCACAACCAAACAACAAGAAAAACGATGTGTCTGCCACATCGTTCCAAAACCCCGACTACTTCATGGGATATACACCTGCCAACCACAACATGGCTGAAGACCGGGCCTACGGTGTTCACTCGGGCACAAACCAGAACTTTACCCAAGCGTCTCGCAACGTAACCATAGATCTTACTGGAGACGAAGGTGCCAAGGGCTTCGGCGAGGCACGTTCCATTATGCGCTGGGACAAACGGCACAAGAAGTACGTGGCTCGACAGAACGACGAAGACGGGTCAAAGGGCGAGCGGCTAGTCCGCGGTGAGAGCGGTGCCAAGATCGCGGCCAGCTTCCGGAGCGGCCGTTTCCAAGCATGGAAGAAGGGCAAGCGACTTGACCATATCCCTCGTGTCGGTGAAGCTGAGACACCTGGGATGTCGAACGGATTCAAATCCGGCTTTGGTGGTGGACGGCGATTCCGGCATCAAAAGGACCAGGCGCCTAAGCGAGCAGATCCGCTCCGCGACGACTATGAGAAGATGAAGAAAAATGCGGCGGCCAAGGAACGTAACTTCAGCAAACCGGGTGGTGCTGCAGCTGGTGGAAAGAGCGAGATTCACTCGACTGATGATATTCGGAAAGCACGCAAGCTCCAGCAGAGGCGGCGCGAGAAGAATGCCCGGCCGTCGAGAAAGCGATGATCTCAGATTTGATATACTGTGTATAGATTCCGTCTATAATGCATTATTGAAGATACCGTTTATTGGATTAACTGTTGCTTTGTGTTGCTCTCTCCCGTTTTTCTACGAACGAACACTTCCCAATCCAACGTGTTCTTTGTGATATCTCTGACCAGCCTGTTGGGACAGTAGGTCATCCCAGGCCTGTGGCCGTACGAGAGTGCATTGGAAATCCATCCGGCCCTATCCTGACAGCAGCTTCGAGGTAGACGACGAAGAATCTCAACAGAATTACTATCTACAGCGATCGCGACGCTCAGCTCCAGCTCCAGCTCACCTCCACAGACCCAATCACATCACAGCCACTGAGCTCAGGCCTCGGGTTAGGGAAGCGCGCCCGTTGGCGAGCTCAACAGCTAGCGATGCATCATATCATGTGAGTGAGGATCGCAACCGGGCCTCGGGACAAGCCCGGCGGCCGCATGGCCACGAGAGAGCGGTAGCGTACCTTGTGAGACTCATTGCTTGCTTCAAGTCCTGGACAGCTAACAATCGTCCATAGATTACCCCGCAACACACATCATCTACTATCGCCATCACCACCAGCCACCAACTGCCGCCATAAGCTCGTTTAGCTTCCATAGCTCTTCACCGATTGTGACCAGTGCTTTCACTCGACCAAGCTAGGCAGTAACAAATGGTACATCCTAGCTATATCGACGCTAGTCGCTGGTCCAGACCCCGAATGCGCCGACTAGCTCCATCTACACCTTGTCAATCAACGCGCCTACTCGACCTCTAGCGAACGACAAGCCCTAATTCGACGTCTATATGAAACTCTCGTCAAATCCATGCGCATCGTTGGGTTGTGTAAGCCCACTGAGTTCATTCTAGCAATTAGCAAAGTCGAGCGCGACGAGGATAAGGACTACACATTTACCAACGGGGTTGTAATATGATCTATTAGCTTGCTCGATTTTTAAATGATTAAGCTACATCATGGTCACCCATGGGTTACCTATTTTTCTGTAGTCGTTTATAAAGTGTATGATCCGTTCACCATATGTGAGATATTGGAGGCAGATGGCTTTAGGGTCATACCGATCATACTCTCGAACGTCGTCGAATCTTGCAAGGCCACCCCGACGGGACGTATGTGAAATGGTTTTGGAATTGCCATTCTTGTTTAGGATCCACTTGCTGAATATTGTAATCCCGAAATAATGTAGCCGCAAGCTTTGAGATCTCGAAGTGGGCGAGGTTTCGCCCTGGGCATTGGTTATAACCAGCCCCCCACTTCCGGGAACATTTATCAGTAAATAAATCAGAGCAGGTAATTGAAAATTGTACATACGTGAATCAAAAATGACTCCATTTTCGACGTTTCACCCTGCAGCCAACGATCTGGGTTGAAATTATCGCAATCCTCGCCGAAAAGCTCAGGGTTTCGGTGGAAGACCCAAGGATTGACGCTCAGAATGACGCCTTCCGGGAAAAAACGTCCACCAATGGTCAACCCCTCTTTGGGCACGACACGTGGTAGACCGAGGGCCACGGCGGCATGGAACCGATATGTCTCTTTGATCTAGCCGAGAGGGTTAGCCTCCATGCTTTGCGACAAACTTCTCAAACCATACACAAGATTGAAGAAATGGGAGGGTCTGTGCTTCGGCATATTGAATAACAGGCGAAAGCTCTCCACGAGCGTGAGCAGCATCGAGCTCCTCATGCAACCGTTGTAGATGGTGGGGACTGCGAATTAAAAAGTAGAAAAGGGACTGCATCGTAGCGCTGACAGTATCTGCACCAGCACCAACATTCGCAACAGCAGCAGCAAAGATTTCATTCTCTTCCATGCGATCAGGATACTTAGCATGAGTGTCCAGCCACTTCTGCATCATATCATTCCGGGCATCAGGATTCTTCTTCCGCATATCAATAGCGGCAAGGCAGGTATCAAAGATGTGCGAAGTGGGTTGGATGCCTAACCGGCTAAGAAGGGGGTTTCCTAGGGTCAGATTATGAAGCCAGGTGTAGTGCCCCATAACGGCTATGTAAAGAGCCAATGCTCTGGTATTTGCGATGGCGTTTCGGATATCTGTTCCAGACTGGACGAACCCAAAAGACTTGGAGAATGTCACTTCCCCGAGGACGTCGAAGGCGAAAAAGGTGAACCACCGGTTAAACTCGACCGGCTCGCCGGACTTGCAGAAGTCGTTCAGACGGGAAGTGAAAAGATGCAAGACTACGTCGACGTAGGATTCGGATTTGATGATATTGGAAAGAGCGTACCCCGATGCGACATTGCGACCCTTCTCGATGTGTCGCCGAGGATTTAATTCTGACATCTGGTTGACATAATGATAGTCCGGAAGGCTGAAAATCGAATACCATGGACCCTATTAAACAGCAATTTAGATACTATCATGTATAAAAGGCTCTCGTCATACTTTAACGATATTGGCGTGAAGAAGCTGTCGAACTGCGTCTGGATGAGATACGCTGACTTCATTGTCCCTGATACGAACAAAATAACCTGGCGCTGATTGGCAAGGGGGCTCTTGAAGGTAGGTTGAGCAAGCATACCATGCTTTTTGTGCAGCTTGATAACCTCGTCTTCGGTGTGGCCTTTCCATAGCTGATAGACCTGCCAGAGACTCGAGAAAGATGCCAAAAATGGGCCTGGAATGTCCCTAATAGGCGTCCAGTACCGTCTAATGATCGCGCGAGCAATAACTGCGCCAACAAGCAGCAAAGCCCACGCAATGCGCCCATTGAGTGACACCATCAGCTCCGGTGTCGTCAAAGGCACCATTGTGTTGGGCCAAGTCAACAAGAGACAAGAGAATGTGATTTCAGCAGGGGTTTTCTTGGGAGAACACCGGCGGTGGGTATTGCCATTCTAATACCGGAGCGCTGGGTCGCCAGGAGAGGATCAAAGGATTCTGGGAATATTATTCCCCTCCAATAAGCCGCAGGTGTTCGGGCGCATTGTGTCCCGTCCTCGCATAGCACTTGACCAAGAAAGGTTACGACATAGCCCTCGTTTCCTTGTGGGGCATTGTGCAAGCATAAAGGGGCACTAGTATGTAACAAAGGGGCTGCCCATGAGAGCATTACTAGCACAAAAAAGGGCAAGCGGTTTGATGGATGGATCCAGCGACAAGGATCAGATTTCGATTCTCCACATGTCACGGCGGCCCGGCCCCAAGACATGATCCGAAGAAGGAGAAATTGACGCTCTCCAGGTGACAGGGCAACAAAGGCGTTTTTTGCCTCGAGAAAGACTTCCCTTCTAGACAGATACACCTTCTGAGCCTTCCTCTCATCACTGTAATGTCTACGGCACATAATTCGCCGGCCTTTTTGGCCCAAGATCGCCGGAAACCGGCTGCTATCGGTATGGTAGTCACGACAACACTGTCAACCATTGTGGTTTTGGCTCGCCTATATGCCCGAGGGTATTTGATTCGAGAGTTAGGTTGGGATGATTATACAATCGTTATCGCACAAGTATGACTCCTTTCCAATATCTCTGGCACAGAACTAATGGTCATAGCTGGTCGCTTGGCTCGACATGGCGCTGTCTCTCATGGACGTTCACTATGGTGGCGGTCAGCACCTTATGGTGATTATGGGCCACCCAAAAAACCTGGTTCTCATGTACAAATGGCTTGTCGCTGCCCAGATGATCTACTTTTTGAGCCTCTGGCACTGTCGCGTCTCCGGTTTGTTTTTCTACGCCCGTCTCAACCCAATGCCACGATTTCAGCTATACCTGCGCATTTCATTTGCATTTGTGACGGCTGTATTTGTCTCACAGGCACTTGTCATTGCACTTCAATGTATTCCACTCCAGGCCCTATGGGACCCTACGGTGAAAGGCAAATGCATAGGCTCTACAGCTGTCTTTCTCTCGACTTCGGTACTCACAATTATCTGTGATTCACTTATTCTAATATTGCCAACCAAAATTGTCCTCGGATTGCAGGTCAATTTAATTCGGAAGTTGGTCTTGTGGTTTGTGATTTGCTTCGGGGTTCTGTAGGTTTTCTGGAAGCTCGCTTGATGATAATGATGGTATTGGCTGACTGTTGCTCATCTAGTGCTATTGTGTAAGACTTTTTCACGACCTCTTCTAAAGGTCCTGTCTAACCTAACTTAGTACATCAATTCTCCGCATGGTCTCTATGATCGTTGCCATTCAACACCCCGAAGACATCACATGGTTCTTCTCCGTTGTGGTGGCCTGGTCTAGTGCGGAGATCAGTGCCTTCATTATTGCCCTCTCATTGCCTGCCTTGAAAGGCTTATTCGGCTTCTTGCGAAGCAGGGGGAATTCAAGCTCTGGTCAGAGTAGCGGTTCTCAGCCCATTAGTCTCGGGTCAGTCCCTCGAACAGCCAAGCATAGAAGAATCTATGAAGGACCAAATTTTTACCAGAACTCATCCGATGCTGAGGCCCAGAAAGACACCCCGAAAAGTCCAAGTCAGGAGACGCTTTGGAATGATCGGGACAGGCGAGATATTCGCGTCATAGATGAAGTGGAAGTGCATGTGGATGATGATGATGATCTTCGCGCTCGAAGATGAGTTTGAGATAGTGATATCATGGAGGATAATTACATTTCGTGCCAACAAATCAAGCAATATTTCATTTGCCCGATGAAGCTTGTATTATCTTCTGGCTGGTTTACGAGTAGACCACGTAACAAAATCAATCCTTCTATGCTCATATTTTGCATACCTGTAGTCATACCCATTTTCAAAACGTTTTCCAATGTGAAATCTACATATCATCGCGTTGTGCTGTAATGATTTGTGAAAGTGGACAACATTCTCGTGTAGCTCTAGGCAGTCGGCAGCCGATTCGCTCAAGAGAGGATTTGAGTTATGCAAAGAACTTCAAGAGATAGTGGTGTGAGCTTCAAAAATTCCCGACGAAGAATATAGGGCTTATGAAATGGCTTCGTCAGTAGGACACCCTAAAAATTGAAGCAATTAGGCCTAGTATGGAATCCGTGTAGGAAGCAGCTTGGTCTAATTTCTCGATTCTATTCAAACCCTTTCACTAAAATTCTGTACACTTTTGTAACGACATCATAAAAGCCGGGAAAACTCTACTTTTAAGAAGATAGTGTCGTAAAAAGCCCATTGTAATGCGAAGGCCAATCAGAAGCGAAGAAGCCGCGCGTTAACCGCTGCGTGTTCCACCATTCAAAACCACGATAAATCAAGCCTCTTGAGTAAAAGCCTTTCGCATCCAGACCCTGCCCCTGTGGAGCACCTAGGTATGGTGCTTAGATATTCTTTGTTTTATACCCTACTACTCGTCCTCATATATAAACAGTCGACGAATCTAAAGAGCGAGGAGCCAACAAGAAGACGGATAAGGATACTGAATACACCAAATGACCTCATTCAAAAATCAGGTCATACAACGAGCCAAAACCTAAGGAGACAATCAAGGAAGGGTCTATTAAAGCAGCCAACTTCGACACATAGAATCAGTATATTTAATGGCGGTGAGACTCAGGGGAAGTCGAAGAGCCAACGCAGAGACCTTATCATGGAGATCTTGGAGACGAAACGAAAGGAGTAAGTTGTATTGACTGTGATCTCCCAAAAGGGAAGGTCTATCTACAAGCGGCAGTGGGCGCTGACCCCTCAAGCACCCATAACCAATAATGATCAATGAACAAGCGACGTAATCAAGAATTCTATATAGAATTATACACAGGATTTTCCACATAGTACCATACGGATTTATGTATAGGATAAGCCAGCTACACAATTTACGGACAGAGTGGGAATGAAATACCGTCACAAGAAACATTAGATCCTTGATTTAACTTCAGATATACGCTTGTGTAATTATCGAAGCCACTTCACAAGCTTTGTCTCTAAACAGGGCACTATCAAAACAGAAGATTCGACCACGATTATGCATGGTCATGTTGCTATAGAAATCATGGGAGTCAATCCATCCATGGGACGGAAAATCCTCACACGACGGACCAATACTGTGTACTCTCCCAACTTTCAAACAAGCCTTATCAGAATCAAGCAATCCATTGTTGTACTTCATATGCCTTGGACTAGGTGAACAAGGGCAATATATAGGAACCTAGTGTCTCTGGTGGCATGGTCGCCCTGTTGATCGTGTAACCCATGACTAATTACAAAATTCTCATCCGCATCAATTTGTTGCCAAATTCCAAAAAGTAATAGTCAGCGTATACCAAACCGTGGTCACTATACGATATAATAGCGCTCCCATTTTTGTTCGCGGTGGCGTTCATCAAAATAGAGTCAAAACCATTCCCTTGTGCCACCACTTCGCCCTTTTTATCTATGTGAACATTTGCTATCTGGGAAGACAAAGAATGCGCCGCTACTGCTTCGGTAATGTTGAGGGCAGCCTCGAGATAAACGGAATCGCTCTCTAATACCTGATGCAACAAGAGAAATCCGTTCGCGGCAATCATTGCGGCGGAAGTATCCCGTGGCGGAGGTTTCTCGCCGTTAGAAGGTGCGTCAAAATCCCATAACGGGATATGAGGATGGTCGTGTGAGGACTGCGAAAGGCGCCGAAGAAAATAATCCGAAAGACGAATTGCCGCCTTCAAGAAAATGGGATCTCTCGTCCACATATAAGTTTGGGTGTATCCAAGGATTGCCCATGCCTGGCCCCTAAACAGAGAACCGAACCAATCAGCGGTGCAGTAAATTAAGGGTTGAAAAAAATACCTGCTCCACGTGGAATCGTCTGCATATCCTTGGTGTGTCTGTTGAAACTTCACCTTCCCACTCTTAGGGTCTAGGTTACACACGTGAAAGGTTGAGAAATCGGGGCGCACAATGGTACGAAGGACTGTATGAGCGTGGACAGTAGCAATGTCGATGAGTTTCTGATCCTTTGTATGGTAACCCGCATAGAACAGGAGATCCATGTCTACCGGGGTCCAGTCAGCTTCCAGGTTTCTATGAATGTGAGGCAAAAAGGAAATGACTCGCGACAGACTTACTACACATGCTGTCGATTATGACTAGGAAATTCTCGTCCTTGTCTTCCACGTGGTATCGGTGGCTTTGCATGCGATCCCAGCTCCGGACAGCCCCAACACGTGAATCAAAACGCGAAGCTAAACTATTGGCGGCAGTGACAATTGCCTCTAGGCTGGCCTTGTTGCCCGTCAGCTCCCAATCCATTTGAAGACTAGGCATCACAATGAACCCCATGTCATGCGTATCCGTTCTGGTCACCATCTCTCGGATGGGTTCACACCAACGACGGCAAAGGGAAAGAAGTTGATCATAAAGGCAGACGGAATCCACTTCTGCAGCGATCGACAAGGATCTGGGAAACTTTGTGGCACGCTCAAGTAAAGCATACAAGGAGCCTGGGAAAAATCCACAAGTCCAAAACCGCGCATCTCTCGTGATATAACGACCCTTGTTCTCGCCATGAGTAGGGACCCACTCGGGGTACTCATTGGGGAGATGCTATACGGCCATCAACATGTCTGATTTTTTGAACACCCAACGACGTGAGATGAATATGAGACGAAACATACACTCAAATAGCGGGATGCAATATCCCAGATTTTGGCGAGACAGTTTTCCGTATATAGTCCAGCGAAGGTGTAGTCAATCTGTCTACCTAAGACTGGACTATTCACTGCCTGTGTCTTTTCTGTTAAAGGATCGTTTGTAACAGATGCTGGAGTCGTCGGTATAGCACAACCTCCGGAGAGCGTCCGGGGCTCAAAAAAAGGAAAGCGGTTACCTAATTCGTCCATGATCTAACACGGTGTATATAATAGAAAAGTTTTAACCGGAGTGATAATAAACAATAATGGAATATTAGTTTCTTAGCCTTTGAACATCAAAATTAATAGCAACTGACCAATAAAACCCGAATTTTCTTTTCGGGCTACGGGGTAAGTCGCGGGCGGCCGATATCCCGAACCCAACGGTCTTTCTTCTAGGGTAGAGCTCCGGCGCTTTGATATTTTGGGGGCGGAAGTGTTTACCACGGGGCTAATTCAGAAGGGGAATAATGAAATGCCATGATTGGTTTTGACTCTGGAATATGGGGGATTAACCTTGCCGAAGTCTTCCGCCGCTGAAATGACAGAACACCAGAGCTCCTAGAGATTTGAGCTACTAACCTACGTAATCTGGTCCCTTGATACTGATCGTATCGCAAAATATCGCGGATTTGATGCGGAAATCGGTCGATCAATGGTGTGACCAGGCGTGACGGGACTACAGAGACGGGACTACGTTTGAGGACTGCGTTTGACAGGTGACACAGGACATAGACTATTGTAGATAAGCAGAGACTCTTCCTCTGTCTCTTCCTCCTTTTCTCAACTTAGATCTCCTGTTGACCATAGCACTCAAATTGAATTCTTTGTTTGCTTTCTTTCTTGATCTGGCATATGGTCACAGAAAAGGCTTCTGGAGGATGTAAAAACTCCACGCAGATTCATCCGATGGCCATCTACTGAATCTCAAGTACCTGGACGAAAACAATGCCCCATTTCAGGTTAACATTACCTATTTTATCGGAATAATCCTCAGTATACGCTCGATAAAATCAAAGATGAGACAGAAGAAAGATAGCCAGCTTGACAGCGTAATAAAAAACTCAGATAGCGATGTACTATTTATTCACCTAAAGTCCTCAAAATATCCTGCGCGATTTCAACCGATACACCCTCCTTTGATACTTTCTCTCGTAGTTCCTGGACTGTTGGTGGCTTCGGAGGGTACTTCCATAGTTCATTCATCCTCAAACCATCCGGCCCTGCCAAAATAGCCGAAGCAAAAATCCGCGTGCAGTTGGGCTTAATATTTCCCTGTAGTTGTGGCACAAGCGTCCTTGGGTACATGACATTGGTATTGCCATGGGGAGACTGTACTCTCCCAACCCTTGGTGGGTCTGAGGCATCGACAATACCACTGAAATCGCCCATAGCGCCACAAGTCCATGCTGAAGACTTTTGCTCGAATATCCTATCCTGCATGAAATCGAATTTTGGAACAGCAAATCCCCCTTCAATTGTGCTTAGCGGGCGTGAACTGGAAACTTCATGAACCCTCATATGCCAACATTCGTGAGGAATAAGCCACGTTTGGACAGTCACATCGGTCCACGGATACCACCTGGAAAAAATAATTCCATTTGCAATTTGAACATCTTCACAATTTTCCCTAACGCGAAAATGTCTCCCGTCGTCACTCAAGGCCAGCATACTATCAAAAGCTTCGATCGAGAAGCCCCTAGAGTCGCTTTCAATGCTGAAACCATATCTTGAGGAATAAGCAAACTTATTATATTTCTCATGCATTCCGCGCATTTCAAGATTTGTTCCCGGTCCAGAAACGAGCATCACAGAATGAGCCGGTTGGTGAGTGAAAACCATGCCAGGAATGGGAAAGGAGATGACAGATTTTCGTTCGGGCATGGACATTTCTGCTGAAGCCCAGAATGGATGGGTCTCTGGCAGGCACAAAGGAGCAAAGACTTTCATGGCCCACCATGGGGACCCAGGCGAGCTATAACGTTCAGTAATCATTTGATTCGGATATGCGTACCCCAACGTCATGAGCCCATCGTCAAGACGTGATATAGGCTGAAAAGCCCACCATCGCAAATGTCTCAAGTACAACCCCTTCATAACTCCCCAAGGTAGAGGATCTTCATTTGCAACAGCCAACATGCCCCATAAAGCAGCCATGGCATGGCGGTAGACCAGGCTGCGGCCGAAAGGGATGCCAGCTCCATCATCAGCAAACCAATGCTGAAAATTCAAAGCGAATTTGCGAGCTCGAAGTCGAAAGCGCTGCGAGCGAGCAACATCTTGTGGCCTATAAACAGCATATAGTAAACCGTAGAAATGCATCGCAAAAGCGTTATAGTAATCGATTCTTCTCATATCTCCAACGTCCGCACCATCCCGATACCATCCATCCCCGATATACATGGTCTCCAAATCTTGCAGGTATTCTTCTGTCTGTTCTGAATTGACACTGATGCCAACTCGTTCTAGGCCCAAGTCAACTATGACACGAAAGAACTTATGATTGTTGTTGGCATGTTTTGAGTTTCGACTACTTTGCAGCCACTCTGCGACTCTGGTCTTTGTCTGTGTATCCAAAGGATCCCAGAGATGTTCAGACGCAAGTAACAAGCCGTAGCCAAGAGCCGCAGCCTCTACATGGCGCTGATCCATGTCTGTGATGTTACCCCAAAATTCGTCATGCGATGGGTCCGTCCCATTCCGTAAGCCGGTACGGTAAACATCCCAGTAGGCGAACGATGTACCCCCGGCAGCCCTAGGAGCGATCCCGAACAGCGGCCGAGAAAATCCCTCCAAATCACAGGCAGCGCGGTCCCATGTGGATCCCGAGGCATCAAGCTGCACGCGGGCTTTGCCCGGCGAAAAAGATGCCAGCAATGGATCAAATAGCTTTTGACATGCTGCAACCACATCTTGTTTGGTACGGAAAGGATTTTTGGCCAAGGGGTTAAGTCTGCATTGAGACATACAAGACGAATCCAGCAGCGTCATGATTCTTGGTGCGTATGGCGGAGTTGGTTGGCGGAAAGTAAACCAGATGGAAAATGTGAACGAGATAGAGAGCAGAAACGTTATGGGCTCTCAGAATGTCTGGAGGTCAGAGTAGCATTGTATTTAATCAATACGTCTTCTTTCGTTCATGCTTTCATCCGTCTGTATTTGATCATCGGCACTCAAAGCTCAAAGCCGCATGGTATAGCTCGCTGTTGCGGAAAGCGGAAAAGGTGTCGGGTGCCAATCTCCCGATGTCCGCTGTGGGTCACGGAGGCAGGATGCGGGATAGAAATCAGGTTACTTGCCTTTCATGCTTATCTCGGTTTTTCTTAGTTGGTGTGTCCAGGAGAACCTTGGTAGGAGGTACTGATAATCTTAAGCGCACATTTTTCTCCCTTTGCGCATTGGTCTACACCCCATATAGATTTTAAAAATATGCTATATCCACCTATAAAGATTAGAAAAATACTGGAAGACTTCATAACAGGCTGTGGTTGTTGAGTTCCAAAGTTGTAGAATATCGCATTTACTTGGTGTTTTGGGGACTATGTCACTTACAACTACAACGTACGCCATGGACCGGGTCAAACCGTTACTGTATGTGGCCTAGAATGGTACAAAACTTGAGGCGACCAAGAGTATGTCTAAGTGGATGAAGCGTTGGAAAGCATACGGATCGAGCATCCAAGCCTAAGAACTTTCGCCATAGTGAAGGTTTTAAGAGCAACAACACCCTAACAGGCTGAATCTACAGTACTTCGTTTGGCGCCAAGTCTTTGATTTCCACATTCACTTTTTTATTCCCACCGCCCCTGCCCTCAAGAGGGTTGCCGACGTGACGTGTTAGACTATATTGTCGCTGATTGATATTTCCCGCGAACTATTCGACTAGAAGCTCAAGCGACTGGACATTGACCTCACCCAAACTCTTCATCCCGGATGTTTGCCCTCCTAGCATTTCCCTACAGCGCTTGAACACGCATCAATGATGCAAATCATGGGCATTCCTATGATTAGTCCATTTGATAGCCAGCTAAGCGCCCGCCAAGGCTCCGACAGGGAGAACTAGCCCGCTGCGGCCTGCCTAGGGTTGTGGTGAGGTCTAAAAGCAACATCGTTGTATCAGGGTTAATAGGAGGATTCAATAATAGATGGTAGGTTTTAAGCTAAAAAGCACCGTCATAAGATTAGGTCTAGTGTATATTCTTCTAATTAGCCAGTTTAACTTAGGCGCTCCCCGCGAACATTCATTAGATGAAAATTTGTTGAGCGTGGTGGTATAGCGCTGCGTAAAGAATATGTAGACTCAGGCTCGTATACCACACTAACCATTAAGAGCGTAGATGCTACTAGATGAACGGGGAAATAGATTTTTTAGTACTAAACATTTCATATACAAACATATTCCAGTTAACTTGAGGAATGACGAAGCTATATCTCGATGCGACTAGAGGCAGTGACAAAAACGGCCAAATAATGATAAATAAAATAAGATGAATGATCATTTGATCCGCCCAAAAGGCTTTATCTTGCCAAACTTGCAATTATTTGAAGTTCAGCCGGAGCACGGAGCCGCTCTGCTCCAAAATTTTAGAATCGCAGAACCTAAGCCGATCTTGGAACCTATACCGCACCCCATTTCGAGGACTAGCTAACAGCAACAACCATTTTGATAAGGATGGTCTCTCATCACTCTATATGCCTGCCCTCAACAGATATTTACATCCCTCCGTGACGCGTAGAGAGACGTCCTTCGTTGCGTATCGGGTGTGGATATCATTTGCATAGATTACAGACGACTTGGATGGCGGACCCGCTTTCTTCTCGTAGAAGCCCACTGGCTAGTAGCAGATCATTGGATGAGAACAGACAGCATGTCATGGTTTTTGCGCATCAGTTCCTTGATTCCAGCTGCGGTAGTTCATGGTATATTAGGAACAACATGTGAGATAAACAGTTCAGGGCGACAAGTTTCCCATCTATGTGCTCATTATTAGTCTAATAAACTAGGCATGGAGATTAGTAGTTCATGTCGCCTTGCATCGGAGCGATTCTTCATAGAAGTGCGCCGAGGTCATTTGGGTGGTATGTCGGGCTAAAAATGGTCCGCTGTCGTTGTTCACGGAGATCCGGGGAATCTACGTACCCGCCGAAGGAACTAGCTGAAACTCACGATGTAAAGGAGAATGGAAGGCCGACGACGTTAGGATCGTTTGGGAATGTGCGCCTGATGCATACCCATTCAAGGTCTAAGTTGATTCAACATGACATGTCCACAAACAGTTGTTCTCGATGGCTTCAGGCTCACCGAAGCCCGGCGACGTCTGCGCGAAGGCACTGATCTCGCCCTACAGGCAACGCTGGGAGTTCTGACGAGGCAGGCCGATGAGTGGCTGACGCAAGGCCCCTGGTCCGTCACCATGAAGAAGAAACCCCCGCCTAGTGGGGACATACACGACTACACCAGCCAGGCGCCCTACTGGTGGCCGTCGCAGGACTCACCGGATGGCAAGCCTTACATCCAGCGCGACGGAAAGAAAAATCCGGAGGTTCTCTACTATACCGACCGCGTCTACTGGGAAAAAGTCTTCACATCGTCCACCATTCTAGCCCTGGCCTGGTTCTACACGGAAAATGAGGCATACGCGCGACACGCTGGTGACATCCTGCGCGCCTGGTTCGTAACGCCCGAGACCCGCATGAACCCCAACCTCAGCCACGCCCAGCTCATCCCGCACGCTAACACGGGCCGCTTCATCGGCATCATCGACTTCTCCCAGGCCTACACCAGCGTTCTCGACGCGGCCACCATCCTAGCCACCGGCGGCGCCGGGACCTGCCCACCCAGCAACATCCCCTCGCGGGCTCCCGGCTGGTCCTACGATGACGCTGAGAGGTTCCGGGCGTGGAACCTCGACTTCCTTGCGTGGCTGACCGACAGCCCGTTCGGCCGGGAGGAGCACGCCCAACGTAATAATCACGGCAGCTTCGCGGCCATGCAGATGGCCGCCATTGCCCTCTTCGTCAACGACACGGCTCGCGCCCGCGACGAGGCGCTCGCCGCGCTCGCTCACGTCACCGAGACCATCGCCCCGGACGGCTCCCAGCCTGAGGAGCTCCGCCGAACCCGCAGCTGGCATTATTCGACCTTCAATCTTCTTGCCCTAACGCGTCTCGCCTGCGTGGGGCGCAAGGTCGGGGTCAACTTGTGGGATTTTGCCGGTCCGGGAGGCGAGGGGAGCATCGCGCGCGCGGTGGACTTTGTGATACCCGCGGCGACAAACAGCGACATATGGGCGTTCCCCGAGCTGGATTTCAAGGCTTACGCCGCGGCGGATATCATTCGGGCGGCGGCGGATGCAGGCCACAAGAGAGCGAAGGAGGCCGTGGGTAGGTTACAGCTGCCGCCTTCGGATGACCTGTGGCTGTTGAGACCGGCGCCGGAGCAGCTTGATGCGGTCAAGGTGGATGAGGACTCGAAATGAAGGGAAGCTTGGGTTCATGATAAATGAGTAAATAAGGGATAAGGATCTCGAGATCTCCGGGAAATTTTAGACTGGATGTATTACTCTTCCCGAGTCTCGATATTCCTGGCTCGGAAATCCGTAGTGACCTCATTCTCTCGGATTATTGTTTCCTATAAAGGGTGCTCGGAATCAGTCTCACTACGTAGTTTGTCTCCGGTTTATTCTCAAACCTTACTTTGCATTACGCTATGCTTCTTATAGTTACTCTACTCATGAAGCGTATTTTGAGAGTCTCTTGGTACGGTAGTAAATGACGGGATAAAAACAGCCATTGTATCAGCGTTGTATAGGCTATGCCTTGTCTCAAACAGCGTTTCTCATCCAGAATTTTCATGCCGAACCATATGACATTCTGCTGCTGGTCAATTCATGTAAATTCAAAAAGCACTCCGATTCAGACACATTCAACCTTTGTGTCGATCTGCTACAGATTTGTTATACTTCTCCACTTCCTTCGATTCGGATTCGAGATCCAATTCGCCGCTTTCCGTATTAAATGCTCCACGGCATATTTTGAGACCAGTGTATTTACGGGCTCCCTCGTTCGCTGGATTTTGGACAAGTCATCACCTTTGTTTTCAGAAGTGTTTGTCAGGATTTAGTAATCTACTTAGAGGTGTGTTCCGAGAGACGTCCAATTCACCTTCCTTGTTGTCTGCATTCTGTCTGCTCGGATAAGCATAGGAAAAATTTTCTTGGCCTTGCGTACCATCTCTTCATCGTTTTCCGCCATACCGAGCTCTAGTAATGTATCTAAGGATGAAAATAACGGATCTCAGACAAACAATTACGAATGTGAGAAGTGTGAGGGTCGTCTTCACGAGGACAGGAGACAGACTGCAATAGGGAGGAATGACGATTGTCCTAGAATGATAAACAATTGACTAGTAACTATCTCAAAGTAAGATCTCGAAGGAGACTTGAGCGAGACAAGATATCGTAGAAAATGGCAAGTTCCACACGATTAATGAATACCCATCATAATAAGTAGCCCAATCAGAATTCAAGATCCACTTCCCAGTCTGAGCCGACAGTATCACCGGCGATCTCCTCGTAGTCCTTCTCCAGGGCCGCCAGGTCCTCGCGAGCCTCGAAGAACTCACCCTCCTCCATACCCTCACCCACATACCAGTGGACGAAAGCACGTTTGGAGTACATGAGGTCGAATTTGTGGTCAAGACGATTCCAGGCTGCGGCAATAGCGGTGGAGTTGGAGAGCATAGTAACCGAGCGGCTGACAGGAGCAAGCTCGCTACCAGGCACACTCGTAGGACTTTGGTAATTAATCCCGAGCTTGAAGCCCGTTGGGCACCACTCAACCAAGTTGAAAGAAGCCTTAGCCTTGATGCCAGCCACAGCCTGCGTACAGTCGTGAGGCACGACGTCACCACGGTACAGAAGAGCAACAGCCATATACTTGCCTTTGCGAGGATCGCATACGACCATCTGGTTTTTCGGTTCGAAGCCTACCAAGTCGTTATTAGGAAGATTCTTGACAGAAAATGAAAGAAAGCACGTACACTGCATAGTGAGGTCCTTGACTTTGAAGCTCTCGTGGCCACTTCTGTTGCTAGATATGACAGGAGCATATGAGATAAGAGGGTAGTGAATACGTGGGAATGGCACAAGATTTGTCTGAAACTCGTTCAAGTCGACGTTGAGGGCGCCATTGAAACGCAAGCTGGAGGTAATAGAACTAACGACCTGGGCCACAAGACGGTTGAGATGGTCATATCCAGGGCGAGGGATGTCCAGGTTACGCTTACATATATCGTAGACGGCCTCATTGTCAACGAGAAAAGAGCAGTCAGAGTTCTCAATGGTGCTGTGTGTAGAAAGGACGGCGTTGTATGGTTCCACCACGGCAGTCGCCACGCAGGGGGACGGGTAAACAACAAACTCCAGCTTCGATTTTTTGCTATACTCAGTGGAAAGACGCTCGAGTAAGAGTGCGCCAAGACCAGAGCCTGTTCCCCCACCAAAGGAACGGAAGATCAGGAAACCTTGAAGAGAAGAACAATTATCTGTAATGGAATTAATTGAACGATCATCAGTCAAGGGGAGGTTCAATATACACACCGGCCACCCGGCGAACCCGGTCAACAACGTCATCTACGAGCGTCTTGCCGATAGTGTAATAACCACGAGCATCTACTATGTATTAGTTTGCTCATCGCATGGCTTCAAGATACTGGAGGATCATACAGTTGTTAGCCGCGTCCTCTTTTCCACTTATTAACTGCTCAGGGTGGAACAGATGGCGGTAGGTGCCAGTGCGTATCTCGTCAATAGGCTATACACCGCCAATGTGTCAGCACTAATTTCTTTCAACCCCGTGGTCGCTCGATACGCACAGAAGGGTCAAGATCAACAAAGATCGAGCGTGGGACGTATTTGCCGTTGTCGGTCTCAGTGAAAAAGGTCTCATAAGAGCCGCCCCGGCCAATTTCTTCGGCAAGATTGGTATCTAGACGTCCATTGGGCATCAGGCCGTGCTCGAGCAGATAACTATATCATCGTCCATCTATCGGTTAGCGAGTGCCGAATGAACCACGAGGCAGCGTAAACTTACAGCTCCCAGGCAGCATTACCCAATTGGGTACCGGCTTGGCCTAGGTGAAGATGACAGATCTAATAAATTATTAACTGGCGTTCCGGGCTTTGGAGGGTTCGTCTAACCTTGAACTACAAAAGTAATGGGAGCCAAGGCTGTCCGTATTTTGTGGTTCAAGGTAGGGCAAAGGAATGGACGCAGATTGAGCCATTTCCATAGCAAACACAAAACAGCAACAGGATAGCACGTACTTCGCCGCGCATATTGACCAAACGTTCGAACTATGTTGCATATAGGCAGACAGATGTAGCATGGAAGGAGGTCGAGGTTCAAATTTTCGAGAAACCTGGAATCCACAATGGGTAAAAAGAGGGGCCTAATACCATGGCGGGCGGTCTGCCCCAACTTCGAGCGTCAACACAGCTGTACGAATATTTCGAGTGAACCAGGAGATCTATCTATCATGTGACTGTCTCTTACCATCCTTTTCGGTATTTTAAAAGTAGCTCGGTCAAATATAGGCTAGCGTATTTCGCAATGGGTTTAGTGACGAACCGAAGAGAGTAAAGCGGTGAAACTGGTTTCGATCCATTCTGTATCTAGCCTAGCATATACACTCTGTGCCATATTTGTCTGGCCCAACACTTGCCGTTAGTTGCCACCGCAGTGCCAAAGGAAGTCCAGGTTTCCATTCGCCACTACGCCGTTGTCCAAGGCTACTCCCGGCGTTGTAGGACCGAAGAAATCGGTTCCATCCAGCGTTATAACACGGTCCAACTCGAGGAACTGCTGGCCCAACAGCATATGCGACATGGCCGTCAGCTCGTCCTCGTCCTCGCCACCACCATTACTGCTGCTGTTGTTGTTCTCCATGCCCAACCCCAAGAGTCCCACCACAGCCGCCGTCGAAGTTGGAGTCGTCCCTATCATGTTCGGGGCCCCTGTCGTTGCCGTGTTGGTACCGTAATGCTTCCGTCGCTGTGCATCATGCTGCTGCTGCTGCTGCCGCCGCCGCGGGCTCACATCATCGGGGCGAACGGGTGTGCCGCGGGGATCATACGCGATCGGCGGGTGTGGACAGATCGATGGGCGTGGTAGATAACTTGTGGGATGTATGAAGGGCGTGAAACCCGAGGGTATCATGCTTCCCAGGCCCAGACCCGGTGTTTGGGGCCATATCATGTCTCGGCGGGATGTATTACCGCCTGCCATGGGCTGCTGCTTTTCCAGAAGGCCATCCAGGCTGGCATCCGATAGTATGTCGCCGACCGAAGCGTGTGCATCCAGGCCAGCCATGCATCGGGAATGCATCAGCTGAAGCTGTATGGCGTATCGGGTCATCAGGTCCGGCTCACTCGGCCACCTGTCGCCGTCGTCTTGACCCATTATATCCCGCCCGTCCCTGCCGTCACTGCCCTTCCACCGGCGTGACATGTCCTTCAAGCTATCCACGAGACTGAAGAACTCGGGCGCCAGAGGATCCCCCGCCTCCCGGGTAACAGAGAGCCAATGCACCAGCAGCATGCGGGCGGCAACGAAGCCGCAAAAGGCGAACTGGCTGTTGACGATGCCCCCCATATAGCACAGGTACTTGTCGGCGATGGAGGCGATCTCGATGGCGGCAAGCAGGCACGTCTCGGCGCTGCAGGCGCTGGGCAGCTTGACGACACCGCACCAGGTCGCAGGTGGGTAGGCGACGTGCTGGTGCAGTAGGATCATGGCGGCGTTGTGCGTGAGGTGCGCCAGGGTCAGGTTCGGGTCCATCCTGACGATCGATGCGTCGCAGGAGACGTCCGAGTCATGCCACTGGTGGGGGAGAAACATTTTCCAACTAATTACCCCAATGCGTTAATAATATCCAGAGGGATAAGCAGGGGGAGGGACGAAGCTCACTGGACAAGCCGCAGGTCGAGTTCTTTGAACCTCGTTAGCCAGTTTTTCACCTGCTCCCTGTCTCCAAAGTCGATGCTCTGCTGCAGGAAGAAGGAAGTAACCTGGCTGAGGTTCTCGGTGGCCTCGATACAATATGCAAACGCCCCCAGGTTCGAGGTGTCCAGCTGATCACCTCCGCTGCCTCCACCACCGGGGCTGTAGTCGCTAGTCTTGGAGGTCGACTCGTAAAGCGCCGGGACATTGGCTATTGATTTGCCGATCTTGGCCGTGGACTTGTTCCATATACCGAAGAAGGGTGTCGAGACCGCCTCCTCGCGCGCCCATGGCGCTCCGCTGCAGGGAAGTCGTCGTTGGACGTGGTCCGAGGTCAGGCTCGTGTGCCAGCTGCGCTTTGTGTTAGACGACGACACGTTGAGTGGGCCAATCAAAATACGAACCCGGAAGTGACTGAGCAAACTCTGTGATAGTTCGGTCAATCAGTCAGCTTTGGCCGAACGTCTTACGGAGTTTGTATTACCTGTCGAGGAGAAAAACATTCCAGAAAAGCCTCCTCCGCTCTTCCGACTCTGTCCAATCGCGCGGCCATGACAGAAGCGTTAGCGGGCGAAGAAGCGGCTGCTTTTCGGATGGCAGGTCTGGTGGTTCGACCGTTAATTGGAGATACTCGACCGTCCTCGTCAGGGAACCAATGATGGGCCACGCCTTGGAGGGATGCCCGCATCCCATCTGCAACAGAAAAGTCAGGGGAAAGACAAAGCATGGAGAACCCTCCGGAGGTTGGAGGCTCAGGAAGCAGACAGCTCACGTAGTCAAAGGCGAGAAAGATCAGTGCCTGCATATTCTCGACCGACAGGGACTGCATGGCATGGAGCATCACAACCCTCCTGGATACTCTGATCTGCCTCTCGACACCCTCCCGACCAAGGCCAATCTTATCCAACTCGATATACTTGATCGCGGCAGCAACCAGCGCATGGAGAAGCACCGCCAATCGGCTTCTCTCGGCCGGATCCTGGATCCTGGCCCGGAACCGAGCCTCATGAAGGATGGGGACCCAGTGATGCACCGTGCGGAAGTGAACATCAATGATGGCGCCCAGGAGGTGTGGCGGAGGCGATGGAGGTGGTCCGTCCTCCTCGTCCCAGATATCGGGATCCACATCAACGGTTCGTCGCCTCTTCTGGCTGCTGGCACTGGCCTGGGCTGGTGATGCCGCCGGCTCGGACACTGTGACTGGGTCGTTGGAGGTCTGGTGCCTTTGGTGGAGGCTCTCGTTGTTGTCCAAATTTTGGACCCGGTGCTGGAATCCTGGAAGATTGTTTCCGTTGAAGTGTTCCGGGTCGAGGTCCAGGACGGCGAGTTGCGGTTTGCGCCTGCCCGATTCGTCCAGCAGGATTCTTTCCAGCACGTCTAGCAAACATGCGTCCATCAGTCAGGAGCTTTGTAGGTGAAAGATTCCTTTCCCATGTAGCTAGGGGGGCTCGTACCCAAGCGCCGGCTGAGGGTGTCGACGGCACCGGTCTTGATGCCGGGCTTCTGTTTGCTCACGTAGACGCACTCGCCTGCTGGATTCGGAAATTCGGGTCAGCTGAGAGCCCGACAGGGAGTTTGGTGGTGTCAGTAATAATATCGAAGCCCACCCAGTCTCTGGCATTGCAAGCAAGACGGCGTTTGTCTCGAACACTTGAGCTTCCTCCGCCGACACGACTGACAGGCGGGGAGATCGTCCGCCGCCAATGACCCCTCCTCCTCGTCCGCGGCGCGGACGATGGGGGCTTCGGGCTGCCGGGACACGTGCACCATTGCCCGTTTCTCTCGCAATATTTCGATCCGGTCGAGAATTAGTGTGGTATGCGACTGAGGGAAATCAGCGGGCGATGGGCTAATTATTGGTCCAGCCGAGTGCGCCCTTTCCCCGCATTTCGGATCGGTGCGGCGAAAGGGCGGTGATTGGTGGGATCTTGAAGTACATCAGGACCAATACCGGAATGGCCGATCCCGTTCCAACATGGGTTGGCAGAGGTGAACAATCAATAGCATTCAAATTTAGATGGATTGGGGTAACCAATCATTCCCACCACCCAGGATCCACACTGGCAACACGGAGTTCGCAAGCAGAAACAAACATACAGAGAGACTAGACAGGTCGGCATCTGCGGAGAACAGTCCCATCCCATGTCGGCCCCCTTCACTCGACCATCGTCACTACCGGTATCTCCTTCTCCTCGGCCCCCTCATGCGCCAGCTTAGCCTCCATCGCCTTCGACGGGCCGTCGAAAAGTTGGCCGACCTCCTCGAGACTGAGATTCTTAGTCTCCGGATAGAAAAAGTAGATAATGGTGAAGTTGCTGACCAGGATGCAGCACCAGACGATGTAGTACTTCCACCCAATGGCCCCGAGGCCGACCGGGTTGGTGTACCCGCTGAAAATGTTGGCGGCTGCGTCGCCGAAGCCATTGATGACGAACGCCTTAGCGCGGAGGTCGAAGGGCGAGACCTCGGCGACGTACGAGGGGACCATGCAGCCAGGCATCTTGTAGAAGAGGCCGAAAAGGAAGATGGCAAAAATTGTGGCGTTGCCTAGTCCCGCGTTGGTGTAGCCAATACCCGTGTTGACGCCGGTGAAGACGGTGATCATCAAAAAGGCGACGAACATGCCCGACATGCCGATCAGCCACATCGGTCGCCGTCCCATCTTGTCGACCAGCAGCGACCACGTGTTGCCCCACACCCAGCCGCTGATGGTAATGCCGCCGTTGATCAGCAGTTGCGTCTTGGAGCTCGTGATACCGATCGACTCAAAGACGAGATGGATGTAATATGTGATGAGCGCGTTGCCGCACCACTGGATGATGAACCCGGACGTGACGATAATGAATAGGCGGTACCGGTTGGCCGGTGTACGGAACCACTCCATCCACGACGTCAGCGCCTGCACCCGCTCCGCCTCGATGGCTGCCTCGATCTCAACCATCTCTAATTGCAGTAGCCGCGACGATTCGTCACCCTCGGCGTGGTACCGGGCTAGGATCCGGTACGCCTCGTCGCGCCTGCCTTTGTGCACGAGCCAGCGCGGGCTCTCGGGCGTGAAGAACATCATGACAAGTTGGAAGACGGATGACACGGCCTGCAGCAGCGAAGGCAGGCGCCAGGACCACGAGGACGCCATGAAGGAAGTGCCATAGGTAATCCAGGCGGCCATGATCTGGCCGAGCGAGCCGGTCGAGTTCTGGATGCCGATGATTTGGGTGCGCTGGAAGGGGTGAGCCAGCTCGGCGGCCAGGATGGGACACGCCGTGTTCTGGATTGTGTTTCCGAAGCCGATGAGTACGCGCGACACGACGAACATGTCGTAGCCGACCGACGCGGCCTGCAGCGCGACGCCGACCAGCAGGATGCATGACCCGATCATAATGGGGACTCGTCGACCCAGCCGCTGCATCATAGGCGCCGCGATGAGGAGCGCTCCGAGCTGCCCATAGCGGGTGCCGTTGGTGATGGTACCCAGGCGCGTGCCCGCCGGATTGCCCAGCGCATCCTCCCACCGGTCGATGATCTGCAGGCCGCTGAGCATAGAGCCGTCGTAGCCGTTGGTCATGTCGCAGACGATACAGCCCAGCAGCAAAAGGTTCAGCGATCGCAAGCCGGGGTAGTGCCACCAGAACCGCGTCCGCTGATCCGTCTCCCGCAGCGTCACACCCTCGACGCCGCGGACGCCAGATTTGTCGACGTGGAACATTATGTGATTGAGAACGAGTCAATTGATTATGGGACGCCCTGGATATTGCCCGCGGTGACTAGGATGCAAAACGATGTTCGAAATCGATAGAGCATAGGAGAAAGAAGGAAAGGGGTTGGGAGAGGCCAACGCTCTTTATCATGAGAGAAAGCCCTGGCGGCGGAGACTGAAAGACGGGGAAGGAAAAGACTTCAACACGTCCCATCTGCAGCATCGCCCATCTGTGCGTGTCTCCCCCGAATCATTCCCCCACAAACTGGACTCATCATGGCATGGCCAATGTCACTTCGTCAGGCAAATCCATCTGGGATGCTCTGGAGTGCGTCCCGTCCCCGGAATGCGGGGTAGTCATCTCCCGGGTCGATTCGATGACGGGATTTCGGGCTCTTGGTGCTCCGGGCATCAGTTTCCCGGCTACATGAATGTTGTTGTCTCTGGTAGCCATATTTCTGTTGGAGATCTGGCCTGGCCGACGTTAAGCGGTCGAGTCGTCGTATAAGGTAATATTGACCAATGAGAGACAGACAGCCCATACTACTAATACCGGAAACGTCGAGACACAAAAGCGAACCTCAAAAGGGTTGGGTTGCTCATGGTGTTACTTCTCGTAGTTCAATTCGACCAATTATTCCAGCATAGGAATTGATAGGGACGGGAGCGATGTCTATTGCATGCACTTCCTGACAGGTCTGACAGTGTCTAGACACGTTTTAGAGAAATTGGTACTAAAATGACTAGGATATATATTGCCTTACGTGTACAGGAGCTTTCATCTATTTGCATCTGCTATGGCTAAATTGTAACATAGTTTATGGTAACGTAGTAATATAACATTTCAGAGTGAAATTCATATCTGTTACTAAGAATACTCATCGACACTAAGTAGTATGCCAAAACTTTGATAAACGCAAGTTGGTCGGGAAAATATTGTGGTATAAAAATATGGCATCTAAGATGGTGTTTTGGGGTGGCCGGTTCGCTATTGAATTACGTTAGCCCCCATGGATAGAGAGACAATGACTACAATTGTAGTCAAATTTCAATCGCTAGGTCATATCGGCCCCTGAATTTACCCCTAGAAATTTCGATAGCTCCAAAGCAATCAAGGTGGTTGTGTCGCGATGCCGGTTGGATGCGGCTCTATACGAACCCTATCAAAAGAACCTGGCCAGCTAAGATCCCGACAACCATCAGTTTCCCACTCTAGATCGCTTTGAAACTGAAAGTACTCATACACATGCTCTTGTTCTGGTTTTCAAGAACATATCACCACAACCGCGCCACGAGGGCAGCCTAACAGTTGGCCACAAAAGGCCGTGACGAGGCCCTAAGTTCGGTCAAGAAGCGACACATTCTACATGGACATAAAAGGATTTAAATAGTAAGGGTAGCCTGCATATGACTTCGGCGACAGGAGGAAATAATTGAGACACCCACACACCCACACACCCACAAACCCACACACACTCACGGTAACACAGACCCCACGCACTCTTTCCAACTATCGTTCGCTCGATTTCCGCATGCTCCATGACTAACTTTCAGTCTTGACTGAGCCTCTTTGATATGCTGATCTAAGCTTTGAGGTCCTTGGCACCAATACCCTTAACTTGTGCGACGAGTTGCATCTGCTCTTCGGCAGCAGTGACAGTCTCGGACCACCTCCAAGCGGGGACCTTGGACTCGTACAGCTCGTCGATTTCGGCGGCGGAGCGGCTACGTCATGTCAGATTCCATGCCTTTCTGTCGTCAATATTAGAGCTGTCATACCTTTTGGTCTCAGGCAAGTAGATCCACATCAGGATGCATATCGGTACGGAGAAAGCGCCATACACGAAGCCGGCCTTGACGCTAAGTGCAAGAAGCATGGGCGGGGTAGCATAGCTGCAGCAACGAGTCAGATGGGATAGCTCTGACGCAGGAAATGAGTTACACAGTACGCACCAGGTAGCAATACCGATGATCGAGTTAGTCACAAAGGTAACGGGACCGGTTCTCACTGTATGTGATGTGAGTGGTGAGGGAGGCCGATAAGAATTTCTCTGGAGAAAGGGAGCCGAATGATAAGAAATCATAGACTTACCTCGAAGAAGGGCAGATGGCAGCTCGGCTGAGAAGAGGTAGTATGACATTATTATAATTTGGACCGCGAAAGTCCAAAAGCAGCAGATGACAAGCTAAGACAAGACAGGTCAGCAAAGCACCTAGATTACCTTCGTGACGAGATGACAGAGGAGACGTTAGGTATAAACGCACCAAACCAGTGCCAGCTTTGGCATTGTGTTTCGTTGCCCCTGTCCAGTATAAACCACCGCAAACAAAAAGGATGACGCAAACAAGCGTCTGACACGTGTTGATGATGGTGCGTCGACCAAATTTATCGGCGGTAAAGGCCCAAACCAAGATAGCGAGGAGGTTGACGCAGCTAAACAAACGTGGTCAGCCATATTCGTCCACGGTCAAGAGGTGTTTGTCTAGCTTACGAGAGAATGACAGTACAAAGAAAAGGATCGGTTAAACCAGCCAGGGCGAAGAAGTCTAGTGCCATCAGCTCAATACTTTTAGAAGCATGGGATGGGACATGGCAACTTACAGGTTGAGTAAGTACTGATTATGACAAGGCCAGCGAGTTGCTGGGAGATAGCGAGCAGCATGACGGTGAGTGTACGTTTCTAGCCCCTGGTTAGCTTCGTATTCCTACCTGTGTTGTTGAAACAACTGGAAGTACTCACCAGGTTCAGACCCTTGAAGACGTCAATGTATCTTGGCTGATCCTGCAGCATTGCGCTCTCATGTGCGATAGTCCTTGCGATGATGCCATATTCCTCCTCAATGTCATAGCCCTTCACACCACCATAAAGTTGCCGCATGCACTTTAACGCTTTCTCTTTATTCCCACGTCGAGCGTGGAACCAGGGTGACTCAGGTATAAACATCCAGAAGATTATCATAAGTCCAACTGGTGCCCAAATGACACGCATGGCCAATAAATAATTATCCGGGTGCTTCTTGTTCAGCTGCTGCATCATCACAGAGCATATGATGCCGCCGATATTACTCCTACCCCGAGAAATCAGCTAGTTGACCTAATGACGCTGACTGGAGAGCTGCCAGCAAAGAGTCAAGTGATATTACCAGGCTGCTTGGAAAACGACCATACCACCTCGGATCCTGTTTGGACAGATCTCCATGATGTAAATCTGGCATGTGACTCTGAGAGATTATCAGCGACAAGGGCGGACTATATCATCCCCGGTAATGCTTACTGGAGGACGCCGATACCTGCACCATTGCAAAGCTTCGCGAGGGCCTGTTGCAGGAATCAGAACGAGCACCATGGTACTTGCTGACTGTATGGCAGCAGACGATGGGTGGTTTTGACTCACCCACACAGAGGGACTCTTGGCAGTGTTGAGGAACACGCAACCCTGGAGACACGTCAGGTTATTTTGCGATTCGGTTTTGCAGCCTTCTTGCAACCCCCGAGGCATCACTCACGACGACAAGCCAGGCCCATGCGACGTACAACGACGTCTTTCGACCGAATCTGTCGGCGAACCTATTACAATGGCTCAACAGCCGCACACACGTACATCCCACACGTCATACCGGGGAAGAGGTTTCTTTTGGGACTAGAGCTAGGCCACTCACCAGGAAATGTAGGTGAGCGTGACGATTTGACCAACATTCTGGTCATGGAATTAGTACCTAGTCACTGGTATTCGGTACGAAAGGTTAAGAAGGGCTGGGTGGCATACGAGAAGAGCACTCCAGGTGGACACTAAAGCATCATCGTCAGTAAGCACTGAAGAGTCAATCCATCGGATTCTTGATACGGCGTACCCCAAGTAGGATTAAGGGCCCTGACGCCTGTATGACCTTTTTCACCGAACTGTTTGACGAAGCCAGCGTTGGCGATGACACTGCCTCCGGCACCGAGCTGTATTTGCCGCGTAAGTCCACGATCCTGGTTTCACAGTCTTCCGAGGAGCTGGAAGAGGGTTTATCATTGCTCACCTCGAAACCTTCGCAGACGTAGCCAGTATAGACAGCGAGCGAGATGAGGACGACCCGCTTAAAAGCCCACAGCGTTTGTGGTAAGGACAGCTGGTCAAACGTCGACTTGACGAGTCCGTTGCCATCATATCCATCAATCTTTGTTGTTCTTTCGTCCACGTTCACCGGCATGCCTTCAAGATGCGACACGCCGCCCTTCTCGGATCGACTCGTCACAGCTGCGGCCATGATGTCTCTGACGTTTTAATCACTTGTCACAGTCTTAATTTCTACAGACCGATATACTTTTGATATGTTGTTTTGGGCAAAGCAGAAAAGTGTAGATTTTCCGGGGCTGAGAAACTGTTCTATATAGGTATGTCCCCCGCAAAGCGGTGGCGTGCGAGTTTGATCGTTTCGGGAAATGAATGGCTGGACCAGTCGCCGAAGTCTGGAAGGGAAAGAGGCCCTAGCTTGAGACTTGTTTTTACCATGCGAGCTTCATGGATGGCCAACTTCGTTTAACTATTCGGTTACAAATATCCCGAAGGTACAAACCAGGGACACGAAAAGTAGAGGTGGCGGTGAGACTAGGCCTTCGCCATAACCGAATACAGGCTGTACCAAGGTACAGTAGTATTGGCTGGTTAAGCGAAGAGCTCCGATGAGCAGCATGACATTCCGCCAAGAACCTCGAGCAGGCAGGTATGGAAATTGGGCTCCTAGGGCATCCTGAAGCGAGTGGCGCTCATATTTGATCATCCCAAAATCCCCCCGAAGTTCGGACCCGCAATCTTGAACTGGGGAATGCGGGGCGTCGCCGCCAAGTCCAGTGGGAGGATACAGAATATATCAGCGCTAGCATGGCTTGGCGCGTTAGTAGTATAAAATAAAAATAAATGACAATTAGAGAGATACGCAATTACACCAAATTACCTAGTAATTAGTTTACCTTCTATCTACTTTAAGAAATCGGCTAGATATTCATGGTTGAGTAGCCTCCTTCTCTGCCCACCTAGATGTTTACATTACCTCGTTTACATCCCTAGTGCATTCCGGCGGCCTTCGTCAGAAAAACGTAGCCATCGTCATAACGTAGTAATCACACAAGAAGTCAACCAAGGCGACTCCGATGTTGTTTCTTAAGGCCGCTTACATGTATGTCTTGCTCCGTGTATCAGTGGGCGTCTAGTTGAAGAAGTCCTGGTCCTGCTTGTTATTTTTTCCTACATGTCCAACGGCACGTTGAATACTGGTGACTCCAAATCCTCAATCGCCCAACGTATGTATAGCGAGATTTTTCCAAAAATGCGTGGCGCACATATTTTCCTGTGCTGTATGTGTAGCCAGGGTGTCGGTACGCTGCTCTAAGCCAATCTATAGGAACAGGATCAGAGATACTTTCAGCGGCAAATACACCGACAAAACCACTAGTCAGAGCTCGGTTCATGTCTCTGAGGTGCCCTGTGGCTGTACGAGAGTTGAAGCATGGCTAAAGAAGAAGAGGGAAACAAAACAAGCAGACCAAAATACAAGGAAATCAAATAATGCCCACACAGCCTCGTAGTTCTGTCCCTATCTAGCTCAATTCTTCATATTGACAGACAAATTTTTCCATGGTGGTGCACCTAATTGTATCATAAGACTATCTGTTTTCTAGCTATTTGGCGAAGTGACGTTGGCCATCTCAAATCAGTTCCACCGCCAATCCAACGTGGCACTAGTATAATATAGTTCAGCATGGTATGCTCAAAGAAATATTTGCCTTTTCAGTTGGTATAGTTGCAAGCACACCCCTTTGAGCAAACTGGCTTTGACAGATAAATCAAACGGTATATTATCATCGTGGGTAAAGGTTTTGCTACACTCCTGTCATAGGTGCACAAAGTAGGCTGCGAATGTATCCGCTCAATCTACGAATATCCAACCCGATAACAAACATTACAGATATGCCACGCCTCATGACCTGCTTAAGACTTCATTGACTATACAGTTTTATCATTATTCAGTATGTAATTCTTTGAATAAGAGCCTTACGCATACAGTTTGTACTCCCGGCCCTCCGCTATTGGGACCTGAAAACATGTCTGAACTCTTACTCAAATGTGGGGCTAGGAGTATCATGTGAGTTGAAATGGTCTACTGGAATGTCTCAATCATGCTATTACACATATACATTCATATTTCCAGGCTCTCATCACTGAATTTCTGTATATTATTGGCCGGAAGCCATAATTTGCAAACATTTCCAGATTTGCATAGGTACGGCTGACAATGTCCCGATAAGCGAGGACCCTGGTTCCTAGCGTGGCCTTGTTTTGACTTTTGTCCGTATCCGCACTTCTGCCGCGCCTGCATCACTACGCCTAGGCTGGACTAAGAAAGTTGCCCGCGCATGGACTTGGATTAAATGAACAGCCGGAACTACCCCCCTTTTCGAGATATTGTGAAAGTCCGTATTGGCCGAGGCTCCAGAATGCTCCCGTCACTCAACAAAGAGCTGCCACTCGGGGAAAAAGAGACCGAGTAGGCTGTTACTCCTCAACTGTTGTTCGGTACCCCATACGAATGAATCTTCGTGGCGTACCGGTCTGACATATTTCGGGGGATGGGGCATGGGATTCTTAAGCAGACTAATTTCTTGTCACGCAATCCATTGGTTCGAGTTATATGTACAAAGCTAGCTGACGTCGCGACCTGCTAACCTCCGTTTCGTACAACGCACGGTAGGTGACAAACAGTCATGGCCTATAGACTCGTTACCTTGATGTTGCTCGCAACGCTTCTGAGCATTGTGCCTATTGTTCGCGCAGTGACCCTCAATGTCACTACTGGAGGAGGCAATGCAACCAGCCCGATCATGTATGGCCTACTCTACGAGGTATGCCCTTTCATCAGGCTTACCGCGTGGTGCGATACTGATTTTCGATAAGGATGTCTATCACTCTGGTGACGGAGGCTTGTACAGCGAGCTGATCCAGAATCGCGCGTTCCAAGGCACTTCGGTCAACAGTAACCAGGGTCCCTATCAAAATCTCCAGTATTGGCACACTCGTGGATCTGATACTCTGAATCTCGACAACGAGTCTCCGTTCCTGACCAGTGCGCTTCCGTGGCATATGAGAGTTGACGTGGCCAACGACGCAGCTGGCCCAACCGGATTTTGGAACGAGGGCTATTGGGGCATGAATGTGACGACGGCAACTCGGTATACTTCAAGCTTCTATCTCCGAGGCGGATACAAGGGGGAGATATTGGCTGCATTTTGGAGCAATACAACCGGGTCTATGCTTGGAAGCACGTCCTTCAGTGTTGACCAGACTGAAGCTGATGGCTGGGTATCGTATTCACAAACTTTCACAGCAGCATCTTCCGGTCCTGACGAGAAGAATACCTTTCACATTACCTTCGACGGAGCCAGCGCTGCCGGCACGAGCCTCCGCTTTCATATGATTAGTGTGTTCCAGCAAACATTCAAAAATTCACCCAACGGATTGCGCATAGATCTTGCGGAGGCTATCAATGAACTTGGTGGGAAGTATCTCCGCCTGCCGGGGGGAAATAATCTTGAAGGAATTGCTGCCCCATACCAATGGAAATGGAACGAGACAGTTGGCTCGATCATCAGCCGCCCTGGACGTCCAGGGACTTGGGGCTATATCAATACCGATGGTCTCGGGCTTCTAGAAATGATGCAGGTTCGTTTAAATACGTGGTTCCAACCTATATTATCGAGTCTCACAAAAGAGTCGTTAGTGGTGCATAGATATGAACCTTGAGCCTATTCTTGCAGTGTGGGATGGCTTGTATCTGGATGGGGATATTCTCACTGAGACAGACTTACAACCATATGTCGACGATGTTCTCAATGAGCTAGAGTTTTTGACGGTATTGCATAAACTCAATTCTCTACGTAATTCTATGCTTATATATCACAGGGACCTCATACGTCAACATGGGGCGCCAAGCGGGCCTCCTTGGGATATCGCGATCCCTTTAACATCAAATATCTCGAAATCGGCAATGAGGATTTCCTTAATAATGGAATTCCTACCTATCTCGGTATGTTGCCATTAGGCTATAGTCTTGTGAGATTTAAAAGTAACATATTCCCAGCCTATCGCTTTAACATGTTCTACAACGCAATTAAGAAAGATTATCCTGACATGAAAGTCATTTCGTCCATTTGGGCTGGATATTTCACCAACCCACAGCTCCCTGCCAACGTCATTCAAGATCTCCACGACTATTTATCAGTCGACGATATGGTTGCGAAGTTTGATGGCTACGACCATGCTGATCGTAATTACCCTGTCTTGGTTGGTGAGTATGCTGCCATCTACGATGACCAGCATGTCAGCCCGAACCAGTTAGACAATCCAACTTTGCAATCTGCAACTTCCGAAGCAATCTACTTCCTTGGCTTGGAAAGGAATGCCGATCTCATTGTCGGAATCTCCCATGGTGCCCTGATTAAGAGTTTGCATGATGAACCAGACAATGTTGCCATGATCAAGCATTCTCCCACCACTCTCGTGCGATCCATGAGTTACTACGTAGCCAAGCTTTTTGGCACCAACTTTGGCTCAGAGACCGTCGCGGTCACCGGGGATGCTGAATACGGGCCACTATATTGGGCCGCCACCAAGAACGATACTGGGACCTTTTTTATCAAAATCGTGAACTACGATGGTGCTGCCTCGACTCCGATTACGGTGGTGATTCCAGGGAAAACAAATGAGGCCACATTGAAGACCTTAAGTGCTCCGGATAAGTACAGCACCAATACATTGGGAGATATCCAGAGTGTTTGGACTGAGACGAAGGTCTATGGTTTTGAAGGACAGTATTCTTTTACGTTGACTGGAAGTTACATCAGTTCCGTCTTAGTTGTATAACTAACGTCAAAAGTCTTGGGGTTATATAGTAAACAGTATATATAAGATCGAGAAGAGATTAGTATGAAGGAAGAGGCCGTTGGTGATTTGGTCATAAGGGAATTATTTCCCGATTTTTTGTTGTTGTTAGAATATCGGGGGAGAAAAGAGGGACAAGAGAATATAAACGGTTCCTTTAGGGCCACTCTGAATATTGTTTTCTATAATGGTGGCATGGCAGGCAGCGTAAACGTCGTCTTCCGTGGTAGAGGTAATGTGCGCCATCATAATCCTGTTCTGAAGATTGACGATACCTCTACCTTGAAAGGGCCAGAGTACTTGACACTGAGCAGGTAAATGATATAGTATAAATAGCTGGCATGAAAGAAGGAATCGACGGGAGTAGGTCTTGCTGGTGGTTCAGGCGCCGAGATTTCGGCCACCTGCATAGCCCGGAGAATAACCAAAGGTTATGTCGGCTTCGTCGGGTTCCTGAGGCAAATTTACTTGTTTTATCTTTGCGGTAGAACTTCAAAATCGCGTCGGAGGATCTGGGTGTCTTTCGCATGTTGGAAGATGGGGGGTATGTTAACAAATAGTAAGATTATGTCTGCATTCATGGGGGCCTTTCAGACTGTTGTAGGGCCATTTGTGCTTCTATTTTGATCCATTCGTCTTGAGAGATTCAAATAGATTCCCAATGATTTAATTGCAGTAGTGTTTACTTGCCCGATGTAGCTTGCCCAAGTACAGCCGCTATGCGGGATGAAATCAGCCATGCCTGCCCGAGTTGTTTTGCAGGCAGACAGCCCAGCGGACTCTCCATAATCTCTGGCCACTGACATGAATGTAAAAATACGGACTTAAAAGAAGGGAGCTCATATTCATAGAACGACTGCAGTCACATAGACAAAGGAAAAATAGTCAGGAAAGGGGAGTTGGATCTAAGCCTCTAAGCCCCGTTGATCTCGCCGCTCCCATTGTCCCGCATTACCGAAATGCTGCGCAATCACCGTATATCCAATACGCCAACTGCGCCAGCTGCATTCAAGCGCTCTCTGTGGTCCATCATCTCACCCTCTAACCTCCCCGAGTCACCGAGGTCATGAATCACCGAGCCTACCTCTACGCTGGTAAAGAGTCGGTGCAGTTCTCAGACTGTCAATCGGAATGTCGAACGCGCAAACTCTGCCTTTGGAGGCCATTCAGCAGGCTTGTAGGCGCAAGAAAAGTCATATTTGCCAGACCCGATCAGGATGCTTCTTTCCTCTCCTTCCTGGTCCTCTTTTTTCCAAAAAGAGGGTAAAACGACTCTGGCTTGTGAGTTGGGAGGAATAACGACTGTAAGGGCGAATGTGTCGCCAGAATCATTGATCTTCCATGAGCATTCGATGCGCCCATATGGGCTTTCATATGCCACACTTGCGTTCGTAACCGGTCCGCCTGGAACTGGCCTCACCTGAATTGTGCGCCATCCAGGCTCCAAAGGGCTAATTCCACCAACATTCTTGTGCAACCAATTTGCTACAGAGCCCAAGGCATAGTGGTTGAAACTCGTCATGTCTCCTGGGTTAATAGATCCATTTGGGAGCATGCTATCCCATCTCTCCCAAATGGTAGTCGCGCCCATTGTAATTGGATAGAGCCAAGAAGGGCATTCCTTCTCCAGAAGCATACGGTAAGCCAATTGATAGTTTCCTGTGTCTGAGAGTGCGTGCGCGACCAAAGGAGTTCCAGCAAATCCAGTCGCTATTCGGTAACCGGCCAAGTGGACCAAGTGGCTGAGACGGCTCGCAGACTTCATGACGTGATCATGCTTATCGAACAACCCAAAGGATAGGGCAAGCGAGTGGGCTGTTTGAGTATCTCCAACAAGAAGGCCTGATGGTGTGACATATTCGTGTTGAAAAGCCTTTCTCACACTCGATGCGTCTTTGGCAAAGCGGGATGCGTCTTCCATCTCTCCAAGAAGAGAGCTAACTTTGGATATTATACCCAGTACTCGAACAAGGTAAGCATCAGCAACATAAAGACTATCAGTACGGCCCAATCCTGGCTCAGAGGGCGGTGCAGCAGGGTCCAGCCAATCGCCAAATTGCCAGATGTTCTGATCCCAAAGGCCATTTGGTCCTCGCGGTATGCCTTTATCCACCCAAGCCTTCATACTTGTATATTGTCGGCGAAGGACCTCGATATCACCAGAGCTGTTGTACAAATCCCATGGCGTCAAGACAGTGACGTCATGCCAGACAGACTGTGGCCCCGGTGGATAGGGGGGTCATCGAAGACATCTGGGACTACCAGCCCCGGGACTCCGTTCTTAGAACTTTCCAGTTGTTCGGCTGCAACATCCTCAAGCCAGCTTCCAATAAACGCATTGGTGTTGAATAGAAAATTTGCTGATGGGCTGAATACTTGGATATCACCGGTCCATCCTAGTCGCTCGTCACGCTGAGGACAATCAGTCGGTATGGAAAAGAAATTCCCTTTCATGCTCCAAACGACATTCTCATGAAGTTGATTGATGAGTGGGTCGGAGCAGGAAAACCACCCGGTACGACTCATGTCGCTGTGTAAAACCAGGGCCGCGATGTCTTCACAGTTGGGTAATCCAGTATCGGTCGGCCAGCCGTCTATTTGAACGTAACGGAATCCATGGAAAGTAAACTTCGGCGACCAAAACGGGGGCTGATGACGGGACAGGACGACCTTGTCAACTGGACTGGCCCCTCTTAAAGGGCGTGTTCCAAGCTCGTTACGCTCAAGCACTTCGGCGTGGCTGAATGACAATTCGTGCCCATCGGGCTTTGTTGCCAGAGTTGGTCCTGGCAGACGAACTCGTAGTTTTCCAACCAGATTCTGGCCAAAGTCCAAGAGAGTCTTACCAGACTCCGACTTGAAGATCCGAACAGGGTTTCGCTCTTCGATGGTCCGCACGGGGGGTGAGTCTGAAGCGAGAAGCCTCATACGAGGGAACGACAGTGACTTGGTTGGCATCCAAGTACACTCGTCCAAATCTGCGTCATCGTTCCAACCCCATTGCTCCTCACGAGAGTCATAATCTTCGCCATCGTAAATTTCACTGCGAACTGTTGCACTTGGATGGGACTTCCATGTGTTATCGGAGACCACCAAAACACTTTGGCCAGACTCGAATGTGACTTCCAACTGTGCTAAAACTCCCAATTGATCCCCATAGAAACAGCGCTTTTGATCCATTCCTAGGCGACCAGCGAACCATCCTTCACCCACTTCAACGCCAAGAACGTTAGGTTTGCTCGCGTGAAGCGATGCAGTTACGTCAAAAGTCTGATAGACAAGCCGATGATTATAGCTGGTCCATCCGGGTGCCATCTCTTCATTGCCGATCCGATGGCCATTCATGAATGCCTCGTAAACACCGTGTGCAGTGATATAAAGGCGAGCTTTCACAATGGACCCTGCGTCTCCGGGTAGTCCAAAGACTTTTCTGAACAGTAGAGGGCGCATGGTCTCGTCCTTGTTGGGCATAATGATTGAGGTCGTCAAATTCGCTGTCCAATCTCCATTTTCCAAAAGTGCTGCCTCAACAATTGCCGGGCAAGACCATTCCGTGCTTGCCATTATGGCCTCGCCTGCTGCATTTAAAGCCTTTCCGTGAGACATGACCTTCAGCCAGGCACGTTCCCGAGAACAGAGAGCATGGCTGGGCCAAGGCACCAGAACAGAGGACGAGCTTTGTACGTGGTATGTTTCAACAACAGCGTTATTTTGTCGACCGATCTGGATTTCATAAGACTCTTGCACCCATTCTTTGAGGTCGTCGTGATTGCAAGAGAAGCGCCATGAGAGCCGAGGGCGAGGATGGCCGATCCCAAACCCAGTTGAGTGGTGTTCGAATGTAACAGAAGAAATTTTAATTGCGGCCATGGCAGGCAAAAGAGAATCAGGGTACGTGGGGTGCAAGTGGTGTACTCTGTATCAAACACGCTGTCGATGGTTTCTAGGAGGCCAAGTCGAGCATACCTTTATTCAAGGCAACACCCGGACCTTATAACCTTCTACTGTACCATAGATACCGTTTTGCTGTAGTTCCTACAGAACAGTGTGGGGTCTTGACCTTGCCAGAAGACGCAAATTCTTCCCGTTTGTCTTGCCAAGGGCCCGAGAACCCGTTTTATCACCCCGAAAAAGAGATTGTGTGGATCAATAGTCTGAAATACGAAGCTTTTTTGATTATTTCTACTAATTTATGCAAAAAAGGGGCGGTATCGACCCGTTGGCGAGGCCCAGCGGAGCCAACCCGCCACCTCTCGGGAGGAGCTCACCCGATCGGGGCTCGGCGCAAATGTCACATCGCTACATTCTCCCTATTTGCGGGGCTATCGCTCTCGCTAGTGAGACCCCTCCACAGTCGAATATAATACCCTCCATACGTAGCTCGTACCTGAAAGGTCCAGTGTCAGGACTGCTTTCCTAGGCTCCTATGTGTTCTTTGTTTTACAGACCCGAACAATGGAAACTCGTTGGTAGACCTTGGGTCTATACGACTTAGGACACCATAGGTGTCCTGACGATTCAACCATGGCATAAAACCGCGGCCTTTCAGTCGGCAAATTTCACGCAAAAATAGTAAATCAGTTATTAAGGACAGTGCAAAATCTCAAATCCATGTATCATTTCGTTGTGCTGTAACGGTGCATCAAAGTTGACAACATCCGGTAGGTCTGATCTCATGAGGTCGTGGACCAGATGGAGCACCGTGGATATAAAGGTGCACAACCGCTGAGGCAGAAGTCAGTTAGTAGTGATGGAAGAGCTGTTTGACCAACCACGATCATCCCGATACTGAACCATGGCATCAAAATAGTCCTCTAGTAAAGTACACCATCCTGATACGGATGAAGGCGGGAGCAACGGATCCGATCTTGAGCCAGATCTTACGGAGTATTGAAGTCGACAAAGCGGCGATGCTAGGGTGAAACCTCATGGTCTTCTAGTTCATCTTGTCAAGGAACCAACCATACCCGTACCATTTAATAGATTCATCTAGTCCCGTTCATTTATACTGCTGTATCCAGGCTTGAGAATCCGGAACTATCCTCATATTATGCCAGCACCAGCGGCGCTGCCGTAGCTTGAATCACCTCGTTTTTGCTTTAGATGTCCCAAGGCAGGGCGGTCAACTGATTTACCATGATACTTTTGAGGTAGAAATGCTTTCTGGGTTGTCCTGTACTTCATTCCATAGCTTAGAGGGTCCCCATGCTCCGCTGGTATCCTGCCGGACGTTAATTACTACGACAACAATAATGACACAGTTGGCTGACTTCAGCGAGTGAGCATATAATTCATAACAAGGTCTGATACTAAATAAGCTTTGTACAAAGCATAATGACTTTACTGTATACTTTCTGGTTTAATAGCACGCAATTTTCTTGTTTTGATTATCTTTAGGTCTTTAGAACTTGAAACACAAAGGATTGTAAAATTACATTCCACACACCACTGACATTATTATGAGATTATAAGTATGCGTCTAGCACTCTCATATTCATCCAAGCAATTATATATTCTTTAGAATCGGCGCTTAGAAGTTCCGGAACTGCTCGCCGCGCTGGACGTCACAGTGGCGTCCAGAGGTCCAATTTGAAGCGTACCGCACGGGTTGTTAGGTGCAGTCACACAACCATTCAAGTATTGGCCAAGGCTTCCCGTCTGGTTTTTCGACTGAAGGATCTGGGTAGGAGAGTATGCATCCACCAGGGAATTGCTGCTGGGCGAGAACATGGAGGAATTCACGCGACTGCCAATCCAAGTGGCATGGGCACTGTGTTCAGCCGCCAAACGAGCCAGGAGGAAGGACACCTCCGGAGATTGGGTATAGCCAGCCAGACCAATAAAGCCACCGGATAGTGTAGACTCAATCTGATAGGCGAACATTGCAAAAGCTGGAATACTGTCTGCTTTTGGAATGGTGTAGGAGCACTTCGGTTGCTTAAAGTTGGGTGCCTGCGAGCCGAGTTGCTGGACGGCCTCAACGCTGAGGTTGTTTTGCTTCTCAAGGCCCTGGAGATTGGAAAGAGCCTTGCTGGCACTAGTGCTATTCTGCAGCTGAGAGGCAACATTCTCGTTGACAGGCATGGATGCGTAGAACTTTTGAATGAAGTCGGAGAGAACCCAGCTGAATTGGAGAACTTGGGTATCCCCAGAGGACAATGAGCACGACGACGATGCGCCAGAGGAAGAGCTAGCACCAGCAGAAGAAGTAGCACTAGAGCCCGATGAGCTCGTCGCAGCAGAAGTGAAGGTCGCTCCAGTGAGGAGGAGCCATCCGAGAGTAGTTGTGAAACGCATGGTTATGTGATTGAAGAAACCCGGATTGTAAGAAAAGTTTTGTAGAAATCCGTTAAGAAGGGATTGAGACACAGAAAATAATCAAAAAAAAGTTGTTCAGCATGTACGCCTCGCTGTCTTTTCAATTGTGGGCAGGCTTATGTCTTCACCATGAAGCTTGCGAAGCCTAGCCCACTACAACACCGCATGCAGCGACATTTCTCATTGTGTGCGTCATTTTCTAGCCTTTATGCTGTATATTCACTAGATACTTGCATCATGACTGTAATCAGATTCCATTTTTGGCTTTGTGGGGGCATGGTTATCCCAGTATCGCCACCCGACGGCGTGTCATGGATGGATAAAACTGGGAAGCAGAATATATTCCATTTAACGTCCAATATGGCGAATGTATCATATCAGAACCATTTTAATGACATCATGACCGAGCGGGAATATGCGACGTGAGTACGTTTGGCGATTGACTCTCATGTGGCGGATGGCTCGGATCGATAGGGTTTTAAAGTTTGCAGATGAGATACTTGACATCGGTACCACCCCCTCTTACCATGTGTTCGCATCGAATGTAGCTCAATCTTTGGTACGAATTCATTGAACGTCATTTTCAAAGCACTTGACATCCAAGATGCTCGTTTTTGTTTCTAGAGAAATATTAACTAGTTCGTTGGTTGGAGCTATTTACACAGCAACTCGAATCTTTCGCGATAGGATAAAAAACGCAATTCAAAAACCATGATCTATCAAATAATATCTTTTGAGGATTGACTTCCCTGCATTGTGCTAAATGTTCTCTTCAGTAAGGGGACGGTGCTAGTCGACAGCCACAATTCCTTCATATCTACGCGATCAGGTAGACGCTCCCATATGTATCTAACCCCTCATATTTGAGTCGTCCCATAGTGGAGCGCTTAGCTTCTCGCAAAGGAAGAGCCATTGGTTTTCAGAGGTTGCTAGAGCGGAATAAAACTTATAACTCAATTTTTTTGGTGAATCAATGAGTCAGACCTTGGGTTTGATAACTACTTGCGACCGTGCGAGTCATTGACCACATGGGCGAAGCCGCGCACTCTGCGCGGTCGCCCATCTCCAGGCCTTGTATTCTGTCAATTTTGTCATCTGCAACCGTGGGGTTTCACCAGCTCCAGCCGTCCTACCCCATCGGCTGTCCCGGTTCGTCATCCAATTTTCATACTGTAATGCCCCAGTGCATACCCGCTAACTACTCCATTCAGAGAACGTTCCTCTGCGAGTATCTGCCAGCTCGCCGCCGATCTCAGTCTTTGTACCCAAATAGCAAGTAAGATTATATCTGGCAGCATTAACTTTTTTTTTCGTTTTTCTTCTTCCAACAGATCGACTCGCAGTGATTTTATATTTCAAGCAGACTAAATCATCCCCTACTGCTTTATCACTATTCTAACTGTTTCTTCGATTCAACCGGAGTCTGTAGAATTCCAGATATTCGATGATTGAAGTGATCATCCGAAATAGCCGAACTCCGGGACTCCTTTTGCGTGGTGGCGGGCCATCCCTAATGTAAAAGTCTGCACTGTATACTCCACTGGACCCACGCCGCAGCTTACAGAAAGACCCTTGTCTGCACGGGCATTTCCCTCCGCAGCCGCTCCAGATAGTATGGAGCTGCTCTTTCGGGCTACACGAAGTGATGAAAACAGATATTATTGGTTTTTGTGCAGAGGGTGGTCCGATTAATATGGCAATGGTGCAAGAAAAAAGCGGGAAGAATAAGCTTAAGTTCACTGCCTAGTGTGGCCAAGTGCGTATGTTAGCGTTGGATTCCCAGTTGGACCGCCGAACTCAATAGAAAGTTTGCCGAAGAACATCCTAGGATAGTACTCCGTATGCCCTCTCCATAATCGATCACTCGGAAATTTTCGTCGCGGTTTTGCCGCTGTGTGGAGACAGTGGTGAGCGCACAGTGGAGTCGCGGTACGCTCACTGGCCAATTCCTGCGGCTCGATCGGCCGGCTCCCACTGAACGACCTTCGGGCCCACCGCCTTCCAGAAGCCACGGGCTCGGAGTGGCACTGCGCTTTTCATCTCCACTGATAAACGCGTTATCGGGCCGCGAAATGCTTCCTTTTTACCCACTGGTACCTACCATATGTCCCGCCGCGCTGGCTCGCACGTTCTACTTTTCTGTTTCTCCATCGCCGGTCCCTTCGTTGTGTTGCATAATTGATATCTTCAGCGAATTTTTATTCAGTATACCCTGTGTCGAGGCGCACAATGCCCATCACTCTTCCCAACGATGTCCTCCTCTTGATCGGAGAACATTTGGACCGGCAAGATCGCTGGAACCTCTTGTTCGTCTCCAAGCATTTTCATGATTTGTTCCTGCCGCTTTTCTACCGTTCGGTCGCTCTTCACAACTGGCATAGCACCTTTTCGTTCCTCCGCGCCATATTGAAGCGACCATCACTTGCACGCGCAGTTCGACAATTGGACCTGGACGCTTGGCAATCACAAAGCGTATCAGATGATGAACGGGCCCAGATTCGTGACTCTGTACAGCTGAGGGATTGGTTGGCAGCCATCTCGTACTCAGAGGACGAGCAGTTACACTGGAGAGAGGATCTTCAAAATGGCTGTGGGGATCCCTGGGTTGCCCTGGTGCTTCCTCTGTTGGGTCAATTGCGACGCCTGCGTTTGGCGTATGCATCGAACACTCCTTACTTGGGTCAGCTTATGCAAAGAGCCGTTAACCCCGAAACGCCATTGGATGGTCGCCCGGTACTTAGTCGATTGAGAGAGGTCTCGCTGTGCCACCGGGAGGATCTGGACCGCCCGATAAACCAAGACGATGCTGAACGAGAGGATCAGTCATCACCGTCATCAACATCCCTGATTCTTCCGTTTTTCCAACTGCCCTCGGTGCAGTCGCTCCACGCGGATTCCGTGGTTGATCCTAGCTCCGGCACATCGGGGATCTCTGAGGACGGGGGAAATGTGAAGGAGCAATGGCCTACTGGATTCTCCTCCATTAAAGAGATCGATCTTCGCTCCAGCAACGGAAATCACGGTATGGAGAGTTTGATCGCGTCATGTGCAGATCTGCGGTCTTTCAAATATCAGCATTCCGACGCGCATATCCTTTCACATGGCTACCAACCATCCGCCTTCCATCGGTCTTTGACACACAGCAAGAATAGTCTTCAGACCCTGTGGTTGGACCAACATGGCGATCATTACCCCTTCACGGCCGTCGGACTGAACCAAACGCACGACGAGTGGTTCGGGTCGCTGGCCGGCTTTCTGGCTTTACGGGAGGTGCGTATTCGACTGCCCAACCTTCTGGATATCCGATACCAGAGTCAGCCGAGCACACCTCTGGTGGATTGCCTCCCACCCAAACTAGAGACTCTCTATATCGAGGGATGTGAGGAACGGAATCTGTCCATGCTCGCCTCGCAGCTCCAGACTGTGATCAAGAACCGCCAGGCCAAGGTACCGCAACTCCATCGAGTGGATATCGAAGGCGCATTTCACGATGATGCTTCCGACGACTCGGGACACACCGAGCCCTCTCCGACCGAGTGTCCTGAAAATACGATCAAAGAAAAGATCCTTCAAGCCGCTGAGCCTTTGCACGTGGATTGTCTCAACGCGGGAGTCGAGCTTCATCTCCTCGACCGCATGTGTTCTGCCCCCATGGAGGTATCATGGTGAGGTTTGAGTGTGATGTACATGTTACTTTTATCCTGGTTGTGACTACGGTGTTCGATTTGAGCGCATATAGAGTTTTGCATTGCGCATACATATAGAATATATCTTGCGGAAGTGTTTCACCATGGCGGTTGGGGAAGATATGAAGGATATATATTTTGGCTGGACCATATGCGTTTTCTTCATCCGTTCCGTCCCTGCACCACCGACTCTTTCCTATTTATCTAAATCTCAAGCGGAAAGACTGGCTCTACTACAAGAGAGCTTATTGCATATGAAATGGATATTCTATGTCAAGTGGTACGTTAATGTAAGACGGATTGCACGGTCGCGCCACTGGTGCCGGGGTTTACAGCGAAGCAAGGACAGCATCGGCGCCGGATTTCTGCGACCGGGTGATGGAGTCAGTAAATCATGTCCAGGACGGAATACTTTGGTTTGCCACAGAATGTAATTTCTCATACCTTCACCGCGCCCTTCTCGGTCTCAATTTGGGCGTAAGAAACCTTGCCATGGTCCACAACTATGGCATACCGGCCCGTGCGCCCAGACGCGCTGTCGGCCCAGCCAATGCTTTTGGAGAATTGGGCATCGGGGTCGGACAGGAAGAGCTGTCGAGAGATAGACAGATGAGAGTTGGTCACTTGGAAAAAGGATAGAGGCTTGCTCACGATATCATCTCCGTGCACCTTGTTCGCCTTGCCCCAGGCGCTCATGACGAAGGGGTCGTTGAAAGCAAGCACGGCCACGATGTCCACACCCTTCTGTCGGAGCTGGGGCAGGTTCTTGATATAGCCCGGCATATGGTTCACCGAACAGGTGGGGGTGAAGGCGCCTAACGCAATCAACAATCATGACGTTGTGCTTCAAAGTCCCGACCAAAACCACTGACCTGGGACCGAGAAGAGCACCACCTTCTTATCCGCCCACTCCTTGGACGCATTATAGTTGATCGGGATCCCACAGGCATTCATGTCACCACTTTCCTCCGACCACGGGATGTACCTGACTCGGAGATCAGCCATTGTCGTCATCGAGCAGGATGGAACTCACTTGAAGACCACGTCGCTGGGGAACTGGTCACCGGGTTTGAGTGTAGTCATGATGAGGGCAGTCGGGGGTGCAGTTACGGGTGTTGAGTTAACAAGTGAGGGAGAGGAGAAGAATGATCGATTGGCGGGGCAGCAAGGAACCTGGGGAATAGTTAGTTAATCATCCAGGCTGATTCATCCGGTGGTCGGAGCCCTCCGTCGGCTAACCAATTACTAACTACAGGATGTCGCGAACGGACTGTCGCGGGCAACAGAGTCTGGTTGGACACAAACAGGTCTTCCCTACCACGACGTTTTTTATTTCCATATTCCATGGCGACCGCACTTGATATGCCAGGTGGTGGCTGGTCCAGGATGATGATCTCAGATGACTGTCGGATGGCGACTTCACCTTCGGCTCCCAACGCCCACCATTCACCTATTAAACATGCACTGTTTCTGTGGTGCGAGGCATGAAGGATCAGACAAAAGAAGCGAATAGAATCAATGCATCGTTATTTAATGTTCATTCTCCCTCGCCTCCTGATCTGAGTCCACAACTGAGCGGCCGGGGACCAGTCAATTCATCAAATCCTCGGCATCCACCAGCAGTGCGTTGATAGGTCCCCACAAAGTATCATTTCCAGTGCATCCTCTATACACAACAAGGCGCAATGACGCTCCCGTCGGGACAAATTAGCGTATCACAAGCCATGCATCACCTACTCCGGATTTTTAGAGAGCTCCTCACATGGACCGCAGGGCTGTGATTGAAGTATAAAGCTGCATCAGGGCCCCCACGATTGACTGGGAACTTTCTTCATTCTCAACTCGCCCAACACCGCTGTTTGCTCACTATGTTTGAGAAATCCCTCAAGGAAAGTCGCTCCGAATGCTTGCGCGACTGAGTTGCTCGCCGGTGGGTTTAGTACTGAAAGGTCTCAACATTCTATATGACCAGCTGACCTTTTTGGCTGCAGGCCTTCCTCATCGAGGGATACCAAGCTGGCATCCTCGGCGGTGTCCAGGATACTAAGCCGTACCGTGACGCCCTTGGGGTAAGCTATCATTGAATCCCTGTCTTGCAGTTGTTGCTCACGACTAGAAGAATCCAACCGGCAATAACATAATCCCGATGATTGCGTCCGCCTATACGTTAGCAGCTATGGTCATGTCCGCCCTAGTGGTCATTGTGGGGATGCCCTTGGGCCAGCGGAATTCAATCCTTCTTAGCACAGTGCTCATTTTCTTTGGTGGAATCATTCAGGCCGCCTCTTTTCTGTGGCCCAGATTATTGTCGCTCGGATTATTTGCGTGATTTTATACCACGTTATACCATCCGAAATGAGTATTCACGCCAGTGAACGCGGTCCCGACGTTGCGATAAATTACTCCTCCTTGCTGGGAGGTGTAGCTCTATCATATTGGATGACTTTGTCTAATCAAATATCATTGGTGGGACCATCCGGCCTAGAATAGGAACGATTGATGAGGCTAACGTAGACTCACAATATAAAATGACCATTGCGATACAATCCCTTTTTGCTTTGGTTTCCGGAGTTGCCATATTCTTGTCCAGACACACCAAGATGGTATTATGCAAAGGGCCGAAATGCTGAAGGTGTTCAAACCTTGGCCAGTCTTGTGACTGGTCTTTGGGCTGCACGAGAAGCTGCGAGTGAACTCGGATTGCCCCCGCCACGTCTGCCAGCTGCTGATCCAAGGGACGCTCAGGAAAACCTAATCCAATGGCGTCTGTGATCGAGTAGCGGTATAGATCTATAAAGAGTGCTTTTTTTTATTCAGTTGAATGTTTACTTTGTATGTCCTTCCTTCAATCAGTACCACTGGTGCGGCCGAGCCATTTTTGCACTGTCTTCTCGCCTTCCAGCATCGAAACAAATTGGTCATCCACGTACACCCAAGCCATCTGAGCTCCTGCAAACAGAATCCCACAATACCGCATTTTGTCATCGTTCAAGGTCTGCAGCCTCTGCTTTACAGCTTTGATTTAGATTGCAATTCTGGTCTCTTATCTCTGACAGCTTACAACTTAATGGCATGTGATTGCTTGTTCATATACATTGTAAAGTGTACAGTTCCTGCCACATGCAAACATCAGTTAATAAAGAAAATACATAATTATTTCCAATTTCCAGGTTAGTCCATTGCTATCGCACAGAACTCTATTCTATCCAATTATTGTTGGATAGGGACTGCAGTTGCCACAGTAGTCTCTTTCTCTTTGAGTCCAGTCTTCGTTTCCACATGTTCCTTCCCCAAGCGAGTCTTCAAAACGAACACACTTGCAAATATACCCAAGCCAGACATGCATGTATACATGATCCACATATTTCTCAAGCTCCAGGAAAAGGCGTTCCTGACAGTAAGCACCTGGGTCGCATCTCCAATGGTCTTTATGAGCTCAATATTTGCCGCAGCAGAATCTCCCGACATCTTCTCCGCCATATACTCTGACATTCCAGCGGCCAGAAACTCAGGCTTCATGTGAGCCATGCTGTTTTGGAAAACAACACCCCCAATAACAATTGATGAAGCTGTTGCGAGATTTCTAATGAAACCAAGTGTAGCAGTCGCTGTCGCCGTTTCGTCCTGAGATACCATTGCTTGAATAGCGATAATTGGGGTTTGGAAAAGGAATCCAGATCCAATACCACCGACAATCTGATAACCAATTATCTCACCTAGAGATGAGTGGGTATTGAGATGGATGTATAAACCATTCCCAATCGTCAGCAAGGCCAGCCCTAGCCAGATAAGCTCTAGATATCGTCCAGTTCGATGGATAATTGCGCCTGTGACTATGCCGGAAAGGGCTTCAGTGATGACAAGGGGCAAGACCATGACTCCGGATCGCATAGCCGATGCACCCTTCACGGATTGGAGATACAGCGGGATATAGTATTCTCCAGCAATAAACACCTGTTCGTCGATAATTAGCTCAAACTTTGTGAGATGAAAGGTCTGCTCACAAAACCATGTGCAAAGGCCACTGCGAGGCTAGCAACATTAGACCCCCGAGAAAAGAGGTTCAGTGGCATAAGAGGGTGTTTGGCAAGCCGTTTCTCGCTATAAATGAATAACAAGGAGCAAAGTGACCCAAACACGATCAAACAGATCACTTGCGGTGAGCTCCAGGCAAATGTCTCGCCGCCAAAATCCAATGCCAGGAGCAGCATCAAGGTGAGACCCAAGATAGATATGCTTCCAAACCAGTCAATAGCCCGGAAACCATCCATAATCTTGGTTTGGGGATTATGCACATCCAAAAAGAACGATAAAAGTATGAAAGCGAGCCCTGAAACAGGCAAATTGATCCAGTAATTCCATCTCCAAGAAACGTACTCAGAAAATGCACCGCCAAGAAGTGGACCAATGCCACCAGCCAGAGCCCACATCAATTCCATCAATCCAAGATAGAGGCTTCGGTGTCTGGGGTATTGTCAGCTTGTACGTCAGAATGTAAAATGAATTTCACAAGGTTTTACCTAATACTGAAGAGGTCAGAGATAACGATGGTAACCAGCTGGATTAAACCACCGCCAGCGACGCCTTGCAGCGCACGACCAGCGATAAGCATTGGCATATCCACAGCAGTGGCACAGATAATGGAGCTTATAAAGAACCACACAACCGCTAGAAGTAAAATGAGTTTGCGACCCCATATGTCGGACAGCTTGGCCCAAATGCAGGCACCAGCAGCATTTGCAAGAAGGTAAGCGCCTCCAATCCAGGTATATCCGGCTGCAGAGTGAAGTTTTGCAGCGATAGTTGGAATCGCCGTAGCCATTATTGTCTGATCTAGCGCGGCAACGAACATAGACAACTAGATACCGGTCAAATTCTGGGAAATACAACTAAATGGACGGAGTATGTATACCGAAAGAGCGACCATAATGGCAAAAAGTTGGACTTTACTCCGCTGCGGTGTCGGGATAGTTGATTCAGGGTCCATCGTAACACTCGATAACTTCTTATCCATGACGAACAGTCTCCAGTCACCTTTTCCAAGGGGAATAAAAATGGAGTTCTTATTCGTCTCAAGACCCCAGGAAACCCTGAAAGCGAGTGTGATCTGACTCAAAAGGTTCCCCTCGTCTAAGCCATGAAAATTTGGTTTAGTGGTCTGCCCCACATAATCCGCAATTGAAGTGGGGGAGCCCACCAGCAATCATAACGGGAAGCCCCGATGCCCGTATTTTTCTTCAATCCTGTGATCGATGTTCTTTCCCTGTCTAGTAAACAATATAGATTTGATACATAGCCAAAACAAGAATTGTAGGTTTCAACTCATCACACAGAGAACAAAAACAATTGTTTTTGAGTTTTGCGAATCTAATAATATATATTGCGCGAACATATGCTCGCAAAGGCCACACTGCTTGGAATTATTTGTTGAATGTGTTAGAACATTCTTTTATTCTTTAGCTACGTCCTTGTACAATAATAATAAGGAAAATATAATCTTGGAAAATTACGCAGTGGGAATATGTTCGACGGCGGTAGATCCCGCGATATCGGACGTCCTAATAGGGAAGCCGCTAAGCCAAAAGAAAAATTTTCTCCTGCCTTGTTACTTGCACTTTTGCACGATGAAACCTCATCCGGCAGGGTTTGATACATCTAGTTTCATTATCAGAATATCTTTGGACGTAAAAAGATGATACAAGTCCCCGCCATCGCAAGTGCCATGGACTCGGTTCATCAGTCCGAAAAAGATGCGGCACTGGCTGTTGTGAGCGATGTTGCCCAGGCGATTGACCCGGATATGGAGAGAAAGGTCCTTCGAAAGATCGATATGTATTTCATGCCCGCGATGCTCATAGGTTGGTTCCCTGATAGTGCACCACCTTCAGATGCCTTGAAAAGTGCTATGCCATTAAGTATCCGACTAACCGAACGCAGGTTATGGAATGGTTTACTATGACAAGGCCATTCTAGGTAGTGCATCCATTTTTGGCATGACCACGGATTTAGCCCTAGAAGTAATCGACTATTCGACCTCTTCACCGTCTGCCGACACTTCACGTTTAAGCTGGGCAACATCAGTCTTCTATTTTGGGATGTTGGCTGGTCTGTACCCCATGACTTTCATCTTTCAGAGATTTACTACTCGCTACGTCTTCGGTCCTGTGGTCCTTCTCTGGGCCATTGTTTGTGCGTCCACTGCCGGGGTGTCGTCATGGCACGGATTGTTCGCCCAGCGATTTTTCCTTGGTGCGTTCTTTTGCGTTTCTATTGTAATAACAGCACATCTAATCAAACTAAGGTTTCATTGAGAGCGTCATTCCAACAGGTTTCATGACTATCGTTAGTGGCTACTATACACAAGAAGAGCAAGCTCTGCGCCAAGCATGGTGGTTTTCCGGCACCGGTTGGTTTACTATCATCGGTGGAGCGCTCAATTACGGTTTTGCCCAGATGGAAACAGATGATCTAGCTAGCTGGCAGTATATCTATATCCTTGCAGGGGCATTGACATTTATTTTTGGTCTGTGGTGCTGCATAATGCCAAACTCCCCAGTCTCAGCTTGGTTTCTGTCTCCAGAAGAGCGAATCGTGGCAATTGAGCGACTGCGGAAAGGCCAGACTGGTGTACGTTGTCAAAAAATTAAGCTCTATCAGATCAAAGAGTCTGTAATGGATGTCAAAATCTATTTGGTAGCCATTATGATGACCGCGGCGTGAGTTCATCCATCATTAAATTTTGGAACGGCAAGGCTGACAACAGCAGATACACTATCAATGGTGCCATTTCGGGCTTTGGTCCTTTGATCGTGTCTACTTTTGGCTATAACACCCTTGATTCTATTCTATTCCAGTTTCCCGTGGGTGGCATTTGTATCATTTTCATTCCTTTATGTGGATACATCTCCAGTCGTGTCCCCAATACACGCATCCCAATGCTCATTGCTTGCTGCCTTCCTGTAATTGCAGGTTCTGCCATGATCTGGAAATCACATTGGGGATACCATCCAGCTACCCCAGTTGTAGGTTACGCACTAACCGGCTTTTTCGGTCCTGTGGTAAGCCTGATCATCACCATTGGAGCCAGCAATGTGGCAGGGGCCACCAAAAAAACTGTTATGGCAGCTACAGTCTTCGTGGCATATGCTGTAGGGAATATCATTGGCCCACAACTGGTGAACAGCGGAACAATAGCGCAGCATTACCCAGAGCTTTGGACCGGTATAATTATTTGGTAAGCCTATGAGCCAGAGTCTATTGATTTTTGTGCAATCTAACCAGATAATAGTTATTGCGTCACCATAGTCGCCGCTTTGTTGCTGTACCGCGTACTCTGGAAAGAAAATAAACTTCGAAGTGCACTAGACTTGGACGAGGTTCAACGAGACACGATCGCATTCGACGACCTCACAGACAAGCAAAATGCATTCTTTCGGTATGCCTTATGATACAAGCATGATCATATTTCCTATGGATAGGACCAGCAGGTTTGCAAGACAGTATTCGAACACCATGGACGTTGAAGCATGTCGCCTAGAATACCCAGTGAAATAGTCAATATCAGGTCGACTTCTTCAAATTGTAACGAAAATGAATACTTGATGCATCTGGTCACTCAGTCTCAAAAAGAGATCCAAGGGGAGCTCACGTATGACCCTTATTGCCCGACAGAGTGAAGGACGGAAGGTCGGTTTGGTGTCAGGTGAAATACTGTATCTTGGTTCAAGACTTTTTCAGAGGCCCATACCACAGAAAATTTTCAAACCCATTAATTGAAGTGCAAGATCCTCGGCTGAGTGTGAGTACGCACCGGGTAAGATTAGTTGCTTTAGATTTAGCGGGACGCGGAATCTTAAGATTCCGTTTCTTAACCCCGCAAGATATCTTAGTGTCATAAAGGTGGGCAAACTCCTCTGAGAGAAAAAAGGGGGAAAAGAAAAATCTTTTGAGGATTCGCTCATCTTCATTTAAGATGGATGACAGTAAAAGCTCCGACATAGTCGATTGCCCTGAAGCTCCCGCCATCCCGCACGATCCCAGATTCGAGATCACTTGGGAAGCAGTAGATCCAGAAAACCCACGAACGTGGTCGGTATGGTACCGGAGCTTTATTGTCGCGTCTATGTCTTTCTCAACCACGATAGTGTAAGTACTCATTGATCCAAATTGGGTGGTAAAACTAACCCAATTTACAGAGTAATATATACTACCATGTATACCTCAGGGGTTGAGGGAATGCAAGAAACGTTCAAAATTGGGTCTAAGACAGTTATACTTCTTGGTTTAACAACCAATCTCTTTGGTCTTGCTTTGGGATCTGTTATCCTTTCGTCTTTGTCAGAGATATATGGCCGCCGACCGATTTATCTCATCTCGGTTTTTTCCTTCGGGCTTCTTATATTGCCAGTTGCTCTTGCACCCAATATCGAAGCCATTCTTATCAGTCGATTTTTAGGTGGCTTTTTCGGGGGAACAATGATTGCAGGCGCACCAGGAAGTGTAACAGATGTTACAGACGATAATTACCGTGCATTGGCATTAAGTTGCTGGAGCCTTGGAACTATGAACGGGCCAGTTCTTGGTATGATTTCCGCGGTGAATAACATTTTATGCCGTATGGCTAATTCTAAGCTGGGTGCTGGACATACAGGTCCCATAATCGGTGGTTTTGTGTACGAGTATCTCGGCTGGCGTTGGATCAATTGGCTTGTCCTGATCTGTACTGGAGTTTCCTTGCTCTTGATATTTCTGGTCAAAGAGACCTATGCACCCGCTCTTCTACGGAAAAGGACAAAACTCAAACAGAAAGAAACCGGTGATCAACGGTGGTGGTGCCGCTTCGACCATGAAGTGACGGGGATTCAGGTCTTGAAGATAAACATGATCCGACCATTTCGAATGATCATCTTTGAGCCTATATGGTAAATCTCTCTTTTGAAAGTCTCCACGCTTCTATTTTGAACATGGATACTAATTTCTTTTCTTCGAAAAAGTCTTTTCTGGAACTTATATGTTGGAGTTGTTTATGCAGTTCTCTTCCTATGTTTTGTGGCCTATCCTATTGTTTTCCAAGAGCTTCGTGGCTGGTCTCCGGGCCTTGCTGGGCTTAGCTATTGTGGAATCGGGACAGGTACTGCAATAGCTGTTGTCCTGGAGCCCATCATTCGAAAGATTATTTCCAAGCACCCGCGCGATCGATTTACTGGACGACCAGCTCCAGAGGCTGCAGTTTTTGCCATCTGTATCGGAAGTGTTCTGATTCCAGTTGGCGAATTTTGGTTTGCTTGGACCGCACGGCCACCCGTTCACTCGATTTACCCTATAGTTGCCGGTCTTCCATTCGGACTCGGGAATGGTTTGACGTTCATCTATGCAACAAACTACATTGCGGGAAGTTACACCGTATATGCAGCATCCGGGCTGGCGGGCAATTCGATTATTCGTTACGGCCTGGCTGGAGTTCTCCCCCTTGCCGGTTCCAAGATGTACCACACCTTGGGGCCAAACTGGGCTGGGACATTGCTTGCTCTCGTTGAAACGGTCCTCATTCCTATTCCTTTCATCTTTTACAAATATGGTCATAGAATCCGTGAGCGAAGCCCCATGATTGCGAAAGGAAGTGGCACGGAGATTGTTATTTCCTAAAAGCTTCTTCTTGTGCGTGAAAAGAGATAAGAAATTAAGACTTACGAACGAGACTAGCACGAAAAGTCTATCATCAAGCATATGGTATATCTAGAGTACAGAATGAGCCTGGCGGCTAGAAAGCAGAATCTAAACAATCCATCCGGAAACTTGCAGGCAATCACTGGCCTACCTCCATAACCCTTGCTATAGTTAATTGTATCGTTCTTTTTATGCTCATTCCGTAATCCGTACTACGCAGATGTCTCTTTCCGTGAATATTGATTTTGTGCTAAGATGAGACGCATCGAGAGTTCCTTTTTAATGTCTGGGACATACATCAATCCCAGACTGGAGGGAGATAAGTATTCAGGTCGCTTGTAAACAATGTTTGTAGCCATTCCATTCCGCCCCCTATCATCTCTCCAGGCAGCCATGCATTTGGATCGGGTGCTGATACTCTATTATCACGCACTGTATGAATAGGCACTGTTGTGGCTAGCGTGTCGACTCGGCGAGAGCCAATAGGTGAAGCATAGACTGTGTCTTCGGTACTTTGTAGGCCCGCATTATACCCCCCGTTATATCCACATGATGGTGCCTCTTGGGAGCTGGAATTTCCCTCTTGGTTGGGATCCAATGTATCAGATGCTGTCAAGGATTCTTCGATATGGTGGCTACCGACCTTGGGATTGCTCCGTTTCGATTCCCGAGTAATTGGGGCATATTGCGATTCTTCTGCAAAAGACATCATTCTTTGAACAAGAGCCCCTGGGTGCCGCTCTCCTGGGGCGGGTCTGGATCTTTCTTCGTCGGGATATTCCGATATTGATCGGAATCGAGCTCCATTAAGCATGGATGATCCTGGACCGCCAATCGCCATACTATGATGGCTTTCACCGCTTGGTAGAGAGATTCGAGTGACAGTGTCTAGTGTTGCAGTTGCCATTTGATTTAGTTTCCAGACAGCTCGGGCCATTCTACCAGACACCCATGTCATCCGGCAGTGGTTCTCTAGTGATCTCGCCGCCTCCAGTGTCAAATCGCCATAGGCACGTTTAAATGAAGGTTGCTTGATGATTAATCCCAACGCAATTATAGTCGCGCCAGTCAGATAATGCAGGAATGGAAACGTGTACTTGGGGTGTTCCTCAGGAACATTACTGAAGTTTTCGATGATACTCTGAGCCAGATGCATGCACATGACTTCATTCTCAATAGTTTCTGAGGATGGTTGTTGATGAGATAGCGTTTTATGGAGCATCGGCTTTCGGATTAGCAGGTGAAGCGAAGACCACCGCTTGAGATACGTCAGCATGAGAGGGCCGATTTGGAAGAACATTATTTATGGGAAATGGACATACAATTCGCATAATCAATTGTTGTTTCACCTGCCACCAAACCAGCCCTTCCGTCCTGCACTCTGTCGGACAATAAGGGTCATATGTGAACTCCCGTTGGATCTCTTTTTGAGACTGAGCGATCAAATGCATCAAGTATTCATTGAGAAAATGGCTTGGTGTAGATTCGGTCGTGGAAGCGCCATATAAGGCTTCCCAGACTTTCCCAATTACTTTCGAATAGGCAGTCATGGCGATCAGGTACGGTACTGCCGACGAGATATTCTCGCATGACGCTGCATTGGACACCGAAAATTGTGAGTCGTGGCATATTCGAAGCCACTCGTCGCTCACATCTTGAGGAAATCCGACATCGACGTTCACGTCCTGGATTAAAAACGGACGCCCTGTTTCAAGGGCCAGCCGACGATCCAAAATGTACATACACCACCACAGGCGGCGGCACATCTCGCTCTCAAAGGTCCCCATGCTATCCACTACTCTGCGTCTGTGGAGCCCAATATGGTGCGCATGCGAGATGGTGAGAGCCAAGACCTTTTCAGCTGGGCCATGTGCATCGAGGCGGAAGAGATAAACAACCTGGGCCCAAAAATCAGTATCATATTTTATGCACGGACGAAAGTTTCGTTCTTGGAGCCCTTACCATCAAGGTTATGGTCTGCAAAACAATGATCTGGTTATCACCATCGTGAAAACTGTCAAGAAGGTCACCAAATATATCTCTTCCCGCACTATATAAGCTCCAACCAGCCGAGTATAGTTCCTCTCCCGACTGAAGTCGCGAAGACTCGACACATTTTCCATTGGCAAGGCACAGGAGTATATGAGCGACCTGGATCCGATTCTCACTGTTTAGATGACCATGTGTGGAGAAAATAAAGAACTTCTCCCATGTCTCTTCGTAGAGAGCCCATAATGCAGGAATATGGAGGAAGGGAACGAGTATATGAACTTCTTCGCAAAATTTGCGTATGAGACCACTCCACAGCTCTTTATCGGGCACAACCCCGTGGGAGTCTAGTATCTTGTGGACGTAGCTTGTCTGGCCGCGCTCTGAGGTATGATCAGCTAAGTCATCCGGGGGGGTGTCAAATGGGATCCAAAGGAGTGCCCTGGAGAAGTAGATCGCAACCTCTCATATATAACTCCCATCTGCTCTAAGCGACCTTCGATCAAGGTAATATTGTGTGCTAAGGATGTTTCTCCGGAGAATGTGGGCACGTGCTGCGAAGAAGTGCTGCCTTGACTTCGTGTAAGGGAATTAGCAGCCGGAACATCCTGTAGCGGCTGCAGTCTGCCCGGCTGAGTGAGGGTTGTAAGAGTGTCTCCAAGATGGTTCTGAGAGTGAGTTTCTGGGGGCATGATCAGGCTCAGCTGATTTTCAATACGACTGACTCGAAATAGAAGTTCGTTTTCAGTGCTCCTTTGGATTGTCTCTCAGTTCTTGGCAAATTCTCAAATAAAACAGCCGCTGTAAGCTCAAGCATACTCGACTGACCTGTTATGTTCGTATGAGCGTCTGCTGGCATCCCGACGTCTTCCGCGCATGTCAGTCGTCTTCTTCTGACAGTCTCTTCCCTTTAGCACACATGAGTGGCATGGAGACCCTCCGTCACACTATTTAGATCACGAAATGTGACTTGTCAGCAACTCTGCATGATTCTCCAGCTTCCAGATGATTACACTACCCTGATCTTTCGTTTCTGACAATAGCCGCTGATTGTGGTTAGCCAGTTTTCAATTGTGGAAAATGGACATTTGAGCACAAACCACGCTTTGGAGACATATTTTCCCCTTTTCGGCCGTTTTGGCTGAGACTCGCTGGGGGCTACACGGCTAGCATCTTGGTCCTGGGAAGGATCACAGGCTTGTGTTGAAGATAAATCATGGCCAGTCACCTTTTTCGGATCCCCGATTGCTGCTTGCCACTGTTGACTCCCTTTCATGCTGCGACAGGGTCATACACTCTGCAGTTACCGAATTATGGATTGCAACCAGCAACGGAATTTAAGCGGGGAAACTAATTGTGGGTCTCGGAATTCACGGCAATTTTGGATGGAGATTGTCTCTAATGGATGCCTAAGGCATACAAAACGTACAACAAAGACGGCTATCTATAAGACCACCAATTTGTAAGGTCCAATTTAGGGGCTGGTATAGGTATAGAAATTTTAAGTACATTGTTCATGATGCGTGTCAACGGAGCCCCGCTAGATGTAAACACAAAAAGAAATTTAACAAAAACAGGCGCGCAGAAAAAAGCGGGTATAAAAGATTTTCAACACCAAAAGTGGTCGTCTGATGCCACAGTAAAAAGCCTACAAAGCTAAGAAGAAAAATGAAAGAAAAAGTGGATCTGGTGCTCTCATGTCTTGAGGTTTGATCCCTTTCACCTCGTTTCACCATCGATTCTCTATTATCGTCGAGTTTCTTTCTCGGCACTATGAACGATTGTTTCGTGGATCACTTTAATACCGGCGTTCTGACTGGTGTGACTATTGGTCTCCCAGTCCCCATCACCAGCGGTACACGTGGGAGGCTGTTGCCTCGATGTCGGCAAGATCATTTGCTCGTCGCTTGTGGTGTTCCACTGCGTGTCGGCCGGAATCGACAGGGGATGGCGGAACTTCTTGCGCCTAACATATCCGTTGTTGCTTGTGTCACCATCTGACAGTGGATATGCAGGATAGCTTTGAGATCCGCTCCGAGTGGTAAAGTAGAAGCCGGCACGGCGAGCTGCACGACGGACTAATGGGTAGATCATTGGGACATTGCCGATAACGACAGCGACAAATGTCTCGCGACAGGCCCAGCTGCCAGCTTGCTCAGCGCCATTGGCACCAGCCTATTGAACCTTCAGATTAGAACTCAAAGTTGTGTAGAGCAAAACTCACTGTCAGAATCAGAACACAGCGAAGGATACCAGCCATCATAACGAACAGGCCACCGCTGAACAGTACAAGAAGCTCAACCTTCTCGTGCCACCGAAGTCGGGCCTTAAAAAGCATCTATTTCCAGATAATGTTAGAAATATCTAAGCAATTCAACCAATTCTGGTACCTACTGGGGCAGGAATGCTGATCAGATAGATGTCCGTGGTAACATTCAGGACCACGGTCACATAAATATCGATCTTGGACACAGCCGGTTGACAATGGTCTTGAAATGTACAGTCAGTTAAACGGCATTCAGAGGGGCTTTAGCTGGAACTGACTTCCGGGGTTGGGGTTGATTTGCCAATTCTTGTGTATCGGATGGCACCCAAAAAGAATGGAACAGATCGTGGCAAGGTAGGTCACAGCGATCAAGCCAAAAGCAACATGAATCCGAGTTCGCATGTTGGCCAGGCCCATACTGACTCAGGATGTTAGCGATTGTTTTCTTGGATCTGGTAGTGGAACGCACGTCAATCGCGAGTAGAATATTGCCATGCATGTTTTGAGCAACCACAAAAGGAGCGTATACAAGGACCAGCCGATCACCTGAACTTTGGAGCCACCAATACGTAATCGATATTCCTCGGAGTCGGGAGACAGAGTGACCCGCTGCTCGTTTGTCATCGCATTGTTGGCAAGACCTTTGAACCATGCGCCCACAATATATGCAGCGCCAGTTTCCAATCCATACACCACCTGCAAGCCGCGGTTAGCTAGGGCATCGCGTTGCTCTCCCAGTACCACTTACACACGCGAACGGCATCAGATAATCGTCGATCTGGAAATTACTCGGTCCAACCATGGTCCAGCGAGCAAGAATTCGTAGGCTAATGACCACAATGGCCACCCCCAGCAGAGTGAACGCCTCGGTGACAAAGTCACCCATAGTTGTCCAAGTGCGAGGATCGTTTTTCTGGACGATTTTTCTTTCTGTCGTGGAGAGTTGTTAACAAAAAAGAGACAACTTCCAACACCGGGGAGTTGTCTAGATAAAGGCTAAATGCCAACCTGACATACAGGGATGTGGCGGCACCAGCAACTCAGTATCTCGGTGACTTCGTCTCCGTCGTGTCTCTTGTCATTGGAACTTGGACGGACAAAGAAGCAAGGCCGCATCCCCCCCCAGTTGATTTATAAACCCCAATAAAAAGAAAATGGAGCCCTCGCCGTCAGCGGGTCGTTGCGCTATCTGCAAAGCTAGAGACCCATCAAAAAAGGAGATCTGAACATGTGAAAACTAATTATGACAGGTCAGTGGCCTCTGTCACGGTCTTAGGCTCCATCGTTAACATCCACCGTTGAACGCAATTCCTTCTAGCGGCTCGAACGGTTGACGGAGAAGGTCTTATCTCGCAACTCCGGAATGAAATGAGGCTTGTGGGTGAAAATCGAGACCATTCTTGGGCCGGGTAACATTTTCTCGAAACCTACAGGGTGGGCGCCCCACGATGCCCCTCCGGCCAGGTGAGAACTGCCTCATTCAGTGCTCGATCGGCATTGGACAGCGGCAGGGTGATGGTCTTACAGCTTGCCAGGGCCGGGTAGAGGTAGGCTTTGTCCAACCTCAGATACCCCTGTACGATCGGCTACAAACCAGTTCAACCGCCATCCTCCATTGAGCTAATCTTCTCCGTTCATGTGAGATGGGGAGTCCGGCAGACTTCTCCTTTCTCTTTGTGTAGTGCGGCCAGAGACATAGGGAAAGCAATGAACCTGCTCATAACCGGCGGTCCAGTCATGACAGGGACATGCACGGGATATCCAATTACGATTGTCACGCTGGCCGATTTCCCGCCAGATTACAGGCGCCGATCAGCCTGCCCGGAGATGGTTCCGATCAACCCAGTCACCGCCTAGACTGGGCCAGGTGAGATCTGGATGCCGGAGTAACCAGACAGACCCGGACCGTGTGTACCTGAAATAGGGGAGAATGGTTGGTGGCATGCGGTCTTTCGGACACGGCGGCAAACCACCACGTTTTCGAAGGCCAGGGGTGAAAAGAATCTTTGAGCTCCTTGTAAAATAATATGGACATCGAAACACGCCCCCCGGGCAGCTGCCAGGTGGATCCGGTTCTGTCTTGGTTTCCGTTCAAGTACTCATCGAAGCGCGCCTATTCCTTCCGGACCTATGAGTACATCAGACAATACAAAAGAACATGCGATGCCATTGGCCATTCATCATTGGACCGAGCGGGTCAGAGGAGCTCGATAGTGTCCAAGTTCTATTGCAATCCCGACTGAGATTGGGGGAACCGCATGAAGCTTCCTGATTGAAGTGTCTTCTCGAACTGGTTTGGCTATGAATAATAAACATCTCTTCGTAATAAATTGTGGTCCCCCAAGGACAAAGGAAGTGGGGACGCTAAACTTACCTCCAGCCGTCCGGAAGCCCCCAAAGAGGATCAGAACGGTTGACGATCGGAGGGCCAGACCCGCCGCTTGGACAGCATGGTTGGCAACAGGTCAAACGACGGACAGAAGCCAAACGGGCTATGATCCCGCCTAATACTGGCTAGTCTGACCGCATACTGCATTAGACCGATTGCATGCTAAGGGCCGTCCACTGTGCCGGAGGGGTTCCCGTCCAGGTGCCCAATCGGATACAGGCCGCTCACAGTTGAAGCTCACGATCCTCCTGTCGCAAGCTCAGAATCGCCAAACGGCGCGGTAATTAACATCTAGAGATCCGACAGTCCCACCAATAGTGGGCCTGTCTGGTTCTCCCAGTCTTCATCCACTAGCCTCCCACCACCGCAGACCCGCGCAGGCTGTAAGACGCCCAAAACTCTGTTTCTTTGTCGCTGTCGCTTCTCTTCTTTCACTCAGTGCACTTCGTCGGGTATATAGCGCGGGCTAAACCCTGGTCGTATCGCGTTATTCGATCCTTCCCGACATCAAAGAAAACCACCAGCTTCCTCCATTCACGATGGAGTCCGTGGACTTGGTGGTCATTGGCGCAGGTGAGCATTTCCCATGTTTTTTCACATTCCCATTTTTGACCAGTGTCCATACACAGGCTGGAGCGGGCTCGTCGCCGTCAAGACCTACCGCGAGGTCAACCCCAGCAGCAATGTACTGCTTTTGGAAGCCGCCAGTTCTATCGGCGGGGTCTGGGCCAAGGATCGGCTGTACAAAGGTCTCAAGTCGAATAACATGCTGGGGACCTACGAGTTTAGTGACTTCCCCATGGACGAGAAGACCTTTGACGTCCACACAGGCCAACACATCCCCGGCGAGGTCATTCAGCAATATATGGAGGCTTATGCAGCCCACTTCGACTTCGCCGACCGCATTCGGCTGGAGCATCGCGTGGAGAGCGCTCGGCATAACTTAGATGGCACATGGCAGCTAGCTATGTTGCATGGAGGCAAGACCACAATCATCGAGACTACAAAACTGATTGTTGCCACGGGGATCACGTCGCAAGCATATCTGCCGACGTTTTCGGGCCAGGCGAGCTTTGGTGCACCGCTCTTCCACTGTCGCGATCTACTGCAGAATGAGACGAAGATCTTCCAACCCGGTCAGCGTGCAACAGTGTTCGGGGGCACCAAGTCGGCATGGGATGCGGCCTACGCGTGTGCTACGGCGGGAATGCAGGTGGACTGGGTCATCCGCGAGTCCGGCCACGGTCCAGTCTGGATGGCACCACCATACGTGACCCCGTTGAAAAAGTGGCTAGAAAAACTCGTCACGACACGCTTTCTGACCTGGTTCAGTCCCTGCATTTGGGGAGACGCGGATGGGTACACGCGTGTGCGCAGCTTTTTGCACGGCACTTGGCTGGGACGCAAGATCGTGGATTCGTTCTGGTCGGTTCTGGCGAACGACGTGGTGCAGCTCAACGGCTACGACAAGCATCCGGAAATGAAGAAGCTGAAGCCGTGGGTGAGCCCGTTCTGGAGCGCCACGTCCATCAGTATCCTCAACTACCCGACCGACTTCTTCGAACTGATCAAGAACGGCACCATCAAGGTGCACATTGCCGACCTGGACCGGCTCTCCGACCACACAGTGCACTTGTCCACGGGTGAGACGCTACAGACGACGGCCTTAATCTGCTCGACGGGCTGGCGCTCCACACCCAACCTGCAATTTCTGCCAGAGGGCATCGAGCGCGAGCTAGGGTTCCCGTGGAGCACCGACCCGTTGGATGATGCGCTCGTTCAGGCCGCCGACGAGGAGATCCTGCGTCGTTTCCCACGGCTTCGCGATCAGCCGCGACCAAATCCTCAGTTTCGCCCCCTTGATGACCAGGCAGAGGCAGCCGTACCGCACCCATTCCGGTTGACGCGGTTCATGGTACCGCTGGCTTTGCTCAAGGAGCGCTCACTAGCCTTTATGGGTGTGACCATGAACTTCAACACGACCCTGGTCGCACAAGCCCAGGCATTGTGGATCACAGCCTATTTTGGGGGTCAGCTCACGCCCGCTGCCGTCGAGCGCTGCCCACCTGCATTGTGCGCGGCCATCTCGGATGGCAAGGCTTCCGGAGAGGATTCCGATTTGGATCTCGCCTGGGAGATTGCCTTGCATTCGGAGTTTGGCAAGTATCGCTATCCGGCGGGCTTTGGTCGCCGTAACCCAGACTTTGTGTTCGATGCCATTCCTTATATCGACTTCCTGCTCCGCGATCTGGGTCTGTCGCATGAGCGCAAGCAGGGCCTGCTGGCGCAATGCTTCCATCCGTACGGCACCGAGGATTACCGTGGTCTGCTAGATGAGTGGAAGAAGACCCAGATGAACTAGATGTGGTTGAGAGGCAGTATGATGTATCGCTAGTTTTTTCTACGTGCTCTTGATGACCCCTTTCCTTCGCGCGCCACGCGAGATACCCCTTGTTTGGATTTGTCTTTTTCTGGAATTGCTTAAACGGTGGCAATTTCAGCCAATTCTTTAGAGCAATATTGATATCCAATTGAACAATATCAGCGATGAGAAATATCTCTAGGCCCACATGTCGAAAAGCACACATAGTCTGCAATCCATATGAGTCTAAAGATCAACCCCTTATTCTACCAGCGCAAATTGTTCGAATACTGCAACACCAGCAAACAACGAGGGCTGTGAGACGGGTATTGTATTTGTGCCACCTGCAGCGCACGCATCTTGCAGTCGACTCTCGTTCTTCACGATTTTCCCGGTCATATTTCCAGTCCACCGCATATAATACTCCCCGTCACCTGCAACCACAGTTCCCACGAAGACGTTAACCTTCAGTAAGCCCTCTGTTCCCAAATCGAACTGTAGTCGGAATCCTTCGGGGACATCCCCAACGTGAGGTGGGTATCGCCCACCGGTAGTTCCCGCACTGCCCACCGGATAAACTGCGAAGGGCGATATATCACAAGATGAGACGATCGCTTGGCCATCTTTGGCGACATAGCTGCTCATGTAGGTTGTGTTTGTGGGGTCGTTCAGGGCGAGGTAGCTGAACCACACAAGGGAATAGGGTCCCAGGCGGCCATGGCCCCAGTACCAGCTCTGGACTGATTCCATGAAAGGGCGGTCCGACCAGTTCTTACTATTGTCAGGAACAGGAAGATAGGACATGAAAGTGATGTTGACCTTACCTTGTCGTGATACCCAGGGCCCTGGAACCTCAGTGGCGAACCATGGATTGTCAGGTCAACCATGCCTGTGGCGTCGGGAACGAGGTTAGCCCATCCAATATGGGGTGCGATCTCGAGGGTGGTTATTCCTTCCTGGATTCCACACGGCAGATGAATAGGGGCACGCTGTCTCGCAGTGTCAATACCTGATATATGCCTAGAAATAGTGCATGCAATCGCATCACCCACCGAAGTCAGAGTAAAACGCCCTTTAACTTGCATTTCCTTCGAGCTGATGGTGATCTCATACTGAGACAGGTTGCTCTGATGAGAAGCCCAGCTGAAGCCCGTCGGCGCCCACTGACCCGTGCTGGACACATTGCTTGTTCCACCGACGACGGTGGCCACAGTAGCCGGGATGAAATCCGCATAGACGGTGCCATTGGCAAACGATGCCCACAAGTACGCAATGAGAACGGAGGACTCGTCCGCACTCAGGAACGGGAATGCAACAACCGACGAGGTGAAGAAGGTCACGACTAGTGAGTCGCCGGGGTCAACATCCGACACGGCATCAAAGTACCACCAGTCGAAAACGGATGCGTTCACAACATCTATCTGGGGTGCATCCAAGCTGAGCAACGTCTCCGGGCTAAGGGTCTTGGATGGCGTTTGGATGTCGAATCGAGCATGACTAGCTCTATTCTGAACCTTGTTGGGGATGCGATATGTCCAAGGAAGAAAATTGAGGTCGATGCTGGCATTAATGGCCACTGAGGGCTGGCGCAACGCAGCGGCTTGCTCCACGAAGCGAGCAAAGAGGATGGGTATAAGGACGGGGCTTAGATTCAACCCACGAGGCATCATGATGAACAATTACACAATCGAGGAAGGAGTTTTCATGCAGAATTGTATTTCTATGTGTCTGAAAGGGGTCTGTTTGATAAATAAGTCGATTTTTCTAGCCCGATCGTACATACATGTAGACGGACTTGCCGTCACCCAAATAAACCCTCCGGGTTGCATCAAGCCCAGATGGAGGCAGTGGAGGCGTCTATTCAAGTGAAACTGCCATGTGGCAGTCGGGATCTCGATTTAGCAAGAGAACTGGGGCACGGTGCCCCATCTAGTACTCAATAAAGGCGGTTGGGAGGGGGGGGGGGGGGGGGGGAAGGGATTAGCCACCGTGGTGCATCGTCGTCTACGCTAGAAGGCGACTGGTTCTAGAAATTCTTCCGCTAGGTGGTGGGTAGGTCAGAACATGATGCAAGAATGGCGATATATACCTGAGAAAAACACACCAGCAGCCGAGACACCGGGCTATCAGTTCATCGCTCGCTTCGGTTAAATCACAGAAGAAGAAACAGGAGATAAGTACATCCGTCACACATGATATCAGGCTGTAAAAAAAAGAGACAAGCGCGTACAATAGTCCGTCCAACAGAAGATCAATCAACAAATCATCCCAAAATGCCAGAATCACACACAACACACCCTTCGCCAAACAAAAAGTGAAAAAAAAAACCATCAAAACCCCGACTCCCAAGGCCTGTACTGTAGATACACTCTCCATCTTCGTGGTCTCCACATACATACACGATTGGAGTTTTGCGAGAGACAGAAATGCACAAAATGTAGAAACGAGGTGGGGTTCAACCCGTCAGACATGTCCATTCATGACCGGGCTCCCGTCTTCACTCAGTCCACTGCTCTTGACCGATTCGTCGGCAGCCCCACTCAGGTTTCGGTCATCGGTTTCGTCCTTGCCGCAGCCTTTGACGAGAATGTGTCGCTGTGGGAAGGAGTCAGTATAGAGCCTAAAAGACAAAGGTTACGCTAAAAGAGGCCGGGGCAGAAAAGACGCACCTTCAATGCATCCTTGCGGGAGAAACTCTTGTCACAGTGCTTGCAAGGAAACGGTTTAACGGCCAGGTGGATCCGCTTATGTCGCTTGAGGTCATGATTGCGATTGAAACTTTGCGGGCATTGGTCGCACTTGAACGGCCGATCAGCCGCCGGAGCAGGCATGCCATGCGGCGGTTGGTGGGCGCCATACATGTGCTGTGAATTCGCAACATGACCGCTATTGAACCCGGGCAACATGCCCGCTTGCATGCCTCCCATCATCGACATGGGGGTGTTCGGACTGTGTACATTCGTCATGATCGGACCATTCATGGCCGGCAGAGAGTACGACGGCCACGGCTGGCGAGGAAAGCCGATGTGTGGTTGTCCGGCAGACGGGCTGTGTGAGGTCATTCGCCCTTGGGCATGAATGCCTAGCCCGGCCGACCCCACGGGGGAGGGGCCCCCGTAAAGGGGGAGTGAATCCGCCTTGGTGCGGACTGATCAGTGGCGGAGACGCGCCGTACATGGATTGCGCCTTGTGGGGGGCGTACGGGTCATTCGACGATAGCGACGGCGGTGAGGTAGCGGGTGGGTAGATTCCGCCAGCCATATGGGACATGGTTGAGGAAGGAGCGGGGAGTGGCTGTGGGAATGAAGACATCGACGGCATCTCATGAGTCGAGAGACCGTCGGTGGTAGGAGGAGATGTGATGGACGAGGCACGACCTACTAGGCCGGACTGTGGAGAGAAAGAGCTTCGTGCTGGGTAGACCGAGTGTGCCCAGGCCTGCGCATGCGGCGGGCCCGCGGCGTACAGGTTGGGGTTGGACCAGTATGAGGGTAGATCCGAGGACCCCCCGGTGGAAGGTGCCAGAGTGTGGGATGGGGTGGCGCTCTCCCCGGACTGGTTTGTGGCGGGTGGCGTGAGCAGGTTCCCGACGCTGGCTGGGGCTTGTGATGCAGGCTGGCTGGGTTGCGAAGGGTACTTGGACGTTGCCGCGAGGTTGAACGGTGGCGGCGGCAGCTCAAAGCTGGGGAGGGTCGGCGCTCCGGCACGGCGCGCGTTCAACGGCTGGGCTGCCAGCGCATCCAGCGCGGTGCTCATGCCTGGTGCTGCGAGGGTCGCCAGATTGGCGGACGGATCACGCACGGTAAAGAGATCGGGGGATTCGCCGAGCGACGGCGGGTGCGACAGATGGCCGGTAGCGGCAGCGTACGAGTGGCCCAATGTCCAATCTCGACCTTCAGACAAGCCCCCGGAAGGGCTAGATGGATCCAGGAGGGGCAGCCGACGATCGCTGGGATTTGCGATCGGAGATAATACTCGTAGGCCCAGACTCGCGGGGGAGGGGGTGGTGGAGAGTGTTGCAGACGAGCCCGTTCAGGAGGCGGCGGTCAAACAGCCTGTGGGCGTTGTGATGGTGGTGATGGAGCCACGAACTGAGACGAGCCCGACGACGCGGGGATCAGGGTGAGATGTCACGGCCAGCGAATGCGCGAGACGTGCATGATCTCGGAAGGAAAGTCACGGGCGTAGAAGTCGCACAGAAAAGTCTGTGGGAGAGATTGGGAGGAAGAATGGTGGAGGGAACCAAGTGAGAGTAAGATGAGAGAAAAAGGGGGTGGGAAGAAAGCAGAAGGGAAAGCAGCGCAGGTAGTGAGCCGGTAGTGGTATAGATTAATAGTAGAGATAGCGTGGCGTTGGAAGAGGCGCCGAAGGGGAACAGCGCGGGGAGGGGGGGAAGGATATATGTGTGTTATGGTCCACACGGGTCTAGCCTAAGGGCGAAAGCAAAGAAAAGAAAGCGAGGGGCGGCAACGTGGTTGACAGCTCTGGGTCAGTCCCCCGGGTGGCCGTTCCGAGTCATATTCATTTTAAAAGGGAAGGATCGAGATCTGATCGCCACCGGGGGAATACTTTGTTCGTTCGCCTCCTTGCATCGGACAAGAGAAAAAGGAACCCACGACGAAGTCACTACGCGAAGGGGAAAAAAAGGAAAAGAAAAAAGGTCGCTATTCCCTATTACTGCACGATTGCTCTGCGCTAGGAATGCCAAACAAGACACGGATATAAGCCGGGTCGGCGAGGTGAGCAGCTTCCTCTCTTTCTCGCTCTCTCCCCTATCTATCAGGAGTTAAGACGCACGGACATGGCCGGGAATGGCCAGAATACGAGACCCATGGGTGCTCGGGCAGCGGCAAGCGAGCAGCAAGCCATCTCATTCGCTCCGCGTCTGGGCGCGAGGGCCGATGCAGTTAGACTCTGGCCAGTCCGGCATGTCAGCCAACTCCCTTGGTGCTGCTTTCTTCTTTCTTTTCTGGCCCCTCCAAAGTAACCGAGCCGGTGAGAGGCCGCCGATTGGTCCCAGGTCGGTCCTATCCGAGAGTGATTGGAGTGGTCTGCACGGGCTCCACCCACGATCTGGCCTTGCCTGCAGCGTTGCCTCGCCCTAAATGATTAGCCTGTTCATCGCGTGCATCCGTGGAATGCATCCGATAGTTAGTGGGTGAGTTAGTTGATTACAGCGTGAGTTAGGGTTACCTTCGGTCGAATCCTGAGTCAACGGACCCTCCTATTATTGCAAGACATCGAGTCTCTCTCCACACAGTGCATGATTAATAATGCACTCCATTCATTTCCAGCCCGACGGCTAATCCTCCTAAATGAAAATCTATAGTGTGCGGGTCTGGCCTGATCGTACGCGTCGAGGAGCCGCACCTCAAAACAAAAAAAAAACACGCCGATCGTCACTGCACCCATCGCCATCGGTTCGCAGCCGATTTGTCCAGGTCCATGCAAGGTGGCACCCTGGGACATCTCCACCCCCAACAGATCGTCGCCCGCGTCGGCTCCTGCCGATGTGGCTTTAGAGGAGGCTTGCGGTAGGCGTGGGTGCGGATCTTCTCGAAGCAATGAGGGCGTGTCGAGGGCCGGGAGATCGGCGATCGGGACTGCTGGCAGGGCTGAATGGCGTGGTGAGTACCTAGTAAATGGTGAGAAGGGAGTGAAAAAGACACCCCTAGGGGAGGGAGACTCTTCACACCACTGCCCATTACTGGATCTATCAGATGAGAATATGTAAACCTCGCATAAAGCATCTAGCAGGGACATATCCCTACACCTAGTGCCGGTGTACAGATTATTAGCACCCTGCTATCCTGTCTCCCTTCAAAACGGTGAACCTCCAAATCTGATAGTCTCAGTTGACCTTCGGATTGGGTATCTGGCAATAGTTCATATCTAGGCAGCTCTTGTCGGATTCAACTCTCGATCAGACCAAGTCGATCGGTGTGATCTCACGAGTAAGATAGAGATTGGCATGTATGTAGGTGTGGTGGGTGGTTGGGGGAGTAAACAAAGCGTGATATATATTTCCCTATCCGGATCGACGGGCGCAAAATACCACTACCCATGCTCTAATTCCATGGTCGCTATGGGGGAAACCGTCACTAGGTAATTAAACACCGATGACGGCCATGATTATGGACTCCTACCGTCCTCCGCCCGCACTCACTTTCCCATCGGTCGCAAGGTTTGGCCACTGAAGATCCTGATGACGTCGGCGAGCGGAGTCCCTCTTTCCCACTTCATCGCTTTCTCTCCTTCTCTTCTCCTTCCTACAACACACCCTAATTGACCTCGACTTCGTGGTGAATTGCTCTCCTATTGTGCGTTCTTCTCATGCAGTACAGACCGTTTCTGACTAGCCCCCTGCGAAGGACATTCCTCGTCTCGTCCCAACTATCCCCCCGCAATACACGCCTCGTCCACTGTTCCTCGGCAGCCATGTCCGGTGTTAGCAAAGCTTGCTGCTCGTGCGTGACATTTTTGCTGCCATTAACCTGTTGCTGACCACGCCGGTGTGCAGGATCCCGCCCGTCATCTCCAAGGGCTACCAGGCCAAGGGGGAGTACAAGCAAATCAATGGCCTTAAGACCTGTACGCACCACATGTAATGACCAGAAACAAACCCACTGACCCTGTCCAGATGTGACCGGCCCCGAGTCGGCCACCAAGGCCATCCTGGTCGTGTACGGTGAGTGACCATCCAATAGGACAGGGCCCGGGCAGCGGCTGATGGGATCCCCAGACATCTTTGGTTTCTTTGACCAGACCATCCAAGGTGCCGACATCCTGGCCACCTCCAATGAGCAGAAGTACCGTGTGTTCATGCCCGATTTCTTCGAGGGCAGCCCGGCCGACATTTCGTGGTATCCGCCCACCACCGACGAACACAAGGAGAAGCTGGGCAACTTCTTCCAGACCAAGGCCGCCCCGCCCAACACGCTCTCCAAGATTCCGACGGTTGTGGCCGGGGCCAACAAGCTCGCCCCGGGTGGCAGCTTCCAGTGGTCCATCCTCGGCTACTGCTGGGGCGGCAAGATTGCGACGCTGGCCGCCGGCGCTGACAACACCACCTTCAAGGCCGCCGTCCAGTGCCACCCGGCCATGGTCGATGCCAACGATGCGAAGAACGTGAATGTGCCCATGGCCATGCTGGCCTCCAAGGACGAGCCGGCCCAGGATGTCGACGCATTCAAGGCCGCCCTAAAGGTTCCCAATCACGTCGAAACCTTCTCAACCCAGATCCACGGCTGGATGGCCGCCCGATCGGATCTGGAGGACCCCGAGGTGCGTAAGGAATACGAGCGTGGATACAAGACTGCTTTGGAGTTCCTCCACCAGCACGCGTGAGGAACGAGCCAAGGAACTCGGAATGTAAATCATGATTTATTTCGTCAATCAAAATCTGGTTTGCGATGATTGCCTAATCGTAGTCTGTCCATACATAATGGTGTCCATACATAATGGGAGTAGCATGGCGGGCGATGTTGTGGTCGGGGAGCGGAAAACGTCATGACTAACCCCTCCGGGCTTCATTCTTCCTTTCGCCTTTTGTTGCTTCTACTTCACATTCCTGGACCTTGCTGGCCAGAGCTCGACCATACTCGAAGTTACTCCAATTACTATCTATTCCCTTGGCGCCCCCGCCGCCCCGTTCCTTGCTTTCCGCCACCAGCCGAAACTACCATTTGGCATGCCAGAAGAAGCCTCACGGTTGCGTGGCCTGCGATTGATCCTCTAAGGATGAAACTGGGGAATATCGTGCATGTCGCACAGCCTGGTTGAATAAACTGCGCGGCCATACTGGGCCATCAACTTACGGCGATGTCCTTCTTTGGCCGTCGCCGCTCCCAGTCAGATGCAGCACCTCCTAACGTAACCAACGCCGGTACCCCCAGGCCTTCACTATCCCATCGATATATCCACCATTCCAATTTGGGCTTTCACCGGAATGAATCCCCGGACGAGGGAATGTTCCACGGCCTCTTCCGGAGGCGGAGTGATAGCTTGCCCTTGCCGGCCATCACTTCCGAGGAGCATGTGAGCGTGCAGTCTGTCCTTATTTAAGCTTCTAATTAATGAACTGTAGGGCTACGGGCATTCTTCTCGGATCGAAGCCAGCCAGGTGCCAAGGCCGCAGAAGAGCGGCGATGCCCATCAACACGACACAAGTGGTGCCTCTTCCCATGGAGGGCGCATCCCCGAGTCACCCACAAGTTGTGACCAGGGCGAACCAAAGCAGCCCGGGAATATACAGGATTTTCTAGAGTATCGGCTGAGCTTTGCGGACCGACCGCAAGCAGGAAATACTGAATCTTCGGCTCGTCCAGACCATCAACTGCTAACCAAAAATGATGTCAAAGCCATTCTATCAGGCGCACCGCACTTTTTGCTGGAGAAAGGCAAACACGGGCGTTGGTATCCGCAGGTCGTCTTTCCCTGGGATGAGCATAACCCGTCCATCCAGCACCTGTGGGACCGGAAACCATTGCCCCATGCATCATTCACACTGTGCACACTTCATGCACATCTCCCAGTTCCAGACGACTGGGCAGTGAAAGGGGAGTGCCAATTCGGCTGCATGATTGGCGTCGGACCGGTGGTCCTAAAAGAGCGACTTTTGACATTGGAGTCTTCGAGGTCCCAAATATGTTGTCCAATAATGGACAGGAGCCGGGCACAGTGGGATTCCGACATTTTCTCGAGCTTGCGGTCGCGGATCTTGTTCGATATAATGGCCCTCCGGAGCCTAGCCCACCTCCGAGCTTGCGCCGAATCTCCTCGCTTCCAGCAACGGAAGCATTTGAATTGATGGAACACTATAATGATCCTTACTCTCAGTGTCGCAGCGGTGCCGTATTTGACCGACATCGGCTCATCTGTGATGGCCCTCAGGCCTGGAAACGTATAGGAGTTCGAAACATCAACCTCCGGTCTCTGGCCAAACGCCTGAATCATTTGCGGCAAATTCGCCATGACATGCTCCGTGACGGATCCACCGAAACAATATTGGATATCGAGTCCCCACAGGAGCTTCACCAAATCCTCTACACACATTTTTTGCATCCTCCACCACGAGCCATAGAAATGAAGTCGGGTCACCCGCAGAGCCTCAAGTTTCAGATCAAAACATTAACGTTGGTACTGTCCACTCCCGGAGCGTGGGTTGATTTCTCTCTGCCCGAATGGCGCTTCCGAGCCGGCCAAGTGCTCTGGGAACCACCTCCGCATGAGGATGGAGATTGTATTGACCCCAGAATGTGTGCCGACGGATCGTCGCGGGAATCCTGGGTCCACCCTGGCATGGAGAGAAAATGGCTTTTGATACAGTTGCTCTTGGCGGCCGAGCTACTTCTGCGCCTGGATGCATTCGTTCGGGTCGGGATGTTGCACGATCCGCATGGTGTCCAGATCACGGTGCAGGAGCTGCGCAATTTTGATAAACTGCTGGATGGAAAAGTGAATTGGGATCTGATTGTGGTCCGCCGCTTCCTTGATAGTCTCGACATCACGTGTGCCTCGTCGCAATCCGAGTCACCTTCGGATGGCTCTCGGCCACCTGACAAGCCCCATCGCTTTTCTCTGCTCGAAACATTCACCCGCCGTGGCTCATCTGCCTCGCAGGCCGATCTGCGATCCGCCTGGGACTGCAATTTGAGCTCGTCACATGTTCGGCAGCAGCTGGAAGGACTTTATGTTTTTGCGAAGCACATCGCATGGCCGAGAATCGATGCCCTCCAAGCCATCATGCAGTCTAAACTTGGGAGCCGCGAGAATCCTATACTTCCCAGGGTACGCACTGGTGACAGCCCGATACCAGACAAGAGCCCGAAGGATATTTCGGCAATGAGACTGGCCAAGGAAGAAATGTACACCCGCCAACCATCTCGTCGGCACCTCAAGCTCCGTAACCCGCGATCTGAAACCGATGACCAGCATGAGGTTGAAGATTTGGGCTGGATCTCTCGGAGCTGGCTCTCCGGGTTCGTGATACCGGGAGAAAATATCAGCCATCTTCTCATGGCTACCCTCCTCGAGAATGACCCCGATGCGATAAAGCAGCTGGGGCCTACCATTAATCTCTACGGAGGATTTGTGTATAGAGGTCAAAGCTGGTGGAGCAAAGCATGCATTGTCGGACGAGTCTTATCTAGCTCGGAGCGAGCCAAGACATGTATGGGCTGGATCAATAGCGATATAGTTCCCCGCGATGCGACTACACTAGAACCCATGCAGAACGGGTGGTTTGAGGTCCCCGTGGATGAGGTGTTGGGTAGCTCAAGCAAAGCTCGAATCAAGCAGGGCGGCCGGCTGGCAATGGAGTCGACGCCACTGGGGATGGGTGATATCACCGCAGAAGCGTTCACGCTACCCAAGGATGTGGCGAAGACGACGGCCACCGTCTATCTGAAGGCGCTGCACATGTCTGTGACTGGCTACCGAACCCCCAACAGCCAAAACATCATGGTTGCGGACAAGGCATCCATGTCCTTCTCGGTTTCAAGTGCCGGGCTCGCGTCCCCATCTATGATTTCTTTGCCTCTGAAGTATAACGTACGCTTCATCTCCGCACACGAGTGCCGTCCACCGCTGGGATCCCCGTGTTATCAAAATCCTAGCTCGAGCCCTAAAAAGGACCAGTCTACGACATCCAGATTGTACCACTGCAAGCGTCTACCAGGCCACCCTCTACACCGGTCCTTCCCATGTCAAAATGTCCCACTGGCCGCTCTTGCCAACATGTCCGCACCGCCGGGGGTATCAGGTTCAACAATTCCATCCGCCAGGCGAGGAGCCGAGTCGCTCCCTAGCCCGGAGGTTTGGGTCATTGACGCACGGGGAGATCGAACGAAGGAAACATTTGCGCGGGCATGGTGCGCCTCCGTCGGCTGCCATGCTATCATCGGGCGATCTGGGCGGACATGTGTGGCGTGTTGCATTCGTGAGGCGAGGGCCGTCGACGTCCGGGTGGTGGTGCGTGTAGGCGATTAAGCAGATCGAAATAAACACGCTCTAAACAAGATCTCGTGTTCGAGTGTTGCATGCATTATTGGTCTCAGATCTATTTTCGGCGCAGGGATTCCATGAGTTTCAGTTCGTCTTGCATGACGAGCAGTCGCATCAACCGCCGTATCGGGATACAATCATAGCGGGCATGATTAGTAGTGTAACGTCGCACGAACAGTGTTGATGTTGGTTGTGGCCGCCCCTTTTCGCATTGAAATTATGACCGTCGGGCTTTTCTTTCATAATGATTTGTTCGGAGGGTGTAGGGCAAACGAAATAAAAGGGCAGCACAGCCGCAGCGCCCCAAAATTAAGATACTACCTTCCTGTTCTCTCTGCCAACAGAACTAAACGGCCCTCCGACGAAGAGCGAATGATAGGGCGCAACCCCGAGAGAGGAAATTTGCTTGCGAGGACGCGTAAGGCAGGTTGCAAGTTAAAAAAGGATGGCCCATGAACGAGAGCCGAGCCTGGCCGCAAGGAGTCATGGACCCGACGATGGTGAAACCGCTGGGCCCTTCTGTGGCACTGGCGGATGAAAGCCAGTCAGGTCCCTGCATCGGGTGTCCACCTCGGGGCGAAAGCCAAGGCTTACGATCGGAGATTCCGAGACCAACGGTGTGGGCGCATGTACTAACCACATTCGACATGACGCCGATGGAATGGCTGCTTCGCGAGATCTCGTTGTTTTACTTGTTTGCCTTTCGTCATAGGGCTCGTCTGTGCCGGTTCGGGTCAAGCTATAAAGTCGTCTGCTTTGGAGTACATACAGCGTATACTAGCCATCTCCGTCAATTATTATGGAGCCACTGCCAATCCCAAAGAACCCTGCAAGGTCGCTCCATGGCAATGTGTCTCTCTATTGGCTGAAAGAAGCCTTACCTCGAGACGATCTTAACATTTCTACTTGTGGCCACGGAACTGATCCGAATATCCCCTGGTCTCCAGTGATGGCAAAGCCGACGATCGGGGGCCCGTGTTTTAACCCAGTTCCAAGGGCCGAAGGATGCTCAATGGCACTGCTGCTGTTACATACAGCTACTCCTACGGCTAAGAAATTATGAAGGATATTACGGTCGACATCTTTACTTCGGAGGGTCGATGCCCGCCGGGGCTCTGCTCTGTCGGCACTTGAAAGATGTCACTAAACCAGGACAGGTCTAGCTTGCGATGGTTTTCCAGCACGTGTACACCGCCATAGTTATCATCATTATTCGAGAAGGTTTCTCCTCCGGATTATTAGGTTTGTTAACTTAGCTAATTAACCCACAAGCGAGCGCGTCCAGGTCATCCCTGGACCCTACCTCGTTGGACCTGCGAATGGTAGGCTAATAACCTAATAAATGCCCGTTGAGATTTGAGCCAATCGCCCAACCGAGGCCAACAAGTGCCGGGCATGTGGTCGGAGAAGCATTGCTCTTCTGGTACATTATTATTTGGCCCATGCACCCGTTTCATCGCGCTACTGTCAGATCTTACGTCGCGTGCTAAACATTTCGCCGCGTCACACCCGACCCTCGAGCCTGCACGACGCTGAACGGAACCCACACGACGCCCAATAGGACCTCCTCCTCGGATTTGTCTCTCCAAGTCCGCAGCCGCCGATCTTCTACCCAGAGCGTGCTGGATAGGAGGCGGTGGAGCGGGGCCTACGTTGCCTTGACTGTCTGTACTATCGCCGGCGGTCGAGTAAGAGGTCCTAATAGGAATGCATCCTCCCGTGGAAGGTATCGTAAAGAGGCGACTGCAGCCCACGCTACCGGGGACCGATGGGCCCTCATTGGCGCTGACGATGGTCGGACGACTCGAAGATCGCGGCCGCCGCTTGAGTACTTGCAGGTCCGGTGACGAATAGCTATCTAATAATTGACCGTTTCTCTGTTAGCGACGGAGCCAGCGGGAATAGTCGGCGAAGACTACCCCTTTTCTTCGCTGCCGATCGTCGCATGATTGACCCTAGAACCTTCCCTTCTGCTCTAGTTCGAGACTCCAGTCATAGAAGCCTCGCTTGAAGGGGTGGAAAAACCAAAGAAGGGCGATCCTAAGCCTTCCTGAGCGCTTTCCGACGCCAAGGCGATGCTGTAACGCACTACGGGGTCCAGATGATCCTTAATTAAACCTTGACGATACGCCCCACATCGGGCCCCTGTTGTTACAGAATTGCGAATGACAGCCAGATCGCTTCCTGCATGACTGATTGTTGCCCGGCGCTGGCCAATGTCCTTGGGTCAGCCTTCGGACTGACGCCCTACTCGGGTGTAGCTTCAACAAGGATCTCGTTCGAGGATCAGGCTCGCCACGGAGTCCGCGATGTATTCCATGACATACTTCTCGGATTACTCCGGCCAGCGCTCCTCGCACAGGCAGCCACCGCGGAGTAAGTCTAGCAGTGATAGTAGTGTGGAATAATTCAACACACTCTAACCGACAGTCCGTATGATTAATATTGTCTTGGTGATCCGCCCGCTACTGGGGCTCGTCACCCAAGGTACCATCATCGCAGGATCTTGGGATGGAAATTGGATCCGTGACTAAACCAGGCCCGCCGACAAGCCTGATTGGCGTGCAGGGAAATTCCATTGTTTTGGGGAAGTCTTCATAAAAGGCAAAGAATAGAACAAGCGCATCAGTCGATGTCATCGGCTACGAACACGAAGGATTAAGCTATGCCCCGGGAAAGGGCCAAGAACTGGTCGTACGAAATAGGCAAAAAGGGGGCAACCATAATCCAAATCCTAAAAAAATCGCAAGATCCAACAGCCGGACGTTCCATCCTCGGTATAAGGTGTTACGCATCAGCCGTGGACCCTGAATCTGTTTTTAGTACCAATCAACTAGCAGTTCGTTCCTGCTGCCACGGTCTTGTTATTATTATCCGGGCGCTGTTGGCCCTCTAGTTAGCAGTAGCTGACGGCGTGCTCCGGGTGGCCTTTCGATCTGCATGAACCCCAGCTGAGTAGTAGCTCAGCTCGCCTTTTCCAGAAGTCCAGGGATCACCCCTTTGAATGACCAGAGAGAGAAGGTTCTTTGTGAGCAAATGGACCCTAGGAACAACAAGCTTATTGGTCCCAGGTGCCGACCCAGTTGCCGTCGCCAATCAGTTAACCGGTCTGAAAAGGAAGAATTCCCCAGTTCATCAATGATTGACAGGTATCGCGCGCGCTCTAAGCCCAAATTGTTGGCTCTGGAGCGACCACCGCCCAGCATCCACATAACCCCACTGTGTCAGGGCACCCAGACCATGGTTCCTCGCCTGTGCCTCATTATTTGCTATGAACCGGCCTTAGAGGGGGGATCCTACGCAATTAGGGGTGGTCGGTGGTCCCTGCCTGCCGGATTGGGCCAACGCCCACGATGACGAACAAAGTCCGTGACGGTAAAATTAAAAAAAAGCAACCGTGAAAAATGCCTCGCTGCCCGCCTAGCCGTGGTATTTACTGTCTTTTAGCCCTCACTGGGCTCTCTGCCCGGGCACCCCTGAGCGGTCTTGGGCACTACGGGCCCGACGTGGGCTAAAGTTGATACTTACGTTTTAGTGTACACAGTCTGTATGCAGAGCCACAAGTGTCCCATACAAAATAATCTTAAAAAAATTAAAATAATAAAAATCAAATCAAATGAAGACAAGCTGGCAAAATAGGGAAAAAGGAAAAACACAAAACCAGCCCCGAGTCGTTTCACCCCGCGATTAGCTTCTCTCTTTTTGAGACTGTAGCAACATCCTCGATCTGCTCCTCGTCTTTCCCTACCCCATTTTCCCGATTCACTTACTTCATACACTCCTTTGGTTTTTTCTTTTCTTGTCCTACTGCTTTTGACTAATCTATACCTGACCTCACACATTATTACGCTTGGAGACGCTCTCGAACCGGACCACAACCATTTCTAGACCTTAGCCCTGGAAATTTCGTCTCCTACTTTTCTTGATGGTCACTCTACTTTCTATAATTATTCCGGTTCATTATTAATTCGCCTTAAACGCGCCTGGAAACGACCTCAATCCGGACTCTCTCCCCCGCCGGCGCAACCCAATTTATCCTTAACCGTGAACACCTGCCTACATCGTCACGGCCTACATCACCACCGCCACGGCGATATTCCGGTCCCTCTGAAACACGCGCAATATCGGCGGTGATCCAGTGTGGCGCATGTGGAGCTGGGCGTTTGAACAGACTGTGAGATTTTCGACGCAACAGCGTCATAGCCCGTCGAGTCTTCCGCTTTCGCCTGCTGCTTCTTTGCAGTGCCTGCATGGCCTGGCATCGATCGTCCTCACTCTCGCTTCGAATCACATCTGGCGACGGAATTTGCCGCCGTTACACTCGCTCCGCCCCTTCTGCCGCGCAAGGCCTATTGATGCGCGCTCGGCCGGTGCGGTGATAGAATCTCGCTCGGGGGAGCTATGCCCGCGGCTGTCGACGAGATGGCATCAACACCGGCTTCACAAGGCGCACTAGACGCATCCAGTGACAAGAAGCGCAATAAGTTAGGGTATCATCGAACATCCGTCGCATGTGGTCAGTAACCGTCGCACACACCTTTGCTATCTTTTTGTTATTTCTTTTACCTTCTTCCCCATTCGCTTGTCGCCTTTGCGACCCCAATTTATGCGAAATGATACCTTCCTCCGCGGGGTAGTGGCAACCAGATCGTGGATGGTTTTGCTCATACATCATATACAGTACATTGCCGACGACGGAAGATTCGATGCCTAGTGGCGGCGGATGACACGCAGGGACGGTGCGAGAACTGTATCCGCTTGCGCAAGGAATGCCAATTTTTCCCAGTCGATCAGCAGCCTCCAGTGGAGAAGAAGTCGAGGCCCAGCTCCAGGATCGAGACGCCCACGACGGACCGTCCTGTCACGACCCCCATTGCCTCCTCCCCGACGACGAACCTGGGTCCCGACTCTGTTGAGACCTTCTATCCATATCAACCCATACCGTTGAATACGTCAGGCCAGGACATGACGTCTTTCAGCGTGGACTCATTTTCCGGCAATCCAATGCCGGGCTTCGCAGCAGGTATGTTAGCATCTTTTCTGACTTCGTGCTGGACACTGTAAGGGTCGCGCAAAGAAATGAGTATGTATTGACTGGTGCTTTGCCCTTTCAGACCGAGCGATGGGACCGGGAAACTTCCCAGGCCATCCGTCAATGGACCCTGGAGTTCCCTGGGACGAATTCACCACTATGTCCGACCCCACCATGATCGCCCAGATGCCGACTGGAAAGGGCCAGATGATGAATATGGCGCCCAATGCTTGGAATCCCGGGACTATCCCTTCTGGATTGCCATCTGCTCCGCCCATGACCGGGCAGACACAGCAGATGAACACACACCCGACATTTACCTTGCAGCCGGACGGCTCGATGTGGCCAATGCCCTCCGGACCGTCAAGAGCAATGAGCTATCCTGGACAGGAGATCGGATCTTCTTATCCAAACCAATTTCCACCCCAGATGCCTCCGGATCTCAAACGACGGATGACAACACCCGCACAATCTGTTCCCACTGCCGCCGGGTCACACGGCTCTCAGGGCCCAAGTCCGGCTATGCAAGCACCGCCGGGGCCAATGTCGTACCCCGGTCAACCAGGCATGGGGTATGCATCCTGGCAGGACATGAACGCTTTGCCTGGGGTGGGTGTGGTACCATATCCCATGTACACCGGTGATGCCATCCAACAACCTCCTTTCACAACCAGCCCTCCCCCAATGGGGCATCCAGGTGCGCCGGGAAGATCATCGGGGTCATGAACCAAAAAAACCCCCCCATATTTCCGGCGTGCTTGATTCGATCATATTCCTATGATTTGGGTTTCATCACGTTGCACGTAACATTTCTAGAACGGCTTGTTTCATTTTTAATACCCCGGGGATACATTGTTTTCTGGCATTTCAACTTACTGCGTTTTCGCCTCTAACTTCACATACACCGTGGCAGGTCTGCTTTGCAGCTGGTCATTAGCGGGCGCATCAAAGGGGTCTTTCTATTCGGGTGGCATTGTTTCCGTTTTCCTTTCCTCCTGGCTCGGCCGAACGTTTTTACTTCTCGATTGGACCTCTCCTATTGGAGACTATTTACCTTTGGTTTCTTTTCTTTTTTTTCTCTGTCATTTTTCAACCCATTTATGCGACCCTCTTGAGCCTTGATTGTGGCCAATGGTTCTGTGACCTGGGAACTTTCTTTTCGACCCATGCATGCTGGATGTCCTCATTTTTCGGGCAAAATCATATAGACTTCTCTTTCCCTTCTTTATGTCTTCCTGCTTTATTTTTCTACTTTTTTCTCCTCTTGCCTCTCTTTTATGTTCTTATTTGGCATGCATTGCCATCTTCTTTTCTCGTCTTACTGTTTGGGACTCTAGTGAGGATTGAGGTACCTCTTGCCGACACATGGAACGAGACACCACATCGATATTTTTTTTTTTTCAACAAGGGCCATTGAGATCGGCTTTGCAGAATTGCATTCACTGTATATATTGATCATCACAGCGGGAATTGAATGACCGCTGCTCTTCACTTCAATAGCCACCTTTGCTTTTACTGGCTGTTTTCTTTCGGTTAACTCTTAACTCCTGAAGGATCTCTGATATCTCTGCTTGTCTGTGAACGGCGTTGTGTCTACCCTATCTTTTGTGAACAGGCCAATCAAATGGTTGAATGCCACATCTACGGCCCAGCACCTTCGTTGATAGGGAACCCACAGTAAGGATGATGTCAGAAATTGGGTTGGAAAGATAAGCACGCGGCTTGCTGTCTCCGCGGAAATGCAGGGCTTATTCGAGCGGTGCTATCCCATTGGTAAAATTATATCAAGACTCAAGATTAGGGCTCTTATTGTCGTCAACCCCGGTCTGCGCTCCATCGGATGCAGATCGGGCGAGATACGCGTGGAAAGAGATCAGCGAAAACAACAATGGATTGCTTCTGTGGTCTGGATCTTAATTATCTGGCATATCCAGGAGATAAGGGCGGCCTTGGGGGCCTGGTGGTTTGTCTTGATACGTCTGGGGACGTCATGTACCCGCCTCTAGGGAGATCTCCAGGAGCATCCACCGGGGAGTCGATCACTTCCGGGGGGAAACCTGGAGATAGCAGGGTCGTAGGCTGTGTGGCTATCAAGACCAGTCTTTCACCAAGAGATAACTATTCGCCTTCTGATATGGCCTGAACGATCACGAAAGGCTCTTATCTAGCCTCCCCGAGGCTTAGACGGATCTGCAGACTTATCTGCCCCTGGTTCTGGCCATTGCGAAAGCGACGAGTGTCAAAGCTTATCGAGACGGTGCTGAGTGATAACCACACGCTCGGCGGCCCATTGAATTTCGGAAGCTTAGGTATATATAGGGGCTCCGACCCGGCCGTTTGGGGGAAGACCTCTCCCTTGGTATCATTGTTTTGAAGTCTGGCCCTGAGGGCCTTCTTCTTTTGTGTCATTGTTGGCTCGTGGCGAGCGTAACTCAGGGGAGTCAAGCGTCTGGCGGACCTGCTAGGATGTTCCATATGCGCAGCATTGTCGGTATCTTGTCTCCACGCCCTCCCCCCGGGGCGCTCCTCTTCATAAAGGGTGCGTTTTTATCACCTCTTCTGCCAGTGTCGCCTCAGCGGCGATTTCACTGTAACCGCAGAAGCCGCACGAAAAGAGCATCCCACAGTTGTGTGCAGGACTAGGAAGGAACTAATTAGGGCTCACCACCAACAAAAGTACATCCGGGCCTCTCGCCGGCGCCTCAGCCTGCAGACCGCCACGGGCCCACTGTTCTTATGTCCGAGACACGATGGACTGCCTCGGGTTGATTCGGACCGTATTTGTGACCCTCTGGTCCATCAATGTTCCCTTGTGTGATTCGTCGTTATTCGAATTGCTGAGGCGATAAGACCGACGTATCGCCGGCGACGAGATCCACCATGACTACGGCGAATGACCATGTTATCAGCTTATCAGGTTGTCTATCTTGGGTTTTCCCCCGTTGTGGGCCAACGTATCTCTCGTGGGGCCAAAAATAATCGTCCTAGGAACCTTCCCCTGGTGCTGATCCGCGCCGATGATGGCATAATGGATTATACCCATCCTTCCCCTCGCGTGCCTGGTCCCCACTACTGCGCTTGGGGTTGCTGGATGGACGGCGGAGCAGCATCGACCGAGATCTGACATCAGAGGGAACGCGGCTGCTGGGGATCGACCCTCAACTAGCGGCGCTGAGAGGACCGGAGTTTGATACCGAAGGTTGTGGCGAGCCAATACTCTGATCGATTCAACTGCTTCAATTTAACCGGCTGTAACGACTGCTATCCCCGCAACCAGATGGATGGTACGGGCGTGACACCAGGCTTCGTATTGGTGTACGAAGACGCCGCAGTACCGGATCGGGTAATGTAGGGATCAGTGCCGTGGCTTACTTCGAACGTTATCTTTTCTCTCTCGGCATCCGCCCGGGGTTCTGGCCAGCTCGTGGGCAACTAACTAAGGAAACAGCTGAGTAATTGAATCTTCACATTTTTGGTTCTTCTCGTGTATTACTAGATAAAGATTTCTCTGTGCCCGTCTGTTGCAAGATGTATACTATTATTGTAGGGAGTCGTATATGTTCCGGGATTGTTCAACTGCCGAACTGGTCCATAGACTGTCGTAGCCCAAGGGTCATGTTGCAGCCCTGGTACGTACCTGCGCCTGGTCTCGGCCTGCAGAGCTGGACCGTCATCGGGCCGAGCATCAAGACCACCATCCCGGGAGTCTTATTCGAGGAAGTGGGATCGCAAGGCGTGTCGTTAGCTAGTGATCTTGGTCGGGCCATCAATGTATGCCATAGTATACCGTAGTGGTGGTTCAGCATGAACCGGGGTACCGGTATTACCCGTACAGTGTCCTCCAGCGACTCGAACTTCACTTATACAACACACGCTGAGGGGTGGAATTCTTTTTGCTCATCTTCTGCTGCTGCTGCTCTCTCTCTCCCTCCCTTCCTCTTCTCTTTCTCCCATCTCCGTCCATCCGACCTTCTGTCTTGTCTCCCCCGGCCAGCATTGGCCGCATCCGTCCCTTCCCGCCCACCTCGCTCGATTTGCCTTCTCCCCAGCATCCTTCTACCCTCGTTTATTTTCCCATCTCCAATCTCACCCGATCGGGGCATGAACATCAGGAGGGTCTAGCCCCAACCCTCCACGACGCCCCAAAAGCAAGAACTCATCCAGCGACATCAAGGCCAGGTGGTGGCCTGGGATCTTTGGTGAGTTTCCCTTTCCAACATGTGATGACGAGCCGTCCGCTTTTTTTCCCCATCTTCTTTTTCTTTCTCTTCCCTTTTGTCGTCAAGTCTCGCTCGTCCATACAAAACTAGACTAACCCGGTCACGGCGGCAGACCCCGGTCGCTGGCTGCTGCACCAGGCTGCCAATCGCCTCTTTTCGGCCAAGGGTTTCTCGTTTACGGCGGGAACGGGGGAATTTCCATCCTGACCTTGCATTTTTCGGGCCTGGCTTCCCACCCCCACACTAACGATCACCGCTTCTCATCCTCTTTTATCTTCCCTCTCGTCTTGTCACCTTCTCTCCCTCCTCTGGCCTGCGACCGAGGGGATCATGCAGGGCTTCAACCAGAGAGGTCCAGGCCCCGGCCGACCGCACCAGCCCGCCAGGATGGCGTTCCCCGGCTTCGAGGCGGGTTCTCAGTTGACGACCGATTTCGCCACCGATTCCCCCTTCATCCCGGCCCCGCCTTCTCACCTCCCCGACGGCTTGCTGAACGACTCTATCTTTCCTGAGTGGGAGACCGGCGCCTCGCGGGGTCAGCTCGATAACCCCGATGAGATGCAGCGACAGGATCCACTGGCCGCCCAGATCTGGCGGCTCTACACCAAAACCAAGTCCCAGTTGCCGAACCAGGAGCGCATGGAGAATCTCACGTGGCGGATGATGGCCATGAGTTTGAAACGCAAGGAACGGGAGCAACAGGCTCGGTAGGTGCCCGTCCCACCCGCCAGTGACAGAGAGAAAGCTGATGTCGCTATGTGCCGGCAGCTCGTCGCAGGCTCAGCTCAATAGTATCACCAGTCCTACCCCGAGCGGCATGTCGCAGCTGCACCTGTCCGACCCCGTCTCGACCAGTCCCGCCTATCCAGCATCGTCGACCCTCGATGCCACCTCGGACCCGATGAATTTGGATGACTTCATCGTGCCCTTCGACTCTCCCGCCGATCCCCCTCTCCACCCACCGACCGACCGCAACTTCACTGCAACCCCGACGGCATCAATCCCCATCAAAGTACGCAGAGACCATCCGATGGTCGATTCCACCGCCGCCTCGTTCCCTAACCCACCTCAAGATCAGCGCAAGAACAGTGAGTTTGGCTATGTGCCTCGTCGGGTGCGGAAGACGAGCGTGGACGAGCGTCAGTTCTTCGCCGGACTGGCCGTGCCAACTCGCAAGCGCCCCGCCGAATCGTCGCCGCAGGTTCCGCCCGTGTCGAATGCCATGCTGGCGCAGCATTCCGAGCTGTCCGCGGGACTGCCTGATTACTCGCTCGACCACCCTTCTTCCAGCTTTGCTTTGCCTGGCAAACCCGCAATGGGTGGCCTGCGACGCCCGCAGCACCATGGCCTTTCATTCGGCCTGGACACCTTTGGGCTGGGAGAGGACTCGAACATCCACTCGGCCGGTCCCTACCAGCAGCATTTCACCTTCTCACCCTCGGATTCTCCGATGACGGCTGGCAATTCGTTTTCCAACGTTTACGCTCAAACCCCTCTAGCCTCGTCTCTCAATTCCACTGAGTTCTTCTCCCCGCCACCGTCGGGCTACCAGTCTGCCGTCTCGACCCCGCAGCCCATCTATGAAGGTGAACAGTCAATGTTCTTCACCGATGCACCCTCGGTGGAGTCCCAGACGCAGCGTCGCGTCCCAAACTACATTACTCAGCGATCCTCGAACCTGTCCGCATCACTGCAACCGCGCTACATGTTCAACCCCGCCAATGGCGATTCGCAGTCGGTGGGTGCTGTTAGCGGTCCCCCGACCACGACGCACATGGGATTTTCGGCTCCTCCGCAGCACATCGACCCGTCTCAGATGTTGGGGACTGGAGAATTCTCTACGACCGCACCGTCAGGAAGCATGTTCACTTTTGGTGATGACTCCGATAACGAGGATGATGACGTCAATGCGTTTAGTGAGCGCGCTGGCATTGCGATGCCCCACGATTTTGCGTCGATGGATGAGCATGTCAGTGAATTGAGTGCAGGGCTGCAGTGGGATGGAGGCTTCCCGGGGTCTGTTCAGTCGATGCCGGGATTTCCGGCCCAGCACCGGAAGCATGTCACGATCGGGTCGACCGATATGATGGATGCTCCGCCCGAGTGGCATCAGAGTGGTAGCCTCGGACGTACGCATGGGTCTGCTGCTTCTGTGAGCGAGGTTCGCAACCGAGAGCAGGATCCCCGTCGCCAAAAGATTGCACGCACTACGTCTACCCCGAATGCCCAGCAGCTGCTGCGCCAGAGCATGAACAATGGTCCCACCAGCGGCCCCCCGACAAACCACCCATCTCCCAATACTCCCCCCGAGTCGGGTCTCAGTAGTGCTGTTCCATCGCGCCCAGCCAGTCCCGGTGGTTCCAAAAATGGCGATGCCAATGCTGGGCCGACTACCTGCACCAATTGCTTCACCCAGACTACTCCTCTCTGGCGCCGGAACCCCGAAGGCCAACCGCTGTGCAATGCCTGTGGTTTGTTCTTGAAGCTGCACGGCGTGGTGCGGCCGTTGTCATTGAAGACGGACGTCATCAAGAAACGAAACCGGAACAGCGCAAACACCGTTGCCGTTGGAAGTTCGCGGTCTTCCAAGAAGTCTGCTCGCAAGAACTCTGCTGCGCAACCTTCTTCAACCGTGTCTAGCTCGCGGGCTCCCAGTGGCAACAACTCAGAGTCACCCCCTGCCTTTGCCGGCTCGGGCATGATGGGAAAACCCGGCGTGGTACCCATTGCGGCCGCGCCCCCCAAGTCGACACCAATGTCCGGGTTGGGCCAAGCCCGCAGCGCGGCACAGGCGGCTCTGAAGCGGCCGCGACGCCTCGAGAAGGCCCCGGGAATGGAACAGGATTCGGACGACAGCCCCAAGGCCAGTGCGCCCGCAAGCCGCTCCAAGGTCGTCCCGCTGGCGCCCGCGATGGCACCCGCGCTGGCGCCCGCTGCGGCGAACCCTGCCAACCATAGTATTGCTGGCGGACAAGGAGCCAGTCAGGAGTGGGAATGGCTGACGATGAGTCTCTAGCTGAGGCATGGCATCGTTCTTTTCGTTTCTCTATGGACTCTTGTGACGCGGGCTACTAACCACTCTAATAATTTTCGCTAATGCTCCGCCGGTGGATCTGCGTGGTATGCTCTCGAACTTTACAGTTTCGTTCGTCCCTTGCCTTTTTGTGTGTCTATCTTGTGTCCCTATCTGTTTTCTATGTGCTTTATGATTTGATTTGCTTTGATACAACCGCGTCTGTCCGGTCTCCCGAGCTGTTTTCCTGTTTTGTTTCTTGTGTCATGTTGACCAGCTCGGGGCCGGGCAGAAGTGCGCATCTCTGTTTTGATTTTTGTGGATTTCTCTGTTGCAGCTGCTGGGCAGACTTCGACTTGATGGGCCCAGTCCCCATGCACGCGTGATTACCTATTAGACCTGAATTTGATAACGATGATGACCTATCTGACCCTAACCCTATATCCAAGCCCTAATCAAGAGTGGCTATTTTGCATGTCTTACATGCCCGGTTGACATCACCCTGAGAAAACTTGGTGACATCAGTCGCCCCATGGGCGAGCCATCCGCTAGAACAGGACAGACATCATATTGACGAATTCCTGAGGTGCTCTGTCTTTCAGTTTCTCCTCTTTTGTCTTTTTCGAATGATGTTTCTCACTTCCTACAATATATGTGTTCGAGATAAGCAGCTGTGCGTATCTCTGGAGATTCCCGAGCGATTGAACTATATTGTATTCACCCGTAATCCTCAGTACTACCGCGATGTCTGGAATGGCTGTATGATTACTCTCTTCTATTCTAATACCTGTGGCGCTGATCTTAGTTACAGGGAGACACCACAAATACGGATGGTGAGTGATATACTCACCCCCGGGTCCTGTGCTTCTCACTCACAAATAATGGAAGGAACCGATGAATTCAAGCCCAATGTGCGCGGGCCAGATACTTATGCCGGCCGCGCTCGCGAATCAGCCAGCAAGGTGCGCGAAAAGATTGCCAACCGCTTCCAACCGGGTGCGTATCCCAGCAGCCACAGTGCCATCGCGAATCACTTAGTTCTGATTTTTCTTTTCTTCATTTATTGCAGGCGGCACTAAAGCCACTTCTCGTCGGCTGTCCGATACACCTTCCAATATGCGTGAACAATTTCGGGAGTTCAGTCCCAAGGAATCGGCCAAGGAGTCGGCAGAGAAGAGTAAGTCGGTACTGCAAAATGCACAGGAGACGGTTGCCAAGGCGCTGGGAGGTGGTTCGCGTGGTGAGTCGCTTTCTTTTGATCATGTCTGATCGTTCTAATCCTCCGATCACAGGGGCGAGCTGAATTGGTACACAGGGAGATTTGGAAGGCTTGATCAAGTAGTTGTTTATAGAAAGAATCGAAATTGATTTGACAGTCACACTTGCGAATGCATTCTTGTAATACTTATGAAAGATCTTTTTCATCTTTGTTTCATTTTCCGCCTCGGTCTTCACCCTGCCGGATAAGGTGCATGTCTATAGTTGTGTGATCCAACGTGCTCGGCAAGCCCCTGCATGAGCCACATTTTATAGCACCACGAAGATAGCCCGAGGGTGTGCGAGTCGAGCATGCTTGGCCCTTTGGGAGCAATAATATAATCCGAGACCACTAAGGATAGGATAAGGATACGGTGAAGGATGAGCGTCCTGAAGTCCCGCGGAATGTTAAAGCACTGATCGCTTCGTGGCTTATTTTGGTGGATGCAGACATCTCTTGCTTAGCACTTTTGCGTAATTGTGTAACCCTAACATGGTTTAGTCTCGTCTATGAATTAGTTCAGCTTAGCTCTACCTTTGTAGGGTTTAGAGTACACAGCTCTGAAATATTTCCTGTTTGGGCATATTGATGCCTGGGGAATCAATTGATACGATCACGTGGGATAGCAGCAAAAAAAAGTATCGACCTCCCTCTTCAACTTGCCATTGACACCACCGCCAGGATGGGGAATAGTGCCAAGCGCAAGAAGGAGAAGCAGAAGGACTTCCAGGTGAGGGTTTGTGCGTTATCGACACTGCAATGTCACTGACATCCCCAGAAACCCAAACTTAGGGTCGGCAAGGCCAAGGCCAAGCCCGACAACTTCACCGACACCAGCTTTCGATCCAAGGGTATGTGCGCTTTGCTAGCATCTTGGAATTTCAGGCTGACTCTATATGCCATAGCGATCGTTCTCACACAGCAATCTCTCCATCTCTCGGCTCCCTCTTTGAACAGCCAGTTTTCCCATCACCTGTCATTGCTCTCGTCCAAGTCAGACAGCCAACGGCGCGATTCACTTGCCCACCTGACGACCTCGATCGCCTCCCGTCCCGTAAACTCACCTCTACCACAACCTGTCAGCGTCATCCTTCCGTCTTTGCTCCCACTCATCCTGGACGCGAGTAACAACGTTCGCACACAACTGCTCAAGCTCCTGCGCACGCTCCCGCGCAACGACGTGGAGGATCATGTCTCGCAGCTCCTTCCCTATGTCCGGGCAGGAATGACCCACCTGGCAGCTGACATCCGGGTTTCCGCTGTGGAAGTGCTGTCCTGGATGGTGGAGGCGGCCGGAGAGCAAGTGGTATCCTCCGCGGGCGGGTGGATCAAGACGCTGAACTGCTTTTTCTCTGTCCTGGGCTGGCACACGGAGGAGTCGGCAAGATGGTCGTCAAATCGCGCTTCTTTTGGCAAGTCTGGGAGTCAAGGCAGACCTATGGTCAAAGTGCTGGGGGCGCTGGCGGAGTTTTTGAACGCTGGAGTCGGACAACCAACAACAGCCGGGGATGACCCGCTTGACCCGGATGAAGATTCGGCGGATTGGCCGTTCCCCCTCTGCCAGACATCTCAACACATGATTTCCCAGTCCTCTGCCGCGTACGCATATCTGAATCTGTTTGGACAACCCCGTGACGAGGAAGGCGAGATGTACGAAACCCGTGAGGATCGGTATCGGGTGTTTACAAGCAGGTTTTTACCAGCGATTGAGCGCGGGCTGAAGAGTGCGCGTGAAGAAGGCGGAGAGTTGGGCCGTGCTTCCTCCGGCGTGAGCAAAGTGGTCAAAGAAGCCGTTTCTTATGGATTGGGTCCATGAATAGACCTGGTCTCATTTGCAACAGTCCCGTTGGACGTTGCAGTCCCTATAAACACCATGGATAAACCACCACAGACAACCCCGATGAATACATAAGCACTTCAGGAAGTGCACGGGCATCTCGCGGTGACCGCGTGCCTGTTTGACTTGTCTCAGGCAATCCGCCCGGTCAGGGCTGTGTGGTCGCGAATTTGCGGGCATTACAGTCAAGGATTGATTAGCCTGTGCTGTTCCACTGAGTTCGACCTCACGTGGTTACAGACGGAAGCACCTTCTTGCTGGCTGGAAATGCTTCGGTGGAACTATACACAACTATAGATAGGCATACATTGCCCATAAATACAAGCTTTAAACGACCTTTTCTGCAGATGACTGTGATCCAACCCTTACATTCTTCTCACCATCAGCTGGTGCCACTTTGACACTTGGCTGGTCATCCGCATCAAGGCCTTCTACCACGGCACCAGTTGCGTCATAAATCTCATCGGGCAGGACAGCGTGCTCGATCTGGGTCTCTTGCGCTGGAAACCACCACGACAAACACAGATAGGTACCGGCGGTCCCAACGAAGCTTAATATCCATCCAAACTGATAGGGATGGATCCCTGACCCGACATCGATCTCTGGATTGACGGCATTGATGAGACCGGGAAGGTTGGGCGCGACACCGACGAGGAAAGCAATCATTGCACGCCAGTTCACACCAGCTGTCCACCCGGCGGAACCAGCGTAGCGATATGTCGAGTTCCAGGGCTGGTATAGAGCAAGCACATCGTAGCGCCGATGGTTGATGACCCAGAAATCAAACAGCATAATCGCAGCAACGGGACCCAGAAATATGGCGTACGCAGACATGAAGGTGAGGAAGTTGCCTGCAGACTCGAGAATCTTCCAGGGGACCAGACACCATGACAGAAGTGCACACAGGATCTGGCCGCGACGAATGTTTAGAAACTGTGGTGCTAACGCGGTAAAGTCGTTGGCAGCTGAGATAGAATTGGCTGAAATATTGACGCCCAACGATGCTAACACAAATGAGAAGGCGCCGAAGAAGCGGCCTGCTCGGCTGGGCCAGTAGCTGATCAGCACCATTGGGTCCCAGGGAATGGAGGATAGACGGTAGTGGGCCTGGCCAGCAGACGAGGCTGCGATTCCAATGAAGGAGATGAAGGTGAAGATAATGGGCAGCATAGGCACATAGAGGAGTTGCCAGCGAGGATTGACACGCGAGTAGCGCGAGAAATCTGACTGGAAAGACCATATTAGTCAGAGTGTTATAGAGGACTGTGAAGGAGACCAACCTGGTTCACGCTGAGCGTGGCATAGTTGCCCAATACACTGGTCATGTTCGCCAGGAACAGCCAGCTGTACTTCGACCCAGAGACCGAGGCCTTCTGCTGGACAAAGATATTTCCTCCGCCCTTCTCTGCGACAAAGGCCCAAACCAAAATAGCAATCCAGGCAATGGGTACAATTACCGATTTGACAACGAACAGCCAGCGGAGCCGATTCGGATGCATACACAGGAAGGGGACCTGGACGATCCAGAAAATCAGATATCCCACCATCCCACTTGTAGTGATCCCCTGAGACTTCGGGATGCCGTTTGGGAGGGTCAGAAAACTCGGCCAGATGGCACCGAGCATAATGCGAACGGCATTTCCACCATTGACATTTTGGATAGCAAACCAGAATACGGCAAGGATTACCCGCGAGACAATGGCAACATACGAGCCCCAGAACCCCCAGCTCGCGCGGGCAATCACCGGGAATGGAGTGTGGTAGATGGCGCCGATGGCGCCGTTAGCAGCGATCACGAACGACATAATGAAGAAGGACAAGGCGACAATGCCCAGTGCTTCACGGTATGTGAGTCCGACGGCAATAATACTGCTGGCAAACTGCCAGGTTGCTGCGTTGAAGGCATCGGAGATCCAGTATGCTAGTACGTCTCAGCTGTATACTTTCCAATTCCCTCTGGCCCAGCAAAATACCTATCAGACTGGCCGCACCCCATATTCGCCGATGTTTGGGTATCGGATCCAGATCGCGATTGGTCCATCGCGCGTTTCCCTCTGCAAAGGCAGACTGGGGCTGCGAAACGCGCAGCCGGGGTCGAGAAAGGCGCATTCTGAAGTAAACGGGGGAAGAAAACAGGCAGGCCCGGAGCCGCAAAGTACTCACTCGGTGAGGTTTTGTAGGGCTACACAAGGGAGCCGGCGAGTTGTTGAACGGGCTTCCTAGGTGACGCAGTCCGACATTCCAGGGAGGAAAAGACGACGAGACGGAATGAGCCAACACAGTTATCATTGACAATTACTTCGGACCTATCATATATTCCATTATCATTGGGTGATAAGAGATCAGGATGATCAACACGAGATGCTTCATCCCATTGGGCCGATAAGCAGAAAAGGTAAATTACGATGCGTAAATCACAATGCCATTATTGACAGATGCTCTTCTTCTACTACTCCTTCTCTCCCGGCAGACGAACATCCTCCCATCCCCGTCCGTCCCCGATCCCTGGCACGCTGCCGTGGCGCCGGATGCCCTTCCACTCCGTGACATTGAACCACCCGATCTGCTGCACATCGCCAAATCCGCCAATCCAATAAGCCTGCATCACCACGAGTCGAGCCCAGAAACTCGCATGGGGCGACCCAGGCGCACCGGGCAACCAAACCTTCGAGTCCGGATGAGCATCCACGAAGCATTTGTCCAGCGCGGCAGCTGCATCACCGGGAAGCGGGGATGGGAGCTTGTCCAGGTAGCCAAACAACGTCACCCGAGGCAGGGCAGCGAGGCTTGGGGGCAAGCCGGGGTAGACGGGCCCGGCGTCAGACAGGTGGTCCCACCAGTCGAGTTGGAGGCTGAGGTTTGACCCGGCAGCGATATTCCTGAAGGTGCTGCCGATGCGGAGCGCCAGAACGATGGGATCTCCATTATCTCCATGCGAGAGCTCAGTTGGAAGAGCGCCGTCGCAGTCAGCGATATATTCGCGCAGTCCGACGGGGAGCCCTGCGACCGAGGCAGGAGCGTGGTCGGAGGGAGGCAGTGGGTTAGGGAACACGGTCGATATAACACCGGAGGTTGAGAGAGCCAAGAGTCGACGGGCCATCAGGGTAGATGTAAACCATGACGGCCGTGTCAGGATACCTACATCGGCCTCGGAGGAGATCGGGTGGTTTATCTGCTCGAGTGAGGGGTCTGAGGGGCCACCCAGTGAGATCTGGGCGTGCTCGGCGGAGGGAATCACCGAGGCAGCTGTGCTCCAGGGCACAGAAAGTAATGTGGCAAGTGCGGCGAGAAGTGGGGTGCTGTAGACAAAAATCATTCTGTCGATGGGAAGAGAAGAAAGAAAGGAGGACAAGAATGATCATGCGGAGGCATTTGTAGGAGCTTCTTATCTGATCGCGCTAGTCCGAAAATAGAGAGCTAAGTATAGGCCCCCACACTGTCATTCATAGCGAGGCATGATTTAGCAGCCTAGACACATCCCATGTCGATGGCTGACAGGGATTTTTTTGACCAGATCGGACATCGGCGTGACTTGTTGCCCCGTATTGGGCAACTCAGAGCAAATACGATAGGAATATAGTGGATGGATTATTCATCTCAGCGAGTCGGTAGAGAGAAAAATGCATGAACTACAGAATTGTTTTGAAACAACTGGCTTCTACAGTAGCTATTACATCTGTCCATCTATAAGACACGAGTTGCTTGAATGTATTCCCTTCAAGCAATACGTTTGCCATTACGATCAAAGCGCCGTGGCGTTCGGAAGAACCCATCCGGGTTCTCGATTGCACCCTTTTTCCAGTACTCATATTCCATCCAACCATCATCAGGCATCTGCTCTTCCGTTGCTGCGATAAAGTCCCCAAGCGCTGGGTTCAAGGGCACCACACCAGTTTCCAAAACATACTGGTCCCACAGTTTCAAAAGCTCTTTCAGTTTTTCCGGGTGTTTTTCGGAGAGGTCGTGAATTTCGCCTTTATCATGATCAAGATCAAACAGCTCCCACCGATCGTAGCCCTTAGGAGAGGGTCCCGCTTTGGTCGAAGGCATGTAAACTGCTTTCCACTTCCCTTGGCGGACGGCTGAGCGGCCGTTCATCTCCCAGCCTTCCACGAATTGATCTTTGTGAATCGAGCTTGAGTCTCCACGCAACCAAGGGACCATGCTCTTTCCTCTCATGCCAACCACTTCTCTCCCTTTGTAGTTGGGTGCGGGATGTTGAACTCCGGCCATTTCCAAGAATGTGGGAGCAATATCCATCACGGTTGAGAATTGGTGTGTGATCCCATTTGCCGGAATAGGACACTTGTACGCCGTGGGAAATTTAGCCACGAGAGGTACGCGGATTCCGCCTTCCGTGGTAAACGATTTATATAACCTGGACGGAGCGGTAGAGGCTTGGGCCCAGCGCGGACCGTACCTTGAGCAAAGTTAGCAAAGTTGTCGCCACAATATTGGGTTGGGGACTTACCAGACGAACGAGTTATAGTTACCGACATTGTCTAAACTGTTGTCATAGTACCGTTGAAGGTATTGCATTGGCCCTCCTTGAAAAGCCGGGTTGGCTTCATGGGCACCTCCTTCCGCTCCATTATCGGACAGAAATAGAACAAACGTGTTGTCCAGCTCGTCTATACTCCGCAAGTAATCACAGACACGACCCACATTATAGTCAATGCATTCGACCATGCCTGCATAGACTTCCATGGCGCGAGCTGACTTTTGTCGATGTTCTGATGATAGTTTTTCCCACTCTGGAACTTCAGGAGCTTCGACAGGGTGTGGCTCAACATCTTTCTCAACCAGCCCCAGCTCCTTGAGCTTGGCCAATCGACGAAGTCGCAGGGCGTCTGGTCCATCATCATACATCCCACGATAATGCTGGATAAATTCCTGCGGAGCTTGCAGTGGCCAGTGTGGTGCGGAGAAAGGGAAATAAGCAAAAAATGGCTTTTCAGTACTCCCTTCGGTGTTGGTTTGGTTCCAGTCCTTCAGATAGCCTAGCAAGATGTCCGCATAGCTATTCGAGGAATACCAGTCTTTGGGAAGCTCCGATTCAGGTACATATTTTCCATCCTCCATGTGGAGAGAATACGTCAGACTAAATGGTTTTGGAGCCTCATTTTCTTCGAACTGAGGCTCCCATCCAAAATGATTGGAAGCCCCAGGAAGAAGGGCGAATGATCTCTCAAACCCCTTTGCACACGGAGACTTGTCCTTGACTAGACCAAGGTGCCACTTCCCAGAGCATAGGGTCAAATATCCAGCATCCTGAAGAATCTGGGGCAAGGTAACCACTTTCTCATTCAAATAGCCCTCATAGCCTGGTTTACCTCTGGCCGGAGCCTGGCTCTCTTTAATTCCTTTCGGGTTCTCTCCTGCAGGCGTAGCTAGCCACTCGACCAGGGAGCCCAATCCCGCAATATGGTTGTCAGTCCCTGTGAGGATCTGCAAAGGAGTGAGTCGAGGGTGCTCAGGCTACAAAATGGAATTGACAAACCATTGAACGTGATGGGCTACATAGCGCTGTTGCATGAAAATCTGTATTGAATTAGCTAAATGATAAAAATTGCTGAAATATTTTGTACCTGTAAACCGCACACCGTCTTGTGCCAGGTTGTCGATGTTTGGGGTTTTTATTTCGCTACCATAGCATCCCACATCCGAAAACCCCAAGTCGTCGGCAAGGATGATGAGAAAGTTGGGACGCTTGGACATGTTGATAAAAGTACGGGAGCTGCAATATTGTCTCCAATAATTTTCTACGGTAAAATTATCCAAGTTCTCGAAGACGAATCTGCAAATGCTTTATGTCGAGGCGCATCGCGGTGGTCGGCTCCTCTGGAGCTTTGACCCGCGACCTCCGCGAGCGGCGCAGATTACGGCGGAAAGCGTCCAGTCAATTCCATACCCCGCAAACTCTTTCACCAATAGCTAGCCGGCAACCCGTTTATTGCGCTAGAACGAGAGAATGTGGCAGAGAACCGTCATCGAGAAACCCCTTTATTGGTCGTGTCTTTAGGAGTTGATGTTTTCTGAGTGGATGAGCAAGCCAGCAGGACAGCAATTTTCTTTGGTTGGAGTGAGCCAGGATTGCTCAAAAACAGCGGTTTGCTAATAATGTTTTAGCTGCCACGTGTAGCTCGTCATTTCAGTCTAAAATGATGCTCAGCAAAAGTCTAGGGCCCCGGACCTGTATTTAAACACGGTCATGTCAAAAGCTTCAAATCATTATAGCACTTCGTTCTCAACAGAGCTACCCTTTGCTTCAGCGCCGCCATCATGACGGGCACAATTACTCTAGATACGTTGAGACCCAGCTATTATACCAAATACTTCACAAGGAATCTGGCTCTTGCATGCGGCTTGGTTGCTATATCCACGTTCAACTATGGTCCGTCTATTCTTCATCTACCTGGATTATGACTAACTTACTGATGCAATCTTGCATGCAGCGTTCGACCAGCAGGGCTTTAACTCAACCCAGGCGATGGATGCCTTTGATAAAGATTTTGGTGTATGCAATGCTAAGGGTGTATGTGCTCTCGAGCCATACTATCTTTCTCTCTTAAACGGGCTGATTTATATTGGGTTCGCCGCGGGTCAGTACTTATAAGGCAATTTAAGGCACTCACGCACATACTGAGATATTCCAGGTGCTTGGATCGGAAGTTTCATCAGCTCTCTCTATGGACGCCGTATGACAATCTTCTGCATGTCCATCTGGGCTCTGGTTACCGCAACGATCCTCCTCACATCCGGAGTCAGCCACAACAAATGGCAGCTTCTTGCTGGCCGTATCCTGAACTATGTCTACATTGGAATGGAGCTTAGCTCCGTCCCGGTGTATCAATCTGAAGTTGTTCCAGCCCCGATCCGTGGTCTTGCAGTCGGTTCCTACCAGTTATCGTTGGGCATTGGCGGACTCATCGTCAACTCCATTTGCCGAGGGACCAGCGAAATCAACGATGATAGGTCTTGGTATGTCCACGCGGGCTGATTTGTAAAGAAACTTAAATTGATTTGTTTCGGCATCTTTGTATAGGATGATTCCCTATGGGCTTTACTACGTTATTCCAACGTTCGTTGCCAGCTGCATATGGTTTATACCAGAGGTATGATCTTTATGGATTATGTCTGACAGGTTTCTGAGCATTCGTCTGATTCGTTTTGCAGTCTCCACGATGGCTCCTCATGAAGGACAGAGATGATGAAGCCTTGCAGTCTTTGATCACGCTTCGAGGCAGGGGGAATGAAATATCTCCGGAAGAAGAACTTGAATTAATCCGACAATCTTTGCGAGAGGAAGCCGATCAAGGAACATACAGTGATCTATTCAAGGGTTACAATCGCCGTCGAACTCTCATAGTAATCGGCATAGGCTTCTTCTTTCAGGCAACCGGAAATTCATTCAGCGGTCATTATTCGGCAGTTTTTGTCAAATCTCTCGGCACAATTAACCCATTTAATGTGACTGTTGCCCAGACCGCAATCAACACCGTGACCGCACTTGTCGGAATCCTGCTGCTGGATCGCATAGGACGCCGAAAAATCTGGATCGTTGGCTCTTTCTTTATGCTCGTGTTCATGATGGCCACTGGAGGCCTGGGAATTCACACGCCTGTCTCATACTCGGCGAGCGAGGGAATCGTGGCCACGATGCTCCTCTATCAGGCGACATATGCAGCGACTGTCGGACCCCTATATTATACACTTATTACCGAAATTCCGGCGTCTCGTCTTCGAGATAAGACCGTTCGCCTCGGTGCTACTGCCAATATTGTTACGATGTGAGTGAGAAAAAAGGGTTGAGTGAGGAGAGCCGTTGACTGACAAATCTGGGAAGTTTCATCGTATCGTTTACTCTGCCGTACCTCCAGGATGCTCCATATGCTGATCTAGGAAGTCAAGTCGGATTTATGTGAGTTTTATTGACAATTTTCAGATCACAAAGATTGGCCTGCTGATCGCTCAAAAGTTATGGTTCAATGTCTTTCCTTGCCATGGTGTTTGGGTTTATCTTCATTCCTGAACTGAAAAACCGAAGTCTGGAAGAAATTGAGAGAATGTTTGAGACGGGTGTTTCTATCCGCAAATTCGAGGACTACCAAGAGGACCCAGCCAGGGTGCAGAATGTGGCGACCAAGTTCAATGCCTTGGATAGGTCCGAGCCGACTGGAAAAGGTCCTGTTGAGCGAGCAGATGCAGTTTGATGGCAAGCTTATATCGGTTTTTGTTTTTGGAAATATTGGGCGTGAATGCGAGAGTTGGTGGCGCTTAAAACGCACAGTATGTCCCAGAAATGCATCGTCATTAAAATAGTTATATCTCAGCATGGGAAGTTTTCCGAGCCTCTCTGGGAACGTTGTTGGGGCTTGGAAGAGTTAACCTGCGGCGAAGATAGTAGTTTCGTCAGCCGTGTCTGGCCACATTGTTGCTTGTATCTGTGTGTAAACGGTTTACTGATGGTATTTGCCCACATGGTTAGAGGTTGGTTTCGCGAGAAGGTGTAGATGAAGAGAACCGAGCACCTAATTACCTTGATATAAGATAAATATTCCATTGTGAAGTAGGATTTGTCTGAACAAGCTATCATACAAAGTCATTATAGTTGAAATCCAAATCCAGACTCTGGTTGATCCAGCCCAACTGTACCGGACTCATTGAAAAATTGAGCGTCCCATCACCCCAGCCGTACCCCATTTCCTGTGCGCTGGAATTTAACATGTCAAACGGAGGAAATGATACATGAGGTAATGCTGGAGTTGGGTTATTTGGAGGTGCTTCTGCTTTATGAGTTTTGCGAAGGCCACGATCGACGTAGTTGAATACGTCGCTGTCCTCCTCTGCTGGGCTGCGAGCAGTGGGAGCAAATGCGTCTCCTCGGCTAGCCATGTCAATTTGTATCTTGCCAAAGGTGCCAAATGTACGCAGACTTGGCGAAGTTGGTCTACCAGGCTCCTCTGTCTGTTGATTCGGTGTGGAAGTAGAGTTAGTATCAAAACCCCTGTAAAGTCAAGTTAGACCAAGAACAAGCATCACAAAGGTAATACTTACGTGGATAGATTTGTTATATCTATATGGTATCCATTGCGTTTGGCAAGGTTGCAAATCGAGCCAAACTGAGACAAAATGGTCAGGATATCAACGTCCGAATACCATCAAGTGCCAGAACTTACCAACTCGCATATAGGCTTCGATCGCCGACAAACCTCTTTGACACATTGTATCGGGGCATCTAAAACTGAATTGACCTCTTCATTTGTGAGCCCGAGAGCGATACTGTCTTCCGCTCGCCGCTCAATGGCCAGGATCCGAATCGCAAGAGACGCAGACATCGCCACGACTGGATCATGAATTGGGCCGTGAAGGCTCATACTCTCGGATATGACTTTGCAAATTGTAAAGGCATGTCGTAAGCGATTGCGCCGACAGTTAAATAGGAACGACTTGGGTGAATCATTAAGGGGATTAGAGGGACTGTCCACCTGAGCTAGAGCTGTGATATAAGACCCTATTCGATTCAAGTCACACCAGCATCCGTGAAAGAGACAGTGGAGAGTAATAAAGTTGAAGAGCTGGGGTTGACGGCGATACATGACATCGTCGTTGAAATGAAGTTCCATGGGCAAACGTGCTTGCCATTCTTCTAGCTTCTGCTCAAATTTCCAGAAGGGCGAATCGCTGTCCCATGGACGCTGCGATGGTGTGTGGCCCCTATTCCTGGGGTGATAGGGTAGGGTGTAGTTGAGAATTTCCCGTCGCAAAACTGCAAGTTTGACTAGAAAGGCCGATATCCCAGGACGTGTGGAGTGGATAGTGTTGAGATCACTCTCCAGGTAACCCTGCTCGGTGAGTAGCTGGTCCAGTCCGGCCATGTTGGTCTCGAGTGCCAACTGGAACGCATTTTCGTTGCACGGTAGTTTTACCTCGATTGATGACAGGTTGAGTCTACTGAGAGGACTGCGCCCAGATTCGATCATCGACTCCATCACAAGGCAACTCCACATAAGCCGTCGCCGGGTCTCTCGGACAGTTACGGTGGTCCGAGTCTCGTCGGGGATTTCAAGATTGAGCTGTAGGCCTTGTGTGAGGCGGATTGCCAGTCCTGAGAGTATCCAAGCATTCATATGCTCAGCTCGATGCCATTCGTAGCGTTGGAGTAGGAGGAGTGCCTGCAATGTGGTTGTCGATGGTGGGGAGAAAATCTCCAACATGATGAGCCGGCGGCTTTCGTCTGCCCACTTATCCGCACGGCTGTCTTGTGGATCAAGGAAGTGCAGGCTGGTCGCGATGACGATGAGTAGAAGAAAATTCGGGATAGCCCCCCGGTCGAACGCCTGCTGAAAAGTAGGCCGGTGGATGAAGGTGTAGAAGTAGAAAAAATGAGGGCCGTCAAAATACGCGTCGAGAAATTTTCTTAATTCAGCATGGCTGGGAAACTCGGTTTCAGTATCAAGGGCATGTTCTTGACGTCTTGCAAGGCTGCATTCTTCTCCGTTGATTTGGCAGGGGTCGCATGGTGCAGTTGAACAAGTCGACGTGCATCTCATCTAACCTGTTGTCAGATGAACTTCTAGAATAGGATGGATATGAATGATTAACCTTCTTTTGCCTGCATCTTCTACAGGCATTGTTCACGCGTGACCGCTGTAACAGCTCCGATGCGGGATACCACGAGCACTCGATGTTGAGTCGCAAGCAGTTACCACATACATCGGGGCGTTCATCACAGCGCACCTAGAGAAAATAAAAATCAGTACCTAGTGCAGTCAATTATATCAATACATCAAATCTGCATACCTTCCGTCTCCTGCAGGTCGCGCATCCGGATCGGCGATTGGAGGGGCGCTTGGCAGGCCGGTTCGCACTCGTCAGCTGGGGCCCGTGGTCTGGTCCAGCCATAATGAAGGCCCTAGTCAATCCTTGGCTGCTCTTCTGTCGGCCTGAACATGTAGCTATCAGTTTTTGAGCAGGAACGTTGCAATGAACAAAGAGACAAAAGTGAACAATGAACCAAGTGGGGATTCGAGCGGGGCAGGAATCGCGCAACGGCGGCAAATGGTGTGCTCATCCGTTAATGTAGCAGTCCGACTGCTGTCAGCCTGCTCAATCACTTATTTGTTCTTGATAGAGTCTGAGGCCGTGTACGCGATGAAATAAACTCAGGGGCTTTAGTCCAGATATAAGTCTCAATGAATGATCTATTTACAATCCGTAGAATGTAACAAGGACGGCTTCGCTATCCGATACTTCAACCTTCACCTCGCCGCCGGTAACAATATGAGTCTCCTCTGTCGGAATACCAGGCACTAGGTGTCCTTTGCCTTGCCCGATCGAGTAACTCCATTGCTCACCGGCCCAGGTGATGTTCTCCGTCGGGCCTCCATAGTCGAATCCCATGGCCTGAGCACCAGCAGCAGACACAAGGCGCTCCACCTTGTAGGTAAATGTGCCGAAACTGATTGGAATTGAGACATTCTCTGACCCACGATCACTAGTACTCTCTCCTTCCACCCATGTGCGCAGGTTGATCAGCGCGACTTTGGCCAAACGATTGGTAAATCTATCATACATCGCATATGCGGTGAGCACGTCTGACCCCAGGTCCACCTCTGCGACCTTGCCTGGGTTATGTCCAATGAAGTCCGCAATAAACGGCAGAGCGTACCAGACACCACGCACCTGGGGTCCAGGGTTGGTATCTCCGGCAGAGTCGTCTGGCACCCAGTAACTGTGTAGAGCTGCAGGACGGTGCGTGGCATCAATCCGAGAAACGCCCTGCGTCAAGCTGTATAACTGAAAGTCGATGCACCATAAGGCCGCTCCGAATCCGGCCTGAATTTCAACGGAGCTCGCGGTGCCAGAACCGGTTTCACTCAACACAAACTGGACATCAGGGTCGTTGGCCTGTAGATACTCGATTTGAGAAGTAAAAGAACCGACCAATGAGGTAATAGCGCTGTGGTTCATAAGATAGGTCTGCTGTTGCGCCGTAGTTGTATAGTCAGTCCCGAGCTGATAGTAGTGCCAGGCGGCGACTTTGACGTTGTCGGAACTATCGATATTATTCTCGAATGTATCCGCGCTGGAGAAGATTATTAGCATCTTCTGCATACTCAACCCTTGAGAAAAAGGAACATACAGGTCAAAGAGAGGACTTCTTGTTGCAAAATCAAGCACCTCAAATATACGTGACTTGCCCAATCCCAAAGTGTTCGAAACATCACTCATGACTGTCTTTGAATCGTTGACATATTGATCGACAGTATATGTAATGCCGTATTGTGAAGGATAGAGATTAGGCTCGTTCCCAATTGCGATTGCCGCCAAACGGTCTTTGCCGACATTCTTGTATGCCCGAGACACATATGTAAGAGTGTTTGAGATGTTGAGCGTAGGACCCAGTGGAGCTTGGAAAGTCATGTCAAAATCTTGAAAGCTCGAAAATCCATCAAAATAGCTGGGTCCTAGGATGTACGTTGCCGCGGAGCCAATCGGGCAATCGCCGGCAATGCAGACTTTCACCTCATCCTGGCTTGGATCAAAGAGTACACGGTCACCGCTGGTTCCACCGATGCGAATTGTTGGTGCTGTGCCAAGTCGCTCAGCAATAGATTCGAGCAGATTGAGAGTAAATTCATTCGTGTAATCGTTGATAAACGCCGTCTCAAACCCGAAGCCGACAAAATTAGAAGGAGCTTGGACAGCGCCTTCCGGGGCCTCGGATGACAATGGAGCATTCACCGAGGTGGTTGCAGCCAGAAGAGCACTTTGCACGACTCGAGGTTGAAGATGCATCTTTTTTCTTGTATCCAACCCCTACTCTGGTCGTGTAGTTGGAAGTATATATACCTTAACTAGAAAGATGACGTGCGATCTGCATCAAGCCAACTTGAAAGTAATATATATGTGCATCCGCGATGGCCGCGACGTCCGTATCCTTTCAAGGGAGCTAAATGTTTGTAAGATGCAGGGTCAGGCACAAGCGGTTTGTACAGTGATCACCGCTGGCGAAGGGCGGCGAGCCTGCGAGGATTTCAATGAAAGACAAAATCTGACAGATCTCTTCGTCTCCCGGCGCGTTCTTTGCTGAGCGTGGATATCAATAGCGCAAGAAAAGAGGGAAAGAAAGGACCAAAGACCGGCTGATTACCCCTGTCGTCACGCGAAGCGCTGGTGGCGTTGCGTCATTGCGCACTACTGAAATACTAGATGCAGTTAGTTTAATGGGAGTCAATCACACGGATAACTTTGTGTCCAAAAACTAAGTACTAAATCAAATCGAGGCTATGTCAACAAATTTCATGTCTATGTCTATGCGGGGAAAGAGCGGCCTTAAGAATCTGACCGATCATTTGCGCTAAACATCAAGATAATAAATGGCGAGAAGGCCACTTCGATCTCTCAATGGCTTTCGGTGAGCTGTATAGTCTATCAAATAGTTTTGGGAGGGGATTAAGATATGAGTCTCAGCGACGATTTAAGCAACGCACTGCGTGTACACGAGATGCTGCTCACCGAGTTTGAGATAAAATTGATTCAGCATCTCCCCGCTCGCTTCGGGTTCCTACTTAAACCACGAAATCATGAATGAGGCCACTATAGTTGTTGGGTGTGCCTTCCCTTGATCTGCTAGGAGACCTCTCTTCTCCTTTTTCTTCTCCTTCTTCTCCTCCTTCCTCCTGTGCGGCAAACTGGTCATCGCTTGTGAGATTGTCTCTTTGACTCATAGAACCTTGACGAGTGGTACCATCAGCAAACGACTGTCCTGACCAGTTGTTGGTTATTTGTAGGCGAACAACGGCCTTGACGGAATCACCGATGATGCATTTATGCAATTGGGTTCGTTTCTCCCGATCGTAATCCAGGTGATCGAACCGCATACACAGCACACAAGGTCAGTATGATTGGCGTATATACCAGAAAGCAGTGATGAAGACATTGGGTTATTCTAAAAGCTCGCCTCAAGTCAGATGATGACTCCGATAAGGCACCGAGATCGAGCTGACTGAGCGCGTGTCCACATACATGGCCGTTTTCATTTTGATTATGATAGACTATATGAGCATGAGTGATGGTCGCTGGAAGTGTTCGCCTTACATCTGTTAATAAGGGTCAAGTCAACCTTATGTCGAATACAATATGGTATCCTAGCTACGCCTGGGGGTTCCAATAAGGGTTCGGCCTTAGATCTGGTTTCTAGCCTGAGACGTGAATTCTGAGCCCTGTATAACCTGCCAAAAGGATTATTTATCGCTATCACGATACCTCAAGCGAAGGAGACGCCTGTTTGTAATGACCGACTGAGGGTAGATTAGATCGTACCACTCGAGCCAGCAAGTAGAATATGGCCTAGGAACCAGATACCACGAGGTATCAGCTTCAGCTTCTATGGAATTCCATATAGTGTCCCCTAATCTAATGCGGGCCGCTCAATGATTGATCTGCGCTAAGGCTTTGGCGGTGGGTCCAGAAAAGAGTTATCAAGTGTGTATTGGTCAAGCCGCTTTCGAGAATGACTGTAGGTCATTGTTTTCATTTGCCCATTCTATCACTAGCATCCCTCCTGGATAAGACCTCGATATACTTACAGAGCAGGTCCCACTCCCATCTCAAACGCTGCAACACCAACGATCCTTCCCAGAACTGCAAAGCTCTCTTCCGCAACTAAACAGCGGTGCATCTTCCAATCAAGCGAGATGCCAGCGGATTTGATATCAAGCAGGTTTCTCTCGGACGCCGTCCGATGAGAGAAGACAGATTACGACTTGAAAATAAAAAGATACTGGAATTTCAGGATACGGCGGAGCATCGATGGGCCGAAGACCGCTGAGTGTCCGGAAGCATCCCTGCGATGCACTGCTGTGGAGCTGGGGCCGGTGGGTTCACGATTCGATGGGGGGTGGCGAGACCGGTGGCGTGTCTCGTGGCTAGGACATAGTCTAATATCTTCTAGATCTGGTTCACAGGATACTCCGCGCTCTGCTTTGGGCGCCCTTTTCCGGTTTGCCATCGTAGGAGTACTACTGTACCTAGTGACCGTACTCAGTGAGTCAAATGAAGTAAGTGGTCAGTGGAGCTGGATCCACTGGGCCCAGCGCCGCCATTTTGCCGCCCAGCGATGTTGCCTGGCCGATGCACCGCCGAGGACCGGAGGGGTCAGCTGATGGTCCCTAGGGATGAGTCAAAGCAGCTCCCAGAATAGCATGAATGCCCAGGTCGGCTGTGGATCGGAACCGCAGGCATCATGCTCGGCTGTGAGCCACACCACCGCCACGATGGCGTGAGTCACGGCGACTCCCCCAACACGAGGGAGCCGATCAGGTAGACGACGAAACTACGGTGGAACAATTCCGAGTAAAATGGACTGTACGATTGGCTATCCTCCCGCGTTCAAGTCCACGAGGGACACTCCAGATGCTCCGGGCCCCCGAGGGGCTGAAAAGGGAAAACTCATCAGCGCCGGGGACGGGAAACATGTACAGTACACACACCAAGGGAAGCGGACGCCTCCCCAGACACCTCCCAGTAAATCAAACCGACCGATGCCCACCACACTCCATACGCAACCAGAAAACCACACAAAGACAAAAGACACAAAGAAAAAAGGGACGACGAAGGAAGACACCATATTGCAGATCGTACATCAAGTGGTTGGTCCAAACCCACTTGCACGCATGGAGGAAGAGGGGGAGACATGGCGACCGGAAAAGCCGAGGATAGGGTTATATACAGAGCACTTCCGGGGTCGGTCGCCAGGCTAACGTAGAAAGCAGAACGACTGGCTTTTTCGAGACCTCGCAAGAAAAAGTAAACGCAGACCGTAATCAATTCAGAAACTCCGTGCGCATGCTCGGGTTGAGGGCAATCTTGCGAGCCTCGCTGCCGCAGCAGGCGCGTTTCATGCCGGCAGGTCCAGACACCAGCCCCGTCTCTCCAGACGCGGTGGCGCGACGGACCAGGAAGGAGTTGGCCAACTCGCCGTCGGGCAGAACGCTGGGCTCACCGGACGCACCGAGGTTGATGAGGTGGCGAACATGGTTTTGGAGAAGGAGATCATCAGATCCCGTGCGGCCGCGTTTCCGGCACTGGCGTTGGGCCGGGGTGGCCGAACCCGAGAGCTCGCACAGGCTCTGGGCAGCTTCCTGGTCCAGCGAGAAGGTGGATAGATCGGTCGCAGAACCCATCGCGCCGGGATACGCTTCAGGGGAGCTGTAGACCTCCACCAAGGCACTCTCGTCGATGGGGGTAGCGATAGCCAAGGTCTTGCGAGACTCCTTCAAAGAGTTGCTAGTGCAACGTAGAGCCGCCGTGACGGCGAGGCGAGGGGGAGCAGGTCCACCTGCACCGGATGCGTTGGACGAGACGGATGACGAGCGTGAAGAGCGAGACGACAAGGTAGAAACGTCAGACACCATAGAATCCGGCGACGACGCCGAGGAGGTCGAGCGCGCCAGAGATGACCGGCGAACCACCGTCGGATAGCCATCGTAGGAATGAGCCCGCGCGCAAAACGACAGAGGCGGGCGCTGATCGAGAGTCGATCGCGCCATGCACATGTTTTGCGCCTGGGACATCGCTGTACAGATGGAGGGGCGGCGGGGGACACAAGCAGCCCCACTCGCAGCAGGAGTGGAGGCCACATGGGTCTGGGGAGTCATCTGAGGGGTCGGCAGCATCGGCGGCCGCGAAACAGCCGGCATGGGGGGGTTGGAGTACTCCATGCGGGGGGTGGGCTCCAAGGTCCGGGGCAAGCTGCGCAGGCAGGTAGGGGTCGATTCGCGAGAGGACGAACCGACAGAACCGTTGCTCGGAACACTGCGAGGCGATGGCGAATCTGCCAGACCTAGGTCCATGCCACTCATGGCAGCCACCGGGGTCGTCGGCTCAGTGTCAACCGTGTCCAACTCGGGAGTCAGACGCGGTAGAACCGTCCGCCAGCACTGACCGTCGATAGCGGGCGGACCACCGGCACCGGGGGTCAGCTTCAAGACCAAATCCGTCCATCGCTGGAAGGTGGCCTCGGAAATGTGCAGGCGCCAGCCCACCGCTTCGAGGAACATCAGCTCGTTCTGATTGATCTCAAGCGTGTTGAGACCGGAGATTTTGCTCCAGGCGCGGGCAGAGTAGTTACGGTCCTGCAGGTACTTGGACGCAAGGATCAGCGCCGCCAGAAACATCCGGCGGCCACACTGCATGGCCCGCAGCAACGACCGGTCCCGCGGTTGCTCGTGGGTGAAGTCGTGCGAGGGAACATGGGGCTTGATCTTGATTAAATAGTACAAGGCCACCTGCAGGGTGCTGTAGCTAGTGCGCGAGCGACGGAGCGTTTCCTGGATAAAGGTGCGGAGAGGAAGCACGCCTTTGGTGCCGGTCGCGGCATCACTGCGGGATGCCGCAGCGGACAAAGGCCAGACGATCTCTACGATCTGCGACGCGGTGTCTTCAAACAGGGGAGGAGAATATTTAGCTGGGAGCGATGGAACGTAGGACGTTCACACTTACCGACAAGGTTGTCGACAAAGTTCACTTTCCGCTCGGACTGGCGAAGTAAGCAGGGCGGAGCCCGCGCGCTGGAACCGTTGGTCGCGAGGCTGTTGGTGCGCCGAGGATGCTGGCGCATCTCCGGCGGCACCGGACCATCCGCCGCCTTGGGAAGCGTCCCTTTGGCAAGGGCACGGGAACATCCCCCACTCGGGTTCCGTCCGGCCCCCGGATGATCGCCATCATTATTACTATTATTTTCCCAGATCACATCGACCGGGTTAGTGGACGTGGACGAGATTTGTGAGGAGATCGCATCGAGGGAAAAGACGGAGGAGGATGAGGAGGAGGCGGAAGAGGAGATCGAGGAGGCATAGGGATGAGCGTGAGACGCTTTCGATATAGAGCTCGGGTTTGACAAGTTCAAACCCAAGACGTCCATCTCTGTCATATCCGGAGGCGTGGCAGTCGTGCAAGACTGTCAAACGAGACACCGGGGGAGGTTGAGGGAGATGATCCGATTTGGGAAACCGGGGAGATAGTCAGATAAACCGTGAAGCAAGGAACCGGGAACGAAGGCCGAGGAGACAGAAGCCGTCTTTGGTGATAAAGGCGACGGCCGACCTGTTTAATAGTCGAAATGCGCCAAGTTGACACAGGTTGACTCAGACAGAGAAGAAGCAGCGAGATGGTCGAGCAGGTAACAACAAGCACACAACAAAAAGAACCAGAGTCCGGGTCCGATCACCGAGTTGAGTCTGCCGAAGACAGCAGAGGCACGTGGCAGGCCAGTGACTCTTGGATTCCGATGACTGTTGGATGCGATCTTAGACGGCGCCAGCAGTGACGATTCGGAAGTCTTCGGCAGCGGCGATCGGAACGGCAACGGACGCAGGGTACATTTTGACAGCGGTCGGGTGATGGAAAGAGGTTCTGAGGCGGCCCTGAACGGCGAACCCGGAGCAGGCAGATCTTGCGCTGGGTCCAGGCAGGCGTGGGTTCGTGAGGGTCGGGGAAGGATCAGGGGAGGGGAGGACTAGGCAGCGGGCGGCAGTTGGGTGGTGAGGCTGGTGGTGTCGGGCAGGACCAAAGACAAGAGCACCAGAGTCAGAGTCAGGCCGGGAGGAGATGGCACGAGAGATGACTCGTTCGGGTCGGGCAGAGATTTATTATAAGAGGGCGAGATGGCAAAGTGTGGAGGGTGGAGGGCAGAGTGACTAAGAGGCAGAGGCAAAAGGGAGGGTGAGTGCCCGAGAGTGGCGATGGTCTTTTGGGGGGTGGCGGGCCACGCAGGGACCACTCGGGCGATGGGACCGGGAGTGACACAACACACGGATGCGGCGGCCGTGAGTCACTCTCCTGGGAGGGCACGATGAGGATGGACGGGTGGTCTGCTTCTCTCGTCGCGGTGCTCTCTGCGCCTCTCTTCTCTCGGTGATCCTCTTTCGTCCTACGCTGGGACTTTAACTATACAGCATCAGGTGACCCCCGCCGCGAAGTTCCTTCCGAGTTCGTTATTCTTAGTGATGGATTGAGTCACACTTGCCACGCTGGCACTCGGCCAATCCGGCGGGAGCCGATGGGGCATTTGCCCCGGCGCGCATTGGCTGGGCGGGTCGTCACGTGCTGTCACGTGGATGGCGGATGGGGGCCTGAGGCAGACATGGACGGGGAGAACATGCCGTCTGGTAGGAATAACCGGTAGATAGGGGGAGGACTCGACTACGGTAGAAAGAAATGCATAGACCCATAAGAGAGCGAGCGCGAGAGAGAGACATCTATCTATACCGTGGAGAGCACTCTCGACTACGGTAGAAAGAAATGCGTAGACCCCTAAGAAAGCGAGCGCGAGAGAGAGAGATCTATCTATACCGTGGAGAGCACCTCCCGCAGCACCGCGACCACCCCCTGCACCTCCGCCTCTACACCCAGTGAGTACACGGTTGGTATAGAGCTGGGGAGAGAACTCACCACTGTTGTAGTGCACAAAGCTCAACCGCACCACCCCGTCATCCACATCCGCCAGCCCACACACCTCCGCCAGCAGCCGGTGGCTATACATATGCCCACTGCGGAACCCAAACGCCGATCGCGCCTCCACGGCCTCCACCAGCTGCTGGCTGCCGAGGCCGCGCACCGTGAAGCTGATGACGGGCACCCGCAGCGCCTGCGACGGCGACGGCTCCCCAATCACCGTGATGCGCGGGTCGGACGTCAGGAAGGCCAGTAGGATCCCCTGCAAGCGTTCTTCGTGGGCCGCAATCTGCGCCCAGGTCGGCCCAGGCTGGGGGCCGAAGAACGCCACGACATGGGGGATGCTCTGCGTCAGCTCGTAGTTCGCCGACGACAGGTTCAGTTTCTGGTCGAGCGTGTCGGTGGGCTTGAAAAAGTGTGCGAGCGACTGGATCTGCTCGTGGATGCGCGACGAGGCATACAGTTGCGCGAGATGCGGGCCGTAGACTTTATACCACGAGAAGGCCTACCCGATCGATTTAGCAGAGAACAACCCCCAAAGGCAGAAGTATACCCACGTAAAAGTCCGCCCCCAGCGCGCGCACATCCACCTGCCGGTGCGGCGCGAGAGCAACCCCGTCCACACACAGCAGCGCCTGCGGAGTCCGAATCAGCCGGTTGCACAACAGGACAGAAGAAGAAAAGACGTACGCGAGGATAGGCGTGCACGGCATCCGCAATCTCACGGATCGGACTGATCGTCCCCGTGATGTTCGAGACGTGAGGACAGGCCACCAGCCTGGTCCGGTCCGAGAGCAAGGTCTGGAGGTCCGCGGGATCACAGGTCGGATTTTTGGGGTCAGAGGCAGACCACCATTTCACCGTTAGACCCATCCGTTCAGCGATCCGCACCCATGGAGCGATGTTGGCTTCATGGTTGAGCTTGGACAGGATCAACTCATCGCCCGCCTGGAACGTGAGGGCGGTAGAGAGATTGTGCAGGAGCTGCGTGGTCGAGACGCCGATGCTGATCTGGGCAGTGTCAGTAATTGATCCTCGATCATCACTAGTTCAGTACCTCGTCCGGCGTGGCATTGATGAAGCCCGCGGCGACTTTGTATGCCTCGGTATATGCATCCGTGGAGACCTGCGAGGCCTTGTATGTGGCTCCGAGCTGGACATTCGTGCTCAGGAGGTACGAACGAATGCTGTGCGGAATCCGTCAGTGGTTGATTTTCAACCAGTCTGACAAACTTACGAATCGGCCACGGTGTCGAGGACCTGGCTGCCTCCTGAAGGAAGTTAGTAAACGCCGGATCCGCACCACCAGCATCACCCACCCGCATTGTCCATAAACACCTGCTCTTGCTGCAAAGCAGGGAAGCGAGCGCGCACCGCAGTCACGTCAAAGGTAGACATTTTCAGAAAGGAATGCAAAACAGAGATGTCGAATGCTCTGTCCAATGTTGGCGGGAAGAGAGAGAGGGGTCGGCTATAGGTGGAGCTTTTTCTGATAAAAGCGGATTTAGCCCGGGCTACGCTCAAACCTCGTCGGAAGAGCTGTCGCCAAATCGAGTTACACGATCCAGTCAGTCTCACCGGTGTAAGTCAGATCGAATCTACATGGGCACAAAGCACGGACATCATATCAGAAGAGATCTTGCTTCGGGTATATGTCGTGTGAAAGAAACCCACATCCGAAAAAGCGCAGGATGTAGGAACAGAAAGAAATGGAAAGAGATACAAGCCCAAGAAAGGAAACATCAAGGCCCAATTTTCCACCACGCTATCACCTAGACACGCGAGCGCCGGCCACGCCGGGCCCCCCACTCGCATGCGCGGCATCGTGCACGACGCAGAGCAGGTACTTCTTATCCGGCACGACGACGATCTCATGTTTCCGCGTGCGCATACGAAGAAGCTTGATCTCATCTTCCTCCACGTCAACCGTGTCCGCATCACGATCCTCCTCACGCGGCGTACTAGTTCCATTCGCGTAGGTCTCATGTCCAGCGTCCCACGCAGCAGGCTGAGACTCATGGGCACCGCCGTTCTGCTGCGAGGCAGGTCGCGACAGCGAAACACCAAGCGCTGAAGCGCTAGAGACAAAGGCAAAGATGTGTGCGGCTAGGGCCTCGGCTTGGGAGGGCTGGTAGGGTGATGATAATGATAATACGTTGGCGGCGGGGGAAGCAGGCGAGGAAGGAGGCTCGTCGGATTGCTGTGGTACGGAAGGAGGAATGGGGTCTGTGGCGGACGGATGAGACACTCCATTTGCATCGGCTGGTGGGGGGGCGAGCAGCCCTGTGCCTTGAATGATAGAGCCATCTCGGCGGGAGAGGATCAGGGTGGAATGCACCCCCGGGCGGGAAGTGAGGTGAGAGAGTAGCGCGGTGACATGTTGGGGGACTTGTGGCGTCCGCTATTACAGGGGGAACAAGATATTAGTTCAACTGCAATTGTGGACAGCAGAGATGCGAGACTCACCGGCGTCGGAGCAGTCATTCTCTCTCGGGGGTCTGCGGGGGAGGAGAAACTGAGAAGTGGGTGTTGTAGGAGGAGAGACGCGGATAAGAGCAGTGATTCGGATTAAGTCATGGCTCCGCGGTCAAGCTCGTCTGTCTGTCTACACTCTCACGGCTAGGAGCAAGAGGGAGCATCATCTACAGCTCATCAACTGGTCTTGCGGAATCAACAAAAACACAGATGACTCAGCAGATCACATGCCACCGTTTGCCCTGATTTCTGATGGACTGAACAATCATTGAGAGACAGATTCCCGGCCGCCAGGACTGGGTGGAATTTAATTTTCACTAGCTGCATATCACATAGCAATACAGAAGAAATGGTAGAGTGCGCTGGACAACAAAACAAGATGGTATCGTCAAGGAATGGCGCATGAATTTGGAAAGAAAGAAGATGGAAGGATCGTGAATGACAACAAGGAAGAGAAAATCAAACGACGGCAGATCATCCATAAAGAAAGAAGAAAGGAAAGAAAGGAAAGCATTGTCTAAGAAGCCTGAGCCGTTTGGGCTTCTCGAGGTCCGCCCAGACTGGACTTGTCAGATGTCCATCCAGACTCGAGATCCTCGACCTTGTGGTCGAGTTGCTTCACATTCGCGCGACCATCCCGGAACGACGAACTGGGTGTCTCAAATCCACTATAGTCGCTACTGCGAGAAGAGCTGACCCAGCTCTCCGGGCGCGGAGTAAATCGAGGCAGATAAGGGTTTCCCAGCGCAGCGGGCGGAAAGGCGGGCGTCAACATGGGATCCGTTTGGAAATCTTCCAGGTTATTCTTGACGCTGACGTCAAGGGCGGCCATCAAAGCAGCCTGGAGGATTTTATTCTGCCGCTCGAGGTTCGCAACTCGGTCCTCCAAGAAATGCGAGGATTGGGTAGATGCAGGCGCGCGGTAGCTGCTTGGAGAGTCGCGCGAGCGGTAGGTGGACTGGGAGTACTGAGACTGTGGGGAAGAAGCAGCCTTATCAAGACTGTGAGTGTTACGACCCGGAGGGGTCAAGGACCGCTTTGGACGATGTGGGTGGTGTTGGTGGCGAGACCGGCTCGGAGCAGACACCTGCCGTGCATCACGGGTGTCATGGACTCGGCGTGTTGTTTTGGTGTGTTGGCGTTTGTCGACGGTGCGACGTGAACGGGGCTTATCTGTCCCAGGCCCAAAGCCTTCATCGTCAGAAGATGGAAGGGGTGACTCGGAGTGATTAGGTTGGTATGCTTCCGGGATGCTTTCATGGCGAAGACTACTTCCTGAACTGTTGCTGCGAGCGATTCGATGGGGCCCAGGGGCGAAGGGAATTTCCATTGCACGTGCTGATCCAGACGATGTTATATAGTTGCGGGCTGGTTGTGCGTTGACTCGCTGGGAGGTAGGTTCCTGAGGAAGGCCGGCAGTAGGAGGAGGCGAGGGAAGACCGAAAGGAAGATTCTTTCTGTCTATACGAGGGTTGATGGCCAGTCCATGCTTTTGCACGGCACGTTTCCTAGGAGGGTTGACAGGGCTAGTGTGTCCCAACACAGGAGAATCAGCCAACGGAGTATCCTTAGTGTTGTCTTCACCGCGCTTTCGCGAAGGGCTTTCGGGAACTTCCTGCATGGGAGACATGTGCATGCGCTGGTGGCGCCGCCTCGGAGTGAACTGCGTAGGAGTTATAGATCGGGAGTAACTCGAGTTTGGTCGCGGAGCTTCCTCCTCATCCTCCTCTCGGAGGTCATTGTGGCCCAGAGCAGTTGCAGGACGAGTGTCACGAAGACTGGCAGTGGCAAACTTGCCGTCTTGTTCTTCGGGCAGAGAGTGAATCCCCAAGGCCATTGGCCCTGAGCGGACCATTCGGAGGGTGGACTGAGCAGGGGCATCTGGGCGAGCACTTGGTGACCGCGGGGTCGCCGGTAGTGACGGTAGAGGCTTGGTTGGTGCTGGGAGAGGGAAGGCGCTCAACGTACTGCCCATGGACGTTGATTGTGGTGCTGCTTTGCTTTGAGCATCTGTTTTAGCTTCCTGCGGCTTGGTGGGATTGGCGGATACTTCGGCAGTTGGTTCGGTGCTGGAAGGCTTTGCTGGTCCGTCATCCGATTGTGCACTTGTTAGAGGCGCCGCCGATGGATTCGACGTTTCGGGAAGGCCAACAGCATTCTCAGATGATGTCGCCTGTGAAGGTGCCGCCAGCGGGTGAACACTGAATGTCGTATACTGGGGATTCAACGAGATGCGCCTGGCATTCTTGCTGGATATACGCGGCGGAGCGACACTGGGGAAGAGCTTCAACGTATGTTGCGCAGACGCAGAAGTGGTCTGAGAAGCAGTGGATGATAGATCAGACGTTTCGCTGGACTTCCTGGGACTTTCAGGCTTGTTGGATATCTGGTCATTCTTCTGCGTGTTCTCGGTTCGCTCTGCGTGGGTCACTGGCAAGCTAGTGGAAGAGCCAAAGGCTGGCTCTCGACAGATGAGGCGAACACTTGAGGTCTCGGAACTAGCAGGCCGTGGCCCTTGGTCTTCCGACAACCTGCTCTGCTGGGTGTCCGTGGCTCCTGTTGGAGAGATTCCTCGGATAGGGCTTGAATTGGTAGTCGAGCCTGGTATTGGTATCATAGATGATGAGGGAGACGAATCGTGCGCAGGGGGTTGGTAGGGAGGCGGCACAGAATCATCATCAAAGGCACCAGACAGAGAAACGGCGACATCGACCATGGAGCCAAAATCACTGAGATCCAGGGAGGCTAGGCGACGCTTTCTCTCGTCGGGGCTCGTCCTCGCCCCGTTCAGCCAAGGCTGTCCAATGTTTTCGACGTCCTGCCGCTTTGATTGGGACAGGGACCGATCCAGACTTCCCTTGGATTTGTGCATCGGGGTCGTGAGCAGATATCCTTCCCGTTGAAGCGCCTCGATCTGCTTCTGCTGGTCGGTCACCTTGGACTTGGATGGGCCATCTTTCTTTTGGCGCTGCGTAAACTGGAGCAGGCGGCGATGTAGGGGCTTCATGTCCTTGGACTCGGTGCCGGGCAGCGAAGATGTCGGGGCAGAAGCCGAGTCTGCGGGAGTCGTACTCTGAGTCTGGAAGAATCGGACGAGATCGACCAGGCTTTCATTCCTGGATGGTCGTTCGGCCATCCCTGCTGAGCGGGCTTGTGGCCGCGGATTACTAGCACCTCGAGGCCTTGTCGCGTCAGGCTGTCCCGTCATGACAGACAGACTGTAGCGCCTGAGCTTGGACGAGAGGTGAGGTCGATCACGGCGATAAGTCGGAACAATGGGACTGGGTGCGACGGCACAGTCATGCACAGGGTCGCCCCGATGCATAAGTAGAGAGAAAGAGAGGGAGAGTCGACGGCTGGCTTTTCAATCCGGCTGCGGGCAAGTTCGGCATCCGTCAGGGCTCCCTTGGTCTGAAACGGTCGCCGTGTTGGAAACAATGGGTGCTGTCCGTGCGGGTCAGAAAGGACCTCACCACTAACGGCTTCTCTGGCCAGACAACGACTCACCTGGAAGGGGCCGATCGACGATGAATGGGATATCAGATGGGGCAACGCAAGGTGGCGAGGTGATAGCGCAGAAACGACGCACCAGGGAGGACGGCTCTATGTACAAACGGCCAGTATATACAGCATAAACGAGGGGCAGAGTCTAGGATGGATGTAAAGAAGAATGAGACAGGCAAGAGACCGAGCAGCTCTCCGGCCCAGGGAGTTCCCTGTTTAAAAGCAGAGGACGGGTGATGCCTCATTTCCGAACTGGAGGACACAGCGTTCGGGGTATGGGTCGATCGCCAATCCGTCCTTTGTCCATTCGGCATGCTTTTTCCGCGCAAGGGATCCAACGTCTGAGGTATCGTATCCCGGGTGTTCGCGCTAGTCGGGGATCGGCGAGCGGGTAGTCGCCGATGGGCAGAGATTGGCGATCTCGAATGGACAGCTCACATTATGATCGATGGAGGGAACTATTGATTTCGTGTCTCGATCGGGTTATTGTGGTGTTGTGTTATTGTGTTATTGTGTCCATTGTGTCCATTGTGTCCATTGTGTCCATTGTCGTCCTCTGCAAGGGTAGTCAACCGTTCATCGACTGAAACCGCCTCTCATTTCTTCATTAATGGGCAGGAGCCCTAGTTCCCCAAGCTCAGCTCAGACTGGGTCAGAGAGGATAGGGAACCTGGGGCAGATCCACCTGCAAGTCATGGAGTAATCGCTCCACCTCGCAGTCGATCGGTCAGTCCTCGAACCCCGGAATGCACCGGCTCTGCGCTGTCACCTCGGAGATTTTTATTCATGTCTACATGTTCGAAAGGCCGCTAATGCAATTGCAGATCTGATCTGCCAGTCAATGTTCGCCCGGACACGCACAGAACGGCTCGTCGCGATGCATTTTCGTAATGTACAGGGGGGGAAAGTAGGTTTGAGTTGGTTGGTGGCCAGGGCCAGGTAGTGTACAGTAACTGGATTCAAACACACACACATACAACGCCTTCTAATGCGGCCAGGGGGAAATGCATCAAGAGCAATCATGCGGTCGCGCAGGCAGGCATCATACGCCATGGGATATGCAAATGGAACAAAAACAGATGAGAAGGAACAGACGCGGTGTTAGGAGGGGTAGAGACCAGAATGTGGAGGTGAAATGCGTCAACGTTTAGCGACGCTTCGGACGGATGAACGGATCGACTTCCTTCCTTTTGCGCATCACCGGGGGGCGGGGCCTGGGTGGGGGCTGGGAAGTCTAAATCCAAGTCAGTAATCTTATCTGTCAATCTGGGTCCCGAAATGAACCACTGACCTGCTCCGCGCGGGGCCCAGTGGGCGGCTGCTTCTCCATGGGAGCATAGGCCGGCCCATCGCGAGAGGGTTTGACCAATCCCTAATGCTAGGTTAGTGTCCATGTCAAGCTGACAGATCAAGGGACAACTTACTCCCGGCGGGGGGGCATTGGCGTCGAGTTTGCCTCGCAGGCCCTTCGGGGCGTTCGGTGGCGGGCCCGATGGTCCTGACGGGCCGAGGGTGCGAGGCCGCGATGCCTTGGACGCAGTCGGGGGAGTGTCGGTACGCTTGCGCTTGGAGCCAGGATTGGTCTCGTCCGATTTGTTCGGTCCATGGGGCGGAGAGCGCGTGGTGGTCTGGACGACCGGTACCTTGGGATCATGTTTGGCCTGATACTTGAGTTCCCGGCGCTCGGCGTTCTTCTTTTGGAGTTCTCGGCGGTTCTGCTCTTCGCGGACAATGCGATTCTTCTCTTGCTTGGAGAGGGTTTTGGTGGATGTGCATTTGCGCGACGAGTGTCCGCATTCGCCGCATTCGAGACAGCGTTCGGCCTTGCAAAACAGTCGGGTGTGTCCAGGCTGTCCACAACGGTAGCAGTTGCCATGGGTGCCTTCTTTGGCATCCACATTATCGCAGTTCGAGGTGAAATGATCAGGGCTTCCGCATATACCACAGTTCTTTCTCTCGTCCAGACCCGACGGTCCTCCAGATGGGCCGTCGACAAGTGGAGCTGGAGTGCTGCGTGCCGAGACAGAGACCGAGACCGAGCGAGAGTCTGACATGTTTTCCATCGACACAGACGACGGTCGAGACACTGGTGCGACCTCGGGTGCATCAACATCCGCCATTTCAACGTCCTTGTAGCCTGTGAACTGCGGTTTCTCGAGGGCCCGGATGATATTGCCTTCGGTATAGACATTCCTCTCGCGAGCGTTGCGGATCAGACCATTCCAGAACTCGCCCTGTGCCAGAGACCGAGAGTTGCCCAGAACCCATAGCGACGATTTGGCACGAGTAAGCCCGACGTTCATACGACGAATATCCGCCAAGAAACCGATACCCTTATTCGATGCGCGCACACAGGAGAAGATGATGACTTCACTCTCCCTACCTTGGAAAGCATCCGTCGTGTTGAAATCAACCGTCTTGAGAATATCCTCGCCATATCGAGCCGTAAATTGCATCTTCATCTCCCTCAGCTGGCCCTTATAAGGCGTGATAATGCCGATCTTGCCTGCAAAGTCGTAATCTTTGACATCCGTGATCAGACGATCGTAAAGCTGCATGGCCACTTGAAGTTCCGCGTAGTTGATCAGGGAGTGACCTTTGGTGGCACTCTGGTGCATGCCCTGAACGTCGAAGAACCGATACGGGCTCAGAAGTTCGCTCTGATGCCAAGGGCGAGTGCGAAGTTTCGCCATATCCGGTCCATCCTGGAGCTTGCCGTCGTAAAAGGTCAAGCTGGGGAAGCGGCTAATGTCTGGATGCATACGGTACTGGACATCCAGCAAGTGCACATCCCGTGGGTAGTTCTTCTGCATCCGCACGAACAAGCTTTGCTCGTACTGGAATTTCGACGCCATCTTCGACAGGACGGTCGGAGGCAGTTGCTTAGGGTCACCCACGAGCACACACTTCGAGCAGCCGTATTTAAGCGGAATGAGGGCGCTCAGTTCAATACACTGGGCGGCCTCGTCGATGATCACGGTTTCGAATTCGACATTCATGTTCTGGAAGATCTCATGCCCCGAACCACTGAGGGTTGTGCAGATAACATTGGCACCGTTGATGATCTCTTGCTGGATGCGCCGCTTGTTCATATCGGCATTACGTGCCAAGGTATGATTCTGATCGCGAGCCTTGTCAATAGCCGTACTCAATTGCGATCGCTTCTTCTTCATCAATTCAAACTCCCGCTCAAGTTCCTCTGGTGGAGGCAGTCCCTTCGCGCGGCACTCGTCAAGACGACCACGGATTTCCTTGAATGAGGTATCCGTTGTCTTGTGCTCTTCGTATAGCTTCTGCATGTCGGTTCCGCCGCCCGAGGTTGAATCCTTGCTCAGACGAGCGTTGACCATCTCGTCCAGAGTCACGTCCAGCACTTTGGCATTAATCGCATCACTTCGCCCCAGACGGATGACTGAAAGTTTCTCGTTGCGACCGGTAATTGTCTTGACACCTTCCTTCATTCGCATCACCAGTTCATCGACCGCAGCATTGCTGGGAGCACAGATCAACAGCTTCTTAGAAGTCGCGGCTCTTGCTGCCGGCGCGGTATTGTATGCCGGCTCAATCGTTGTCCCACCTTTACCCAAAACATTGCTCAAGAGACATCCCACAAGGGCGACAATGGTCTTGGTCTTTCCGGAACCGGGAGGACCTTGGATAAGGGTGAATGCATCGTTGTCCACGGCTGACTTGATTGCCCTGGCTTGGGCACGATTGATGGTGTAGTTGTCCATAATGGGCTGCAGTCTCGCGTCGGAGTATGTGAGAATAGGCGATGGCTTAGCCGTGACGATTTCATCGCACAAATCGTAGAACTGAAGTGCCATCAGGGCACCATATTCGCGGTCGACTGGAGTCAACGACGTGACTTTCACTGCCCAGGCCGTGGCGCCCGTTGCAAACGTACTGAGAAACTTGTTCTGAGAAGGATTCATGCGGTATGTAACCTCCAGCTTGCCGTTTTTCCTATTGACACCGCAGACACGCGCCAGCACATGAGGCACCTTCGCTTCTGGGGAGATACTGGACGAGTTGGAAAACATGATAAGGTCGCCTTCTCCCAAGCTGAAATCCTTGGGTGGTAGACCGAGGGGTTGGGTGCTGACTTCGATCCACGAGTCAACCGTCAAGCGAGACATGACCTTGACCTCGAAGGGGCGGAACTGGGCTTCTTCCTTGGCCTGCTGGAAACCTTGCCAGGCTTCGAGGATCAAGAGGGGTTCAAAGGTTTTCTGATAGTCCGTGGAGGAACGGAAGGAATTGGAAACCAGGGAGTAGTCGGTGCGATCCGATGTGGGAGGGAGATCACCAGTTGAAAAGAAGTCCCAGGAAAGGATAGAGTGGTGCAAAGAAGAGAGATCCGGGGTCAGACGGGCACGCATATCCTTCATGGATCGGTGGCGCTTTGCCTTCTTGATCGGCTGCTGCTGCAGGGATTGTTTCTTGCTCTGCTCATATTCCGCCACTGCGTCTGGTTTCTTGGGTTTGGCGCCGAATAGCTCCTTGTCTATTTCGTCTTCACTCTCGGAATCTGTATCAGAACCAGACGAAACCATCATACTCTCCGCCGGGATAGTATGGTCTTTACCCTTGATACCAATACCTTTGAGGCCGGAGCCCTGCTCAGCCGTCTGTTCTGCCACCCCACGAGCAGGCATGTTCTTCTTGAGGCGGGCGAGTTCAGCCAAGTCGCGTTTCTTCTTGGCCTCTTTCTCGCGCTCGCGCTTCTCACGGAATGACAGGACGTTGCTGGCATCGTCTTTGAGCCGAGGGGTGACCAGGGTCTTGGTGAGCGTAGAGTGTGGCGGCTTGACAGCCACAGCCGCCTTGGAAGAGGACTTTTCGGCTTTGCGCTGGGCCTGGCCAGCGAGGCGCTCCTTGTTGAGTTCAACTGAGCGAGAAAGGGCAAGCAGATCTTCATCTGGCACATCCTCAAAGTCGTCATCGCTGGTGACTCGGGTGGAAGGACTCGAGACGCCGGGTTTGGCAAACGCAGTAATCGAGCTCTGCTTCTTGAAAGCAGCAGTGGAAGCTGTGACGACGGGTTTTTTGTAGTAAGCCTCGAGAGCGCGTACCAATTCAGCCTTTTCGCGTGGGGTGAGGATTGTCTTGATTGTCCCATTCACTGCGACGCCCTCAATAAAGCTCAATGCATCTTGCTTCACGGTGGTGACATTCAATGCCCCAAGTCGTCTCAATAGCTTAGCGACCAACCCCACCAACGTTGTTGCCAGATACTCGTCCTTCAATCGCAGCCACTTCACCATCGCACTCATTGTTGTTGTTGGCGACTTGAGGAAGTTCTCGTTCTGCCCTGTACTTGCGTCCCCCACGGCACCCAGAAAAACACCATATTGGCCAAAGAGGAAATCGGCAAACTGGATCGTGTCTCGACAGAACTCCAGCATCACCGACTTGTCGTTGCCACGCAGATGCCAAGCCTCAGTCTCATCGAAGATCGTAGTCAGGGCCTGCCATAGGTACTCCCACAATTTCTGGATAGATAGAACCTCGCGGCGGTCGGCCAGAGTGCGCGTACGCAGCATACCAGTCTGACTATCACAGAGAATCTCCACGATGTCTGTTCCCGTATGCAGCATCCGTGGCGCGGGCGCGAAGGTCTTCATATTTGATATCCGGCGAAATGACCAGCTCAAGCCATACATCGTTGTAGTGAAGAAGGATTGCAGGAGGTGGGATATGGCATCCCGGCGCGCAGACTGGCCGCTGACGTTTTTGATGAGGTCTATGGCGGCTTGATAGGTGTTGAGGTCTGCGGCGAACAGGGTCGAGATTAGGGCGCTACTGGTATCCTGACTACGGAATAAGGTATCCAGATGCTCGGGGCGGAAATCTGCCAGACGTTCGATGATCTGGCAGGAGAGATGGGTGAGGTGTCCATAAATCATGTTGAAATGCGTCTTTTCCGGATTGTCTCCGCCTTTGGTCGGGAACTTCTCCAGGCCGACAAGCGGGAGAATGCCCAAAAGTGCGGCCGTTGAGAGGGCGAGGTTATCCTGGTGAAGATGTTTGATGACCGCATCCCAGATGGGCGCAGAATACGTCGACACTCCGTGCGACAGGGTGTTGTGTTTCAGGATGACCTCGTAATCGCTCTTCAGCGACTGGCATTCCAACGCCAGGGTGTTGCGCACGACATCCATACACAACGACCCGATCTCCTGTTGACGACTCGCCTCAATGGCAAAGATCGGAGGGTCAAGGATGTGGGTGATATTGTCACTGACCACCCCCATCGTCTCGGCCAACACGATGCGTTCAACCGACCCTCGCGAAGCCTCGTGGTCGGTGAAGCGGCGAAGGGTATGAAGAAGGCTGTTTAGGCCAATGTGGAAACAATGGTAGCGGGAGAGATTGGGGTACTTCTCGTTCTGGAAACGGCCCAGCAGCTGCGATGCGAGGAATCGACATGCCGATGGCTGGGCAGCGCCTTTAAGCGACATCAGAAACGGAGTGACCCAGGACAGCATTTCCTTCATGGCAGATTTTTCATATGGCTCGCCCTCGGTGAGCTGCATGAGAAAGGTTTCGTATTGGGGGTTGTGAAAAGCCTGCTCCATTATTGCCTGCGGCGAAATGGTCTGCATGGCGTCCCAGAAGTCGGCGGGGGCCTTTTCGAGAAAGGTCTGGATCGTGTTCAGAAGGAATCGCAGGGCAGGCATGGGCAAGCCGAGATGGTCCACCGACAGACGTAGAGGGTCGATTTCCAGGGCACGGAGCTGGTGCGTGATCTGCTCTTTGTCCAATTTCTTGACGATAACATGCATACCACGCCACAGTCGCTGGATAACACCGACCTGGGGTGGGTTCAACTGCGAGGCAGAGCGCAGAGCGCTCAGAAGTCCATCCCTCAGAGCCCAGTCGAACTCCAGCGTGGTGGGGGGTCGAGTGTAGCGAATCCATGCGTGGATGGCCCATATGTGGCGGGTCTGGTTGGGGTCGAACAAGAACCGAGTGACGGCGGGGATATAATCGGAGATTTTCAAGGTCCGACGGGTCTGGATGAGGCCGAATGGCTCGTCGAAGTATTGCTTGAGAAGATCCTCGTTGCGCAGCATGGCCTCACAGCTCAACGTCTCGAAGATGGACAGCAGTGCCGCTCGCTCCAAAATCGCTAGACCAATTTCCTCCGGCCGTGCCGCTCGCAGCTGAGCCGTGGCCGTCGTCAAGTTGCGGGTGATGCGCTTGATATCCCATTCATCGATACGCTGTGCAAAAGTCTCGATATCTTCTTCCTGGTAGTCCTCCTCCTTGAGCTGGTCCATGAGCCAGAGCTTGCCGGTGTAGTAGTGCTTGATACAGAGATCACATTTCTCCAGCGTCTCGTCCAGCTTGCTTAACACCCAGGTCTGGAGCTCCTCCACGCCATCCGCGTTGTAGGCCAGGATACGCATGCAGGAAAGGAACTTCTCCTTCCGAGCCGTTGCCTCCGCCAATAGCTCTCGGAAACTTCTTCCTGACTCGTCCGTCTTGTCTGGTTCATCGTAGCGTCCGTAGTCTTCGTCGCTCTTGCGCGGGCAAAGGAGATGGGTACTCTCCGGGAGGGCCTTGAGCTCTCTAAAACAAAGACTGTTAGTTTGGTGATACATTCTATCGATACGTAAAGACTAACCCGATCGCACCCACAAACTCCATGGCTCAATAGAAACTCATCGAGCAGGGTATCTTGATGTGCCAAGGTCGACTGCGCATCTCCAAATGAAGAGCGGTGTAGCTCGCACTCGGGTCTCAGAAGTGAGAAAAGATCCTGGGGAGAGATTCCGTGTTTCATCAACTCATCAGAGCCCGGGCGACCTCAGTTGTGCCCGTCCAGAAGCAGCTGTTGGGTTTGGAGATGAGCGAAAGAAGGATGGGGGAGAAAACCCACCAACAAGGACGGCGATTGGTGGGGGATCAAGGCGGTCAGAACGCGTCCAACGCGCTCATTTAACCTGATCGAGAGAAGCGAAGTGTAGAGATAGAAGTCAAATGGGATGGGCAGTCACAGGTTTAAATTAGTGATGGGGGCTCGATCCGCGGTCAGAAGTGTGTGACAGTCGATCAAGGGTAGCTCCTTTCTTGTATTCAAATGTCTGACCGATGTTTGAGCCTGAATGAAACATTACGACATTGTTGTAGATGTATACGAGACGCCTACAACTACGAAACATCTTCTTGGGGATGGTGACCCTATCTAAATCTAGCGAGAAGCGGATAGGTGGCTCACAATATGAGTGGATTATGAGATATAGAATATTTCAAAAGGGCGCTATATTGAGGGTGTGACTTCCATACACAATATAGAGTAGCAGCTCCAGAGGTCTCAGCGTCAATAGTAGGCAGCTCCCCCAATAGAATAATCAAAACAAACTTACTTCCCCGTTGATCCCGACTCAGATCGACTTCTACGGGATCCGACGTTTGGTCCCAAGGAACTGATACGCAACCTAGTCTCATCAAACGTTGGGTCTTAGCCGAGAGCAAAGAGAACTTTGTGTCCGGTTTGTTGTCGTTTGATTTAGATGTAGACATTCGCCAACACGCTACGTCTCTTGTGCAGAGCTTTTGTCCCCCATGAGAACCTACAGATGTTCACCTGATATCGTCCTTCATCGTGGCATGGAAGATAGCATCGATAAAATCGCTGCCCAAGTGATCGAGCTAGCTACCTGCCAGACGAAACTGGAGGAATAGTGTTTCCGCCGTGGTGGAAAGAAGTGCGCGATCTCTGCTGTCTCAAAGGCCCGTTCTTCACTCTAACAACGACACTGCCACCCGGCTTGTCAAGACTGAATGTGCTCATACTCTCATTCTCCGTCATGTTGAAAAGCAGACAGGAAGAAGAAGCCAACAAGATTTGGATCACGTTGAAACGCTGATTTCCAATTCTGAGAGATGAAAGGATCAATGTCAACCAAGAATCTATCAATGAGCACGCTGTGGAGGATGATTCATAAACAGTTTGGACACTTCACGATTTCTCCGGAAGAGACCGATGTCGAGATGCTACCAGATCATATCATAGGATCCAGGTCTGACTTGGTATATGCAGTCGGACCGCGGTACTCTCAAAGTCATGATGATCGATATGGGCTCCCAAGCCCCGAGCTCATCGAAGTCCACACGGTTATTGCCCGTTTGCTCCACACTAATGGCAATCAAAGGAGATGAGAAAATCCTTCATGGTCAAGATGAAACCGCCTTCCTGGGTAAGGATGGTCCACGGTATCGCTGCACTGCTTCACTCTACGCCCCTGGGTGTGCTGGAGTCTCGCATCCATTTAACCTGATCAAGATAAAAGAAGTATATAGGTCATGTTGAGGACACACCCCTGATGGGTTTGGGGAGCATCCTGGTTATGATTGCTTTACGAATCTAGGGTACACTTAATCCTAGCGCTGACATTTCTAAACCGTATCGTGCTTATAGACCTCTCCCCTGTCTCCTTGGTTAAGCTGCATACTATATAACTACCTTACTTTTTGGCGAATAATAGAGCTTCAAATAGCTTAGACTTCCCTTCAAGTGCTGAGACTCCGCTATGGCATCCGGCATCCTAAAATTAACCACATCGATAGAGAAGTTAGCCTTTCGAGGGCGGTGTTAATGAAGCCAACACCCCCCTTATAGGTAGTGGTGATGATGTCGAAGCCGAAGATGCGCCCTCTACTATGTCCGTAGAGGGGTGTCTCTAACATCACGCAGAAAGTATTGGAATTACGACTACGGGTAAGATTACCATGACAGTTTAAGTCATTTAAGTACTTTCATCACAGAAACCTGTGAATACCATACATGAAGAAATATCATGCCCCTCTTAGACAGCGGTCTTGGGGTGGAACAGGACCAAACAACAGAAACAAGAAGATTCCAAGAGATCTGAAGAAAACTCGGGAAACCGGCCGTCACAGGTGATTGTCGTGCTCGTGTGCAAAAGAAACAAAGAGAAACGCTTTTGTACAACGTCAAGGGAAAAGACAGGCCAGTATGAAACATGCAGAAAGAAAAAAAGGAAAGGAAAGGAAATGAAAGGAGGTTGGTTGGGGGATGTATGAGAGAAAAGAAAAAATGGAAACGATGCGCCAGGCCGCCGTCCAGGTGATGATGAGGTATACCAAACGCCTGCTCTCTATCAGGGAATATAAAAAGGCTGCTGTGGGGGAAAGAAAGGGAAATTGCTATAGATGGAAGGGGAAAATCGCGGTTGAAAAGGGTCGTCACGAGGGGAGAGAGGGGAGAATCTTATATCGCATGGGGTGGAGTGTCGATGGGGGGTGCGGAAAGGGTCTTCGTACGCCCGGTGCGATGATTCCATGCGAGTTAGCATGGCGGCCGAGGTGAAATCGTTGCTCGCCTCGAAACTCTGTCGGGCCCGTTCGAACGAATGACGTGTCCGGTCTCCCGACCGCCGAATGAAATCCACCGCCTGTGGCTGCGGATATTGATGTAGGCTATCGCTATAGTTAGTGCCATTACTGCCATTCTGACTGCGAGGTACATGCGTATTGGCGGTCGGAGCAACGGACGGCGGGTAAAAAGGCCGCTCATCGTCCGTAGAGAGAGGGTCCTGCTTCATCGCGGGCTGCACTGGCTTGCCGAGTTCCGAGGAGGACGTGGATTCGTCGCTGGTGGTGGTGGCCGCTGCGGCCACATCGCCGGCCTTGGGGGGCACATAATCGTCAAACTTATCCAGATACTTGAACATGCCCAGCGTCACCTGCTCGCGAATGATGTCGACGTCCAGAGGGAAGAACACCTTCTGAACGGCCTTCACTGCAAACCGGGGCAGGAGGCAGATTACGACCGTCATGAGAAGCATGACCCAGTAAGACAATGCACCATAGACCTCTGCGGCCGCAAAGTAGAACTGGCCCGACGAGAGGACCGACGAGTAGATGCCGGTCCACAGGAAGATCAAGAGCGAACTGATGACGTTGATGAGGCAGACGAGCCAGTCCCAACGATAGGTATTCATCAGGATGTAGGTGTTGCTAGCGATGACGGCACAGGATGCAACCAGGACTCCCATGCGGGTACGATCTGCTATGTCGCGACCGCTGTCGGTCGCAAAATTGGCCGGTGCAAACAGAAGGTATGGCAAGAAGAAGCAGACAACCGACTGGTACAAGCCATCGGCCATGTAAAGCCTGGATACAAAGGTTAGTTCGGCCGATGAGACGAGGCAAAAGGAGGCTTGCTTACCAAAATTTGAGTTGTGACCATTCCTTGCGTTCGATACCTCGCATGTAGAGCTGAGGCACCGCGAGCGACACCTTGTCATCGACATCCTGATCGAAGATACCCATGAAGATAACCGGCAGCGAAGTGAACGCGACGTTAACCAACACAATGTAGGTGTAGTCGAAGAGATAGGAGCCGTCAAAGTCATTATAAATCGAATACCAAAAGAGCGCAAAAGTCCACACCAGGTTCTTGTAGAAGAAGTTGGCGGTACACTCTCCTAGGCGACGGTAGGACCACCGGCCATGTACCAAAATAAGGCGCTGGAGGAAGCGGAACTGTCCAATCGCATAATCCGAAGACATGACGGCTTGTCGTCCTTCCTCACCGGCGATACCTACACCCACATCCGCTTCTTGAATCATGGCAACATCATTCGCGCCGTCACCAACCGCCAGAGCCATCACGTTCAGACCGTTCTTGACCATCTTCACAACGGCCGCCTTCTGTGCCGGACTGACGCGGCAGCAAAGAACAGCCTTGCACTGTTTACACAGAAGGAGGAATTTCTGCTTCAGCTCGTCCGAGAGCATGAGCTTGAGGGTATCACCATCGATGATGACTGCGTGTGTGGGCTCAGGTGGCGTGTGGTCCTGGCGCGCGGCGACCAGCTCCTCGTCGGAACCAGTCAATCCAAAGATCTCGAGGTGTTTATCAAGTTCCTTCTCCGCCTGCTCCGGTTGGCTCTCGGGAATGTTGAACACGAGCAACTCCATGTTGTTGTTGAGCAGGTTGCAGGAGAACCCAATGTTGATAGCTGTTTCGACTTTGTCACCGGTCAGAACCCACAGCTTGATACCGGCATCCGCGAGCAACGAGATGGTGTCGGGCACGCCGTCCTGAAGACGATCTTCGATGGCAGTGCCTCCGATGAGCATCAGCTCTTGCTCAATCTCGCTTGAAACCATTTCCAACTTTTCCTCGCGATTCGTTATGGCGGCGGCAGCGATGTCGTGCTCCCGACTCCAGGCTTGATATTGCTGCTCGGTGAGCTCACGGTCGGCCACACACAGAGTGCGCAGTCCTTCTCGGGCAAATTCTTCCAGGTGCTCTGCAGTTTGCTTTCTGAGCTCCTGCTGCTTGCCACGAGCCAGGCGAGAGTAGATGATGCTGTCGGCACCCTTGCAGAAAAGCCGGATGGAACCATCCGGCATCCGGATGATCGCGCTCATACGCTTCCGAGACGAATTGAATTCGAGGGTGTTCAGGACGGTGTACGTGCGTTCCTCACCCAACACATTGAGAAGCAGATCGTCGCCGGCCCGGCCGAGCATGGTGAATCCACAATCCCGAGCAGTGCTGACCAAAGCTGCTTCATCGGGTGATTGAGCCTTAAACTCGATCTGCGGAGGATCGCCTGGAGTGTGCTCTGTAATGACAGTGTGGCAGAGTGCCAGAGCCAGCATGAAATGTT